TTGCTGTTGCTGTTGCTGTTGCTGTTGCTGTTGCTGTTGCTGTTGCTGTTGCTGTTGCTGTTGCTGTTGCTGTTGCTGTTGCTGTTGCTGTTGCTCCTTCTCATGCTGCTCCTGGGCCTTTTGCTCCCGCTCGCGCTGGCGTTGTTCATCGTTCGGCATGAACCGACACGCCAGCGCGTCGCAGTACTCGCGCATCTGCTCGTTCGGCACGTACGTCTGTTCCACGGCCGAGGCGCCCAGCACTTGTCCGGCCTTGTCTAGCGCTTCTGCGTACGTGAACCGGTGCATACACGCCTGGCTGTACACGGTCTCAAAGCCAGTCTTGGGCACGACACCGAGTTGATGCCAGGGCTCGGGCCCCGGTTTCGCCTCGTCGCGGCCAAAGAAGCGCCATGACGCGACCTCGGTGGCCCCGTTCCACGAGACGTACAGCGTCATCTCCTCGCCGTGCTGTGAGTACGTCCACAGGGCCGGCTTCGTCAGCGGCTGTCCCACCCAGTTGTCGAACTTGTGCACCCGGTAGTTCATGACATTGCTCCAGCCCAGCGCGCCGTAGAAGACGATCTCGTGGTCGGCCGTGTACTCGGTCCAGAATGCGTCGTTGCCCCAGCCCATCAGGAGATTGCCGTTCGCCAGCCGCTGCAGATTGCCCTGCGATTTCGAAACGTGCGCGTGGCCGTCCACCACGGGCGGGTCGAGGTTCACCAGACACGTCGCCACCCGGGTGCGGTGGTCCAGGCTGATCAGCTGGCCGGTGGAATGAGGTTGAGTCTGGTTGAAGCCGTTGGAGCCGTTGTCGAAGAGCGAGATGACCGTGTGCGTCTCGTTCTCCGACACGAAGCGGGCGTCGTGCTGGAACGAGAAGGAAAACCCGGCCAGATGGTAGTCCGACCGGGCCCCGTTCAGCCGCCAGATCAGGTGGCCGTCGACCCCCGACACCTTGTACACGGCCGACACGTGCCGGGCGGAAATCAGGTAGTCGCCGTCCTCATTCTTGTCGATCGAGTTGATGTGGAAGTAATCCCACGGGCTGTCCGGTCGCTCGCCGCTGCCACTGATCTCGGTGCTGCTGGGGCCGACGTAGCTCTCGCGGGGATCGACATGGTCCAAACTGTGCCATTCGAACAGCACCTTGCCCGTCTCGACGTCGACTTCTTGAAACGCCCCCTGCTGGATGTAGCCCAGGCCGTCGCACAGATCCCACGCGCACAGATCGTACACGCGCCGGAGGTACTGGGTCATCAGAGCGGACCGGCCGTCATGGATCAGCTTGAACTCATGCATGTCCGAGGATGCCTGGTGGCTGCCCGGCTCCACGGATCGGACAATGCGATAGTGTCGGTCCATGATCACGCCGTGGCCGTGGCCCCATCCCACCATCTGGCTGCCTTGGTAGAAGCACAGATGGATGTCGCCCTTGTACCGACACGTCTGAGGCGCATGGCTGATGCCTGGGCCGACGTTCCCAAAGCCGGAATACACCAGGTCCTAGGGAGGGGATGGGATGGTCAGCACATGGCCACAAAGACAGCAACAGCAACAGCAACAGTCACTCCTCCGCCAGGGCCCTTATCCTTACCGCCTCGTTGTCGTAGATATAGACCGATTCCTGGGCCTGCTGATACGGCGCCACAAAGTAATACCCAGGCGCCTGCTTTTCCGGAACATGCGTGAAGACACTGAGAATCGGCGCCACCAGGTCCGGTCGCTGTTGGCCGAGATCGACATCTGGTCAGTGACTTGGACTCGGACTTGGACTCGTATCTTGCTCGCCAGCATGTCGACTCACCGATCGAAAGACAGACACGGGCTGCGACTTGTTGTCAGCCACGATCCGCCAGGTGAACAGGCATGTCAGCCACAGCCAACAGTGGAAAGGCAGGGAGAGACTCATGGCAGCGCTCGGGTTGGGTTGGATTGGGATGGGATGAACTTCAGCCTGATGGTTCCAGACACGTCTCATCCGGCGCAGGGTAGGGCTGGGAAAGACAGATACGTCTCATGCTGCGCAGGGTAGGGTTGGGAAAGAAAAGACAGACGCTCGAGACACGAGACAAGCAGTAGCCAGGCTACACCAGCTGCATGCCTCGATCTGGACAGCCTGCCATCTGCCGAGGAGTCGGGATCAGGACGGTTAGCGACTGTTGACTGTGGACTGTGACTGTAATTGATCTTCCAGGTTGCAATCCTCCGGAACCCAGAGTGGCGTCGACCGTCGACGGCGGTCTCGGTCGCAGATTTCCTCCATCGATTCCAGCTGGGAGAAGCCAGCTGTGGTTCTGTGGTTCTGTGGTTCTGACCCAACAAGCCATCTGAGATCATGACGCGGCGTCAACCGTGTCCACGTTTGCAAATTCTGTCCTCCGCAATACGTAGCACCAAGGGTCGTCCAACTCGGTGATAGATCCATTGGTGAGGGCCTCCGCTGGCCGGGGTGGGAACCATGGACCGGGATGCTCCTTGTTCGGCGGAACCACGGCGTGGGTCGCTTCTCGACCAGGCCACCTCAGCTCTGGGGTGACGAGTCTGCATTCCGCATCCGTCTCTCTCTAAACGACCACGATGCTCAGGCTCAGGCTTCCCAACATCGCTGAGCTGAGCTGTACTGGGCTGGGTGTCTTGATGGTCCTCTGGTTCCCCAGTCCCAGTTGACCATCTCTACAACCACAACCACCGTAACCAACACCAACACCGGCTCCGACTCCGACTAGATTCTTCCGCTCACCTTCTGACTCTAGTACAACGTACACTGTACACCATACATATGACCAGCTAGCTCACTGAAGTGCAGATCAAACGAAAAATGGGAGAAACGGTCGTAATGTTCCATCCTGTTACAGCACATCACAAATCAGGCTGCGATAAGCACGCGATCAAAGACCCTTGTTGACCCAGCTAGCATGATATATGTAGTATCCAACCCACCGATCCCAAAACTCCAGCCAATATACATTTCTTACTTCCTAGAACAAATCCCAGCACCAGAAGCCGGCAACTAGCCGACGTGGTCAGCTGGGATGGCTCCAAACGCCGTGCTATATGCAAGCCCTGCCCATGCCGACAGGCGCCCACAATACATGTCCAATCCTTCTCCTCACAACTCTCTAAGCTGTTGTTCGCCAGACGGCCCTGTGTGCAAATTTCGGTAGGTAGTGGGTATACGCGAACGTTGCAGAAAGCGCAGTAGCGACGACGGGGACCCCTACTACCAAGGCGCGGAAGACGACATTCATCATTTGCTTGCGGTTCTGTGTTCGGCATCGTTGGACAAAGTGGTCCGCATCGTTGGATCTTGGGAATGGTGTGTCAGGGATCGGGTCGCCGAGAAAGTCGCACAACGGTTTCCAGCCGGAGCTGACTCGGTATTCCAGCAGCTGGCCGGGCGGCACGAGCTCTCGGATTTCCTGGTAGTAGTCGTGATACCGTTGCTTGCCCTGATTCTCGAACTCGTCGTAGAAGAAATACTTCCAGAACTGGCGTAGCATGGGGTAGTACAATCCGGCAGCCCAGTCAAAGTTGGCCACAGCCTTGAGCTCCGGGTCGTTGGCGCGCCAATTGACTGTCTTCATCACGGACTTGTGCCATGAATCCACGTCTCTCGTGGTGACGATGATCTTGGCCTCCGGATACGCCTCAATCAATTCTTTCGCAAAGGCAACAGCGGGCCAGTCGCACACCGCCTGGCAATGGCCGAGCAGAGCGTCCCATTCTTCGCGACCAAATTTTCCCTTCCCCTCGTACTTGGCGGCGAAGGCGTCCATCCAGCAGAGACAATCGGGAGGGTTTTCCACGCTGGCACACATCATGTGGTATGTGTCGGTATAGCCCAGCTCCTGCAGAGCTGAACGCAGCGAAGCTGTGCCGGTTCTTCCTAGGCCGAGTGCCAACACCCTCATTGGCACGATGCGTTTGCATTGCCGCCGGTCAATGTCGGTCTGGTAAGGAGTGAAGATGTCGGTCGCAGGTTTGGGCGTGTACGGAATGCCGGAGGCCATGGCGTAGGGTTGGTGAGGATTTCGCAACCTCGGAAGTATAGAGATGGTTGGTAAACGCGGGATGTTGGGGGAACCGAATTGAAAGGGTTTAACACCAAGCAGCGGTGTTGAGGTCTCTTATGCCGACAGCTTGATAACACCCTGATGGCACGGACACGATGGGAAGAAGGAGTATCCTACAAGTCAAGTGGTCAAGGCGGCAGTAGTCAGGAGACGGACCTGATCAGCATGGCCGCTCCAGTCTCTTGGTGGGATATGCCAGACCAGCGACGTGAGGCCGACACCTTGGGGTTATTTCGCTATGCTTTGGAGCTGCCGTCAATCGAAACGAAGCCGCTGTGTACGTGTCTCTCCCGCAACAGTGGCAATTGTTACCGCTTGAATTCGGGTGTAAATAACGGCAGGGCTCCAGCATGGCTATTTCCACAGTGGACCACCCACAAAGGTTGAGGAACTCGCCCAATAATGAAGCACTCACCTGTAAACAAGAGGCCACGAGTACCAACGACGCTGCTGACGCGCTGACGTGCCTCCGCCAGAAGGCCAAGAACATAACCTAGCCAAGTGGAGAAGACTTACGACTCTTTGGCCTTGCAGCCGTTTGATTGCGCCAACCCGTCCAAAAGATCAGGGACCACGTAACGGCGTCGTCAAGCTGTCAAGGAATTCTCGGTCAACACGAACGCCCATTGTCGGAAGACAGCTAAGCTAGCCAGTGGCACACATTGGACGCGTTGCTCGAAAGTATCCCAGACTGCAAATCAGTGCACGGTGGCTAGTTCGTGCTAGCGTTCCAGAAAGGAGATTGTGGCGGTGGTTTGACGGCAAAACCGAACATGTCACGACTCCTGTCAACGACAGTGACGCGTCCATGAAGCATCCGCACATGTTTTGCACACACCAGACCAGGGAGAGCTGAAGTCCAGCGAGTTTGGGGACGGCCGCGGGACAAGGTCGGAGAACTTTTCCTATAGACTCTCGAGTCTTTGGGCCTAGGCATTGGCAATCTGTTCGGCATTCGGTGCCGAGCTGGACGATCGCCGACTGCCGTTAGGAGACATATCCATGAGTATTTGCCTGCGAAGCTTCGGATACGCAAAGTAACATTCAGAGACTCCCAAAGGAAGGAGAATGAGGTGAAATGAGAACGAGAGTAAGCAGGAGGCACCGGTTGATATATAGTCCCGGACGCCGTCTTGTTGCGAGTTTGGCACCCAAAATGGCGACATTGAGGGTACCGAGATTTGGCAGATCACGTGATCAAGCTCGGCGGGTCCCAGCACACCCATTTCCTCTCTTCAACGTTGTTTGTTAACAGCCTCTTCCGAGTATTCTGTGGGTATGGACGACGTGGACACTCTTGCGGTGCCAGTAGACGCGGTGAGATTGGACGGAAGGGTGGAGAAAGACTCGAAATGAAGCACAAAGTTCGATGAAAGACTCGATAAATTGGTAGTGGTAAAGATGGCCGACTGTGAGTCTAGGATAAACGATATTCAGATGCAGGCAAGAGGATGAAAGATCACGCTGCCAGCGTTTTCTCCGGGCGTCATCCCATCCCCATGGCGAATCACCGCTCCTTGTGTACTCAGTCAAGCTGACTCGTGGACGATTGCGATGTTGTAACTCATACGGTGCATTGTCTTGGTCGAAGAATACCGATCGTGGCTGGAGAACAAGACAGCGAGGCCATGTAGACCGTGTACATCATGCGTACAGATGTAAGGCAATATAATGCCCATAGGTGAAACGCAGTCGTGAGACCGTCTTAGAGCACTGCGGCCTGGGTACTTGAAGCCTCGAAGCCTTGTCCGCGGAACAACGCGCCGGCACATTATGCTCCGCCGCATATCGATAAGAAAATTCCCAAACTTTTTAGCCGCATCACTTCAAGGTCTGATCCTGATATCAGCGTCTACTACCGGTAGTATACGAACAAAGGGCAAAGTACAGGCTCAGCGTCTCTCAGCTGTTACAAATCTTCTAGGTCTCTCACTATGCTACGAGAAATGCAAGTGTGTCCCCGAAGCTGCTGGCTTTTCCACTAACACCTTGCAGTAAACCCCGAAATGCGCGGACGGCGCGCATCGTCAAGGCTCGAGAACCCCAGCAAGTCGAATCGAGAAAACGAGTCCTCCTTTTCCACGGCACAAAATGTCCTCAGCCAGTGGCTTCCGTTCTCAAAACCGTACACACCCTAACAAAACCCGACTCCGTCCTACTGCACAAGAAGAACGAGAACATCTACCCCTTCGAAGACACAGCCTCGATAGAATTTCTGGCGCAGAAAAATGAATGCGGCGTGGTGGTCTTTGGCACCCACTCCAAGAAGAGGCCCAACAATATCACGATCGTGCGTATATACGATGGAAAAGTCCTTGATATGGTGGAGCTCCTCCTTCTCGTGCCTGCGGACCAGCCGCCGACCGAACCGAAGATGGAGGTTGGGGTGGGAATGAAGCCCTTAATCTTGTTCTCGGGCTCGCAATGGGACGACCCTTCTTCTTCTGCACAAGCGACACTCTACCAGACCCTCAAGTCAACACTGCTCGACCTCTTCCAGGGCGAAGAAGTGCCCTCCATTGACGTCGTAGGCTTACAATACGTCCTGATGATTGCCTCGGGTGAGAGCACAAGTTCGTCCGGAGATCTGAATAATCCCGCCGACAAGCCTGTGCTTCATCTTCGTTGGTACAAGATTCGGACCGTGAGGTCCAACAATGCCAAAATCCCCCGAGTGGAACTCGACCCAATGGGCCCCAGCTTTGACTTCCGAGTCAGTCGTCACCGAGAAGCCGACTCAGCTGTGATGGCAGATGCGCTGAAGCATGGACGCAGACCGAACGAGGCAAGGACCAAGAAGAACATTGAGACTGACTTGGTCGGCGATAAGATTGGTCGCGTCCATCTGGGGAAACAGGACCTTTCAACGCTGCAGACAAGAAAGATGAAAGGCCTCAAACGAGGACGAGACAACCTTGGAGAAGACCAGGAAGGCAGGTACGAAGGTCGCTTCGACCAAGATGATCTTAGTGATGACGAGGACCTGGTCGACGGTGGAATGGATGTGGATGATGAGGTCTCGGAAGGGGGGAGCAGTGGTGGTGGCAGTGGGGATGAGATCAGTATTGGTGATGATGATGCCGAGATGGGAGAGGGAGATGATGCGGATGACAAGCCGAAGCGGCAACGGATTTCATGATTTCGACCGGAAAGAGCTGATGGATGTACTCCGCCCAGAGTAGGGCGATCGTATCATGATCCATTCCCACTGATGCATTGGCTGACCTACCGTGGATTCCCAGAGGTCCTGAGACAAGAATGGCCGGCGAGCTGATTGGGGAGGAAATGCATGCCACAGCCTTGCGACGATGTACGACGTCCCTCGGCACTATTGCTCGGATTCGATGAGTGTGCTCTGTACCCTCCGGGCCATGAGCAGTTCCCGGTGGATTTCAGTCAATATCGTCGATAATCTCCTCTGTGTTGACAATGGCTGCGACAGACACGAACGGTAGAGAGTCAATATCACAATCACATGACCGAACAGTCACGTGCCAAAGCGGTCCGACAGCCTGTAGTGCAGTCCGCAGTCCGGCAGCGGGGTTTAGCAGGCCCAGAAGGAGAGTGATACGGTCTTTGTCTTTCCAACACTGGTAAATACTAGTATTCCTTCCGACCTGAGGCTCGGGCAGTTCGATTGATTTATTCGCTGTCTGGCTGGGCGAGATATTGCCGTGGCCGTGATAGTGTGCAGATACAGATAAACCGGCGAGGCCGGGTTCAGAGACAAGCCGAGGCAGAAAGAGTCGGTCTTTGTGGGGGATCCCGCTGCCCGCTAACAAGGGAAATCCTCTGCACCTGGTAGGTACGGAGACATACTATTGTTTTTCGCTGGCATGGGGCATGCGCCGCCAAACTCATGTCGATGATGTAGCCATGATTCTTCCCTCGCCGAGGCCTGCAGGACTCGTTGACTCGTTGACTCGTCCCCCAAGCTCTCGGACTTACTTATACACGCTCACCTTGTCCATTGCCCTTGTACCGTGACTGTAGCCCAAATTGCTGTTCACATGCCAATCTCTCATCCTCACCTGCAGCCTTCCTCGTCCGTGCTCATGACGTGAGGTCGGCCTGCCACCTGCACCCAGCACCCAGCACCCAGCACCCAGCACCCAGCACCCAGCACCCAGCACCCAGCACCCAGCACCCAGCACCCAGCACCCAGCATCCAGCTCCAACTCCAATCCACATTCCGATCGGTTCTTGGGCTCCATCTCTATCCTCTAGGGCCCGGCTGGCAAATTGTGAGGAGTTCAATCTGTCCACGGGCGTGGTTCGATCAGTCAAGTGCAGGAACTATGGACGTCCTCAGAGTAAATCTTTAGTCCACGTCCATGTCACCTTGTCAAACCTCTACTGACTGACTATGTGCAGGATTCGGTCGAGTCCATTCTCCTCAACCCCGATTTCGCCCCTCTCCTTGCCATCGTCAAAGCCGCCCGCAATGGCGCCGTCTATGGAGCTAAAGTTCGCTTTCCTCATGCTCTCGTCATGGTCTTTTTGTTCCGGTCAGGGTCCATTCGAGAGAAGGTTCGACTCGTCCTAAAGGCCACGAAACAGCATGCGCAAAACCTCGCATCCTTTGCCGTCGTGTACAAATCAGCAATGCTAGTATTACGGCTGCTCAATCCCAGGCGTCCTGGAAAAGAAGGACCATACGACACATTCTTTGCGGGCTTGTTGGGCGGATATACTGTCTTTGGTCGAGCAAGTCGGAGCAGGTAAGAGAATGCCTTGTCTCCCAGACAACGCGTGCCACGAATCTGACCGCGATGATTTGGCAGCGTAAATCAACAGATAGTCATCTATGTCTTTGCTCGAGTCATGCTTGCGTTGGCCAAGCTGAGCATCGAACCCCCGAGTATGACGAGCAGGACGCCCACCCCGACATTGTGGACGCAACGACTTTCCCCGGCGACTAGAGAAAAGATCCAGCAGAATGCGTGGCCTGTTTTTGCGAGTCTGACCTGGGCTTTTGTCATGTATATTTTCAGATGGCAACCGGAGAGCATCCAACCAAGTCTGAGGAGCAGCATGAAATATATGTACGTTCTCAGTCGCCCTACGCCTACCCTCGCACACAGTCAAAACTAACCAGCGGGCCAGATATGTGAATTCGGATTACTGGGATTCCTTCAGGAATTTCCTCATTCACAATACTTGAGCCGCCCAGGCTCGGAGAACTGCATGGGACTGGCGTTTCTGCAAATCGCTGGGAAGGGTGCCATATTTGCAGCGGAACTGCACGGGTTGGACCCTCTCCAGCATATGGGCTGGCTCTCGGCTTCTCTGGTACAGGGGTACCGGCGGTTGCTGTGTATCCTGAGCTAAGGCTGCATTGCCTGGAAGAATACAATATCTTTCGGCATTTTGAGTGTGATGGTGATGATGATGGTGATGGCCACTACAGCACGTACGGACCCGCATAGGAATGAACTCACGGCCATGCAGACGACGGTATGTATGTGCATTGATTAGACGGTGCAGTGCTTTCAAGGCATCTAGGGCAATACAGAAGAGTTTGAGGCATAGAGTGCCGTGCCATTTGTTCGACTGAAAGTTGGCATCCATTCTCCATTCTCCATTCTCTCGCCAGGTTGCCGTGCTCGCAAGCCAGCTGTGCATACTCCGTAGTCCCTCCCCATCTCTCACTGCCACTGTCACGCGAACGGTAAGGCCGAGGCAGAGGCGTAGTCTAGTCTACTCACGGAACGACAGGCTGGATCTAGCCGTTCTACCTATCGCGGTCTCTATAGTATCTGCCGAATTCACCCTTGTCTCCTGTCCTGTTTTTGCTTCTCCTTTCCGTTTCCATTTCTGTTTCTATGTCTATTCCCCGATATCGACTTCTCGGTATGAGGTTCTTTTCCACGCCTCTTATGTCTATTTCTACGTCTACATGTCTATTTCTCGTCTCGAGGGATGGATATGGCCGAAGTCAAGTCTGGCCCTTCTGTTCCTCCCCTCCTACAGTACCGGAGACTAGGTTGTCAAAGCCATAGTCCGATATGGTTTTCCTATTCTGGATCAGCCAGTCTTCTGTTCCAAAATCTTCCAACCCCTCATCAGGCAGTCTTCTGTTCGACCACGACCGCGACCTTTTCACCCGGCGGGCTTGCAGTGACTGAATCAGATGACGGCGAGATGTCCGCTGACCGAGTCTCGTCGACTGCCGAAGCGTCTTTCTCGCCTTTCAACACCAACCAGATCTTCTTGAGGCCGCCGTCGAGCAGTGGGTAGAAATTGGCAATGAAGAGGGCGACCCAGAGCCAGATCAGCGACACCACGACCCAGGCGATAAAAAGCTGAAGATGGAAAAGAAAAGATATCAGTACTGCATGAGTTGAATCGACCAGAGTGAACCTACCTTTTTGGAAAACACAAACCGAGCCCCATACATGGGCAACGGCCAGAGCGCGACCTGACCCGCAAATGTGGCAATGCCCCAGAAGACGGCGATGCGTGACATGCGCTTCATGAAGGCGACGCGTTCCGGGCTGAAGTAGGCTTCTGCGTCGAAATGCGATGCTTTGGCCGCCACCTCGCCGTGTTCGTCGTCCTCGACACGCTTGATGGAGAGCAGGTCTGACCACTCGAAGTTGGAGTCAGGCCAGATATAGCTTATGGCCAGAGTGATGACCAGCGGGACGAACGAGGAGGTGATATTGCCAAACAGACATGGTAATGTCTGGCCCAAGCTCGCGATGGTCGCTTCGCCGTAGTAGGCGTAGGCCGTGCCAATCCAGACGGCTAGGCCACAGGCCATCCCTATCAGTGGCGATATCACCGCCGCGGCTCGGGTCTGGCGTTTCCAAACCAATGCGAACGCCGTAGGAAACGTGCCCGGGCTGTCGGGGTGACGGAAGGTGTCAGCAAACCGAAGCGAAGCGCAGATGGAAATAGAAATGGAAATGGAAATGCAAGGGGGACCGTGATGCATTGATCGGTCGTGTCGAGGCTTTGCGTGCGCAACACGATGCGTGGAATGGTAGAAATGAACTGACCAGATCAAGATTCCCAGGAAATATAGCAGCCAGTTGAGGTCCACGCCACCCTGGTGGAAGGCGGTGGCCAAGGTCGAGTTCAGAAGGGCCGATACCACTACTCCGATGTGGGACCACTTGATGATCTGGGCGTTGGTCGCCTTCTTGTTGATGTACGTCCCATAGATATCGAAGGAAAAGATGGAACTCATGGCAATGAGCTGAGCCGACGAGACGCTGGTGCAAGACATGAACACAATCAGCAGTACGGCTGCCGCACCTCCTTTGCCGGCAATGGCTTGTGACACTTGTCTTCCGGTCAGACTTACATTCTAAATGCCAAATGGTCCGCCCAAAGACAAAGATAGCCACAGTTGTGATCGGCGGCAAGCTGCGGGAGGGACAGAGATACGTACCGTAGGGAAGAACCAGTCCGCTAGAGACCTCCTCTGTTGTCATTCTCTGCAAGACATAGGTTTAGCCGGGAACTCTTGTTTGTTTCTTCATTCGCCTTACTCTAGGGTATGTTGGGAACGCGGGGGTCTGCTCCAGAGCCAGTGCTCCCAAACCCATGATAGTTCCAAATGCAAACGGGATGGCGAAGTAAGCGTTGCCTCCCAAGATGTAACCGGGCACAGCAGCAGCAACCTCGGAAGAGAAGCCCTGCGAAAGAGGCGTTAGTACAAACCATTCCCAGGAAAGGGAGGATGGGGATAACCAGCCTTTTGCCAGAAGCCGGTATCGAGGAAGACAATGCCGAAATTGGTGCTTTCGGGTAGGTCAATGTCAGCGTTGTTATCAGATCATGCAGGTGGATTAAATGCAAGACCTACACGATGTGGATGATGCCAAAGAAGATGGCTTCCTTGCTCGTCATGGTCAGGTAGGAGCCATGATAGTTCCCGGCCACTGGATGGGCTTTGGATAATGGCAAGACGGCGTCGTACAGCGCTCCGATGGAGCCGATCTCCTTCAAGGCCAACACTTTGATGGTGAACCAAACCAGAATAACCATGATGATGAATGTGTGGACATAGTCGGTGAGAAACGTTGCGCGGATCCCACCGAAGTAGGTGTATATGGCCACTCCCAACGGAAGGAGATATGTGGCGGCGGTAATGTCCATGCCGGTCAAGGCGGACACGGCAGCGGAAGCGCCCACGAGCATGGAAGAGAAGTTCAGCAGATTGTTGATCAGACACAAGACAATCCAGATGATGTGCGCCAGCGTGCCGTAGCGAGCGCGGATGAGTTCAAGAAGAGTATGGGCATTCGGGACCTTGCGCTTGGCTTCAATCGCCAGCCATCCAAAGGCGCAGATCATGGTGCTCTGGCCGTTAGCCCACCAAACCGGAAGGGCGATTCCATGCCAATAGGTCAGATATGGAGATCCCAAGAGTGCCGTGCTGTACGTCCAGGAAGATATGACGGCCGATGCGGTCAGGCCGGTGCCAACGCTTCGGTTGGCAACCATATAACTGACATGCAGAGTCAGCCACAGGCCATGTGAGAACAGGGGGGAAGTAAGCATGGATGAGATTGCATACGTTTCAGTGGTTTTGTTGTCTTCGCCAAATGTCCGCTTCAGCGAACGAGTCGCTATGACCATGCCTGGCAGGAAGGAAACCCCAACATCAGTCCCAACTCCCTGTACACTGTACAGTATCAACCAGGCTTGGGTTGTTGAACGTACCGATAGCAAACGCGGCCCCGAGACCAACTACCACGCCGTACCCAACGCCCTGGGAAAGGGGGGGTGGAACGACGGTAGGCCCGGACATGTCTTGAACCCTTTCCAGCTGCGATCCGATTCTCTACCACGGGTGTGGACGGTGAGGCAGCCCACCGGACTCGGACTGGCAGCATGTTTCCGTATTTAATGCAATTCGATGCATTCAAAAACTTTGCGATGATTCTTTCATCTGCATGATGCACAAAGCATGCTCGATCGCGCCATTCTGATGTTCAAGATCCATGCTTGGAAAGAGATTGGAGCCATATGGCATCTGGACCGTTCGAGGTGTTCCGACTCAGGAGCAGCGATGAGATGTTAATGGTGGGACTTGATATCGTCCTATTCACATAATCAGTAAGCTTGCCTAGATGTGGAGCAGTTCGGGCAGCTTGCTATAGATTCGGCGACCAACGACCAACCTGAGTGGTTGCTGAAATGAGGTGATAGCCTTATCCAGTCTTGGACAGCAAATCGGAATAGCATCACGTACGGGATGTTCCTGTAGAGTACACATCGTCCCTCAATCCAAGAGAAGTGACAGACCCTAAATGAAGTAATTAGGATGTCGATCGATTAGATTTCGTGATGATAGAGGAGAATGGTATCATCATGATGATAATGCAATTCTTGTGTTCCTCATGCCCACGCACATGGGCCCATCGCCAGATGTTAAGACATACCAGATCATTATGCCACGACCAGTCTGAAGCATGCCTTCTTCTTCCCGCCCCTGAACAGTGCCCGTTTGACCAGAGAGAACCTCCAGACCGTGTGATCTTCGTCCAAACTGCGACTTGGGTCCATCATGGGTTCCACGGGAGCTTCACAGAAGCAATGGGTCATGAATGCATTTGCCATGAGCTCGCCTGGCCATGTTGCAGCGGGCTTGTGGCGACATCCTCAGAATCGATCTCAAGAATACCTCAATCTCGGCTACTGGATCGATCTGGCCAGAATCCTGGAGGAAGGTAAATTCAACGGCCTGTTCATCGCCGACATGCTGGGCATTTACGATGTATACCAAGGCCCTGGCAACATCAATCCGGTTCTGCCTGGCGCGGCCCAATTTCCCATCTCCGATCCATTGTAAGCAGTGAACTGGCGGTATGAGGGATGCGGGCCGAGAATCTGACACGCGCTGCAGCCCTGCCATTGCCGCCATGGCGGCAGTGACCACGTCGCTGGCATTCGGCATCACCTCTTCGACGACCTACGAGCACCCATTTGCACTGGCACGGCGGTTTTCCACTCTGGACCATCTCACCAGAGGTCGCGTCGGCTGGAACATCGTCACCAGTTACTTGGAGAGCGCGGCCAAGAACTTTGGCCTGGACACCCAGGTGCCCCATGACACGCGGTATGCCAAAGCCGAGGAATACCTGAATGTCACGTACAAGCTGTGGGAGGGCTCGTGGCGGGATGATGCGGTGGTGCAAGACCCGAAGACCAAGCAATACACCGTTCCTGGTCGTGTCAGGCGCATTGACCACGAAGGGTGAGTGAGAACCTCGTTTCGGATCCAGCTCGCGGCATCTATGACTGACATGGTCCCATCTCCTGTACTAGTGAATGGTTCAAATCTGCTGGGCCTCACACGGTCGAGCCGTCCCCACAGCGGACGCCCTTCATCTTCCAGGCCGGCACGAGCTCGGCAGGCAAAGTCTTCGCTACCAAACATGCCGAAGCCATGTTTCTTCCTGGCATGGAGCCACATGTGACGAGGAAGGCGGCCGACTCGATCCGCAAGCTTGCCGTGGAGATTGGTCGCAACCCAGACAGCATCAAACTGCTTGCCGGCATCATCATCATCGTGGACGAGACCGACGAAAAGGCACAGGCCAAGTACGAAGAATACCTGTCCTACGCCGATGACGACGGAACGCTGGCTTTGTTTGGAGGCTGGTACGGTGTTGACATCTCGCAATGGGGCGACGATGAGGATTTCCGATTCGCCCCCGGGTTTCCAGGTGCGGTCCAGGGAATGCTGGAAGCCTGGAGCTCTACCGTCCCCGGCGGAAAAAACATCAAATGGACCAAGTCACGCATCGCCCGAGAACTGGCTCTGGGCGGTCCTCATGCCAAAGCCATCGGCTCTCCGGAGACGGTTGCAGATATACTGCAGCACTGGATCGACGAGGCCAACATCGATGGGTTCAACATCTCGTATGCTATTTCGCCCGGGAACTTCCAGGATATCATCAAGTATCTCTTCCCTGAACTCAGACGGCGTGGAGTGTTTTGGGATGATTACGCCGTTCCGGGAGGTACTGCGCGGGAGAACTACTCGGCGGATGGCAAAGGGCCCAGGGTGCGAGCTGATCATCCTGCGTCCAGGTTCAGATGGAGAGCGGGAGAAGAAGTGCCGGAATATGCCAAAGGTGAGGTCGACAGTGTGAAGTAGCAGGAGCAGATTGGAACAGGTGTTCTGGACACTGATCTGAACCACAGGTTGGACTGCAGGTGTAGACAGCTCAGAGTCTACCCATAGCTCAGCACCGAATTGCAGCTGGGCGATGGTAAGGGAGAGTCTGGATTCGGACTGTGAGGTCGCCGAGGTCCGCGCCTATCTTAGGCGGTCCTATGAGGCGCTGTAGGATAAGATGGCCTTCTAGGCGGTGACAGTAGGGGCTGAGGCCCCTAAGCCTGGGGAAGCGTGCTCACACTGCCTAGTACTAGGAGGTGAAGTTGCAGAACCTGATTGATACCTGAATCTCAAGGGAATGTCTTAGGGCGCACACTGCGACAGCCACTTCGGATACGATGTACATACCCGAAGGTACATGTACATGTACTGTATAGGTAGATAGCGTAGCACTGGCATGGCAAGTGCAGCTAGCTGCCTCGCCGTCTTGGCAAGGCTGAAGGAATTCTTCGTCTCACGTCTCGCGGTGTAATCAAGTTCACGTATAGAGTGGCTGAAAACGGACAAAGAGCCAAAGTGACTGGACCAGTATCCGTAAACCAGCAACGACGATTCCCGGCATCAACACTCGCACTCGCCATGACGACGGAAAGGGCGCTCGACGTTGACGTCGAGCCACTATCTCCCCAAGAACTCACCAAGCTCGCCACCCTGGCCATCGAGGCCAAAGCAAGCGCATACTGTAAGTTCAAGCTGCACCGTTCGGGCCGCACGACGGACTGGCTAGATAGAGGAAGCACGGTGTCGATGTTCTCCTTCGCAGTCCTCCTCCGCTCTGTGTTTTACATACGGAGTCCGGAGTACATGATGTGCGACCATCTTCCCAGCCTATCTATCTTTTGCGCACAGGGGCGGAGCTTAACGTAGCAGCCTACTCATTTGACTCAATTCTGTGTCTAGGTCCCTACTCCAACTTCCGCGTGGGTGCATGCGTTCTCCTGTCCACCGGCACATACCACACCGGCTCGAACGTTGAAGTGGCCAGTACGCCCGTGGGCATCTGCGCGGAACGCTGCGCCATTGCACCCATCGTGGCGTCGATGAAAAGACCCGCAATGCCCACGCTCCGCGCCATCGCCGTGAGCACCGACATCAACCCACCTGCGAGTCCGTGTGGCATGTGCAGACAGTTCATCAACGAGTTTGCCACCACCAAGCACCTCCCTATCTACATGTACGGCAAGGATGGGCTGCAGGGGGAGGTGGTCAAGATGACGATCGGGGAGCTGCTCCCTATGAGTTTTGGGCCGAACGATATGGATAGAAACCGGTGAGGTGACAGAGTCATGGCGGGAGCCACGTCACGACGTGTCTCCCTAGACAGCACTGTGCGAATCGATGGCGAGGTGCCAATGGATAATTCATTTTCTCACGGCGTACTTGGACATGTTGGATGATATGACCACTCTTTCTGACCTTCTTCTCGTGTCTGTCCGTCCGGTCTACCGTGCCTTGCCGGCGGCTCTGATACCGCTTCTGCACGTTCAGAATGCATACCCTTCATACCCAGCCATGTGTCGCCATACTCTCAATGGGTGCTTCAAATCGCAGTCCTAGGCGAGCGAAACTTCCCATGCCCCTCGAATCCCGGCTCCGGCGCGGCCGCTGGAAGGGACCGTATAGTTCAGGCGCCGCTGAAAGAAGGTCAGGCTCTTTTTGGTGGAGATCATCAATGCTCAAAGGCAACCCTCTGCCCTTAAAACACATCTTCCGGATCGACTCTGAAACTGGCCCCATTCTCCCGCACATGTTTGCGCTCCTTGTCTCTGTCGAGCGGCTTCCGCATATCCAGCGCATCTTCTCCCTCGGCTGACAGCCCAGTCGGGTCGTCCGAATAGTACTTGACCACGGTGCGATACGTCGAATAGCCCATACTCTCGTACATTTTGATCGCGTTCTTGTTGCTTGCCCTGACGAACAGATCCACGAACCAGGCGTTTTGTTGGTTACATGCCTTCTCGAGCGCCTCACTCAGGAGCTTCCCATATCCAAGCCGGCGGTAGCGCGGCGCTATGGACAAGGCGGTGATGTGGCCGTGCCACGGTAAGTAATGTGGTGAACCTCTGCGGAAAATTTCCCTCTCAGAATGATGTCGCATTATGTGCACCAAAAAAACGTCAACTTACTGTAAATGAGCAGGGGACGATTCCACCTTGCCGATAATGTAGCCGACAATCTGGCCGTGCTCTTCGATGCATTGAAACAGCGACGGCCATCTCATCAGGTAAGTCAGATAAAAATTCAAATCGTAGTTTTCCGTGTATGGATCCAGGTTGCAGAGGTTGAGGTGGAATAAGTCGGACGGCTGGACTCTTCGAATGGTCGGCATGGCTGGTCGCCGTTTGTAAACCCTGAAATTGAAGGAATATCCCGTTTGGTGTACGCGTCGAAAGTTTCGAGAGCAGTCATGCTCATACTACATTGACCGTCGACACTGTCCTGCGTGGGCGACTGGCAACGTGGGGAGCAACACGAAACGCGCCGTTCCGTGCGTCACACGGGACAAGAACGGGCCAAAAATAACAATGGACGGGCAGGGCAAGCAACTCTACGGTTCACGTCTTTACTGTACTCACGTCCAGAGCGTCTCTTCGTCCGAACAGCCTTCCTTTTGGTAAAACATGCCTCAGTCCGCATAAATCATCATAATCAGAGCGGGATCGAGAACGCATGGTAGACCGCGCTCGCCTCCCATTTAGCCCCTGCATGAGACGATGACAGTTCAATCTCCACCGCTACCGGCACCGACACCAGCACCAGCCTCCCCCTCGACACCCTCGCGGAAGCGTCGCTCGCTGCGACTGTCGAACGTCGAGATTGCCTCGCAAGAAGCCCTCTCGACGAGTCCCTACACCAGCGGAACCACAAATGGAACCACCTACTCGAGGCGATCGTCGCGGACTTCGCAGACCTCATTTCAACCACGATCTCCGGTGACACCGCGCCCGATGTCATCCAAGTCCTCCAGACCGCCCTCCTTCTCCCAGCAACGCCGATCGAGTAGGACAAGTCTCCACAGCGAAAGAAGTCTCGAACAACTGCGGGACAGCGGGCTGGGGAATCTGGCGGACGAGCTGGAACAGGCCTGGGACGACGAGGGCGGGGGCGAGGGTGAGGGTGAAGGCCAATCCAGCTTCCTCGAAGGGTTAAGAGAAGGGGACGTGGCACAGGATCTCCAAAGTCCTTACGAGATGAATGACATGCACGATTTTGGCTTTGGCATGGTGGTGCAGAGTCCGCATCCTGCATCTCACGAGGCACAACAGTCACCTACGCTATCTGTGCCGCCCAGGGCAAGAGCCGACTCGGCCACGCACAGAAAATCAGCCCACCGCCGACATGAATCGGCCTACGATGGATCAGACTACGGGCCGGAATCAGACGGCGAGGAGCAAGATGACTCGCTCCCTCCCATGCTCAAGAAACGGATACGCGACATCGAGACGCTGACGCGCATGAGCGTCAACCCAGAAGACGCAGTCAGCGAAGATGGCGGCACTGTGAAAAGAACGATACAAAGGCTGAAAGATCTAGGGCCACAGGGCAATGTCGAGTATGGTGTCACACGGTTGATCACGGCATACACGTCGATGGCGTCGCACCGCAGCCACAAAACCCGCGACCTGTTCACTCAGAGCCACTCACTCATGTACGGTGGCCTGCTCCATCTCCCCGAAGAGATGATCGAGTTGCTCTTGGAAGAGCTCAACATGTTGAGCTCGACGCTCCCCTTCCTCAGGCCGCAAAATCCTTTATTGTCTCTCCAGATTCTCGCTTCCCAGACCGAAGAACTTAACCAGACTCTTCGCTCTCTGACAGACTTGCTTCAAGAAGCTCGTCTGGCCGCCAACGCCGCGACCCGCAAACTGAAATCCGTGCGCGATATGGTCGAGGACATGCGTCTGGAGGAAGAGTTGGTGGAGAACAGCATTCTCCTGATTCAGGCCGGAGACTGGGACCGAAGGTGTCGAACTCGACAGGCGGCCAAGACGTGTCAGGAAGTGTGTGAAGGGTTTGCCGAAAGATGGGGACTCAGTGTCGACACGGCCTGGAATTCGTCACCAGAACCCAACAGGCAAAAGCCGGCCCAGGAAGTCTCGGTGTCAGGTTGACGAAAGGTAGACAAGTGAGAGCATGTTTCATTGTCCGACTAGTGTTGGGAGTTCATCAACCGACTAGTACTGGGGGTTCATCAACCGACTAGTACTGGGAGTTCATCAATGTCCGACCAATGCTGGGAGTTCATCATGTCCAACTGGTACTGATCCTGGCCGTGAGAATGAGAGTGTTTCGAGCGTGGAGTATGGGTGATGGGGATCTAGATATACTGGACTGGGTCATGAAAGGACACGGTTAGTGCTCCGTACAGTACTCCGTACATCTAGGTATTGTTGGATCGGCCGGTATCAGTATTTTTAATGGTCATGGTCGATTGGACGACTCGAGTTGCGAGGTGTCTTTGCTTGGCTTAGCCGTTGACCTGGGCCAGGGCCAGAGGGTAGATAGTGATAGTGATGGTAGAACGGCATGAATGAAAGGCGTTGTACAGATAGGTACATGTCTACCTGCCTACCTACCTACCTACCTACCTACCTACCTGCCTACCTACCTGCCTACCTACCTACCTACCTACCTACCTACCTGCCTGCCTGCTTGTATATACAGAGTACCTATGCTTGTATCTACTGTAGGTAGGTAGTTACATACACAGTACCTATAGCTTAGACGTTAGACCTTTGATCCCATGTCACTTAAAGCAGAGCAGAGTACTAAACCTACTTCGCCTCGTTCAGTACCTATAGGTTCAACTGCAACTCTCGTATGCATAAGTACCTAATTCTAGGTATGTATGTAAAGCTGGTTCGGAAGTCAATTGAATGTGCTGTTGTGTCTGATGCCGTGTGAAGTGTACTGTGATGGCGCGATCGTCCAGCGGTAGTGTCGGTGGTGTCGGTGGTGTTGGTGTCGGTGGTGTTGATGTCGGTGGTGTTGATGTCAGTGTTGGCGGTGGTGGTGTTATAGGAGACCTTGAACGCTCCCGACCCTGATACTGTACTGTAGAGCAGATGGGTAGGTAGGTGTATAGGGAGGTGGGTAGTTGGGCATGAGACGATTTCATTCCATCTTTTTTTATTTCGCTTGGCATGTCTACCTTAATGTCTATCAGTCATGTCTTACTATATGGTACTGGATATAGATCGGGTCGAGACCCAAGTACTTATAGAGTATAGACTATAGAATAGACCAAGAAGGTACGTTGAACATATTCGAAGCCCTTAAGCTACGATTCCCAACTCCCAATTCCCAACCCCAACCTCAACCCCAACCATATCAAAGGTTGAGATGTTCCATTGTTCGCTAGCAAAGGGGTATGGGGGAGCCCGGACTATTTCAGGTAGGTGTGCCTATACCAGCCTACCAACCTACCAGCCTTCGGGTTAAAGGACAAGGCTGGGAATGCCTAAGTTAGTGCCTGAGTTTGACAAACCCTATGTAACATCAACCCCAACCCAACTCTAACTCTAACTCTAACTCCCAGGAAGGAAAGATCACATATCATTCCACCATGGAAAAAAGGGCTGGACCTCAGAACTCAGGACTCTCGCGAGGCCAAAGCCTCAGCCAGAGCCTCCGCCTCAGGAATCGCGCTTAGGCTAAGCTAAGGTACGTACAGTCCTCCTCTCACGTCAGTCAAGACCCAAGTCCGTAATCTGTAATCTGTAATTCTCGGCTCTCGAACAGCTTGCGCCCAATAGGTTATTTGTACATGAACTGGTTCGCGGGGTTATCTATGTCTCGGTCTGAAGAAGAGGAAGAAACATGACAAGCAAAAGGAAAAGGCAAGGAGAGGAAAATAAAAAGTAAAGGGGAACTAATCAGTAAAAGGAAAAGGAAAATAAAAAGCAAAGGGGAATCGGAAAAAAAAAACAGAAACAGAACAGCAACAGAAGAAACGGAAATGAACCCCACATCCATCAAATCTAAATCACGTAACAAGACACCTTCGTAACTCAGCCTTTGTTACACAGTCATCCTCGTGGCTTACACGTCAAACATGATCCTGTCGGTCCAACTCCAATCTCACACGAAAACGCCCTGGTCCCAAGCACCGCCCTCCGGCGGCATAGACCCAAACCCGATGTTGCCGCCGGCACTGCCATCCTCCCAACCATACAGACCCATCCCACCGGCTGCGTCCATAAAATATCCGGCAGTGCACGGGTCAGTCACCGTTTCGGGCGAGATGAATGGAACCGGCGCCGGCACCGGAGTCGGAATCGATTCCCTGGAGTAGTTGGGCACGGTGCCATCTGAGAAAGGCGGATAGGCCTGCATGGGCATCTGATAGTCTGGACACTGCGACTCGCTAGTCGTCGCTGGGGTGGGGACGGGCGTGGTAAACATGTAATCATCGCTCAGGCCAGGAGACTGAGATTCCCATGATGACATGGTGCTTTGGATCGAGCCGCTTCGTGAGCCAGAGCTCGACGGTGAGGCGACCTGGTTCAAGTAGCCCGTGGATGGCTGTGAAGGAGGTGCAGGAGCAATGGTTGTCGAAGTCGAAAGAGGAGAGCGTGAGGATCGGCTTTGGCGGTCCGACACTGAACCGTTGCGTGCCGTTGACTTGGCTAGTTTCTGCACCTTCGCCGGTGGTTCTCGAGCTTTGGCACAGCTAAACGAGATCGAGTCGCTTTCCCCAGCCAAATCCGAGGTGGGATCAATTTCATCCTCGGTGTCGATCACGCCTAGCCGTTCGAGGATGCAATGCACACTGGGGCTGCCGTTGAGCTCGTCGACAGGAGATCCCTCCCATGACTGGCCGTTGATGAGGCGAGAATACAGTTCAATGAGACCGGCAGTAAGCGCGGCGTGATGCTGAAGCAGAAGACCGGCATATCTGGTCGGCGAGTCAGCCCCGATTCGATATAACATCAATCCGTCCCGCTGATGGGGAGGAATGCCTCACCTCTGATTAGAACCTCCCGATTCCGTCCTTCTGCGGACTTTGTAGGAGCAGACTGCCTTGTCGAGGTTGCATCTCTTGCAAGGCTTCTCGCCGTCACACTAAACAGAGAGGGAAAATTCGGATCAGGTCTGTTCTGCTCGCCAACGGAAACGACACGGGATTGAGGAAGATTACATGGTATTGGAGGAAGAGTGACAGGGTTCCAGTAGGCTAGGGTAAATGTACCTTTGCTTTCTTAACTCGACATCTCTCACAGGCCCTGGAGACCCGTGGCCGAGCTCGCGTACGTTCTTGTTCAGAATACATGGTTGAAGTTGGACTTGACCTGTGGACCAAGAATCAAGGAAAGGGCACTGGTCGAATATGTAGGTCACGTTCAGTACCCGTAGTCTGACCGCCCGGATGATCGAACCGTATTCTCGATGGGATTTGGTCACTAGTGACTGTGGTCAAGACTTTCTCCGCTTAAGAACAGATAGTGAGCCGGTGGCATAATGGTGCGGTGCAGCCGTTGTGATGATGCAAGGAAGAGAGATGCCTATGAAGATGAACCCTCCAACAGGAAATGCTCATGTCTTATTCCAGCCGGATCGTCTCAAAGTATTCCGATGACGAGCTCTTCTATGTACTAATAATTTGCAGGGGCGGACAGCCAGAATCCATCGTCTGCACATGAGAAGAGGAGAGCTCGCAAGGTGGGGGGAGTATGCGATGGGAGGCCAGCTTCATCGCCGATTTGGTTCCCACACATGCCATATCTGGCATTGCTAAGTAGCAAAACAAATGGTCCGGCTCTGACCTGTTAGGATGCGGGTGACTTGGTCGATTGAAACGCCGTCTGTCAGTCGATACAGCAGAATACGGGCATGGTGGACTCGGGGGAAGGGGAAGTCGACCACCTAACTGAAGAGACTTTGGTGTTTGGACGAATCATGAGGATCATTCGTCAGCAGCTGGATGGCTCACGCAGCCAATGCGAAGGCAATATCAGCGATAACGTCTCCATCAGCATATCTCGATCATGGCCACAAGTAGTAATGGTGTACGGATATCTTCTGTCTGTACGAGTACAACAAGGTCGAACGAAGGTCGAAGAGGAGGCAACGCAACTAGTGGCATTTTGGACGTCCAGAGGTGGTTTCCAGCAAGGCAAATGTCGGTAAACAGCCCACGCCACTCGAGCTTAGGCCAAGACGGTGCAATCATCTCAGGGTGTAATTGGCTATGGCCGTCACCGTCCGGGAGTGTCCCATGGCAGACATGGGCGGGGGTGATGGAGTGACAATCATGCCATGGTCCGGCCCAATATTGATGCCCACTCAAATTTCTCTCCTTCACATAGGATCTACTGTCCCTCTTTTTCTCTGAGTGGCTGGACGACAGTCTAGGCCAGCGAGGATCGGAGATCGTAACAACTAGTCGTAGATCAGGGACTGCATGCTGCCCTTCGGGGTGCAGTCGACCGTCTCGTCACGGTCGTTCGCACTCGAATCAGGGATCTCGCCCGACGGATGACACGGCTAGGAGAGCGATTGCATGTGCCTGGTGCACAGGATGACCGGCCCTGAAACATCCATTGATATCTTGAAACGTCGAGCAATATCAAGAAGTCGGCTGTGGCTGGGAACAAGGGAGAAGAGACTGCACTGGTAGTGTGCATGGTGCATGGTGCATGGTAGGTTCCCTTACCTACCTGTACTGTTGGTAGGTAGGTGTCTTTGGGACGACTTCGCACCCGTCAGACACAAGGCAGTACATAGCATACAGAATACAGAATACTTGGAATGCGCTTGTCAGACACCACGTATGAAAATACAAGCCACCTTAGTAAGAAGGTGGGCCGAGTCTCGAAATCGACGGTTTCCCTCCAGCCACCGTCCATTGTCCACCCGTTTGTATAGTGCGGGATTGACGAGCATTGTGTCCGAGATTTGCAGGTGACCGAGATTCGACCCCTTGGGCTAATACTAATACTAATAATCATGGCGTGACCCTGAAGGGTCTACAGGACGGAGTACATGGTGCGAGACTGAGAAGACTTGGCTGCTAGTCTCGACATGGAGTGGCTGGCAACCATCACCATTCCATGGAGGTCGGTCGCTAGGCAAGAAGGTTTGGTTTGAAGACTCTCATCCTTTTGGAAGTATCTATCTATCCACGATAGTTACAGGGGTCGTTGGTCATGTTGGATCGCCTCTGATCCGTACTCAAGTTGATAACATACACGCCAGGCCTTGCCTTGCCCTTCAAATGGAACAGTACATGATGTTATCTCAACAATGCCGTTGCCGTCGCTGCGCCACAGTTCTAGTCCTTGTCCTTCCACCACTCCGTCTCGGTCTCGCCCGAGCGCAATAAACAACCAGCAAGTCCATAAAAGTTTCAACGCCCGCTCGATATCAACAGAGAAGCAAAGCCCACAATCTCGGGGTATTCCAGAACGTCGTCAAATCGTGTCCGATGGGATCGGATATTGTGTCAAGATCCCAAGGCTTCCAAACTTCCACCTTCGACCCTGGTGTTGGGTGCTGGGTGTTGTTGGTGTAACTGCCGGATCAGGTCGTCTCGACATGCAATTGCTTCGCAATCTCATCCGCCCAGGCATCGATCTCGCTCCAGTCACGTAAATCTCCAAACCGGCCGCCGAGGCACTTGTACACGCTGTGAAGGGGACTAGGTACCGATGAACCGTCGTCCTTTCCTGCAAAAAGCCGATGGTCTTTCATCTGGGGGACTTTGGCGCGGAGGCCGTCTTCAATGCTCTTTCTTTCCTTCTTGGCCAATCTCCCCCCGATCCAGCCTAGGACACCGCCGGGAGCCATTCCCATGCTGAAGGCCCAGAAGGGTTTCAACTGAAGGCCCATGGCTTCGACATCGAGGAATTTGACCGCATCCAATAACCAATGCTGCGAGTGTACGGCACTGCCCAGGATGACGGCCGAGTAGTTTTCGACGCTGAAGACATGGTCGACAGGTCGGCAGTCGACGGCAAAGCCATGCTCATAGAGGCGTTGGGCGATGCGGTCGGCCACTTCTCGGGTTGAGCCACGACAAGTCGCGTAGGTGACGAGGACGGGCATTGAATCAGGTTCAGCTCTTTCGACGCGATCTGGTGTTTGCGTCCGCTCTCCACTATATGGAGGGCTATCCGTTGTTTTTGTTTGTGCGACTTCCGCCGTTTGATCTTGAGATGTGGTTGAGTTCATTCGAGAGCGTCAACAATGGTGGTTCAGTAGACGAGTTGGCCTTGTTTGTTTGTAGCTGAGGAGTAATATTCTTTTGTTCGACCGACAAAGGTTTGACTTTGTTGGAGATAGGGATGATGATGTATGTATGTATGTAGTAATGTCTCTTCGCACTTCGGCAGCAAAATCAGGCGAACAGGCGAGGCCGGCATGGTTTTCTATTCTCCCCGTCCAACATTGTCATTCACCCCAACTTGTGCGGGCCACCAATCGCAGCATCGGCCGCCCGGTGACCGGAAGGCAAAGGTGTTGAAAGCATCACTTGACCAGAGGCTCGGGCCCGAGAAAGAGGCTGACGAGAGCGAAAAGTCCCTCTTTGTCATTCACCCACTGCGCGGCTTATTCGGTTCGGGAAAAGGCCAATTCGGCACCCGACCATTGATAATGCCTCGTGCTCGGGCGCCACTCGACCCCAGATTCCGGACGATCCGCAGGCGGGCGAAGATCCAACCTCAGTAATGGTGATAAACTCGGCCAGTCCAATGACCATGTTACGTCTTGGGGTCCATCTTTGCCGCTGCTCGGGGACTCGGTCGCAGAACGGCACAGAATTGAATGTGAATTCTGGTGGAAGATCCCAGGGTCCAATCCCGCCGACATCCGGATGATGTCAAGACGAAATGCTTGTGAACCTTCTAGTAGTTATGTGTGCGTTGGGCGGCAAGGCTGGCCTCCAGCCCCTCCTGGAAATCTAGGTATGCGTACAGATACTGTCTACTGTGTGATTCTCGCACAGCCGCGAAGTCGCTGACGGGAGGGACGACGAAGAGTACATACAAATCAAGGGGGAAAAAGCCTCACGAGAAACAGCCCTGATCACGTGATGGCTTTGATCACGTGACAAGGCTTTTTCCCTCCTGCCGCCTGAGATTCACGCAAAGCACAGAGAGAGACACGGCTTGCCATGGACCGTTCGTAGTATTATTGTCGAGCCTGCAGAAAAGGAATGACCGCGCACTAACCATGCCGACCGTCTGGAAATGCAAACAGGAGATATCTAATCTCCGTACGGCTTTGCTCCATCCAGGCCCCTGTGAATGTTGCGATATTGCTATACAAGAGTCTTCGTGGTCCTGCTTCGGGCGCCAGGCGACTGACTATTGCCAGCTTAACATCCGTCATCGTTGTCGTCGTTGTCGTCGTATTTGAGGTGCTCAATTCTTCACCATTTCGCCCAAACGCCGATTCACTCGCGCCCCTATTCGAAGAGACCAAACCCATGAATACGACGCACCCGTAAGATTCCAAAATCCCGCCCAATCCGAGCGTATGCTCATGTGCCCATTAGATCATCAGAGAGTATCTGTGCAAATCCTCAGTTGAGACCGAGGCTATAGCTCCAGGAACTCTATCAGATCTGCATTCTCGTCCTGCAAACCCAAATATCAGCACCGACGCATCAAGTTCCCGCGTCTCTCTGCCAACCCGATGCTGTCGTAGCCGCTCTCCCGGCCAAGGACAAAGCTAAGCTCAGAAATGGATTTCTTTTTGCCAAAATCCGTTTCCGCTTCAAAAGTCGCTTCTGTCAAGCCACGGCACCGGGGGTTGGAAAAGACGCGGGGACGGGTAGGACGAGATATTGCTTACCGAGCAATAAATCAGCCACGAAACCCCGGTCGTGAGGGCAGCGAGTGCGGTGTAGCTCGTGGCGTCCCGCACCAGCTCGGGGAACTGCGACGCCGTCTGGTTATGCAGGGTGGCAACTTTGGATAGAATGCGTTGCGAAGGCTCGTGGTGCAGCGGCACGTGTCGGCTAGCCGCTGCGGCGTGCTGATGTGATGCCCGTGATGCGAACGTCCTTAGACCCTGGCGGAGCTGGGTGACTGGGATCCTCGTCGGAGGCATGATTACTATGTATCTGTTCTGTATGTAAAGGCGATGTGTCGCAGGAGAGAAGGTGTGTAGTATATGTGAGTGAGGATTGCTGTTTGGTGTTGTATCGTGTGGTATCTGATCTGGATCGGAGTTCGAGCGACAAAATAGTGAATTGTAGTATACACGAATTGGGATGCTTAAGATTTGTTGGATTGAGTAGGTGGTAGGAGTGGCGGTAGTGGTGGTAGTATCTCCCAAGTTCGATCACAATCAGGGTACGACTTCTCGTCAGCAAGTATAGTATTTGAAAATTCGAGATTGGCCGTCTGTCTTTCTGTTCGTCTGTATAGGGTGGAAGGGAAGCACACGGGATGGCTACGGTATTGCTCTTTGGCTCTTTTTATGAGAAGCCTGCCCCGGAGCACACAGTGCCCGCACCTTACAGGCACAGGCACAGCTACCCCGTACACCTGTTACGTAGGTGTCCATTGCCGAGGATCAGACATAGGTACATACCTACCTACCTCAGGTACACAGGGCACATGATAGGAACGGTGGTGGTGGTATCGACTGATCGGATCACGTCTGGACCCTGAACTCTCCAGCTGTGGCTTGGTAAGTACTGTATGCCATATGGTGTACGGATACCTGTTGCGGGTTTGCCATCACGTTACCCACGCCAGACACGACATAGATGATCGAGATCGAGAAACTTGGAAACATGACAGGATCTCACATACCAGTCCTGTATCACGTACAGTACCTACCTGGGTATGAGTCCAGACCGGTCTGGCAAAAACGACAACGCACACTACCGGCGGGGGGTGAGCAGCGTTATGGGCGGCAATAATTGCGCAGCCTCAGGGCTGGTCTGGGTGGTGGTGTGGTCGAAGGTTGAATCAAAGGTCAGGCCACCTCGTATCTGACCGGCCACTTGATTGTCGATACGGACGTCAGTTGACAGATTCGCAACGACTCTGTGACGACCTGTTTATTACCAGCTACTAATTACTTTAGGTAGGTAGGTTCTAGTGCCTACCTTGATACCTAGTAGGCAGGGAGACACCTAAGTTAAGTACCTAAAGGCAGTACGGAGTACTAGTAGTTGAGTAGCTAAGTAAATACCCTTACCAAGTACGGATACAGTACGAGGTACACCGCCTACTAGTAATATTACACTGATATGAGGTGTATTTCACCCACTGCAGTGATTGGCTCGCATCGCTCGCGCGGAATTCCATTGCCGAGTCCCTCCACCCCCCAAAGAATCTGACTGCCCATGTCCATCCTAAACACCAACACCTGTCACCCATACCTCTACAGCCAGGGCTAGAATCACAGCAGGAGAGTGAGCTAACACTTCTAGTACTACCTAGTACTAGTACTAGGACACATACGGCACATGTCACATACAGATTGGATTCACATACACACAATCAGGAACTCGAAGTGCCCGCCTCTATCCTCCGGGCCGGCCATGGGAGCCTATTCTTGCCCATTGGACCATCCGTCTCTTCTTAGGTAAGGATGTTGCAAGATAACATAATACGTACTTAGCCACACCCGCAGAGCACTATGTAGTATGTACGGATATATCACATGGCACATGCTATGAGATAGGTGCAGCAGATGTTGGCATGACATTAAATACTATCCACTGCCAGCCTTTTCTCCTCCTACGATGAACATACGGATACATGCTTTAAACTGATCGCCAAATACAGTCAGTACATACATGGACGGTGTACATCTATGCTGCACATACGATACAGCGTATCCGTCCTCCGTCCAGCAATCTGGACAAGCTTCAAGCTTCAAGCTTCCACTGATCTGATCCGATCCCGATGCGGAAGTTGTGGTCATCCCTGGTCATTGGTCGACTGCCAGAATAGTTGTGGAACTAGGAGACGGCCACTGCACTAATCTCAACTAGTGGTAGTAGCAGAGGAGTTATTTAGCATCAGAAGGGTCCTGGTCCTGATCCTCAACGTTAACAAGGGTCAGGTCTCTCTAGGAGACTTTGGCCCCGAGCCGACGGGTCCCAGACCGGGCCTTGACCCTCTCAGAACGTCTTGCAAGAGCCCTACTGCTAATCACAGGGTATGCCAGTTGGTGCCAGGCATGGAGTTGTCCGTAATACAGAATTCCCATGCCTGCATAACTCCAACTCATGCAGGGTACGGATAAAGACTCCCGAGCTGTCAAATGATGCCCGCAACCCGGTGGCAGATACCGAGCACATCTCCACCTCATCCCTCCTGCCGAGATGCTTGACCTCTGCACGTTGCTGGCCTCTACGGAGTACTCTGTGGAGTGCTGGCTGTGATGGCGTCTTCACGATAGGGGATTACACAAGTCTGGAACCAGTTTTGGATTCAACGTTGAAGGCAAAGGCCATTTTGACTGGCTTTGTACTATATGGATACTCGACTTGGATCCCATACTGACTGCCAACGATCCTGCTCCTGGGCGGAATCGCGAGATGCTATCTCAGCACCTGGACAAAAGAAAAAAAAATGCGCCTGTCCCGCTTGCTGAAACAACTTGACGCCTGACAACAATCAAAATCTGATGCCTGCTGTTCCCTTCTCCACCCTGCCGCGCCCTAAGCACGTTCTGTTATCGGTGCTTGATGATGATAGCTTCAATTCCAACTTCTGTTGGCAGATCGACAATAGTAGTGACTGACGCCAGGAATGCTTTCCAGCTTTCCTTGCACGGCGTCGGTAGTCGGTGACGGCGATTTTTCGACCGTCGCCGGTACTGTCTTTGACTTTCGACCAGATCTCAGCACTGAGGTGGTAGACTCTATCAGTGCTGATAAACCCGGAGCCCTCTTCCTTTGGAGACACTGGACGCTAGCAACCTAAGGCCCGACTTCTTCCAGTGGTGCTCCAAAGATAGGGGGTTTGAAGATGAGAGATACGAGGTATGCAGCCTCCTGAATCGATCGTAGAGTCTTCCACAAAAGGAGCCAGCAATAATCAAATGCTGCGACTATCCTTTGCCGGTGGGAGAGCACGTGGGATTCAGGCTGTTGATATTCTCGTATTGATTTCAAGTCTTTTCGTCGTCGTTTCGCCCTTGGCAACTGGGCTTGTTCACTTTGCTACGAGCGAACAAGGCGGCAGTTGACGGGGTGCTGTTTGTTTGAACTGGTGATTGGTGGAGCTGTTTATGATGGATATCTCTGATCTGGGCGTGAACTGGTTGTCCGTCGGTTTCTTTCGTAATAGAAATATAATGTGGAAATCCGAAACTCGGTGTCTCAAAGGATTCTCGAATTCCCGTGGAAGGTTGAAATTGTTGAAAGTAATAATGCTCTTCTGAGCTCGTCCGCTGCTAGGCACCTGCCTGAGGCGCACCGCTGGACATGCCGATTTGATTGAGGTCGGCTTTCTGAATGGTTTTGAGCGGATGGTGCTGTTTGTGCCGCTCTGAACTCGAGACCGGTGACAATGTCGTTGGAATACCAGGCCGTCAAGAAAATGCCTGTTGGGGTATGGAACAACAATGAGAATACACTGGACATTCAAGGCTTCGTAAGATGCTTTAGAGGTCGAGACCTATAGCACTAGGGATCCTTCAACCCCAAGGCCGAGGTTACTGGGGCCTCATCTTGCGCAGTTGTGTAGAACAAACTCTTACTGCTGGAGGGTGGGAAAATGGTCCCTTAAATCTTTCTTCCTACAGTCGTGTTTGGAGAATTGTAAACATCTGGAACTGCAATTGCGGAGCCTCTGTGGTGTTGCAAAAATGGCCTAAGGGAATCAGCCACCACTGTACGGATAGTGTATGGCAGATCCGTACTGTGTAGGTACGGAGTTGTGTTCCAGACGCCAGACGGTGGGTGGTAGGTGGTGGTCTGGACGGTGCCCGTATCACGGTATCATGCCACCACCCTCACACACCACTTTTTTCGCCCTGCCCACCACCGGGTCTCCTGACAATCTGGCCCTGTTCCTCTCGAGTCTCCCCCCCCCGCAGAATGGTTCGATCGTGTATTGAAGGCCTGGATCTTGTTTTGGATCTTGCGAAAGGCCGTAAGAGCATTAGGGCGTGTCTTGCATGATTTTCCCATGTGCAGCAGTCTCGGTACTGTCAGTCTCGGTACTGCCACACCCAGTGCGGCTGTTTGTCCCGGCCTGCCCTGTGACAGCCCTGCCTTGTGCGGAATTCCATCTCCTGTGCCTGCAAGTCTGATGATCATACGATGCAGCCGTCGTAACCGGCCTCCTTTGTCTCTCCTTTGTCTCTAGGGTGATTTCGTTTCTTGACTGCGGGAGCCTGCAAGGAGCGAGGGTGTCAAAGGGACGAGTCGAGGGCTGGCTGGTTCAAGGCATTTACTGCAAGAGCATGCATCGGGACTGCAGTAGACAATTACAACAGATTCAGTGGTAATTGATCAAGCCATGATAAATCTGGAGACTGTTTCTGTTTCTGCATCTGCATCTGCGCAGTGCTCCTACCAGATACATATTCGTAAAATTTCAAGCACATAACCCGGACTCAAGCACAGAAGGTGCGAGTCAGCACAAGCATAACCAAGTATTCGTAATATTCCCATAACGGAGCCACTGTTGTTCCAACCACCCTCTCTTTTGCCCATTGTCAACATTCAATTGTGCAGCCCGTGCGACGTCCATTCCAGAGGGTCTCAAGTCTCTCTTCAATCGCCGTACGGAGTACACATACAAAGATGTGGATGAGTCTGAAATTGCCAGCCCCTATATCGTTCAGGACAATCAAACCGGTAGCCAGTGACAAGTGCTGCAGTGCCTGCCCAGGCATACGGGCACGGTAGGGATTCCATCTCTTCCAATTCAAGTCAAACAGACACCAGCCTTGTTTGCCGTCTCCATCAGGATTGTCCCTGTCCATGGACTAATTCCACAACGCCAAAGAAAGCATTCCAGAGGTCAAGGCCCCGGTTGCGAAGCCTAAAAGGCCGTCACTCGGATGAGTGAGTTATCATTAGTGGTGTAGGAGGGTGAGAAGTATCCGCCAGCGCAGCCGGTCGTTCAAGCCGCGGTATCGTCAACACATCATTCTTCAACCAATGTCAAACGTTCTTCAGGTCTCCATTCATTGAGACAGCTGATGTTGTTGCTGTTGCTGCTGCTGCTGGATTTGCAGTCGCACCATCTGCTTGAGGAGGGTGCAGTCTTCACATTTGACCAGCTTCTCCAGCGCTCGAACCCGGTCGTTGAGCCGCGTGATCTCGTCCGACATGTGACGGATCTCCACCTCGGATTGATGGACATAGTTCATCGCATCCGTCATCACATCAGACTTACGCACCTTGGCCCGGTGGTCTCGGGGGGTGAAGAAATCTTGTGCCTGCGTACCATTGATGCGCGAGGTCGACTCGGCAGTACTCAAGGCTCGATGCAGTTGCATGATCTTGCCGTTGAGATTGTCACGATATCGTCGTTCGACGACGGAATGCGCTTGTTTGGCGCGGAGCTGGGCCGATTCGTCTTCACTCGAAGAGCCCTTATGGCCCCGTTTGCTTCGCGGTTTCTTCTCCCGCTCCTCCTTAATTTTTGGAGCTGGAGGAGCCAGGTCGCCCGAGTACGAGTGGACTTTGCTTGAACCATACTTCTGTTCGGGGAGTGAGTCGGGATTGGTGGACTGACACGGGGCGGCATTGCAGTCTTCAATTTCAGGCAGGCTGGTCAGTTGCAGACAACATGGATCAGAGCCAGATCGATGGGCATTGCAGTCTTCTCCCTGGGCATTGGGGAGGCCGCAAGGGAAGTAGTCGTTCTGATTAAGATCAGGTTCGGTCTTCAGAGGATAACCTGCCGACAACTGCCGGGAGATGGTGGATGAATTTGGCGAGGGTTTGTACGCATTGTCCGGCGAGAAGTCTTCGCTGGGGACGGAGTATGAGGCGACATCTGAGGTATCAAAGTTCAAAAACTGAGAGAAGTTGGGTGAGGGTGCATTCTGGGGGTCGGCGGGGATGGTGTTAATGTCGTAAAAGGTTGCCTCCTTCATGCGTTTATCATTATAATTGTCGCCCGAGAGCGGGACGGTGGTGAAGTCGACTTCATCCCATTGTTGTGACTGCTTATTTAGGTCAGCATGGGTGGCAAGACACAACGGCCACGTTAACTAGGTACGTACTTGGTTCTCGAACGTGGAGTCCTGGTACTGTGGGAACATCTGCGAGAAGGGCATGATGCCTTTCCTGCTTTAAGATGGTTTGAGAATCGAATGTTCTGCACCCGATCACAAAGGCTGTGGAGGGCTGGATGGTGGTGGTCGTGGTGACGCTGAGGGTGGTGGTGGTGAGGGTAGTGGAAGAGTTGGGAGAGCAGACCAGAAGTAAAAGGCCTATCAGTCCACGCCCGAAGCACGGCCGCAAGGATGATGATATTATTATTACAGTATCAGTATCGGTAGCAGTCTGCCAGTCTGCCTCTAGGGATGACGAGCCCCTTCGAGACCTCGCCGGCCCCTTCGCTTCTAGGGCGCGGTGCAGCCAGGCAAATTCCGTATTGGCATGGGATCGAAGATTCGTCAGGCCACCAAGAGCCGGAAGACAGCGTGGCCGACATTGTCCTGGCACCCGAAAGCCTAAGGAGCCTAAAGCGAAGCCTGAGCCCCTGTCCAACTCGGCGCCGGGCGAGGGCTAGTGGGCGCTACTGGGCACCGGGCAAGGCTGGGCTGGATCGGGCTAAGGGGCTTGTCCGGGGGAGCCGAGCGAGAGCTTTAGGCGCACCCAAGCCGTGCCCAGCGCCTACGACATCATAAGGAGCCGTCACCGTCCTTCGGCTCCTCTGCCCCAGCCTGCCTTCTCGTTGTTTCGGGCAGCCGAATTGTCAAATCTGAAGCAGGTCAGGATCGCTGCTGTGCGGAGACATGTAGGAGGAGTCGTCGATCCATGAGCACAGAGGGTCCTGCATGTCCAATCCCTTCCGTCGGCCGGTATTGCACGTTTTTCATCGGGTGCAGAGTACTTACATAAGTCCATCAGAGTGTACACTGTACAGTACTATAGCGAAACGAATGTTGCTAGACCCCATTTATTGTTTGGCAGGCCAGTGGACGGTCCTGTGTGTGGCCTGTGACATCTGCCGCTGCGCTCTCGCAACCACGCACGGGCTGCTGCTGTCGATCAGAATGGTCGCCAGTCTCGAGCCAAGGGTCCAGGATTGAAGACTAGCGGAACAGTACAGTATCATACACGTTATGCATACCTGGGTAGATACTAGGTAAGGTAGGTAGGTACCTACACATGGCCCAGACAGGTATCCTAGTACGTACATACGGATACTGCGCGGAGATGGAGACCAGATTTGGCTGGATGGAGACAGTACTCCATACAGAGAGCAGCACATAAGCAGAGTAGTATTCTGCATCAGTAGTAGCGACCACGGTCTCGCCTGAGCCTCAACACCAGGCTCCTCTAGCCGAGCAGCTGCCGGGCATTATTTACGCATTGAAAAAGACTGTGTGGCCTCCTCACAGGGGCCGCAGAGTTTTCTGGTCCATTCAACTCTCACGCCATCTCTCCTGGACTGGGATGTCACGAGGCTTCGCCTGCTTCGAGCACAGAGCCTACACCTGTACGGGTATACATATCATATTGCTGCCTCAGTATAGTAGTCGTTCTTGCTCACGGGATCAAGCAAAAGCGTCATTAATGGTAGCCGATGACGAAGTGTGAAGGCAGGCACGGCACCGACCTACTAGTTAAAGGCACAGTAACCATCAAGATGTGAGAGCGCTCTTACCTGGTATCCATAGGTACCTTACATGAAACAGTACTGTACACACCTAGTACACAATTGAAGACCATTCCAAACCGAATTCCCCATCACAGTCCCAATCTATACCTTACCTTTATACGACGACAATACCTACCGACTTGTCCATGAGGATCAAGACCCGAGAACTCGAGCTCTCCAAAGCCCTCGACGAAGTGTTCCTGCGACTGTCGCTCATCAGCCTGCGTATCTTCCAGCTCGTCATCTCCATCCCAATCATCGGCTTCGTGGCTGCGATCATCGGTGGACTATCCAATGCCGACGTCGGTGTGCCGTCCAAGGCCTCGGCCGCTATTGCGATCGCCTGCGTCAGCACCGTCTACACTGGCTTGACCGTGCTGCCCATATTCTTCGAAGGGCCCCTGTACTTTACCGTCATGGCGTTGCTTGACGCCGGCATGGTGGCAGCTTGGAGCAGTCTGATTGGAGTCTGGGACCATGATGGGACCGGCACCTGCACTGCTCTGGAGAGCAAGTACTTTGGTGACCTGGCGCGGAGGTCTTACTTCAGGACCGACTGCAGGCTGGTCAAGGCCATGTTTGCCTTTATGATCATCAATCTGTGAGTCCACTCCCACCTTGGTCTGCACTGGCTATCTCATACCCACCCATCCCATCCCATCCCATCCCATTGCATCCCATCCCATTGCATCCCATCCCATTGCATCCCATCCCATTGCATCCCATCCCATTGCATCCCATCACTGACCGGCATCCCAGAGCGGCATTTGCGGCCTCTACCATCGTATCTCTCTGCCTGCGTATCATTGAGCTCGACCACAATACAGGCTGGAGAAGTCTTCCACTAATCAACAGGCCTGCCACCCTACAACAGACCCAGCACCACTGCGCATGCTGCACCCATAACAAGGATCATCCATCCCCAACGTCAAGCGTCAGCGGCCAAGCTCTTATTTCCGCAGTGTAGACACTACCCAGAGGGGACCCGATAGCTTACTTGTGTATGACGATATCTTTGAGAAGCATTCCTTCTGTCAAGAGTAGGAATAGTGAAGCGTTCAAGTTACAAGACTAGTATACTGATACCAGCCCCATTGTTCCTGATTGGTGTCTCTCAAGAGAAGAGGTGGCCTGGTATAATGTAATGTAATATGACGCCCACATCTTTGCTTGTTCGCACCGCTGTGTCCTCAACAGCTTGAAGCAAGTTGTTGTCAGTCACACAGCCTGGCGGCATGTTGCAAGCTTATAGAGTACGACTCTTCAACTTCAGCTTTACAACTGCCACCGGACTGAGGCCTGATAGTCCAAGGCCTACGATTGACAGATTTTGAGAGGAAAACACCATTGAGTCTCCAATATAGCTGAATGTCCTCTCTATTGCTGCGATGGTTTATATGTAGTGCTGCGGTCTGGCTTGACAGACTGCGTCCATGGGCTGTAGGATGGTTCGTAAGATGTACTGTATAGTGTAGCAAAGCTTGTTGCTGCCATTCATCGATTCTGTCCTTTCTTCTCCTTCGATTTTGCCTTTTCCTTGCATCTCTTTCGTCTCTCCATCAGTGCTTGGACAATGAGGCCACCTCCACGACCGAGAACGTTCGAGATCGAACTGCTGGATCGTGATCCTGGAGAGCAGCATAACGGCCCTCATGTCTGCTCGACCTGCGCGGCCCCTGGCTTTTCTGCTCTTTCTTTATCTCAAATCTCTGGCTGCTTAGGGGCAACAGCGCTGCTCGCGGCTAGCGACTTTCTGCGGGTGGCCCAGCCCGGCGGCTCCATGACCCTTCGCAAGAAGATCCCGATGAATGCTGAAGATGTTTTGTAATCAGCATAGACTCCCGAGAGCGGCATTCCAGCCGTCAGTGAACCAGCACGGCGGTCCGATCCAGGCCCAGTCGGCTGGCAGGCGACGGCCGAACCAATCTGTACAGCGACGCGACGCGACCCGTGTTCACGAGATGAGACATGTGGCGAAAAAGTCAAAGGAGCAACAGACGAGCAAAAGGCTAATTGTCATTGAAGAATGGAAAATTTCGGCCTGTCCCATGACTTTGGGGAGGCGGGAGAGCAGAGTGAGCCATTTTGTCAACGAGGAGCAGGTTTGTAAAGGAAAATCGCAGGTGGCGGAATTTGGATTCCGGGCGTCCCCTTTTTTATTTTTAACTAAGGCTGGCCCCTAAGCCCCCAACACCGTCCCCTTCTCCACGCCAGCCTTGCAGAACGCCGACTGCAGCGCATCTGCGTGAAAACATCCGTGAAGCGAGATCATGGCTGCGAACATGAAAGAGAGACCTGATCTGGTTACTTTGACAAAGGTCGGGTCCGAGGCTTGGAAAGGTCGTCGCTCGTCTCGTCACTTGAGCTCGGCGAATTGAATGGAAATGCCAGATCACGAGCCTGAGCCTGAGCCTGATGAGAGAGTCAAGTGACGAGAAACCTCTTGCCGGGCCTGCGGCCAAGGTATGTAAGTGAGCGTATGGTTCGGTGAGGGCTTAGGCCAGGCTGTCTTGCTTCCCATCGAATCGAAAACCATAGCTACACACAACACATACAGCACATACACAGGAAATGATCGGACAGACATCCCTGACGACCGCATTCTACGACGATCCTTTCGAGAGGCCACCGACGCCTCCCGACTCACCGCTCCGAGACAGATTCTGCCCCAAGAGCGTCGCGTTCCTTCGTCATATCGCGCCGCCGCCGCCGGGCATCGAGCCTGCCAAAGATTGCAGAGGCCGCCCCCTGCCTCTGCCTCTGGTGGAAGCTGAAGTCACAGACAGAATACCACTCAAAAAGAAGCCTCAAGTGCCGCCAAAGCCACCGGGGCTGGAATTCTACGTCTCCAACCGATCGAGACAAGGCAGCACTGTTGACCTTGACTCCGCCACCCAGTTCACCACGAACTTTTCACCGGGCCAACATCTGGCGCAGCATGAGTCGTGCTTACGACAACAAGAGTTCTGCCTCGACTTCAACATGGGCGATGCCGACCAGACCGTCTCGACAGACCTAGATAGGCCGTGCTGTCACCGGCACGAGACCCTCTACAAACGTGAACTCCTGAACGGAGTGCCTGTCGAAATTCTCACTCATACCTGCGAGATCAGCCATTCTCTCGGGAGAAGCCCAGCAGCTCAAGAGGTGGAACACTAAACGGAAGAAGACGAACCCGAGTTTGACGGCGGGCAGAGCTTCGCGGGAACGATGGCATAAAAGAACCCTTACGGAGCGTCGAGACTGCAACCCTGGCATTGAGTCGGGATTGTCTAGGTACACATCGATGCGAGGCCTTGGGCTATGGGGTTCTTCCTTTTTTCGCTTTCGAAAACACCAATGTCAAAGCCACGATCCCACCTCCTCACCGACACGCTTTGCACACCTGACCTCGAGGCCGGCCAGCCTTGGGAACGGGCCATCGACTGAGGTTGCTTTTGACTTTGATTAGGGTCGACATGGGCTCATGGTTAGCCCTGCACGTCTGGGGTTCCGTAAGCGATCCAAGAGGAGGTTGATTGGGCTTGAAACTTGACCGGTCCCGCAACGCATGACGGAAGATGACCCAGCAAAAGGGTGGGCGGCAATCGGAATGGTGGACATGCTAAAGAACAGAAGACCAGACAAGCAGGCTAAGATCAGGCCAATCCCATCCACCTGCTTAGGCTGACAGGCAAGCTGGGGAGTGGGAGTGGGAGGGTGCCATGCCTAATACTCAATCCAGCTCGGCGGACATGGCTCAGGGGCCTTGTGCATTGCCCGCGTAGGTACCATATCTCATGATTTGCGACCATACAGATGGGATGATACAGTACAAATCGTGCATAATCTGGTTGTGATTTGAGTGTCCAGAGCAGTCTTCACAAATGGTTATGATGCTCCCAATGCTCCCGTTACTTTTACTGCTACTGGATTCCTCTAGGGACACGCGGGAAGGAAAGATGGTAGACTTGATCGTTATGACATTTGTGTCATTTGTGAGTCTGCAGGCTCGCAGCTATATAATACCATATCTCTCTCCACTGGAGGAGAGGCTATCATGGCAGGACATACTCCTTTGGCTGTTTGGAGTTATGTAAGGGACGCGTATGGTCCCGTCCCAAAAAATTACAAAAAATATAATGCCCATACAAGGCGCATTGCTCGAGTTGATTGGCTCCATCCGAACGCCGAACACCATGCTTGAACGATATCGCTTAAAGGGCAATGCAAAATCAGTCCCAGTCCGAGCCCTGTCCTGTTGTCTCAGCAACAAGAGAGCGAGGACAAGCAAACGAAACACAAAAGGCCGCACTGGCGGCCATCAAGCAAAGATGTCGACGAGTAGATTGTCCGCCTGGCTCTGCGAAAAGACTTTCGGCTGTTGCGCCCATAGAACCAGATCGTCGTCCACCGGTTCGTACGTGGGCATGGAGAACTGCGAGGTCGGCAGCTCACACATATCGAGGATTTTGCGGGCGGGGTGCGAGGCGGCGGTAACCGCATCGACAACGTGCTCGTCGCCTTCGCAGGTCGCCTCGCTCCAATCGCTGTCGCTGTCGCTGTCGCCTGCCTCGGTGCTCACGTCGCTGACGTTTTCCCAATCCTCGGTCTCGTAGTGATGAGGGAGGCCGTCTTCGGCGGGCGTCGCCAGGACCACTTGCTGAGGTCTCTGAACCGGTCGACTGATGCGTTTCGTCGAGGCTTGGTAATATTGATGTTGGGATTGCGATTCAGCGTAGCTTGGTGGTAACGCTTCTGCACACTCAACGTCATCGTCGAGGTCGAGTTCCTCGATATGGTCAATGGAGGTCAGGTCGTCGGATAGTTCATCGTCGTGGTCAAAGTCGTCCTCGTCATCGTCGTCATCAATGTGCTCGACAATGTATTTTTTCGCGCTGTCGAATAGAGATGCATGGCCGATCAGCTTGAATAGCCGCGGCTCAGTCTTGCGGGCTTCTCGCTCAATGCGGTACTTCGACATGTAGCCGATTTTGTAGGCAAAACAGCGCATGTCAGCACTTGAGACGGCCTCGAAGTTGGACATGGTGGATGTGATGGAATATGAATTGGCAGAATGGCGGCACAGAGAAGTCGAGAGTTGGTTGGTCGAAAAGGCAGATATCAGGTATTGCGGTTGTTGGTTTCTGTAAATGTACGACGGGAAGGCCGAGAGGAAGATGAGGATGGGACTGTGAAGACAGCGGAATGCAAAGTGGTGATGGCTACAAATTCGGATGATAATCTTCTGTGTACAAAAGGGAGTCCATGAGGTATATTATCAACATTTTTGCTCGTTCAATATCTCTACCAATTTCACTAGGGCCTCGTCCACAGGTGGGCATCAAAGTCTAGAAGGACGTCGGATCGTATGATGTACGTAGCTAGCGGGCTTACAGTAGAGGATGCGATTGCAGTTGCAGCAGTCAAACGGAAGAGGCGGCCGGTATGTCATACAGCGCCCGCCTGATTGCGGAGCTGCTGGATGGAGACCCTGTGGCTTGATCGTAGGTCTAGAAGGGCAGTCAGCAGTGCAGGCAGATGGACGGTGGAGGTGGATGGTGGATGGTGTGCGATGGTGGATGGGGAGCGAGACAGCAGACAGAAGAGCTCGCTTGCTCGAGTCTCTCGATTGCAGCTGCGCCTGCGGTTGCAAGCTGGCACCACTCCCACGTGGTCGGTACGTACCATACGGTACCAAACGTTGGAAGTGGGAGAGACAAATGGGTACCTACCTATACCTAGGCACAGTACCTGCCTAGGTACTCAGGTACTTCGGTAGGTACCTACCTAGCTAAGGTACCTGGTAACCATACCTAGGCATGGCAGGTGCTGTGGTGTGTACACTGACTGTACGGTACGGTATCAGAGCACGATGGTGGAAAAAGTGGTTTGACTGAAGTGTGGTGTGATCGCGACAGTACGTACTCACGTACCCAGACCGAGGTCTAGTCCGACCAAGCCACACCCCCCTGTCCCTGATCGTGCACCTAGCACTAGGTAGTATAAGCGAGGCGTAAATCCCCGGGGCTTAGGGGTCCAGATCCTCGCGACACCAGGGTCTGCGGCATTATCGGACCATGTCGGGTCGGGTCAATCTGGCCATGATGGCGTTGTCCGTGAATGGCCTGACGATCAGCCAACGCCTCATCAGCTGCTTGAGTCCTTGGCCGATGTTGAGCTCGAGTTTGCTCACTGCTGCTCTCATCTTCAGGTTGTTTGTGCTGTTGTTGAAGGCAGAAGCGGCAATGGAAATGCGAGGTAGGTAAGAAGGTATGAAGAGTTTGACTGATAATGTCTTTTTGGGCGATGCTTTCAACGGGATGCCTCAAGGTATACTTGTAGGACTTCGCGGTTAGATTGCTTTGATCTTCTTTGATAGGCAGTTGAAATGAAATTGCAGACAGAGAGACTTGGGAACAGCTCAGCTGTCTTTTAGTATCTTCACTTGGGGTCAGGTATGTTGCAATTTGAACGGTTCAGTTGGCTGACTGACCAGGACTGCTGCCCAGGGAGTGGTGCCCTGTTTATAATGGTCCATCACCAGCCAGGGAGTAATAGCCATCTCCATAGCTAGAGCCTTAAATCTGACGGCTCAGGCCTGGATGCGCTCATTCTGCGCAGCACCTCGCGGTGGCAAGACACGGCAGCCGATCGCGATCTAGAGGCCCAAGGCCTCAAGGATTAGCCAGGGTTGGCAGCCTACACAGACAGTACGCAGGACACCAACGGGCTGGTGTTTCGAGCCACTCTTTGCCTAAGGTGCAGATCTCATACACATAGTACAGCACCGTGCAGCTGACGGACAGCTGAGCAAACTCTGATTCCTGTATTGGGGTATGTATTGTCCGCCCTTTTGCCGTTCAAGGCTCAGCCGACTGTGGACAGACGGCCTGGAGGTTGGTCGGCCTGGTCAGTGACTCCGCTGGCCTACCTGACTCCTGGCTCCATACACGGCACAGGGTAAGGTACCTTTGGTAGGTACAAGGTACACAAAACGCGCAACAACCAATGGAAGGGTTGGACAATACCTCATAGCGGCCTTGATACGTGTCGATACTGTACCAGCGCTTGAGACACGCGACGGCTGCTGCATGGCGAGATTCCACTCCGCACATGTCACATACAGTACATTGTCCTTGCGGGTGCTACAGCCGCCCAGGCACCTACCAGGGATCCTTTCGAGGTCAGGCTACTTCAATGTGGTGGCTAGGAGGTCTTTTCGCGGCGATCACCTCCACTTGAGGTAACACGGCCGTCCACACAAGGGAATCGGCAGTTCTGCACCTCTGCGACACAGACGCTCTTCTCTTCAGGAGGACCGGGCTCCTCAGGCCCAAAGCGTTCACTACTGTACTCAGCGCTGACTGTATCTGTACGGCATTGTAATCAACCGTCTTGTGGCTGTCCTGGCGCCAGTCGAAGCAAAACTACCTTAACGACCGCTGCTAGTCAATACCTAGGTGCCTAGAGCTGATGCCAACCCAAGCATGAGAATAAGAGCACAGTTCACAAGTACTCTGTATAGAAGCTCTCAGCCTCGTCCTACAATACATAGGTACAGTATACCGTGCTTGCCTGCCAGAACAGGATAGGTCATTCTGCAAGGCTGCCCGGGCGGCTGGTGCGCCTATCTTAGGCGATCCTATGAGAATAAGGCGCACCTTCTAGGCCTGGCAGTAGGGGCCCTTAGGCTTAGGTGGCTGAGGCCTAAGCCTAATGCTCTGTAGCATAGGGGCGAGCAAGCCCGCCACTGGGCTCCTTAGGCGCAGTGGACGCCTGGAGACCAGGCCGATGCGGCCAATCCAGGCCTAAGGGCCCCTGCGGCGGTCACCCGCACCTAAACCATCCCCAGGGTTTCTTGATCTCTTTCCCACCTATCATCGGTCGGTGGCGCCTGTCCTTTTCTCCCTCTAGGAAAAGTCCTCCTCTCTTGTTGGCAGCTGGCGTGATGAACAGTACGTATTGTACAGTATCTTGTTCCCTCCCGTCTTGCCCTGTATTCCAAGCGCCATCCATGCTCCAGCAAGTCGAATCCATATCCTCTGGCGAACCTCTGGCGAAACTCTGTCGAAAACTCTGTCGGACACTCCGTCGTGCCATGACTGCCACTTGTCCAGGGACGGGTCTCGATCTTCTCCAGGATTCAAGATCGGCTCATCGAGGCCTACAATTAGCCTTGACGCCTGTAGCCTGTCAGAGTCTGAGCAGTGGCGTGTGGCTGATCCACTTGGAGCTGCCATACAAGAGCAATACCAGCCACGGGCCAGTGGCACGGTGGACGCCTGAAGGGAAATGATATCCGACGCTGAAAGAAGAGCCCTGGCCGCGGGAGGGTGGAACGCCAGGTGTACTGCCCTGTACGGACGGATACACATAATCCTGTCACACCACATAGTGGTGCGACGCATTCTTTTGGTAGGAAGGCCAATGTCTCTCTCCCTCAAGCAACTTTGCTCTCCTTTCCATTCAATGCCATGGTCGTTGTTGTTGGTTGGAGGAGGCAAAAGTTGGCATCTCGGACAAATCACCTGTTTGCCATTGGGACAGGTCCATCGCTACCGCTTGCCCAGCTATTTTGTAAGGCAATAAGCTGTCGCGTCATGCCCATATCCATCTCACCCCAGGCAAGGCTCTGACTGATTTCTTAAATAGCTAGCACAAGGGGCCTTTTGTGCAGTACGAAGCTACCACCCCTCTCCCAAAGTCTCCAGTCTCAGTATCTGTCACTTTCTACCGAGTACCTCCCTCCATCTTGATCCTCATCCATGTCACCGCACATGAGATTCAGTACGGCCGGCGATCCAGCTTCGCTGGCCGAAGTATGCAAACTGGCCTGGCACACGTTCTACGGCATGCAGAAGGCGTCCGAAGATTTTGAAAACCTACGGTTCGAAGTCTGGACCATCGCCATCAGTCTCGACTCACTACACAGCGTCGGCACCACCCCCGTACTCATCGACCGACAGCCAGACCGAGCACGGTGGGCGTTGACATTTTCCAAGATTCTGGCCTCGTTGGCATCTGCTCTCCGACCTCTCCACAGTTTGGTCCGACTCTATCTTTCCAGTCCGGCCAAAGATCGAGCATCCATCAAGAATTGGCTACTCCATTCAGACTCTACGTTTGAGGGGCTCACCATCCAGGACTTTCGACGGAAACTATCCATGCTTGTCGAGAGTCTCAACGTCTTTCTTTCATGTCTGACCCACGCCGAACTGGCCCGAGCCAAAAATGCCTCAGAGTCAGAAGAGTTTCGAGTCCTGTCCGAAGTCACGAGAAACGTGATGCACAAATGGGACCACGAAATGGCCTCAGGCATTCGGCGGCCGACAGAAAGACCGCCTCAACTGATCGAGGCGCCAGGATACGTCAATGACGACGTCAAAAGCTACATGATGCCGCTGCTGAACGGGGGTGTTGCCGGTTTCGGGCTTGGGATGCAGAGTCCCAAGGTGCAGCCGCCCACCATACGGCAACAACATAGCAACGAAGTTTCATCTCCATCTCCATCCCAAAAAGCCACCGTGCCGAACCTGGAAGGTATCGAACATGGTTTCCGTAACCACATGCACGCAATGCGGCGGATCCGGGAGCAGCTCCGGCAGCAGAAGATCAACAACAACCACCTATCGACGCAACGATCGACCCATTTCCCGGAAGTGTTACGAAGTGCTAACGACAAAAGTCCTGGTCTCCCCGCCCAGCTTCCACCCACGCCGAACACGCCGACGCTGCACCGTGAACTCACGGACTCAACACAATCATCATCGGACTTTTCAGGTGACTACGCCGACGCCTCGAGCAACAATGGCAGTTCGGAAGCCGACAGTGTCATTTCCAACTACCATCCCGAGGAGACAAAGCCGATTTTTACGGTCCAACCACCCTCGACCTTGACCTCAGGACCTCCTCGCAAGCGGAAGAGGCAGGCCCAGTTCCGGTTCAAGACGGGGCTGGAGGACGAGCAGACACACTCGCACCTCAGCGACGGTTCGGGCTCGGGCTCGGGCTCGGGCTCAGACGATGGCCGCGTCAGTCACTCGCAGCCCAAAACGGCGCTGCAACAGTTGTTGACTACAGTGTTGTTTTTCGACCAATGATTGTCAACACGAGGGACCGAATTGATGATTGAAAGAGTCGATGATTAATCAAGAACTAAGAACTGAACAAATAACCCAATAGGCCGAGACGATCATGGCGATGGCGAATGAAATGACCAGCAGGAAACTAATGGCCCATTCCCAGTCGTCGATACAGTTGATTGGGTTTTACTATTAGTATGGAAGATATTGAAATGAATGGACGACTCTCAAGGCTCTCGACCACAAGCCTCAAGTCACTTACAGACTTAGGCCCAGGCTTTATATCGACAGGCCAACAAACATGTCATGTTGACGCATCGGAACAGGCCCGCCGCTGTTGGGGTTGGGTCTTGCTTCTTGGAGTTTTCGATTGGATGGATTGGATTGGATTGGGTTAGGTTGACAAGGACAAGGACAGAGCAAAGGACATAATGGGCGCGAGAGCGTGGGAGTATGAGTGAGAGTGGGAATGCTTTTGATACCCACGAATTAACATGAACCATATCATCATCATCAATAGCAACAACAAGATTGATAACAATATTAACTCATCGAGGGTTATTTCTCTAGATAGTAGATAGGTGATCGCAGCACAAGTATCTATGTCCGCCTATCTTTGTCTTTCTCCATACGACACGGAGTCGAGTTGTAGTCGATATCATTGATGAGTCTCAAGAATGAGACTGGGAATATCTCGTCCAGACCATGGATGAATGGATGAATGGTGGATCGTCGATGTGGGAGTATCTAATATCACACCGTGCGTGATCGATCCCCGATCCTCGACCTTCGATCCCCAATCCTCGATCTCGATCCTCAATCCTCGATCTCGATCCTCAATCCTCGATCCTCGATTCTAGGGTCTAGGCTCTAGATTCTAGGGTCTAGATTCTTCCGGCACCCAGACCCAGCTGCTTGGAATCGACAAAGGCATCCAACTTGCGTTGATTGTAGACGTCGGCCTCGACTAGTTTGTGCCATTTCTACACAGAACAAACGGTCAGCGTAAGCGTCAACGGCAGTGGCAGTGGCAACGGCAGTGTCAGAGTCAACGTTAGAGTTAGAGTCAACGTTGGTGTCAGAGTCGTCGACAGAGTCAGAGTCAACGTTAATATCAGTGTCAACGTTAGGGTCAGAATCAACGTTGGTGTCAGATCAACGTTAATGTCAGAGTCGTCGACAGAGTCAGTGTCTGTCGCGTCGGAGATACAGTAGCTCAGAGACGGCCAGGCTAGCATCTCATCTGACGAATGCAGAGTCATGATTCATGAAGACACTAGGAGACTGGTAGCGCTCACCCCATTGCTCGTGACCTTCAACAGGGTCGGCAGGTTCGTCACGTTGAACGGCGGCTGTCGCCACGGCGAGTCGGGGCTCCTCCACCTATTGTTGCGTGGTCCATGTCAGCGGTGTTGTGTCTATGAAGCAAGCGGCAAAGCGGCAAAGCGAACAGCGAACGGGAACACCGGAAGTGATTCTCAGGCGGTGGGAGTAAGTCAGTCTCGGGAGTGGGAGTAAGGGAACACGGGGAAGTGATTCCCAGGAGTGGGAATGGGAGTAGTGGTGGGAAGTGAGAGTGAGAATAAGGGATCTGATCTGAACGGAAAGCATCGTCGTGTGCAGACTCGACTCGACTCTACAACTTACTCCTGCGGACTCCCCGCATAGACGACAGTAGCATTCCTCTCCGGGTCGGCGAATTTCTTGTTCAAGAACGGCTCGGCCTGTCGACAGTCGCCGCACCAGCTTCGTCCATTCGTCAGGCCGGCGTACACGACCAGGAAGGCGGGTTCGTGCGACTCGGATGATGCGGCTTGGTCGGCGAGACTGCGGGCCAGGGCGGCGGGTGTGAGAGTCGTGGGTTGTAGTGGCATTGTGGGAACCAGGAACCAGAACCGTGGGGAGGGGTTCAAGATACTGATACTGATTTGATTGATATATGTCGAGATCAGTATCAGTGTCTGTATCAGTACCAGTGTTTGTCTGTGTTCGTGTTTATATCTGTGTCTGTGTTGGTGTTTATGTCTGTGTCTGTGTCTGTGGTTGTGTCTGTGGTTGTGTCTGTGGTTGTGTCTGTGGTTGTGTCTGTGTTCGTGTTTATATCTGTGTCTGTGGTGTTAGGGATCAGGATCAGGATCAGTATCTACCATCAATCAAGTCCAAAGTGATCGAGCGGAGTTGGTCGTTGCACATTTAAGCAAAGAACGAGAAGGGACGGAAGATGAGGACGGAAAGATGATGAAGATGATGATGATGATGATGATGATGTGATATGGCGTGGGATTGATGGCATCAACTTCAACTTGAAGGCTTGGGCATAACGCCGCATCGCATGATTGGGTGGAAGGTTGCTTACTACGCAGTACAGTATACGTACGGAGGACGGAGTATGTGATTATAAGAGTGACTACAGAGTGACTACAGTACCTATAGAGTACCTGTAGAGTCCCTACGTACCCACAGAGTACCTACATTGTGCCTATAGTGTAACTACGTACCTACAAAGTACCTAGAGGTATACACTCTGCATGGGCGGTATTGGTATCATATACAGGCATAGGTACCGACACTGACACTAACACATACACAGATACTCACACAGACACAGACACAGACACAGACACAGATACAGACACAGACACAGATACTCACACAGACATAGACACAGTATCCGTACATCAGATCAATTAGTGGCCGCTACATCAGTCTCGAGGCACTATGTAGTAGGCAGAGGTCAAGGTAGCTAAGATCTCTCTCTACCTTACCTATAGGTAAACCACGTACAGTGTACGGATACTGTGTACAGTGTACTCCGTACGAGTACGAGGACGAGGACGAGGACGGTAGCCTTAGACATGGCGGGCTGGAAGATACTATATCGCCATCACCATCACCATCGCCGTCGCCGAGCAATGACGATAGACGAGCGTCTGGCGGTATCATTGTATGGCAATATGGTACGGCCATCATCACATGGTTAACTACCTACTTAACTGAGAGGCACATATATGAGAGGTACTTCACTACCTAACTAAGGTGAGGTACCTCACAGTACCCAAGTATACCTATAGTACCTACCTACTTAAGAGTACGAACATGAAATTGGAAAAGACAAGACAGCCAACATAGATAAAGTAGTGGTGGATTCATTAGATTATTGGATTCTATACGGTAGTAGGTACCGAGTATACGAGTCCCCGTGCTATCACTGCACATGGTATCACTGTGGCCGTGGCCGTGGCCGTGGCCCAGTCCTGGCCTTTGTGTCTCCGCACAATCTGTCCATGTCCATGCCTGAATTTCATTTCATTTCCATCCAAGTTGGCCTTCGTTAAATCAAATGTGGTCATAGACCTGCGTGACCCGAACGGCAGTTGATAAACGCCAAGGGCTAATTAAGCGCAGGTCTGGGGTCATCTCGTCTCTTGGCGTGTATGTGTGTAAGTGTGTGTGTGTATGTGGTTGTGGTTGTGGTTGTGTATCAGAACAACCTCTCAGATTCGTGCAGCTCTCAGATTCGTGCAGCCTTGGCCGTCTTCGAGTGCTGCCAGTCCTCCCACATGGAATCGAACTTGTCGAACCAGGCGTTGCCGTAGCCGTGCAGCGCGGGCGTGACTTCGGCGGTGGGACTGGGCAGTGGTTCCGAGTTGGCTTCGGCCGCCTCTGCTTGTGCTTGAGTTTGTGCTTGGGGTGCCGTCTCGGGCGACTCTGGTCGCGACTTGGCCTGTTTCTGCTGGTGGAACTCGAGTGCCAGGCTGCCGAGGTTCTCGAACCAGCTGTCGCCGTAGTTGTGCATCGAGGCCAAGGAGATATCGGACACGCTGCTGCTGCTGGATGTGGTCGTCATATTGGCAATGGTTGGGGTTGTGGTATATGTATATGTTATATTGGTTGTAGAGGTATAGGTATTTGTTATATGGTGGTGGTGTGGTGTGGTGTGGTGTGTGGATGAATTGGTGAGTGCTCTCGAGGGTGAGAGTGATAGTGTATGTACTGCTTTCCTGTAGTGTGATAGATGCTGAAGGAGGAGAAAGAGTCGGGGGCAAGAGTGCTCGAGGCGATTCATATACTCTGGCGCCAGGGCCTAAAGGCTGCCTAGGCTGATAGTATTAGCATTAGCATCAACATCTCAAGAGTCACAGCCAGACCCGTCCGGGGTCCAGGGGGGAAGGGAAACCCATCGCAACATCGGAACCGGGGGTTTTGTCGGTAGTCCAGAGGAGAGGAGAGGAGACAGAATCAGAGTCAGACTTTCGGAGGATCCGCCCGGTGGTGTTAGTGTAGAGGAGTAGAACCACCGACCACTCCACCGACTCTGCATGTCCTACCACATCTGGACAGATCTTCAGCCTTGGGGGAGCTCGCCTACTGTCGCTTGGCCTGCTGATGGGAGGCATGGGTCGGTGGCAGGGATGCAGATGCAGATGCAGAGCAAAAAAATGCACATGCACAGCGACGCCTGCCCCTGCCCCTGCCAAAACCCCTGCCCCTCAGCCTGGCGGGCCAGCGCCAGCCTTAGCTTCTGGAGCCTCTGGAGTCGGAGCCTGGCCTCACCGCCGATATCTCTCTCTCTCTGTGGCATACCTGGAGAGTCGGCGTCTGCCACGTCGCTCGCAGCGGAGAACCTAGAGGGTCGACAGGCAACACCGTTGTGAATGAGAATGTCCCAGTCAGTGCCAGTGTGGGTGTGCTGGTGTCCACACTGGCACTGACACTGAGACATGTGCTTCTTTTTCCTTTTCCTGTTACTCCAGCGGCACTCGGTGGCTGTCTTGGGAATTCGATGGCTGACGCGTGAGCATGCAATCATACCACAGGTAGCCACAGGTAGCCACAGGAGCCACCGAGAACCACCAGAAACCACCAAAACCCGCTGAGCAGCGGAGACGGCGAAGAAGGCGGGCTCCGCCATGGGAAAATGGCGCGGGATCTGGATTGTTCTAGGGGCTTATAGGCTCTGTCGCCGACGGCCCGGGCGCGATTGTTATGATTATTTAGGCTTTCAGGGTCTCTTTCAGGGCTCAGAACCCGGCTCCGGCTCCGGGCTTAGGCTCAGGGTTCCAAGGCTAAGGCTAGGCTAAAGGTCCTTAGGCTGTCGGGACAATAATCACGCCAGTGCCAGTGCCAGTGCCCAGTGCCCACTACAGAATACTCCGTACAACTGCCAGCGCACCCGGGCGGTTGGATTTCTCTTTCTCGGTCTTGGACCCTGTAAAAGTCAGAAGTCACCGTGACCGTCGACAGAATGCCTGACTCCTTACTAGGGGCTAAGGCTGCCTTATTATTAATTGTTAACACTGCTCGGGAATCGCCGTCGCGTGTGATGGTAGTAGCAGTTCAGTGGCAGTTCAGTGTGAGTTCAAGGTGAGTACGAGTACGTAGGAGTGAGATTGGACTGGGCATCCTCAGGCCGGGACTTTTATCCCTCATGTGTTACGTTCATCCTGACCACGACCACGACCACGACCACGACCACGACCACGACCACCTGAGGTACATGGTACAGTACTCTGCTGCACTGCCCTACCCTGCCCTGCCCTGATTTAACCCGACTTGATGCGTAGATATCTGGTATCTATCCGATATGTCCGGCCTGCGTATTGTACATGTGGTCAGGAGACGGAGACGGACACGGAGACTTCGTCGGTGATAAGGAACGACGACGGGCTAATATTTCCTGTTTCCCTCAAGCCTCCCTCTCCCTCTGGCACCTCTGCTCTCCACCATCCCTAGCCAGCAGCACGCAATCCAACCTTTCTCTCGCACGACGGACGGATCAATAATGCGAAGAGAAAGGGAAAAGGAACAGAAAAAAACTCCATCTCTACACCGCATATTGAAAGGGTGGGTTCGGTGGACAACTAGCACAGTGGACTATTCATTTGGGATGGGAACAGTCCAGTCCACCGACCACCCACTACCCACTGGACTCCGTAGTATTTAGCATTAATATTAGTATTCGCTTTCGCACTGCTCGAGCAATGCCCCACGAGATCTGACAGTAATTTTCCGTGTGCAAATTGGTCCCATCTGACACTTGACACTGACAGATCCAGCCGGCGAATCTAGATGGAATGGAACAGACGTCTCCGTAGGCGTATAGCGCTGTGCTACTACCAATCCAGAAGAAAGATATCTGCCTACCCATCCATCTGGCCCGCATCGCTTGCACCTTCCAGAGCATTCATTGAATATGGTGTTCGAAAGGGAAAAACTCGGACCGGTTCGTCTGAGATATATGGGTATGTGTGTGTGTGGTATGCCCGCCCCTATCGTGGAGGCCGCCCTATACAATGTACATCCAGAACTACCTACTTAAGGTATAGTAGGGACGGAGTACTCTCTATGTATCTGTACAACAACACCTGAGGAAGCCTGTCTGGCTGTCGACCCCTGGCACTATACTGCACATGTGACAGTCGACCTGGCAGATTTCTTTCTGCCAGTACCTCCCATCACTAGTCACCGTGAATCATTCACCTTGATATATAATTCAACCGCATTTCTCTCCAACAATTGGGAAACTGCCTTGTTTGGGTCCGCTGGTGTACCTGCAACACCTCAGAGACGACGGCTAAGGACGCGGTACCGATTGGGTTCGAAAGAACCACTGGTCGTGGTTTCACTTCCCTCCAAGCATTGTGGGTGCTTGGAGGAAAAAGTTTTTTGCACTTTCGAACCGAGAACTTGTTGATGACCTGGTTGGTGGGTATTTTCGTTGTGTGCGTTCGTTTGCGTGGTTGTGCGGTTGTGGTGTGGTGTGGTGTGGTGTGGTGTCGACGGTGTCGATGGTGTGGCCCGCGGGTTACAGACAGTTTCCAAATTCCAGGCCTCTTCTCTGTCTCGTCCGCCATATCAGCCGAGTTGCATCATGTTCTCTATCACTCTCAATCTCACGCCGAGCCAGGTATGGGTCGCCAGTCAGGACGTGCGATGTGTGGTATGAGCCATAAGCCATGAGGTGATATTCCGCGTGAATGGTCGCTCATCTGACGCATCTTGTGCTCCAGTAGTAGGTACTCTGGACCCCGAGCCTTGATTGCTGCTCAATTGCCAGTAAGGTATAGGTATAGGCAGGTGACTTTCGCCACCTCATACCGACCGACTCTGGAACAGAGGCAACTGTGCGGCCGCGGCCGCGGCCAGACAACGCCTTCGCTTCGCATGGCTGACCCCCGGCTCGTGTGGCAGCGAGGCACAATGGCAATGGTCTTCGGTCCGTCCGGCGTGTTGGGCGACGGCCCGTTCGACATGTTCATGGTGCACATCGCCCTCATTGCAGGCCGGCGGCAGAAGCCAGTCGCCACAGTTGGCATTGATCTCCAGATCGCTGTCTGCGTCGACCAAGAGCCCAAGACGGCCTCTGGTATGCATTTTGCGAAATTGAACCCTCACTTGCTTGCAGACGAGATTTGCTTGCACTTGAGAAGAGGAGGCAACCCGTGAGCCCTGAGCACTGAGCTGGGCAGCAGGTCCGGACTTTGAATTCCACTCGCTCAAACGAACATGTCATCCGCACGGCCGGTACTGGGGTCCTAGTATCCGTTTCGCTAGGGAAAGCAGGTGCGAGAGAGAGTTTTTTGGCACTTCAAGGGTCGACCCGGGTCAGGTCTGCCGGCAGCGTGGGCTGAGATAGACATACATAAATATCAGGGACTCCCGTCCCCTGTCCCCCGTTCGTTCCCAACGTTCCGGCGCTGCATCAATCACATCAGCGTTCTCGCCCACTCCCCCTAGAAGCCACGTTCTTGGTTCGTGAGCCACAATCGCCCGGTGCCGGACCTCATAGGCTGTCGGGCGCTGCTCGTATCTTGGGTGGCTTCCTAGACCCGGTCACGTGGCTTGACATCACACCACTCGTGCATTTGTTTCAGGATCGTCCGGAGGCTGAGCCGGTCGAGACCCTTTTTCCTGTTGCCTCGCTCAGACAGATGTCGATATCGTTCGATGGTGGACCACACTACACTACACCCCCTGGCACCTAGCCTGGCACATTGCATAAGGCCCCGGATTTATGCTGGAGTATGCAGGTGTATGGATATAGGAGTACAGATGCGGACCGCTCTCGCCAGCCATGATCACCACGCCAAGGTTACAGTGACAATTACAGTGTGATGTTGATGTGATGATCCCAGAGCCAGACGCCTAGTAGTAGCTGCCGGCCGGCCCTCAAGGCTCAAGTAGTGTATCCGTACATACTTTGTACTACTGGAGGCCCGCTGACTGTGATATGTGTCGGTGGGAGTTGTTGACGTCAACATCTCGACCCATGGACAGTTCCAGTTCGCCGTGGTCTAGAATGTCCATTTCGATTCAAGCAGTGTGACCGGTTTAACCATTTACCAGGTGGCACAGGTAGCTAAGCTGCTGCTCATTCAATCAAGACCTAAGGACGACACATCCCGTTCCAGTTCTTCAAAGGTCAAATGGGGTCGATTGAGTGGGACGGAGGCCTAAATGTTAAATACAGAGGACTTGTAGAATCTTGTGCCCAAGACTCGTCATAGGCGGGTCGCGATCTCGATCTCGATATGGGTCAGGTCCGAGGCTGAAGCTCTAAAGGGGGTGTCACCACTACCACTCCCACTGACCCATCGACCACTGGCAGGCTGAGAGAGACCCGCTCTTGTTGGTGGTCCTGGACTCGTGCTCCCTTGTCCTGTACCGACCATACCTTCTCACGCCTCATTGACTGTGACGAAGACGACTTTCTTAGCTAGGGGAGGATGTGGAAACGGAAGATGTCCGCCATGCTATGCTCTGAAACATGAGCACACAAGGCAACGAACGGGAAAGAAACGCCTCAGGCGTCTTGCCCTGCCCCGGGAAGTTGTCCGTGATGCCGCAGAAAGCTGTCCATGTTGTGCTAGTGCTAAGAAGTCTGCCTATGTATGGCGCATTGAAACAGCAATACACCCAGCCTTGTCTGCACCCTTGCACCGAAACCGAACCGGAACCGGAACCGAAACCAAACTCGCAAATCCCTGAATATCATGACCGCTTTTTTGCCTCCGCTATCTTGTCGACAAGACAAAGTTGTTCAGCTCCCTGGGAATGTCTCTGCATATTCGGTATCTTGCACTCACTAGACCTGCTGGCGTTTCTGAAAAGATATTAGAATTCAAAACCACCTTGTGGGCCGTGAGACAACATGCTTACCGCTTTCTTGCGAGTCGATGGTTCACTCCCCGCATCGTCTTTGGGAGGGGGCTCTTCAGGACCCGAACCCTTGTTCTTGCGCTTTTTCTCCGAATGCTGTGTTGGAGGCCAAGTAAAACTCTTGGACATCTCTCCCTTCTGCTGCTCTGGACACTCTTCCTGTATGCCTAAGCCCTTGCGCTTTTCTAGCCCCTCGAAAGACTTATCAACTTCGCCCATCCAATATGGCAAAACAAGACTCGGGGATGAGGGAGGATGCGTAGTCGGCGCGCTGTCGTGAGTCCAGGAACTCGGAGAAGGCGAGATGGAGGGACCCTCTCCGTTCATATTCTCAGATTTGATAGCACATCGCTCACGTTTTGCTTCCGCCTGACTTTCCAACGGGCTAAGTCGGGATCGACCGGGCTTAAAATTGAGGTCGGGTGCGCAGATGAGTGACATATGATTTTCCTTTTGTGCTGGCACTCCTGGGGTGGCCGGTCGAACATTGGTCGAAGGAGACTGTATGAACGGGTCAAGGAGTCTAGCCTGGTGCTGGGCTGGGCTGCTGTCTGGAGGCTGCTCCGTGGCAGAGGTCGCATGTGCTCTGGCTGGGGCTGCGGTTGGAACTGGCTCCGATTGTTTTGGAATTTCCTGAGTTGTCAGGCCCAAATCCTCATCCGCAACCACCCAGACCACGCCTTTATGCAACACTTTGATCCTGTCGTAGTGTCTCCCACTGTTATCTCCACATCTCCTAACCATGGGTTCGATCACCAAGTCTATGGCTTGTCCGTCAATGCCGATCAGTTTCGGGTCGCGCCCATCATCGTCATCGTCGTCTTCTTTCAATTTCATTCCACGGTGGGGGTCGAAATGCTCATGCTTGACCTCAAATAAAGGGTCTGGCATCTCGTTAAGAAAGAATGCTTGGACGACAGGGTGATGGAGTGCCAACTGGGAAGACAGTTCAAAGGCGTCTGTGACAAGCTGGAGAAATTCGGCTCTGCGGGTTTGTCGATCCTGTTCATCGACAGGTTTGAGGAGAGCCCCGTATGTCGGAAAGAATCTATCGCAGGTAGTCTGACAATGTTTTTCGCGTACCTGCTTTCTATGTTGGAATAGTTCCGACTGGGCCAGCTGCTCAGGCCCGGACACTCGTGGTGGCTCGAGAGCACGGAGGATGCTCACCCGGGCCAGATTTGACGATTCCATGGACCCTGAGACGGGTCAACAAAATACGGTGTGTGAGCCACCGCCATAGGGACAACTCACCTAGCTCGGCCAGTCGTATGAATGAACCCATCGCCTTTTCCACATTCATCGTTGAGCCATTAGCCAAGAGTCCCTTGAGGTTTGCAAATGGTCGTTGGAACGTGTTCTCGCAGACAAACTGGTTGACTAGGGCATGAACGATGGTCTTTGGACGAATTTCCTTCTGCTCAACAGCCTGCACGCAGCGCTCCGAGGCAAACGGCTGGGCAGAATTGGCTGTAAGGTAAGTCACAGCTTTCTGGTGCTGCTGCTCGCTTGCTTCTCTCCATGCTTTGAAGGACCACTTGTACGAAAAGAGTCTGGTTTCTTGGAAAATCCGATCTAAATCGCTGCTGACAACATCATCGGGAATTACCTTCATGTCATTGTCATCGGCGCCGACTAGGTCGAGTTTTTCACTGCAGATCTCTCGAAGATTCCCCTCGAGCGTGTCGATCTTTTCTCTTGCTTTTTTGAGTTGAGAATTGAGATTCTCGTTCTTTTCTTTTGCTTTTTTGAGTTGAGAATTGAGATTCTCGTTCTTTTCTCTTGCTTTTTTGAGTTGAGAATTGAGATTCTCGTTCTTTCCTCTTTCGCTTTTGAGATGAGAATTGAGATTCTGCACCTGCACTCTCAAAGCCTCTTTCTCCCTGTTTGATTCGTCCAGATTTTCCTCAAGTGATCTGACTCTCTTGCGGGCAGTTTCAAGACTGGCTGGGAGGTTCCTACGCTTGTTTTTGAGGGTCAGATTGTCGTTCTGAGCTTCCGCTGAGCGTGTGTCTGAACATTCTTCCTCGTAGTCCTTGTCTGAGTCATGGTCTCCATTTCGTCTTTTCGTCGGCACGTCGTCTTTTTCATCCGAATATTGGCTGGCAAAATTGGCAACTGATGTCGAACCGTTGCCTTTGATCGTTGCCTGGTGGCGTAGTCTCGTATCACGACGGTTTGTCTGACATTCTTGACCGGGAAGTTGGCAGAGTCTCTCCGTCTCCTCGATATCGCTGGCCATTTTGGTTTGCACTGCCACAGCTATTGGGAAATAAGGGCCAGTCGTGGTGGGCCAGTCGTAGTGGAAATTGAAAATAGCAATGGATAGTAGTAGGAAAGGATGCGAGCAGAGAAACCCGAGTCTTGGTCAAGGAGATGAGATAGCCTCGCAATGAGCAAGCCCAACGAGGAGAGGTAACGAGGAGAGGTAACGAGGAGAGGTAACGAGGAGAGGTGAAAGTGAAATGAGCTGAGTTAGAATCAAAGTGTTAGCAGCGTTAACGGCGAAGCATGTGATAGTCGGCCGTACCTATATATCTCAAGGAGCACCTCTTCTTGTCTTCCTCTCTCTCACACAACACACCTCCCTTCCTCGCCTCGACTCGCCTCATCTCCTCTCCCATTCCTTTTGACCAAAGATACATGGCATTGAGGACTCTACCACTCCCTCGTCCCGCTTTTCTTTCTCGTTCGAGGCAACCAGGGCATATCCAGCGCCATGCCTTCGAACATCCTGGGCATCAAGGACACTGTTCCTCGCGATGACGGTAAGGCACAGAGATCAGTGATACCGAGGCCGCTGACAGTTCTCGATGAAGCAGAGCTCAAGGCTAGAACGCCCATCAAGTCCCCAGCACTGAAACGCAAGAAATCCAGTAGGCAAAGATCCATGGAACACATGTGAGCCGTTAGTCTGACCGCTCAGCATGTCCACTCAGTCCTGAAGAAGCCGAGAGGAAACGGGAGCTTAAAGAAGCTCTAGAGCAGAGACGTGCCGAGAAAAATAGCAGAATAGTTGTCGGTATCGATTTCGGGACCACGTTTTCAGGTATCTGCACATGGAGAAGATTGATGAGATAGTACTAAGCTTTGCAGGTGCTGCATATGGCAGCACGACGAAGTCATGGAACGACGTGGTTGTCATTTCAAGATGGCCAGGAGAACGAAACGACATTCTTGAAAAGGTCCCCACTCGTTTGGCCTATGGTATCGAAAATCAGTCTTCCACCGACAAGTGGGGATATGATGTTGGAAGCGGCCAGAATACATGCCAGTGGTTCAAACTGTTACTAGACGGAGCCTTGAACAAGACCGACTTCGATGACCCATTGCTGGAGAGAAGCATGGGAAGCAGTCTGATGCACTTACCTGAGGACAAGACTGCCATGGAAGTTGCATCGGACTTTCTGAGCAAGCTGTATTGCCATGTCATGGACTCGATCCAACAAGTCATTGGGAGAGTAGCGGTCGAGAAGACTGCAATTCGCTTCGTGGTCACTACTCCAGCAACATGGAGTCTGGCAGCGCGCCAAGCGACTCGTGAGGCAGCCGAAGACGCTGACATTGGCAGTCGTGATCGCGATGACATCGTCATGATTGACGAACCTGAGGCGGCAGCGATTTACGCCATCAAATCAACGATGTCTGCATTCGACGCTAGACCTTTCCTTGTAAGTGTATCGCCGTCCAAAGATGGGTCCGCCTAATTCTGAGTAGCCAAATACTTGCATCATGGTGGTGGACATGGGTGGCGGTACTTGCGATCTGTCGACTTACCGCCTGGTCAGAATTGATCCCCTGCAAATTGAAGAGGCCTGTGTCGGCCAAGGTAAGTCCGGAGTCAACAAGGTGGTCACAAAATTCAGGTCTGACCTTCGTTAAGGGGGGAAATGTGGGGGAACCTGGATCGACCGGAACCTGAATAAGCTTCTTGAAGAACGATTCGGTCGTGCATTCAGTGAGCTTCCTCTGAGCAAGACTGGAGCAGGCAGTCGCTTCATGGCAGCTTTCGAAAGCGTCAAAAGAAACTTCAGCAATGAAGTCGACGCCGAAAAGGTGTTCGAGCTGCCATTGAAGATGCGAAAGCTCGACGAAGACGATCCGGTCGTCGCGGCGTCCTATGACTTTGATGAAGATATGGTGAAGATCACGGCGTGAGCAACTCTCATGGTAGCCAATCAGGAAGAAAGCTCACTCAATATCAGAGCAGATGTGGAAGACATGTTCGAGCCAGTGGTGACAACCACGTTTGACTTGGTCGACAAGCAGCTCAGCAGGACCAAGGAAGCCAAAATGCCTCCTGTTCGAGTATGAATAATTCCTCTGCGAGGGGAACCAAACTGACTTTGAGCAGGCAATGGTACTTTGCGGGGGGGTGGGATCATCGCCCTATGTAAGGCATAGGTTCGAAAAGTACATCGACGAGAATCTCAAAAGCAAGGTCGAGCTTGTGAGCCCGCAGAGGCCGTGGTCCGCCATAGTTAGAGGAGCAGTGATTGCGAATCTTGAGAAGTCACCAGTTTCCTTCCGACGCTGCTGTGATAGCATCGGGTTTACCGTGCATCAACAGTTCGACCCATCGAAACACAACCCGGCTGACCAATTTGAATGCCCCGAGCTCGGTTTACGAGCTAGAAATCAGATGTGTTGGTCGGTTCTTCGGGTAAGTAGCCAACCATCTTTTGTCGGTCGGTTCTAACAGAACAACAGGGCGAGAAGGTGTCGACCAACCTAAAAAAACAGGTCAAATGCTACCTCGTCATCCAAGACCCCGAAGTGGTGAAGGAAGAACACCTGGTATACCAGGATGTTTATGCATGCGATAAAAAACTGGCACCACAGCGTCTTGACACTTCTGGTGAGCGAGCTTTGGCTTTTTGCGGAAACCACCAAAGCTGACTTGATACAGTTCGGAGAATCGGCAGGCTCAAATTCGACTTGACATCACTTGTCAAAAGTGAACAGAATCGCATCGACAACGACACGGGCGAGTATCCGGCCAACTTCAACTTTGACGTCTGCCTCGAGATGACGCTGGGCTCACAGAAAGGCACTCTGGAGCTGGCAGCCAAGTCGGGAAGAAAGAGACTGGGCAGTGTCACTATCGAGTATGAGAGCGACGCTGCATACAATAATGGCGTCAAGGTGTCAGGAAAATAAGGCGAGATTCAAGTGTCAGCGCGCGATGGAGATGGATAAAGGAAGATGAGTTGCTGAAGCGAGGATGCATTGGACGGCACGTGATGTCATGAGATCGCTTATGTCAGCGGAGTGCTCTACCGTTGGTGCCGTGCTACCATTTTCGGCTTGGCCAGGAACATCTTCAAGCTCAGGATGATCGGGGAATTGCTTGCTGTGTGTTGTACGGAACTACGAGCCCAGGCATTGCTCCTAGCGCAACTGGCTACGGCACGACAATGATACTTTGCTACTCACCAGACTTCATCCACATGTCCTGGCATGAATAATGACGCCGTCCCCGTCCTCTTGCCTGGTCCAGAGCAGGGCACGCTCCGCGCTCGCGATACGAAGATCGACCACATTGATTCCCTCCTACGCACACTCGATAGCCTGATCTTCCTCCAGCTGGGCATCTTGTATCTCTGCGACAACCTTACCTTCTTCTTGTTCCTACGCGCCTTTTCCCAAGTCCTACACGTACGACAGTCGGAGGCGCTCCAATTCCCACCCGTCATCTTCGCCAACCTATTATGCTTCGGGACCCATCTCCTACAACAGAGGCCTGAGACCAAGTATTTACATGGCGGGCTGATTGTTGATTTTGTCGGGGATCTGGCCCCTTCGAGATGGAGGGTGCTGCTACTAGACCTGATTGTCTTTGGGTTGCAACTGCTCATGCTGGTGGTCGGGCATGAAAAGACAGTTGTTTCAGGGAATACACAAGTGCAAGAAGAATCACAACCACAAGATATAGAAAGCGAGGAGGCTGGTCGACTTCGGTCACAACCCCAAGACCCACCATCCGAAACGGCGGACGGCATTGAACTACAAAGTCTGTTACCCGACCGAGCCAGCGAAGATCGGCCAGCGCATGCAGCGTTGAAGCTGGACACTCAAGGGGACGATCTGATTGTGCTGGATATGAAAAAGGGACTGAAAGCCCTGCTGAGGAGACCTCCCCAGCCTACTTCGCCTGCAATGGACAGTCCAGCAGCTCGCGCAGGATTCGCGAATATGTTGGCGAGGATCGCTGCGGCAAGGGTACGGGCAGGGACGGCTTGAGTGGAAGGAGGTCACAGTACTTGGATAAAGTACACAAATCATGCCACGCCGTACCAGCCGAGCCCGGCACGTACATGTATGATGAAACTATTATGGGGATTCGCCGCAGGTAGCCATGATCCCCAAATGTCCATAGAGATGTTTGACTGAGACGATCGCAATGCTTACATGGCAAAATCAACCCGCTAATGTCTGCAGTATTCTTCCACGCGGTAACCCATGATTCGGTGATGCCCAAACACGACACGTACCTACCAGGTACCTTAGTATGTAACATCAAGACGTAGGTACTACTAGGTAGCCTCGTATTCGTCTTCATCCGGCAAGCCTCGTCATCGGGGTTTTGTGCGGCAATACTCCCCCGTAGAGCCAGCTGCGCTACCAACCTCAAAATGCGTGATACAAGACCACTCCGGATTCTGTTTCCTCTTCTTTGACGCGACAAGTTTCCTTCGTTGTCCATTTACAAGATGCGGCACTTACTCCGCGCAGCCCCTCGACTGTCGGCGCCTGGATCCGCGCGAGCCTGCTGGGCGAGTCTACAGAATGGCAGCCGGCCACGGCACTATTCGCGAACATCCAGTCCACCCACGTCCAGCTGGCTGCCTGTGCCATTTGTGACCGAGACGATTGGCGGGATGAGCCACACGACCGACCTGTTCAGCCGGCTCCTCAAAGAACGCATCGTCGCGGTGTACGGCGAAGTGGACGACCGCATGGCGGCCACGGTGACGGCATCCCTTCTGTACCTCGAGGCCGACAGTGACCGGCCGATCTCCATGTACATCAACTCGCCCGGCGGGTCGGTGACGGCGGGCCTGTCGATCTACGACTGCATGAACTACATTGTCCCGGAAGTTTCGACACTGGTGTTGGGCCAGGCGGCGTCGATGGGCAGTCTGCTACTTGCGGGCGGCGCCCCTGGTAAGAGATATTGTCTGCCACATTCAAGCATCATGCTGCATCAGCCCAGTGGCGGCTATTTCGGGACGGCGGCAGACATTGCGATCCATGCGAAAGAGATTCTTCGGATTCGCACGCAGCTGAACCAAATCTACGAACGACACCTGACCGGCAAGAAGAAGATGACTCTTGAAGAGATCGAGAGGATGATGGAGCGCGACTATTTCCTTAGCGCCCAGGAAGCTTTGGAGTTAGGTGTTGTGGATGAGATCCTTGCGAGCAGGAAAAAGGGTCCGGAGAGTGAGGAGGAGAAATGAACGGGCAGGAGAGACACATATTCGAGATGGCCCTGGATTGGGAACCCAGAAAAAGGCAGAAGCCATAGCCGTGGAATTGTACAACAAGAAAGACTGGACTAGGCTAGGCGGTCCAGGTCAGATTTGGATGCCATGTACACTACTCTGCTCTCACCTTCGGCATGGGTGGTTATCTGGTATTGATCCCACAGACTCTCCTCAGCCAGTCATCGACATCGACATCGATACTCATCCACTTCAGCAATCTATTGTTGGGAAGGACGTACCGTCGGAAGATGTTTGGACGCAGGAATGTGGAAGACGCCGAGGTTGTCCAGGAAGCGGATACCTATTGTCGTCGTGGTGGTTTACAGTGGCGAGGCGACCACCCAAAGCAATATGGTGGTAGCGATGGCTGATTGTCGTGGTAATTGTGGTGGTGACCAGGTCACGATGATGGAAGTGGTGCTGGCGTTGACAATGACATTGACGGTCATCTATGATGGACCAGCGCCCTCAACTACCTCATCGAACATAGGAGCTGGATGGATTAGCCAGACCATCATTTCCCACTTGGTCTAGGAAGCCTAAACTCATCTCAACCCTACCTATACCTAATGAAACAACCAGTCCAAAAATTAAAGTGCCTCCAGCATTGCGGCTCCATTCATTCATTCGAACCACTCACTGTACAAGTCTAAACCCCCGAACCGTGAATAATGTCCTCTGCGGGACGGGGACGTCTGAGGTGGTGATTGATGTCTAAGGTGGTGATTGATGTCTAAGGTGGTGATTGATGTCTAAGGTGGTGATAATTATTATTATTGGCAATTAATTAGTCTCGCTCAGCTCACATCTTCCCAGTATTTCACGCCCTCCTTCTCAGGCTCATCCTCATCCTCATTGTCAGGGCTCGCAACTCTCCTACCCCTACTCCTACGTTCATTACCAACTCTGTAACATATATGTCGTGTTGGGTGAATTGAATTGAATTCGCGGAACTGTTTAGTCAAGAGTCGTGACTACGTTGGTTAGTATAGGATAGTAGTGGCTGTGGCAGTAGCAGTAGCAGTACACAATAGGTAGGTATCTAGCCCCCGGTATGCTTAAGGCGGGACTTAGTCCTAGGGCTTGCGAAGATTGAAGATGTCATCGCAGATTAAAGATTCAAGATTCAAGGTTGTAGATTCAAGATTCAAGATTCAAGACTCAAGACTCGAGATTACAGACTCAATACTCAACATTCAAGACTCAAGACTGAAAAGACTAAGATTCAAGACTAAGATTCAAGACTAAGATTCAAGACTCGAGATTACAAGTTCATATGATATGTCCAGTGTCGATTCCACCACGACTGACTCGAATCGATTTCAATCCACTCCAGCCTCCAGCCAGCCCGGGACAATCCAGTTCAAATCGACCCTGCACGTCACGCTCAAATCATTCGAAAACGCCAGCTTTGCCAAGGAACCGTGAAGAAACGACGAAAAGCAGGTATGGGTTCTGGATACATACTGTACTCCGTACTCTACACGCCGTTCCTTCCTGCTCCAAGGTCATGTAATTGAGAAAATATTATGTGGGATATAGGATATGGGATATGGGATGCAAAAAGACCCGTCGCTCATTCAATCAAAGATCCCAACCGGCCAACCCACCGGCCAGCGTGCTATCAGGGGATGTGTTTTTTTTCTCTCCTTTGCGTTTGTTACAGCATAGCATGTCCATGTGTCCCAGTGTGTTTTCAAGCCAAGCCACACCGTGTGTTCTCTCCCTGCTCATGTACGACGGGACCGGCAGATGGTTGGAAGCGATTGAATAGCCGGCCTTCCCTTAGCGCTGTATCCACGCGTCCCAGAACACCACCCGACCCTGGCCAGTTCATCCCTTTTTGTTGCCGTTCAAGATGTTGTTATGATGGTAGCAAGGTCTCGTAGATCGGATCTCAAGTGACAGGCCGAGACCGAACAGGAAATCAAGACCAAGCATTTATTTCCCGAAGCCACCAGCAGGGGTTGGCAGCCCGTACTCGTACGCAGTGTAGATGCCGATGGGGCATTCATCTTGATCTTGGAAGAACCAGAAGTTGGTGTCGTTGGTCGTGGTCAGGCCCGCCACGCACGAACCGGCACCGACGAAGCATGGGCCGACGTCGATGGTGTAGGCGTTGCCGGGTTCCATGTGAACGGCCGGGAAGGGCGGGAAGGGACCGGGAGCGGGCTGGTTGTTCCAGGTGGTGTCGGGACCGGGGCAGCTGCCTGGGTTGTAGCCGGTGAAGAAGAAGCTGCCGGCGCCCTCGTACTCGAAGGTCGAGGTCTTCAGCTGCGACAGAGCCGGGAAGATGAACTCGAGGGTGCAGTTGGCGTCGGCCCGCTCGATGGGCACGTCGAAGCTGAAGATGGAGCCGATGTCATTGGGCGTGAAGACGCCGTTGTACTGAGGTCCGAACTTCTTGTCGGGCTCCGACTTGGAGATCTGGGTGATGTAGTGAGGGAACTCGAATTGGCCGGCTTCCAAGTCGCGAGGGCAACCGCTATCCCGTGCCGTCAGGGCACGCTTGCGCAGCACTTCTCCGGGGTACGCGGCGGCGAGGCCGGCGAGGATGGCGACGGCGGCGAACGACTTCATCTTGTCTGTGTCTGTGTCTTCGGTCGGCTCAATGGACGGCGTCTGGGTGAATAGTATTAAGTATGGGGTGTACGTGTATTGTTGGACGTCAAAAAAGGACGGGCAGACGGGGTCGACTTCAAGCGAATGACGATGACGAATACCGAAGAAGAAAGAGTGATGATCGAGAAAAGAGGAGAGACTGGAAAGGAGCTGGGGAAGCACGCGGTAGATAACAGGAGACGGCCTTTTGGTGGCTGTCATGTATCATGGTGATCCTCCAGGGAGATTGGCTCTGGGGCGGGTTCCCAATAGCCGGTGCCTCTAACTTACAGCGAGCAGTGGTGCCTGATAGACTCTGGAGTCTGGCAGCCGTCACAGAAATAAATCAAGCCCCCGGCTAGACCGAAGTGGACGTGGGCCGACAAGGCTGAACAACACAGAATAGGCGAAGTCAACGGAACACTGCTAGTCCACACTCCAGAGAAAGCCAACAGCCCTGAGGCCAATAATAAATTTCCAGCATACTAGCAGATCAAGGTTCAGTGAGACACGGCTCAGACTGCAGCGGCTCCATGCTAGTCCGCACAGCTGGTTCGGCGGCTGACAGGAGTGACAAGTGGGTGGCATGCGATGCGATGCTGATGCTGCCGGCCGGTTTGCCAGCAACCATGGACCGTGGACGGCAGACGGCCGGTCGGTGGATGCTTCCATGTCACTCTGCCCAAGAAGCTTTTTGGAGATTGAGGCTTGTTTGGACAAAAAGCCAACCGGGTATCAAAGTTGGAACCAAGGCAGGAGGATGGGGGCTGCGCGGTGTGAATTTCTGACACAACTTTCATTGGGAGAATAGATGACAGTGGCTTTGTGGCGTTGCGACCATGCCCGAGATGTTGATCGCCTTGCGACAGGTCCAAAGGAGCCGGCATAAGCGAGAGTAGACATGTTCCTGGATCCACCGTCCACCCCGTGTCCCATGTGTACTAGTCCTCCGTACACACTTCCAGACTGAGTATCTTTTGCCCGTCAGCCGCACGCAAGAGAGTGTAACGAGTCTTTTTCTCTCCTTGCTGTGTCGGGACGCGGATATTGATACTCCGTACTCTGTAGAATCCAATCCCGTCGGACAGTCAGTCCATCAACTTCCATCTTGCCCGACTTGTGGCATCTAGAATCGACAGGCTCGCGTCGTCACAGGGGAAGGGAACACTGGCCCTTGGTCCTACTGGTGTGACACGGTCAGTGTGCTGATGTGTTGATGGTCAACAAAGGCAGATTGCAGGTGGAGGGCTGAGGGGCGCCCTCTAAGCTCTGGCTCTCACGGATCCCTACTGCTAGTAGATTAGAAACTCGCGCCAAACACAGACGGCCGCACTTTAGATTGAACGCAAGCCACGCACCTGGCCACGGGCCTCCAACCAGCGTCGCGTGGAGGAATCGGGCTCGGGCCCATATTGATGACACTGAGGCCCATGCGCCTGAGGCACGCCTCAAAAATAGAAACCCGCCAAAACAGCATTCTTGAGTGTATCCAGATCTTTTGATCTTTTCTTTGTGCCTGAGCAAATTTGTGAATGAATCTACTGCCTATCATAGTATGTGGGCTCGTAGCGCTCGTCTCTCGCTCGGTTCAAATGTACCGATCGTAGATACCGTACTCCCCCGAACTTATACGGAGTAATCCGTACAGTATAGCATGTACGGATACCTCTGTTGAGGTCGGTAGATACTAGTAATTAGATACAGATCTACTAGTACGGAGTACGGCAGTAAGCGATAGCGATTTCTACTCTGCAAGGTAGAGGGCTTAGGCGTCGTGGCTGACGCTCGCTGATCTGCCAGCTCGCCACCACCCGGCATCTGGAGAGAACTCGGACTTGGTAAGCGCTCTATACGAGAATGAAAGATTAATCGACATGGCCAGACTCCGAGAGACTCGCGTAGACTTCTAGAGGACAAACATGTCTTGCGCCTCCCTTTGCTCATCGGAGCTGATGGTCTGCTGTCTCATTCACTCTGTGCCTGAGCTCCATGAGACTTGTTCTGTGGCAACATACTGTGCGACCCATGAGCAAGTTTGTTCGTTGGTTTTCTGCCGCCGATGAGGATGAGGATGAGGATGAGGCTTTTCTCGCCTGCAAGGACCTTTGCCGGTTAGACTCTATGGACAGAAATAATTCGTTCCGTTCTTAGCAAGCAAACGCGCTTTCCCTCCCGAGGAAGTACCTGGTCCTCGGCCATTGAGACATTGCGAAGGGTGCCTTTTTTTGCCTTGCCAGTCTTTTTTCAGATATACATGCTCGGATTCGTCGTTCGGGGTGGGAGCTTGCGCCCAGGGATTCCCACGGCATCCCAGACCTGCCCAGTGTCGTCCCCCAAAATATCACCTGCTCCTGCCTGGCTCATGCGGCCCGCGGTTCGGAAAAGGTGACAATGAATTATTCTGCGTCAAGAGTACTCCGACAGAATGAGCATGGCAGACCAGTTAGTCTGTCTTGATACTGTGATCGTTTTCACCCTCTCAAATTTCAGAAGATCCACTAAGTCGTTGGCAAACCGACCTTTCAGCAAATTCCCCTCTGGCTCCGAAACGCCATCGCTAACGCAGCGAGATGATATGTGCCTTAAGCATAAACCTTGTTTCCAGGCCATCCATTTTCTTCAGTGAACGGAAACATGTCCATTCTACTCCGTATTCTCTCATGCCCAGTGATCATGCGGCCAATATACCAGCAATTTGGCACGACATGTCTAGCATAACGAGTTCTTCGTCAACTCCATCGACGAGCCTCTTGTCGAACTCGGAGAAGATCTGCGTCAACTTGTATTTCTTCTTGGTTTCCACAAGATCGTCAAAGACAATCTTAGAGTACAGACTTGATAGCAGCTCATTCGCGGCGTAACCTGATGCCGTGATGTCTGTGATCTCCGCGGCAATGCGGTTATAGTTGCTAGTGTTGCCCTTCTTCAGAACGCTGAGGAGTTTGTCAGTTGACTCTGGGGGAAAGGTTCCGGCAAGTTCGTCAATGTCGGAGATGCTGATGCTCCCGGATGACAAGCCTGTCTGATCATGGTCCTCCATCTCCTCGTCCGAGTCTTCGGTCACGCTCCGTGCATTCTTGGGTGCCCGCGAGTTCGATTCAAGGTTGCCAACTCCCACAAGTCTAGCAGCACTCTGGAGAATCGTGATGGCTTTTCGAAGATCCCCGTCTGAAACCTGCAGCGCCCGCTCGATTACTCCTTGCTGATATTTGACGTTTTCTGCGGTCAGGATCTCTTCGATTCGAGCGGCAGCCTGGCCGCCCTCCAGGGCCCGAAAACGATATTTCGAGCATCGAGAGGCGATCGGATCGAGAATCCGGCTCACGTAGTTGCAGCACAAAGCAAACCTAGTCGTGCGAGCATGTATTTCCATCGTTCTTCTGAGTGCGCTTTGGGCGTCGGACGTGAGTTGGTCGGCCTCGTCGAGTAATACAACCTTGAACGGGGGGCACGGATATTTTTCTCGATACTGCTGTGATGGATTTACTAAATGCTGACCCGCAAACTGCTTGACGCGTTCCCGGACAACGCTCAGTCCCCGTTCGTCTGAAGCGTTCAGCTCGAGGACCCGATGCTTCATGAGTTCCGGGCCGAACAGCTCTCGACACAGGGCCAGGATGGTCGAAGTTTTGCCAGTTCCAGGCGGGCCATAACACAAGAGGTTTGGCAGATTCGACGCATTGACCATTCGCCGCAATATGTCGATGGCATGATCCTGGCTCTTCACTTCTTCAAGGCTCCGAGGCCGATACTTTTCCACCCATGGCAACAGCGCTGGCGTTGGGCCAGCCAGCTCACTTGGCTTAGATTTCGAACTTGAGGCAGCGGCAGCGGCGCGAGCTTTGTTGTCGAAGAAGTTCGCCATAGTGATGGGCGGTTTTGGGCAACAGTGCGATTTCGATCTGCTATTTCCGGGACAGACTGGGAGTCAGAGAAGGTTGACAATGACAGAACCACGCGGGAGGTCACCAAGTCATTGCTGAGGTGATCAACGCTGCGGAAGAGGAGTGAGGTTTATTGTAGGGAACTTGCATCCTTAAAGTCCCAAAGTTAACAGTCAGACTGCGACGCGCTCAACTGCAGAGGTCGCGTACTGAGAGTAGAGTGGGCTTGGCGCGCGTCACGGACCTATCCTACAGGTACACGTGATTGACAAGGCTCCAAGCACAGGGGCCACCTTGCCTTGCCCAGTGTACGGAGTACGGAGTCCTGGATTCGAAGTCAGACAATACATATATAAAGCTTAAACCAGCGGGAAATTGCTGGCGGTTCCGAAATGAACAATTTCATGCTATCGTGTCGCCTTTCATCATAGTTCGTCCCTCGCTGTCCGAGTTTCCACCTCTACCTCCATCATCCGCTTCAGAGAATTCCGGGGTTGTTCTTCTTGAGCCTTACGTTCCTCCTCTGTAATATCGTCGATGTTGGTGGCCCCATCCTCCGTAATCTGGCCAACTTTCTCGACCATACTCTCTGGTTCCACCGGTGGTTGAGCAGGCCTTCTGTCCCATCCTCCGCCTTTGGCTGGTAATTCCACACTCCGCGACAGCATGACGGGATTGAGCGTTGGCATTCCTCTTGCATTCATTCCAGGCATAGATATAGAAAGAGACGGTACTGGAGCTCGCGATGGTGCCAGGTCCGATCGGCCAAGCACTGCTGTCCCAAGAGACGACAGAGACCACAGCAGGATACGGATTGGCCACCAGATGAACAGCATCATGGGTCCATACAGCAGCCTTCTGTAGAAAAGCCAACATATCGTTGCAGCCAATAGATAGAACGAGCTCCTCAAGAACCATGTGTCCGACTTAGTACTGCGCACAAGTTGAGTCACGAAGCCCCGGGAAGTCTTCAACAAGTCGGTCGTCCCCGAATAACTCTCTGTGAGAGATTCGAGAGCCTGTTGACTCTCCTCCAAAGTCTGCTGTGCAAATTGTGATCGTGCTAGTTCTCCCTCCAGCTGATTATGCACTCGACGCAAGGCCATAGTAACATCCTCTGCGGCCCGCAGTGCCAGCTCATCCTGTGTCAACTTGTCGTGTGTTGGGCGGGTGCGAATATGCCCATCGGTCTTTCGATCCGCAAATAGCTGCTCCCTCTGTTTCCTCTTTTCCTTGTCAAGGTTCTTCTTCGCCTCAAGCTGTGCGCGTCTGAAATTCGTCCTGGCGATCTTCAGGTCCTCGGTGAGTCGGGCTAGCAGGTCTGCATTTCGTTCGCGCTCGCTTTCTCTGTCTCTTCTGTGAAGAGTATCACGCCGTTGTATTGGTATGGAATCATCCTCAGACTCTTGCCTGAGAATCTCTAGGGTATCTTCTTGTTCTTTCAAGTTGTCGTGAATCTCAGTTGCAAGTTCGACTCGCCGCTCGTCTGGGTCTCCGTTACTATATGAGGCGGCCGAAAATTTCCGCAGTTCATGGATTAAATTCAAAGTTTCCCTGTGCGCATCTGCAAGAGCTTGGAGGCGTTGACCTAGCGAAGCAGACATGTTGGATCACGGATGCAAGAGACAACTTTGAGCCACCGCAGTCGAACATGAGGACCTTAAGTCAAACCAAGATCGGCGTGTGCAAACGGTGCAAACAGGCGGAAATCCTTAGCGTAGATTTGCTCCGAAGATCCATCGAAGCACTGCACATCTCGCAAAGGAATGCTCATTTGAAAAGAACCACCCTTCTGTGCATGAGCATCTATACTCCTCCTTATCGGCGTCGCTCTCTATATTTCGGTTCTGCTGTGATTTATTCTCCTTGGTACTTTTGCTATCTCCACCTCGAATAAGTCGGCGACCGTCTCCTACCAAATAATACATACTCCAGAGTCCGTACTACAGCCGCATCCAGAATGATAACAACATATGTCACATCGCTGAAAGTCGCTTTCAACCCTTTTTTAGCAACATCAAAGGTGCCCAGATTGTTCCTGACTCTTCTCCCGCCGGAAGCACACAAGACCATCAAGATCACCACTGCACAATTCCCGCGTACGTCAACGGCGTCAGCGCTCTTGGAATTAGGATTCAAGGATGGAAAGACAATGAAGTACACCTGGGAAATTGAGTCTTCATCCGCAGAGGACAAGACTACAAAGACGAAAAAAGTGGGCTTGAACGATATCGTAGAGGAGGTGAATAGGCACGCAAGAGGATTGGCTAGGAAGGAGGAGCTGACCGGTTGATCTGAACCAAGCAACTGGGATGGAGACGAAGGGTTGCGTTGCGAATAGGAAGCCCAGCACGGTCGAGCCGACATTCTCAGCATTCTCGAAAAGTGATACAGTTCCAACTTGTTAGAGCGAGCTTAACGGAGCGAGCTTAACGGAGCGAGGATCAGCGTACTTGTCAACATCATATGCTCGAAAGAAGACAACCCTCAATGAGACACACATTCGAGCTCTGGAGAATCGCAAGATTCCGGCGACCACCCTGTCGGAGGAACTGCCAAAGCCTCACCAGGTGGTCGAAGATGTCCTTACGTACTCCGAGGAAGACGTAGCGTTGAGCATCACGATACTATGTCGACACATTATGAATACTCCTAGTGTGCCAGCGGATGAAACATTCCCCTCGACTCATCAAGCACGGGACCCAAAGAAATGGCGTTTTCGCCATCGTACATAGCATTAGGGACTGACAGGTACATACCTATATGGGGTTCCATATACCTGGCCCAAAGAACCCTACTTCAACCATTGTTGTTCATGCAACGATGTCGCAGACATCCGCAGACCTTACAGCCTAGATATCCGTGTTGTTCTTCCACTTCTTTCTCTCGAGGACTCGCTTGTAGCTATCCGCGAGGCTGATCCGTCATCTCATTTCTGGCAGGGGCCGCTAAATCGTTGCCGTTGGTGTTGATTAAACCACATGGGATGGCACGGAGCAGAATTTAGAGGATCGACTCCATCTTGCTAGAGGAACTCCCTTGCAAAGCTGATTGTCGAGGCCCGCAGTATCTCATTTGTTACATTTCGTCCAAGATATCTCCTTGGCGAGCCCACGTTGCGGGCATACCGAGAGACACAAGTCCCCAAGGTCTGCATTTTCAGACTGCAACTGCCATAGCCCCTTGCCCAACACCTTCAAACCCTGCATTTTCGGCAGCAATTTCCACTTTCTGCTTCTTCGTCCGTTCTTGACTTGGATTGCAACCTGGTTCGGTTTGATGGTCGGACTGCTCCAATGCTCTCTTCTTGTCTTGTTTCTTCTGATGAGCTTCTTTGTTCTGCTGCTTGTTTTGGCGCTTGATATCTGTCTTTGTAACCTTAGGGGCATCGAGGCTCAAGATATGGTCCACCTCCTTCGCTTTCTCCACCATCTCTCCATCGGAAATCTCAAGGATTGATAGCGCCTGGCTGTAGCTCCGTGACATCTGCACAGGTTGATAGGCAGGATTCTTGCCAGGCATCAGCTGGGACAGGAGAAATTTCGTATTACTCCATTTGTTTTCCACACTGATTGCCAGTTGCAAATACTCTTTGACGACTTCCCGCCAGGACGCCACACCACCTTGATCTTTGGGCCGAAAGACGGAGGAATTAGCTTCTGCTGCTGTAGCAATCATTGCTCCGTCAACCTCGTACTCCTTTGCAATGGCAAGCCCTTCTTCTCGAGATTTAACATCTCCGTTCACTAAGCAAGCCACACCATGGTTTCTGCAGATCTCCCCAATCATGCGCAATTGATCGCGGATTGCGCGCTCTCTCGGCCTCATAGGGGTTGTCCTGCAATGGATGGTCAAGCCTACGATGCCAGTGTTACAAAGCTTGTTCACCAGCGTGGACGTCATTTCCGGCGTTTCGAGCAATCTGATCTTGACGCTGATTCCGATCTCATGAGGGATGCCGACTTTGGTGACGAGCGCAGTGAGTATGTTGCAAAGAAGGTCCGGGGTGCGCAACAGTGCCGCACCCATACCACCAGAGGTAGAAAACGGCTTCGGACAACCTGCATTCACATCGATTCCGGACACATATGGCGCAACGAGGGCCGCAGCTTGAACAGCATAGTCGGGCGAAGCCGTACCGATTTGATAGATCAATCTGTCCGATTCTCTTTTTGGGTCGATGCGAAATATGACTGACTCCTTGGGCGGTACACCAGACTTGGGATTGTTGTTTGACATCCGTGTCCACTCTATACAACCTGTCCGAGGGTTTGTTTGCTGCGTGGTACCGATCATAGATCGATCAACTGTTTCGGGCCCCCATACCAGATCTGCCCCGTATTTCAGTGCCAGTAACCGTGAAGGCAGTTCTCCCGACCGTACCATGGGTGCCAGAACCACTTTGCCTCGGTAATCAACACCTCTTCTGGGTATGGGAACGTGGGGAACAACTCGAGGAGTCGGGTCGGAAGGAGAGGGTGAAGCCATTGTGGTGGACTTGGACCAGAGGGAGGGAAATGGTTTTATGATGGATAGAGCGCGTCGTAGCAGAGACTGTGGCCGAGCAGCATGGCCGACGGTCATGTAGGGGCTTGTGTGAGTAGCGGGTGTGCTTCGTCGTTCAGAATCAACTCTGGCCGTGCAGTTTGCAACAAATGCAGTCGGCGGCCTTATCGGGAGAAAACTGGACGGTCACGTGTTGATAGAAGACAGCGCAGGCGGTGAAGGGCTAACGGGAGACGCTGATACCTCGAATTACAGGTTTCGGTCACGTCAAATTCTCGGGCTTCGATGGCTGCAACTCCCATACCTCGCCTTGAAGGACCGAGGCGGAAAGAGAACAGCAAAACCTAGCACTGCTAGTAGTCTGGCAGTAGTACATTGACATCTCCAAGGCCGTTCTGCTCTTTGCCTTCTTCATGCACATGCTTCCATCTCCCACGGCAGTCTCGAGCATTCCATTCAAGCGAAGGCTGAACCCGCGATCCTGCAGCTGCATCCGCCTCAGGTCTTTTTCTCCTCCCAGTCACCGACATTCGTCATTTCACCGCCAACCGTCAACACCCCGCGCCCTGGCTCCCACCACGGCGACTCAAAAATCCGTCTCCTCTCCTCTCCTCTCTCCCACATCCCCGACCATAGCTTCCCAACGCTCTAAAGCCATTGCTCGACACTTGGCTACTACTCCATCGTCCTCTTCCACCACGGCCAGCATGTCGTACAGCAAGCAGCAATCCGAGTACCAGACTCGGAAAATTGGTGCCCTGCACACCAATGAGTTCAGAACCTATATTGAAAAGGATGGCACTCCCATCTCTCCTTTTCACGATATCCCCCTCTATGCCAATGAGCAACAAACTGTTCTGAACATGATTGTTGAGATCCCCAGATGGACAAATGCAAAACTTGAGGTTCGTATGACATGAGCTTCACCATCATCGAAGAAAAGTACTAAATCTTGTTGACCAGATCTCCAAAGAGGAATTCCTGTATGCTGCCACCGACTCCCCGATCTTCATAAAGCACATGACCTGACACAGATGGCTCCAGGAACCCTATCAAACAAGATGTCAAGAAGGGCAAGCTTCGATTTGTGCGCAACTGCTTTCCTCACAAGGGCTATTTGTGGAACTACGGAGCCTTCCCAAGGGTGAGTGGCACTCAGGACGCATTCTCATAGTTGCTGACAGTGGCAGACTTGGGAGGATCCGAACGTTGTCCATCCCGAGACCAAGGCAAAAGGTGACAATGACCCGTTGGATGTTTGTGAAATCGGCGAACTCGTTGGCTATACTGGACAAATCAAACAAGTCAAGGTCCTTGGCGTTATGGCGCTTCTGGACGAGGAGGAGACGGACTGGAAGATCATTGTCATTGATGTAAGTTGCTGATGCTTGATTTGGCGACTGCTCGCATTTTCTGACAGGGTTGGCAATAGATCCACGACCCTCTCGCCCCCAAGTTGAATGACATCGAGGACGTCGAGCGCCACCTCCCTGGTCTCCTCCGTGCTACCAACGAATGGTTCCGTATCTACAAGATCCCAGATGGCAAGCCAGAGAACCAGTTCGCCTTCAGCGGCGAGTGCAAGAACAAGAAATATGCTGAGGAGATCATCCGCGAATGCAGCGATGCATGGGAACGTCTGATCACTGGCAAGCAACAACGTGGGGATCTCAGCCTTGCCAATGTGACAAACACCAGCTCTCCAGACCGTGTCGACCCATCTCAGCTCTCCAAGATTCCCCCTGGCCAAAATCTTGCTCCTGCACCAATTGATGGAAGTGTCGACAAGTGGTTCTTCATCTCTGGTGCGGCCGTCTAAGACGAAGCGCATCGAACATTTTGACTGATTTGATTCAGGTGCCGGAGCCACCTCAGATGATTACTCTAAATGAAGGAGGGTCGCAAACAACTCGCGCTGTCACCGGAATACAATGTCCTGGAAGAGGCTTTGATAGACAAGAACAGTTCTCTCCATGTAGAATGTGTTACCTAATGCCACGTAATTGGCTAGCAGAGCGCAACCTTGGCTTTCTAGTCTAGAGTTGTAGATCGCATTCCTTCGGATTAGGACACGTCAAGTACTAATCTAAAGTCTGGTCGCCGAACACGCGTATAGTGGGATCTGGTACTCTCGCTAGAACAAACCCCCCCTTTCTCAAATCATGGCAGCTATAATCTGTCCAGTGCCCTTGCGCACTATCGCTACACTCACTCCGACTCTGTCTGTCGCTTTGTGAGTTCAAGAACTCTCCACCAAACGTGGTCGGCGGAAAGCTGCCAGCAACACGCAGCCAGCAACACGCAGCCAGCTCTGTCCCAGATCGATACCGCTCAAAGCACTCGGTGTGCTGATGAAATGCAGACTGCGTCATGGAGCAGCACACCCTCCATCAAGGGCTCGACGGAAGCCGTTCGCATGTGTTTGCTCACCTTCTCTCTTATTGGACTACAGTATGGCCCGACGCACCCCTGCTCACAGCTTTGACGCTAACCTCGCCTGCAGATTCACCTGGGGAATTGAGATGACCTGTTAGGGACCCCGATCAATTGAGTTTCGCGGCGGTACGGAGTACTGATCTTGTGGCGCAGATGGCACGCCATACCTCCTTCAACTCGGTCTCACGAAATCGAAGACGTCGTTAGTATGGATCGCAGGCCCAATCTCGGGCCTGATCATGCAACCTATAGTCGGGGCTTATGCGGACAAATCAACCTCAAGATATGGCAGACGCAGACCGTACATGATAGTTGGCGCCCTCATCACCGGCCTGGGCCTCTTGTTACTAGGATGGACATCTGAGGCCGTAGGACTGTTCCTTGCGGAAGGGGACACTAAGAAAAATGTCACCATTCTGGTCGCGGTGCTTAGTATCTATGCTCTTGACTTCTCAGTCAATGCGGTCCAAGCCTGCAGTCGAAGTCTCATTGTCGATACGCTGCCGATCTCTCAACAGCAGGCAGGGTCGGCATGGGCATCCCGGCTCACCGCCGCTGGTCATTTGATAGGCTATTTCATCGGCACATTTGACCTGGTGAGGCTATTTCCACCTTGGTTGGGAGGAGACACCCAGTTCAAGAAGATGACGGTTATCTCGGCATTGGTCCTGTGGATTACGGTTGGCGTAACATCCTGGGCTGTTACAGAGAGGGTGAGACTTCCGGGAGACGACGATGAGACTTCTATAAAGGAGATCCTCGTCAAACTGTGGAATAGAACCACACATCTCCCACCTCGGATACAGTCCATTTGCTGGGTCCAATTTTGGAACTGGGTGGGATGGTAAGTAATACTGCACATCCCCGACATATGTGCGATCAAGCCTGACAATACTACTGCTGTAGGTTTCCATTCCTCTTCTACTCCAGCACCTTTGTGGGGGAAGTCTATTATCGGTACGAGCATTCCGCTCCTGAGCCGGGCGTGAAAGATGAGCACGATGCCCTAGGGAATATCGGGAGACTGGGCAGTGTGTCGCTGGTCCTCTTTTCGTTGATCACGTTCTGTTCGTCTGTGATATTCCCCTACATCATCCGAACTCCAGGAGAAGCAGGAGAAAAATTCACACCTCGTCCACCTCGAGCATTGGCGAAATCCGTTCAATCCCTGTTGATCAAGGCTTACAGCTTCCAACCGGACTTGACCACTGCGTGGATGTGGTCGAATCTGTTGTTCGCCACGATCACTATTTGTGCTCCCTGGGTTCATACCTTGGCTTCTGCCACAGTCCTGGTCGCTTCCTGCGGTGTGCCGTGGGCGGTCTCCTGCTGGGCTCCGTTCGGGCTACTAGGGGTGGAGATCAACAAGATGTCCTCCGGTCCACCCGCACATGTTCACGGTCCAGCTGCTCCAGGATATACCGCGGTTCGCGCTAGCATCGACGAAGACGAGGCGGACATTGCAATGAAAGATATAGCGCAAGGACGCCATGAACTTGCCGATAGTGTCCTCAAAATTAACCATCTCAGTGATCATGGTGCACATTCGTCGACGGGTGAGCTTGCAGGCGTTTATCTGGGAGTCTTGAACGTCTACACCACGTTACCCCAATTTGTCGGAACGTTCATCAGCTGGATCATTTTCTCAATGCTCGAGCCAGGCAAGAACGACAACCTTGCTGATGAGGACCCCGACCATCACCGCTGGTTAAGTCTGAAGAAGAACGCACCCAATGCGATTGCTATCTGTTTGTTCGTCGGTGCGATATGTTCTATCATCGCTGCTGAGGCCGCTAGAAGGCTGAAGCGGCTGGATTGACAGAACCATGATCCCAACTGGTCCCAGAGTCTCTCAGATCTTACGGGAGCAACATCTTGATTCTAGGAAATTAAGCATGCCTCCAAGTCCACTCCTCTACCGTGGAAATGCGTCGTCAGTTAAAGATGTACTGAACCCAAATGACGACAAACCATCAGGACACAGATTTCCCAAAAGTCATCATGAGCATAACCGCAAGGCAATCGATTATCCCAAATCAAACTTCCTTCCTCAGCTTCCCATGCACCTTGTGAGCGGGCGCTGCTTCGGACGACTCCACCAAGCACATCTCAACTAGAGGCGCCGACGGCAATGGGCATATAAGTGAGATGAGGTGGAATATCGTGGCGAGAAAGACCTTCATCGGCCAAAGAGTAGTTTCCCCGGAATCTGGAGGCCGGGGCAAGAGGCCACAACGCCAACAGACGCCGTTTTGGGACTATGATGGTCATACGAACCGCCTGCTCTCAATGGAATCCCAAGGTTCAGAGATTAATCTGCCCTTTTTTTGGAGCAAGTCTGTGGTCAGGCAGCATGGCTGAAGAACACGCACAAGCGTGTATTGTAATATGAACTCATACAACTTCTCCTGTGATATCTCCGTCTACCTTGTTTCTCTACTCTATGTTCACCTGGCTATAGTGTGCAGTGGCCAGTTCTTATTCTAGATGGACAACAAGGCAGTCTCTAGGAGCGATATACTACGAGCATAACTGGCTGTGCTTGCTGTATCAGCGTCTTAGAAGCAGAAGAGTGTCTGAAAGTTTATCTACTTATATGTAAAGTTCGCCATTGCAGTCGAAGGTTCAGGCAGGCGGCATTGAATTGACTTTCTGCTCCTACAAATATATGTTTTCGTAAATGGAAGATGTATGTCCAACAGATCTCTATCCAACTCCTCCATCGAAGCCTGATTATCATAGGTCCCCTGTATTTCGAGTCTTCAGTTGCTGGGAAGATGGCCTGTTGAGCCTACCTGCAGGTGACCCTGGCCTTCCGTTTCTGGCGAGCGTGGCTAACTGGGTTTCACCGAATCTGACGACACATGCACGACGCTGTATCATACGATAGTTCATATCAAATTCTCACGAGAGCGTATGCGCTGGGCTTAGGGTGACGGAAATCAGGCTGTTCTCAACATGCATAGACTGCAATAATATTGGCAGATCACGGTACAGCTCAGACATAAGAGGAAAGAAAGGGAGACTCGGACAACCCAGATATTGACGCTAGGAAGCCACTGGCAGAATGGTGTATCGACGGAAGATTGGGAAGATCAGGGAGTTGAAAAGCCATGATATCGCTGACAGGCCGCAGAATGCACCGCAGATGTCATCTGGGACGATTGAGCTCAACACAATAAAATGGAGTCCAACCAAGGTCAAGCTTGAATCTTTTTTGGTTCATTCCCGCGCATAGAAATCCGTGCGCTCGAAGCTGCAAGTTGTCTTGTCCATACCGTGCCATGCAATAATTCTTTCTCCGAGATCGATTCTTGTTTCCATTTTCCATCGTCTCCTCGAAGTTTATCTCCGCCTGTATCGACACCTGATCATCTGGCATTTTCATTCCCGTCAACGGACCTCCTCGCAGCGCACCAGGCTCGCGCCTCACGCACATCGCCTCCTGTCTCCTGAAAAGCAAATCATATCGAACTGGGGTAGAGCATGACTCTGACGCTGGCACCGAAGCTCTTGGGAGGCAGGTTGTGGTTGAATCTGGCTCGGACGATACCGCTGTTTCCGTGTGGTCGAACAACTTTGCCCCAGATCACTCGGATCTTGCTGCCTCGTCGTTCTTTCGAGGCTCGGTAGACGAATGCGACGCGCTTGCCCAAGTAGAACCTAAACAACAAGATGTTGTTAGCAATCCATCAATCCATCAATCCATCAATCCATTGTTCCGTTGAGAAAATTTGCTGATGCCTCGTGGCACCCATGTTCAAGGCGTTGAGACCAGTCCATCTCCATCTTCAGATTGTGCTCGTCTGGGCTGGGTATTCGAGGAAAAAACATACTTTGCGGCATTGGTGTCTTCAACTCCTTCGATCTTTAGGAGGGAGACATCGGGGTTCGTGTTGCGCTTGCCACGCTGGTAAGACAAGTGCTTGCCTTTGACGTATACTGCGGGAGAGAAGAAGCGGTCAGTTTCATTTGCGGCTCACTCCAACAGCTTCCAAAGACCAACTTCAATGTCGGACGGGGGTTCGGGTGTGCTCACATCTGTGGTTGCTGTCGGCGACCATCTTGACGGTGTTGCTGTGCAAAGGGACGAGGCGAAAAGGAAAGTTGGCGCGTCCGACAACGATGCTGATCGAAGGGATTTGTCTCTGGTGCTCGTCGTCGAAATCCCAGGATGAAGCCGCGGCCACGAAAATTGCAGGTGGACTTCAGTTGTGTGTGCACTAGCACGAATAAGGAAGACCGCGCCAAGATTTCATCTTCACGTGACTGCGGTCGGAATTGCCGCATTGCCGCATGCAACTCGAAGGTCTCCTCTCCTCTGCATTCCTTATTCAGCTGCTGTACCATTATCTATTATCTCTGCTCCGCATGGCTTCCATTCTATTCTTGTTGATATTCAGTGGTACGTAACTTGGATTGTCTCGTCCCGCAACTGACTCCAGTAGACTGCGGACCCTCCTAGTGGTAGCACAGTAATCTAGGTGTCTGCAGTGCCTAGCTTGCAAGATCCGGTCCAAACCCCGAGTGCGAGCGCTGCCTCTCGTATCTCACCCGGCGGGATGCTCTCGGCGATAACTCACAATACCGTGTTTGTCTCCCGAACGCAAAGATTTGGGGTATGGCTCCGGTGGTCGGCCGGCTGCAAGGCGCCGAGCGGAATGCAGAATAGGCTAAGCTAATCCCAACAACTTGAAGAGTGCCATCGGTTATTGAGGGTAGGCTTCCGTTTGCTTCGCCAGCAATGATATCCTTCCTCGGAAACAGAGTGATACAACTGTGCTTGCTTGAGATACTTCGTGAGATGGTATGGAGTATTCGTACTCTGTATAAGTGCACCAATCCGGTAGCATCTGAGAATTGCAGAAAACGACTGGTTGCATACTGTTAGGTAGTAGTAGGTAGCTAGGCACCATAGGTAATCAGGGCGATTACATAACGCCGGGTAAATGACCAAGCGGCTTCATCCCAGGAAGGGTGCCAGGACTGCGAGGGGCACAGGAGTCATACTGACCAGCCAACTATTCCGCCGCAGCTGGGACCTTGACAGGATAGATACGGTCGTAACCATAGGCCGGGAGGGGTTAGGAAAAGGCGGCCGCAATCAGTTGTATGCTGACTGATTTAGTGACGACAGCTCGAGCACCGGGACACCAGGGACAGTGCTATAATAATAACATGGTTGTTGATAACTGGTTTCAGCCGCCTGGTCTATGTCTCTTTCCTGTCCTTTGTCTCTCGGATTCCGTCGCACCCTACAAGCTCACGACCCTGCTCTGGATCCCGCTCCAACCGAGTCCGCAACATCAGCGAGACACCTACAATTGATTCCGTTTGACGTCAGGCTCACAGCCGGCAGATAAACGCAGCTTGCAGAAGCTTGAAGCACCCCATCCTCCAATAATAGTGATAGGTGATAGATCCTTGGGGCGGGCGAACCTCCCACCGCGGGCGGACAACAACCACACTCCCTACGCTCTACTCTCACAAATTCCTCGCTGCCCCACCATCAGCACCTCTCGTACCCGCCCATCGATTGAGAGTGAACGCCCGCCGCAGTTAAACTATTTTGTTTCCGAGCCAGCTTTGTCATTGTGCCCCAAGCCTCACCTCACATAACGCCAACCTTTAATCTCCTGTCGGGCCCTCTGATTCCTCTCTGTCCATCTGCTCTCATCACACTCGATCCGATCTCCTTCATCATGGCCGACACCGTGGTTCGTCCTGAGGATCCTGACAATGCCGGGTGAGTTCTCCGAGCCCCATCCCAACCTTTCTCACCTCCCCCACACTGCTTTTCAAATCAATCCGCGGGCTGACCTCGTTGTGTCACAGCACCGTTGAGTTAAAGGATAATACTGTCATCATCGTTCTCGGCGCTTCCGGCGATCTCGCAAAGAAGAAGACATTCCCCGCGCTATTCGGCCTGGTGAGTCGGCGCTCCAAGGTCAATGTCAATAGTGCGTGCTTGTCGCTGACGCAAGCATAGTTCCGCAACAAGTTCCTGCCCAAAGATATCAAGATCGTCGGATATGCTCGAACAAAGATGGACCACACCGAATACCTCAGGAGGGTCAAGTCCTACATCAAGACGCCGACGAAAGAATCGGAGGAACAACTCGAACAATTCTGCTCAATTTGCACCTACATTGCCGGCCAGTATGATAAAGACGAGTCTTTCCAGGCTCTGAACCAGCACATTCTCGAGATTGAGCAGGGCCGGGAGGAAGGAAACAGAGTCTTCTACATGGCCTTGCCTCCCAGCGTCTTCATCACAGTCTCTCAACATCTCAAAAGAAACTGCTACCCCAAGAAGGGTATCGCCAGAATCATCATAGAGAAGCCTTTCGGCAAGGACTTGGCCAGCTCACGGCAGTTGCAGAAAGCGTAAGCCTTGCCTTGTGACGTTTTTGGCTGCCCTATATCAATGCTAACTCCTAGCTAGTCTCGAGCCCGATTGGAAAGAGGAAGAGATCTTCCGTATTGATCACTACCTCGGAAAGGAGATGGTCAAGAACTTGCTCATTCTCAGATTTGGCAACGAGTTCCTAGGAGCCACCTGGAACCGAAACCACATCGACAATATCCAAATCACCTTCAAGGAGCCTTTCGGAACCGAAGGGCGAGGTGGTTACTTCGATGAGTTTGGCATCATTCGCGATGTCATGCAGAACCATCTACTACAAGTCCTCACCTTGCTCGCCATGGAACGGCCCATTTCTTTCTCCGCAGAAGATATTCGTGACGAAAAGGTCAGAGTGCTTCGAGCTATCCCAGCCATTGAGCCCAAGAATGTCATCATCGGCCAATACGGAAGGTCTCTAGACAGCACCAAGCCAGCATACAAGGAAGACGACACAGTGCCCAAAGACTCGAGATGTCCAACATTCTGTGCCATGGTTGCCTTTGTCAAGAACGAGAGATGGGACGGTGTGCCTTTCATCCTGAAGGCTGGCAAGGCGCTCAACGAGCAAAAGACCGAGATCCGGATCCAATTCAAGGATGTGACCTCGGGTATTTTCAAGAACATCCCCCGCAACGAGCTTGTTATTCGCATTCAGCCCAACGAATCTGTCTACCTCAAGACCAACTCTAAGCTGCCTGGGTTGTCCATGCAAACCGTCGTCACCGAGCTAGATCTCACGTACAGACGCCGGTTCTCGGACCTGAAGATTCCCGAGGCATATGAGAGCTTGATTCTTGATGCCATGAAGGGCGATCATTCCAACTTTGTCCGTGACGACGAGTTGGACGCCTCTTGGAGGATCTTCTCTCCTCTCCTGCACTATCTCGATGAGAAGAAAGAGATCATTCCAATGGAGTACCCTTACGGTAAGTGTCCGTTCGCATCCCCTGATCAGACTCCCAACCACTAATCATTCTTGATTGCGTAGGCTCACGTGGCCCGGCTGTCCTTGACGACTTCACCGCCTCGTATGGCTACAAATTCAGCGATGCGGCAGGCTATCAGTGGAACACTGAGAGCACACCTAACAAGTTGTAGCCTGGCCGGGAGTAGTGGAGATACGGACTTGAGAATGTGACGCACATGGTCTTGGGGAAGTCTCAGCTTACAGTTGATTGCAAAGAGTATCCACGAAAGATTACATTGCTGGATCGGAGCACTAACGGCTGGGTATGCTGGACAAGATCGGAATTCACGATGGCGGGCTGACGGCATTCTCAATTGAGGACGACCCATAACATGACCTACCTTGCCTGATCGTAGGTTTAGACATACAACGTATGTGCATAAAAGCGAACCAACGTGTGAAGCTCTCGCAACATATGGTGCCTCTCGTAAGTGACTTGTCTGCTTCATGCACACGAGGAATCTAAAGACTTTTGTGAGCTTGGCTTGGAAGCATTGCTGCATTGCCTTGAAAGCCATGCAATTGCATAGGGTGCAAATGTAAGACTGGTGCAGTGTTGTTTGACCAGGAGGGGTGTAGATAGTAGGGGAGTAGATGGTAGATCATCGATGCCTCAGGTCAACTACTGTAGTGGCAGTAGCTCTGCTGATGTCCTCGGCCGAAGCGTGGCCCTTCCCGTGGCCGCGGTCCTTTCTTCGTCAGTTGATATTTGCTGGCCAGGTACTCCTCTCATATTGGTGGGTGAGCCGACGCAAGCCACTAGTATTGGTAGCCTCAGGCGTGAAAGTTCCTTGGGTTCTCGCTGATGTTGGCAGGCAGGCCGAAAACGGGCAGTGGTCTATATGGACATGGACGAAGTTTCGCTAGACGTGATCGCCATCCGGGGAGGGGAGAGGAGCCCATTCCATCGCCAGGCCAATTTACATTGTACATGGGCACAAACAGATTGGGGGAGACTCCTTCAATGTCAGACCAAGTCAGAACACTGAGTGAACATAACCTGTGACTTCCATTGTTCATCCAGCTGCCATGAAACCATCATCTTGAGCCAGGAATTGGCTTTCGCCGGTGAGAAAGCCAATAAGTTCGTCGTATGGTAACCTGGTCTTCGTCGCGAGAATTGTGCATCAGTCTAGTAAAGCTGATCGCTCTCGATCAAGAGCAACACGGTTGTCCAGCTGCACTGATTAACATGTGTGGTGTATGTTTGTTCAATTGCTGCTCTTTTCGTTTTCTCTTGCACGGCCAATATCCCCTCTCTCCCATCCTTCTGACCTCGGGTCCAAGAAAAGGGAGACACGTAAAGTCGTTGGGGTTAGGATGTGGGTGCTGAAGCGTGCTTGACCGAGCATGTATCAAACTCGCCGCAACTGAGATTAGTTAAAGCATCAAAACTCTTTAAGAAGGTTGTTACCCGACACTTTTCCAGCGGAGCACATAGTATCATTATCAGTGATGCTCCTCGCCCTGCGCATGCCATCTCGTACATAAGGCATTTTAAATTGGCCAGTTAAAACATCATCGCAGTCTTGACCTAGTGAAAAAATCAATGAATGCTCCTTAACCAGTGTCTCATCAAAGCAGCCCGATGACCTACACAACTTTATGCCGCAGACAACGATCTAGGCACTAGAAGCATTTATTGTCCGAAAACCCGAGACTTAAGATCCAAGTTTTGAATTGCAAAGCAGCCCCTTCCGATGTTGGACGGGCAAAGCTCACTGAAATCCACCTTGCTCTTCTTCTGCTCGCACTGGATTCTGCGTCCAGGATGTTATTATATACGATCGTACTAAGGTCGAAGCTAGAATCACTGGTGCCAAATTATAGTATGTTTGTCGTAGCATAGGTTAGGTATGCATGCAAGCACTAGTCCACGATAGGTGATAAGGAAAATGGATCCGGGATCAGTAGCACTCCGTAGTGCCAACTGGAACGGATCGCTGTGGCTGTGGCTGGTGCACGAGTGCTAGCTACGGAGTTGTATGCAACGCGGCCTTCTTGTTCCTTCGTATTCCAGTGCAGAGGGACCTTCTAGGCTTCGATATAGTTCCAGACCTAAGGCGATTACCGAAGCAAAACATTCCAGAGGATAGCATGGAGTAGACTGAGGTAAGCATGGATGGAGTATCCATGGTGGCTTTGGAAATACCGGACAGTCGCGGCCGTTGACCTAGAGTGCAAGTAATGGGGGGATCTTCGCTTCGAGAAACCTCCATCATCGAATCGACTATTGAATGCATTTCTCCGCAAAGTGACCAAGCTTGCGGAAACTGCTGTCGAAGGACCAAGCAGACTTTGTCAAAGAAGGTTAAAGATGGCCGGATCCGCAGCGGAGGACGGAGAATGTCTCAGAAATCATGATGCAAAGGTGCGTGAGGTTGCGGGTCGGTTGCATGATAAAGCTAGGGCCCGAGCTGGAGGCTGTACGGAGTACAGTGTATGGACTTCTAACACCTTCTGATGGGTGAGTGGGCCAGAGGCAGTCCAGAGAAGAACATTGCGTGAGCAAGACCTGGCCTGTACCATAATGGCAGCCAGAATGTATTTTTCCTTGCAAGGCCGCGCGTCAGCCGGCCGAAGGATTGTCAAATGCGAAACAGCGACAAGTGTGGAAATCTGGTTACAACATAGAGAATGGAACACCTCATTCGTCGACACTGGGGATTTGACGTAGACGATCGGGCGAGGGAGATCGACTCCAGGGTCGGTGTTACACCCACGCAGTTTGTCTGAGAGAGGCATTTGCCGGATGGCAGTTCGCGACAGATGAGGTTTGCGGGAATGCCTGCTGGAGCAGCTTGGTCGGCGTCAAAGGATTGTTCTGCCTGACAGCTCTTTAGCCTCCCTCTAGCCAGGGACGACATGAGGGAAAAAGTCCTCCGTGCGGGAGGACACCGGATGTTGCAGGCAGCGAATAACAGGGGTGGCCACTGACCAGGGCAGCTGATGGCGTGGTGTGCAGGGGGAGCTAGCTAGAGCGTGTGGTTCAATCGCAGGTGAGTAGTGGTCGACCACGGAGCTGGAAGGGACATAGGATGGAGCAGGCGAGAAAAGTTTAGCACCAACTGGTATCGATAGAAAAAAGGCCGCGCAAATCATGGCGAATGGAGGCAGCGGACTCGATGGCAGTGGAGGAAGCGCAGGCTGGCGGTAGCAATATTATTTAGTTGGCAGCGGGCGCAGGCGGCTGCGCAGTACGACATAGTACACTATTTAGGACTAGCCGCTGGCTACGGTCAGGTTAGCGAGGGTGTGAGTGGTCCACAGCAGATAGAGTAGCGGAGCCATGCCCCAGCCAGTCTAGCGGTCGGCACATTCTTTGGCGTTGGGGCCGACGCCAGTAGTTTGCCTGCGCAGCATAACTCCTATGCCCTCCACCTCCACTGGTGACAGCAACAGCAGAGTAGATATCCGGCATCACCACCACCCAGTACCACGAACGCTTTCTTATACAACACACGTAACGTGCGCCCAGCTTCAGGTTTTCCAAGGCCTTTCTTTACCTGGACTCGAATAGGATCCAGAGTCTCACGGCTTCAGTCTGCGTTTCGCGCCTTCGTTTTACCCAATTCCGCCTTCCTCTCTACGCTCGCTCACCACTTATCCACCGCGACCAGCCCTCTTTCCGCCGCTTCTTGGATCGAGCCTGCGCGTCGATCACAAGTACGAGCTCAAGAGCACCTGCTCATCGTATCATACTGCGCCTCACTGGTACCTCAGTGATACCTCATCACCCCTGTATCTAGTGTCTGGGCCACCCGCCGCGACCTGAAACAGATTCTCACCACCACCAATATCCCGGTCAACGTCCCCGGCCACCCGATCGACGACCAGTCCACTTTAGTATCAACGCTCGTCAGACACATCAGACACAAACAGGGAGCCACGACATAGTTCATCCTCCACATCACTCGCTGCCTGTCCTGGCCCGAGTGTTCTCTGTTCCTTCTCTATTTGCCAACATCGAGCAGTCGCGCTCACTCTGCTACTACACGACCACCAGCACACCGATCTCTCACCCAACCTAACTACCTCGCATCCTTCACTCCCAGGCTGCGTTATTCGTCCCGGTTTCAGATTGCAACTATCCCAACAACCACTGTCTAAAAAGCCATCACCGGCACCATGACAACCACTTCCCCCCCAACCTCACCACAACCATATCCCGATGCCCGTGCACGGGCTCCAACTATCATGAGCCTATCCTCCCAGAGATCTCGCCGAAGCAGTACCTCTACGAACAAACTCGAGTTGGCAGAGACTGCAAAGGATAAGAGGAGGTTAAATACGAAGGCTGACCCTTCGAAGGCTTTGAATGAGGCCACTCCAGGTCAGTCTAATTGCTTCTACTTTTCTGGCTTTCAAACCATTGACTCAGTCTCGCAGCGGAGCAAGCACAGGAAGAATCAACTGTCGAGGACCTACGGAGAATGGTGCACAAGGACCATGAAGGCAATCTCATCAGTGAGTTCCATATCCTCATCATCCCTTTTCGCCAGCACGGTGCACTGACTTTGATCCATAGCTGACCCCGATCGTTCAAACCCTACTCGTCATCGTCTAGAACGCCCTCTTGACACCATCCGAGCGTTCAACGCTGCCGCAGAAGGGACGAGCACCCGTCGATCGTCCTTCAACACTCGACCATGTAAGTCCATAACTTTTCTCAAAGGTTTTCCGCGCTAACTCTTGTAGCATCCCAAGCCGGTTGGAACGGCGAAGCAAACCGTCGCGCAAGCTACTATTCCAGTAAGCATTGCCCCCCAAACTAATCCTCCTGGTCTCATTCTGACTTTTCCCAGATGGTGGATACTCACCTCAGCGACCACGTCCTTCTCCGGGTGGTGGGTACTATCGCAATTCCTCCTACGGAGTAGGCCCACAAACCTCGCTCGAGGAAACTCCAGGATCTGCCCACATGTACGGTCGAAATATGCGTCAACATTCGAACGGGCACCAGACCGGTTATCCGAGCGGTGACAGCCCAATATCTGCGCACTCGTATCAGCAATCTTATGAAACCATGACCTCCGGCTCCGATGAATATTCGAAATCCACCAACCCAAGTTCGCAAAACAGCTCTTTCGATCAACTGCACCAGCTCCGCAAGCCCGAAGAGTATATGGCAGACAACCCCTACGCAAACGACATTCGCTTCAATGGAGTATCTCCACACAAGCCACTTTCGCCGTACGGCATGGGCAATGGCCATCCTGGGCAAGACACCGCTTCGCCGCCACCGATGCAACCTATCGAATATGCGCCCAACAACCCTCGTCAACCAATCAAACTCAACGGTTCGCCATCTGACCCCAACTCCAGTGCTCCGGCTCCGCCAACTATGACGACCACTTCGAAGAAACATAGCTGGATCAAACGCAGGTTCAGTCGCCGCGACAGCTGATGAGGCTATCAAGGAGCCAAGCAGTGTCGTCGTTCCTTTCGGCATATTTCTCGGTGCATATTCTGGACTCTCACCATGTGTCTGGGCGCTTGGGACCTCGGACTTGGCATACATAATGCAAACCGTCCTCTTCAAGGAGAGCTTTCTCATGATAATGTTTGATGTAATGTCGATGAATATTGGGATTAGGGCTGGATCGGTTGATGGTGGCTATGACTGGCGATGCTCAGGGGAATATACGTTGCAGTTCGGGAGATCCAGGAGCACTCGAGGCAGAAGGTCGACCGCGGGAATGATGCTGTTCTTCAGTATATTGTGCAGGTCGCACACATTTTATAGCTAGAAACAACACCCAGGGCAAACAAGTCCAAGTTTTCAGAAAATGACTGGTCAATCGTACGGGTAGCAGTGCTGGCGTGCTCTCTCCTTGTCCCGTATGAGATTATGCATTACTGCGCCTTTTTGCGCTTCTTTTCGTCCTCCAGTCTGTCGGTCTGGTCTTCTTTCATCGCCACTATAATGTAGGCAAATAAGACGACATTGGCCATGATTGCTGCAAGTGCGCCAGCATATGTCGCATTGCCTGGTGGAACATCAGTTCCCAATCTTCTCAACAGGTTCAAACAGATGAGAAGGCCACGCCCTACCTCGAAAAAAGACATCGACGGACAGAAAATATGACCCAATGGGGATACATATCATAGCCAGAGTGAAGCCAAGTAACTTGTAAATGACAGAGCTGCGGCAGGTTAGATGTCTGACACGGACTCGCTTTCCGCCAGATATCGATGGCAGGGACGTTCATTCCACTTACGCTGGCACTGCCGGTGCGGTTTGAGAGACTTGGATCGAGATCGACGAAGCACCTTGCGCGTCGGACGTGGTCTTTTCGGAGGGGTTGTTTCGTCTTGTTGCCGCCATTGTACCTGTACTGCCACCTTGGCCGAGGTTTGGAGGGGTTGAATGGGTTTCTCCGCTGGACTCTTGTTAGGTATTTCTTTGTGTGGTGCTGTGTACTCGTACGCACGGAGGACTTGAGGAGGGTGCAAAGTCTGGGAGCTGGATCTGATAATGGCTCTCAGCCTTGGCAGCAGAAGACGAGTAAAAACTGCCTGGCTCAGGTGTGGCTCACCCTGGCCGTGCCGCTTTTATACATACATACTCACCCTCCTCTCGAAAGGCACATGAAGGCCTATATTTGTCCTAAAAATATAGGAGAGCAAAAACAATAGTTTATAGACGCCTCGGGAGGGACTCGAACCCTCAACTTTAAGATTAAAAGTCTTACACGCTAACCAATTGCGTCACCGAGGCTTTTCTGATCATTTTTCGGACAGTAAAACTTATATTCTGACTTAGTTCATGCCAAGACTAGCTCACGTGGTTCGCTCCGGTCAGTACTAGGTACGGAGTACGGAGTAGTACAACTGCATATAGGGCCGCGTCTTTCTCGTCCCGATCGTGTTACTAAGGGGCATTTTACTCGATCTGGCATGGCATGACGCGCTACGCGTAAACCTCGCTAAAATTTAAGTGATGGATTCGAGGGGGCCCCTGTTGCTCGTTGGCATTTGAACTTACCGTGGACTTGCATTGGAATGAGTCTCGCAGGCGAGCAAGGACTGCCTTGGATTACATCCCACAGGGTTTTATAGCATTCATCATGCCCTCATACTAATCCAGACCCTGACTTGACCATCGGAGTTTAGGACTCTATTTGCCCGCGATGCCATCCCACGATTCACCGCCGCAGTCAGATAATGAAGCATTTAACCATATGTACAATCCTCCTCACGAAACAGTCGAAACCCTCCCCCTTCGACGACCTCACATGAGCGACTCTGACGGCACGGACGACGAGGCGATGGACACCTTACCACTCCCACCTGTGAACACCGGTCGACAAACGCAACCTACTCAGATCATAGATCGAGTCCCGCAAACCATGTCTTCCTCACCCGCCAAAGCCTCAACCGGATTTGTACAGGTTGCTGCATCCTCCCCTATCGCCACACCGACGGTGAATCGCAAGCCTGCTAGCATCCTTGCAAGCGTGATGGCTCCCGCTGGCACTGCCTTCAGAAAACCATTCGTTGCCGTTCAGCCACGGCCTCCAGCCATCACTATCGACAGCGACGACGAGGGTCCGACCTATCTAGGGGGCTCTTCAGACAGCGATGGACCAAGTGTGAGATCGAATGACATCAAAACGTCTACGTTTGTGCGGAAGAACCACACCACGGAAAAGATCCCAGAGTCCCCGCAAGTACACAACAACGGCCGCAGTCGTTTTATGGAGATTGCGGCGAGATCTATATATCAGTCTTCGCCAGATCAGTCGCCTGGTTCCGCCGCGACCAAACGCTCCGCAGATGTTAGTGCCAACGCATATGGAAACGTCTCCAAGAAACCCCGTCAGACCGGCCCATCTCGCGCCCTACCAATGTCGCCACCGAAGAAGCAACCCGAAATGGAGTTGGATGACATCAGTGACTACAACATGAGACAGAAAGTTAAGCGCATTATGTCCATGGTCAGGTCAGTGTCAATACGCGAATGTTACGCGACCTTGCAATCAAAACGTGGCAATTTCGATGATGCTGTCACTGAAGTCCTGTTGATGAGTGAGAAACGGCAGGAAAATAACCCCAAAAATGCAGTCGATCTGACAGGTTCGGAGGACGAGTTGATGCCAACTCCTGTCGCGAGGAAGCATTCACCAATGCCGCCTGGCAATGCAGCCAGGCAACAGGCTAAGGCACCTCAGAGGTCTATTGCAGAAAAATGGAGCTCGACCCAGAACGTCAGGAAACCTTCAAAGGCAATAGATGTCTTTGATACGCCGCCACCACAGAAGAAGCGAACGCTCGTGCGTGGTCGAAGACGCTCTTCTTCCTTGGCGCCAGAAGATGAAGTCGCCAGACCTCCGTTGAAACCTATCCTCATTGCTGAGTCAGAGGATTCCGATGAGGCAGAGTCAGAAATTAGCTCTGGAGGTGAGGACAAGAACTCATTCCAAAGTCGTGTGCTTGAATTTTTCAACACCTGTTCCGTCGCCGACATGGCAGATATTGCGTCCATCACTCGCGACGTCGCCGAACATTTCATCTCCCAGAGACCATTCAAAAGCCTCAATGATGTTTCCAAAGTCCATTCCCCTAACCTGAAGCCCTCCAAGGGGAGGAAGAAGACCGCCCCTCTAGGAGAGAAGATACTGGACAAGGTTGAGACAATGCTACAGAGCTATGAAGCCGTGGACTATCTCGTCAAGCAATGTGAGAGTTTAGCCAAACCCTTGGCCACTGAAATGAAAAACTGGGGCGTCAACTTATATGGCTCTCAAGAGGGAGAGCTCGAAATCGTTTCACTGCAAGGGGCACAGCGATCGAGTCACGATTCTGGAATTGGAACCCCAGTAAGTGACGAGGATCGTGATATCGTCAAGAGACCGGCATCCAAGTCTTTCATTGGCCAGCCATCAATCATGTCGCAGGACATCCAGATGAAGGACTATCAAATTGTTGGGGTGAACTGGTTGAATCTCTTGTACAAGAGAAGTCTGAGCTGCATTTTGGCGGACGATATGGGTCTGGGAAAGACTTGCCAGGTCATTGCATTTTTGGCCAACCTTCTCGAGCAGGGGCGAAAAGGACCGCATCTCATCGTCGTGCCTGCTGCAACTCTCGAAAACTGGCTGAAAGAATTCAAGCGTTTCTGTCCGACTTTGAATGTCGAGCCATACTATGCCACCAATCCGAACGAGCGGGTTGCATTGAGAGAGAACATGGAAGCAGCTCGAGCCGACATCAACGTGATTGTTACGACATACACTTTAGCTAAAGGCAAAGAAGACTTCCCTTGGCTGAAGAACTTCGGCTTCGACTGCACAGTGTACGATGAAGGGCATTACTTGAAAAATGCGGAGTCTCAAGTCGCCAGTAAACTGGTCAGAATACAGTCGAATTTCCGCTTGTTACTCACTGGGACACCCTTGCAAAACAACCTGAAGGAACTCATCAGTCTACTTGGCTTCCTCATGCCTGCCATGTTCAAGGATAAGTCTTCCGAGCTGACCTACATATTCAAACATAATGTCAAGGCGATGGACGACAACCACGAAGCATTGCTTTCCAGCGAAAGGATCAAACGCGCAAGAAGTATGCTGACCCCATTCATATTGAGACGGAAAAAATATCAGGTGCTGAAGGACTTGCCTAAAAAAGAACGCCGCGTCGAGTATTGTGATATGACCCCTGCACAGTCAGAGCTGTATCAAATGTGCCTTGACAAAGCTTACAGTATTCGTGAACGGAAAGAGAGGGGGGAGAATGTCACGAACGAGTCGGCAAACATACTCATGAAACTGAGGCAGGCGGCAATCCATCCTATGCTCTTCCGCAGGCTGTATCCGGACAAGGTCCTGCCACGCATTGCAAAACAATGCTTAAAGGTTGACATGTGGCGCGAATCCAACCCTGACCTCATCGTCAGGGAGCTTGAGGCTTATTCCGACATGGAAATTCACGTCTTATGCGACCAACACTCGGAGCTCAGACGGTTTGCACTCCAGAACGACGAATGGCTAGACAGTGGGAAGATTAAGAAGACGATGGAATTGCTACGCAAATTCATGTCGGAGGGTCATAGGACGCTCATCTTTAGCCAGTTTGTTATGGTCCTCGACATTCTCGAATTAGTTCTTCAACACGAGGCTGTTGAGTATTTCCGACTCGATGGCAACACGAAGGTCTCTGAACGACAGGATTTGATCGACGAATTTTCGGCCGACGACAACCAAACCCCTGTTTTCATGCTCAGCACTAAGGCAGGCGGCGCTGGAATCAATCTCGCAAAGGCCAATAAAGTCATTGTCTTCGATAGCGGCTTCAACCCTCAAGATGACATCCAAGCTGAAAACCGTGCTCATCGAATCGGCCAGGTCAAGGACGTCGAGGTGGTCCGATTGGTCACCAGAGGGTCTGTCGAAGAGCAGATCCACGCAATGGGCCTGACCAAATTGAAGCTTGACGAACAGGTTGCCGGTGAGGGGACAGAGGAGCAGTCGAGGCAAGAAGGCGAAGATACAGACAAAGAGATTGAAGGACGTATGATTGTGGAAGAGATGCTTTTTCAAAAGCTCGACCAAGAGCCGATCGAACAAGTCAAAGCCGAAGCTGCGAGCCCAATCAAGACGAAGCCTACTGGAAAGAAGTATGCCCATGGCGAAGAACTAGATGTGACAGACGGCAAGGATAACACGTCGCACCGTCGTAGGGAAAGCGTTGATTTACCGACACGAGAGAAGACTTGAATGTCAAAGCGGATATGATGGCGTGAGTTGGATGGATACTGTCCCAGGCGCGTTACTGGACCCGTTGGAAATGATAAGCCTGAAATGGGCTTGGTGAGCGTTCATGTTACATATGTTCGTTGAGCAGCCACTCTTATCCTGCAGGGATTGCACCTCATCACCTTGTGGTGCATGTAAATGCAAAGATCATTCCTGGAACCGATCTTGTACGATTGGAGCCGGCTCATCTGCCATGGAACGATTCACATACTACCTGGTGCTGGAATTATGGTTTTCTACTACTGATCATCCATGTTCGACATTACCAGCCCTATTCACGGACGTCTATGACCGTATCAAGGTTTGTATGCGATCCAAGTTCTCCCCGTGCCTTCTAAAACATATCCTCACTCCCTGCCTTTCATCTGTCTGTTCGTCGCTGGCTGCTGTTGTAGTTGGCAGATATCCCCATGTCAACCCCGACCAGCCATTCACGGTAGGCAACTGCTCCGTCTGATTCTGAAGCCAGCAGGACCGTTCCGAGCCTCTTCGAAGCCCAACACCTTTGACCAGAGTAATCAGTGTCGCACTGCATTTGCATTCACTTTCCAGTTCTCTCTTCAAGATCCAACCGAGCCAATACATCCCCATCATTGGATTGCGGAAAGAGTCTCCTCCTTCCCCTGTCTCGAGTTCATCCTTTCATGGCCACTCGCAATAGGTGTGCAGGAAGAGGTCCTTGCCGGTCCCTTATCGACATCTCATACGGGACCGAACAATTTTCATGTATGAGGCGAATTCCCTCATTATTCCGTCTCACAATACTTTTGCAAAGGCCACGTATGGCAAGCCGGTCAGAAAGACTCTTCGCCGACCAGATGTCTGTCGAGGCCCTCGGACTGTATGTTCATCGCAGGCGAGGCTGTGGACTTCTAGGTTAAAGGGGGCGGCTTGGCACAGCGTTGGCAGCTTGAATGCTGAGTTGGAATTGAAGCTTCCAATCCTGTATCTCTGCACACTGCAGCGAGGGAGGGGGGACCTGGTCAGGATCAACAGCCGCTCCGCTAAGCGCGTGGTCATGTTAGTACTAATACTAACTGCTTTCCATGAGACTGGTAACTCTGACTATAACGGTATATGCGGTTATAGTTATACATTATAAGGGATGGCATCAGAAGCTCAGATTGATGGAACGGCACTGCCCTGATATCACAAGGTTCGGAAGCGAGACGCAGCCATGAGTTTGAGCTATCTGGCCTGGCACAGAAACTCGGATGTTGCCTTTCAGAGGCGCTTCTGCACGAACCACTGCCGGACGCGAGAGCATCCGCTAGCGCAGTTCGGCGCATAAAGTCCACTTCAAGCGAAATAGATCCCAGACATATCGGGCGGGCGGGACGAGGCTATTGCTATGCAGCGCCAGATAGCGTGATAGGGTGGACATGGTGTATCTCAGCATAGTTCGTGATCAACGCCTGTCGCGCCAGATATCCTCGCAGTCGATGTAAGATATTGGCATCTTGCAAGAAGAGTCGACTGATTTGCATATTTGTGTTGTCTCGCCCGAGCAAATCCGCTACCGCAGTCCGCACAGACCGGAGTGAAGCTGATGAGATCACACGGCCTGGGCCTCAAGCTGGTCTTCGTTTCACAAACTCCTCCAAGTCGCTTCTGGTAACGACGCCGAGCACGAACTTCCTGCCTCCATCGGTGACCACCGCGAAATCTTGAAGTTCACCAGTCGCCAACGGCCCGATATTCTCGAAAAAACCTTCGAGTTCCCACAGCTCTGTCTCCATTGTGATGACCTGATATCTTTTCTCTCCCCGGCGCTGGAATCTCACCACGGCTTTCGAGACGGGATCTGAGGGTTGCAGTTGCTTGGATTCGAAAAGGTGCTTGAGTTTCGAGATGGGCAAGTAACCTAAAAGAGACCGCGTGTTTTCCGACAGCACCGTGAGATGGGAATAGTCGTGAGAAGAGGCGGATAGCATCGCTTCTGCCAGCGAGGTGCTTGGAGACGTGGACAGCGCAGGTGGAAGGTCTAGGTCTGCAACAGTGGCACCGCGATATTTATCCGCCCATGCCGACAGTTTTGCGGAGTGTTCGTCCTCCTCGGGAGGTAGCCCGTTGGACTGAGGAACGATGGTTTGGCCCAGAGGAACACCTTGTTCGAGAACGTGCGTCATGTTGGCTGGTTCGGCGGGAGAGGGAAGAAGAGAGAAGAGAGACAGACGGTTGGTCGGAGAATGTCTGGTATACCTTGTGCAGAGTGGCATGGAGAAAACAAGACTCGAGGCTCAGGCAGCTCTGTGGATCCACAGCCAAAGTGCGTAATGCGGTCTTTTAGCTCCACAGTACCCATACCGTACTGGTACTCCGTCTCCGTCAGATATCCGTACACTAAGATAACTGCAAACTTGGAGACGCTCGGCAGTGACGTCCTCGAGCACGGCTCGCGGCGGCGGGCAGCTAATCAAAATCCACGCAGTGCGGAGAACCGAGACAGCCAATCCATCCCATGAGTACCGCTCAATACCAGTATTGCTGTGACGATAGCAGCTTCGCATGGGCTTGCCCCAGTGCATCGAGCTTGTCCTTGATCCTCACCAGGTGTGACCACTTCTATCTTCACTGCACACTCGTGCTATCATCCATTCTATCGTCGCCCAGTCCACTTCAAGTTGCGAACACCCATCCCCCTTCTGCAGGTTAGTCGCCCTTCCTGACTCGAAGTGAGTTTCGACCCGTCGTTTGCGAGTCCTCTGCGGTTCCTCCGGAGATAAGCTGATGGCCTATCTGCAGCACCATGGTTGGACTCTTTCCCAGCTCAACTACCATCTATCAGGCCTTGCTGCCTACGTCTCCATACTACAAGCCTGCTCCCAAACCAGCCGAGCACCCCCAGAAGCGGCCTATCTTCTCGACATGGAGTGCCTCAGACACAGCGAAAGGCAAGGCCGTTGAAATAAGCGCAGCCGCCCAGGCCGAGTACGAGAAGGCGAGTCAAAAGGCTCAAGCTAAGGTTGGAGGCATCGAGCTTTATTCAGCCAAATACTATGCCGCTTGTACCGTGGGAGGCATCCTAGCTTGTGTATGTCGAAATGCTTAACTCGTCGCCGCCCCCGTTCATGCTGACGATGTTGCAGGGCACCACCCATACGGCTGTCACACCTCTCGATCTGGTCAAATGCCGTCGTCAAGTCGATCCCAACCTCTACAAGGGGAATTTCGAAGCCTGGAGGTTGATTGGCAGGGCAGAAGGCGTCCGTGGAATTTTCACTGGCTGGGGCCCCACGTTCGTCGGCTATTCGGTCCAAGGCGCGGGCAAGTACGGCTTCTATGAATACTTCAAGCACCTCTACACCCAGCTGGCTGGTGAAGAGAAAGCCGACAAATACAAAACTTTGCTCTATTTGTCTGCGTCGGCCTCGGCCGAATTCATTGCCGATGTTGGCCTTTGCCCATTCGAAGCCGTCAAGGTTCGAATGCAGACCACGATCCCCCCGACATTCACGGGAACCGTCCAAGGCATTTCTTCCATCACCGCCAAGGAAGGCGTTGCCGGGTAAGCTTTGGTCAATGGGGTCGGACTGCGATGGTGGTATGCTGACATTGTCTAGATTGTACAAGGGTCTCTATCCTCTGTGGGCCAGACAGATTCCCTATACCATGATGAAATTTGCCTCTTTTGAGAACATTGTCGCAGCCATCTACAACTATCTCCCCGGACAGAAGTCGGATTATAACAAGGGAGCCCAGACTGGTGTTGCCTTTGTTGGTGGCTATCTTGCTGGTATTCTCTGTGCGATTGTCTCGCATCCCGCAGACGTCATGGTTAGCAAATTGAATGCCGATCGCGCTCCTGGTGAAAGCGTCGGCGGTGCATTGAGCCGTATTTACTCCAAGATTGGCTTCGCGGGTCTCTGGAACGGTCTCCCCGTGAGAATTGTGAGTCCGGCAACTATCTAACATCGCTCGAGCAAGGGGAGCTAACCACACGATGCCGCAGGTCATGATCGGAACATTGACTGGACTGCAATGGATGATCTACGACTCCTTCAAGATCTTTATGGGATTGCCGACTACTGGTGGAGGTGACAAGGAGAAGACAACGATCAAAACATAGAAGGGTATGTCGTGTAGTCTCCCTGACAGGCATACAGAATGCAAGGAACCGGGTTGGGGCCCAGGACGGTAGGTGAATTTTGTACATTGACGGGAAAGTCGCTGGAAACATAGCAGGTAACTTGCAATTCAGACGGTACTTTCTCTTTTTTTTTTCTTTCAAAAAAAATTAAATGAAACTGGCTCGTTGATATCAACCGAATCTTCCCCACGAAGTCGTTGTGGAGATGGGGGATGGAAGATGCCAGCGGATCGGTAGATTGCCACCGCAGTGGGCATGATAGCAAGGCTGGGCATTCCGCTCTAGACGAGGCTTGGCGCACGTAAAGGTGTAAGACAGCGTATCAACGTGGCGCTGGGCAAATGACGGGGCTGGGCTATGCCACTAGTCGCTGATAATAGCCTTTACGCATTTGCTTTTGTCAGGGCCACTTGAGATACTACTAGCGAGCACTGGTCCCGCCAGGCCCAGTGCACTCATCTGCCTGCGCCATATCATGGCGCCCGATATACGCCTCTTCATCTGAGCCTTTCTCCTCTCTTCAAACATCAATCCTTCACCAAGACTTAGCATACCTGCTCCTCAAACTAGCCACCTCAGCCTGAACGAAGACGGTGAACAGCAAGTACCGCGCTACGCTACCATCTGCAATCGGAAAGCAGGTAAGGCACTCCTTTCTTCCCGCTTCGCTCTCCCTGGGTATACTCCCTGGTGGTTGTCCCTTCTAGAAGCTCTGTACAATGCATGCAAACATAGAAAGACAAGCATAGCCCCGTGCCTTGCATGTTGCAGTCGATCATACTGACTTGAACAGGATCACAGACTTGAAACATGAGCAAGGTTTCTCACGGTCGCGGCGGTATGTCTAGAGCGATCGAATCCTATCCTTCCTCAACTGATTTGCCCAGGTGCCGCCAACATTGCGCCGGACGATACTCCTTATGTCGACGGAGCGATTGTGCGTGAAGGACTGGTGGGCAATCAAGGCGACGGGCCTTACTCTGCAGGCCGAGGGGGCGCTGGGAACATTGATACCGCTGGAGAACCCACGACTGCACCTCATGACTCGGAGATCATCCCCGAGACTGCCACGCGGGTCGCCAAGGAAGAGTCTCACCATGTTGGACGAGGTGGCGCTGGAAACGAAGCCCATGTGCACGACAAGAAACATGAAGGGCTGGCGGACAAGCTCAAGCATTTCTTCATCAAAAGAAAGTCATGAGTAATGGCGGCAGCTACTCAGCGAGCGAGCGTTATAGATGATACCCTGCAAGAGTTGTTTTGTCGAGCTTCTGCACCTTTTTGCACCTTTTTGCACCTTTCTAGGTGGACTAGCCACCTTTTCCGATTAAGATCGCAATCTTCATCGATCAGCTATACAGTAATACAGAGATCATATGTGCTTCCACGGCTACTTTCGTCAATCGCCTTCCTGTTGGGTCATCACCTGATGAGGAGTGCGGACCGGACATCGTTATGGCCTTGTGATCGTAATGTTGATGGTGGAATACGATTGCACAAAGGCATTGCAAGCGAAGAACATGAGCCCCAGAGCACTGCTGCATTGCTGCATTGCAATAGCGAGCGCGTAATCAATTCAGAGATGGGTACGGAGTGTTGGTGTTCAGACAATTGCGATCGGCCACAACGCAGGACGCGAACCAAGCGTGGACCCCGGCCCTTTCCGATGGACTAGAGGACAGGCCACTCTTTTTTATGGTAAACAATACTAATTATTATTGTAATAGGAGCAATGACTTGGGGTATGATCGAATGCCAACTACTCCGTACATTGTATACAGTTTTTCTCCCTCTTGTCTGAGACTAAATTGAGGGTGTCACACGTTGGGGCTGGTAGAAGCTTGTGATTGAAGGAACGGCAGCTGGCTACAGCCACACTCTGTGACAGCTTGAACTGCCAGCCGCCAACCGCTGACCGCGTCCAACCAGCCGTCTCGACAAGACCTCCGCTGAGCATCTTTAGGGATACCCCATGGTCATCATTCTTCCCGTGATCGGTCTGTCTTTCCAGTTGCCAACACACTCGTCGGCCCAGCGCTTGCCTCAGCCCTAGCACTACCGCCCACACCATCTTGCGAACCGCACTGCTTATTCTCTGACCGCGACTTCCTCCGCTCGATCTCCTTCCACGACCAAGTCCAGCGTCTTTGCGGCAAAGCACTGATCGCGTCGTGAGCGGGCCTTTCCCACTTCTCTCTCTCACCACCACTCCTCAGTTGCGCGCCGTTACAGTCATCAGCCGCTGTCTCTTCCCCCCGTACCTTGCCCCGCGTCGACGTCGACGGACTCGATGGCATCATCGGCAACTACAACGAGACCAACAGAGCCATACTCGTCGAACATGCCCTTGACCCCAGGTGACAGCGATACCGAAGTACCCAGTGGACTTTCTCAGAAGGCCGGACGCAGGCGCATCGCAAGTGAGATGGCCGGGCGCAAGCGCACCGCAAGTGAGATGGAAGATGACGCCTCAACAAGCAGGTCGGCAGACACTGGCTCCGACACCGACACTGACCTCGACCAGAGCAGCGAGAGCAGTGGAGCAGGCACTAGGGCTGCCAGTGGCGCCGACGGTGCAGACGGCTCAGAAACAATTGAGGCCGACGTCGACGATGAATTCGATGTACAGTGCCCGCCACGCCCAAGACGTGGGAAGCAGGCCGCTGCGGACGATGTGTTTGAGGGAACGGACGCACCGTCACTCGCCCCTCAACTCGAGGTAGACTATGCTATAAGGCCAGGCTCAAAGTGGAAGAGCCTAGGCGTTTTCAGGAATGCCAAATGTGAGTTGATGGACAGCAACCAAGACCGTTATGCTATGTCGAGGCTAACCGCGTGCTCCTCCTATGCAGTCAAAAACCCTACGGTCGTGATCTATACTGTGGGCCAGATTGTGTATATCAATCGGCACAACCCTGTTCCACCGCCGCCTCCAGTCGACGCTTCTGAAGAAGAGAGATTAGAGTATGACAAAGCCAACTTCTGGGTTGGTTTGATAGCCGAGATCCGAGCCGAGAACCACGCAAAGGTCTATGCCAGGGTGTTCTGGTTCTACTGGCCAGAGGAGTTGCCCATGGGCAGACAGCCTTATCATGGCCGACAGGAGTTGATCTTGAGCAATTGTGTCGACGTTGTCGAAACACACTCGATTGCATCCCATGCCGAAGTGAGCCACTGGGACGAGAACGACGATTCCAACCAGAATTTTCTTTTGGAACGATACTGGCGGCAAACCTTGGACGTTAAGATAAGGGGTCACAATGCTTTGAGCAAACTGCGGACATACTGCATATGTGGAGGGTATGACACCCCGCAAGTGGAAATGTACCAGTGCCATACTGTTGGCTGTGGAATGTGGAACCATGAGGCATGCTTGGTTAAGGACCTGGAGCGACGGGCCTGGAAGCAATTCAAACAAGGGCGCCTGACGCACGAGGTCCCCGAGAAAATGCAAGACAAAAGATTCACTCAGAAAGTGGGTGAGACGCTGGGCCATATTGTCAACCTAGGACTCGGAAGAGCAGAGGCCAAGGACGAGGCCGACTCAGAAGTCACACCTGCTGCTAAAGGCACCAAGAAGCTCAAGGGCAAGAAGAACCCATGGGCTGGCAAATTGAAGGGCAAAATCGTGAAGGTTGGGGAGGACATTCACCAGGCTTATGTGACACAACTGGTTCCCACGGCAAGCAGCAAGCTAGCGTGGCAGTCCGAGCCCAATGTATGGCGCATGAAGATGAGTTGCCTCAAGTGCAGGCAGCTATTGGATTGAAAGGGTCTGGGAGGATGTTGTGCTGTGATCAGTTGCGAGATGCCAGGTCTTGGGGTCGAGCAGCGCGGGTGGCAGGGGAGTCTTCTGGGAGGTTTGCAACCGCCGTTCAGCCCTTCCCAAATTGAGAGTCAGCCCTTGAGGGCGGGCGAGGGCAGTTTGCACCGGTAGTGTTTACGGAATTTGGAATTCAGCTCTTGCAGTGTCGTCGTTCGCGACAATGTATGAAGTCGTTACATAGTTGAATGGCACAATGTTATTGGGAGACTGGGAGCTTGTGTGACGTCCACTTGTTGTATGGTTTGTGACGGTGCTCGCCATTCCTGTTCCCTACAAACTCGGCTACACGGTTCATCCACATCACGGACTCGGACAGGTAGGCTGTGGTTATTAGTTGTGAGTTGTCCGTATACGGATACAGAAGTCACATATTAATAGGTACCTTATGTACCTGAGGTACCCTAGGTGGTACTGGTGATACCTACCTTAGTAAGCACATAGTTGGCCTTCCACGTGACCCGGCTCGGCTGCTGCTTCGGCCGTCCGAGTCACGTGGAAGACGGCCTGACATTGGACAATTATAGTACGGAGTATGGAGGGATGGAGTATTCTGTATCCGCTCAAGCGCGCAATTTTTCATCCTATTTGCACATAGAACCTTCAGCGTGTACGAACACGGGGCTTGCGTACGATCACCAGACCTTTGACCACTTTGACCACCTTGACCAGGTATCCCTACCCCGTCTCTGTACGGATACTCTGTGCTCCTCCCTCCCCTTCAAGGGCCCCGGACGGCATGGGAGTTTGTGACCTAGGACCTAGGTACGAGTATGATGGGTAGATGTCGCTCGATGACTCCCTCCGCCGTTCCCTGCTGTCATCGACTCGTCTTGCTCCATCGACTGGCAGGCTGGAATCTCGTCAACTCGGGTCGGCAAGTGGTTCCACCATCCGGGCCACGCCTGGACTATTTTCTCCCTCTTCCTCCATCCTCCTCCATCAACTCGAGGCACCACATTCCTTCACTATAAATATTAGCGATGTTTTGCGTATCCACCGACGCCACTGTATTCATTACCCATATATCTCCGCGCTCTTCGTTCTCTTCATTCGTTAGTTGACGTTGACTTGAGCACATCATTATCGCTCCGTCGCCGGACCTTGCGATATACTCTTCAACGAGGCCCACCGTCCGCTTCGCAACTTCGCAACTTCGCGAAGCTCGCAAACATGTCGGACCAAACCGAGCAGACACTGGTCCAGGCTACTGAAGGCATAAACCCAAACGAAAGCATCCCGTCGAGAGAAGGCCAAGGCCATCTAACGACCTCATCCGTGGCCAAGGATACTCCCTCATATCCGACAGAGAGTAGCGACACTTCTGACAAATTCAACGATCATGCAGAACTCCCACCCACATCGCCGACAGGAGGGTTCCCGATCGAAACCAAGGGCGACGCCGACCTGGCTAAGACGGAGTCACGAGCCGACAAGTTCTCCAAGGGGAGGATGCTCGTCATCCTGTTTTCCCTGAGCATGGCTCTGTTTCTAGCAGCTTTGGACGTTACCATCATTACCACGGCCTTGCCCACAATTGCGGGCCACTTTGAAGCCAGTGCGGCTGGGTTTACGTGGGTGGGAAGCTCATATCTTCTGGCAAATGCTGCAAGTGTCCCGCTCTGGGGCAAGGTTTCCGACATCTGGGGCCGAAAACCGATGCTCATTCTCGCCAACGTGGTATTTATGGCTGGGAGCTTGATTGCCGCTCTCAGCAATTCTATCGGATTGCTGATTGGAGGACGAGTCATTCAGGGCATCGGGGGTGGTGGACTTGTCACTCTGGTTAACATCTGTATCGCCGACCTGTTCAGCATGAGAGACCGCCCAAAATATTACGGCTTCATGGGTATGGTTTGGGCTGTTGCCTCTGGCGTCGGACCAGTCATTGGCGGTGCCTTTACTCAGGGCGTCTCCTGGCGTTGGTGCTTCTACATCAATCTGCCTTTGGATGGCCTTTCGCTCATTCTTCTCACCTTCTTCCTCAAGCTCGAAACTCCCAAGACACCGTTCTGGGCCGGCATCAAGGCCATCGACTGGGTTGGCGTCATCACCATTGTGGGAGGAGTGGTCATGTTCCTGATGGGCATGGAATCTGGCGGAGCGACTCACCCGTGGGACAGTGCCTACACCCTCTGTCTCATCATCTTTGGCATTGTCACCATAGTCGTCTTCTTTTTGAATGAGTGGAAGCTGGCCAAGTATCCCATCATCCCCCTGCGGCTCTTCAGGGATTCTTCGAACCTCGCCTCTTTGGGTGTATGCTTCATCCATGGGTTTGTCTTCATTTCCGCGTCCTACTACCTTCCCGTCTACTTCCAGACCGTCCTCAGCGCAACACCCATACTTAGTGGTGTCTACCTGTTCCCCTTCGTCTTGAGCTTGTCCTTCGCCTCGGCAACAACCGGCATCTTCATCAAAAAGACCGGCCGATATCGAGAGCCGATTTGGTTTGGACTCGCCATGATGACGTTGGGATACGGCCTGTTTATCGACCTGGACCCATGGGCCAACTGGGCCAAAATCATCATCTATCAAATCGTCATGGGCATCGGCGTCGGCCCCAATTTCCAAAGTCCTCTCATCGCCCTGCAGAGTCACGTCAAAGGCCACGACATTGCCGTGGCGACCGCCCTGTTCGGCTTTGTACGCAACCTGTCGACCGCAGTTTCGGTTGTCCTTGGCGGCGTCGTCTTCAACAACGAGCTCTCCAAGAAAGAAGGCTATCTCCGCACTGTCCTCTCGCCCGAAGATGCCCGGATATTGACGAGCTCCAGTTTCGCGGCGACCACTGGATTCGTGCGACGGTTGCACGGGGCTCAGAAACACGCCGTCAACGTCGCCTACACTTCGAGCATGCGCACCATGTGGATCTTTTACACCGCCTTTGCTGCTTTCGGCATCTTGATCAGTCTCTTCATCTCCAAGAAGGAACTCAGCCGCACCCATGAGACGGCCAAGACGGGCATCGCGGAGCAGGAGCGGGTCAGGCAAGTCGAGCAAGCGGAGAGGAAGGCAAGGCGCAGCGCCGCCGACCCGGAGAAGGGCAAAAAGTAAGGAGACTGTGTGCATTTTATTCGTTGGGCGAGCATTGTACAGCAAGGAGCATGTTAGCGACAGAGTCGTGGAAGGGAAAAATTCGCATAATGCATCAATGGGCACGGCTACAGGCGCAACGTTCAAGTTGTAAGGGTTATTGCAGACGGGCAAAAGTCTCGTATTGTTAGAAATATCTTTGTTCCTCTCCCCTTCAGGGTGATGGCCATCCGTGACACACCTCTCTCCTATTCTCGTTCCTCTGTTCTTCTCTCACGCTGGCGATCCATCAGCCAGTCTATTCCGCCGTGCTGTGCTCTCCCTTCTGCTTTTCATGCTGCACGAGAGCATGGGACTGCGGAAAGATCTCGTTTGGACATGGGTGGGGTTTGGATTGAATGATCGTATTCAACTGAGTATTTCGACCGGGCAGAGACACCAATGCGTAGGCTTGAAACCATATGCTGCTCCTTTAATCTCGTTCGACCGCGGGCTCTGTGTTGCGTCCGCAAGCCGGCCTGAAATGTAGCGTGATATCCGAGTCTGTGGTTTCCCAGAGCGATGTAATGTACTGCAAGTTCTTCATCGGGTACATCTAGTCGAGAATCCGACGTCGAAACTAGGAAAATGCCGCTAAAACAGCGCAGACCCTGCCCATTCTGTAAAGAGGCGCCCAGCACGTTCTGATTTCTTCTTTCGGTGGACTGCAGTCCTCGGCAGTTTTCACACACGTCCTCACTTCTGGAGGGGCCGTTTCATGTGGGAAGGCGGTGTATTTTGTTTGTGGCGCTACTGTCGAGCAGCCATTGCCCGTCCTCTCTGGTTACGTGAAGATTCGGCTCGCCCCAGATGGCTGGTAGATCCACCTCGTCTCTCGAGGGGCACAAACCTCATGATGACGCGAGACATGCACCAAGCCAATATCCGCAGAGCCTTGAACGAATGGCCTGCTGGCCAGTAGATAGACTTGGAAGCCAAGTGGCAGACGGCCCGAAGCCATTGCGGAATTCCTTTGATCGGAGGACCCTTGACGTGATGATATCAGTATTCGTGAATCTCGCGGGGAGTGGCGCAGGTTGAGCGATTGCTCTTCATCTCCTCTCTCGCTTATTCCTCCATCGTCCGCCTTTCGCAGCCCGACCACCTTTCCAACCAAATTCTTTGCGTGACTCATCCTCCTTCTTTTCCGGTTCTACCATTCTCTCCCGTCTTTGGGGTTCGCCTCCTTTCTCCCCTGCGGCACCACCGCTTTTAAGATGAACACCATGTTTGCACTCTTTACCATCCGGACAGAAGCCGGCCAGATAGAATTCGCACAGCCTTCTCCTGACGTGCCTCTTTCCACATCTGGGCCCCTTTTCGCAGAATCCTCGATTGTAGTCTTCGCAAAGAGGCAGCTTCGAATCTTCCTTGACATGGACGTAGAGGCACTCGTCGCCGTTTTGGCAATAACCGTTCTGGTTGAAGAATTGGCACTCGCTCATCTTCCGCAAATTATACTCGTGGAGGTAGTCGCACGTGTCACCTTTCTTGCAAAGACCTTTGAGCCAGTGTTTGCAGACGTAGTTGTCGTTGTTCCGACCATAGTGGTGCTGGGGAGGCTCGCCGGGTGTAGGATGGCGATCGGGACACCGACGCCCACGTGGACAGTGACCGTTTGAGGCATAGTCAGGACACACGGGTACTGTAGAGGCAAGGGTAGCGAGGCCATTTGTACGGAGGAAAGGCGTAAAGCTGAAGGTGTAGGTAGGATAAATAGGTTTCGTGTCGCCTGCTGCCGTGGTGGTGTCCGTGGCGACAGAAGCCATTGTTGTGATGCTAATTAGTTGAGGTGAGAACAATCAAGTTGAACCATAGAGCTATCGACACTGGCTCTCCACTAGACTGACCACCCCGGACTGTCAGCGGTTGCTTTACTGTCGAGAGGTGTATATTGAAGTAGCAGCAGTGGCCACTATGAGAGTACAAACTGTTTGGACATGCATGAACAGGTCCGGAGTTAAGCCGCCTTTTGGGACTTGCCATTCGCCGATTACTTAAGCTTAGGATCACGTGATATACCTTGAATGTTGATTGTCCAAATCGGGCGTTTCAATCCAACAGCAATGCAGAAGCCGAAATTTTCGAGTCGTCACACCCGGATAATCGTTGCCCCGGAGCCGCGGGCTTATCCGTACTAAGGACCAGCAACCCATCACAGGCACTATACTAGTATACTCGGTATGTCGAGACAGCGTGTGCTGGAGTCGGTTGTTCTCTATTTGACTGAGCCTCCGATCCTCATATATATGGTTAGAAGATGGGGCAATGGCAGGGGGGCTTGTCGTTTTCTCTGCCGTAGCTCCGGCCGAAAACTGCTCCTTTGCGAAATATCCGTACATACGGCTTGCATTCGCTCCATCTTAAACGGGAAAGATATCGGCGCGTGCGATCCTGTGTAAAGGTATTGCCGGTGGGGTTGATACCCTCCTGGGTTCCCGCCGCCTGTGGATTTTATGAGCTCTTCTGGGTGCATCTTCCGCCTCCTCCCTGGCCCTCCTGGGCTCCTTAGTTGGCGGTGATTGACAATACAGGGCTCAGGAGGCTCGCTGTGCGGGGTGGCCTCTCTTCCCCTCTTACCTATTTCCACGTCATTTCCGCGTCCCCAAACAGTGTCGACAATCTCTCACTACTAACCCGTGATCGCCTGATTTCCTCATACTCTTGCTCTCAAGGCAACGGTTTGGTTCACTCGATAACAATATGTCGGTAACAACCATAGCAACCATAGCTTCCTTCGGAGGCAAGCTGTTGAAGCTTTCTCACAATGCCTCCACCACCGGGTGCGAGATGAAATTCAATCTCTACCTCCCTCCGCAAGCCACAATCAACGCCCTTCATAAAGTGCCCTTGCTGATCTGGCTGTCCGGCCTCACCTGTACTGCCGACAATTGCTCGGAAAAAGGGTTCTTCCAACATGGAGCCAGCGCCAAAGGGATTGCAATCTTGTATCCCGATACCAGTCCGCGTAGGTGGCCAGACTTATCCCGCCCCTTGCACTGAGGTCTGACACAATGCAGGAGGTGTGGGAATACAGGGTGAAGACGAATCCTGGGATTTTGGCACCGGTGCCGGCTTCTACGTCGATGCCACGGCGTCTCCATGGTCCAACAACTACAAAATGTACTCCTACATTACCGAAGAACTTCCCAAGACCGTCTTCGCTGCCTTTGACCAGATCGATTCGAGCAGAGTCAGCATCAGTGGTCACAGTATGGGCGGACACGGCGCGCTCTCATTATACCTAAAGAATCCTGGCAAATACAAGAGTGTCAGCGCGTTTGCTCCTATTGCTAATCCCCTGAAATGCCCCTGGGGAGAAAAGGCTTTCAAGGGATACTTTGGCGACGACTGGCAGAAGACCGGTGCCCAACATGATTCAACAGAGCTACTGAAACAGTGGAAGGGTGGGGATCTCGACATCCTTATCGATGTCGTAAGTCAAGCTTCCGGATCTAGAATTGATAAATACTGATATCCGACCAGGGTACCGGTGACAACTTCTACAAGCAAGGGCAACTTCTCCCTGAAAATTTCATCGCAGCTGCAAAGGACATTGGCCAAGAGAAGGGGGTCAACGTCAGATTCCAGCCGGAATATGACCATAGCTACTATACCATGGCATCTTTCAGCGATGACCATATCAGTCACGCTGCAAAGTACTTGTTTGCATAGTATGTCGCTTGTGGCGGGCCAGCAGTTGACAGAGGACAAGCTGACAAGGATAGAAGCGGAACAAAAAAGAATCAGAAGCTTTGAAAACCATCTAGTCAGCGTCAATGCTCTCATGCGTTCGACTTGTTCCTATGCTCCGCGTTTGGACATTCTGGTCCCTTGTCACTCGTGACAGCCAGGTTGTTTCTCCACCGTGATTCCAATGGCACTTGACTCGACTACCTCGGAGTCACTGACGAGTAGACTTGCCTATAATCCACAAAGCTACATTCATGCTGGTGAACAAGGCATTCCATCCAAATCCTGATGTTTATGTAGCAAAATCACCAGCGAATCACTCGAGGTTGACTGAGGGCACCCCCATTTCCGTCACGTGACAAGGCTGAGTGAGGTCACAAGCATTCGTTGGAACAGAAACAATGAAAGATGGAACAAAGGGTGAGCTTCATAAGAATCTGCTGCTAGTGAATCAGATCACTATGCCTTAAAGGAGTGTCGTGTGAGATTGATAATGATGGCAATGTCAATTGGAATGGCAGTCGACTCCTATACAGACAGACGGCTTTTGACCGACTGAATCTGGATTGGTGGATGTACCAGGAGGAAACGGCACAGTATCATTCATTACTTTCTACAACCGCAGCAGGTTAGTGACCCATTGGACTCTAGAGGAAGCTGCCGAAGTCTCGGTCCTACTTTGATCCAATATGTATCCCATGTGTACTATTGATGCACTTTGCTGCTCTAGCGACTCGACGCTGTTCCCTGCCTGATATGCGGAATATCACAGGCGGTACTGGCCAGGTCAAGCTCATTGTCCGAATTGCTGCTCTACGTAGAGAGTAGATCTTTACATAACCGCATGGAATATTGCAGTGACGTGCAAACAAAAAACAAAGCCTCCCGACGCCGTGACAGCCCCTACTTCACTGCCCAGTAGCCAGAAGAAGTGCTTCCTTGTCAACAAACCACATTCATGGTCAAACTTGTCCTCTGTATCAGAGACCGTCATCTATGATTTTCCCCGACACAAGAACACCCTTGCCTTTCCATATCACTCTTCTATCGCCTACAAATCCACCAGGCAGATCCAGAAAGTTGACAATCTGTCCACCTCAACCATACATCCTCAACAGGGTGAGAACGATGACTCTGTTATCGATTGTCCCAGCTCAGATTTTCACGATGCCCAAAGATAACCATGGCGAAGATTTTGAGTTCAAATCCGTTCTGGAACTTGTATCAAGCTCGCAACCGATATATGGACCACGTACCCGTCGCCCTCCTGGGTTGAGGATCGGCAATCCATATGGTGCTATCGGTCAGGCACAACTTACCAGAGGCGGCGCCCAATATCAATGTCCTCAGACACAAAGTAGCGCAGAGCAGCTGCGTGTCCTTCCGCCAGAACACGAAGGGAAGGCAATAATGCCAGTGGCTGTGCCGAGTCATCCGTGGAAGCCAACAGCGACTGAGATCCAAGCTGAGCCGGATACGGATACAGGAGCATCAACTACCCCTAATTACCGAGTGCCAGTCTTTGGATCCATGCCTCCCTCACATTGTCAGCTCTCACTTCATGCCAGTCCCGCAATGCTCCAGTCCAACGGCATGATCAGTCCTGTGACCCCCAGCCTAACTCCCAAGCCCGAGAACTCAATCCGACAACAGCCGATCATATTTCCGCTCACTCCACCGTCGACCGCCAAATACCCCCGGGCCGGTGCACCAGCCAAACTTTCAACCATTGCTGAATGCTCTACCGAGGACGAGAAAACACCACAGAGCTGTCGCATCAGCCCAGACAGGGATTTCGCTCTGACACCGACCCCGACCCCAACGAGGATAATGGCCATGATGGAAGAGGAAAAGAAGGGGAGGGTTGCCCTGTACAAAGAGCAAGTGACTCAGGCGAAGTTGAGACGGGAGAGGGCCAAGAAAGGTACCTAGGCATTTGGGCAAAAGCGTGTCATGCACACAGTGCTGAGGGACGACAGCAGGAAGACAACAACTGGCGAGGTCGGTGAGAATATGGACTGCGCTGTAAGTAACGAAGCAGACAAGCAGAATAGTTAACTGGGAGTGGAGGCTATCACAAACCATACCAAACAATGAAAGTTCATGGCCGTCAAAGGAACCTTGATAATGGTCGCTTCTGTGGATCCAGTAGATCAGCCGCGACCATCAGTATAAGCTTTAGAAAGACTGTAGTTTGCTAACAGTGCACTTCTGTCTGGAAGAGTTTGATAACGAGAGTGATTCATCGGTTCTCGATAGATTCTAAAAGATTTGTCTCAAAAAGGTTCATCACTTGCTACCAACTCACCATAGTCGACGAAACACCGCCTGCAAGTGCGGGTTAGTGGATTTGCGACGCCGAGAAGCATCGCAAATCGCCCAAACTGCGAAGATCAAAATGCCCCAGAAGTAGGGTGATGAGGTGGATTATTTTTGACGTCTGAGCCAAGGACGGCTGGATTGATCTCAAGGCTGGCTATTCACCTGCGAGGCCCGTTGTCTGCTGCCAAAGGTCCTTGCAGCAGCAGCAGCACAAGTCCAAAGGTATTCTCTTGCTGCTATGGATGGCTGTTGGTTTTATTTGTAGAGCCTCACGCAATAAAACAAAGGAGTGAGAAACTGCGTCATACGGACTGCGGTCCACCGTACCTGATGCCAAGGCCGGCTGCTCTCAGACGCTGCGTTTCGAACTGCACTGCATATGGCGGGTCACCACAGATCCGGTATTCTGACGACTCTCTGAGAAGTGTGAACTAGCATATTTCTGTACATCAAATTCGGCGTTCCTCTACCAATTCACAGAGTCAAGGTGCCCATTGCGGCCATGGACTAACTTCGGAAGCACGTGCTTCCACTCTCGTCACGCCCAAATGCGGTGACTATTTCATTCTACCAGTGTTCCGGAAGTCATAAGGTGGGTGAGGAACACTGGCGTTACCTGATGGAAGACCAGGTGAGTAATCCCTTCTGTCGCGATCTTCGTTCTCCCTAATATGTCTCTCCAGATCATCTCTGCGATACAAATCGCTTACGAACCCTCCTCCGACCCTGCTCTCAAACGACAGGCCTTCGACTATGTAAACCAGTTGAGGCAAGAGCCTTCAGCATGGCAGCCATGTCTGGCCATCTCGTTTCAGTATCCTCGACAGCCGGTGGTTATCAGAGTCTTCTGCCTCGAAATCGTCAACAATGCCGTCCAAGCAGGCTTGGTCAACCCCGAAGGCCTAAAGGTCATCAAGGAGGAGCTCATGACATATCTGCAGAAGTTCTACACTGGCACTGGGCAAGATTCTACTCCTGATCCTGGAACAATTGTGAACAAGTTTGCGCAGACCATCACATTTCTCTTCTCTGCCTTTTATGGCGCTGGTTGGGAGACCTGTTTTGATGATCTGTTGGCTCTGACTACAAGCCAGTCAGGCTCCAGAAACAACTATCCCGGGGTCATCTTCTATCTCACGGTGCTGAACTCTGTCCATGACGAAATTGGGGACCAACTACTTTCCAGGTCTCGTGCTGAGCAGGACCGGGCCAATACGTTGAAGGATCTGATCCGCCAGCGAGATGTACAGAAAATTGCACGTTCATGGGAGGAGATCTTGACACAATGGGGGACTTCCAATGATGTTGTAGCAGAATTGTGCCTAAAAGCTGTGGGCAAATGGGTCAGCTGGGTCGATATCTCCTTCGTCGTCAATCAACAGATGCTTGAGCTGCTATTCCAACAGCTGGAACGAGCTCAGAAGATCAACCCACGGCAAGGCGAAGAGCAGGCCCGAGATGCTGCCATCGACGTGTTCACCGAAACGATCGCGAAGAAGATGCCCCCTGCTGACAAGATTAACGTCATCACCTTTTTCAACCTTGAAACAGTCGTCTCAAGGCTAGTCTCCTGTCCGCCGTTAAGCGATAGCAGAGCATCAAACTACGATGTCGACCTGGCCGAGACCGTCGCGAAACTGGTCAACACTACGGTGGTTGACATAGTCAAGATCCTGGAAACCGAGAACCAAACCTCTCCATCCTGGGCGAACGCTGAGCAGCTCCTGGTGGCATTCCTCCCACACCTTCTAAGGTTCTTTTCGGACATCTTCGACGAGGTTTGTTCCACCGTGCTCAACGCCATGAACGACGTTCTTGCATTCCTCCGGCGCACCAGCCAGGGCGAGGCGGCTTCAGCTCAAAGAGCAGCAATGCTCTTACCAATTCTGAAAGCCATCTTCGCAAAAATGCGCTACGACGACACCGCTGATTGGGGCCAAGAGGACGAACAAACCGACGAGGCCGAATTCCAGGACTTGAGAAAACGATTGGCCTCTTTGCAAGGTGCCATCGCGGCCGCGGACGAGCAACTCTACATTGAAGCGATCTCGACCCTCGTGCACGACACGTTCCAGAGACTGAGGTTGGAGGGGTCCCAGCTAAATTGGCGGGACCTGGACCTCGCACTGCATGAGGTCTACTTAATGGGCGACCTAGCTGTCAAAGGAGGTGGTCTGTACCAGAAGAACAAACCCAACTCTCCTGCTGCTGAAAAACTGATTCGCATGATGCTCGAAATGGTGCAGTCTAGTAAGTCATGAACCTCTGGTCCCATGCAACATTGTCTGACACAGCACAGATACCGGCTCATTCAACCATCCCGCGATACAGCTACAGTATATGGAAACCTGTGTCAGATACAGCACCTTCTTTGAAAAGCACACCGATTATATCCAGCCGGTGCTGCAGAACTTCCTGCAACTGACACACCATCCAAGTTTGAAGGTCAAGGCGCGATCGTGGTATTTGATTCAGCGCCTTATCCGATATCTCCGGATGCAGATTGGGGAAGCTGCTGGAGTCGTCGTCCAGAGCCTCCAGGACCTGCTCGTCGTCCGCGCTGAGTTGCCGAATGAAACAGAGGGCGACGACATGTCCTCCGATGGTGATTCTACTACCGATTCGACCTTCACTAGTCAACTCTACTTGTTCGAAGCTGTGGGTTGTGTTTGTGGCTCAACTTCCGTCCCGGCCGAGAAACAGGTTCAGTATGTACAGGCGATTATGCAACCAATCTTCTCCGACATCGAGCGCAATCTAGAAGCTGCGAGGACCGGGAACGAGCTTGCCAACCTCCAAGTCCATCACGACATCATGGCTTTGGGCACTCTGGCTAAGGGCTTTTCCGAGTTCTCTCCTGGAACCAGTTCACAAGCCAGCGGGCCTGAGCCGACACCACAGGCAAAACAGGCATTTGCGCAAGTGGCGGAAGTCACACTCGTTTCTCTGACCGCTCTCAAGTCGTCCTTCCAGATTAGAACGGCCGCGAGATTTGCCTTCTCTCGGCTGATAGGAATGGTCGGCACTCAGATGATGCAGCAGCTACCTCAATGGGTGGAAGGACTCTTGACCGAGTCTTCTTCTAGGGACGAAATGGCACTGTTTCTTCGACTTTTGGACCAGATTATTTTCGGGTTCAAAAAGGATATCTATAACTTCCTGGACCAACTGTTTTCTGGACTACTTCAACGCGTCTTTGCTGGTATAGCAGCAGCAACATCCGGCACTGACGACGAGATTGAACTGGCCGAGTTGAAACGAGAGTACCTCAACTTCTTGCTGGTCATACTTGGAAATGACCTGGGCGCTGTCTTGGTCAGCGCGACCAATCAACCGATCTTTGAATCCGTGATTAACTCGGTCGAGCATCTCGCCAGAGATGTGGAAGACTTTCCCACCGCAAAGATGGCTTTCATAGTTCTTTCACGGATGTGCAATGTCTGGGGTGGACCAGATGTGGTTTCTGCCAATGGTCAAGCCAACGGCGACACACCAGCACCGCAACCCGCTCTTCCCGGATTCGATCAGTTCATGATTACCCGGTTTTCGCCTCTATGTTGGGCATTGCCGACCAATCCTTCCTTCAACACCAAAGATGCACAGACTCGGCAAGCCCTCGCTGAGGCAGCAGGGCTGCAAAAGACCATCTACCTCAAGACTGGGCAACAATACCTGACCTGGCTGCAAGAAAAAGAGCTGAGGACGATGGGTATGAATGACACTCTGATCAACGAATATTTGCAGAAGCTGGCGACCATGGAACTGAAAGGGTTCAAGACATTTTTCCCAAAATTCGTCGCTCAGGGCGGTCAGATCTGAAAAGCGAAAAGCGAAAATCATAAGTCCTTTGGACGGGCGTGACGTTAAATGGATGATTTGCATATGATACCAGGACGCATTACAGCCTCGCAATGCTGGGAGTTGATCTCAGACCTAGACAGAAAACCTTATCAATTGAAATCGAGCTCATTTGGAGGATCTAATTCAACACTGGATGCAGTAGCATCATCTTGTCGGATGTGCTGTGCGAACTAATCCACCGGCTTCAGGTTCAAGCCTGAGGTAATAAGGCTGAGGCAGTGACCGTGACTCGAAGTTGCCAAGCCGTGCGGATGCCAAGCCTCGGTAGACTTGCCTCACGCACCAACCCACAACCGGCGTGCCCAAATTCAGAACTTCTTGACCCGACCAGAATCACAGATTCCGTCCGACAACGATCAGCTGCGCGTTCTGTAGACCACAGATTCCGTCAAGATGGCCAGTGAGTTCTAGCCACCGTGGACGCGAGGCTCCCATTCTGACCACAAATAGAATCCAAGAACTCGTCCCAGCACAATCAATCCAAGAAGGCTCACAGGAACGGGTACGATCTCCCACCCCATGCGCCTCTCTAATGGCATGCGGTCGAGTTGGAAAACGAATGGAACTGACAGACTGCCCATTACAGCATCAAGAAGCCGAAGACCCACCGATATCCTTCTCTGGCGGGCACCGATCCTAAGTTCCGAAGAAACCACAGACACGCACTGCACGGAACCATGAAGGCGCTGAAGGAGGTCAAGGAGGGAAAGAGAGAAGCCGCATAGACTCGACAACATGAATAATGTGTCCGAAGTTTGATGGAGGGATAGGCAAACGCAAAGGCAATTGACCGACATCATGATCCCAGATTGAATTGGTGGTCGAATTTCCGGAACGACGAGAAGAGAATCAATCGCGATGGATGGAAAAGGTCGGCGGCCGCCTAACCTGCGCATGTGCGTGGCTTCCGAGACGACAATGAACTTGCATAAGTCAGGACAATCCAAAGAGCAATGATGAAGCGTCCCACGCACCGCAATGCCAGCTCCCCTTTCGTTCGTCCGAGTTTCGTTCCCTCCTAAGACTCAATCCCAGGACTGGAGCCCCCTTGCACTGTTTTTCCCTCAATGGCATTTGTGTGTACAGCATCGCGCCTTCTTGCTTCAATGCGCGATGTCTGAAGGAATATTCTATCGTGCCTATATGAACCTCAAACACCTCCCAATTACCAAACACGTTCCTTCTCAAATGTGGAGGAGGGTGCATGGACGGGAGGTGACAATCCCCAATGTCGTTGGATCATGTTTGAACAGCCCAAGCTATGACCAACCCGTGCTTCTACGCCCTTCGTGAAAGGGAGTATGACACGTGATCGCATTGAGATGATGTATCAGTGGCTGCAAGCGCAGGTTTGCTGGACACTCTCGAGCTGCAGGTAGGGCCAGAAGGAAAACCCTCATGGTCTGACCGACGTGATAATGCGCGTTCTATCTCTCACGGCAGGGGCCCTTGCAAAGATGGCTTGGGACTTGTCAGCCCTGCAGCATTCGGCCACGCGCTACGCTTGAAGAAACTGACACCGTTTACAGATCAAACTGTGGTTTCTTAACGAAGCGAAGCAGGCAGTCAGTCGGTTTGTGCTGCTGCCGGTCCTTCCTTCGCCCTCTCAACAACCGCGGCGTTCCTCCAACCGTGGCGATCCGCACTCGCCGTGTGTCGTGACTCTGAAATTTCAGGGCTACGCCGAAGTCTCATATGACGCCTCGTGCACACATCTGACCCCATTGATCATTAGCCCAGCCTGACTGTCACCCTGTCTATGCCTAGTCCGCATTGTTTTACGTACTTTGCGTACACTGTACTATTATAGGAGAATAGTATGTGTAAGTACCAAGTAGGTGATATCAAGCCGGGCCACCGCGAAAGTCTGATGGGTATCCGGATGGATCCCTAACAAGCGAAGAACGTCACGACACCGGGGGCAGATTTCCTCCGGGGTTCCGAAAGTAATCTCTCTCATCTCAGCGTTTCTCGGCATTTGATATCAAACTCTTAGGCTTGCAAAGAATGGGAATGGGAATGGGCTGCATGACTCGAGTTTCTTTTTGTGGAATCGTCTAGGTTTCAGGTCCTGCATCTTCTGAAACCCACCAGGAGCCCCGAATCCACCACTAGAATCCTTCTCGAAAAGCCACCCGGCTGGGTATGAGACACGGCATCCGTACCTGGGAAGATGCATGCATAGCGTGTACGGAGTCCACTGTACGTACAGTGCACAGTGCACACATGTCTGACGATGAAGAAGCTTTTCGGCTACGCAGACGAGAGACGAGCCTCGAGCACCTCAACACAACGCTAGGGAATCTTTCCCGATTCAGTCTAGACGGCAGCCTCGGCGCATCATCGACTTCACCTGTGGTGGCGAGCGAATCTCGGGGTTCCCTTCTCTTGGGGGAATAATAGACGAGAACGGAGAGGAAGACGAGAACATCCCTGCCGATGTGTGGTCTCAACACACATGAAGACCACCTTGGCCGAGGCCAGACTGATCTACGGAGGATGTTGGATACTAATCATGATTCATGTCAGGGCCTAACACTATCCGTACAGTTAGGTGAGGTGAGGTGAAGCGAAGCGAGACTTTCCTTCCAGATTAACAGAACAGGGACCAGGACATCCCATTCATTCCGTGTGTCAAAGGCCAAATCGACAGCCCTAGAAAGTCGAAAGGGTTAAAGTCGTCATCGTCTCGTGAAGTCCTAAGCCTGATGGGCCCAACTTCCCTGGTCGGTTGAGCATGGTAGGGGATTCAATGAATGGCACGTTAACGGTCTGTTGGTTGTGTATGTGGTGGCCCGAATATCATGACACGGTTACTATACAGTAGTCGGGCTATGGTGTACACTGACTGTACAGAATTACTGGCAATTCATCCATTCATTCGTTTCCTCGAGTGCTTGTCCCTGCTGACGGCAAAACATGACTTCACGACGACTCTAATGTATGTACTCAGTACCGGGTTCGAAAAAGGACGGGCGGCACTGTTACTGTTACTGGTACTCGTACTGGTATCTGTATCCGTCCTCCGTACATAACGGCCAGAACTGAATGGAGATACTGTACGTCTCTAATGTCTCGATCCAAGCCGGAGATCGCACCCACGGCCATGGCCACACCGTCTCGCGAAGACCGTTACGTTGGGTCTTGGGTCTTGGGTCCTGGGTTCTGGCCATGTGGCATCGGCAACATCATCTAGGGGCACCCATGCATGGTTCCTACGTAGTAGTTTCCTGGATTTCATTCCAATTCAGACCCAAGTTACATAAGTCATCTTCACGCCCTGAACAGGAGATGGACATGTACGCTGGCAAGGAAGGTGAAGGTGGTGGTGATAATCAGGTATGTATGTATGCAACATCATATAACATGACAGGACACGGGGGAAAGACTCAAAGATTCAGAGGTACGTATTACTATTACGGCAAAGGAGGGAGGCTAAGGCTTTGCCTCTTTGTCGTTTGGAATCGCCCCCCTGGCCACCCAGGCTCAAGGATCAAGGATTAAGGATCAAGGTCCAAGGATCAAGGATCAAGGTTCAAGGATCGACATGTTCGTCGCGTGCTGGGATGGATCATCATTGATCCCATCCTATCCCATCCCATCCCCTTTCCCTTCGTGGAGGGCCGTGCTCTGCTCTGGTTCCTTCCTTTCTCGAGGCCAGGATAATAGATTAGGAGTAGACTAGAATCTCGACTGCAGAGGTGCTTCCCACAAACAACCCCGGGAGTCAAGTAAGAGAGAAGATTCGACTCGGACAGAAAGGATGAGATGGCGTTCCATCAGTTCGGTGAGGATCTTGCAGCAACTCGTTCCCCTTGAACCTTCAGTACATACTACATACTACATACTGGGTGGTTCCCCCCTTGAACCTTCACTACATACTACTACTACATACTGGGGTGGTTGTTGCTACGTTACGTTAACATCACGAGGTAGGTAGGTACCGAGGACAGAGCCAGGGGTTAGTTACGTTACTACGTTTAGTTACTACAGTATGCTACCATACCAACGCCAACCTCCAACCTATAACCTAGGTATGCAACCTTGACTCGATCTACACTAACCGGCTGGTACGTACTACATACTACATAGTACATGCTACATACCAACCTCCCTACACCCTAATTACACGTCCTTAGGTTGAAACGAAACAGACCCGGCCGTATCCGTCTGGCTCGTAGACTCCAGAACACAGGAACAATACCTCTTGCCTCTTGCCCTGGTCCTGGTCCTGGTCCTTCGGCTAGAAACGAAGACTGGACGAAACGGAAAAGCGAAAGTCAAAAGTCAAAATGGAATATAACCGACCCCGACCGACCACTAGGTGAAGTTTGGAATTGAGAAATGGGTAATTGGTTTGGTGATTAATAGATGGATAGGATTTACGGTAACTGAATACTACCTGGTAGGTAGATCCTGGCATTGGCCTCGCATTTGCTAAATATCATGGAATACCATGTAATTAGGATAGTTGAATGACTAGGTAGTTAAGTAACAAGGGGTTGTTTCTACACCGTACGGGTACAATAAGGAGTCATGCATGTGTAAAGGTTCGGACGGTAGGTACACTGTGCCCTGTAGCTGGAGATAGGCGAAGGAGAAACATAGAAATCATACCAGGGTCAACTCGGCCCATAGAGTCTAGACATGCTTGCACCACACAAGGTAAAGGGGATACTTTGGACCTTGTCAACTCACTGTACAGCTAGGGGGCTCTCATCTTCGAGTCAAATCACCCCCTCTGTACGTACAGCAGTGTTGCATGCGATCCAATATACCGTACTCTTCATCACGTCAACGTACTAGTTACATCTCCAGCCTGGTCGGGAGATCTCATCTTGTAGAGATCAATCCTTCCACGATCATACACGTAGTCTTGCCCACCCACCCGTCTCCGTCTTGTCACACTTCTATCCCAATATTGAAAGGCAGAGCAAAGCAAGGCAGTCCAGGAACCAGTCCTCTCCCTGCGACAGCAAGGCTGTCTTTCCCCTGATTTTCTTCTTCAATTCGTGTTGTTGAGGCTCCGACGAACGTAACAAGTGTTCTGTGTCTTACCTGCTTCTTCCGACACGAAAGGATGTTCCCTCTGCAAGGACAACATCTTGTAAATCCATCACGTTGTTTGGTTCTAACATTTCGCCGTGCTCCTGTCCAGCCCCGACGCTTAGCTCCCGCCACAGTGTACGATGCCATGCCACATAAAACATGATCCCCCTATTTTGTGTCCCGTCCATCCAAGACCCAATGTACAGTGCAGAAAACAACGAGGCCTCCAGTCCTAGGCTGCCAGCCATAATCTCAAGCAAACCAGGGGTCGTCAACCCGAGAGGTGACAGGACCCAAGACCAAATGTCAAGGCCCCTAAGAAATCCTCGGCGCCATATGCTCAAACACGCAGCAAGACCCCGTACAAACAATAGGGAAAGACAACCGTCCGATCACTCAATAGACGTGTCCTCAGCCTTTGTAGATTTTGACGTCGTAGCCTTTGCCAGCCTCCCCCGGTTTTGCATGAGTTGATTTTGGATCCCAATCTTGGAGGTGACTGGGCGGCCTCGGGTAGGAGTAGCTCGAATCCGGGTTGACGTAGGCACGAGCGGGAATAAAGTGGTCTCGTTTCGAATCCGGTTCGGGGGAGAAGTCTGAGCGCGGATTCGGACTGGTCAAGACCCGATCTGGGGATTGAATGTTCAGTGGTGGCCCCGTCCCGCTTAGCATTTCGTACGTACGAGGGTCGGTCGATAGGCGTCTAGCATCAGCCGAGACAAATTCATGCTGTCGGTGGAACCTTAGGCGGAAGAACTCCATCCAGCCCTGGGTCATGTGCCATCGGCCTAAGAACATAAGGCACCAGAAACCGCTGAGCTGAGGCTTGGTTAGAGACTGTCCATTGATGAGCTGGGGGATTCCTTACTCCGAGGATAATAAGCACCGCCAAAACAACGCCCTCAGACTTGACCAGTCCTCTCGCGTAAGGCAAGCATTGGTTCTTGTCTCCTTGAGCTAGAACCAAGCAAGAAATCCAAGGAGTGGCCTTTTGCAGGAGCTGTTCGTTGACTTGAGTGCTATTGTCCATTGACACGAACACGACGGAAAAGAAGACGACTTCCGCGATAATGACAAGTACAATGCTTGCACCCCGCCATTGGAGCACGACAAGTTTCTTGACCCGTCGGTAAGTTTGTCTTGCCGACAATGTTCTCACACTGTTTGAGTATGTCGGAGCTTGAGAACTGGCATTGGTAGTTGGTTTGTCGTCAAGAAAGCTCTTCATGTAGACGTGAACGCAGTACCCTATCGTGATAAATTGGAGGACCAACCCCAAGGCGGCAAAGGCCAGAAGTGGGCCCCAGAAATCCTGTAGAGCATCCTTATGGTTGATGTGACAGACATTTCCAAACCGAAAGGAGACGCCGGTCAAGCTCAAGGTCAACGCTAGGCCAACAATCGGAATGAGCCAGCCGAAAGCCAATGAAGCGTAGAAGAACTTGTCTCCTGGCACCACTTCCCAGCAGATCTGTAGATGAAGGGCGAGCGAGCGGCAGAACACCCAGATTATAATTGCCCATCCTCCGAACAATAGGAAGGCACCGCTGATCGCGCAGACACCGCTGGAGTGCATGTCGTTTGGTGTGATTTCATTGTAACACTGATCAGGCTTTGCTGCCAGAGGGATGATGAAGGCAAGCTAGCCAGAGAACTGTCAGTACCACATTCCCCAGCAGTTTCAGCAATTGACGAACCTCGAGGAAAACCACACCCAGGGTGAGGCAGACACTTAAGTAGTGTCGATGTGTGTATTTCACCGGGAGTACAATGAATGACAGGATGAGATAAATCGAGAGAATGAAAGCTGCCACATTGACCCAGTTGGCAATCTCAGTCTGGCTCTCGAATCCTGCGGAAGGGTCAGCTGGCACATTCAGACGTGTCCTTGTCGAGACAGCGTACCATCAGAGTACGTCCAGTCAGTCAACGGACAGGGCAGACAGCAGGTCAAGTTCTGTAGTTCGGCTATAGGCATACAGAAGCGACCCGGAACGACTGGAGAGACGGTCAGAACTGGTCTCAATGATGGCGAGTTCTGGCGGTCGGGTACGTACATCCGCCAGTAATTGGAAAAGCGCTCTCTTGCAAGAATGGGGACGGGCACGAGCCCTTCAAGTCCGAAGACGGAGAAGACATTTCGAGTATCTCGTGAGGCGACAAGCCAGATGGTGCTGCTCTATAGTCTCATGACCGCGGTTCGCGCCGTTGGGGTTGGCTGTGGTCTTCAGGCAAGTCGACCAGACGATCTCCCGAGATAATGACCGAGATGGTGTACGTAGGATGCGAGAGGGTGTGAGAGAGGTGTTGTAATGGAGGGTGGGTGGCACGGGAAGGATACCAAGGACCTGGGGCTCCAGCACAGTTATGCAATTTCAGGAGGGGTGGAAGACAAAGTCATGGATGGCATTTTGAGACGCGCGCAACACCACACGGTCTTTTTGAGGATCGAGGAGAAAACGTGTGTCAGGGTACCCCCATGCAAGCGGCAGAGGATTCGGCGGGGTGGAGGATGGCTTGATAGTCAGTTGGAAGGTGGCTTTGCCGGTCGAAGACGCTGGGACGGGTTCCTGGAGCTTTGGGACATGCCGCTGGCTGATTCGGCTGCCTAGCGGTGTCTTGAGTACCAGTAGAAGCCAGGTACTCGTGCAACCGGCGAGGAGTCAACACGAGTATCCTCATCGTTGCAGCCGGTGGGGAGTGGATTCTATACTCGTTGCAGGGGGTGGAGAATGACTGTAAGGCACACAGCGAGCCCACCCTTGTAACATCAGAACCTACCATGGCCCAGTCATCGGCGAGAGGTCCCAAGGCGAAAGAGGCAGGAGGCTAGCGTAGAAAGGAGAAGGATTGGTGACGAGGTCCAACTGGTCGAGTCGTTTGGGAAGCGGTTTTCTTTCCAGCGCATCCTTCTCACCATATTTTCTCGCTATTCGCTGGGGTGGATGGGATGGCCCTGGAAGCCTTCTCAGCCGGGGCAGCGCAGCAAAACGCGAAGCCAGGGGCGGAAGAATTATGGCTGGGCTGAGTAGGTGTGAGCGGGAGCAAATTGAACACAAGAAGCAGAACACTCGGCGTAGGATTGGAGGGCTTAGGCATCTCGTCCAACGCGTTTTTGGAGCCAGGAACCTCGACCAGGGTGGGTGACAGGGGTCATGCAGGAACGAACAAGGGTCTCCATTAGGCTGTTCGGGGTGCCACCGGGCGAGCAGGAATGGAGATCCAAGGGCCAACGGCGCCAGGGGTACCGCGACCGTCGAAGTTTGCATTTGTCTGACTTTGTAATTTTCCTAGTGGTGGAAGCTTTCCAGGGAAGCCTGAAAAGGCTGGAAGCCTGAAGGGGAGGACTAGCCGGGATCAGACTAGAGTTTCGGTTGGTGGGTTCGTTGTCACCGGCTGCGGTCGCTCCTGGGGCTACGGAGGAAGAAGAGGCAGAGGCGGAGGCAGCGCCAGGCAAAAGACCAGGCGAGATGTATGGATACTGTAAACCGTGCAGAGTGGCCTTCTGTCGAGGAAGAGAGGTGAGGTGGGCGAATTGCTAGGTACCTACCTAGAGACAAGAATGCGAGTCGATTTCGGCAGTAATAATACTGTAAGTCAAGTGACTGTGGCTGCCTAAGGTACGGAGTATGTACCCGGTATGCCTGCGCCTGCGCCTGCGCCCGCCGCAAGAGTCAAGATCGTTGCTGCCCCTCGCCAGGCCAGGTCGGGCTTAGGGGCCTAGCCAAAGCTGGCACCTCTCTGCGATTCTCTGCAAATGTTATTACTAGGACTATGTAACCATCGAGAAGAAGGAATCAATCACAATACTTCGTATCCGTCCATGGTACTGGTAACCCTAGCAAGCCTAAAGATAATAAAAATGCCCTTTCAGCTCTCTTCTTCTGGTTTCCTTTTTCCTGCGACTACGGATTCAGGTTCTCAGAATGACCTGGCCAGCTGCCTCCTGTCTCCTGTCTGCTGTCAAACCTCAACTCCCGGCCCGATCGCATTGTATCCCACAAGTCCCTGCCGTCTGTCAGTCAGTACTCCGTAGTGTCGATCGAACGGCCTGGAGCGTCACGCACTTGACAGTTGAAGTTTCCTAATAAAAGCAACCTTGGCTTGTCAATTGGCCATTCTCATGCCGCCTGCCCATTAACAGCACCTTGTGTCCGGTCATATCTCTCAAGTATCTCTCAACTCGGCAGACTTGAGGAACGTACATTCGGAATACACTGTAGTGATATGCTTGTCAATCTAATATCACATCCTTATACCCAGTCTGAAGCTTGTCGTCTCACACTGTCCTCCATCAGACGTGCACTTGAACCACTGCAGCACATGGAGCTTGCCCGAGGACAGACTGTTGGGAGCAAAGGAGCACAACATGCCCAATGCTGCTAGTATCCCATTGTATACGGAGCACTCTGAAGGGGCGCAAGGTTTCACCCATGTGTCGCTTTAAGCAGTGTCTATTGCACTCAGCGTCTTTGCTTCGCCAATCCTTAGCAAGGATTGCGCTTGCACTGCACTGCACTGCACGTCAAGTCAAGTCAAGTCAATGCTATGCTGGTGGACCTCTCTTCTCGGCCGACGCTCGTATGTCTGGTGATGGTTGATTTTCTGCACGCTGATTCACCCCCAATAAAATGTCCATGTCCTGCATCTTCCTGCAGTTCTGCACCGTGAGCCTGGCTGCCGCTTACATCACCTGCCTTGTCAGACGTAACTTTCACCAGCTTCCCCGAAGCGGCATTTACAAATCCATCCTTGATATCGGCATCGTCAAGTCAACCTTCTGTGCCACACACACAGCCAAACTCACCCTCTGACTTTGACCCTGGCAGAAGCAAAATGTCAACTTGGCACGTGGTTGCAGGGATGAACCGCCGCATTGTTCCTTCACATGACATGACAATTAGTCAATACTACTGATCGGAGACATCTCCCTTTGTATCAGAGAAACCTAGGGTAAACGCTCTTGATGCTGAGACAAATATTCTTTTCGCTTGTTTACAAGTCTCCTTAACTGACTAGTTCCCATTTTCTGTGCTTTATGGTCATTTCTCGAGACTGAATTTTGTGATTCGCCCAATTTTTATGCAACAGACACTCTAGTCTCGCTCCCAACGCGCTGCCTATCAGTCCAATCATGGAGCAGAAATGAGTCTTTGCACTTGTATTGGTTCATCTGCTGCCCCGGCCAATTTCAACTGCATGCCGTTCACAGTCGTGACGTCTCTGTCGCCACTCGAGAACAGAGACAGTACGCCGTGAATTGGCTGAGTCTTCCGACTAGGAAATTCTGTGTCACAGCATCGGTATTGTCACGTTCCAAGGATCGACCGAAGCCGTTGCTTGTACCTAGGAAGAGACGCCACCGTTATGGCCAGCAGGATATGCCTTAGGCTGGCCCATATCTCGACACCGATCACCTGCCGATAGTGCTCCGTATGGTCGCTGAGCTCCGTGGGTCAGCAGTGGCACATGTTCACCGCCACAAAACAAGTGGCGTGAGATTTCCCGTGTAATCCGGCTGAACTTGACTGGGATACTTCAACGAGCCTGGAGAAATCCGTTCGCGCCTTCTTAGGTGACAATCACGCCGCTCTGAGAGAGCTGCAGATGTCAGGGATCTCCACGTGATCGATCGATCCTTCGTCAGCTCAGAGAGCTTGCGGTGTTTGGGACTGATTAAACACTGAGCGTATATAGATGCTGCTCATGCTGCATTCAGGACACGGTCCTAGTTTCGGTTGTCAATTTAAAATCTGAACTGTGAAAAGCTATCGGCTTGAGGACTAACATACCACGAATTGTTCCAAGCTCGCTTCAAAAAGCTCATTGTTGACGCCCAGACCGCCGGGATGCTCAACTGGCGAGAGCGGGTTCTTGACCACATACTCAACATAGCAGTTGACGTAGATCTGCTGCAGTGCAATCCTCATAGAGCCGGACTTTGTATCCGTGAGCATAACAAACTTGATATTGGTGGGAGTCTCGTAGTAGTGAAGTTTGTATTGCGATGTTCGATAGGAAAGAAAACTATCTCCTTGTGTCAACGCAGTATAGGTGTCAGACTTTTGCAGACGAACCTATCATCTTCTCCTCCTAGTTTTCGCACCATAGTCCGCAACGAGAATACTGTTCCAAAGACAAGCTTCGCATCATTGTCCGCGCTCAGTGCAGCGCGTGCTTGGAGTCCACCGTTGACGTAGGGCTGTGAGGGCTGTGAGGACGGTCGTGCCGGGGTGACAGAGGATGAAAACGAAGAGGGAAGCCAGGTCTTCTTGTAGATGCATGCGGCTACAAGACTTAGCACCCGCAAGTAGCATACGTGAAGACGGATGGCTCACCATGTCGATCAAAGATATAGAACGAGTACACCACCATTGTGAACTGGTGACCTCCGTCTAATCAAGTAGGCTCCGAAGTCTCACATGAAGAGTGTCATGTAGCCCGTACTCGCTCACGACCCTGCCAAAAGCAGCTCAGCGCGTCTCTTGAGACGTCTACTTTGCTGAAACAGTTGTGCACGCCAAACTGTATGTTTCACTGACTTGCAGTTGACGAGGGGCTGCAATGTGAGTCCAAAATGGCAGGTGCAGCGGAGACCTTATCCGGCCATATCCTGCGGATATCATCTACGAATGCGATCACGGCATGAGCGTTCTGAGCTTATGGGCGGGCCAGTCTACAGGCCACCGCTGAGACGACTCTCGGTGATGTCGAATACCTCATGGACTTCGTTACATCTCATACCTCCACGTCGGCAGAGGATGCCACACGCATTCCCACTGCCGTAGAGCCAGATCGGCCCCGCGAACTTTTACAATCACCTGTGATTCCCTCCGACTCGAGCGCAGACAGCCCCTCCACCAACCTACAGAAGCCGACCGTGACAAAGCATCTGTGAGAGTCTGATCAGCGGTGGTAAACGGCCCTCTCTAACACTGCCGCAGCTCCAGTCATGGATACAACAGTCCTCTTCGCCATCATCGTCGGACTCCGTCGGCCCCCAAACACGTCAAGGTATACCACCTCTGTGACACTACATGGAGCCTGTTGATCTAGCCCGTCCAGGAGTCGTTGAATGCTCGCTCCGAGTACGTCACAAGCCAGGACGACGGCGTTGCGGAACATCGGATCAATCAGTACATCATCAAGCAAGAGATCGGGCGTGGCTCTTTCGGCGCTGTCCATCTCGCAGTCGACCAATATGGCACGGAATACGTGAGCCGCCCTTCTGCGACACTTTGGTTTCTGCTAATTTGTCCACAGGCAGTCAAAGAGTTCTCCAAGGCCCGACTCCGAAAGCGTGCCCAATCCAATATTCTTCGAAAGCCTTTCCAGCAACGACGTCGTGGTGCTTTGCAAGGGTTTAATTCTCCCTTGCACAGAAATATCGGACAAGAGGGAGGGGCACCGGAAAACTCCATTGACCTCATCAAAGAGGAAATTGCAATTATGAAGAAGTTGAATCATCCGAACTTGGTATCCCTGATCGAGGTCTTGGATGACCCTACCGAAGATTCGCTCTACATGGTCATGGAGATGTGTAAAAAGGGAGTCGTGATGAGGGTCGGACTCGAGGAGCGGGCAGATCCATATCCGGATCACATCTGTCGGTACTGGTTCCGTGATTTGATCTTGGGGATTGAGTATTTGCATGCTCAAGGAGTGGTGCACCGTGATATCAAACCAGACAACTGCCTGGTCACTGACGATGATGTCTTGAAAATTGTCGATTTTGGAGTGTCGGAGATGTTTGCGAAGGACTCCGAGATGCTCACCGCTAAGTCGGCGGGCAGTCCTGCGTTCCTCCCCCCAGAGCTGTGTGTTGCTCGACATGGCGACGTGTCAGGCCGAGCAGCAGATATCTGGTCCATGGGAGTAACTCTATACTGTCTCAAGTACGGCAGAATTCCGTTTGAGAGAACGGGTATCTTCGAACTCTACGATGCGATCAAGACGGAGGAGCCTGATCTGAGTGAGGAGCAAGACCAAGATTTTGTCGATCTGATGAGGAAGATCCTGGAGAAAGATCCACAAAAGCGCATCAAGATGCGGGATTTGAGGGTAGGCTGAGGCTCTGGTTCCGACTATGTTCGCTGACATTGTCCAGGACCACGCGTGGGTAACCAAGCACGGAGCAGATAAACTTTTATCAGAAGAGGAGAATACAGCAGACCTCATCGACCCGCCAACCGAAGCTGAGATGAATGCAGCAATAACATATAACATGACAAATCTCTTGACAGTTGTAAGTCTTTTGTCCTCACAGCCAGGACGGACTGGACAATGGTTGACTTCATCCCAGATGAAAGCTGTCCAGAAATTCAAGGCCCTCTTGGAGAAGAACAAGCCTCCTGCAATGAAATCGATCTTGGGAGACTATGCGGATACCCGTTTCTCGCAGCCTCCAACGATGATGCATGGAAAAGAAGCGACTTCCGTCGCTCCAAAATCGCACATTTCCACTGAGGCCGATGGAGCTCATCTGAGTGACTGGGGAAACCCACCGGAGCTTCAGCAGGGTGTTAGCCGATCAAACGTACAACCCATACCCACCTTGAGCATCGACGATGCCACTACTACAGAATCGGAAACACGAAAACCAAGAATTGACAATGATCCTACAACATTCGTGAGCGAAAGCAGCACGGATACAGATGATCCGATCTCCAAAATCCTATTCCCGGGGGACATGGACAGTTTGGACCCAGGGAAATTACCACCCTTCCGGTCGTTGAAGCTACACGCGAATACGACTGATGAGATCGGGCATCGAGGACATGCACATGATCCTCTGGAAGACCATTTGTACCTTCGAATTGGGCCGTCGACATTTTCAGGGCTCAGTTCGCAGGCGGACAACGAAGGGAGCTTCATAGAAGAGCCAGAGGATGATGCATACTTTGTCAGCGAGAGCCCCGGGGCGGCGGACGTTGACATATACGAGACCGCATACCGGGATGAGATTGAGCGGATTATGGCCAAAGCCAAGGAGCAGAACAAAGAGCCAAATGTCTACTTGACACGCCGAGTAGACGAGAAACTGATGGCCATTAGCGGACTGGCGGGCAAGTGGGCGGCCATGGGTGAAGAAGCCAAGAACCATTTCAAAGACTACACGCAGTTTTCCGCGAGGAAAGCACGAGTAACTGAAGTCAGTCGTGCACTTCGGCAAGCGGCACGAGAGGAATATGAACGGAGAAAGCAGGAACGGCGGGAACAAATTGCTGCCGAGAAAGCGAAGCACATGGCAGAAGGACACGAAGCCTCCAAGCCAGCCGCTGACGACTCAGCTCCTACAGGCCAGGAGGGTGCAGAGCCTCCGGCCGGAAGCCCTCCATCAGCAAGCAGGCAATCATCCCTTTGGAAAGGTAAGGCTGTAGATAAAGGCCGGCAGGCCAGAACCTCAATTCTGGGTCTGATGGACATGGTTAAGAACAAGAGTCGCGCCAGAACCAAGGAGGAGGAAGGATGAGCAGCCCACAGAGCAGAGATGCTGGTGGCAAAGTTTGGCCAGATCCCTTACAGGCGGCAATGATATGATATCTTTTAAGATGTCATATCTTTACTACAGCTGAACTGAGGATTATGGCTCGGATTGACACCTCCGAATCATCCAAAGCCAAAAGCAGCCCGGTGTCAATGCCGGAGGCTCCAATAGAGCGGACGTGGATGCTTACTGAGCAGGAACTTGGACAAATACTGGTAGACATACGGATTATTGGGCCCCAAAGGCAACAGGATCTCAGGGCGGGCAGAACAGGCCGCCGGGAGACAAGGATGGGGTGTCAAACAAATACAGGATGGCCTGAGAGTGGCTAGCCGGCCGTGGGTATGGGCATGGGCATGGGCATGGGCATGGGCATGGGCAGGGGCTTAGGACTCCTAAGGCATGGGCATGGGCATGGTGAACTCGGTTACGGGGATCGACTTTCAGTGTTTGTGATGCCAGTGAGGGCCGGGGATGGAGGGATGGAGGGATGGAGGGATGGAATGGCAGTTGTCGGTGTCGGTGTCGGTGTCGGTGATGGTGATGGTGATGGTGATGGTGATGGCGATGGCGATGGCGATGATGTTGTTGACGTCCCTCACGGTCACGGCCCCGGCCAGTGCATGTTGGTTGTTGGTTGTCGGTGCAGGCTGGACGGTCTTGGCGGCTTTGAAGCTTTTGCCAAACGCATCTTTTCAGCCTTCATCGCCATCCGCCCCTAGACAAACCACCAAATCCAGAGAACTTCTCCCCTTCTCGCTCCCTGCAGGCTTCTTTCCCACTTTGTTTTTGTTGCCTTGGAATTTGCTTGGTCCTCTCGTGAGTGATACTCATCCGCAGCAAACAAGGAGGACAACGGCCCATTTGCTCAATATCTGTGCTCTGCGCGGCGGAGATGAAGGCACCGGCACGGAGCCAGCACCCTTCTGTCCTCTTCGTCTAAACCAACCGTCCAATCCAGCCTTCACCCGCTGCTTCATCGCACTTGCTCTGTCCACTTACTCCGGGCACTGCAATACTGCCTGCTATCGTGCATCTATCCATTCATTCACTCTCAAGCTCTGCCGGGCAACCTTCGCGGCGTGGTGGAATTCCATCGCTGCCCCTCGTTCGTTGATTTGGCCGAAGCCCAACCCTGTTGTCCCATCCAACGGCGAGCTCAACCCACTACAATTCATCGAGAAACCCTCTCAGACGACCTATACTCTCCATGCTGGCGGGCCTGGGTGAACGCGGTCTCTCATTCTGAGTTTATCGGTGCTTGATGGTCGCATGGTTCGTGTCTTCCAGATGAACGCGGGATCCGTGAAATTTTTCACCACCTCACCTACGTGCTCACCTTGGAGCTAAGACACCCCCTCACGATCTCAACCGCAGCAAGATCACTCTCACGATGGGTCGTCTGAGCAGAAACCCTTCCCGGCAAGAGCCCGTAGAGGAGCAGACTGGTATTGAGATCAAGCGTGAGGAGTCAGTGAATGGTGGTGACCCGACAGAGGAGCCACTCCACGCCCGCGCCCGCGTAGCTGCCATCAAGCACGAAAACTCTGCCAGTCCTTCCGAGTCACCCAACTCCGACACCTTTCGACACAAAGAATCGCGTGCGTCGTCCACCTCGACATCATCGTCCCCCCGACCCCCAGCCACGGACCCGGACAACAGCCGAGTGAGTGCCAAGAAGGAGCTGGAGGAGGCGGATGCAAACGGTCACACTTCCACCTCCACCTCGCCTGTCAAGCCTGAAGCAAAAGAACCCTCGAAGCCCGCGAAGTCCGCCAGAGGAGCGGCCTCCAAACTCCCTCCCCGTATCGCGCCTCTGCTCAATCACCTCCCAGACGCTACTGAAGAAGCTACCTCCACCTTCACCGTCATCGATAGCTGCACCTATCAAAATAAATTCCTAGGTTTCAGTGAACATGCTCTGGACTGTGACTGCTCGGAAGAATGGGGTAGGTCTCACTGTTACCGCTCTACTTCATTGGTTCATATCTGACCTGCATGTCCAGACCCCACTACCAAGCAGAATCTCGCCTGCGGCGACGATTCCGACTGCATCAATCGTGCCTGCAAGATGGAATGTGTCGACGACTGTGGCTGTGGCACTTCATGCGAGAATCAGCGATTTCTTCGCCGCCTGTACGCCGATGTGTCGGTCATCAAGACAGAGAAGAAAGGATATGGTCTTCGGACCAATGTCGATCTTCGGCCTCACGATTTCATTTTTGAATACATTGGTGAGACCATTCCCGAGGCTACTTTTCGCAAACGCATGCTTCAATATGATGACGAGGGCATCAAACATTTCTACTTCATGTCGCTGAGTAAGGGCGAGTTCATCGATGCGACCAAGAGGGGCAACCTGGGCCGGTTCTGCAACCACTCTTGCAACCCCAACTGCTACGTCGACAAATGGGTAGTCGGCGACAAACTTCGCATGGGTATTTTTGCCGAAAGGTACGTCAAGGCTGGAGAGGAACTTGTTTTCAACTACAATGTGGACCGGTATGGTGCCAACCCCCAGCCTTGCTATTGTGGCGAATCCAACTGCACTGGTTTCATTGGCGGCAAGACTCAAACCGAACGAGCCACCAAGCTCTCTGCTGCCACCATCGAAGCTCTCGGTATCGAGGATGGTGATTCTTGGGATACCACGGTGGCCAGACGTCCTCGCAAGAAGAAGGCTACCGAGGATGATGAAGAATACGTTGACAGCCTCGAAGCCAAGTCGCTAGATGTCGATGGCGTCACCAAAGTCATGGCTGCATTGATGCAATGTAAGGAGAAATGGATCGCCGTCAAACTCTTGCAGCGGATACAACGCTGTGTTGATGACCAGGCATGGCACAGAGTGGTGCGATTCCACGGTTACCAGATCCTTAATTCTCAGCTCGCTGCATGGAGGGACGATGAGAACATCATCCTGCAGATCTTGGACATTCTCAATCGACTGCCCCGGCTCACCAGGAACAAAATCGTGGATGCGAAGATTGACAAGACGCTCCAACCATTGACCACACATTCCGACGAGAGAGTCGCAGGTCAAGCGTCCGATCTGCTCGACGCTTGGTCAAAACTTGAATTGGCCTACCGGATACCGCGGAAAAAGAGGGAGGCAGCGTCAACTCCTCTCAAGATCGAATCGACCCCATTTGAGCGACGAGAGTCTGCCCAGGAACGCAGACGATCGAAATCCAGATCCAGATCCCGCTCTCCAACCCCTCCTCGGGGTCCAGTGAATGCACCTTCAGGCCCCAAGTCATTACAACGGCCTGGAAAGCTCCTCGGGCGAGCGCCTCCCTCGTTTAATCGAGCTCCTCCTCCGCTGCCCCGTGGTTGGTTTACGGCCCAGGATAAGGGAAGAACGTATTATTATTCTGCCAGTGGACAGACGACGTGGTCGAGACCAACGAGACCAGCCGACGAACCGCCTCCTCCACCAAAACAGCCCTCTGAACAAGACGTTCTGAAGAGTATCATTGATACCATTGTCACCTCTCGCGGGATGGAAACGAAAAATTCCACTCCTGACACTCCAGAGCCTACCAAGGTGAAGAAAGAAGAGAGATGGAAATCGTATGACGAAGAGAAGCAGAAGAAGTTGTATGAAAATACTGTAGGTCATCGTGTATCTTTGCTGGCAACCTCCGCCCACTAACACTGACTATCCAGCTCTTCCCCCATATCTCCCATGTAATGAACAAATACAAACACAAAATTCCACGTGATGACCTCAAGCGATTTGCGAAAGAGATCGCCAAGAAGCTGGTGGCTTCGGACTACAAGGCTGGCCGGGTGAAAGATCCCACAAAGATTGAGGAACGGCAACAGAAGAAGGTCAAGGAGTTCTGTAAGCAATTCTTCGAAAAGGCATACCAGAAACATAAAAAGCACGAAATGGAGAAATCGGCCAGAGGGAAAGGCAAGAAAGCTCCGTCGGGTGGTGAGGCTGCTGCATCGCCCGTCCACTCACCTCACGCTGATGATGAATCTCCCGAAAACGGAGCGGAAGATGTTAAAATGTCGGAGGACGAAGATGCTGAACAGACGGTTGGCGCCGAGACTCCGCTAGACCCGAATGGCAGCGGATCACTGAAGCGCAAGCGTTTCGACCGGGACGAGTCATCAACTCCACGTGAAGAAGACGAGGGCGAACCAGCAGGATCGCCGATGAAAAGACTGAATCTTGACATTGAGACACCACCTCCGCCACCGCCGCCACCCGCGCCGCCACTAGAAACGCCGCCGGACAGCACGCCCAGGGAAGGCGAAGGAGACGTGGAGATGGAGACGAACATCTACTCAGACACCAGCTTCAAGGGCACGAGTATGGCGGACGTCCTCGCGCAGGCACAGGAAGAGGATGAGGGAGATAGCGGGGGAGATCAGCCGAAACAGGACGGGATTGGAAGTGGCATGGAATTGGACAATCCTCTGGTCGATAAACAGGAGCCTGAGGCCACATTGGTGGACGCAGACAGCTATAACGATGGCGACAAAGATCGGTGACACTGACATTTAGGTGCTGGCCAAGCTGTGATTGTGTATCACAGCTGATGGGAGTGGTTGCCACTACACAGTGTACCTACCACTGGACCGGGGGGCGGCTAGTTTGTTCGCTGAGCATGAGTATGGCGGGGAGTCCATCTTTCGGGCCACCCTGGCATTTCTCATGATACTAATTGGGAGGCATAGCGACAGGCACATTAACAGGAGCAAGGACAGAGAGATGCGCATGGTCCCTAAGGGCGCGGCAACAATTGCGAGTTTCGGCCTCTAACCGGATCGTCGTCCGGTCCTACAGGGAGCTGGCTGATCCTGCTCGAGATTCTGGCCAGTTGAGCTTCTTTTTTTTCTTCTGGATAGCATCGTGAAGACCGATATAGGGTTAGCATTGGTCTGTATATTCTGTATCTACGGGCTCCTAAGGGCTCTTAAAAGCTTGCCCTCTAGATTCAAAGAGCTGGCTTGGCTTGAGCAGGAGTCTTTTCGCGTTGATTGGAGGATCCGAACGATCTTCTGTATGTAGATGCAGCTGCGGCTGCACCCTGCGGCCTAAGGCCTCTGATACAACTTCTAGCCTAGCAAATCCTTCTCCCGCGAGGTTCTGAAAGGCTCCATACGAACCCCAAGAAGGGATGTCAAAATTGCGGAGATTCGGGGTCTGCTTAAGGCTGTTACTCTTCAGAGATCCAACGCAGCCGTCGCCTTCCCCGTCCCGACGCCACGGTCACGATCTCGTGGTTTCTCTTCTCCCACACATTGTGCATAATAGCTGTGGTTCCGCCGCTTTTTTTCTTTCCCATGCCGGAGACGGGAGTTGTCGCCCACCAGCTTATGCCGCTGACTGTGGAGCGGAAGAGATCTCGTTCCGCAATGTTATGCCAGCACCGGCAAGAAGCGATAGGGATGAGGGCCCATATCGTAAGTTAGAGGCCAAGGCAGGGTCGTGGTTAAAGTCGTGATGGGACTACAGGAGGTGAAGTGTAGCGCTGTCGTCCACAGGTTCTCCAGGGAGACCGCTATACCACATTCCACCTGTCGTACAGGCCATCTCGTTATCAGTCGTAGATTTAGCAGCGATCCTTGACAAGAGTTCTAGTAGAAGCTCTCGACGATGCTTTCCTTGTTGGCATTCATTCTTGCATCGACCCCACCTGGTCCACCTTCACCGAGCCTGAAGACACTCTCGATGACGCTCAGCTCGGTGGCGGTGGTGTCCATGCCTGTTACTGCAAGCCAGTCGTTGACCACCATGCCGGCGCCGACAACCGAACTTCCCCGATTCACGCTGCCAGCGACCAGGGGGACTTGTAATAAAGAGCTGAGTTCATCTTGGTCCTGGATGCTGGTCTTGGGATGGACCAGGCCGCCTTGGTTCGACAGAGACATGTAAGACCCTGTCAGCACGTTTCCGGCAATGGTCTGGCGAAACACTTCCACTCCCAGGGTGTCTGCGATGATTTCTTCCGTCTCACGCTCGATGTCGGGATGCACCAGGGCAACGTGATCATTTGCGACAATACAGTTCCCCAGGGCTGACAATCTTTCCTCTATTCTCTGAATCTTCACTTCGTCCGGTAAACTGTTCCGCAGATGTTGCAATTCTTGATCCGTCGTCGATGTCGGCACGAGAAGGCCGTTCTTGTTGCCGGTCGTCAGACGACCGATGATGCGGGTGCCGGCGATGGTGCAGTGCACAATAGGAATGAGCTCGGCGAGTTCGGATTCGAAAATCGAGTAGAAGTTTTCCGACGCCCCGATGGCGACTAGGCAGTAGCTGTTGGTCAGGTTGGCGAAGACCCCAACTTCGTTGGAATTTTCGAATTGTGCTCGTACAGCCATGCTGGATTAGTGTCGCCCGGGGTTCTGGCGGGTGAAGGAGGAGTAGGGATGGAAAGATTGTCTGGCGTTTCTGCGTTTCTGCGTTTCTGCGTTGGCCAAGCAGTTGCCAGAAAGGAGGGGTCGAAAGACGATGCTGGCCTGCGGCGGTGGTGATGAAGAGTAGAGTTGGAGAGAGTGGCGGACCTTTTTTGTGCTTTGAAATACAGTGTCAAGTGTCAACGGTGAGCCACGGGTCCTGGGGGCAAAGAGTATTGAGTGTGAGTGTGAGTGTGATTCATACAAAAGGGCCAGGCCTGGAGGAGGAGAGGAGGAGGTGGTGGTGGTGTCACAGCCCGTCGCAATTTTTCAGCGTAGTCTCGCTGCAGCCAATCAACGGCGCCATGGTTTCCAGTTCGACTCACTCATCGTCCCCGGACGATCTTCCACATTCCTTTTCCGTCAAGGACGGAATCTGATATATCTGGGTCTGCATATTACCTATTATTTATTACCAGGTGTCTCCAGAACTGTTCTCCAGTATGTTTTGTGGGACAAGATGGAAACTCCCTACTATTTTGCTCGTAATTTCATTCTTGCGAAATATCGTATCAGTGTCAGTTCCAGGGTGATGCTGAAATAGTCAGTCTCTAGTAACGAGCACGTACTTCATCCGGCCTTTATGAGTCACGACGTTAGGCGTCACGTATGAGCTCTACTCCAGGTCAGTTCAATTCATTTTGGACTTCTCCCTGATATTCTAAGCAGATTGGTACCGAAACTTTAGTCTCATTCATCTGATTCTCGTTGTATCTTGTCGTTGTCGTAGCTATTTTGTCATGACCTCCTTTTTCCCAACCCATCATGTTCTTCCCAGTACTCCTGCAACGCTGCGCTTATATTTCAATGGTCGTATTGTGCAGCATATCAATTCCAGTGCCAAATCCAACCATGGCATCGCTTTTCGTATGTAGTTTGATAGATATCGTCAAGTGCACGGAGGAAACCGCGTACAGTAATTAAGTCAACATCCTGAACAGATCCAGCAGGGACGGATCAATCCTCACAGATGCCCTTCTCCAAAGCTGCCAGCGCAGCCTCATACCTACCTGGCGAGTGATCTCCAAACATGTCTCGCCCGAACCTCAACTCTCCGAATCGAGTTTCCACATCACGGACGAGTTTGAACTGCACTCTCGTGGCCGGACGACCAAGTGCTCGATACAATTTCTCGGTCCTGTCATCTTTGGAATCGTCCGGCCCAAAGACTGCTTCGCGGGCGACATCGGGATCTAATCGATCAAACACGCGAGTCGTCTCCACCACGAACACTTCGCCCGGCGGGACGAGTTTGTCATTTACCATCGCCGCACGCAGCGTCTTCAATGCTGCCCAAGCCCAGGTGTCCTCCCCAAGTCCGTCCCCGGCCATATGTTCGGGCGGAGGGGGACCTTTCGGGTTGTTGTAGAAGGACGACTTGACCGCATTCTTCACGCGTTGCCAGACCCTCGTTTCCAATGCACCAAGCGCGTCACTCGTGTCAGTCTTCAAATGTAAAGCCACCGTGCGGAAGTCGTGGAGGACGCCAAGTGATAAACACGGAACGACGTCGGTATTGTTGACCACGGTTGTGATTAGGCCGCGCGTAGCCACACGCAAAAGCTCAGACATGCAGGCTGGGGTGCCGTAGGCATATACATGGATAGGGCGACCGGCAGGTAGGCTTATCGGTGGAACGTACGATGTGCTGGGGCCATCGCTGTTCGTATGCGTCAGGAGTTTGGGTGCGTCTCCAGTGACGAATGAAGTCTTCGACCCGTCAAAAGAAGGCTCAGACAGCAATATAGCTAGGATAGCGGCGACGGCACCTCCCAACGAGTGGCCACAAAGAATGAGGCCGTAATCAGGATACTGTTCAAGAGTGGCTCTGATGGTGGCAATGATCCGGCTTCCGCTGCCACCAAGCAATCGTCTTGCGGATGCATGGATGCCCTTGTGGACCTTGTACCGTCGGCCCTGCCACAGTAAGTCATCGTAATCACAGGTCATATCGGTCAACACGTCCTCAAAGCCCAGTGTTCCACGACAGGTCAATACGACAGCTTTCGAATCATCATCGATGGAGATGAAATGGATCAAGGGCGATATTGCAGCTGGCGTCCAATCTGCGGTACCTGTGACGCCTTGTGGATCGTAGAAGGAAGACAGAAGAATGGTATCTGGAGGTAGGCCTGTATGGCTTGAAAATGAGCTGTGTTCATGATGGACGTTCAAGGTCATGAGTTCTGTAGTCTTGCTCAATTGAGCTTCAGCTGAGGAAAGGCCCATCACTTGAAGAAAGTTGGAGCCATATGAGGCAGATGCAAATCTAGCAAACCGTCGAATCGTTTTGACCATGTGGCGGTCGGGGAACGTTCCAGGTACCTTGCCATTAGTGATTAGAGCATTCAATATGTTGTGGTCTTCGTAGATGGATTTTCGATAAACTGGCGTCTTTGGTGCTAAGATGATGGCTTCTTTGGAGTCTTTGGTCGCCATTGAATACAAGCTGGGCACAAAAGATCGAGACCGTCGATGGTGGACTGTCCCATTAGCGGTCTCGACTCTAGACTCGGCCTCGTCAAGCGTAAGTCCAAGTTCAGACTTGGCTTGGCCAGGGCCGCCAACAACTCGAGTGTGAGTACGCGTAAATGTCGGCGATCCCGGTCGACTGTCGATAGAGTGTACCGAGTAGGTCTCCGTGGTCTGTGAGACAGAGGAATCTCTTCTTCGATGATGCAAAGCAAAATAGCTAGTAGATGATTCTTGATTGGCGGCGCGATGTACATTTGGGCTGGTTAGTGGTGTATGGCCGTGGCTCAGCGACGCATAGTTCTTTCGAGGAGTCACATCACCACGCACTGCCGATGGCGCCCGCGAGGTGGGCTGTTGAGGTGGGATCGAGGAAGGAGGCGGTCGCTGGGGCAAGGCTTTGTGAAGGTCTTTGACTGCTGTCGAGGACTGGCTGGGGCTGAACGTCTTCAGCGCTTTCCTGAAGGCTCCGCCTCTGTCGGTTTTAGCGTTTGTGATAGTTTTGTCCTTTTTATTCTTGACAAGGGGTATTCGACTCATAGCATTTGCGCCCGGCGGAGATCTGCTGTATGATATGACGGGCCGTCGACTTTTCTTCTGATTAGCCACTGTACCAAGAACTTTGGGAGGCAAATTCGGAGGTACGGAGGACTCTGCTGTCTCCTCCTCATTGTCGGAGTTCAAGGCGGCTGGAGCTTCGAACGGGACGGGTTCATCCACGATGGATATCTGCTTTGGGGCAGCGTTCATCATGAAGAGCCCGTCCACATCGTCATGGTCCATTGGCGGCTCCTCGCCACGGGTGAGACGCAACTGATCAACTGCGGATGGAATGTCTTTACTCCTCGACTTCTTCAAAGCGGTTTGGAATACGATGGTTTGGTGAGGTGCCCCTTGCAGGTCGGTTCCGGAGTCACCATGGTTCAATCTTTCGGCAACCATAACTGTACCAGGTGGAGGGTCGATATGTGTTGTTTGGGCGTCGTATATGTCCACCTTGATGGTTTTTGCTGTGAGTGTTTCCGACGTGATGACGGCTCGAGCCCCGTCTGGCAGTTGGCTTGTAATACGTTCTCGGATCTCTTCATCGGTCAACTTGGTCTGGTCTTCTGGCGCAAAGACGACTGCTGAGGTATCGAATAATGTACCTCGTTCCAAGGCTTCGAAGTCATCCTCACCGTCTGGGGAACCGAATGTCATAGGCGGTGCCGTGGGATTAGGGTGTATGCTGATCATGCCTTGTCTTCTGGTCCCGACAACGTCGGCCTTGAAGCCTTTGTCATCGATGACAGCGTCCCAGATAGTTTCTTCGCCACCAGCATCTCTGAAATCAAGTTCAGTCTTGCGCCGGCCCCATCTCTGTAGCATAACAAAGCCGACCGTTCCGATGATGAGGTCCAAGTATGAAATGATCTCGCCGTTACTTCCACGTTCTGGCTTGTTAAGTTCATCTTTGATCAGAGTGATGATGGCGGCAACTGCCCGAGAGGATTCGGTAGAGCCGAGAATAGCATTGAGCGTGGACAGTCCCTGTATCGACAACGCAGAGGCCGAGTTCATGGAAGCTTCCGTAAGATGAAAGCTTGCAGATGCTATAAAAGAAATGGTTGAAATGGTCGAGTACAACGCAGATATCTAAACAGTGTCAGTTGGGCATGGGTCGGATTGAGGAGGGTAACAACGTACGCTTCTCTCAAGCAGATTCTCTGCTTCGGCCCTCCCAAGGTCACCATTGCTTCGAGCAGATACATCTCTTCCTGCAGCAACAAGGATAGCTTCCAGGGCACTCCGACTAACAGAGAGCGTTTTCAACGTGGCCTCTCTCCCGGCATACAAGCCCCAGCCTCCGACCTTTGTGCCCACGCGAACATAGAAGGAAGTCAGGCCGGTGAAACCGCTTACAACGGCCGCGGCTGGTGCGGGTAGAAGGGTGCTTCCTTGAAGAGGCGGCGCAAGGACAAGTTCTTTGGATTGGTCTTCTTGATCGTCACCGGCTTCCCCAACGGAATTTTCAGCCGCATTGTCAGTGTCATTCTCTTTCTTTGCCGGCCAAAGCATATCGCGAGCGACTGGGAAGTTCGATTCGAGAGGGCGCTGTGAGGAACAAAGCGGATAGCGGGCACGTGGTACTCCATGAAGACTCGGAAACAGGAGACGAGAACAAAACGGGCCAGGCTCAATTCAACATGGTAGAAAAGAGTTGGGAATATGCAGGTACGGGCCGGGTGCCTGGCATTAAAGACATGTGCCAGCCGTGATGGTGGTCGAGAAAGATGGACACGGAGTACTAGTACTCGGATGGTCGGTCCAGAGTTGTATTGCGAGGTGCGAGGTGCAGGTGCGCGGGGAGTTTCGTTCTGGATGACGTGGAAGTACGGAGTATACAGCACATACCAGGCACGAAGTATATACTCCGTACAGCACATGCATACATGAATCCCACCCCCCTCGAGGGTCGTCCACTATGTGTATGGTCTATGTCTACGTCTACAATACTCCGTCCCAATCTCAGATCTGATACGCCTCTTTCATGATCTGAAACTTTCCAAGCCTCGGTACAAAGAATCTCAATCTCTACAAGCCTTGGTGCACGGATACCACAAGGTTATCATCTTCCAACCACTACAATTTCACAACGTCACAAATACCTCTTCATACAACACGACTCTAGGTCGAATCTGATCATCTCACATAATCTCACAAGTCACCACTACGACGGAGAAGGAGAAGGGGAAGAATGACAATAATAAGAAGGCATTTGAAAACAAATTAATGACTTTTGATTGCGCGCCCAGGGCGTGCTCCGTAGAGCAAACGAATGTCTAAACTAATTGTCCAAACCAACCCAATTTTCAATCTGAAACGAAGGTATCCTAAACGCCATGCTCAAAAACAAGAAACCAATGAAAAAACGGCCTCCTCCCCTCCCCCCTTATATCTCCCTCTCCTAGTCTATCTCCATCCCCATCCCGACAGCCTGCGCTGGCGTAGACCCCGAGGGGGTGAACTAAACCCCCTCGAGGAATGCGTCCAACGGTATCTGCCCTTGGGCCTTTAGTTGGCTGAAGTTGGCCATTGCCAACGCATAGTCCCAGTTGTTGGCCGTTAGGCAGTTCTCGACCCACTGCAGCTTGAGGCGAGTCTCGAAGCTGAATTGGAGGCCCATTTGTTCGCGGAGGAGGACCTCCGCGGGCTTGTCTGGCTGGGCGACTCCGAATGTTGAGCCCGGTGGGAGTTCCGGATGCAATGGCGCAGGCGCCGCCATTGCTCCAATTGGCTGTGGCTCTGGCTGTGGCTGAGGTTGAAGTTGTGTGCCGTTGGACGCGATTGGCTCGTTGTTGTACATTTTCAAATTTGGGTACCATTTGATGAGTGTCTGGAGTGTGTCTGGCTTGGAAGCGACCGGGTTGCCTGTGAGGATGAGGTGTTCGAGCTCGCGGAACTGGTTCTTCCAGAATTTGAGAGCACCCAGGTCTTCAAGGTTGTTGTTTGCAAGGTCGAGATTGTGGATGTGGGGGAAAACACTGGCAAGAGAGATAATGTCTTGTACGGTTTTGATTGCATTGTCTCGGAGACTGACGCTGAGCACAGCTTCTGTTCGTTTCGTCTCGGTTTCCCAGATCTTGCTTTCGCAGATCGTGAAGATGGCTTTGTACACTTTGGACGCGTCTTGATCCGACAGGCCGGAACTCAGGAGCTCAGGATCAGCGACCATCGCATTCAAGATGAGATGCCTGTCTCCAGCGTGATATCGTTTCCGGATGACGGAGATGATGATGTTTTCGATCTCTGATGTCAAGAGATTGTTGGTGTTGGTGCGGCGTGGATCTCGTGGAAAGCCGTTTCTTGATGGCTGAGAAATTCGTCCTTCAAAGGACTGATGTTGATTTTGGGCGTGGGCGTGTTGGTTGCGCGGAGGTCGCGAGTCTTCAACTGTCAGGGTTGCACCGGCCCATGTGAAGTTGTTCAAGTGATAGAACCGATCTTTGTCGTGTTCATTGATCGTGATGAGTAGTACTGTGCGGCCGGCCAAGCGGTGAGAAAGGATATTGCGGCTGGACTTCTTCTCTAGAAAGCCAAGCAGTGATTGCAGACCTTGGTCTTTGGTAGCGGACAGTTTGCTGGTAGTCCATCCTTTGATGGCGAGTTGGAATGTGTTTCCGGATTGGTCTCGAACAGGTTGAGTCTGTCTAGCGAACGCCATTGTGATGACAGGAGATATTGTAGAGGGTTTGCTCGGTGTAGAGGCTTTGCTCAGAGACTTGTAGATTTGCACGGAGGCGTGTGTGTAAGAGCTGTAAGATCCTTGCACTGAGGCTTGAAAGATCTTCACAGAGAGACTTTGCACAGAGGCTTGTAGATTTGCACGGAGGCGTGTGTGTAAGACCCTTGCACTGAGGCTTGTAAGATCTTTACAGAGAAGTGTTGAGGGTTCGGATCTACGAAGAGTCTTGCGAGTATCACAGAGTCTTACGAGATCGGGATTCAGAGTGTGAGAGTGTGAGTGTATGAGAGAGGAGAGAGGAAAAGAGAAGGAAGAAAGGGTGGGCGAGGGTGGGAGATATACCTATACCCTTCGAGAGGCTCAGCGGCCGAACGTGTCGAAGAAAGTTCAGGTTATGTCGCGGGTCGGAGGATGAAATACGGTTCGCACGTGGAACACGGCACGTGACAGAGGCCGCCTTTCCCCATCCGGGCCTGGCGACCTTCCGACATGAAGCTTCTTTGAGCCTCAACCTTGTCGATTGACCACCGCATCCAGTGGTTCGTTCGTTCATTGTTCGGCTCCAAACTCAAGTCCAGCTCGAGCTCTCGGTGTGTTTGGCCAACCTGGAGTTCCGGCCACCGACATCTTCTCGGAGCGCGCGGCCCTTACCTCGACTTTTGCCATCCACAATCAACGGTGATCCATCGTCGATCAAACGTCTGTCGAGTTCAAGCGAGCATGGCTTCAGTCTTCACTGGCATTCTGTTCGGCAACGTGGCTTAGAGCCATTACGGCATACGTCCTCAATCAGCACCATACTGTTTGACGACGTGGTTGAAGCAACCGAACAACATTCAAGCCCCGGAAACCGGAAACCGGAAACCTTGTCGACACTGTACCGTGGCTCGTCATGGTTAGCGCGACCACGGCTTAAGCTACTTTGAGTAGAACAAGAGGCTTTACGGTGATTTTTAGGTGAGGGGTTCAAGTTAGGTATCTAGAGGACGCGCATGAAAGGCCATCACAACCCTGGCTGCATTGAATCAGGTGGCAGTCTTGGTACAACCTATCGGCCATTCACTCTCTCTTCAGGTGGAGCAGGGCTCGAGGCTTTGCTGCCAAACCGACCTATGCCTCCAAATCCTCCCAGATCTCGCTTGAAGAACTTCCCAAGGTTCTTCAGGTTCTCATTCAGCTTCGCTCCCGCTTCCCCTCCGGAAGATGTGCCGTCAATCGCCACATTGCTGGCCAGACCTCCAGCGGGAGGCGGACTGAGTGCCCCTTCTCTAGGTGTACCCATGCCTCCGAGATTTGGACTGCTGAATCGATCAATGATTGCGTTACCCAGTCCAGATGCATCGAACTTCATGTTTGCAGGCAAGTTTGCAGTGCTCAGTGACGCCGCCGCCGAATTCCCCAGTGCTGAGAGATTGTGCAGCGCTGCGGACTGGGTCGATGCACTATTACTGGTAGATGCGGAGACTGACAGGTTCAGAGACGTGAGAAGAGGCGACCTTTCCACCAGTGAGTCCTTGTACCTTGGGCTGAACTTGTGCATTTGGAACAGTTCCACGAGATGGTTCTGTTCTGCTTTGGTGCGGATGCCTTTAAGTTCGAGGATTTTGCGGAAATTGACCTCGGACAGGTCAGCAATGTGGATCAGATAGGCCTGCACGAGAGCTTCCGGTGGAGATGGTCTGACTTGCAGAGTCTTCAACAGAGGCTCGACCTTGCTGAACGCAGCGGCCACCCGTTTAAGAAAGAGCGGCGGAGGCGTGCCGGGCAGAACATGACTCAAGGTAGTCCTTATCTCGTGTGTGTCCAGTAACATCTGTTCTGCGCCACCCTCAGAGATGGGTTTGCATTGCGCAATGTTGGAAATGTAGGTCGAGGCAAGCAGCTCCACCAGATTGTCCGCAAAGGCCCGCGCATATTGCTGCTTGTGGAGCATCCCCAAGATCTCATTTGATCTGTCTCTGATGCGGGTCTCCAGGCCAGTGATGTAAGAACTTTGGTTTTCACAACTCTCGATCTTCGACCAGGGCGTATTCCGCATCTCTCTCCAACTGGGTTCGAGGTCGGTCTCTACGCGTCGGACTAAGCCCCGTACCGCAGCGCTCGCGATGCCCATGAACGCATCTGCCTGATTTTGCAGGTCCACATTGTCCTTCAAGGTTTCATCGATGCGACTCTTGATCTTCTCTTCAAGAGAATTGCATGTGTTAAAACAGTAGTCGGCAGTATTAAGAACCAAGATTATATCTTCGATGGTTGGGATCCGTGACGGCGTGCCGCCTGACGGCTTCTCCGAGATGTAGAACAGTAATACCTGTTGGGCGTACTGGTCGAGATAGCGCCCAAACACTTTCGACAACTCGAGCAAAGGCTGCCCGGATGATAGCTTTGCGCATTGTGCCAGTGAATGGCGATAGAAATTGAACAACTCGGTCGAGGATGCTATGACCTGCTGAGAAGAGAACTCTTCGTCCGCTAGTCTGGTCGGTCTTTGTTTGTATTGCGGTATCAGTCTGGAGAGCTCCTTGTCTTGTGCCTCGACCCACAAGCTCAAATAGGGCTCGAAAGCGCTCGATATAGGTTGGCCGAAGACGGGAACATCGCTGGCGGAAGTCGTCGTGTCTATAGAAGTTCTAGAAGTATGGTTGAATCTCCTTTCCAGACTGTGCTCGAAGTCCAAGGTTTGTTGGAGGCAGGATACCAAAAGAGAGACATCGATCGTTTGCCCGTTGCGAGTGGTTCTCGAAAGGATCCCTTTGAAATCATCTCGAGTTCCCTCGGCAAAGACATTTGCCAAAACTTCATTGACTCGCCAATGGGAGGGGAAGATGGCGGCATGCTCCTCGTCATATATTTTCAGCGACTTCTTGAACCAGGCATATCGTCGGTCGATGTTGTCGAGAGAGCCGGCCTCCTGATCTCCCTTGAAGATATGCCGGTACTGTCTCAATTGGGTGTTGCAGTACCAGGTGACCAATCTTGAGCGAGCCGAATCACCAAGAGCATCCACGACCATGCAGGCCTCGTGCAGCAAACCCCGCTTCTGTGCCACCTCTTCCTTGGTGAAGCTGATCTCGAAATCTTCGCAGACTTGTTCCAACAGTTCCCTCTGCAAGTCAGCCACATTCCTACTCAGAGTCGCAATCTGATCAATAGACCGGTATGACTTGAAATGGGCCATAAGCTGGATCACCGCCTGGAGAAGCTGTGCACATTCTCTGTACTGTCGTGTCTTGCCTAGTGCTCGCAATTGTTCGTAGGCAGTTGTCAACATCTGCAGCCTCTTCAGAGCCGTCATCGACAGCGTCAAATTCTTCTTGGTATTATCTAGCTGCTTGATGTCTGCGGTCATCTCGGTGATATTCCGCTCGGTCTGTAGGGCTCGCTCGCGGACGTGTTCGATACGTTGAAACAGGTCGGCCAACTCTGCTTTCGTAGCTTCCATTCGCCCGAGGCATTCTGCGTTCGACCGGATCTGCTCATCCTCGAGAGTCTCGATCTCATTATCCAAGTCGTCTTGGTAAGCCTGCAGTATCCCATAGGTCTGGCCAACTGACGAGAGGGTGAATGGGTGGGAGAAAATGAGGTCGAGGTGTTCTATGGGGTCATAGTCGTCTGCTCTCATTAGAAAAGGGTCCATGAAGTCACGGACAGAAGAAACTCGCCTGAGTCGAGTAGATTGATTTCTTGGTGCGCGCCATTGGCAGGCATGTGGACTGGCCGGAGTGAGGCTTCGAAGTAAACGAGTGGGGACGAGCAGAAGGACAAAGCTTCATGACCTTGGAGTCAAATAGAATAAACCAAGAAGAACGAGCGCGAGACTCGCTACAGTACAGTATCCTCTTGATTGCCAGCTTGATGATTGCATACCTGGTTAGGTACACTGATGCCAGATGTCTAATGGAACTTGAAGTTAACTCCGCGCATCCGCCGCTTTAGCAGCTGTCGGCGTCCCCTGAATGCACACCTTCTTCCCTCTCTCTCTATCTCGCACTGCCTACTTCGCAATAACACAGATACGTTCTACAGGGGTTACTTAATTCTTTACAATCCTGTCCTCATTTTCGGTATCTTCTTTCTGCAAGTATGTGGTGGCATCTCCGAGACTGCGAATGTTGCGAATGCAATGTTTAACCCCCAAATACGGTTAGATCGCCCATGTCGGCCAACTTTCCCCAGGTCGGCCGTTCCTGTTTTAATTTTCCAACAGCCCTCGATTTTATTCCCGTCCTTTGAACGACTGATGAATCCTTTATTTTCCAGTTGTCGGAGCCAGCCAGTCTCTCTGGAGTCATTTCTCTCCCAAGCAAGTCTGACAACGCTGCTGGATCGAGAATGTGAATGTGAATGTGAATGCTTTGCCTAGCCATTTGTTGTTGTCAAACATGGGTTCGTGCCATCTCAGGACTGAGATGACCCCCGATCTACTCTCAGCAGGTAAGCAAATGCCCAGCCAGCTCCACGCACAATTTCCACTGGTGTCCCCGAAGTCTATATGATGAGCAAAAAACCAAATGGCATTAGGAAGAGCCGGAAAAGGATGTTAGGGGTGAAATTCAAAACCTGCCTTGAAGAACAGCGGGCAAAACGAGCGGGCATCGTCAAATGCTCTCTGGTTTTCCTTTTTGGTTCTTCAATGTGTGGTCCCTGACGTCGGTGCTTATAACTGGTTCCTCTGATATTATACACAAAGTCCCTTCTTTTGTTGACTTGGACCTCTCTATTAGTTGCGTGTCTTTTGTGATATGTTGACCTTTCTACGACTCGAAGCTTACAATTTTCCAGATCTAGGGGCAAAGGCATTCCAAGCAAGCGGTACACCACGATTACAGACACGTGTGATGTAAGTTCAGCTTCATGCTGAGGAACGCGTTCATTCACGCTAGATGGGCCTTGCATTTTCCCTAATATTCGACACACAACATCTATTATACAACCGCCGCGTCGGCACCTGGAGCTCCTAATATTAGATGTAATCTGCGTCAAGTTTGGGGTCGCTCAATTTCTTGACATTTTTCCTACGATATCCCGGCGACTCAACTATTTCAAAAAGTATCTAGAACACAGCTTAATTCTTAACCTTGATGGACCTTTTTGAGCCTGGTACTCCCCTCATAGAGGCCACGATCAATGGCGGCAGCAACCGTCAGGGTTCCGCCGATGACGGCACAGACACCGGTGAGAAAATTAGCAAAGGACTTCGGCCGGACTTCGCGATTGATGACCTTCATGGGACTAATGTCGTAGGAAAAGAAGACACCCGGGATGCCGCCGTAGGCGTGAAGGCGCTCCTTATGACCCTCTGCGGCATCAGTGCCTCCGGCGAGGGATCTCTTATGTGATGTCACTGAGTACTGGTGTGTTTCGATGGAGCCGTGGCTGCCGGCGCCTTTGCCATGCATGCCCAAGGGAATAAGGTCACTGAGACTCGAATGCTGGTTCGCCGATCGGTCCTCGTCCCATCCCAGCGGCAGGTATGAGGTGGAAACGACCTTGATGAAGTACATGAAGTTGAAGCCGGGCTCGGCGGTTTCCTGTCGGTGGCCGTCCAGGGGGTTTGAGTGGTGGTGGTCGCTCCACCTGGCGGACGTCTCGTCCTCGTCGGACAGTTGCGGCCCAAACCGTAGAGAATGGATTTCATGGGTGAACGTATGTCCCCCTTCGACCGGCGTATCCAAGTAATTGTTCAGATCATGCACATGCATGTTCCCGTGGCTGGAACTTCGCCCGGGCGCGATGTGGAAGTTGCCCACCACCTTGTTGACTCGGATGTCGCCTTCAATCCGGCAGCCTTCTTGACGCTGTGCGTCTAGTCTCTCGCCATACCCCTCGCGCTCGCATTGCTCGACGCCCTCGCCTCGGCCAAATGCCCAGCTGTTGGTGGCGTACGCCTCTCGCACTTCGTCGCAGGTGTTGCAGCATCCCGGCTTCTTCGCGGTGGCAGGTGCTGGCGCCGAGTAGCACGAGCCGCAGTAGTCGGGGTCGAGATGCACCGCAGTACCTTGCTCGTGCAATTCAAGTGCTTGTACGTCGATGACCCGGGAGCCCTCCGCCACTGAAGACAGTCGGACTTTGCTGACCCCATGCACCACGCCTGTCTGTTGTTCGCCGGACACGTCCATCACGTCGAGCGTGAGCAGTTCGCAAGGTATTCGAGGGAATGTGATGTTCAGATGTATTTCCATCTTTTCTCCTGTAACAATGAGAGTAGAGTTCTGTCAGCCCCAGGGTATTTCCAAACAGAAAGAAGTCGTCTGCGGCCTAACCTCGCCCCTTGTCCACCACCAGCTCCGGCTGCACCACTATCCTTCGGTAGTCTGCCCATTCTGAGAGGACCAAGTAGATGATGATAATGATGGACGCAATCGTGACAATCCCGCCGGAGGTCGTCCGTATCCGCGCATCCTCGACAGTCTTGGTAAAGGCATCCAGCCGCGTAAACCTCGATTTGGGAGGCATGTTGCTTCAGGGCCAGGGCCAGTGGTTAAGGGCGCAAACCTGCGCAAGTCCGCCGGCTGCTGGAACCCAAGAAGAACGAGAACTTGGGTAGCATGAAATCCTGCTAGGACAAGTGGGAAACTGCTATACGAACATAATGCGACATGCTCGGGTTTTGGGGGTCAAGAATGATATACCTGGTACCTAGGTAATGGACACCATGTTCCATTCCACATCCTAAAAAGACCCCCCACGCAAGTTTGGAGAAACTGTCGGGGCTGTTTTCACCCTTGGCATTGGTCGCTCTGAGACTACAACTGAGTACTCCAGTATTAGCATTATTGTTATTATTTGCTATTCACGAGCCATCAGACTCTGCTTATGGCAAACTATCAATGCGAAGCTTCATTTTGATTACTGGGAGCGGCAATACAGCGTCATATAAGTCCATGCACGCAGAAGGTAGAAAGGATCAATGTAGTATTCTGATTCTCTTCGTCGAACCATGCAAGCAGCTAAGCAAAGGATACAGGAGACTGGCAACTGAGTTGCTTTGACTACCGGTGCTACATCCCCAACCCATGTCCTCGTCACTTTTGCCCGTCCATCCCATCCGTCTTTCAATACCATTGTTTCAATGCGGGGGAATCGCTGAAGAAGGAAATCCAACTGACACCAGACGCCGAGAAGTGATGGTACAATGACCAGCTCAACCAGAGCCTGTCAGTGAACATCAGTGAGTGTCGACATTTAGTCGACTTCCTCCATGGCAGTTTCACCAGAGGTCTCGGCAGCCGGAGCTTCGGCTTCGGTCGTCTCCTCAGCAGTCTCTGGCTCCTCGTCGATGTTCAAGCCGAGAGAGACAAGCTTGTGGATACGTTCAGCAAAGCTGGCCGGTTCTTCGATGGTAAAGCCAGACACCAACAGGGAAGTCTCGAAGAGGAGTTGGGTGATTGACTTGACAGTACGGTCGTTCTCGCCATCAGCCTCAACCTTCTTCTTCAACTCACGGATGATAGCGGACTTGGGGGAGATTTCGAAGGTCTTCTTAGAGGACATGTAGGAAGACATGGATGTGTCACGGAGGGCCTGGGCCTTCATGATACGCTCCATGTTGGCAGACCAACCAAATTGACCGGTACGGATGGCGCATGGAGAACCGGTGAGCTTGTGGGAAACCACAACCTTCTCGACCTTGTCGCCGAGGATGTTCTTGAGGCTCTTGGCGAGACCCTCGAACTCCTTCTCTTCCTCCTCACGCACCTTCTTTTCTTCCTCGGTCTCCTCAAGCTCAAAGTCCTTGGTGATGTCGACCAGCTTCTTGCCATCAAACTCTTTGAGCTGGGTCATGGCATACTCATCAATGGGGTCAACCAAGAACAAGACTTCGAAGTTCTTCTCCTTGAGAGCGTCCAGGAAGGGAGACTTCTGGACAGCCTTGAGGGACTCGCCGGTGATGTAGTAGATCTGCTTCTGGTGTTCTTGCATGCGAGTGATATAGTCGGTAAGGGAGGTGGCGTCATCACCAGACTTGGTCGAGTTGAAGCGGAGCAGCTTGGCAAGAGCCGGACGGTTCTGAGCATCCTCATGGATACCAAGCTTGATGTTCTTGCTGAAGGCAGAGTAGAACTTGTCGAAGAGCTCGCGGTCTTCAGAAATCTCGTTGAAGAGCTCAAGGCACTTCTTGACAATGTTCTTCTTGATGACCTTCATGATCTTGTTCTGCTGGAGGGTCTCACGAGACAAGTTCAGAGGCAGATCTTCCGAGTCGACGACACCCTTGACGAAGCTGAGCCATTCGGGAATCAAGTCAGTGGCATCATCGGTAATGAAGACGCGTCGGACGTAGAGCTTGATGTTGTTCTTGGTCTTCTTGGTCTCGAAAAGGTCGAATGGCGCACGCTTCGGGACGAAGAGGATGGCACGGAATTCAAGCTGGCCTTCAACTGAGAAGTGCTTGACGGCGAGGTGATCTTCCCAATCGTTGGAGAGCGACTTGTAGAAGGCAGCGTACTCTTCTTGGGTGATCTCGGAGGGGTTACGAGTCCAGATCGGCTTCGTCTTGTTGAGTTCTTCTTCCTCCTCCTTGATCTCCGTAATCTTCTTGGTCTTCTTCTTCTTCTCTTTCTCTTCTTCATCGTCTTCAGCCTCTTCGACCTTGGGTTTCTTCTCGTCATCTTCTTCAACCTCTTCGGCATCCTCGTCAGGGACTTCCTTCTCGGTCTCCTTCTTCACGTGGAGGTAGATAGGGTACGAGATAAACTCAGAGTGCTTCTTGACCACTTCCTTGATCTTGGACTCGTTCAAGAAGTCGAGCTGTTCCTCCTTGAGGTGCAGGATCTGCTTGGTTCCGCGACCGAGCGGCACGCCATCTGTGTCCGGTCTGATAACGAAAGTACCGCCTGCGCTGGATTCCCAGATGTATTGTTCGTCATCATTGTGCTTGGAGATGACTGTGACCCTATCGGCAACCAAGTAGGCAGAATAGAAACCGACACCGAATTGGCCAATCATTGAGATGTCGGCGCCAGCAGTCAATGCTTCCATGAACTGCTTGGTGCCAGATCGGGCAATTGTACCCAGGTTGTTGACGAGGTCCTGGCGCAGTGTTAGCCAAATATCTACCTGGAGCACATTCATGTTGAGAGTTCACTTACAGCTTTGGTCATGCCAATACCGGTATCAATGATGGTGAGTGTCTTATTCTCTTTGTCGGGGATGATGTCGATTCTGAGATCCTTGCCAGTGTCCAGTTTGCTGGGATCTGACAGGGCCTCATATCGAATCTTGTCCAAGGCATCGGAGCAATTTGAGATCAATTCTCGCAGAAAGATCTCTTTGTTGGAATAGACGGTATTGATGATGAGGCCGAGAAGTTGAGAAATCTCAGCCTGAAACTCGAACGTTTCCGAAGCGGCCATGGCTGCGGTTTGGTAGGAGAGATTTAGGTCCTGATGAAATGAGCAGTCAGTAAGGCTGGCGGCGAATAGAGGATGAGTGCTAGCAGACAGGGCACAGGGCAGCAGTGCAGCGGGAGAGAGCAGCAAGTAAGGAGGAAAGACTTACAGGTCAGAGGGTGATGTCTAAGGTGCAGGGTGAACGGAAAAGATCAATTCGTGTCTAGACGTATGAAGGTGAATGGGTGAGAGAGGCTGGAAGTGTTTATGTAGCCTTCCAAAAAACTTAGCGCAGTCCAGAGCTGGAAGCATGGAACCTGTTGGAAACTACGATGGAAAGGCTGCGCTACCTTCTCCAGTGAAGAATGCCAAGCCCGATTCTCATTGGACCATGCGGCCTGCCCGTGTGGAAACCATTTTCTGTCTGACGCTGGAGCATCCGCCATAGTTTCTCACATCGCTCTGCCTTAGATCCTGTCAGACGTTCCAATTTTCTATTCCATGCCAGCCCCCACCGACCACGAATGCTGCCCTGAGATAGACTTCGCCAGTATCTGCTAGAAACATTCGTTCAGCCTGACAAGCCACCTCAGAAACGCCTACGCAGCTCAACAGCCGAGCAAACGACCCAGCTGAGCGAGCTAGGAGTACAGAGGGTACAAATATATGCAGAACCAGCGTGATCTTCAGCCTAACTACGGAAGGAAATGGGCTTTTGATATAATACATGCTGCCACAACGGACGGAGAGCCGCAATTGAGAAAACCACTGCGGTCTATCGACTGTACATTCATTGGACAACTCAACAGTATCCCTGGCCTCCCTTATATATCCAACTCCGCGTATGTTTGTCTGGTGTATGCAGTACTATCATGGTGGTCGGAGAGGTCGTCAACCATCACCTCGTCAACCCCGATATACGGAGAACGTGGGAAGAACAAGGGGTATGGCTACCCTTCTGAGGTTTGACTAGCCGCACTGCTCCCTCCGCCTTCTGCAAGTTTCTTCTCCGCAGCTTCGAGCCTGTCCTTCGTGTCCTTTAATTCATTCTGCAAGCTCTTAATATAGACAATAGCCATTTCCACAGTACTGGCTTTGCTTGTTCCTTGGTTAGATAGATTTGACTTGCTTTCCCCCTCGTCATTTTCCTGGGAGCTTGCCCTCTCCTTCTTAGCGTGCACGGCCACAATGGACGATGGCAGGAGCGCCTCGATCTCCTTCAGCGCAAGATTAATCCGGTTTCGCCGCCCCTGTTCAGCAAGCTTGTGCGATGTTCGTTTCGACGTAAGGTTCTCTGCCAAGGTCTCCGGGTAAGAAACGCCAGGTAGATGCGTGCCTTCCAGAATGTTTTGATAATTCGACTTCGAAGCCAGATATAGTGCGCTTGTTTCGGGTGACAGATGTGCCACTCCTGGACCTGCGCTATTCAGCTTACTTCGCGTTGGGACATGATTCATTTGATACTTACCCGTCGCAGGAACCAGAGGGCTGATGCTTGGCGAAATCTTGGGCCGCAAGGCGGGAGATATCGTCGCAGAAGACATGCTTTGTCTCTTCTTAGTGGCACGGACTCCTCCTCGAGCTTCTACTTTTGCCGGTTTCGCAAACGTATCCTGTGAATTTCCCCAAGCCAGCGCGCCTCTGGGGGTGCTCCCAGCGCTCACTTTCGCTGATTTGGCCGAAAGAATCGGGGTGCTTTCACTGTCGTCGCTCGTCGTGTTGCTATGAATCGCCGCCAGGACTGGCTGGCCACTGGGGGCAGCGGGGTCCGGTAACATGATATCATCCATGGGTTCATCTGCAGCTTGAGCCGAACTGTGTTGCTCCATTTGCTTCGCCGACACCGATGAATTGCTTGGCATGCTCATCAGGGTAGCTGGCGTAACGGGATTGTTGGAAGCTGTATTCTGTGGAATCATCCCGGGCTGTGGTGACTTCCCAGGCTGCGGGACTGGGGGAGGCCCCATGGCCGCTTCTGACAACGACTCAGGGGAAATGGAGTCATCACTTGGACGAATAACGGCGCTATTTGGGGCCGAGACAGGTAGGTTTGCTCCATGAGAACCTTGCGGAGGTAAGCTCCCCAATTTGTCCAGACGCAGTGAGCTCAGTGAGGGATGACGGCGACGAGGCTGCGGTTTCAGGGCTGGAGACTGCTTCATACTGCGAGCAGGTGTACGAGTCACACTGTTGCCCTTGCGACGAGATCGCTTTGTTCCCGTGGTCACTGATTGCGCCATAGCTCCCGGGTCGGCACCAAGGTCGATCGGAGAAGCAGTGGTACCCGTTGAACTGAAGGCTGTCTGTGCCTCTATGGCGGGAGAGGTCAAGGGGCTGAAGGGGTCGTCGGCCAGCCCATAATCAGCCATGGAGAACCCACCGTCCATTGGGGTTTGTGCAGGAGAAACCAGTGGGGTGAACGTTATCTGGAAGAATTAGGATCATTGTACGCCTCGCCATCTGCTCACGTCCATCTACTCACGTACCTGCCGTTGGTTGAAGAGCAATTGTCCATTGTTACCCATATGAGACGCATATTTTGCAGCATGCATTTCCGCGCTCACTGGCGTTGGTGGGATTTGATAGTGCATCCCCATCTGTGCCTGTTGGTATTGCGGATATTGCCCATATGTCTGGTCTGCAGGCGCACAGTTCTGGTAGCCCATTGAATCATTGGTCATAGCCATATTCATGTTCATCTGCTCGGATTCGGTATACATCATGTCGGCCGCATTGTTGCCGAAGCCCAGATGGCCCATGGGCGTATCGAGACCGGAACGCCCATTGTCCATGGCTGGAAAATGTTGAAAGTCATTGTCTAGGTCGAGGAATGTCGTAAAATCGTCTTCGTCCACTCCGGTGACCAAAGCATCATCTTGGATATGCTGAGGCCAAACCAAATTATGCTCGCGCTCTTGGGTCATTCTCTTGACGGGGAAGCAGATGGATTGTGCCCGCAGGTGGGCTGCGGGAGACAAGTGAGTGAGACACGACTCTCAAAACAGGTCCATCTTGTAGCGGCGGCGAGAGGAACAGCTCGCCGAAGCCTGTATGAGGAGGGTTCCGATCGGCGGATGAGGTCGACAAAGGATGGTGAAAGAACAGGACGCAGCCTTGTTGGACGACGAATGGAAGAGATTCAGAGAGGACAAAATTCGAGGTCGGCGAGAGGATAGTTTCTGACCAAGGTCCTGTCCACTGGCGGGGTGCAGCGCCCTCAGCTTTAGAGATGGCGTGGGTACATCGGCACTGAATTGGTTCACTGTTGGATGGCAGTGGGCCGATAGCTGGCGTGGGTGACTTGCAGGGGTCCGCTGCGAGTCAGTCGGCAGGGTCCTTGCTGTAATTACCGTAATTGCCTAACCATAGAGACCCGGTTGCCACTTCGGTCAACGGGTGATGGCATGTGGGAGGCAGCAAGTTGACCCTACATGCGTTGCACTGGCGGTCCCAGGAGGGAGCTTTCGGGGGCTGATACCATACCATACAGTACCTAAACCACCTGGGTATTAGCATGCCTAGGCTCCCCTCTTGTCCCGCCAGTGAGAAAATTTCGAATGGCACTGGCCCAGCTGGCTACTAACTAGGCAGTTGACACCACCACCGCACCCACCACCGCACCCACCTCTACACACCACACACCACACGCACCCGAACACCAACACCGATTTTGTTCGGGAAAACGCCCGGTGAATCGGGCTGAAGTTGGTGCGACTGTATTCGTCAAGGGTTTCGGGATGGAGCATTTCCATCTGATAACCAAACTCATTTCTGCACGACCCTAATAGGCCAGACCTTTTGTTCCACTTCTGTATTCTCGTTACGAGGCTCGACGCATTCAAGTTGATCATGTCCAAACCCAAGGCCTTTCTCAAGCAGTCAAAGGCGAAAAAGAAACAAGAGCAGGTGAGACAATGCACATAGCCTGGAGACTGCGGAATCGAGGTAACCATTTCCTTCCCAGATCCTAGAGACTGGCGACGATTACCTAGCAGGTCCGTGTTGAAGACGCCTCGCCATGACAAAAGTCGGAGATACTTACCTTCTATCAGCCGGAGTGGATTTTGAAGAAGCAGCAGGGAAATGGAGAGGCGGTGATGCCGTCAAGTCTATGCGGTTCTTCTCCAGGGCCTCCGACGTCTATGATCAAGGACTGAGGAAGTTTCCCCAGAGTCTGGACCTCGCATATAACAAGTCCGTTTCCTTGTTGCCATCACGATGCTATTCATTGGCTTCTTGCAGAGACACTAACCATTCCTTCTAGAGCGAGAGTCTTGCTGGAAATTGCGACCCATCCCATTCTTATAAACCAACTGAATACTCCCCTCCTGGAGGTGTTGCAGCAGGCATTGGATGCTCACCGATATGCCCTCAGCCTCGACCAGGACAACCCAGACACGCTTTTCAACACTGCCCAAGTTCTGACAGCTATCGCTGAAGCATACGCAAAAGACCCAGAACGCGCCGACCAAGATGCATTGCAGCCACTAGAAGAAGCGCTGGAGCTTCAGGACCGGTGTCTAGCTCTGCAAGAACTCAAATTGGAGGAATCGCTCCAAGAACGGAGAGAAGCGGCCACTCACATAGAAGCCGATAATGAAGACTCAGGGGCTACCGGACCTGAGGCTCCTACGCCTACGGAAATGGGCATCCCTTCAACGACTGGTACTGAAGACCAGTGGTTTTCGATTGTGGAGCCGGTAACTAAGGATACTCTCGTTGACACCATTCTTGCAGAACTCGGGACCCTCACGACATTATGTAGCATTTTGAGCTCGTCTCCAGCCGCCGCTCCTAGTTCCAGCCTCGGTTGGATTGAGGAGTTCTCCTCCAAGTTAGTCCAAGCCAAATTGCCATTCCTTATTCAGGATGCAGAGCCAGAAAAGCTGCAAGAAGTTGCTCTAGCCAAGGCCAACTTTTCCAGCGCACTACTTGAAGCAGGCTACAGGTCTGGAGCAATCGAATCAAGCACGTACAAGCGCGAACGAGACGATGCTTTTCGGCCTCCAGAATTGGACTTGGAAAGAAACTTTTCAGCCCTCCTGGCCAACGCTAATAGTCTTGTTGCATTCAACAGTGCTCTTGCGGATGGTGATGCATCCACTGCTGCTTCCCAGGCACCGCAAAGATGGAACGCATTATCTGCAGCAATTGCCAACATGGCCACTGCGTCAAAGATCCCTGGATCTATTCCAGACGATATTGCAGAGACTCATTTTGTCCGTGGAAATTGCTCACTCTTGCAACATAAATTGAGTCAGCCACCGGCGTCCTACCAGCCAGCTATTGCGAATGCCGGTCAGCTACTCAAAAACGCAGATGTCTTCTACCGAAATGCATCCAAATTGTATCAGGATGATGAGCATAGGGCGATTTCTCAGCTCCGAGCCATTGTTTCCCAGTCCTTGCAATCTAGCAACTATACTTTGTCAGCAGCCACCGCCAATGTACAGGGAAGAGGTAGAGAATGGGTCACAAGCCAGATCGAAGACATGATAGATGAAGGACTTGTATCACTGCCATCCTCCTCTGTTTGAGCGGGCCTTGGTACGCGGTATCTAGAAGAGTCGTATGAGCGCTATTTTGGTGAGATTGTTCTCGGGAGTGTATGGGTGACAAGCTCTGTAGAAGCTGGAGTCCCTCTGGACTCTATCGAAATGCTTCCGCATACACATAAGAGGCTTCACAGCTCCCTGGTGAAAGTAACACTGATTCTGCGCGATTGCCGGAGAGGCAGGTGCGGCAGTATTCACCACGACAACAGCAACCTCACGACTCCTTCGCCACTACACTTGTAGTCGCCCTTACTGGCGTCACCTGCTCAGATGTGAATTGTTCAAAGCCTGCTCACCATGGCGCAGACTCCAGCCCATATCAAGCATGTACATGGGCCCGACCGACGCATATCAGCTTACAGAGATGAACTGGTCAGCGTACAAAGTCTTTACCACGATCGTCGATACAAACAGTGCATTGCGCTTTGTGAACAGCTGCAAAGACCTGAGGTATGGCTGATTTTCATCAACTAGCTAGGATCCGTGCCTGGCTAAGCCCTGAAGCTGACCACGGACCAGATTCACCCTGTGCAGCAGATGTTCCTCTGGTTCTATCGTGCCATCTCTTACGAATCCATCGGACTGATCGCCCACGACTACTCCAGCAACAAGCTTCGGTTCCTCTATTCTGCGAAGGAAAATTTCACTCTGGCCTTGCGAAGTCTGCCTCTCCCCTACATGTCTACCGAGACAGGGGTTTACGAGCAACCTGAATATTCTCCCCTTCCCTCGCTATCTGCAATACGATCGGTGTCTCATGCGAATGCAAGACTTCACGTCGTGTCGCCAGCGAGAACTGGCATGGCTGGAATGGTGCAATCTGCTTCATCCTGCAGCAATTATTCCACAGGAAGCATCGTCTTAGAGCCACACAAAACCCCGTCCACGGACGACGACTCCTCGTTTGGCAATACACACAATCCAATAACACCAAGGCTGCAGGCAGAACTAAATGGTACAGAATCCGGCAGTATCACGCTGCCAACGACCCCTGCAACACATAAGTCTCGACTGAGCCAAAGTCTTAGTCTTGAGCACAAACTGGCCGATGAACTCGTCCCCTCACCCTTGTTCAGCCGGAAGTCCAAGAAAGCTCATATCACCGAACCGGATGAAGACATTGCGCTTCGCCCGTTACCGCCCTTACCGTTTAGTCACCATTCCAACTTCGAGCTCCTGGGCTCTCGAATTGTTCAAGTTCCCGCCATGCGCAAGACTGCAGTCGAGACTCTGATTGCACGATACGAAGGATGTTTACCTTTGACGTCGTCTCCCATCCAGTCGCCTACCCCGACAGGTCACCAACGCACTGGGACAGTCCCCGAATCCCCTGTGACCCCACGGTTCAAGATAATCCGCGATGCCTTCACTCCCAACCCGGTCAACGAACATCTGGAAGCGTACCTCTCCTCGCCCGATATGACCCGATACAATGCCTGTCTATCAGACTTTCGAATGCAGCTGCACAACCATATCAGTTACTTAGACAAAGAGATAGGTCGAGTCCACAAAGCCCAAGACGAGCGAACCGCTACCAAAGCGCTATCGAAGACCAGGTTCGCCAGTTTTTGGTCCCTGGAACACAAGGTGTCTGCCTTGAAGAGGAAATGTCTCAATTCAGAAGGTTTCCGTGTCTGCTCCAGCCCCGAAATCGAAAATGAGCAAGCAACCAGGGCCAGGCCCGAAAAAGAGAGGATTGAGAGGTTGCGATCTGAAGGATGGCACGTGCGAAAGGAAACACACGGATTCAAAGGGCTGGAATGGTACGAGAACCTTGGCAGGTGCGTGGAACGCGAATTGACTGTTACCGCGAGTAAGGTCAGGATGTAGATGTCATGGACTAATGCGGATGGCGATGGCGGTGCCGATGCCCGAGCTTCTTCTTAAGAAGTACAACTGCCGGAGCTACTTGGAAGAAGCCTTGCAAGACGAATTGAGAGAGTCTTGCTTGCTTGATCATGGTGGATATCCCGGGTGATGTTGAAGTATCGTTTGTCGAGCGCAGGCCATTTGAAAGGGGCGGATAGGATCCAGAAGAACGAATGCGTTGTGCAGTACGAGGTACATGTACCGAGACATTGTAGGAATGGAAATCGAGAAGTGAGCATGCCATGCAAGAGGACCATTGGCCGACCATACATGTATGTATGTACGCTGCCTTCCGGGTCGACCCGTGCGAGGCAGGAGAAACCCCATCGATCCATCCCAAGTAAATTCTGTATACGGAGTATAGCCTTCGGGCCTACCCGATCTGCCATGGGACCTTGTGATGCCGCCCCGTACTACGCATGATTTCGTCGTTGAGAATCCAGCCAGGGACCGGTCTGAATCTGTCGCCGGTCCGGAGTATTCAGACCGACTACCTATCTACATCAGCCTACGGATACATATTTGTGCCTGTCGTTGTACGGAGTATGGCTTGCAATTACCGGTAACGAATATCTCCTCTGGGGAGGGTCTAGGTCCGGGTCCCGGGCGTGCGATACTACATGATCTCAGATGTCTGGCGGCGGTGGGACTAGCAGTTATGAGCTATCAGTCTCGCTCTGGGCGAGTCCCATGCTAGAGTTCTTACTTATCAATGGCCAGCTAAGGTAAAGAAACAGGGGCAGTCAGATTTGAAGAGATGATTTGGATTTGCCATTGTACCATGTCCCGATCCGTTGCATCCAGAACTGTAGCCGATAGCCCATTGCTAAGAACAGCATGGGCAAAAGCAGAGTAGAGGCGATAGATAAATTGATCAGTCTCCTTGCACCTGCACACCCCCATGACCCGTCCATCCTGCAGGGGCTTTACGTTGGTCTCGACCAACGTTTCGTGTCCCAGGCGGCCATCTGGAGATGGTCCTGGCCCCGTTCCTTCGTCTCCGTCGGGCAGAACATCCAGACACCACCGCAATATCGTAACTTCGTCATCGAGGTCAACCTCCAACACTCGCTTCACACTTCGTCTCAACATCTCCGTCTTTTTTTCCCCGGTGTTTTCAAGACGGGTGGAGTGGTGAAATGAAATCAGTAAATCAAAGCACAAAATCAAACGCTAAAGTGTACATAACAGTGGAGCCGAAACTCCGCTTGAAGAGTATGTGGAGGTTTGTTGTTGCCAATCTAATATGCTCTAATTGTCCATGTCGTAGTCGATGAAGTCTGTGTCGTTCCAGGCAGCATCAAACATTGGGTCATTGTCCAGAGCAGCGAAAGCCTCAGGACCACCAGGGAACAATGTCGCACTGGCAGCGGCAGGGTTTGAGAAGGCCGTGCTGCTTTCACCACCAAAGAGGGAGAAGTCACCGGAAGGGAAGTCCAGATCCTGTCCCATGAGAGGAGTATCAGCGAAGGGTTGTCGAGACGGTCCAGCAATCATAGGAGAATGATCGGAGATGGACGGATTGCGCGAATGAGGCTGAAGGAAAGAGCCTGGTGTCGGCAAGCCTGAAGTCCATGTTGTGGGGTTGCAATCGAGCGTAATGTCCATCGATGTGTGGTATGGAGACGATTCCGTGATGTTGCTGTAGGCTGGTGTGATTGGGGTCGTCATCATATGAGGAGTGATGGGAGTGGTGTTGGTGGGAGAAATGTAGGCCTGAGCAGGCTGGAAATTCTGGTTGAACGGAGCAGAGTTGAAGTCAAATTCTTCCATCTGAGTGGATGACATGGATTGAGTCGTCCTCGGAAAGATTGGATTCGAGTAAGTGACCGGAACTTGCGGATAGGCATCGAAGCTGCTCGCTGGCTGTTCGAATGGAGTTGAAACACTGCCCGCAAGACTACCGGCGAGCGAGCTGGTATCGTCCCAGGTTCTGATCGAGACAGCAGGGCTTGAAGAGTAATCCATACTCGGGGTCCGAGGAGTTTGCATCGGTGTCATTCTAGTAGAACCAGCCTTATCCTTGCCCTTGGCACGCTCGTAATGCCAGCCATGTTTCTTCTCCTGATGTTGCTTGCAGTTGCTCTCACGCTTCGTGCGGAACTCACAAAAGTCACACTTGTAGAAATGTGGGTCTTTGGCATGCTTGTCGTTGTAGTGGCGTTCACGCTCTTTTTCCGTGGGAAGGCCAAGTTCGTGATATTTGCAATCAGGTTGGGGACACTTGAAGGGACGAGAATGAGTCTTCTCATGTTTGGCCAAATCACATTTACGCGTGAAGGTCTTGTCGCAGGTTTCGTCGTGGCACTTCATCTCCACAATCTCAGGAATGTAGCCCTTCTTCCTTCGGGCCATTGATCTTGCAACTTCTTCATCCAGGGTGTCGTTGCTTTGTCGTTTCATGCCAGGTGTCGGCTCGTATGGTAGACCTGTGCGGAGGGAATAACCCTTGCCATTCTTCCAACGGACGAGCTCGGCTTCAGTGTCGGTTTGACCGAGGCCACCCTCCAAGGTGACCTCGTCATCGATCGAGAAAGCCATGGCGTCGTCCTCTTCAGCAGTTCCAGCCTGCTGAGCACGACTTGAAGAACCGATGTGTGACGCAAGTCGATTGACTTGTTGGACAAGGTCAAGGAAATAGCCGTTGTCGTAAGGGCGATCCGCCGCACGCCGTTGTTCGGATTCGGACAGATGCTGGTAAGTATCGACGACGAGCTGGACGGTGAACTCGCCGAAGACGCGATACAATTGTCTTGAGATGTCAAGCGTCTTGCCAAGACAGTTAGAACGTGGCAAACGTTGAGAGAATAATGTGCTTACCAAGGGCTGGAAGACGAGACTCCGTTCAAGGTCGCGCAAGCATCGAATGGCCTTGTTGGTCCTTGACCCGAGAGCGGTGACAAGGGGATGGAGAACTTCGAATCGATCCTCGCGAAGGATAGGAGAGATGATGAACTCCTTGATCTTGCTGTGAGCAGAGGAGCTCAGCGGCAGATGAGGGGCGGCAAGTCTAGGAGATGGAGCAATGCTGCGTGTAAGCGCAGAGGGGGTGAGGGCGACTGAAGATTTGGACGCGGATAGACTTCCTCGCTGCCTGAGTTGTGGGGATGTTGAGTCTAGCTGGTCAGCTTCTGTTGGTGAATGGTTAACGACGTCTTCACACATCAACACACAGCGGGCAATCCAACCTTGAATCAAGTCTTTAACCAGACCGTCTTCTTCAGAGGTGTTTCCCACAACCTTCTCCACCGAATCACTGATGGAAGTCCCCAGTCCACTGTCCTTGTTCGACAACAAATCCAAAGCTCTTTCAAATGACTTGGCCAGGCCTTTGTCACTTGCAGGGCTGATTGAGGAACCGAGTCCTTCGTCAGACGGTATCGAGACACGAAAGACTTGTCGTTGAAAGTCTATCGTGGACAATCGCCGAATGGAGGTCCTCTTCCCGCGTGCGCCCGAGAACGTTTGCTCAAAATCAACGATGGACTGAGCAACGTCCTCTTTCTCAGAGAGCCAACTGGTGAGGGTTGCCGTCGAGCACGTTGGAGAGCGACGAGTCAGGTGAGGAATGCTCAGAACTGGATCATCGTCCGTCGCAGGCGACGATGGCTGGTGGAAAGTCGCACCCTTGGACAAGGACATCTTACGAAGGATGCATGCCGAGGACTCCGGTGAAGCGGGTGGTGAGGGAGGAAGATGTGTTGTGATGAGTCGATGAGAGCGGCGGTGAGAAAAGGGAACAGGAGGAGGTGGCATGGTAGAGGACGACATTGGTTGGTATATGAAGTCTCGAACGAGCCGGGGAAGATGCAGATGACACGCAACTTGCTAGCTCGAAGTTTAGCAAGGCGGCCTATTGGCTGGCTTGGAGTAGTTCCCAGTGGCTTATGACTCACTTGTACCAAAGGACATAAATCGACGATATCTAAGATTTATGGAACCGGAAGTCGACCTTACTCACAGTTGTGGTACTTCTCTCTCTTTCCGTCTGGTGTTGGTCGTGGCGGGTGGGGGAGATGCCGTGCTGATAGATTCGTGGGTTCGTTTGGTGTAACTCTTGGAGGCTCATTCGACACTGAGTGTAGGTTGAACTGAGAAACAAGGTCTCCGTGCAGCAGAGGTGCAAGCGTGCAAGTGTGCAAGCCAAACAGGTCTTCGCGGAAAGGTGCCAGTGGGTCTCAAGAGAGTCCTATGCTAGGAGTCGGAGAGGTGCGAGAACAGGCCTGGTGTTAGGGACCGAACAGTGCACAGGTGTTCGATAGAACGAACGAAGGTGCAACTCGTCGGTCAATGGTCGAGGCGAGGCTGAAGAGGAGACTGATTGAGATGGGAGATGGGGGGTTCGATGGCTGCGACGGAGAAAGTGCACCTGAGGCCAGCGTGGCGGCAATTCAGGTATCTCTCTTCCCAGTAGCCCAGTAGCCCGGATTGAACGAGGAGGAAGACACACTGTGCGGGAGGGAGGAGTGAGTCGAAGACAGGATGTGAGCTGCGGTGGTGATGATGGCCACTTCAGCAGTTGGGAGAGAGTGATGCCTACTTTGCCAAGCCGATGGCGACAGGGATCCCCGACGCCATTGCACGGGTCTTTTCCCTTCGCTGCACTTCCACTGTGGCGCGGGCGGCTCGGAGCATACGAGAGTGGGATCCTGAGGAGCCAGGAAGCTGTCAGTCTCGCACTACTTGGGAATACTGCACAGCGACAGGCCTGTTCAGCCATCTACCCTTGTTGCACCCCATTCTCGGTCGTTAACATCCTGGTCATCGGCCGTAACATCTCTCCAGACTCCGACGGGCGACTCTTCCTGCATGCGCCTGCGCCGCGCACGCGCATGACGAGACTGGGGTCCTTAGCAATAGCGAGGGGTTCTGTGACCTTCGTATCTGTCTACAAGACTCTCCAACAGATGAAGTACCGCCTCAGTAAGGCCAGGACCTGCTGAATACCTATGAAGCTTCGCAGTGAAGAATGTCCTGAACACATTGAACGATGATATATGTACTACTCCTTAGTATCCTCAACCACCTTCAGGGATGAAAACAGCGCAGATGGAGTAGACGGGGAATCAGCCCTACCTGCCCACCACACTATCTTGTTACTCAGCGCGTATCCATACTTGCCTTCGCCAGTTTAGTTGCCGACATGGAATCTGTCAGGAACAAGATACTTTGGGGTCACGTGGAACCGGGCACGGGTCAACACTTCGTCCGATGATCAAGGCCGTCCTCGCGAGATGTTTTCGTAAACTACCTATAGGTAATAGAGCAAGAATCAAGACGTAAGGACGATTTTCTGTTTCGACTTCGGTCAAGTAGGAACTAGGACTGCAAGGTTTGAACAGCATGGGCAACTTGAAAGATGGTTCAGTTGTCGGACACCCTGGAGTGTTCCCCATGAGCCGTGATCATGAGACATGGCACGCCTGAAATCCCTCGCGGTCCAGATATCAGCCAACCACGATCCCGCTCGCAGCGTTTGTTCACATCACCGGTCAAACTACTAGAGCCACTATTGAGCCTTGTTTCGACTGTCAATGGATTGGTGTTCCCCGCCAAAAAGAGGCCAGAGTGGTGCACCGGAGTCATTCACTGACTCCGCGTGAAGCTTGGGATTGCACTGCCTCAAGTGACGATGAGGCACCAGCTCCATTGGGTCATTTGTTATCGAGGTCGAGGTCGAATGACACTATTAGGCTCATGATTACGGAGCACGCCCTTCTCATTAGGGGCCCCCAGGTGCCCCAGGACTTTCCGTCTGCCATCCGGTATGTGACAATTGCCTTTAACGACGGATGACTCATCGCAGGGGCCGCTGCGCACACTTCCTAAATAGTGCACCACTTGCGAACACCATGGTCAACACAACACACAAACATGGCTCCGGGGGACCCTCATCCAAGGGGCTGCTGGATCTGTAACCTGTGCTCGCGTGGAGCAAGCGCGACGATCATCAGCACTCTGTACTTCGTACGAGTAGTCATTCTGCAATATAGGAGCCATCCGACCTAATCCATCCACCAATGCCTAATATGCCTCCTTCCTCACATTCACTGTCCATGCTCCACTTCCTGACTGGAGTACATCCTAAGTCTGTTCGATATCCGGCTTCAAACATCTCCATCCCGGCCCATGCAATCATAGCCGCATTGTCGGTGCATAGCTCCACAGGCGGGAATACCAGGTTCACATCTTCAAAGGATCGTAGATCTAGCAGACGTCGTAGATAGTGGCGTAGGAAATTGTTCGCAGCGACACCTCCGCTCACCACCAGTGTCGGAATTTGCACGCCTTGCTCTTGGAGCTTCTCCAGTGCCATAATGGTTCGAGAGCCCAGATGCTCGAAGGCTGTGCCCAGGGCTGCCTGAGCGAGCAGGACACGCTCCTCGTCGTCCATCATCCCCATGCTGGTAATTCCATTTTGGCGGTCAAGCACCAAACTTTTAATCTGACTGGCAATTGCCGCAAAGCTGAATTCCAACCTCCTATTCTTGGACATAGGAGTGACCAGATTCCATCCATATTTGTTCAGTGGCCTGTCTACCTCTTCACGACGAGTTCGAGGGATTTCCCATGCAGCATAGTCGTCCTCACTTCTAAAAGCATATGCCGAAAGATACTTGCCATAGGATGTGTCAGGTGTGTCCTCCTGCAATTCCTTGGGCAAAATGAGACGGCCACATTTGTCCAGTTCGTCCCCGATTGCAATGTCTGAGGTTGTGGCTAGTATTTCATGCTCCACTAGCCCTTTCGAGTAGAGAAGCATTGTATGACCGCCACTGACCAACAGCGTCAAGAATGGAAATTCTGGCCTCAAGGTATCTGTGTCGCGCTGTTCACTTTTCACCATCGCGTTGACCAGTCTTGGTGTGAGGGCATGTGCTTGCATGTGATGAACTCCAACCATCGGGATCTGCCATGCTGCAGCGAGACCTTTGGCAGCATTCAAACCAACGGCCAGATTGACTGGCATTCCGGGCCCGCGTGTCACGGATATAAAGTCCGGCTTTTCTTTCAAGCTGCCATCTCGAAGCCAGAGCTTCTTGAAACCGGGCGAAGCATCAGGAGCCTCTGGCAGCGACGCTAAAGACTTCTCGACAAGCTTTGCGAGATGCGTGTCATGGCTCTTCAGTGCTTCGACGGGGACAATACCGCCCTTGCCAGTGTTTTCGGCCGTAACCTTCTCGTTGAAGTGTAGGCTGGCTCTTGTAGAGTACGAGCCACTAAGGGCGGTGTGCTTTGAGAGAAGTGACACGCAAGTGTCATCGCAGGAGGATTCGATCGCGAGTGTTAAGAGACTGCGCCGTACAATCGACAAGGAGGCGGATGTCGAACATGTTGCAGAGACATGCTTGAGGCGGCAGAGACCATGCAGCATGGACAGAATATCCGGACACAGTGGTAACCCTCAGGTCTACTGCCAATAAAGACTTTCGATCAAAGTACAAGTCCTCCAGCAGTTTAAGATTACTCCGGAGTAATAAGACGTCAGCCTTGTCAGCCTTGTCAGCCTTGTCGCGTGGTGTCTCCATGCTCCGCTGTTACACGTCTTGGCAGCGGACATAGTGATTACTACATGTACCTAGGTATGTAGATGTCGCTACCTCATAAGTAGAACTACGAATGACTCTCGCCCATCCGGAATTGCTTTCCCCTTTGCCATGGTGTGGAACTCTTGAGATTCAGCTGCGTGTTTCTGGATTTAACCGCTGTGCTCGCCTCAACGGCCCGCCATCGTGAACACTTGTGGGCATAATTGCAAATCAGAGCTCTGCCATTTGACCCTTGACCCAGTGTGCAAGGGGTTGCACGCAGCTTACAGAAGGGACACGTCAAAAATCGCGTCGACGTCCAAGTCATGACTTGGAAAGTGTTGGGTTTGAAATCAAGTCATCTGGCTAAAGGCTCCATTTTGCAAATCCGACTGCAGTCATCCTGGATCTGAGCTGACCCCACGACGCCACCCGACCAATGTTCCAGATCTCCTTTCCAAGATTTGATGGAACTCCTCCCACACCGTGCATGCTACACATGCTCTTGGACGAAGATGAGGCTACTTGGTTACAACTGGCTGCATCTATCTACACCCAGTCTCGTCTCATGCAGGGCTAGAGCGCTTTTAATCATTTCCTGAGGCAATGCCGATTTCTCTCCTTGCATCTAGTCTCATGCAACCTATTGCAAATCCAACCAGGATTCTGGACCAACAGAAGTCTTCCAATTTGGAGATTTTGCTGGTACTAGCCGTGAGGTCACATGTTTCATCGAAGCACCCATCCTCTCCTGTCTCAAACCATATGTTTTTGCTTACCTGGCCACGGTCGCACATCAGTCCATGTTGGCCCCTGTTGGACAGACCATGCCTCAGTCAGAAGACCCAGCTCGACTACGTTGCGTGCCAGCCGTCGACTCGGTGCGCTTGATGACTCTTGAGTATCAAAAACATGATATTACGACGGTGTCCCTCGTGTCCTGCCTGAGTCTATCCAATATTTTCCAACCCTCGTTTAGCACTTGAATTTTCTTGAACACAACACTCTTTTGGTATCTACACACTCGTTTGTCAAAATGCGTCGGTCCTTACTCTTTCCTTACGTACAGTCTCTCGTTACCTTGGTCATTTTGCTCAATTTCCTGTTCATACACCATGTTGAGGCTCTTGCGAGTACAGACACCATCACCTGGGGTGGTGCAAACGACAGAACCGGCTATCAAAACAATCACAACATGGATCCAGCTGTTGTTGGAAGCGCTCAGTTCGGCCTCTTATTCAAGACCCGGCTTCCTGGTACTTATCTCATCAACGGACAAAATGTGCCTGAGCAGATATTTTCTCAATCCCTGGTCTACACTGGTTCTGATGGTGTTCAATATCTCTATGTTGCTACCACTCAAAATAATCTGTACAAGATTGTCGCCAAAACCGGTGTCATCGTGGCCTCTCGAAACATTCATCGACCTTTTCTAGTCAGCGATCTGAACGGCTGTGTTGACATCAGTCCAACAGTGGGAGTTACCGCAACCGGAGTCATCGATCCAGACACAGTAGGTCGCAAAGCTTTGCTGCCAAAGGGAAAACTAACGATGGTCAAAGGACACATGGTATTTGACATCGAAAACTTACGCAGATCAAGATCTCAATGGTCCCACGGGTCGTCCGAATGGTCGATATTATATTCACGCTGTCAGCACGGTGGATTTGTCTGAAAGACCCAATTTTCCGGTCAATCTGGAAGGCATGTCAGCTAGGAACAATCCTGCACGATCTTTCAACGGTGGCATCCACCATCAACGTCCGGCTTTGCTTCATACCGGCAATTTCGTCTACGCCGGCTTTGCTAGTCATTGGTATGTCTTCATCTCTCCACCACATCACTCTCGTTCGAAATGCCTCCTACTGTAGATGGAAGTATCTAGGTGTAAACAATGGCTGACGCTTTCTCCATTCAGCGTCCAATGGAATTTCACTGGCTGGATCGTGGGCTGGGATAAAGGGACTGGTCAGCTTGTGGAAAGATTTGCGACAGAAGGCGGTAAGTCAAAGCGGAGCCATCCTTGGTCCAGACCTCGGAGAAGTCACATTTCTGACTTGTATAGCTGGTGTCGGTCCGACCGTTCCTGGTGCAGGCGTGTGGATGTCTGGTGGTGGTCTTGCAACGGATGGCAAGGGCTCCATGTTCTTCGCGACCGGAAACGGATACGCGTCTCAACTTGACGGGATACCCGTCAATGGAAGAAATCCGCCGACGTCCCTCGAAGAAGCTGCTGTACACATGGCGATCAATGATGATGGTTCTTTGACTGTTGTTGATTTCTTCATGCCATGGGAGAAAACTCAATTGGATGGTGCTGACAAAGGTGAGAGTTTCCCGTGATCTTGGGTTGTGGTGGCTGATTGCGAGCAGATCTTGGAACGTCACCCCTAGAATTGCTCCCAAGCCAGTTCTCTTGCGGCGACATCACTCGGATGGGCGTCGTGACTGGCAAGAGTGGCAAGACTTACTGGCTTGATCTTGACAACCTTGGAGGCTATCAGAATGGCCCAAACAAGCTTGACAACGTGATCCAGGTCTATCAGAACGAAAATTCGGTCTATGCTGGAGCTGGCGTCTACCCACTAGAAGGAGGTTACATCTACATCAACGTCATCCAGTATCAGACTCACGTCTTCAAATTCTCTTGCAACAACGGCGTTCCATATTTCAACAAAGTGGCCGACTCCCCCGAGAAGAATGCATATATTCTAGGGGTTGGTCATGGCACAGTCACATCGCTGAACGATCAACCTGGGACTGGTCTAGTGTGGACGTCGGACGTTGAAGGCTCTAATTTGAGAATCTACAACGCTGTTCCCAACAATGGCGTCCTGCAGGAGATCAACTCTTTTGTTACTCCTGGTACCACCAAGTTTACCAGACCTGTCTTTGGAGATGGAATAGTCTATCAGGGGACTACTGTGGGATACATTTATGCTTATGGTGCGCCCGTCAACTTACCGTTGAATTGTACAGCTCTACAATTTGGCACTGTCAACCTGAATACAACAACGGCTCCCATGACGGTGGCATGCACGGCCAACACTGCAGTCACAGTAACTGCGGCAGCGCTCTCGGGCAACCCAAACTTTGCCATTGGGGGTCTACCCAATTTCCCACTTACAGTGGCCCAAGGACAACAGTTCTCGTTTCCAGTCACCTTTACTCCCCAGACCGTGGGGCCTTTGTCATCCTCTGTCATTCTCAACACTACGCAACAGGCAGGCGGCTTTAGCATCAACACTCCCGTGCAACTCAAGGGCACCGGCCAGAGCCAGGCTGCTCTGTTGATGGTTACGCCGAACACCGTCAGTTGGAATGGAGTGATTACCGGACAACAGGCGGGCGGAGTCGATCAATCCGTGATCATTAGCAATCTCGGAAACGGTCCTCTCAGCATCACCAACATCTTATATTCGGTGGTGGGCGAGACTGGTCCCTGGATTACGCCAAATGGCACGCAAACCGCAGCCGCCGTCTCTGCATTCACCTTCTACAACATGCCGCTCTCGGTGGCACCGAACAGTGCCGTGACAGTCCCGATTAATTTCAATCCACCGTCCAGCGGCAACTATGGCGTCTTCGTCCAAGTGGTGTCGAACGGAGGATCCAAGGTTTTTGATGTCCTTGCGACAGGCTCTGACGAACCCAAAGCCGTTCTTGAATTCCAGACTCCCAGTGGAGGATGGGTTCGGTACGACAACACCACCGCCTTTGATTTTGGTAATGTGACGGAGAATACAAGTCGCTATCTCAAGATGCGGCTCACCAATAGTGGGTCGGCCAACGCAGCAGCCTTGTCAGTGACCGTCAGCAAACCACCCTTCGGTATCCCAGGCAGCATCATCGGGGCCAGCAACCAGGTGGATCTTGCCGAAGGGACATTGGTGTACGCCGGACAAAACGTTACTGCCACGTTGTTTTGTTCAGTGCCAAAGAGCCAGATCAACGTTGACCCGTACCTCGGGACTGCCCAGTGGACCATGAACCTCAACGACGCCAGCTTCGGGAAGCAGTACATACAATTCATCTGCAATGCCGTCTCTGAACAAGCACCCCCTTTGAATCCCGTGACACAACAGGGGATATATCGATATGCCGGATGCTTTACTGAGAACAATCCAGGCCGACAACTTCAAACGAGTGTCTACAATGGCCCTCTCAACACCAACGAGCAATGCATTTCCCAGTGTTCCGCTGCAGGATATATCTTTGCCGGCACCCAGTATAACCAAGGTAAGTGAACACCCAGTGGCTTGTGATTTCAGATGGCTGACCTCTCAAGAATGTTGGTGCGGCTACAATCGGCCCAAGACGGTCAACGACGATGCCAATTGCAACTTTGCATGTTCTGGGAACATCAATGAAATCTGTGGAGGCAACGGCATCACAGGCACCGGTTCCTTTATTTCGCTTTTCGGCGACATCACTCGTTGGAACGGGAACACCACCGATACTCCCGGACCATACGTCAATCCTGGCACTCAAGGATTCCACTCCCTGGGCTGCTATACTGAAGGATCTCAATCTCGTGCATTGAGTGTGCCGGTGAACGCCAACAACACCGTGGCCGGCTGTCTTCAAGCATGTCAGGGATATTTGTATTCCGGCGTGGAGTATGGAGGCCAATGTTTCTGCGGAAATTCTCTGTCGACCGGTGCGGTCACTACTCAAGCGTTGGACTGCAGCATGACATGCAACAGCAATCAAACAGAGTATTGCGGAGGCCCAAGCCGTCTCAACATGTATCTCTACGGTAATGGTAGTCTCCCCAGCTCGACACCGGGGTCGGGCACCCAGAATGCTCCTGCTCCTGGCCCAACGGCGCCCACAACTCCAGCCACAATTGGCAATTTCAGTTATGTCTCTTGTTACACGGAGGCTGCGACGGGCCGGGCATTGACGAGCTTTGCTTTGGCCGACAACAGCATCAACATTCAAACCTGCGCGAGCAATTGTACTCAATACCGATACTTCGGGGTTGAATATGGTCGCGAGTGTTACTGTGGAAATGCCCTGGGTGCAGGCAGTGTTCCGGCCACCGACGGCCGGTGCAACATGGCATGCTCTGGCAACTCAAGTCTGGTGTGTGGCGGCCCCAACGGACTGACACTGTACGCGAACCCGAACTGGACTTCGACTGCAACTACACCGCCGCCGACCGCTACCGCTGCCCCTATCCCCTCGGGACCGAGCATCATCCCCAATATTGGCAATTTCCAATATGTTGACTGCCATACCGAGGCCACCAATGGGCGCGCGCTAAGTGGAAAAGCTGTCGCCTCCAGTGACATGACTGTGCAATACTGTGCAGGAAACTGTACTGGGTTCGCATACTTTGGCGTGGAATATGGGCGTGAATGTTATTGCGGGAACAGTCTCGCTGCCGGGTCGGCCACTGCTACGGATGGCCGTTGTTCCATGACATGTGCCGGGAACTCGTCGACCATCTGTGGTGGGCCGAACGGCTTGTCTTTCTACCAGTTTGTTCTACCGTCGAGCTCGACCAGCACCAGTCTCAGTACTACAACCAGTATCGCCCCGACGTCCGTGACTTCGACTTTGTTTAGCAAGACATCGACATCGACGACCAGTTTCTCCGCCAGTTCAAGTTCAGCCTCGTCGACCACCTCCCGGGCCAATCAATCTTCCGCAGTGAACAACTCTACGACATCAATCCGCTTTACGGGCTCTACGACTCTTGTCGTCGGTGCAGGTTCCTCATCTAGCTTGCAGACGACCTCGGTCTTTAGCAATGCCAGCACATCCACATCCACCACGCCTCCTCGGATCTTGTCGTCCAGCGCATCGTCCTTTTCAAGGGGTAACGGTACGTCGACTTCACCAACAAATTCGGTCGCCTCGACTGCTGTGGCGGTAATCAGCGTCGCCCAACCCACGACTAGCACGACCAGATCAGCCTCTCTGACCTTGTCGACTGTGGGAAGCAGTTCTTGGTCCAACACCACACTGTTGGCGTCTACCTCATCCGCATCTCTTACGACATCTTCCATGTCAAGCAGCAGCCCTTCGACCATGTCGGCTACAGTGTCAAACAGAAACTCGACTTCAGCTTCGACCTCAAGCTCAAGCGTAACCCGAACTTCCTCTTCCTTTTTCTCTTCAGCTTCAACACTGATGTCGATCTCGAGCTCATCACTGTCGACGACAAACACGATCAGCGACAATACTAGAACAGTATCAGGCTCGCTCTCAGGAGCAAGTACGGCATTGCCATCATCAAGCACCGGCTTCTCCACAAGCTTCGTCTCAAGAACCTCTTCGAGCAGCGGTCCTGTTGTGACAAGTCTGAGTTTGCCTTTGAGTTCGGGACTCAGCTCTACTTCGACATCAGTGGCCAGGAGTACATCAAGCTCTAGTTTGCCGTCGGCCCCTACCACAACGTCGATTGGTTCCAGGGTCCCAGCGCCGGTGACAACTTCTAGTCTTCCGTTGGCCTCGACCTCGACCTCGACCTCGACCTTGACCTCGGTTCGATCGAGTGTGTCTGTGTCGACATCAGGTCCGGTGTCGACTTCGACTTCCACCTCGTCATCCGGGGCCAGGACCTCTGGACAGGCGTTGACCTCGACGTCCATGTCGACTACAACGGCCAGGAACAGCCAACTCACGAGCAAGACTTCAACGACGTTGTCAAGCACACTCACACTCTATACCTCGACGTCTACATCCGCCTCGTCATCATCGGCCCCAACCCCAGCCAACCCTTACTTCCCTAACAGCTACATTGGCTGTGCCGCGGAATTACCAAGCGGCCGGCTGTTGTCTATGGCGTCGATGACAAACTCATCCATGACGATTCCGGCATGCCTTGCCTTCTGCTCGGCGCAATCGCTCGCGCTCGCCGGGCTGGAATACGGGCGCGAATGCTACTGCGCCTCGGCTCTTGGGCCCAACACGCTCCTGAATGCAACCGGCTGCACGATGGCGTGCGCCGGCGACAACACCCAGGTGTGCGGCGGCCGCTCCCGGCTGAGCGTGTACAACAACACGGCGCTGTCCGCCCCGGCGGCCAAACAGACCATCGGCCAGTTTGCCTACCAGGGCTGCTACACCGACCCGTCGGCAGCGCAGCGCGCCTTGCAAGGCTACAGCACCTCGTCGAGCAGTATGACGCAGGACCTGTGCGTTCAGACCTGTTCGGCCAAGGGATACACGCTCGCCGGCGTCGAGTACGGTCGCGAGTGTTACTGCGCCAACAGCCTGGCCACCGTGCAGGTCGGAGGCAAGGCCGTCCAGGCCGCCGAGGGAGACTGTGGTATGCTTTGTGCTGGCGATAGGGATGAACTGTGTGGTGGGAGCTCGAGGATCGGTGTGTGGATGGTGACCTGATTGACAGATTGACGGATTGGTTCTTTGGTTTCGGCTCGACGTCTTGGGGTGTTCTTGTTCTTGTTCTTGTTCTCTTCTGGTCTGGTTTCCGGTTCCCGATCGTCTTTACGGGTCTGCTTCTTTCCTTTCCTTCATCTCTTAGTTGACATGTCTTCTGTTAGGACTTACTACTCCGTATTTAGCATGAGAAAGAATGGCATCTTAGCTCAGCCTACCTTGATTCCTTCATTATCTACCTTGATTCCTCCAGTATGCAGACGCCGATGAGCGGAATAATGTAGACACGTCTAGTGCGTCAAGGCGATGGGATTTAGGATTTGGGATTTGGGAATGGGAATGGAAATGGGAATCTCGTATAGGTCCTTTCCTGGCAAGGGCACGAGGGTTGGTCGAGATATGGCTATGGTTGTGCAATGCGGCATCGCAGTCGCAATCGCATCCTTATCCTTATTCTATGGCGCCTGGCTACGTCTCCGTCTCTGTCTGCGTCTCCGTCTGGTTTGCTTGATCTGTCTAATTGTCCAATATGTCCAGCGTGTCGGTGCTAATTCTCCAATATCTTCAGCGTGTCAGTCAGTGTACAAACCTAACCTCAAACAACCACCAAGGCCGGTGTGGTGTGGTGCTATACCTGGTTGCCTGTCTCGCCTTGTCTTTGGGAGTCATAGCTGCGGGCACAACGCTCAAGATGTCAAACGCTCCAGATCTCAAAAAAGAGACTTCTCTGGGCCGTCATCGTCATCATTGGCCTTCCGTTCATCTTGGTCCCCCTTCCGCTTCCTGTGATCTGATCTTCATCTTGGTCCCCCTTCTGTGATCTGTCTCCTCTGATCTGTGATCTATGATCTGATCTTCATCCGAGATCTCATCTCTTCCCGTTGATGATGGAGTCCAAAACGGTGGCCGTGTTCAGGAGCTCCTCGTCCATCTGTCGATAGCCAACCAGTTGAACGCCGATAGGGGCGTCTCTGTACAGTTCTGGGCCGGTGTCTAAATGAAAACGACAGTGACAGCCAAGGTTAGCTTCGATATGATAGACAGCCATGATCAGTTGCAACGTTGACGTTGGCGGCAGGGTCCCGAGTTGTGGTGGGTGATATGTGCATACAGAGTCGATAGAGGGTGGCATTGGGTGATAAGTACAGAGTCGGTAGAGGGCATTGGGTGATATGTAGATACAGAGTCGAGAGGGAGGCATGGGTGATACATACAGAGTCTATAGAGATTGGCATCGTCCGGACCATACTTCGCGTTGGCCACATCATCGGCCACATCCGTCTCTCGCACCTTGTCGACCGGCAGGACGATGGCCGGGTAGTCGAGATAGTTCCAGATGCCGGTATAGCTGGCTCCCGACCATGTGTCCCACGGCACGGCCGTGTGAGGGGCGACGGGCATCAGAATGGCGTCGAGTCGGTGGTGGCAGAACAGTCGGAGATATCTCTCTGCCGCGTCTTCTCGACGGGCGTTCAGCTCCAAATACTCCTTCATGGTGGTTCCTTCGACCGCCATGAGGCCGAGCGCCTCGAGGGATGGAATGGTCGGCTCTCCTGTTTGGGCGAACAGGGCGGAAAGGTGCTTGATGCGAGGGAGTTTCGTCAGCCTTGCACAGCTGACATGCATCAAGATCAAGAATCAGATCAAGATCTCGTTCAAGATCAAGATCAAGATCCAGTTCAAGACCCAGTTCAAGATCCAGATCCAGGTCAAGATGGGTGCAATAACGATGAGTGGATTAACATACCTCGGCTCCAAGAGGTGCCCAATACTTGACAAGGTCTTGGTAGATTTGGCCGACGCCGGGCAATGTCAGAGAGACGGTTTCGACGTCGTCACGGCCCTGGAGGAGTTGCACGGCTTGGTTCAAGCCTCGTCGAACGGGAGGCGAAGGGGTATGGATGCCATTGTCATGGACCACGCCGATTCGCAGCTTTTTCTTTTCGTTTTCCTTTTCCCTTTCCTTGACCTTGTCCTTGACCCTTTCTTGGAGATTCCTCCATGGCACCGACACCACACTGCTATCATATCGCCAGGTCTCCGACTCCATGACGGCTTTCATGAACAGGCGACAGTCGCGCACCGACGTGGCCATGGGCCCAGCGGCCGAACGCACGGCGTCGGTGCCCGGCACGGAGAGATCTCGCACACCATCATGAGGCACCAGCCCCACGCTGGTTCGGAGGCCATAGATGCCGTTGCACAGCGACGGGATGCGAATGCTGCCGGCAATGTCGGTTCCGACGCCGAGCAGACTGCCGCGAAGGGCGATCAGAGCGCCCTCGCCGCCGCTGCTGCCGCCGGCGGTCAAGGCGAGGTTGTGAGGGTTCAAAGTCCGGCCAAACACGTTGTTGTCGCTATCACCCGTCATGATGGTTTGCGGTAGGTTGGTCTTGCAGTACAGCACGGCACCCAGGTCCAGCAGCAGGGCCGCGAGGGCACTGTTCTGCCCGGCCGGCTCGTCAACAAAGCAGGCCAGTCCGGTCGAAGTGTCCTGGCCGGCCACTTGAAAGCTGTCTTTGAGCGAGATGGGCAGGCCATGGAGAGGCCGCAGCTGCCGACCGGGAGCTTCTCGTCGTTCTTGGTCGAGTTGGCGCGCGCGCTGGATCGCGTCATCGAAGAAGATCTCGGTCAAACAGTTGGTCTGCGCAGCATGGTCATGCCATGCCGTCAAGTCAGTATTGTATTCGTGATGGGAATGATCTCAGTCAGTATTCGTGATGGGAATGGAATCATCTCATCCGATGCTATCTTTCGTGATGGGAATGGGATCATTTCATCCACTGGTCTCTTTCAGATGTTGTATGGGATAAGGCAACACTGACCAACTGTTGAGCAACGGCCGCTCTCTTGCAAAATGCAACCGTGACCTGTTCGGCCGACCAAGCACCGCTCTTGATTTTCTCGAGGAGAGCGGTGACGTCGTACTCGGACGTGATGCTACACTCGACCTCGTCCAAGAGGCCACAAGTGACGGGCACCTGTAACAGGTTGGTGGTAGTGGCAGTGGTAGTGGCAGCGGCATCGGCAGTGGCATCGTGATCGTGATCCTTCCCCTTCCGGAGGTCAAAATCGATCAACCATTCCCGGGGGATCTTGCCCTGCCGCTGTCGCTGCTTGTCCGCCGCGATCTGGCGGTAGTCGTTGGCGTTGGCCTTTGCAGCACTCGTACCCGTCATCTTACAAGAGAAAGATGTTGTTTTACAGTAAGACGATGTCTTCTCCAAAGTCCAGGTCCAGGCCCAAGTGCTTCAGATGTCTTTGCTGGGTTGGGTCGACCAGCCTTCAGATTGCTTTGCTTTGCTTTGCCGGGTTAACCAGTATACGTATGTATGTACGGCTCCTCTCGAGAGAACTGATCTCACAAAATGAAGACACTATGCATAGGACGAACCCTTTATACTTATACTTATACTTATATTTTTACACCTCGCTCCGGACCTCCAGGGTCCCATCTCTTCTCTCATGGGGGGAGGGGGGCTTAAGGCCTTCCATAAGCAAGCAGGCAAGCTAGATTCGAAGCGGAGGCGGAGGGCCCAGGTAGGGCCTTACTTACTAGGTAGGTAGGTAGGTAGGTAGTCGTAAAGCCTTACATTAGGAGCCTGCGTTTGTGGTACATACTAATGTATCCCGCCCCTGAAGTATTGGTCAGTGAGTACTACTGTATCCCATATCGCTTGAAGTATCGGTCAGTGAGTACTACTGTACTCCGTACTATGTATAAGCAACGCCGCCGGCCCCGGTCCCGGTCCCGGTCCCACCCACTCTACGGAATGCACAACACAACATAACATAACATTGATTCAACTCGTTTCATAAACTGATACGGTCATACTGCTATCGATGAATATTAATTATTATGGGTAGCGAGAGTCTAGGTAGTCAAATGATGGGTCAATCCAAATTGTTGGGTCAATCAGCGTAGGATCAATCCAACCCTCCGGCCAACCTTCCGGCCAACCCTCCGGTCCATGGCCAGGGCGGATCAGCCAATGAGGTATGCATGCCAGGTAGGTGCTAGGCATGTCTGATGTCCCTGTACCAGCCAATGAATCTACGAACCAAAGTGGTCATATTTCCATTATCATATTTAATACTCAAACAATACGAGAATCATTCTAATAGGTCACGGCTGGTCACGACTTGGTCACGACTTGGTCACCGTTTGTGTATACGAGCTGGGACCGAAGAAATGGGATCGAACCGGAGAATTGTCCTGTACGTGTATATGTGTGTGTGGTATGGTATGACACTAGAAATAGATGCTAGGATAGATGCTAGGATAGATGCTAGGATAGATGCTAGGATAGATGCTAGAATACGTTCTAATAATGCCGACCTGGACCGGACCTGTGAAAAGACATGCTCGTCGAATAGACTCAACCAAACAGAGCCTTGTCTATCGAGGCCAAGACGACACACGGCTTGCAGGTCGAGTCGAACCAGGAGGCCGTGAGTTTTCGGTCCCGGTCGCGCCAGACCCGGGACAAGAAGGTCTTGGTGGCCCTCTGCACCACGGGCGTGAACTGGTCCACGTACTCGTCCGTGTCCCGGAGGGCCTTGACCCTGGCCGCCGGGTCACGCATCTCAATCGCGGCGGCGACGAACGGCAGGGTCACGCAGCGGGTCGACCGCCCCGTGATCCGCCGGGCGAGTTCCAGCTCGGTCATGATCTCGGTCGCCCAGATGTCGGCCTGGCCGTCCTGCTCGCCAAAGGCACACCGCAGTCGGTGGCCGACCAGGAGCGCCGCCAGCCGGTACAACCGGGCCTGGGCGAGCAAATGCACCACCTCTGCCGTGTCGAAGCGCTCGACAAACCGGTCGGGCTGCGACGGCTGCCACGCTTGCACGTCAGCCTGGATCCGACCCAACTGCTCCTCTATCAGGGCCATGTAGCTCGCGTCGGTGGTGTTGGCCAGCGAGTGGCTGACGACGCAAAGGTCGTGATAGAACGACAGGAGAGGCGCACAAAGCCCCAGGTGCCGGTCTACCGCGCTTCCTCCGGACAGGCGGCCCTGTGCTGGCAATCTGATGGTCGGCCGACGCCGGTGGACCAGGCAATCTGTCATCTCGAACAGAACCAGAAAGGTGAGCCATTGCTCGGCGTCCGAATCCAATGTGTCCATTTCGACAAACGGTTTGGCCACGCTGAGGCAGTGGCGCGAGATCTCGTACACACCCTGGCCGATGGCCGAGTAGACGAACAGAGCCAGAGATACACCTAGGGTGAGGCACAGCGCTGCATCTTGGGGAGTGGCGACGGGCAGAGCGCGTAGTGTTGTCATGGCGGCCAATGCATGCCGCAGATTGACGTCTTCATCCGACACCTCCACTTCCACCTCCAGCTCGGCGGCATGAACAGGAGGATGAGGAGGTTGGATCAACTTCAGGGCTCCGGCGCACGCCAGATACGCGTCCTTGAGCACCGGCAAGGCCGTGGCCAGCGGAGCGGCCAAAGAGCGCTGCTCGGCGTCTCGAAAATTGGGACTCACCACGCAACAGTCGAGGTTTTCCGGTCGGCCCAGGAAGAACAGCAGTTTCTCCCTCTCCTCCCGACGGAGATGGGGAACACCACGGAGCCATGCCCCAATGTCCAGCGGTGGAGGATTAGGACTCACATCGGCCGCCTCGTTCGTCCCAGCCTGGCTCGAACTTCGCCCAGAGTCTCGACGATGGTCCCCGGGGCTGCGGTGAGGTCTTCGTCCTGCTGGTCGTTGCGGACGGACAGTTGCGCAGGACAAGTCCAGTCTATCGCACCTTGCACAGCTGTGGGCGATAGACAGACGTGTACATCGCTCCTTGAGCCTGTAGCAACGGTCACACGCCGTCCTCAACCTTCGACCCGGTTCTGCCGCTGTTGCCATTCAAAGTAGCCCCCTCGGAAGCGCTCTGAATTCCGGCGAGAAGCCAAACCCTAACCCTGTGCAGGATGGGTCTGGCGAGGTATGGCGTGAGCCAGGCCCGGATCCGGCTCGATGGCGTTTGATATCCGGCTGGGGGAGAAAGGCGTGCAGGCAACCACGATATGACGCTGGTTCTGAAGGTTCTTCAGCGCAGTGAAGACAAGGGTCTTGAGCTCGAAGGAGGCGTTGGAAGGTATATGGAGGGTTTGGCAGGGCTGAAGAGGTAGGACAGCTAGAAGACTACTAGTAATATACGTACTGTATGAGTACATAAGTAGTGGTGTAACTAGGGTAGGAAATCTATATTGGCCCCTAAGCCTGGGAGGGGCTTAGGAGGCCTTAGGGCTTGGGCTTAACCCATCAGCCTTAGGAGCCTTAGCCCTACAGTAATAATAGAGCAACCTGGGGAGCCTCCTAAGCCCCTAAGCCCCTAAGCCCCTCTAAGATAAGCACACCTAGGCAACTCCATGCCCCCAAGAGGTACCCGTTGGCCCTAAGGCGGCCAGGTTTCCAGGAAGCCAGCCTGGTGGCTTAAGGCTAAGGCTACTGTAAGGCTCTTTGCCCCAGGCACTAAAGCACTCGAGAGTGCAGTCACACCTCACACCTGCTGTGGTGTACAAGCTCACGCCTAGATCTAGCTCCGCTCTTTTGTACGGAGTACACTATTAATCAACTTTCTTCTTTTTCCAGACACTGGTCGACTTTAGATAGGGACACTGTACCTGCCCACTGCCCCTTGGCTGAGCTGAGCCGAGCTGAGCTACGAGCTGAATTCACATCCTTTCTTCGACATGATGATGATGACTATGGTGCTGTGTCGGGCGTCGCTCGTTCACTCGTTCACTCGTTCATGCCCTGTCCTCGATACGGTACGGTCGTCAGTAAACGTCCCTCGTCCTAGATCAGTAGCTGAGAATGACGGCCAAGGCTTCCGCTCCGCTTGCTCCTTCGGCCCAGGAGACGCTCTAGGACCCTAGGAGCCCGTCCATAATCCAGCTGGAAGCGCTGCCAGTATAGGTAGTAGATGGGTAGCACGGTAGGATAGGTAGGAGGTGGAGCACGGTAGGAGTAGCAGTTTAGACCTTGAAGAAAGAATGAAGAAGATCCCTTGAAGCTGTGAATATATCCAGGATATGAACATGGACATGGACATGGCCGTGAACATCATTCTCATGGTCATTCATATACCCCATTCTGATCCTTGCCATCCTTCTCATTCGGAGACAGGTTACACACAACCCCCAGCTTCTTCCTCCTCTTCGTCCTGCTCCACTGATAAGACACAGGGGCGAACTATCCGTGTGCCTCAAAGACTGGACTCGGAGCGAAACACCGCCTTTAACTGTCACCCTCCTGAGAATGAGAATGATAATGATGACAATAAGATGATGACAGTCGTGATAGTGATAATGATCTGACCACAGTCGACCCCCAATCAACAACGATAACCCGCCCAAACAGAGATGGGCCCGGCAAAAATGGTATCTCAGAAAGACGGGACGAAAATTGTCGAGTCCGTACAAACAAAATAGATTCATCAATCTCGTGCTCAAAGACCAATCTGAACAGAGCAACCATGGTCTTGTGAGCAACAAAGAGACATTTCCTGTCCACGGTTCTTGTTCTTATGCAGAAGCTCGCTGTATGCGACGGTGTCGACATGCGTCAATGGCCTCTACTCGAGAGCTTGCCTTATCCAACATGTCCTTGATCGTCTTCGTTCTCGGGCTTGGCAGCCCTCCTCAAGCTTTCAGCGCAGCCTTCTCATCCAGAAAGGGGAAGGAGTTGTTTGTTTTTGCCGATGGCCGCTTGACCCGAAACACGGCGTCCTGGTCGGTCATTCTTCGTCCTAGAGCCCGCTCGACTTTTGCCCCCAGGCTCAATTTGCTCAGGTCGTCTGTTTTCTTTTGGCTAGGAACGAACCGTTGCTGGTCCAAGTGTTTGTTTTCTAGTCGGTCAAGACCTTGAGTCAATTGCCGGATCTCAGCCATGCCGGCCTCGGCGCTGACGGGTGTGGTTGCCGAAGGCAGGGTGACGGTGTTGGAGCAGTCGGTGGCGGTGGTCGCAAAACTTGGCGAGGCCGAGTATGTGGAGTAACGCTTGGAAGTGCGTTTGGAGGTGAGCTGTAGAAAAGAGAGGACGTCAGTCATTGTTTTTGATACAGTACAAAGATCAGGGAAAGCGTGGGCATCTGCTCCGACAGAGAGGACGCCGTGAAAACGTACACTTGGAGCCATTATAGGCCTTTGAGACTCAAGAGATCTGCGGGACAAAGACATGATGGCTGATGCTGGTGATGGTATGGATTCTGGTCGTCCTGGTTGCAAATGCCTAGTGTCCGGTGCCCACCAAAGTCGATGACTGTGGGTGTCAATGCGTCTTCTTGCGGGCCCCCGGGTCCCAATGGTCCTTAGTGGAATATGGATTGGACGGATGAACCGTGCTCTTGAATGGGTTCCAAATGCTCTCGATTGCAATGATATCCGACAGTATGGTTGAAAACCACGAGCTGGCGCAGGAAACAATAATAAGGATTTTGGGGCTGCAGGATTCCAGAAGATCAGACGAAGCTAGTCTGGGGTCCAGCGTCCAGTTGCAGCACTGACCACTGAGGCAGGGTTCGTGACAGTCCGCACGTACTCCGTGCAGTAGGCTTGTTTGGAGAAGGCTATTCGGGGATGCCACCACGCAGATTTAGGTTGCTGACGTGAGTGGTTTCACGCTGACGGGCGGCAGGTAGGTTGATGCTTGGGCGATCAAGACGGAGAGGCAGTTTGAAGGAATCGAGACTGCAACGATTGAACGGCGAGAGGATGAGAAGTGCCAAAGTCTGTTGAGGACAAGTATTAATGATATCGGTCTGAACAACTGATGGCGTGAGCTGCCGGGATTGCTGTCATGCATACACTTGTACAAGTGGCTCCGTACCGTTGGTTGGCAGGCTATGGATAGATGGAGGAATGGGGATGAGGTCTTGCGTTGCTCCAATCGGCGTGGACTTCAGGCTCCTGGACGGGATCTGGCCAAAAGCAGATGGGCGGACTGGGTGAATACGAATATAGAGCAGAGGAGGGCGGGCTGAAGATGTACGGAGTAGACGAAGAGTGGTGGATGGGCGGATTGAATCTTGTTTGACTGCGGCAGAGAAGAAGGGTGTTTACCAGGCTGTCGCCAAAACAAAAGTCACCGCCCCTTGTGCCCTTGTGTGGGTGTGGGAGAGAGTGGAGGCCAATGCTGCAACTACTGTGTCTGACAGGACGGGAAGAGGGCCGCCAAAACACATTAGGGAGGTGACAGTAGCCCAGCCCAGAAGGCCCTTAGGCTTCTAAGGCTTGGGGCTAAGGAGGCTAAGGGGGCTCGTCAACTTGTCTTGGGAGGGGCGCCTCTAAGCCTCGATGACCCCGAAATCTAAGCTACCACGCACTCCGGATTGGGGACAGCAGCCAGAGGAAGCCGGTGAGGTGCCTGTAATCCCGGTACCTTGGGTAGCATTTGGATGCTAGGCGCAGGTTTCGGCCTTTGGGTGCGGATTCCTTCAAGTTTGACCCGTTCATCGCTCAGCTTCAACTGCCTGACGACAACCCCTGCATGTGCCCTTCGCCCTTGGCCCTTCGCCCTTCATCTGACTCGCAACCTACCACCTAGTACGGAGTACAGGATTCGTACTCCGTATCCGTACACTGGCAACTGCGGGCTACCTCCTGACAGGGATCAGCCCACCGGACAGCCATGCTCATTGACCCAAACTCCGACGACTGGCGAGTGACTCTCGTACCCGAAACCCACGTGGCTATGCACCAGCGCGCATACACGCAGTTGAGGCTTTCGGGCTCCCTCCTCGTTGGCCCTCGACCCTCCCTCACCTCTGCCGTGGCGGCGGCGTGGCCAGGTCCAGAACACATTTGACAGACGCCATCCCACCACCTACGGGCCTACGGAAACGCTCACGCAACTAATGACCAAGAATATAACGATATGGATAGGACAATTACTTGAGGACTTGGAGTCTTGACCGCTCCGGGCATCCCAGCCTGCGCGCTAGACTGTTCCAAAGAGCACCTGTTCTCCTAGTCACACGATCTCAGCTGCGCCGGACCACATACTGCAGGGCAGCTTCAATGCATTTTCCGAAGCGAGATCCCCTCCTTCCCTCTCCAAGTGTTCGATCGTCGCTCTCGATCCATCTCACCATGTCACCCAGGACGAGCGCTGCTACTTACTAGCAAGTGATATCCACCTTCGCAACGGAGCATTTGCGCCAAATTACCGAGTAACTGTGCCGTCATGGTCGGTGATCATGGCTCTGTCGAGACTCGGTCGTTGTTTCAGCGCGGCTTTCGTGTGCTGCAAGCCCGTTAAAGACCCCTGCAATACCTAGGCAATCAGACCGCTACTCCTACGTCAACCCGCAAGCGTGTTTCACGGCATTCAGCTGCATAGATTCGTGGGCCAGGGTTGGAATTGGGATCGTCCTGCAACATGACCTTTCCATTGGCCTTATTCTCCTTCCACATAATTAGGACGGAGCCTGGTAGATTCTTGGGCACTGACCATTCTCCAGCGGATCCGATTTCTCGTAGTAGCTCAACATCCTCCCACTCGCAGTGTCACCTGGACAAGGGACGGTGGACGGGCTCAAGAAGAGAGCCAGCGCAGATTCATGGCCCGAGCCTAAACGGAGTACGTACTTACCTAGGTAGGTAAAGATCGAGAAAGATGAAGAAACACCAGCAGGTCACGTAGAAGCCCATAACGATATACTACTGCTTCAGCCTTCCTGTCTCTAGAATCCAGAGAACCACCATGAACCCAAACCCGCATCGCACAACAAAGTCGCTTCCCCCGTGCGCATAAACTCCGGCATCCATTGCGCTTCAGGCCCGATGCGATTCCGTTGCAAGATCCGCCATTGGCCCCACCAGGAAATGCTTCAGTCTCCAAGCCCCAGTCTTCAGTCTTTGAGAAGGACCCAGTCCAAGTGTCGATGCTTCATGCTGCATGGCCTAAGGCACCAGACACCTCCCTCTCTGACTCCATACGACCCCGAGCGCCCTGTGCGTATATGTAGTCACCTCTTTGACCGTAGCTCATGCCATTAGACGCCGACTTGTCAATCCTGCCCAAGTAACGACAGGTGCCAGCCTTGCGCCCAGTCGTTGATGCTGCTTGTCAATCCGCATGTCCTTGCCAGCCAGAAAGCAAGACCTCCTACCACTCCGAAACTTCCCATGACTTGCAGAGCGAGCCAGCCACGAGTTCGCATGCCATCTTGCCACCGCAAAAGTCCCAGGGGGTCATGCACCTGATAATTGGGGATATCACCCCCGTATACCAGACCCGTCTTTACTCCCTTCTGGATCAAAGCCTGCTGCGAGTGGTCCTGTGAAAGGATATGACCGTCCCGGATCTCCTCGCCCATTCGCTCCACCAACCACACCGCGCGTTCACCTCGGGCAAGTCTCTCATATCTTTCCCGCTCACGTTGCAGACTGAGTTGTAGCTCACTCGCCCACTTGGACAGTCTGACCTGGGCCAATCGCTCTTCTCGTTGTGTATGATCCGCAACTTTTGCCAACGCCCAACTATTGGATGTGTTGAGAGACACGTCAGATCCAACGGGCGGTAACATGGCCGAGTTGGTGAGAGAGGTCTGTACAGGAGATGGCAGGGTCGAGTTGTGTACCGAGGGGAGTGATGGAGATGACACCATCGTCAACCTGGGATAGCGAGTGTGCCATGCCACGAGTTTGCGTGCCGATGTATGCCGCAAGTAGGAAACCATTTCTGGCTCGAAGATCTGTTCCACGAGCAGGCCGAGCTCGGACGGAAGAAGAGGCTGGATATACTCGGGTGACATCAGCAGTGATGCATCCATCGTATCGAGATCTGGCCCACTCGTGGAGGTGACAGTATAAGGCGCCGTCGCCGTCGCTTTGACCTCCATTTCGGGTATCAGAGATGTAGGCAGTCGGGGAAGAGCTGTGAGGCTCAGGTCCAGGGCTTGTTTGATTTCCTCCTGCTCTTGTCGAGACAACACATCTGCCTTTGCCACGAGCGGGACGACATTGCACAACTCCGACAGCTGGCGAATCCGTTCGCAGTCGTCTCTGATATGATCTGCATACCATTAGTCGCGTACACCTAGGCCAGATAGATTGACCTACCTTTGGCAATCAGATATAGAATCACATCCACCTGTGATGAACCCCGCCCACTCAGCAAGCCTGAAAAATCATTTGTGAGCTGATCAATGGACACCATCGCGTTCACAAGCTGCTGCTCCACGTATTGAATGATCTCGTCGAGTTTGACGGCGTCCGAAGTGTCTACGAAACAGACATTCCGCTCGAGCACTGAATCGCCCATACTCTTCCTCCGTCTCAAGATACGACTTTCCTCGACACTGGACCACCAGGCCGGGTAGGGTTTCGTGCTAGCGTATAGTTCATTCACCAAATACGCAGGCCCATGGCCATCACGTTGCGAACCTTTTGTTAAGTTTGACAACACTGGATCGACGTGGACGATGTCTTCACATAGTTGAACGATGGACTTGATGAGAGAGGTCTTGCCAATACCTAGTAAGGTTAGCTAGGTCCCGTAGCTGGTAGTGCAGCGTGGCATACCCTTGCTACCGGCTACCATAATCTTGAACCTCCCGAGTCGTTTCCCTCGGTCGGTAAAGGGCCTCCGACTCGGCATTGTGATACTCGGCATGATAAGCTCTGGCTGACTGTCCTGGGTGACAGCAAGTGATTCTCCTTCATCCTCTTCACTGGAGACTACCGCTTGACTCCCGGTCTCGTCATTGGTCAATTCGTCATCGGATTTCTGGAGTGATCTCGAGGATGTTGACTTTGGGCTGCTGGGAAGAGAGACATCTTGGGATGGTAGAGGGGACGGCGTGGTTGCTCTGTCCGGCGCCGACGGTATCGCTTCAGCACTGGCAGCCGATGAACCTCTTCTAAGATGTCCATAGCTGCCAGGCTTGATGGTAGATCGCCTGCGGCTTCCGCTCCTTGCCTCCGCTGGTCGCGGCCCGGTGTGGTTGACTGGCCGGTCCGCCTCTTGAATGGTGTCCTGTAGACTGCTCACAAGTGGCGTGGATGCGGGTGTCACGACGCTCCGGTCACTCTGCATCCTAGATGCATCAGGATCCCGGGACAGAAAGAAGGTGGTGGGAGATGCGCCGCATCGTTCGCCAGGCAGAGAAGGGGCTTCGGCGGTAGAGAACTTGCGAGGACGAGGTTCCGCATTATCGAGGCCGATTCCGGGCCTCATGATTGGGATTGGGAATGGAATGTAAACAAGTATACCAGGAGACCGGGAGGAATCCTCGAGGAGTTCCTCTGCGTTGGGACGGAGCCAAATCGGGCTGCCAACAGATGTGCCAGTCGAACATGTAGTAGCGAAGTCGACTCGACCGCAGCCTGAAGTTACCCCACGGCGAAGGCGATACGCGGAGAGGGGCGGGAATCACACCTTATCATGAGAGCCTGATCCTTCCGTCATCCGACGCAGCCTGCACTGCACGCGTTTGTCCAAACGATTCTCAATTTATCAGCTGTCTCTCACTCGCATTAACTCTCTCAAGCCCAAACACAGCTGACAGTAAAGCCGGGCAAGTCCATCGTGGACAACATTAAGTTTTATGTCTCGTGATGAGGACTAATGTACAAACTCGGCCATCCGATCTCGAGGACATCCTAGAACCCGTAGATCCCCTCAGACAAGAGTACATAGCTTCGCTGAAAAAGACACGCTTCTCCCGACCATGCCCTGGGCCCTGACTCGTGGTGCAAGCTGTACTCATCTGGCGCACAAACCTGATCTGGAGTTGAAACAATCCCACTATCTGCTGTACTGCGGTCCGAAAATTGCTATGCGAAGACACGGGACGATAAGAAGATACCATGGAAACCCCTTTTTCCAAATGCGCCATTGCATTAAGTGCTCAGATCTCACATCACTTTTGTATCGCTGGCGTAACCCGTAGAAGGAGAAGGGGCCAGGCAGCAGGCGTTGAGAAGGTAAATTGATCCGACAAGCATCTCGCCGGATGCTTCGCTCACGATTCGTCGACAGAAGAGGTCTCAGGCAGCTTGAGTTTGACCACGTCCCTTAGGGGTGACAGTACCAGATTTTCCACCTCGTTGCTGAAAGCCGCTGCCACGACCGGCATCCTTGGGAAAGTTGGTCTGGCTCCCACTTCGCCCACCTTGCGCAACCTGCGCACCACCTCGACCACGCCCGGCGTTGTTACCACCACGGCTGTAGTTGGCATCTCTACCACCATAGGCAGTGGGACGCGGGCGGCGCTCCTCAACATAAATCTGTTCCGTGCCGACAGTGTGTGGGTTGGCTGCGACTGCTGCTGCGTAGCCAGCGGGTTCAGTGAATTCAACAAAGGCGCAGTTCTAGTCCCACAAGTCAGCAGATGAAACCAGGTTTAAGTCGAAGGTACATACCTTTGGTCGTGACACGTCATAATACCTGAGTTCGCCAAAGCGTTCGAGGACTTCGCGAAGGACTCGAGCATCCACTTTTTCATTTACGTTTTTGATGTATGCGAGTACGACGCCGTCGGGGCCAGGCTTGTTTTGTGGCCGATTGCCCTTTCGGCTGTGCTCGGCGGTCTGCCAGCCATTGCTCTGGGAAGCCACCGGGCTGCCAGAGGGGTTTGCAGGTGCCGCAGCTTCGACTGGGATCTTGGGGGCTTGAGTAGGTTGCGATGGCCGAGGAGCCTTCGGCTGTGCTGCAGGAGTTGCGACAGGGAGAGCAGGAACCGCCGGGGCTTTTGTTCCACCACCGAGCATGCTAGCCCAAGTCTTCTTCGCAGTAGGTACTTCAGCAGATGTCGGAGGCGCAGGAGCCGGATCGACAACGGGCTCTGCACGGGGAGCAGCCTCTGGTGTGGCTTGCTGCGCGGCCGCAGGAGTATCAGCCGCTTGTCCTTCTGGAGCTTGGACAGGTGACGCCGAGCTTTCTGGTGCTTCGGTAGGTTGTTCAGTGGGCGGCGGGATGATGGCGCCATTGACTTCAGTGGCATTTGCCAGAGTGGTTTCCTTCTTGTCTTCCTCAAGCTTCTCGTCCACCTCCTCGGCAGCAGCCTCGGTCGCAACGGTCTCCTCGATGTGCGGCTGCGGGTCAGTCAGGCCTTCTGCGGGTGTGACTGGTTCTTCAGCAGGTACCTCCGGCTGCGGCTGTTCGTCTTCCACAATTTCATCTACTTCGTCACTGAGGTACCGGAAAATGTCGTTGAGGACAAAATAGCCGTTTGGTTGCTCGGCGAGAACAAAAGTTTGGACGAATTTGTGATGGGGCTCCGACTTGTTTGACATCTCACCAATGACTTGGACGACGATGTTGGAGAAGGAGGACTGGGAGTCGACATTGAGGACGCGGACTTTACAATCCTGGAAGTCAAGCGCCTTGATCTTTTCGCTGATGGCCTGCGCAGTTGTTAGCATCTATGTTGCGTGCATTCTGGCTTTGTCATACCTTGGTACCAACGGCCGGGACAACCTTTTCGGCCTCTACACCGGTGACGAGCTGCGACTTCTTGGAGTAAAACAAATGTATCTTTTCTGGGCTCTTGGACAAAGTGGTGTAATATTGCTCGACAAAGTACCAGCCAATCTCTTGCGGGTCTGCCTTCTGAGTGTGGGCGGAAGTAGTAGTACTTTGAGACGCAGAGGTAGTATGAGTCGGGGCAGATGGAGTAGATGCCGCGAGTTCGGCTGGCTGGCTATATGGGTTTGTGCCATACAGGCCGTTGGTGGGAGCAGTTTCGGTCGCCATAGTGACTGTCAGCCTTGTGATGGCGTAGGACACGGGTTTAATGTCGCGGGTATAACGGTGACAGGCTCGTCTGAAGCTTCAACCGGTCGTCCGGATCAAATCGCGTTGTTCCCCAGGAAGATGGGAACTCAAGCGGGCGCAGTCGAAGCAAAAAGTGGTAGAGGTTGAAGATGAAGACGGGTAATTTGTCACACAGTGAAGAAGGGTGGGACGGGCGAATGGGGGGAAAAGGACCGACTATAGAGACAAGCAAGACTGGACGGATGAAGGAAAGGCGAGGACAGGGATGGTGATGGCGATGGTGATTGTGAATCCTGTGGAAGGTGGTGGATAAATTAAGGGTTGATGGGATGTCGGACTCGCTTTTTGATGCAAAATAAAAAGGTGGAGAGGAAAGGAAAGATTTGGAGCAATGGCGACTCACGCACGCACTGACTGGCATGGGCAGCAATCACGCGCGCCTTGGCCTTGGCGACTTATGTCAGCCGAGGTATCATAAGGTAGGCACTAGAGGAGTAATGCGACCTAGGGTTAGGGTTAGGGTTAGGGTTAACATGTTAGTATAAATCAACTCCTAAGAGGCAGATAGAGACGTCTATATCATATATCAGCCAACACCAGCCGGCTGGCCTATACACACGTGTGCCGGAGTGAATATCCTATAACTGCTTACATGCAATTCATGGAACCGGAGACCGGAGACCGCATCGCTATGGCAGCTATCCAGTATCTGACATCCGACCTCCCCATCATGCGGCTGAATGATAAAGTAAGGAAGCCACCATGAGGACCAGACATTCAGGATAGAGATAGAGAAATACATACCATATGGTGCTGCGCGGACTCGGCTTCACTGCACCCACAACCACACCAGCAAAAATACACCACCGACCAAATCCAACGACAAAAAACTCAAGTTCGAACCCGTCATTGACCCCGGTTCGAACCCCTGTGAAAACTCGCAACTGCCTTTAAGCTGAAGCTGGTTTTTATCAGGTTGCTTCATCTCGAAGTTATCGCTGCCCTCGCTAGTTTCTGTTTGGGTTAGACAGAAGCTGCTATGGGTGAGCACTAACGCATCACCAGGAACTGGACCATCAAGTTTGGCTTTTTGATTGAAGTTGAAGGATATTCTGCGACTTCAAACTATAACCTCGAAATTAAGTGACGGGAGGGTGCCCTGCAGTGAATGCACTTTGTGCCGGCACCCTTGGTGGCCAGAAGTTACCGACGTTGTGCTCCTATGCAGTGCTCAGAGTCCCTCACACAAGGCCACCATGTCTGTACCAACTCATGATCACAAATACCGCAATCAAGCGAACCTATCCTGTGTTTCAAACACTACATCAAACAGGCTACTGAGAGTCTACTGTTGGGAGTAGGCCGGATCAGCAGAGCAACCAAGTTTGGGAACTGCCATTGCCAGCGACCCCGATGGATAGGACTAGCTCCCCAATCAATCATATTCTGCTAGCTCTACTTCATAATCGCAGTTGCCAGCGTCAACATCATGCCCAGGCTGTCGGCGTCCGCGTTCCAGAGATCAAGCTTGTGCATGAACTGGGTGTAATTCGTTGGCTTCTGAGCTTCGACCAGTTCTCCGAAGGTGCGCAGCCGAGGCAACTCTGGCGTCGTGTAGGTGCAGTCGTACTCAGCCTTCCATGCCTCTGCAGAGGCGGCCTCCCACAGCGACCGAGGGGCGGGTAAAGGAAGCGACAGGTATGCATCGACGTAAGGGCATCCAATGCCGGTTCTCATGCTGATCAACCGAGTGAGCAGAAACCAGACGGACAGGTATCTAGAAGACATGGTCAGTTCACCGTCGACATCTCAGCCTCACGCTGTGTGGTACCTTCGCTGCGATTCTACAAATATCCAGTCTTTCCACATTTGGTTGGGCCGGTCATGTTCGCTGACTCCGAACTCTCCATCCAGAGAGTTAATGAGACGGTCAGATATGCGCTACTCGGTCAGCTCCTGAATGTCGGTCAAGGGAATGCTGAACTTGGACAGGTCATACGTAACACCACAACATGGTTTCCAGATCTTTCTCCGCATGCTCCGGGCTGTAGTCGACCATGCGCATGATGACGTAAATGTTACAAGCCTGGAGTGATGCCAGGAGATCCTCAGGGGTGTAACTCGCAGCCTGGGGTGGAAGGCATCTGTCAGCGGCATCATGGGCATGTGGGCTCGAACGCAAATGCACGAGGGCTCTGTGTACTACCTTATCTGCCAGCTTCCTTTGCTCTGACCAGATCGTCTCCCAGACAAATTCCCGGGTTTCTGATGTGCGCCAGACAAACATGCGCGCGATGCTCATGCAGTTGGCCAGTGGCTCGGGGAAGGCCAGTCCTGAATCAGTTGACCCTAAACTGTGATGAATGAAGGGCGGCAGGGTGTCCTTGCGCGTCATCATGTTTGGAAACGGTCGAATCATCTGCAGAATGTAGGTCGCATTCTGCTGGGCGACAGGACTGCTCATCGGCAAGCGTACGTGAAAGGTCATGTTTGGCAGCGAACGCTCCTTCGTACGAGTATCCAATGAGACGGTCTGGGCCCGATCTACCTCTGCCGCTGCACCGACCGTGAACGTCGTAGGGACCATATCAACGGAAGCCCGGTAGGTCCCGGGTACAGCAAGAAGTGAGTCTGATAACGACAAAGTGGTCGCCGTGGCCAGGAAGGGTTCTGCCGACATGTCCCATGGCATTTGAGACTCTGGCAGGTCGAGAGTGGGAGGGAAGTCAATGGAACCATAACCAGGCTGGGTATCATCTCTGTGGTAGGACATCGACGCCGCGGCTTGGACGGTATCTCCCAAACGGTCATCAGACTGATACTGATTCTGATTCACCGGGACCGGCGGGGAGTAGACGCATTCAAGTCCCTTACGGAGGCATCGCGAGCAGCGAGGCAGCCGGTTGCACCTGACCTTGGCCTCACTGCAAGCACAACAAGGGCGAACACGGAGTCGAGGTCGATCTCTTGTTCGACGACAGTATTCAAAGTGCCGGTTGCACGCCAACTCTGCCAGCGCTCGTCAACAAGGCGGATCTAGGTAGGCGGGTTGGAGGGAGAGGATAAAATAACAAATAACGCACCTTGGTTGAATGGCTTATTGCAGATTGAACAGTGGTACATGTTATATAGCCTGAGGGGGCCGGACCTGCGAACGTCGAACGTCGAACGTCAAGCAGCAAGGACAAACCTAAACCCACGTCTCGCCGGACATGCAAAGAATCGAGTAGTGTTTCTACTATCAGTCTCATCTCGCCACTGTCGACTATCGACGGCGTGCTGACTAAAATACTGGACGTGGGCACGGACAGGGACAGGGACAGGGACCGTGGAGGTTGAATTTATCGGGATTGATCCACCGGGCCGACAGTCCTGATTCATCCCTTTGTGGCTGTGCGCGACCCACGGGCAATGTATCTACTCCGTACTACTTCGTACTCCGTATACCGCTGAAGCCCCGTCCTCTGTCCTTTCGCCTGCGTCATGCCTCTATCTGCAATATGGATATGACATTGAAGGCATCTGTCGTTGTGTTGCACAGTGTATTCTTGTCGTGGATTTGCCATCTGCCATCCCATCTCATTGCACAGCACCTGGGACCGCGGTACCTGGCCGAGGGCAGCCACCACTTCGAAGACTCATGCCGCCTTGACCTCCAGCAGCATCTTGCCCATATTCTTTCCCGCCACCATGTCCGCCAGTGCAGTCGGTGCCAACTCCAACCCGCCTCGCACCACGGTCTCGACGCGGCGCAGCCGGCCTTCCTGCGCCCACTTGATTAGATCGGCACGAGCGATGTCGGCTTCTGAAATGTAATCGAGGACGCTGAACCCTTGCATGGTGATCGACTTCAAGGCGAGCTTGAGGGTATCCTGATGACGGTTGCATTAGCGGGTGCTGGTGTTTGGACGAGAAGAAGGGTACGCAAAACGCAAGCTATGTTCGGGATAACCTACGTCGATGCTACCGTTGCTATCGGCCTGGTTGTAGGTGCTCACCGCGCCGCAGATGACGATGCGGGAGAACCTGTTTGCCTTGTCGATGGCCATCTGCAGGATCTTGCCACCCACTTGAAAGGGGGTGTATGTCAGTCACTCGTCTGCTAGCACCTCGTACAGCCCGGCATATCTAGGGGAAAGAGACAGAACGCACCATTGTCAAAGTACACGTCAATGCCAGTGTCGACGGCTTCGGCAAACCTGGCCTCAAAATCCGGCGCTTTGTAGTCCAAGGCGGCGTCCAGGCCTAGATCCTCCAGAAGAAAGCGACACTTGTCTTTGCCCCCAGCAATGCCCACCACCTTGGCGCCGTAGATTTTGGCGATCTGGGCGGCGACGTTGCCGACGGCGCCAGCTGCGGTGCTGACCAGGACTGTTTCTCCCTTTTTGGGCCGGCCGATCCGGAGCATGCCAAAGTAGGCCGACAGGCCTGTGAGTCCGAGCTGGCCCAGAGCATCGCTGACCTTGGCGCCCTCCGGCACAGGGGCCTTGTCAACCTTGTCGGCGTCGACGATGGCGTAGTTGACCCAGCCGACCCACGAAGTGACCAGGTCACCAGCCTGGTAGTCGGGTGACCGCGACGCAATGACCCGGCTCAGCGTCGGGCTGAGCATTCGGCCGCCGATGTGGAGGTCCAGAGGGGGCGAGGGCTCGCTCAGCCATCTGCGCATGACCGGGTCGAGGGACACGTACAGCGTTTCCACCAGGAGTTGGCCGTCCTGCAGGTCGGACGACGACGGGGTCGGGATCACCCGCCGTGCAAATGTCTTGTCGGGCACGATCTCTTTCTCGGGCCGGCTGGCCCAGAAGATCTCCACGTTTTCCGACGACATGTTGTGTAGGTGTGTAGGTATGGACGTGTGGACGTATGGATGAATGGAACTGAACGATAAAACTCGACGTCGATAGACACTAGACTCTAGACTCAAGACTCAAGATCGGGCTGGGGATGTAAGTCGCGATCTCACTGCGTGTTGACCTGAAATCAGAACTTGAACCTGGCTCGACAGTCCTCCTCAGCTGCGTCGGGTTCGGGCCCCTCCCATCTTTATAGACGGCAGTTCAGTCCCTTCCGACCTGTCCGACAGTGTTTCTAGTATGCATGGACTACGGAGGCACCTATCCGCTCAATCGTAGATCATCTCATCATCATCAGTGCGGGTATGTCAGCATGTGGTACTCGAGAGCCGGATACCCTCTCATCTCGCCCAAAGTGGCCGAGAGGAGAATTGTTCTAGATCGCAGCCTCGCCCAATTTCGGCGAAAGCATCGCTGATTGGCTGCCAAGATGGGGACGTCTGTCGCCCTTGTTGCAGATCGGATCGCCTCATCACCACCACCATCATCACTACTACTACCACCACCTGTTAGATGCCTGTATGCAGTTGCCGTAATATAAAATCAGCCCTTCTCCTTGGTGTCTGTGTATCGTCTAGGTCTAGGTCTAGGGATTGTAATTCGGTCCACATCATACCCGAAAACGAGATGGAGATGAGCCACAAAAGGCGAATCATTCGTGAGTATGCGTACTAAGCAGGATGTATGTACATTCATGAGTATCCATCCGTACTAAGCAGGATGTACATTCATGAGTGTCCATGCGTACTAAGCAGTATATACGGAGTACGGATACTGTATGTGCAACCATGCATGTCCTGACATGCCCCTTGTCTCCGCCGGGCCCCTGTCACCTTGCGCTGTATCCTTCGGCTTCCTCTGCATGGCGATCCCAATTGGCGGGTCTTGCACATATCCTTCGTACCTCAAGGTTCTCTCTATGTGGCTCTTCTCTCTGTATAAAGACTTGCTTGAGGCGCGTCTAAAGCACGATCGACCTGACGTCGTGCAACACTCAAGATCAGTACCGCCGCATGGCTTCACCAAAGAGCCGAACCTGTCGATCATGAAAATAGACTGTTGCAATGTTTTGTCCATACCCTGCCTTTCGTCCGTGCCTAGCACGTCATAACGGCCCATCATCCTGTTCGTCCTTCAACTCACCGCCAATATGCAACGGCATAATGCCCCAATTGGCCAATCGGCTTGCTATATGTAAACTGTGAGGAGCCGGGTAGGAGCTCCCCCCTCCCGTTGCCGATTAAGATGTCACATATGGACAGTTCGCGGTCAATTCGATCGGCCCCAGGCTGTACGACCAGGCAGATTATGTGTTTGAGATGTCGGAGTTGAGATGAAGGTCGATGGGCGTTCCTGCACAGACATCGGCTTCGGAGAGGCAAATGACGGACACGCGTCTCCATTTTGCGCTTGCTGGCAAAGATCGGATGAGTGGTGATGAACTCCAGGTGTGCACCAATTGCAGGAGTGCAATTTGGACTGCGCTGGCAAACTCATAAGGGGGTTGGAGTAGGGAAACTGTCGCTGAACTGAAGACAGTCGTCGTATGCACCTCCCCAAGGCAAAGTACATTTTGCGGAACTGGGGCGATCCTCGAACACCATGCTGGAGCAGACTTGTGGAGTTCTTCTGATAGACGTTCAGGATTGTTGCGTTCCATCACTCCAAGAGATCTCCTCCGGGGTTCATACCCATCAACAGGCTAACCTCGAGCTGGCTGTACTACTGGCCTCCCGTGGAAATGTGTTGAAAGCTGATACGATAAAAACTCCCCGCCTTTCAATAGAATCCTGGGCTCCCGGACGTATACGATTCTGGCGTGGAGGCTGCTGTGCCTTGCGTCTTGTCCAGAGAAGTGTTGACGGGATCAGCATCTTCCTGCTCCCGGAGTATTCGTTCCTTCTCTTCACGGCGCTTCCTTGCGTTGTTCTGCCATATTCTATCTTCTTCCTGCAATTCTCGCAGTGCTTCTTCCCACTCCTGCTCTTGGATTTCATCCCCAGTCCCCAGCACTTTCTCCACGTCCACCTCTTCTCCGCGTTGCAGTTTCTGAACCACCTCCCTCAGCTTCTCCAATTTGATGTCCGCTTGGCGGGTAAAGTTGGCAAAGTCATTTTTGAGCCCCATGATGCGGATAGCCTGAGATCCTATCAGAAGGTAAATCCATATGAAATAGCTCGCCGGGTTTGAGGGCTTTTTCTTCTTCGACGAGTCCGATGCAGAGAATCTACTGCGGAGGCTTCGGGGAACAATCGAATGCCAGATGGATGGCTGAGCGAGCCGAGGTAAGCGACTTGTTTGGGAGGAGTTGTGCTGATGTCGTCGTGGCAGGTATGGCCTGGCGGAGACCTGGAAATTCCATACTCTGACGGCCGGCTTTCGTGAAGTACAAGCATGTAGTATATGACCCGAGCGCGGCGGCTTCATGTTGCACGGCGGGAGGTGTGTCAACAGGGTCTAGAAAACATCAAGGATACAGCAGACGAGGTCGTTAGCAAGCTTGGGGACCTGGGTCAATGGCACTCTTTTCAAAATAAATTCATGCCTCAAACGGGCTGCGGCATCAGCGACGCCGCCTTGTTCTAATATCCTTCTCTAACCTGATAAGGCGGCATAATCCGGTGCCGCTTTTATGCTTCCCGGCTAACCATCCCTCATTAAGAAGCGAGAGACGAGGCTGAGATGCAGCCTGAGTGGATCTCGAACCATGCTTGGCACTGCGGGAGCGTTTCCGTGTTGATTTCATGGCCGATTCGGGAAAAACGCGCTCTCTCATTGTCAAGCGTCAAGCCAGACGAACAGCGTTGTACGTCCAAGGCTGACAGGCCATCATCCTACGACATGCGTAGCGCGATCATCTTTTCTTGAATATGGCGGGAGCTAAGAGTTGCTCTGCCCCGTTGACGGTGGACAATATCCGTACCGAACTCAACTTGCCTGCGCCCACACCACACACTCTCAGGTTCCTGCGCACAATCCTCGGGCTTGACGTATGGGAGAAACATGGCACGGTCCCTGCCGCGACAAAAGAGGTCTCAAAGAGACCGACGAGAGCTCGGAATCCTGCGCCGGCTGCCTCCAAAAGGTGTCGCAATGCACCACCGAAGGTTCCAATCCACGAAAGCTCCGACGGAAAAGGTCCACGACTGTCGTCGGCAGACCGCCGCAAGATCGCAACCGAGGTTTTCAATTCTACACTGAAACAACTTGGTCAAGCCGCTAAGGCCGAGCAAGTTGCTTCAAGATCCAGGATCACAAAGACCACGCCACTCCGACTACCCAGTGTCCAACGAGCCCTTCAGGAACGATCCCCTAACAGGGAAGGCAAAAAGCATGCTATACCTCAGAAGAAGGCCGCAGTACAAAGTGAAAGTCTTGATTGGAGAGTGGTGGCGGATATGTCGCATTCTGCGTTGCATTATCTGAGGGGATGTGAGGACACAGATCACGTACAGGGCAAAACACACGAAACGGGATTGGAAAATGCCTCTTTGATATTGCTCGACAGGACTATTACACTGGGTCTGGTGGCCCAGGCACAATGTCAGCTCTACGAGGTATACCACAGGTACCTGGAAGAGAAGACGACGCAAGTACATTCTACCGTAGGCGAAGCAAATATCGCCAGACACTTGCTTGCTCGAGCAGATGCTGTGGATCAAGCTTCGACCTTTGGATTCACAACATCAATGCAAAGCCAGGGACTTCGTTTAGCTCTCCTGTTGGGTCCAAAAGCGATCACCAAAGAACTCGTCCATGCACTTCAATTGGAGACTGTCGGAAGCCCGGCGTGGATGAGTATGCAAGGCTTTCAGAAAGGACTGCACAGCTCTGAGCAAGCAGGTCTGCAACTTCGGACTATTTCGCTAGCCCTTTCCAAACTGTACACCCTGGGGCTAAAACCAGACGGCCATGCGGTGTCTCAGGAGGATCTTTTCGACCTATTCTGTCTTGCTCTTCGACTGAAATTCGAGTCGTGGACACGCCTGGGCCATTCGCCCGACCCGGAATCGGAAGTCTGGCGACATTTCCATCTCGCGGTCAAAAGGCTATTTGCAGCTAAGACCAGCTCGCAGACAGCTATAACCTCCGTCGTTCGGTACTTGCGGTCATTCCAGAGGCTCCTCAAGCTTGCGGGATGCGACGATTCGATTCCTCATGGACTGGCTGAGAGTCTTTTACAGCCCACTCCAAGCATTCATCCGCAGCCGGAGATTCTGACACTCGCAGAAGAGCAAATCGCCAGCACGGACGCTGTCACATCCCTCATTTTTTGCTGCTACTCGTCTGCCTCACGGTTGAAGTTCTTTCCGCAGGACTCAGAGGCTGCCTTGCGCGCGATCGAGCGGACCACTGCTGCATTCATCCAAACACGATTCCCGACAGCTGCACATCTTCAAAGGCTTCTTATTTATACCGCTTATCTTCGCAAAGCAGCCCTCGAGGTCATGATGGTCGTTGAGAGAAAGCGAAAAGAACCTGGTGAGGACCCGGCCACAGCAAATCTCCAGAGGGCAATCGTCAACTTAATGTACACCTCTTCCGGGGTTCTCTGTCGGCAAATACAAGCAACCGTTTCGGACATAGAACCCGGTCCAGGTAAAGCACGACCGGAGGTATTTTTGACCACGCTCATCAAGAACATCGAGGCTGTCCTGTCGACAGAGAAATGTTCTGTGACCCGAACGCCAGAAATGGAAGAGTTGGCGTGTGATAGTCTTCGCTCATGCTCTGCTGTGATTGATTTCCTTCTCGCAGATTCCTCCGGCTTGCTCTCGACCAGCACTCTCAGTGCGGCTGTCGGTCAACTGAAGGTGCGACTTTCCAATGTGTTCTGGGTCCGGTTCCTCGAACTGGTTCAACAACGAAGGAAGTTATCCGAACAAGCGGCAACGTTAGAACTATCAGTCAAAGGAATCCCAGGACTGCCATTCGTCGACCAGAAGGCAGCATACCTAGGTCTCAAATACGAAAAGCTGACCACGTGCTATCTGGAGATGGGCGATCATGCTATGGCCAAGTCTATGCTTCAAAAAGCGATCGACTTCAACATCAAGGAGGGTACGCTCAGCGAAGTGGTTGAGCTACTTTTGAACGGCCGGTTCGACTCGGCATGGTCTCAGCCAAACTCGAACTGCAAGTCCTTAGCAAGGAATCTCGTTACGCATGCCCGATTGACGCTCAACAGCTCTGTGCCTGCAGGGAGCCACGATCTGTTCTACGACAACCCATCACTACCTCCGATACACCGTGCTGTGCTGCTTGAGAAGCAAATATACGCCGTGGCTGAAAAAGACTTGCCTGACCATCAATTGTCTTTTTGGAAAGCACAGGTGGAATTCGTTTTCCAACTCTTAGGCGAGCCCCAGTATCATGTCTACAAGTTGAAATTTGCCAACAGCTTGATGCACTCTGCGCTGAGAAAGAGGACACCAGTCTTGGATTTCTTGGCTGATGCTGCTCACGTTTGGCTGAGGCCGGACTCGGACCAGAAGATAGGAGGAAACACCTTCCTCCGCGCATTTGAGCCCGGTTGTCGCTCGCTGTTTACGCTACAATTCGGCTTTCTCACAGGCCGGATCACAAAACATGCTCTGCAAGAGAATGTCAAGCGTCTTTCTGACATCATTCGACCATGCAGGACCAAGGCGGATGTGGAACAGGTTCTTGCCGATATCGAGAACACCATCCTTCCGTTACAGCTTAGCGTTGAGTACGCCGACATATTCGACGATTCTGACATTGCTCTCATGGCGTTGAAGGCACTCTATCACGTTATGGAACTCGGGCTGCAATCTGCCGAGCTATCGAAGGCGAATCTACTCCTACGGATTGGGAGGGCTCACCAGTCTCTTCAGGACATTTGCTCGGCCGAGAAAGCCTTCTTCGCAGCCGAGAAGATGCTAGGCCTTGAAGAGGCCCATGGTCTCTCCGAAGTGGAATTCGCCTTAGACTATTCAGAACATTTTATTGACATTGACAACGTCGAATTGTGTTTGAATTGGTTGGATCGTGCACGCCACGCGTGGGACAATCGGGACAGGGCCGACGCGTCGCCCTCCAATAAGTCCCGGCTAAGGGAACAGACTGCTCTCTGCAAGGCTGCCTATCTAGTATCTCGATTAGCTTTTAACCGAGGCCAGCTGTCGGAGGCCACGACGTGTGGAAGACAGGCTGCCAAGATTGCTGGAGGCATCTGGCTTTCGATTGAAAAAGCGTGGACGTCTGACGCGCCGTCATCTCAAAGGATCTCGGCAGATGGAGATTTGGAGAGCCTCAGCCTGGGTCTCTCAAAGCTCAACCTCTCCTCCCAACACAGTCCATGGTTAAGAGCAAATGCAGTTGGGTCTTGGCCGCAAATCAGGCTGTACTGCTCGGTGTTCAGCAACCTGGCAGCTCTGAACGCACATTGTGGCCTCTATCAGGGGGCAGCGTGGTTGTACGAAGAAGCACTCAAGGTCGCCAGAAAAGCAGGGCGGTCGGTCCTTGAGGCCAGCCTCCTCAGTAATGTTGCTCTACTGCATGCCCGTGCTGGTCAGAATGAGAAGGCTCAAAAAGGCCTTGATGATCTGTCGGCGGGTGGGCATGAGAACATTCCTCGGCTGAATCAAGCTCTCATCTGCATCAATCAAGCCGACACTCACCTTCTACTTGGAGATCCCTCTTCGGCAGAACGATGCTTTGTCGAAGCTCGGCAGCACTTGAACGCCGAAGCCATTCGTTCGAACTGCACGCAGGCCGGTGAAGTCGCCAAAAAGAAGCCTTCCAAAACGGCAGTGAGACCTCCTGCTAGGAAAACGACCGTCAAGCCGAGGAGTAAAACAGCTCCCGCTATCGCCAAATCAACGGAAAGTAAAGCAGGCTCTTCGATACTGAGTTCGGAGCTTCGAACATTGCACGAAAGTCTGGCTGCTCTGCAAGCCAAGTTGCAATTGTTCAAATGCCCCCGTGCCAGCGGGTTTGAGACGGGGCCCGGCTCCATGGCCGACGGTGACCTCGTGAACCCACGCAAGTCAATGACGGACGCTCTCGGGCTCGTACAAACGGCATTGAAGCTGTTTTCCGAGGACGCAGAGAACAACGTCCTCGCAGAAACCGCAATGGCACTTCCGGTGAGATATAGGTCTGCAAGAAAAAGCGGTAGAGTGTCATTCGTCCCTGAAGGCGCTTTACTTGTACGAATGGCTAAGCCCACGGAGCTGAGCAAGAAACCGAGGCAAAAGGGTGCGGATCAAGTGAAGATCAAAGACGGCAAAGCACTCCTCTTGGAGGCCTATCATATCTTGTCGACAGTGAACGACTGTCCGCAAGGTCGGATCTCTTCCGACATTATTCACACGGTACACAAGATTATGACGCAAATCAGTCTACTATCCACAGCTTTGGGACAACCATTTGTGACGTCCTCTTTGGAACTGGTGCTTGACAAGCTGTGTCCGATGGATCTGGCACGAGCCCGAGAACGGCTCGTCACCTTGAGCGAGCAAGCTACAGCTGAGATGAGCGACATACAATCTTGGCCACGCCTCCAAGGGGATGATGTGTCTCAAGCTAGTGAGGACGTTGACATGGATCTAGATCTACTGCCTGCCTCTTGGGCGATTGTCGCCTTTGGCCTTAACGAAGACCGGAGCGAGTTGCTTGTTTCCCGTTTGAGTACAGGGAGGTCGCCATTCATCGTCAGAATACCTCTGACCAGACCAGACTCGTCGGACGCCGAAACGGAAGACCTTGATTTCGACAGTGCAAAAGGGGAGCTCCTGCAGATCATTGCGAAGGCCAATTCAAGTGCTCACGACTCGAGAGGGAGCTCGGCTGACAAGTCTGTAAGGAGATCCTGGTATGATGAACGGAAGGCGTTGGATCAACAGCTTGCAACCCTGTTGGACAATATTGAGAATGTCTGGTTTGGAGGGTTTCGGGGGCTGCTCGCCGCACCCGACACCGACGAGGCTGCGCTTCTGAAGTTCGGACAGAGCTTTGCAAGAACACTCAACAGGCATCTTCCCTCCCGCCAGAAGTCGTCGAAAGCGGCAGGACCCAAAGTCGAGCTCCACAGTCATGTACTCGAGCTGTTTGTGACTCTGGGACACCCCCGACAAGCGGAGCTCGAGGACGCTATCACGGATCTACTCTACTTTGTCACCGACATTTTGCAGTTCAATGGCGAGCGGAACGCATACGACGAAATCGACTTCGACGCCATGGTGGTCGAGGTCTTGGATGCCTTGCACGCATACCACGACGAAAAGTCCAGACGCACGAAGAGCACGCAAAGTTCACATGTGATTTTGGTCCTGGATAAGGAATTGCAGGCCTTCCCGTGGGAGTCTCTGTCATGCCTCAAGGGCCAAGCGGTGTCGAGAATGCCATCACTAGGTGCGGTTTGGGAAAGGTTGCAGGCGATCCGCCAACAAGCTACCCAGAGCGACGGCTATGTGGTTCCTGTGACTGGAGGGACGTATATTCTCAACCCGGCCTCCGACTTGACATCGACGCAAGAGATGTTCGGGGAAGTATTTGGGAGCCAGCTATCTCAGTTCAAGGCCATTGTCAACCGAGCACCACAAGAGAAAGAGTTCGAAGATGCTTTACACGGCGGCCCATTAATGCTCTACTTCGGCCACGGTGGCGGTGCCCAGTACATCCGAGGCGGCAGGATCCGCAGGTTGGACAAATGTGCAGTGACACTGCTCATGGGTTGCAGCAGTGCCAAACTGACCGAGTGTGGAGTGTACGAGCCGTACGGGATGCCTTGGAATTATCTCAACGGCGGCAGTCCTGCTGTGGTGGGCAATCTTTGGGACGTGACAGATCGTGACATTGACCGGTTTGCCATGAAATTGATGAGCGAGTGGGGGCTAGTCGAAGTGAAGGACGAGCCAAAGACAGCGAACAAAGAAGGCAGAGGAAAGGCAGAAAGGGAAAGGGAAAAACAAAGCGTCAAGAAGCGTGGATTGGTGTCTCTGGATCAGGCTCTAGCCGGAGCGCGAGACGAGTGCTTGTTGAAGTACTTGAACGGCGCGGCGCCTGTGATGTACGGTGTCCCGGTGTTTTTGGAGTAGGTCGAGAATCAGACTAGGAGGTGTACGGAGTATTGGTATAGATGGCCTCACGGAGGCTTTCTGGAATGAAGAAATAATAGCACTGCCCTGAGTAAGGCTGTTACCATGAAGCTGGGGTGGTTGACAGCGCAGGCAAAAGAGGCGCAGGCAGAAAGAAGCCTTAGGGCCCTTAGGCCTACTACTCGTACGGAGTAGACGCCCACAAATGAGGGGAAGCTCCGGCACGTGACTTGGGTCGCTCTCCGGGGTCCTGCGCCCGCTGCACTACGTAAGACTCGGCGACCTCTCAGCACTCAGGCAACCGTCTGGTGACATCTGACATCCGTCTCAGCCTGACCAGCAACAGCAACAGCAACGTCTCTGGCCCATCTCGACCTTCTTAAAGATCAATCAGATTACACTTCGCATCCATCCCTCTCTCCTGTGCCAGCATTTCCGTCCCATGCAATTAGACTCTCACCGCCGTCAGTCGAACATCACCATGCCGTGCTCCTGGTCGCGACGCTGCCGAGCCGCAGACAATGGCCTTCCATCGCCGTCGTCGAGCCCCGATGTCGAGAGCTGGGGCCAAATCCGCCGGCATCACCTCCGCATGATGCGAAAGCAGGTCCGCAGCATCGTTCTGCTGATGGCATTGATTGAAGCCATCCGTGTCGGCCCGGTCCAGATGGTGTATGCTGGTCGTCAAGGATATGCTGCTCCCGGCCCGGAAGATTTTGGAGTACGTTCAGCCTCAGATCCACGAGTCTTGAGGAGTCGACCAAGATACAGACTGACAGCGCACAGATTGCATATAGCGTCGGATACTTTCTCAGTTGGCTCTACCTGTGCGTCTTCATGGTTGTCTTCGTGCCCCTTTTCAGCGTAAGTCATGTCCAACTCGCTGTCAACGAGACCAGCCTGTCCAATCCACCTCCGAGAGTACTATCGGCTAACTCGATCCTAGTGGTGGGTGCCTGTGACCTCGTCTGAATCCAAGAAGACCGAGAAAATCGTCGAGATCCTGCAGAAGATCAACATGGTCCTCCTCCCTCTGAGCATTGGCATCAGCCTCGTGACCTACATCTACTACACCATCCAGACCTTGATCTACGTGGATTCTCGCACGATCGGGTCAAAGAGCTTCCCCAAGAACACTCGGCAAAACTGGTTGGTGCGTTTGTTCTTGCTCGGAGGCATTTTGGTTTCGACCTCTTTCGGCTACGGTGCTTTCCAGATCCTGGCGGATATGGACCTGGCCCATGTAAAGACGCTGGAATATTCTATCATTGTCGTTCCCGTTCAGATCAACATTGGTCTCTTGTGGGGTACGCTGATGCAATACAAAATGGAGAAGCGTATCGCGAGGAACGAGGCAGCCAAGGCTCAAAAGGTCGGTGTCGAGGTTGGCACAGTCGACGAGAAAGCCGCTCTACTGGAGGTGTAGAGTGTTGTCTGAGCAGCGTCGTTGAAACCGCGTGTGAGTCTTTCCCGCGGGTCAGGTTTCCCGACCGCGAAAGAGAACTAGTGAAGTTTGCGAGCATGTGCTGGCTCGAAGTTTTCGACACATGGAGGCGCGACGATGTACTTTATACGCCAAAGGAGGATCTACCTACTCAATCTGGAGGGAAGGCGCCGAGAGCGATGGTCGTGTTGTGATGTATCTTGGATCGACAAGGGAGATGGAGATGGAGGTGTGGCGATGGCCATGGTTGTGGCTAGGTGCTCGTACTCGTGCTTGTGCTCGATCTCTCATTAAGAGGTGGACTTGGACTTGGATTAGGTATTTGATTGCGGAATTGGAAACGACCCCCCGTTTATATGAAATTGAAATGACTTTCTTCCAAGTCAGCGGCCTCTAAGGTCCATTACGAGGTGGACTTGGACTTAGAGTTGGATTATTTAATTGCAGAATTGGAAACGACCCCCCATTTATATGAAATTGAAATCGAAATTGAAATGACTTTCTTCCAAGTTTAGTAGCGGTCTCTAAGGTCCAAAGCCGAAACTCGGTTGTAGGTGCATGGGATCGATTGATTAGAAGGCATACAACATAGTCCGGACGACACATGATCGACCTGAGCTGTGATCTGTGAGCTGTGATGTGTGAGCTGTGATACAACTGCCTTGCAGGTAGGTACAGTAGGTAGGTAGGTAGGTACCGCTAGGCACCTCACGTTAGCGTTAGCGTTAGCAATATAGATGTAGATGTACTCCGTACCTGTAGATGTATTATTCCGTGTAAACTGCTTGGGTGTCTGTACCATTATTCCGTGTAAACTGCTTGGGTGTCTGTTGTCTGTACCTAAATACGCTATAGACCAGCAATATGTAGAGATACATACTGTACTGTACGGAGTACTGTACCTAAGATAGGTAGGGAGATATATATGGAGATATGTACCTGACTTTGACTCCCGCCCGATTGGGTCCACATGCACATACAGACCTATACAGACCTATACAACTGAACTTAATTCTCATCATGATCTCAGACGCCAGCGCCATTCTCCATTCTCCATTCTCCATTTCTCCATTTCCAATTCTCCAATTCTTCCCATGTTCCCCTTGCCGTCCAGTCCAAGCTGCCCGGCAGTATGGAAATTCGTAGCTGGTGCGTGATGGCGATGGCGACGGTGATCGTCCAAGCTGCCCCGTATCTGATCGTAGCTCGTGCGTGATGGCGACGGTGACGGTGACTGACTGTGACGGTGACTGTGCATGGCGTACAGAAGAAAAGATAGATATAAATAAACAATCAGATATTGCATGTTGCGCCGCTGCAGGGCTATCGTCTGGTGTAAGGAGGTAACAATCAGATGTTGCGGCGCTGCAAGGCTATCGTCGATGCTGTAAGGAGGTGAAGGTTGGCTGGGCTGCCTCGAGGAACGGAAGAAAGAAAAGAGAGGAAAAGGGAAAAGAAGCCGAATTGACCTGACCTGACCAGAGCATGCATGAGAAGCGCTTCTCTAGGTCTGTCTCATTCAGCTTTGTCCCAGCTCTATTTTTCATGACTCATGACCCATCTCATCTCTCTGGCTCGTGTCACCTCACCTCATCTCTCGGGTTCGTGTCACCTCATCTCTCGAGGTCCTCGGGGCCTTTCACCACCACTCTCACCATCACTCTGACCTCCGTCCCCGCCACGGTTCCACTTCCGCTTCTGCTTCTGCATCTCGCGCTCCTGGATCCTTTCGAGCTCGCGCTCGTGTTCACGCTGTTTGCGCCGCGCGCGTTCTAGGTCGCGCCGTGCCTGTTCGCGGGTATATTTGTCCGTCCCGACGACCTCTACACTCGCACTCGGACTCGGGGTCATGGTTGTGTGGGAGGCAATGCCTGACCTCGGAGTCGGAGTCGAAGTCGGATTCGAGGTCTGGTTAGACTTCGACTTCGACTTCCCACTTGACCTGAGGTCTACGCCCAGGCCTACCCCAAGACCGAGACCGAGACCGAGACCGGAGCCAGCGTCTGGACGAGCAGAACCAGGACGACTCGTCGGAGCCGGAGCCGGTCTCGGACCAAATTTAGAAGGAGACGCTTGTTTGGAGCCTGAAGGTGAGGCCGAAGACGAAGCAAAGCCCTGGTTCGAATCATGTATCATCCCTAAGGTGTTTCGGTCGTGGGATGTGACAGCTGCCGCTATCTTTGATATTGCCATCGATTTCACCTTTGCCAGGGGCGAGGTCGGCCTCGACGCTGCTGTCGGAGATAGCGTCGACTGTGGCGCTGACGCTAATGCTGACGCAGACACTGACGCAGACACTGACGCCGAATCTGACGACGTAGATTCTAGCGCCTGTGGCCCACCGAGGATCTCGTAGCTGTACGTTTTGCTAGTGTAGCTGGCACGACCGTCCCATTCTGGGTCCCATGGCATGAGATGGCTACTGCTGCGGTTGCTGCTAACTGTGGTGATGGAGGTGCTGGTGTATGTCGAGCTGGGCGATCCAGGCGGTTGAGGACGTGAATATTGCTGCGGTGGGATGACGATTGTCGGCTCGCGATTGAGGTGGCTGCTGGAGGTTCGAGAGAGGGCGAGGTCATTATCATGCTGATCCTCGTCCTGGCTCTGATGACGGTCACGTTCTGCTCCGTCTTGATATCCATCCTCGGAATCCGGAGTATTGGAGGCGCTGGATTCAGGAATACAAGCTAGAGGAACCACAGGGCAAGATTGGCCCATGCGTTTGGATTTGCTGCGTTTGTGGCTTCTCGTCACCACCGGCGGTGGCGGCGCCAGCGCCGGAGCAGGGCTTGGAGGCTCGATCTGCTTTTGTAGTGTAGGCGGACGCGGACCTAGCGGGCGCCCAGCCGGTGAGGGGGCCGTGAGCAGTTGTGGGAGTGGTAAAGGTCTCGCGGTGTCTGGCGTGCTGTCTGCAGGCTCGGAGTCGGGTTCGTCTGTTGGCTCGTCCAATTCGGTGACGGTCGAGATCGTTGGGGAACTGCTTTTCCAGTGGGTAGGCGCAAAGACATGCGCATCGGTGGTGCTGCCTGGAGCGGCCTGGTCATGTGTACCGATTACGCTGTGAGGCTTCGAAGCGTCGACACCGGCAATCTCCCTCGCACCGGCGCCGGGTTGCGTGGGTTGAGATATCGGTGGGATCTCAACATCGCTTTGAAGGCTGCTGCTTCGAGACAGGTCATCGTCGAGACACTTTACGCTCGGGTCAGGATATTTCGGTCGCGTGGTCAGACCGATACTGGTGGGGGATTCTGACGACGCCTCGTGAGCCGTCAGCCGTTGATGTCGAGCCAGGATGCGCGGCCAGAGTTGGGTTACTGGGTGTCGGAGAGACGGCAGACAGGCACAGATGATTCCAATGTTCACCTCCACGGCCGACCAGATTGCGATGGCCGGGTCGTTTTGGTTGTTTACTGTCGCACTGTACACCGCAAATAGCCGGACAATGGATGCTATGCAGACACTATGATAGAGTCCATTAGTATGAGGCCTTTTCAAGGTAGCTGGTGGTATGAATGGGGCGCAACTTACAATGCGCCGAGCAGAAATATACAAGCCAAAATGCCCAGCTGCTTTCTAGGCAATCGCAAAGCCCTCAGGACCGGAGTTGGTAACACACAGACGATGATGTCGGTGGCCGAGTTGAAGGAGGCATTGAACAACCAGAATGTGAGGAAATCTATGCACTTGCCGCCCGGGACGTTGCTGTTCCAGCTATACGAGATGGGTTGGCATGAGAAAATGCTGACAAACAAAGCAGCCACCCCGTAGGCGGTGATGATGGTGCCCAATGCCCAGCATGCACGACGGTAACCGACATCGATGGAGAAGCGAAGGTACTGGAACAGGAGTGAGTCCTTGAGTAGGAGGACAGCGAGGTTGTAGGTGATGTTTGACGACCACAGTTGCCTCAACAGATTAGTTAGACGAACTCCGCCCTGACCCGATTGTGTTGTCACCGAACCGCCATGGTTATCTGCCATCAACCGTTAATAAGAGAGATCCGGGTGACACACGCTTCCATGTACGTACGTTCATGCGTAACCACTGCCAGGGCCATAGAGGACGCCCAGGCAAGTGCGATAAGACAATCATCTGGTCCGACATGATGGACAAAGGCGATGCGAGCCAGCAGCCGGACCAGAACACAACAACCAGAGAGCACAACTAGTGAGATTGCCGTTGCGGAGGCAGATGAGAAACCCGCCATCCTTTTGACATCGCTCCGTGGAAGTAGGAAACTGAGCGGGTGCGGTAGACCACCGCGAGCAACAGGTATGCAGCAAAATGCTCACGAGCCACTGGGAAAGGAAGGATGCTCAACTATAATCGACGAGAAGGCCTCGGCTGAACCTTGAGAGAGTATGACCAAGGACAAGGACAGAAGAGTTTGATAAAGAGAGACAGGCGTGGATGGTGTGTAGGCAGTGTGTGTGCATGCAGGGCTAGCAACAACTCGTCTCGGTCGAGCAAAAACATAAACTTGAGCCAACATGGTCCAAACAACCAGCGTGATGCTGAACCTCGACCGGATTGGGCGGGAGATGGCCAGAGTCAAGCTGACTTGGTCTTTGCGGGTGACTATAGCAATATGGCGTCGAGCGGAGCTGGGCGTCGAAAAACCCAGACTGACACACGCACAGATCAGTCCGCTCGGACGCCAGAGGAGAGCGCGGAGGACGTGACATGATAGGTAGAGGCTTCATCGTCTCGATCCAGATTGGGTAAGATTCTGAGATACGCAGAATGGGCAAGCAGTCAACTCCGCAGCGGCAAGTCATCAATCGATAGTGTTTGCTGTGGGAGTCGGTAGAGGGAAGATCGAAGATCGAAGATGGAAAGTTCAGAGAGCGAAGATGAAGCAAGGCTGCCGCAGTGGATCAAAGTAATTCCGTTCCGAAGGCTGAGTTTCGACCAATCACAGCGCCGATTTTGATCTTCAGCCTCGTGGTGCTGGGGATTGTCCAGCAGGCCATACAGAGTAGACATTCTGCCCATACAATGTTAGATAGCGCTGGTCTCCAGTGTCAAAATGCGTCCTCTCTGCAACGCAACAGGTCTAGTGTGGAAAGGTGGGCTATGGCTATTATTGCAAACCTTCTTCCCAGTCAGGCTCGGCCGTGCACAGAAAGCGATAGCAACTAATTAATTAGATCAGAACGCTCGGGGCAGGTTCTGCCACCATCGTTTCCAGAACCGTTATGCCCCCACGACAAGGTGTTACATGTGTGTGTACACCTCTCTTCTACGTGTATTCCAGCAGGAGCCAAAGCATGCTAAGCAATCCCTCCCCAGATGCAACAAAGTCCGATTTCGATTCCTGTTCTCTCCGCTCACTTGATCCTTCTGGGATTGATCACAGAAGCTCCATTCGTAAAAGACCATGGCATTGAACGTCCGTTCACTCACTGACAGTACTTTTTCTGGCCCGTACACACCAGAAAAGGGAAGCTTTTGATCTCGCCCTGACCAGGCTGTCGAGGACCCTTGGGAGCATCACCAAATTCTCCGTCATACTTTTCCACAACCTTGTCCATACTCCAAGCTCGCTCCACACGTACATTGACGAATCCCACTTCGTTCATCAACGTGTCGATTGCTTGCGCGTTGATCCCCGGTCTTTGCACACCGGCCATTTTTGCCTTTTCATGGAACCGTTTGGCTTCAGGGCCGTTGTCCTCGAAGTCGGTCAGAGCTACGCTTCCTGAATGCTTGAGACAACCGAGCATGGTAGTCAGGACGGCTCTGAGATTTGAAACATGGTGTAGAGTCAAATGTGAGATAATGAGGTCGAATTTCAATCTCGGTCCGTCAGGATTGCTTTCGTCGACTGGAGGCAGGTGCTTGTCTTCGGGGTTCTCCAGCAACACCGCTACTGGGAGGATGTTCTGGGGCGTCTGGGCTGTCTGCAGCTTCTTTTCGAGCTCCTCAATCATCCCTGGAGCTGCATCGACGGCCACGACTCGTTTCGCGTAGGGCGCTATCAGACAAGACAGTAAACCGGTGCCACATCCGATTTCGAGTACCTCTAGGCCTTTGTCGGGGGCCGGAGGATTGGTCAGAGCCGGGAATCGGGTCATGATGGCCTTTAATGCTTCTTTACTGGCTTCGTGAACGAAAGGGTTGGTCTCCCACGATGCGGCTTCAGCATTGAAGCGATCGTTGCCTGACGTTGGCTGAAGTGGTAAGGCAGCTGAAGTCATGCTCGAGATATAGGGCTATCCCTCCCTGCGTTTTTGGAACCTTCCGGGGCGAGTCTTGCTGGAGGCGAGTTGTTCGGATCAACACTGCTTGAAATACTAGAGAGACCGCGGTAGCTTATAAGGTGCTTGACAGCTGACAGACAATAAAGACGAGAACCTGGAAGCAGGCTTAAGCCTGACGTCTCCTGTCATCGATACCGTCCTAGGTCCATTTTCAGATAGTGGGGGATCCTTGTTGCGGAGAAGTAAAATACTGTTTGAGCGGGCTGGTTCAATGACGCTTACACTGATATCGGGCCCGACATCCGGAGTGCGTTGTGAAGCAATAATGATCCAGACTCGCCCGTCGTGGCATATTCAGCTGGACGAGAATGGACTGGCAGATTCTCCGTATGTCAAAGCTGATGGATTCGAGGTGAGCATTGCCATACTAGCGGTAACTCCAGTCGAGGATAAGCAAGTCCTCATAGGTCCATTTGGAAGCACGGTTTCCCACTCTGGGTAGCTCAGTCTATTGGATTGGCCGCCCCTTTCCTGTCTTATGTCTTTGAGTTGGCCCTGGGAACGATGGTAGGATGTCGGGGAATATGAAGAAGCCCAAAGTAGAGAATGGCTAGATGTCAGTGAGATATCTCATGGCTCTGCGTGGAAACGAAGATGATAAGTCAATCTTCACTTTGCTGATCGCATCGAAAGTGGATCATTCTCTATATTCGCTTCAGAAGTTCAAGTCACCACAACGTGCTTGCTCCTCATGGTTCGTGTGGGATTTAGTCGCTGTGCACAGCCTTGGTGGACACTGCACATGAAATGGTCCGCAAGAGCATGGCATTCTTGTACAGGCATGAAAGGGATCTTTGGAGAGTCTAGGAAAGTTTACTCGTTGTTGTAACAAATGATCCAATATAACCAGCCAATTGGCCAGGTATGACGGGTCTGTCCACTTATGAATTTCCAGCCTGCCAGTTTCTCAGTGGAAGAACGGCTGCGGAGCAGAGCTTCAACCTCCTCCGGCGTTCTTGTCCTCAGGCACGAAATGTAGCCGTCGTAAACCCAGATGAAGGGAACAATAGGCACGAGGTAGGTGAAGAACAAGTGCCAGGGAGAATTCCAGAAGTAGAACGGTGTTATGAGCATTGCAAGCGGCCAAAGGAGACTGACAAGGACAAAGGAGGTAAGATGTCGTGATTGAAGCTCAAAAATGCTAGACACAACGTGTCAGTCCGGCACAGTCCCAAGAGTGACCCTCACTCACCAGAATCCATCTGCTGTTTCAATGGTGTTCTCGAGGACCTTCGCAGCCAGATCGTCGTCAAAGTGGTGGAATGACAAACTGAACAGCCTCATTATTTTCTTGCCCTGGACGCCCGGTACGTCCTTAAGCAGGGTGTCTGCTGATGGGGCATTGGTAGCATCCACACTCTGTGCTATGTAGTTGATGTTTTGGCTCTTCTTTGCAATGGCCGTCCACGCACTGACATGCGGACTGATATCTGTGAGCACGAACTTTACATCCTCTTTCCCTGCGTCCCGAAGTTCCTGGTTGAGGTGGCTTTCAATGTATGGCGTAGGGCCACCTGCGCCTGAAGCAAAGTCGACATAGACATAGTCAGACACTCGAGGGCCGAGGACCGTCGACAGGACGCGAGAAACAAGCGCAGCAGGAGACGTGGGCTGGAGGATGGGAAGCCGGTTGATCCAGCCTAAGGTCAGGTAATCTTGGACTTTCTCTCTGAGAGTCTGCGGGAACCTGTCCAGTCAATGAATATCCAGCCCGCAAGAAGGGGGCTTGACCTGTGCAGTACCATGGCTGATCATTGACTTCGAAGTAGTGCCGTCTGGGAAGGAATACTTTGGACCCCATTATAGTGTTGAGTCTTCCTCCCGCCCTGCGGTCGAGGGCTTGCAGTGGCACTTAACTGTGTGGATTGATGGTTCATGGCGTGCAAAACAGCAGAAGTTCTGGTGATGCAAGCTGGAACTCAGACTCGGACGTCATCTGCAGGCGGAAATGCGCGGCGATTGTCCGGACGTTGACTTCGGGGGCTTAACAGCCTAGAAGGCGCAAGTAGGTGTTCCCTAACGGTGAGCATAAGGTTAATTAGGCCAGTCTAAATGCCCCTTACCCTTAGGTACATTAGGTAGGTAGGTATCAGGTATTAGGTACAGTATATCCGCAGCACTCTGTAGTTGTTTAACTATGGCCAGTAGTAGTAGTACGGAGGACACACCTGCAGTAGCTTGGCATACATAAATCCAACTTGAACAACTTCAAAGTTTGAACTTCACGCCGTGGTGCGGCACAACCACGGACATGAACCATCCGGCCTTGAACGTCCACAGGGACAGGTCCTGAGCCTGCATTCCACGGTTAGCCGGAACCTGCGGAAGGTGGCATGAGAATGTAGCATTGTCTCTTCGACTTGAACATGCCGCTCTCTAGCTTCAGCTTGAACTACGGAAATGTCGGGTTCGTGTTGCACAGTGTGGTCGAAGTGCCTGCCTGTCTCAATTTCTTCCTCTTCCCGTCCGACCAGCTAGGACGTGAAAGCCCCCATGCTCACGCGGTGGTGCGGCAATATGCCGTGCTGCTCTTCAGCTCGGTGCTCGTGGCCGTGGCTTTTGTCGGACGACCCGTGGATGACCTCTCCGGCAGAGTGGCCGCCGCGTTGGCCCTCTATCATATTGCGCCTTCGGTACGGTCGCTGGCCAGGCTGACGAGACAGGCACAGTTGCGACAGCCACTCGTGCTGTCAGAAGCTTTTCTCTATCTGATAGTACACGCACTATGTGGCGCTGCTTTGCTTCATCACTTCATCACCGCGATATACAATTCATGACCCGGCCCCGACCCCATCATCCTTGGGGGAAAGGTAAACATCATCGTCATCCATGCGGCCAACGGAGCGCCTGGGTTACTGGGGTCCAACAGGACCATGTACGGATATGTGCTCAATCAATCAACATCTTCTGCCACCAAAGTCTCGGTGGGACTCTCGGTTCCAGAACTCGAATCTTTATGGCTTCGTTTGAACATCATCATCTCCACGGCAATCCCGGGACCAAAGGCACAACCCACGATGTGATCCGTCGTGTCTCCTTCGATGAGTCGGTTCATGACGCTAAAGATGGTGGCACTGGAACTGTTGCCATGACTGATGTATATCTCATAGCTCGCTCGGAGGTGTTCGGGCTGCAGACGCATGGCCTTTTCCACGCCGGTGATGACGGTAGATCCGCCAGGATGAAGAGCCCAGTCATACTCGGACGCTTGGAATTTGCCCAGGTCGACGAGCTCGGGGATTGATCCGACCAGATCGTCAAACATCGCGGGGACAGCGGCCGCCGCGAGTTTCGGGACTCTCTGCGTCAACACGACCTTCCAACCTGGACGGAATCAACACTTGAACAGACGAAAGCGCGGTGCTCAACTTACCGAGTGGATCCACGTTGAATCCTAGGTCCTTCTCGCTATTCTCAATGATTCTGTGGTCCCAACCGAGCAGCTCCAATATGGGCTCCTCGTCATAGCGATCGCTGAACCCGTTGCCTAGTACCACGGCCGATGCGCAGTCGCTGAAGAGCGTCACACCTATCCTGACCTCTTGATTCTTGTGGATAGAATCCAACTCTGACCGTACGAGTGTGCTCGAGATCTCGCAGGCCAAGACGAGTATCCGCGCCGGTTTTCGTCGAAAACTCGAGCCAAGAGCGATGTTGGCAGCCGTTCGCAAGGCTGCTAGCCCACCGGAACAGCCCACTCCGTGCAGCAAGACTTTCTCTATGCCGAGATTGAGACCGAGCTCCTTGACCACATAATGATCATAGCCAGGATTGGCGGAATTGGTGCAGGTGGTGGCGACGACATGGGTGATCTCGGACAGGTCACCTCCCCATTGCTCCAACGCCTTGCGACAAGCTGCCACGGACAGCTTTATTCCATGATCGAAGAAGAGGTCACACTGTTGGGCGATGGTGGGGGCCTCGGGCGTATTGGCGATAGGATGGTCGATATTTCCAATGGCTGAACGAGAGTCAATGCCGGTGTACTCGTTGATGGTCAGCACCTTGTCGAGGCTATAGAAGGAAGCAATTAGCGGCAGTCTCTCCGGCCGCGACCACGGTGTTGTGATTATTGCTTACGCTGGGGAGCTGGGATAAAAGCGCCTGGCCAGAGTGGCCAGGTGCTCCGGCCGGATTTCGTAGGGAGGATATTCAACACCAATGCCATGGATGTGTAGATCTGGTCTTTGATAAGGCGGGGTGACCTTGTTGCGGACTGTCGACGGCGACATTGAGGTTCAGGCAAGGGTGACAGTGGCAGTCTGTCGGTTCGATCGAAGAACCGAGGCCCCAACAGTTTTGAGAAAGCTGCCAGGGGACGATGACGTTGGCACGGTGTATGGTGTACCTATGTATTTCCTATCGCTGCATGTCCCTTGAGACGCAGCTGAAACGACCAAAGACGACGAGCGGAAACGAGCGACAGGAGTAGCAGGGAGCGAGAAAGAGAGGCTCTCGACCGATTGTCTGGAGTATGTCACAACAAGATGCTCCGTCTGTGGTGGTTGAGGATAGAGCGTACAGCCAATACTACTAATACGAGGATGTAGGTGACTGGTACAGTATCCTGTGCCTGTAGATGCCTGTCTGTCTGTGCCTGTGCCTGCGCCTCAGGAGCCGGAGCCATCGCCCGCTTGCCGCCTCCACGAATCATGACGCGACTGTATGACTTTAGCTGTCATCAGCCAGGGTTGGGCCTCCAGGGCTTCTGCGACCAAGGAATCTGCGCGCGCCAGATCTCCGAAACTAATATTCCCATCGTCCTGCTTTTCGGAATCACCCTATCCGACGCTCTCCTCCTGAGTCCTGACATCCTCCACTGCGCTCACCTCATTGTCTCATGGTTACTCTGTAGACCCTATCAGCCTCACGAAGGCTTGCCACCCGGCTGATAGAACAAGAGTCGGGAGCATGGCATGAACACTGAACCAGGATCTCTGTCATTATTCACCATAGCGCTCTCGAGCTGGCCACACCAGCAAGGGACCCGTGAAGGTGACACCTGGCACCTGCCGTCAATCTTCCGCACGAATCAGCATGATCCGGACCGCCCTGGCTGCGGGATTCCTCGGTATTCTGGCCCTTCTCTACATTGTGACCAGAAACCCCCCCATCCACCGCAATGGCCAGAGACTCAGGTAAGAGAAAGTTGGAATGGCCAGTAGAGTCCTACCAGCCATACTGGTAGGCATCATGGGCACAATCTAATAAACCGTACGCTGTCTCCAGACAGCCGCCAGACACCCTCCCGTTCCTGGGAAATGCCATCCAGTTCCTCAAACCCCGCCACGTCCTGTTCGACTGGTTCGTGAAATGCCAGCAGCAATTCGGCAAAGAAACCGTCGAAATCGCCGTTCCCTCATTACCACCCGGTGTGGTGATCAACAGTGCTGAGAACCTGGAATTCGTGCTCAAGAACGAATCATCCATCACCAAGGGAGAGTTCTTCAGAGAGCGATCGTGGGATCTCTTCGGTACATATGGGCCCTCTGGTTTCAGCTTGCACACCCGTGCTGACAGTGGCCGCGTCAGGCTACGGCATCATCAATGCCACCGGCGACCTGTGGCGCGCCCAGCGCAAAGCCGGTCTGAAGTTCTTCAGCGGCGCCAACTTGGACGCTTTAGCCGAAGAGGTCCTGCCTGAGGTGTACGCTGGCACGCGGAAGCACCTACTCCAAGCGGCTAATGATGGATCTGTGATTGACCTGCAGAAGGTCTTCCTAGACCTGACGACGACGGTGGTCGGACACATGGCTTATGATGCAGGTCCCCCCGTTCCCAATGTTATTTGACAACATCTCGATGAGCTAAGATAGTCTAACACTGCCGTGCAACTAGATGGAAATATCCGCCTCCTCACCATTCAGCAAAGCGTTTGACCACGCATCAGGCCATATCGGCCTTCGCTTCCAGAATCCGCTATACCGGCTAACTGAGCTGTTTACGGGCGGTGACTTCCGCACCTCGCTGGCCGAGGTGAAGCGTTTTGGCCGGCAAATCGTCGCCAATGCGCGCAAACGCCGGGCTCGCACCGCCTTTGAGAGCCTCATCACTCACGACGAGACCCCCTCGGAAGACGCACCTGAATTTGAGACGCTGATAGATTGGCTGATTGAAGCTTTGGCAGCGCCCCAGCTCGTTGCGGATGCCGCGCTCAATTTTCTCTCTGCCGGGAGAGACACCACGGCACAATCCTTGACTTGGACATTCTACGCGTTGATGAGACATCCGGAGGCACTGAGACAGTTGCGTGACGAACTTGACGCCAAATTTCGTAACGCGAAACACGATCATTCTCAAGTTCTCGGTGAAAGCCGTAAGGACGAGGATGACGGCCGTGTTGACGTCGACCGCATCGACATTGCATCCCTACAACCCACTTTCCTGCCCCTCACGGTCGCTACATTTTACGAAGCTCTACGTCTGTACCCGCCCGTGCCCTTTGAGATCAAACAGACTTCCGAGCCCGTCACCCTGCCCGATGGCACATTTCTCCCTGCTGGCGCCATCGTGGTCTGGAGCATCTATGCCATGAATCGATCGATCGAGACGTTCGGCAGCGACGCGACCACGTTTTGCCCGACCCGCTGGCTCGATGACCAGGGCAGGCTGGTGCCAAAATCGCCCTACGAGTTCCCCGTTTTCAACGGTGGGCCGCGGGCGTGCTTGGGCAAGAAGATGGCTGAGGTGATGGCTGCCTGGGTGATGGTGAGGATGTGGACGGAGTGGGAGTTTGAGGAGGTGGTAGCACCGCACGAAAAAGGCCGAGAAAGACTAAGTGCAAACAGCCTCACGCTCCCAATGGAGGGAGGACTACCCTGTCGAGTCAGGGTGAAGGACAGGCAGGGCTCATAGATTGCATTTTCTAGGGGATATACAAGCCAAAAGTTGCGCAAGATGCCCTGGACGAAAGAGAGGACCTTACCCAAGACTAAGTCCGCACTAGTAGGTCATCTCTTCTATTCAACGCTCAAGAGCGATGGACCTAGTTCACTGGCACTGCTGATCCGTGCACACGCACCCGGGAATGAAAAGGTAAATGGCACTTGGATAGCCGACCCTATGCTTCATGGCCCAAAATATCGTATGTGTTAGTACTTCCGCTCAGGCAGCCACTGGAGAACCTGCTCCAACCAGCACACGTCGACCCCGAGCACCTTGTAAATTTTTCTATGAGATTGATCAATCATGTCACACGTCGTCGTCGTCATGATGGTCATCCCCGGCGACACTGGCATACGCCATCCCGCCCACGCCTCTCCTGAACCGGAGTGGCACTTCGTACAGGTGGGCGTAGTCGACTACCTCGCCACCCAAGAAACCTTCGCCGTTCCTCCGCCGGCCGAACACTGGCGCCGGGTCGCACCAGAAGTCCTTGCAATTGCCGATCACACCGCGGCTGTACGGGTTCCCAGTACGGACCTGCAGTTTGCCGTGCGAGGCATCGGACGCGGTGGCCATGAATGCGTCGAGGCCGAGCAGTTTCGTCCATCGCGTCAAGCAGCCGTCCGGGCGACGGGGTACGGGGTTGAGCGCGGTGGCCGAGGCCGCCGTGTCATTGAGCGACGTCGAAGCTGCCGAAGCGCCGTGGGTGACGGGCCGCGCGTGCAGCGGGAGCAGCGGGGCGCCCTCGTGCGAGTGTTGGTGGCGCCGCATGTTCTCGTACGTCGTCTGGTTCTTGCAGATCTGCACCGTCTGCACCACGACCAACATGGTGACCCAGACGAGTTGGAGGCAGGCCCAGAAAGCCAGTGCCACGGTCCACGGATCGCGCAGCACGAACGAGCACAGGGCGGGGCCGGCAAGGTTGCATTTCGAGATGGCATCGTCGGATGGCGTGGGAAGAAACGACAGGTACGAAAGGACCAGCCGGACATAGAGAATAATCCCGACCTCGAGGCTGAGAATATAAATGTAAAAGTGGCGCAGGTTGTCGTTGCCCACGCAGTTGTGGATCCAGGGGCAGTGGTGGTCGTGCTTGGCCACGCATCGGTTGCAGCGGCGACAGTGTTTGGACCTCAAGGGTCGGCGGACCATGCATTGCACACAGAAGTTCTCCTCGTCAAACTTCCAGAGCGAGAAAAGTTCCTGGATGACAGTTCGTTGTTGATTTCGTGACGCTAGTTTCGGGATGAACCCCGGATCCTCGAGCATTGCGGTGAAATAAAAATATGACGTGCTGGAGAAGAATATGATGAAGGCTATGGTGGAGATTGGATTGGTCGAAAACGTAACAGGCAGGATTGAGGTCAGATAGCTGACACCTACCCAAAACAGTGTCCCCGCGAAGATGCCGGCCAGATATGGCGTTTTGTGGATGGAATGATATTCCAGAGGGGCCTTCATTGCAATTCGTTGTGCCAGATACTGCATGCCTAGACAGACCACCAAAAAGATCGGGACGCCGACAAAAATTCTGATGTGACTGATTATATACAGGCCGATAATGATGATGAAAAAGGGGTACAGGAAGAAGAATTTGCCCATTTTCGACTGGTCCCGCAATAGAACATTTAAGTTGAGAGGAAGTGTCTTGATGTTACCCAAAGTATCGTATCCATGATCGGCCAGAGAACGGTGGTATGCTCGTTTGGTGTTCATTTCTTCAGCACAGGCGCTCGGTGTCTTGCCTTCCCTGGTCTTTGCGAATCGATCGGCGCCGTATTCAATCAGTCTGTCCAGGCAGGGTTTCGAGCCCTTGACCAAAGCCCAGTGCAGAGGAGTGAAGCCATTATCATCGGCTGCGTTCACATCCGCTCCCCAGCGGAGCAGAAGGTCAACGCAGGCGGGCCAACCTTTGTACCCAGCCCACATCAGGGATGTATGGCCTTGAGGATCCGGTGTGTCCACAGGGATGCTTTGATGTAGAAGAAGGGTCAGGAGAAGGGCGTTTCCATCGATAGTAGCTAGATGTAGAATGTTGTACCCTTGGCCATCTGTCAGGAGAGGGTCGGCTCCGTTTTGTAGTAGCAGATTCACAATGTAGAAATGGCATCTCTGCGACGCCCACATGACTGCGGTAGCATTGGATTCCCCGCCTTTTGCGTTGACATCTGCACCCTGCTCCAGAAGATATTTGCAAACGGCAAATTGGTTGTTGATAGCAGCCCAATGTAATGGTGTAATTCCTTCTTCATCTTGGTAGTTCGCAGAGTATTTGCCAGACTGGAACATCTTCTGCAAGTACTCAAGTGCACCTATGCGGGCGCATTGCATAATATCCTCTTCCAGAGGAAGAGCAGGTTCCGCCTGGCCATTCTGGACCGGACCAAGCTCGACGTCTTCAGAGGTCACCTTCGGGGAGGCCGCGTTAGCCTTGGAGGTTGGAGGACGGGACGGGTTCTGAGAGAGCGGAGATGACATTGCGAGTGCGGATGTGAGGCTGCCGTCGCGACTGTGCACATAATGGTTTGTCTGTCATTCCGCTTTGAAGCAGACAGAAGGTGGGCTTAGATAAACAGAGGATGACTGTGCAATGCCAGCCTCCTGAATCCTATTCACTCTTTGATTAACTGCTCTGCACACAGCCCCAGACAGATCCGCAGGTCGTCGTATGCATCCACGTGATCCCTACTGTAATCATCTGTCCCCATTCCGCCAAGCTCCAGCACGTGATCTCTTCCGTTCCGAGTCGGCAAAGTCGCCTGGGTTTTTTCGGACTAAGCTCGATTGAAACTCCCGGCCCAGCTACCTCTCCTTCTTCCTCGACTTCAAAGCATCAACCTCCTCTCCACTCTCTTTGTGCCATCCGATTTCACCTCCTGCTTGTTGGAAGTTCCTAAGCCACGCTTCGTGAGCAGGCAAGATGATGTCGAGGAACGTCTTGCGCCAGTCTGGCCGCATTGCCGGTGCGATTGCAGCATCTGGAAGAGTAGCTGCGGTAAGCTTCAAATCTTGCTCGTCCAAGCTGATCAAGCTCCAAAACCACCCTGTTCGACGCCGGAGAGCTTCTTTGGGAGGTGCTGGAGCTTGGGACGGCCACCGAGTCCTCTCAAACTTTTCAATGGAAGGTTTATAGGCTAATCAATCGTCTCTTCAGTCTCGTGCCGTCACGCCCGCACCTTTCAATACCATCTCGAAACAGGTTCGAACATACGCCGCCGATGCCAAAGCCTCCCCCACCGAAGTCTCCTCTATCCTAGAGCAAAGAATCCGTGGTGTGCAAGAGGAGGCAGGTCTCACCGAGACCGGCCGCGTCTTGTCCGTCGGTGACGGTATCGCCCGTGTCCATGGTCTGGCCAACGTCCAGGCCGAAGAACTGGTTGAATTTGCTTCCGGTGTCAAGGGCATGTGCATGAACTTGGAAGCTGGCCAAGTCGGTATCGTGCTTTTCGGTTCTGATCGTCTCGTCAAGGAAGGCGAAACTGTCAAGCGTACCGGCCAGATTGTGAGAAAAAGTCTCTTCTCCCCTGCCTTGCGCGTTGAGCTAATGTCACCAGGTTGATGTTCCTGTCGGCGAGGCTATCCTTGGCCGTGTCGTTGATGCCCTCGGTAACCCCATTGATGGCAAGGGCCCAATCAAGACCACCGAGAGACGCCGTGCTCAACTGAAGGCCCCTGGTATCCTTCCCCGACACTCTGTCAACCAACCGGTCCAGACCGGCCTCAAGTCCGTCGACGCCATGGTGCCGATCGGTCGTGGCCAGCGTGAATTGATCATTGGTGACCGTCAAACCGGAAAGACTGCCGTCGCCCTGGACGCCATGCTGAACCAAAAGAGATGGAACAACTCGAACGATGAGACCAAGAAACTCTACTGTGTCTACGTGGCCATCGGCCAGAAGCGATCTACCGTCGCTCAGCTCGTCAAGACCCTGGAGGAGAACGACGCCATGAAATACTCCATTGTCGTCGCTGCCACCGCATCTGAGGCTGCTCCTTTGCAATACCTTGCTCCTTTCGCCGGTTGTGCGATGGGAGAATACTTCCGCGACAACGGCAAGCACGCTCTTATCGTGTTTGACGATCTTACCAAGCAGGCCGTGGCCTACCGACAAATGTCTCTGTTGCTCCGTCGTCCTCCTGGGCGTGAGGCCTACCCCGGTGATGTCTTCTACCTCCACTCCCGATTGTTGGAGCGAGCTGCCAAGATGAGCGACAAGCACGGCGGTGGCTCCTTGACTGCTCTTCCAGTTATTGAGACCCAAGGTGGTGATGTGTCTGCGTACATTCCTACCAACGTCATTTCCATCACCGACGGTCAGATTTTCTTGGAAGCGGAATTGTTCTACAAGGGTATTCGTCCAGCCATCAACGTCGGTCTTTCCGTCTCGCGTGTCGGTTCGGCCGCTCAGCTCAAGGCCATGAAACAAGTCGCTGGTTCTCTGAAACTCTTCTTGGCCCAATACCGAGAAGTCGCCGCTTTCGCTCAGTTCGGTTCCGATCTTGACGCCGCCACCAAACAGACCCTCAACCGTGGTGAACGTTTGACCGAACTGTTGAAGCAGAAGCAATATTCCCCTATGGCCGTCAACGAAATGGTCCCTCTCATCTACGCCGGTGTCAACGGTCACTTGGACAGCGTCCCAGTGGCCAAGATCCTGCAATGGGAGGCTGACTTCCTCGCACACTTGAGGAGCGACCAAGCCGAGCTCTTGGCCCGAATCGACAAGGAGGGACAATTGAGCAAGGACCTCGAGCAGCAACTGAAGGATGTTGTGGTCAGCTTTACCAAGAGCTTCACATAGGTACGTAAGGCACGAACCGGGCACAATGGCCGAGGGCTAATGAAGCTTAGACACTTGTACAATTTCTGATTGGGTCAAAAAGGGACACCGCTCCTCTAGTTGAGACAGCAGATAGCAGGCCGTCGGCAGGAAGCGGTCGCTGGGCAAACCGAAAAGTGTCTCGTTGTACTTAGATCACATACCAAGTCCTCAATCGATTCCATTTGTTTTTCCAACCTGACTTGGGCGTCTTGATGGCTCGTTTGGCTATGCGAGGAGTGTCCAGTCCATTTCTTCAACATTTGCGGTCCGATGGACCTGGTCACTTGGCAAATGTGCGGGCCGACTTCACTGCCTCCATGATACCTATTGCCCTGGTGTTCAAATGGTGGTCAACAAAATATCCAGTAAACAGAGCTTGACTTAGCTTGCCGGGCTGATATACACATGTACTACGTAGATGTTAGGAAACCTCTCTTTACATTCCAATGCGGTCGGCTGAGCTGGGATCCAGAACTACCATTAGGTACATGTAGACTCTGATGTCGAGGCCAGAAACGGGTTCCCAACCCCAGTTCTAGCTATTATTTTATTATTATTACTATTGTGATATACTTCCGACTGCCAGACAAATTGCATTGTCAGAAAGCCGTTTCTGCACTGGTTTCGGGTTTCAGCCCAGCCGGTAGCCGATGAATTGCTGAGAAGAGATGATCATACCTTGAGGCAGAGAACCGAGTACTCCGTACAGTGAGCAAGCAGTTGCTGTACCCGGTCATCCCGGGACAAGGATGTACATATATGGTCAGTCACCATCGTCTACTCGTATTGCGACACTCAGTCGGCGGGGTAGTCTCTCCTCTCCCCTCTCCCTCCACCTTTTGACGACGCTGGATCATGCCGCTCTCCGAGGCGAAGGCGGCTTGAATGGTTGCTGTATTACAAATCGCGTTTCACATACTGTATCGGTACATTCCCTGTCCTCCTCGGACCAGATCAGCATTCTCCTGTCTCGGGACCATCCAAGACAATCATCACTGTCTTTCTCCTCGTTCGAAGTCATCCTTCGAGGTAACCCCAGGCCCGTTCTCCATTGTTTGCGCGAAGATATGCTCGGTCTAGCTTGAGCTCGAGCACAACCACTACGGATTTGGAACCAGCATTGAAAGTAGACAGACCGCTGACGAATCTAAAGCAATCTAAAAGAAGACCAACCAGAACGCCATGAAATCCGTTCAAGTCTTTGCCAAGGGCGCGAATGAACTAGAAGTCAAGATCCAGGACATTCCTGTCCCCTCTGCAGAGCCCGACCAGGTCCTGATCAAGGTCGTTGTGGCCGGCACGAATCCCAAGGACTGGAAATATCCCCTGTTCTTCAAGGATGCGTCCGGCCTGAACACCGGCGACGACGTGGCCGGATACGTTGAGGCTGTGGGCTCCGATGTCACCGAGTTCAAGCCAGGCGACCGTGTTGCCGCCTTCCACCAGATGGGCAAGCCCTATGGCGCATTTGCCGAGTACGCCATCGCAGGGGAAAAGTCGACCTTCCATCTCCCCAAGTCAATCTCTTTCGAAGAAGCTGCCACTATCCCCCTGGCTGCAATGACAGCTGCCGTCGGGCTCTTCTCCAGCCTAGGTCTGCCAGAGCCGTGGGTGTCGGTCTCCCAGGCTCGGAAGGATGCCGAGTCTGGAGGAGTGCTGGTCTATGGCGCGGCCTCTGCCGTCGGTGCATTTGCGGTGAAACTCCTGGTACGGTCGAACATCCATCCCATCATCGCCGTGGCAGGCCGCGGGATCCCGTTCGTAGAAGGCCTGATCGATAAATCCAAAGGCGATACCGTCATTGACTACCGTGGCGGCGAGGCCCAGGTCGTCGCAGGCATCCGCGATGCTGTCCCCAAAGGTCAAAGACTATTGTACGCTTTCGATGCCGTCAGTGAAAAAGGCAGTCGCCAGCAAATCTTGAAGGTGCTCGACCCCCACGGCCACGTCACCCTCGTGCTTCCCAGGGGGAAACATGAAGGTCAGCCTGAGACGGTCCATGAGACTGTCACCTCCGTTGGTTCGGTCTTTGGACGGCCCATCGACCTCAGCGATTTGGGGTATGCATGGTTCCGCCTCTTCAGTCTGGGTCTCAAGGAGGGCTGGTTTAAGGGTCATCCATATGAGGTCGTCCCGGGCGGACTGGGAGGTGTGCAGACTGGTTTGGAAAACTTGAAGAATGGGAAAGCAAGTGCGCTCAAGTATGTATATCGAATTGATGACACCGACGGGGTCGATCGAAGCAAGATCTGAGGGAGGCTGTCGGTCCAGATGATGAAATCGTTCAATTGAATGAAATGGACGTGGGCAGATCCACGATGGTCGGATATGAATATGAGAACCGAGAGACTGTTCTTCCATATCACCCCGGGTTGCTGCACGCTGCGCTCTTCTTCATTCTGCTTCGGTCGGTCTTCGTCCGCGGTCCACGACAGTGTTGTATTTCAACATCCATGTCGCCAAAACAACATGTAGCAACGACATCACTCACTTTTACGAAAGGTATCTCAAAAGACACAAACCGAGATGAGCGCGGTCGTCCCTCTGCTGTAACTCAGTGCCCTGCACGGTTGTGATCAAGCAATACCTGGATCGCAACCCCCAAACTTGTCCAAGCACCTACCTACCTTTCTCAACAAATAGCAGTGATGAAGCAGAATTGACTTATCCTGCGGATATGAGAGCTCTGCTTCCATGGTCCTGGGCATGCGGTGCTCCCATGTCTTTATTGTGTAATGAGCGTCGCCGTCCAACAAACCCCGTTTGCACCGTGCTGGCTTCATCATTCCTGGGTCGTTTCAGTCACCCTGAGACAGTGTCGTACATCCAAGCGAGCGCCCGGACTTGGGGAGGTTCGGGACCATGCCATCCCCATGTCGGCAAACCCACTGACGGAACAGACCGGGACTGAAATCTGAAAGTCGGCCTGTGGGAATGAGCGGTGTGAATGGGTTTCTTCCAGAGAGCCACTCGACAGACTAGACCACAGAACCAAAAGTGGGGAGAGACGCAGAAGCAGAGGGACTTTTGGCATGCCTAACGACTATCACAGCATTTGGACAAGGATCCAAGGGGGAGAAGTCAGTGACCATGAGAGGGGGTGAATGCTGAGGTCGTTATCAGACATCAGGAGATAAGGAATGATCTGCCGAAGGAATCCGGGGTTCAAGTTCTCCGCGATCCTGCTAGAAGTTGTTCATTTTTGATATATAGCAACTCTCGCAGGCAAGCTGCAAAAGGGGTGTCAATTGCATAATCCGTACACGCGCCTGGTCAAAGTACAGTCACCGACCGTGTCTAAAGAAGAAATCTTAGAACATTATACCCTGGATCAGTAGTCATTCTGGCCAATCCGCCCATTGCGGCATATTCATGAAGGACATCGAGGTCATGATCGACGGATAGCGCAAAGTTTAGAGCGGATGAGGGAAACCAGAGATCGTAGCAACGCCTCATGATTAGGGGCGGCAGAGGTCGGAGAAGACGGCTGTCTAAACTCTGACTCGGAGGTGAATTGAATCGCTAGGCGGGATGTGATATGCATATGCTCCCAGCTAAGAAAGGCTTGAGGGCGCCTGGTTCGAGCTTGGTGAGCAATTGCTGTGCCAAAGCGTCTGCACTCCGCCTCTTTAGTTCCCTCCTAGTTGCCTTAGTCGTCCACCCTCCGCTCTCCACGTCAAGGCTGCTAGCGGTAGAAATAACGCAGGCTGCGGGCTAGCGGGACGGCCTTGGGTTTCAGAATCGATCGCCTAAGCATCTCTTCAGTTGTGTTTCTCACCGGAGCCAGAGGGGCAGTTGGGCGGTTGGAAATCGGACGGCGAGGAAGTGGGAAGCCGAGGAGCTCCAGCGTCCAAGCCCGAATCATGTGCTAGTCTGTGAAAGGTGTCAGAACCTGTGGAAAAGGTGATTGCAGCTGTGCCCTCGGCATAGATGCCGGAGGTGGGAAAGGTATATGGGTTGGTTAGATTTCACCCAGTCAGACTAAACCACCTAGTATGCAGCCTTGAGGATCTGCTCGGTCAGTGCATGAACCGGGTATGATTGGTCCTGCTTTCGTTTCATGGAGAAGGAGAAAGAAAAAAACTGATGTCGAGGGGTCCACCGCATATGGTTGTATTGTGTGCTTGCGAGTGGCCTGGTTAACAACAATAATGTCAAGTGGCGGATTGGGTTGAATTTTTCTCCCACCGCTAAACCGCACGGAATCAGGCGGTTCGTGTCAATAGGAGGCTGTTGCATGCGTGAGGAGCGCAGGCTGCATGCTTGAGGGCTCAAGCCTCACGGGCAGGAGGTTCGGGGCTTAGGGGCCTGATTCAGCTGTCATGATCGCACTGACCGGCGTCACCAGCACTGTCCGTTACGTGTCTGTTGCCTGGAGGCAGAGATCCAGACGATTAATTTACAGTCACCCGGGAGGCCGATGATTGCTACCTAGTAGGGGCGCCGCACAACCCATTCTCCAACTCCTATGGACCTACCTGAGGTAGTCTGTATTATAGGAGTTTGCCGGTGCTTTAGGCCTAATATATGATTATTTCCCGCCTGGAAACCCAGCTGGCTTGCCCCCCTCCCCCCCCAAACTCGCCACCCCACGCTGGTCCTTCCTGCCTACTGGTTCTGGTTACTCTGCAGCTGGTACTGGCACGCACTCGCAACTCTAACTGCAACTCATCGCATCCGCATCCGCATCTTTTACTCTTTTGGCATCCTCGAACTCGTGCGGCCATAGCTTTTTCTATACATTCCCTTGTTCTCCTCTTATTTCTGTATCGGCAACGATCTCAGCAGTCCTATCCTTGCCACCATATACCGATATATTGCGTCCATCTCTTCTTTCTTCGTTTCCGGCCTCCGCTCGTCCAGTTGGCTTGCTGACCTGAAAGGCGTCCGCAAGCTGGCTGGTTGCGGGCCTGCAAACTCGGTTCCCAAACCTTCATGCCGCGAAACCCTGCGGCGAAAAAGCATCAGCACAACGGCCGCCATGACAGTGGACTTGTAGGTCCAGGAAAACGTGTCACAAAACAAAAGTCGAATGGTCACCTCAATGGCACGGCGAAGGGCCCTGTTCCCTCCGAGCCTGTCCCTCAGTTACACTCCGCCGACCCGTCTGTGAGCGCACCGAGCAACGATCAATCTGGTTCTGCTGCGTCTGAGGCGAACCGGGAAGTCGCGAAAGGGTCGAACCAGACCCAGTCTAAAGCCGGGGAGTCAGAAGGGAGCGAAAGCAAAGAGAAGGAGCATAGTTCGGAGTCGAATGGGTCGGCAATGTTGCAACAAAGACGGGGCGATATGGCCTCTTCTAGGCCCAAATCTACTCAGGATGTCAGCGCTCTGCAAATCGCCTCGACTATCATCCGGTCTCGGCCAGCTTGCGACACCGTGTCTCTGCTGATTGTTTTGCTGGCCCTACCCTCCATAGTCTTGACCATTGTGCAGGCATTATTTGCGTCGTTGACCTTGATGCCCGGAGGCGGCGCCCCGGTTTCGTTCCTTTCCTTACTCGACATCTTCCAGGGGTCTGCGGGCGCACCCAGCATCACTACCATGGTTGTGGTTGATGTGCTCTGCTTCGGATTGTGGATCTGCCTCTGGGCATGGGCTCAGAGTTTCGCACTGGACTTGGCTCAGATACAGATTGCCATTACACTGGGAAATGGCAGCTCAGGGAAAAATGGGAGAGTCAACCTGATCTGCTTCGTTGGAGTTCTTCTGCTGCACCTTATCCGAAGTAGAGGTGTCCGCCGTTTTCTGTTCACAAATCTGGTGCCTATGGATCTACTCGCCCAGACTGGGGTCGCGGAGTATTTCAAATACCTGCCCTCCGACTCCGACTTTGGCCAGAGTCCAGGAGCTCCATCGCATATCCGGAGTTTATTTGCAATACACATCATCAGTCAAGCTGTGATGGCGCTCGTGCGCCGCAATGTTAGCAGCTCACAGTCCATCCCCACGGCGAAGTCGAAACGCATCGATACAGAAGCCTCCGCAGGCTCTGCGTCGGACATCTCGGCACTGGAGTCTGCGTCCGCGGGCGTCTCCTCATCAATCGACTATCAAGCCCCTCCGACGCCGGGGTTGAAAGAAGGCAAGGAGAAGCTTGTGAGTGCGAAGAAGCGGAGACGACAAGCAAATCATGTCCGGAGCAAACAGCCCTTCTGGGCCGCCCTGGCCAGTACCAAAGTCCATGTTCTCCGAGAGGTTGAACACAATAAAGCCCTTCCAACCGTCGCGAACAACCAAGGCACGCCGTTTGAAACCGTGCAGCGAGGCCTCATCTGGATCACCAACGTGGACCCTTCGTCCATCTCCTTCGAAGCAGCTTATATACCATCCGCCGAGACAAACCAGGATTCCGCGTTGATGGGCGACAACAGACCGTTCTATGTGCGCATCAACGGCGCAAAGTGGCATTCCGTTAGTCTTGATGCGGTGGACCACTCTGCAGCTTCCGAAGGCCCGTCTGCCCAGTGGTCGGGTACAATCTCTGGTCTGGCGCCCAATTGTACCTACACTTGCAGCTTCATTCGTAGCGACGGAGAAGAAGAATTTGCATCGGTCATGGTCAAAACGCCGATGCTACTCGACAAAGACTTGCCTGCTTCGATGGCCCCCGTGCCTGTTCGTCAATCAACCCGACCATCCTCGCCCACGACTACGCTGAAGAATTCCATCGCGACAGCCGAAGCCAAATTGACCGAGGCTCGCAATCGCCTCACCAAGCTCCGTCGTCAACATCGAACTACGCTTGCGAAAGTGGAAAAGGAAGTCGACAGCTTCAACACGCGTCTTAAGACTGCCAGTGACGACACCAAGCAGAGGCAAAAGTTGTTGCAAGCTGAACGCAGTATTCGCCAGACCGAGGATGCCACTCTTGAGATCGATGCCGCGCTCGAAGGCCTGGTGTCGACCCCCGCGGACGAAATTGACGAGCACCACGCTTGCAAAACGGCTTACGAGGAACAGACCAAGCTACTTGCTGACGCGAATGAGGTGTTGACCAAGGCTCGCTCAGCCGCGAACAATGAACTCTCCTGTGCCAACGGCGAACTCAACACCATCGTTTCTCGCAAGGAACGTCTAACAGGTCGCAACACCAAGCTCACCGAACAGCATGACCGGATAACTCAAGCGAATGCGCAAGGACTGAACGAGAAGGAAAGAAGGGCCGCCGAGTCAAGTGCGAAGGGGGCTGATCAGCAGAGACGCGAGGTGGAGTTGACGCATCAGATCCGGTTCGTGGAAAACGAATTGAGGAATGCGAGGATGCGGTGGGAAACCAACCTCCGGGAGCTCGACCTCCTCGAGAACCAGGAACTTGCTCAGCGAGAAATCATGCTCAACAACAGCGGGCCTCTGACCCCTGAGGGAGAGCTTCCTGGCACCCGCCCTCCGCCACAACACGCTCGCCCCTATGCATTTGGCAGTTTCCAAGCGTTCCCGAATAGCCCTGTCATCACCGAGGTTCAAGCCTCTCCTTTCCTTGCATATGCTAAAACTCTTCCCTCTACGGATCAGCGCCGACCCAGATCGGATACCAACCGGTCAGCTGGCGGGATCAGCAATTTTTCTGGCGACTTCGAGGATGCTGATCCGATACCTCCAATGCCCTCGACCGCGGAATACGACAACCCGGGGCGGAAGGGAAGCGGAAGCAGCGGCAGCAGAGGGCAGAACAATGGCAGTCCGGCAGGGGGAATTGTTGGTGGCGCACTGCGCAGCCCACAGAGAGGTAGCTACAGTCCAGGGCATATTCCGGGATCAACTACGTGGTAGAGGTTGGTGCAGGAGGGTGTTGGCATGCATGGCTGAACGTTAGAGTGTCCAGTGTGTAGATGTCCGGCGGTGGCCTGAGGGCTATCGGACGAGATAGGCTCCAATATATTTCGATGTATCGCCTTGTGTCTTGTATCTTGCTTGCTTCAGTGACACAGGTGGCTAGAGCCCTGGTGCCTTTAGATATATGATCCTGATAATAGTACTTATTGCATGTAGTACGTACATGTAGATATCACCGCCGCGCGAGGGGTAATGGTCTGGTCTTGGCAAGTTTGTTCGAGTTCGTTGCAAATCGTAAATCATTTTCCTGCCCAATCGAGGTTCGTGGTGACAGTGCAGCATGTATGTATAGCACGCATTTTATATGCCAGCTGCGGTTCCCAATTTGTTCCATTCCTGTTCCGTTGCCCAACTGAGTCACCGCCTCTCCCTCTACTCTCTAGTACCGCCCTTGCCCTCGCATGCGCCCTACTAGTATCCTTCGAGTTTACGCATGTACGACTAGACTCCTGCCCAGACAGACCTTTGCGGCTCTACATCGTCAGATCACCGTCAAGCCTCTCACCCGAGACTGCTCCACGATGGGAAAAGAAAAGGAGAAGAAGCAAGAGTTGATCAAGAACCCGAAAGGGACACGAGATTGGGCCGGGGAAGACGTCGACCTCCTGGAAGACATCCTCGCGCAAATATCTCGTGTCTTCCGCCGTCACGGGGGCAAGAAGCTCGACACCCCGGTGTTTGAGCGGGAAGAAGTATTGAAGGGCAAATATGGCGAGGACTCCAAGCTCATCTATGACCTGAAAGATCAAGGAGGCGAACTACTGTCGTTGCGCTATGATCTGACCGTGCCATTCGCCCGGTGGTTGGCCATGAACGCAAATATCAAGAACTACAAAAGGTTCGCCATAAGTAAGGTGTACCGAAGAGACCAACCTGCGATCGCCAAAGGACGCATGCGGGAATTCTACCAGTGCGATATCGATTTTGCAGGAGCCAGTGATCCCATGATCGCCGATAGCGAGGTCATCGCGATCATCGTCGAGGTCTTTGAGTCGTTGGAGTGGAGTGGCCGATATACCATCAAGCTCAACGACCGCAGGATACTCGACGGTCTCTTCGAAGTATGCGGCGTGCCCGAAGAGAAGATCAGGATGATATCAAGTGCGGTGGACAAACTGGACAAGTCGCCTTGGGATGAGGTGAAGAAAGAGATGGTGGAGACGAAAGGTCTCGACGAAGCCGTGGCTGACAAGATCCAAACCTACGTGACCCGGAAGGGCGGGAAGGATCTACTCGAAGAGCTGCAGAAAGACGAGGCCCTGATGAACAACGCCAAGGCGAAGAAGGGCATTGACGAAATGGAGATTCTGATGGACTACCTTTCGGCGTGGGGGGCGCTGGACAAGATCTCGTTTGACCTGTCACTCGCTCGTGGGCTGGACTACTACACCGGTATTATCTACGAGGTCGTCACGGAAGGGTCTGCACCTGTGATCGCCAACGGCAGCGACGTTGCCCAAGAAGTCCAGAAGAAGGGCAAGAAGGAGAAAAAAGTGCTCGATGAAGACGAGGACCGTTCCAATGATCCATCGGTGGGTATCGGGTCGGTCGCTGCTGGTGGCCGGTATGACCACCTCGTCGAACGGTTTCGATCCAACGCGGACCTGCCATGCGTTGGTGTGAGCTTCGGGGTCGATCGCATCTTCAGCATCACGAAAGCGAGGATTGCCAAAGGCGAAACCTTCAGCTACATTTCGTCCAATGCGCCCGATGTCTATGTCATGGCTTTTGGAGGCGGCGGTTTCGATGGCATGGCCAAGCAGCGGATCGAGGTGACGAAAGTGCTGTTGGATGCAGGTCTCAAAGTGGAATTTACGTACAAGAAAAAGCCCAAGCCACAAGTCCAATTCAAAAACGCAGAGCAAGCAGGCTCCCCGTTTGCAGTCATCCTCGGTGAGGATGAGCAAGCGAAAGGAGAAGTCCGGGTAAAGGAAATGGGCTTGCCGGAAGGACATCCGTAAGTGCTCCACAGGGTTTTGCCTGTTCTAACGTGACATGGAGATTGACTGACTGGACATGGTGAACAGTGAGAAAGAGGGAGTGCTTGTCAAAATCACCGATCTGGCAGCCGAAGTGACGAGACGAGTTGAAATGAAGAAACTAACTACCAACACCGGGCGCATAGCCGTTAGCTGATGGATCCAAGCCGCAAGATAGACCATCGACTTAGACCATACTCATGGCCTCTGTCACTCAGCCCAACTAATGGAACCCGACAACTCGACAGGCATGCTGTACTGTGGAGCAACAGGCCAGGAATGGCGGTCTCGAGCATGCAGGAACTCTGTGCGGGAGTATGGACGAGCCAGAGCCCTTGTTCGAGAACCATGTCCCAACGGTCAACAGTCACTGAAGACGTGCTCGACTCGCTGCCCAAACCTCGACAGTTCGCGGTTGGCCATCGAGCTAGACTGTGGCGGAAGGTGGTGGCCCAAAGACGGCACGGCATGCTTGAACCTTGCAAGCGGTCCGGTCTACTGAGTAGATGGTACGGCCTAGAGCATAGAGAAATACTATGATGGAATCCCACACCCACACGCTTCTTCCTTAGATGTATGGCTGGTCTTCTTCCAGAAGATTGGCTTAGTACGTGTAGTCCGTACACAATAGAGACTACAGAGTACCCGTATACTGAACTCTGTAGAGTGCCAGCCTCGTCGGAGGCTTACAACGCCAAAGCTGCCAAGACGCCATTCTTGGAGTTCCCCGGTTTCCATCACATCTCGAAGCACTGGCAGTGGAATTCATCCCATCCGATCAATCTCCTGGACACCTACGGAGTACTATGGTACTATACTTCCTATAGAACACACAGCGAGATCTAGGGTTCCAGGCTTCACCCTTCGTCCCCTCCAGATGTAGCGAGTCCGGGCCAAGACTGCCCGTCTTCCTGACTGAGACGCCCAGGCTGAGTGGTGCGCAAAGCCTCTGGTCCGGCGTCCAGGTGCCGCCGAGGATGAAACACCACGCGTCTCAGCAAGCACTTCTGGCACGTCTAAGCCCAACATGATACCCCCAGCCACCAACGGGCACAACTTCGAGACTGCAATGAAGACGCTCACGTCGCAGCTCATGTTTGAGATGTGGCTTCCTCCAATGGCGGCCAGCCGGTCGGCGACTGCAAACACTTCAGTCCAGCTCGCCGCCGACTGTCCCTGTCCTCCCTCATCACTCGTCGTCTGAAGCCACTGTCCGGATGTGCCTCGCACCGAAAGGAGCCTTGTCCCTTCAATCTGGCCGTGGCTCTGGTGCCCTTTCAATCCCCCTTCCAATTGTCCATTTAGAGACCCGACCTTCGCTGCTTCTTGTTCGTCCCTTCATCTCGGTCTTCCACCCTCAGAGTCATTCGTTCTTAGTGTTGCTGGACATCATATCATCCATCTAATTCATCCTCTCGCGCTCTCACTCCTTTTTGAAAACTCCTATACCATTATACATTTGATCGCGATGCCGGCTGTCCGCTCCTTTTACACACTCTCCATCTTGGCAGCTTGCCTGGCGCAAGTACGACCTTTTGCCTGACAGTGCAAGGGTTTCCATTTGCTGACACGTTCGCAGGTTTGGGCCGGTGACTATAACGGCGGTGGCGGCGACGGTTACTCGGGAGGACAAGGCCAAGGTCAGGGCAAAGGCGGCGGCGGTGGTGGATGGAGTGGAGGGAGTGGAGGGAACGGCTGGAGCGGTGGCAGCGGTGGCGGCAACAACCAGTATCAAGCGTCAACAGTCTACCAGACCTCTGTTGTGACGGTTGCGGCACCGACCACTATTTTCCAGGCCCAGGATTGCGCGCCTCCAGCGACATCAACCACGACTGAGACGGTGAGTATCTTGCCTGCGTGAACCGCACCACCTCAGAAGACTTGAATCAACTAACTGGAGACTCTCCAGACCACCATCACCGCCGTGTCGCCGTGCACCGCGTCCGTTGTAACCGCATACGTGACGCAATGGCAGAACGCTCCCCCGGGCTGCTGGTGCGGCCCTCCTCCCGCCTTCGTGTCTGCTCTGGCCACGGCGGGCGGAGCGGCGGCTCTGTTGGGCAACGCCCCGGTCTTCACGTCCACCAACCCGGCATTTACACCAGGACTGTCTTCGATCCCTGCCTCGCAGGCTGTCCAGACCGGCGTCACCGTCGCCGCCGCTGCCGCGGCACCCGCCCCGACCGCCAGTGCCGGATCTCCCGCAGCGGCGGTATCTCCAGGAGGCTTCTTCACAGAATCATCGTCGGGTGAGTAGCTACCTTAGCTAGCTAGCACGAAACAAAGCCGTGTCTGCGTCCTGTGTCTGCGTCGCTGACGCCACGTTTAGGCTCTGCTGCAACCGAAACGGCAACGGCAACGACTTCTGGTACGGATACCTCTGGTCCCAGCAGCGCTACGTCTAACGTGTCGGAGCCTACTAAAGCAGGAAAGGCGCCTGAGCCAGAAGCTTCCACTTCCACTTCCACTTCGTCATCCTCCTCCGCAGCCTCGACCGCGACCGCGACTACGACCACTTCTTCGCCCGCTTCTCCCTCGCCGCCCACCACTTCCTCAGCATCGGCAGCCGCCGCGTCCGTCTCCGCCTCGAACGGCGGCTTTCCAGTCGGTTCCTTCCAGTCAGTAGATGCAGCAACTCTCTCACTCAAGAACGCTTATACTCTGGGCATCGGGAAGAGAGCACCGGCACCGGTCCCGACTTGGGTATCATAGCATAGGTAGCAAGTTGGGCCAGATCAAGAGAGCTTACCCAGAACAGAAAGAGGGAAAGTCTCAGGACCAGGACCAGAACCAGACATTTGTGGTGGATCTTATGAACGACGATATACCCTTGGGGCGCAGTCATATGGATATGGATGGTATCCCAATCCCAATCGTGGGATGGTTCTTTTGTTTTCTCTTTCTTTTTCCATTCTTGTACATTTAGAGGTGGATGCCGAAAAGGCAAAGGGCAGATATCCACGCCAGGGCTAGGATCTAGGATCTAGAACACAAGATAGCTTACTCCCACTCCGGCTCTCTGCGCCTTTACTTTCCTTCTTGGCCAATTTTCATGTCTCGCGTGTGGCCAATACTTCTGCATCTGCATCTGCTTCTTCCTGATTCCTGAGAGTTAGATCACCCGCAGTCATCGCGCCAGGTCGATGCGCCTTTCCTTTCCTTCTTAGCTATTTTTCAAGTCTGGCGGCTGGCCGAGGCTTCTGCTTCTTCCTGAGAGTTAGACAGCCGCAGTCATGGCGCCAAGATGATGCGCCATGCGGGAAACCAAAATCGTGATATTTTGATCACTTGATCGGACGCTCATGAGGCGGGAGTACGTGCTGTTAGACGCAGGCAGCCTCGGGGTCGCCTGGTCTGGGACGGGGACCATCTTGACGTTCCAGCCTTGCCTTCTTCGCTCTTCTTTTCGTTTCGCGCTTGGATAGTGGTTGTTTCTCCTCGCCGTCTCGGGTTGGTGCCGACTGTGTGGGTGTCAAGGATGCGGTGGAAGATTTCCTTTTCGTGCCGTTCAAGTTGAAGAAACCTGTTTCCGTCTCTTCTCGGCCGTCTTTCGTGGTTCCTTGCTCTTTGACGACGCTGTTTTTCCCTCTCGTGGCTTCTTGCTCTCTGACGACGCTGTTCTTCCCTCCCGCCCAACGAGCAGGGTTCGAGGCTTTCTCTTTCTGCGTCTGTTGGAGTCTCTCGACCTTTTTGGCAGGAATACTCGTATTCTCCGCCCCGCCCTCGATCGCCTGGACCACGCCGCGGAAACTGCTGCGCTTGAGGGCAGCCAATCTGACCACCTTCCCAGCCTCTTCACATAGTGCCTCTTTGCCCCTCTCCTGTCCTAAACCCCAGACCTGGGCGAGATTGATGACATCGTGTGGTCCCCTCACGCCCAACGCGTTCTTCGCTTCGCTGCTCAATATGATCCCTCGACCTCTGGTGGCGCGGATCAGCGCCGCCGACCCGCTGATCAGGTTCCTGCGCGCGTCGGGGTTTCCGCCCTGCACGCCGGGGCCGTAGCAGATCTCGAAGCGCACGCCGCGCTGCAGCGCCGATGACACGGTCGTGAACTTCAGCCAGAACGGCAGGCGCTGGCTGAAGTCGAGCGAGATGAGGTCGCAGTCCAGCGAGGAGCAGCAGAGCTGGAGGGCTTTTTCGTTCGTCGGACGCAGCGCCAGCAGCGAGTATTGCGACTGTAGGGACGCCAGCCGGTGGTTCTGTGCCGCGTCCGAGATGGTGAGCGTCAGCCGTGTCAGGACCGTCGTGATAGACTTGGGCACGGTCAGAGCAGAGACGGGGATCGTTGGGAGTGTGGGAGGCAGCTTGCCGGTCTCGGCCACCGACACCGCTACAACCGAGTACCCCAGTTCGGCGTGGAAGGCTAATGTGTGCGACTGGTCGGCGTGGTTGGCCGTGTACGGCACGTTAAGGTCGTGGAAGGGCATCGCGATGGGAATAGGGCTCGGGTTGCGTGTGGTCGTCGTCCGTGGATGACTCGTTCGTTGTCGGCAGCGGTCGCGGTCGCGGTCGTGAGTATCAGTATCATGGTGGCTGCTTGCCTCAGATGATAGGCATTGAGTTGGTCAACATGTGCTATGCAGGCCTCACTAGAATACTATCGCAGTTCGTGTTCCCGTTCCCAGCCAACATCCAAACGGAACTCATGGGCAGCGCAATGAAATTTGGAAATGGGCCAGGCGAAATACTATAACCATAGGGTAATTAATACGGATACTGTACTTACGAGTACTGTACGCGGTTCAAGGATGTGCCAAGGGTTATTAGGAAAACTACGGTCAGCACGCCGCTTTAAAAATTGGTCACGTACTCGTTAGGTGTTCGTTAAGGTACTCTGTACACCAAAAAGTGATGAGTGCGAATCTATCATTTCCCACTAGGTCCTTGATCCGATCGACAATACTACCTTTACCTAGTAGGTAGGTAGGTACCTAGTACGAAGGACAACGCCCGGTAACTCGTATGAGTATTGTACTCTCGCCAGTGGCTTCGCTCACCACAGCCCACTCCTACCAAATGCACACCCCTGTGTGCGAGATACCTCTTACCCTCCCTCCGACCATCCCTCAGTCATCAGTCCCTGTTCTGCCGCATCTTCGCATCTTCCGGGGCCTGATCGTCAGGTCATTGCTAGGCGGACTCGCGGAATCTTGGGATTTCATCCTTGTTCCGTGGATACGTCGTCCTCCTCACTCCTCAGATCCGCCGTCACATCTGCGAGCATTCTCCTTGTCACTCAAATCCTGTCTCCGGTGGTTCATATTGCACACAAGACAAAAGATATAACATTCTTGGACTTGCCTCCCTCCATTATTGACTCCTTCCAACCAGACCACAAACAACAAAAAAGTCTCTCGCATACAATGACATTGGTTACTCGTCGACACACCCACACACCCACACACACATATGATCTATCGGTCTTCGACGACCAATACTCACAACAACATGCTCACCTCCAAAAACAAACCCGCCATCACCGCCTACCGAGTCTACTTTACCACCTCGGTCAATCCAAACTAGACAATGAATGCCGTCGACAAACACCCGACCTTCACAGGATAGTTGCACATGCTTCCAATGTCGACAGTGTACGACGCTGGTCTCATGACCTCACCGAACTGTCCGAGACTGTTCCCGTCGACTCGAGCTCTGATGACGAAGATTCGGATCCATTCAAAGACTGCTACGAAGAAGAAGACAGCGAATATACTGCCCCGGGTGGCGACGTTGCAATCTTTGGCTGTGACATTGGGGACGAAGATGCCCATGTCATCGACGCTACGTAGCAGGACCTGAAAGCCTACGGCCTCAACACGACCACGTCCCAAACAACGACTGCTCCAGCCAGCCCCAAGAGAAGACCTCCACCACCACTGTCGACAAAATACGAACTCCAAGATCAAAGTTTTGTTTCCAAACAAAACCGACCCGTCATGATTAGAGAGACGGCCGTGGAGGTCAATGAAGATGATTGAATTTTATTTGATAAATTTGTTTTCTCGAGCGATCAACTAACTAACCTTGTACTTTTTCCTTACATGATTGATACCCACGACACTTACGAATGATTTACGACGTTGAAGATGAAACGTTGAGCATCTGACATGATCCTCGGGGCATGATAGCTCCGTCCATCCATCCTCCCCCTCGCCGCCAAACCAAACATACCTCAGCCGAAAAGCAATCACCACCATCCTCTCCACTGCTAGCAATAGTAGTCGTGGCTATATTGAAGCCAGCCTGAAGTAGGGCAAGTGTTGGATGATGATGATGACATGGGTTGTGATCGAAAGAGAGAATGTTGGTTCGCATCCCCTATTGTGGGCGTGATATCTCCCCACCCGATCCTCCCCCCTCTTCCATATGGATCTCAGCTTCAGGCGGGATTTCCAAGTGAAACCGCGAGCTGCGACATGAAAGAGGAATCGGTTTATCATTAGTCGTACGTCACGAGTAGGACTCCGTACAAAGGTTGGGCCTTTCGAGTTTCAATGGCGATTTGCTCTGGCTGGGGGACGGGGAACAGAGAACAGATCAGTGTGTACAGTAGGATGTTTATACCATTCTCCGGACTATACGGAGTAATAATGAAGCAATTCTTTTTCTCAACGGGCATGGGATCTACTCGTACATGGTTTGCCTTGATACAGACGCCCCGGCAGCGGTTGCCGCCCACCGTGATGATGCAATGTTGTTTGGTTTAAGCGTAATGTGTTGTGTCAAGTCTCAGGTGCCTTTTAGATGCCCGGTGCTCGCCAGATACAAGTGCTTTGATCTTTGTTGATTGTCTTTGGGACGGAGAGCTCCTTGAGTTCAAGTCACGTCAAACACCTTCATCACATCTCAAACACAATGGAGTCAGTAAGTTCATTTCCTTCCCTCCCGCTGAGATCTAGATTGTCACCAGATGCAGACAAGAACGATGAAGTCGAAAGGCTTCGTGCGGAACTGGCGTTGGTCAAAAGGGAGCTTGACAACATGAAGGCCAAAAAGCGCCTAGGGGATTACGCGGGCGGCCTCTTCAATTTCATCAAGCAACATGCACCAAACAACGCCCAAATCAAGTGCCATGCGACCCAAATTGCCAAAAAGCTAGAGGATTAGGAATCTTCCGGCAAGCTTGCAAATGACGCTTAGTATGGGTCTTTTGAGAAAGCTGTGACCGCTGCCAACAAAGTCGACCGAAGGGTCGACATGTCCACCGCAACATTTGCCACTAGGGAGTACGCTTCCCGGAATGAAATGTTTCACTCCAGAAATATGGCACTAAAAGCCGAACAAAATTGGGAGGGCCTAGCAATGCAGGCCGATGAAGACGTCGCTGCCCTGCCGGCAATTCTGCCGGAAGAATCGGACGAAGACCTCGAGAAATGGAGAAAGATCATCCATCTCTACAAAGCCCAGCACGTCGTCTATGACAAAGACGCCGACCAATGGGCGCCAAAACGGGCGGTCAAGCGGAGTGCCTCCGAGCCAGCACCAGGTCCGTCCGAGGGGGCTCCTGGTTCCTCCAGTGCTCTACCACAGACTGGTACGAGCAGAGATATACGCCGGTTACCTTTGGCAATACAGGAACAATCATTCCTGGCAGGCAATTTCCGGGCAGAGGAGACGCCAATCGTGCAAGGTCTTGTCAGCTCGCAACGGCGAGGACTTCGGTCCGATTCGACCAAACCCGGCGCCCTGAAGCGAAAGCATGAGCTTCTCGAGGATGAGTCGGACACCATGAGCAAACGACAAGAGGTGGTGGATCCTCGGCTGGACGTCGCCACAAGGGAGGACGAGGGCAACGCGGCCATCAACGAGGCATTGAGCGCCCATGCCGAGCTAGCTGCGGTGGACCCCCAGAAAGCTGGGGCAATACTGAAAAGGTTCAAGGACGACTGCAAGAGGGGCCTTGGTGTCTATCAACATCAGCAGACAAAGGCAGCAGCGAAGGAGAGGAGGGAGAGGGCGACATCAGAGAGGCCGGCATAAGAATGAGGTGGATTGTTTGTCAGACCTGAACACTTAGGCAAATAGTAATTAATTTGTTGGGCCTGAATATGCCATCAGACTATTCATTCCTCAAGGTTGAGCCAGACTTGCGCAAACTCTTGAGTCATATCGAGTCCACTCTGAGGACCTTTGAGGACCGTCAGGTAAGACAGCAAGGGTATCTATAATTAACACGTTCGCAGTCACCAGGGTTCCTTCCAAAAGGTTTGTCTCAAGCATCCTCACTTACGATAAATCAGAAGCTATCAAACTATCGTGGATTCCCTCCCATCAGAACTTCGACGTATGATATACGACGAGTGCGTGAAAATCCGCGCACACGGGTTGCTATACGTGAACAGAAAGTTCCACAACGACCTTAGGGCTCATTTCAACAAGGAGGACTTTGTTCTCGGCTTTCACATCGATCCTTCCTCCTCCTCCACAACGGTCACCATCATCAACCCTGACAACTCCACCTGGGGCCGCCACAGTGTCCTCGATGTTGCAACGCCGCACCCTGACTACAGCATTCTCGATTCGATGCCCATAGACCGATTCAGGGGCATTCGCATCCTGATCGACCCGCCAAACATACACGATCCAGGCCAAGTCGTTCGAGGCTGGCTGCAATCCACCTCCCTAGTGACGGCTTTGCTCCCTCGATGGGCGGACCCAGAGAAAATCCCCGTCACCGAGGAAGACATCGTCGTCCCAAAGTCACGAGTGTCGGCTCGATTGCCCCCCATCGCCATCAAGGTTCGAGACGGCAAGACACACAAATGGCACACTGGAGGGTCCTGGAACAGAACGCTCCCCGACATTACCGCCTGGGATCAAGTTCAGAGAAGATTGGTTGACAATGGGGAAAGCTTTTCAGACTTGGAACTTATGCTGACACCGTTGGCACGCGTCCGAAATACCGACGCCATTTCATTCGACCTGCCGTCCGGCGCACCTGTGGGTGGCTCCTGTGAGGACCTCCAGAACCGTCTCGTCGGTCTCGCCACCCGAAAGAAATTGTTCGGCCTGGAGCGGTCCGATTACCCGTCCATCCCGGAGGGGTTCGAGGAACGAGAAGACGACGATGACGACATGCAGATAGATGAAGATGGTCTTTACGTATGGCTCGACTATCTTCTCGACGATATGCGCGGGCCGTCGGCCGCGGCATTGAGGCGTGACCGATTCAAGTTCTGGTGCTCAGAGTATGATTACCAGATGGGCCGGCGCATTCACGGCACGAGGGCCGCCGACCAGTATCTCTTTGGCGGCGCTCAGTGGGCCATGAGCGCCGTTCTTTACGAGGCTATCGAGAACAGCTTTCACGATAGGTTCATGAGTCTTCGCGAACACGAAAACGCCGCGTACAGAGACGTGCTTAGAAGGCACGGGCAGTCGGTCTACATCCACGCGAATAGAATGACAGACAGGAACGTCCATTCAGAAAAAGTATACATCCGCAGACTGGAGGATCCAGAATTGCGCAGTTGCCTGACGTTCTAGGAGCTCTGCTATCCCGCCGGGATCGAACCCAAGTCTCAAAACGACAATTGGGAAGACACCGAACAGATGCATCTTAAATATCGGATCCCGGTTCCAGAGCAGACAGCCGACGACACAGGGAGCCAAATTTATTGGTCAGAATTTATCTGGTGCGATGATTGCGACCGGGATTTTTCGAAGGGGCAAGACATTCAGGAAGACAACAGAGAACGGCTCGAGTTTCTCTACAGCTTCTCGACGCAGCCCCGCCCTTTGCTGTTGGGGCCTATCGAAGCCACTGGAGCTATACGTAGGACAAAACAAAATGGACTTGGATGAGAGGTCAAGCCATCGAAGGGGACATGTCTTGATTTTGGCTTCGGTTTCGAGTTTTTTTGGGGGGGGGGGCGAGCGTCATGAGATTTTGTCTTGTCTGCTTTGGTTTTTGACATTATGATTGTGGAAAAGGAAACCCTCGTGTGCGGCTGAGTACTGGTAGACACCATGGATGTTATGCACAGTCCTCGGTACATTCAGCCGGACAAAAGATCAAAAGGTGGTGAGGACGAGACTTTAGAGAAAGACGCAAAGAGAGAATTTGTGTGTGTGTGTCATGATCTGGTCGCCCATTTCTTCCCGTTCCCTATTTGTCGGTAATCATCTTCGGTCGAAAAGGCCACCTATACGTTGTGACAACCAACCTCGACGTCTTTCTTCTGACCAGAGGTCATTAGCCATTTGCTTTACTTGGACCAACAAGTCCAAAAACATCATCCCTAAAAATGCCTAGGCACGTTGGCAACATACACCCCGAAACATGTTGTCAGATATGTTTTCTGCATGACAGTGGTCCCAGTCCCTCGTTGCTCATTGCCCAAAAACATCACCTTTGGCCTTGATGACTGGCGATTTGGATCTTACGGTAGTTATATAACGTACATGTAACACCGACGACGATAGTTACGTGGAATGGGCGGCGACGAGGTCTTGGCTATCGTATAAACCACCGTACCACCAGTACCACTAACCCTGATTAGGTAACTCCGAAGTGTGTGCGGTACGAAGTGTGTGTCGAAGTGTGTGCCCTGAGACATTCCCGGAGGAGGGCAAGTTCGATGCGGGTGATGGAGGGCGCTTGGCAGCACCGGCAATGATCGAACTGCTCCTGCTTTTAAGACGATCTGGACATGAGTATCTGGATGGTTGCTTACTCTGCGAACCCTTAGCCAGCTCATACACCGCCGCCCCCATGTTCAAATCATGCCAGTACTGTCAACACCGAAAGAAAAAGTGTGTCCTCCCGCAACCGTCTGCCTCGGACAGTCGTTGCTTGGCCTGCCAGCATTTCGACATCAAATGCGAGATTGGCTTTCGGAAGCCCAGCTTCAAGCGTCGACTGAAATCACACGAGGTTTCATCTCGGGTGTACACGCAATATTCGGCGAGGTCCAGTGCAACGCTGCTTCGGCCGACGGGTTCGCTGCGAGAAGCAGCAGTCGTTCATGTCAACAATGGCGACTGTCAGCTTCCCCGAGTCCGTGCTGATTCAGGCTCGCTGGACGCTGCCAAGATGATCATGACCGTGGACGAGACTGAGAGCAGACATATCGATCAGATGACCACAGCGGAGAAGTATCAGATGATTGTGTCATGCGAATTCCCATTCCTTCCTCGAGAAGCACTGCTATCGATGGAGGAGGCCAAGATTCCCGAAGCATTGAGTTATTGTGTGCATCTCGCAGCTCAACTATCTCTGCAGAACGAATGTGCAGGCCTGTCTGAATCACAGGTACAGAAGCTATCTATCCTCGTCAACCAGCAAGATCTTGATCTGATCCAAGCTGCCGGTCTGATGCTCCTGTTACCACGAGTGAATTTGACGTCAAGTATCGTCGAGAAGGTGAGTCAAAACATCGTTAAAGTTTTGAAAGGGAAGCCACAGTAGACTGATGCTTCCAAAAACAGGCATTCACACCGTTTGCTGCCATCGAGAACATCCACAACATTCCGCTACCAGTCTCGATCGGAGCCTTAACCGCGCAGACCTGGATTTGCCTTGTTGGTCACACTCTCCAGTCATCTCCTCCCAATTTGCCTCCAAACATGCTGCTTGACTACGCTGCAACCCTCGATCATGACACGTTTGCTCCACACTACTTGAGGCTGACACACCTGGCTGCGTCTTTTCTTGAACTCCGCAACACGACTACGATTCCGCAGGATGATGAACCCGTGGCACGAGAAGTGGCTCAAGAATGGGCTCGACTCGAATACTCGTGCCTGCTGAACGTAGCCCAGATGCCCTCCGAGTTCCTCGATGTGCGGGATGATATGCCGGCGACTCCTGCAGCCATCATCACCCACATGTTGCAGAGCTTGATCTACTTACGTTTGTACGGCTACGTACTCATCGAAAATCCTGCTGTTGGACGCGAAATCGGATTGCGGCCAGTTCCTGGGGTGCTCTACTTCATCTGTGCCATTTCACGCTCAATTTTTGTCTGTCAGCAGCAGATTGTCGAACACTGGTCACAATTAGCCCAGATCCAAGCCACGGCAGCGGAGACATTGCTAAGATTCTGGGAGCTGACAAATTTCGAGAATTGCAGAGCTCTCTTGAATCTCTGGGATCCACTGCCTGGTCAATTCGGGCTCTTAGAACAAACGATCAGGGAACGCATTGGTCCAGGCCCGTGGACCATCGAGCTCATTGATGGCTATTCTGTATTCTGGACATTCCGGGATTTGAGAAGCTTAAGCCTCGAGGTTCACATGCGTTCTTGAGCGACTCCTAATACTTGTTGCATTGGACGAATTCTATCTATACTGCATCCGCAGTTGCCACACCCAACTCGCTGTCGCCTTGGCCGAAATATAACAGCCACCTCCCTTTAAATTGCACCATGCCTTCACAAAACACCACCTGATCCACTTGGCCACTTTTCTCATTATGCTGATCGACCTCCAAACACGGCTGTTCCAGCCGGGCCAACGGACCTTGATCCAGATTCTCATAATCGATCAGCATCTGCCCAATAGAGTATTGGTTGTTCCGAAATCTGTCACCTCCAGTCGTGGCAGAGTTGTAAATCAAGATCCATTTTCCGTCCTTGGTCTGGACAGGCGATGGCCCGGGTTCCAGCAACCGGTTCTCCCACAGGTGCACACCAGTCGCAAACCAATCCTCAAAAGGTCGAGTCTTCCAGTTCACCAGATCCGTACTCTCGGCTCGATAGACAAAAGACTCGCCCCAAAGCATGTTGTATTTGCCCCGTGAATCGGCGACGGGGAAGATGGACGCGGCTTTTGTGAAACCTCGTCGAATGGCATGACGTCCAGACAGTTTCACTTCCACTTCGTCCCAGTCAGGCCATAACGGAGGGAACTTCTTCCAATGGACAAGGTCCGTGGAGGTAGCGAGACATAGGCGGGCAGTCTCTGTGTCGTACGCCGTATAAGTCATATATACAACGCCGTCGATGCGGACCACCCGTGGATCCTCCACCCCGCCACCTTGTTCATAGACCTCTGTTGGCGTCAGAACTGGGTGATCAAGCCGCGTGAAATGGATGCCATCATCTGACCAGGCCAAGCCAATCGTCGAGACCTTTGCCTCGTTTTGTGCGCGGTAAAGAAGAAACACTCTGCCACCTAGAACAAGGGCAGCCGCATTGTACAAGTAGCTCGACTCGAAGTCATATTTAGGATTTGGTGTCAGGATTGGATTCGAGGCGTGCTTCACAAAGGGACCGATCGGGAAGGTTGGCGCCACATAGTTGGTGTCACCCTCGACGGACTCCTGTGTGATCGACGGCGCTGTCGCCGAGTATAGTGTGGAGGGCATTGTCAAGGATTCAACCGGGGAGGTGGCCTTCTCGGTGAGGCAGACTGCCGTTTCTCGGGGGTTTATATGTCGCTGAACAGTCTATGCTTGGGCAAAAATCCTGGAGGATACCTTACCCAGATCACGCTTTGTCGGCGACATCGTCGGGATCAGTGAGTGTGGCTTGCCCTGGTCCCCGGAGGTCCCCAACAGGGTCCGGCAGAGACCAATGATCGCGTGGCGGGAAAAACGGCGGGCTTTGCAATGCTACGCTGGAACGAACCACAGGCCTAAGAGCCGCTTTGCCCCAGAAAGCCATTGCCGCGCGAACGTCGCTTAAAGGTTCCGGTAAGGGGGCAGATCGTCGGCGTCGGGAAAAACGTCGGAAACCAGTCGCTGGGGGTCAAGTTTGACCATTGATTGCGGAGCACTGTGGAGGACGTCCCCGCGGATTGAACTGATCGACAGCGGAGGGAGAAGAACGAGATCCGTTCAAGACGGGTACACGAGTATAAGATGTAGGGTTCCAGATCCCTCTGATGGAAAGCTGTCTAACCGCACAATACATCTTTTCTTCATCCTCAAGCAACAGGCACACCAGTTTACGGCCATCATCTCCCTTTCCATTTTTCCGATCAACTAGCGGCAACTGCTAACGACACACCATGTCGGTTACGGCAGAGGAGAAAGTTGGCCAGATCAACTTTGTCGAACATGTCCCTCAGGAGGTCAATATGCTGCGATCCCTCCGAGGTGTGGCTGCCCTCGAGGTAGCAGGCCGTCTAGAGCCTCCGGTCAAGACCAGCAAGAGGATGATTCAACTTTATATCATGTGTGGATTGATGTTCCTCGGATCCACCATGAACGGCTATGACGGTGCGCTCATGGGCAACCTCCTGGCCATGCCTGCGTTCCAACAACAGTTCGGGGCCACCATCCTCGGGATCAAGACCGGCATCATCTCCAGCATGCTGCAGATTGGCTCGGTGTCGGCTCTGCCTGCTGTCGGCCCTTGTGGAGATGTATTTGGTCGACGAGTGGGCATCTTCATCGGGTGCGCATTCATTGTCATGGGCACGATTCTACAGGGCACGTCACATCACTTGAATCAATTCATGGCCGGGCGCTTCTTCATTGGGTTTGGAGGCACGATTGCCAATGCCATCTGTCCCGCATACGTGGTTGAGTTCGCCCATCCCACCATGCGAGGACGCATCACAGGAATGTACAACACTTGCTACTACCTTGGAGCCATCCTTGCGGCGGCGGTGTTGCGGGGCTGTGTGAACTATACTGGCGACATATCATGGCTGATTCCAACGTGGCTTCAGATGGCCTTCCCGTCTATATTGCTGGTGCTTTGCCCTTTTGTCCCTGAATCACCTCGGTGGCAATATTCCCATGGCTATTCCGATGCATGCAAAGCCTCTCTCATCAAATACCACGGTAACGACAATCCTGATTCATTGTGGGTGTCACTGCAGATGAGAGAGTTTGAAGAAGAGCTGGAACTCGACGGAGCAGACAAAAGATGGTGGGATTATCGCTCCCTGTTCAACTCGCGTGCGGCGTTGTACAGGGTCGTGCTGTGTGCCGTGGCGATTTCGGCCTTCAGTCAGTGGACGGGTCAAGCTGGCGTGTCATATTTCCTGCCTGGTATGCTCACCACGACCGGCATTACCGACACCGAAACCATTCTCGACATCAACCTGGGCACCACCCTGAGCTCCGGGATTGCAGCTGTGACCGGGGCCAATCTCATGGACCGTTTTGGTCGGCGCAAGATCCTCATCACCTGCTGCGCGACTCTCACAGCTATCTGGGCCATCATGGCAGCATGCACAGGAGTCTACTATCAAAACCAGGATGCAACCGCGGCACGGGCATCCGTCGCTTTCATCTTCTTGATCGGCATGGTCTTCAGCTTTGCATACACACCACTGCAGGCCATGTACCCGGTCGAAGTCCTCGCTTACGAGCAGCGCGCCAAAGGCATGGCTCTCCAAAACATGGCGGGAAACGCAGCGGGTCTCGTCAACATGTTTGCCATTCCAGTGGCATTGAAGGACATTACATGGAAGACTTATTTCGTCTTCCTCGTCACATGTGGCCTGGAGACCCTTTACTACTGGTTCGTCATGGTCGAAACCAAAGGCCACACATTGGAAGAGATGAATGAGATTTTCCGAGCCAAGAACCCCAAACAAGCCAGTTTGATTCAAAAGGACCAGGTCGAGGAAGCCGTGTTGATGGTGAAGGAGGTGGCGCAGATGAAACAGGTGGCGTAGTGTACAACACCTGTTTTAGCAGGACATTTCAGAGCCGCACGTTTCCCTTGATGAGAAATCTAGCGGTGGGTCTATCAGTTTCCACATTGATCTCACGCTGTCCGGATAGCCTGATCTAACGACTAACGTCCTCCAATAGTGGCCCCAGGCCCTAGGATGGATGCTTGATCATATTTCCAGACTGTCCAGTCGCCCCTCCAGGGAGTTTGGGTCTGTCACAGAACTCGCATTCAGCAAAGCCGACAGTTTTCTTTCCCCTGCAATCCACAACTCATACCGAATGTTCCGGCCGATTTTGTGAAACTTGGCTTCATATCTGAGAGTGTAATATCGTCTTCTCGTCTCGTCTTTGAAGATGTAATTGTGGCTCAACACCGGCGCTCGTAGCCTGCGTAGCTCTGCTCCCGTGACAGTGTATTCGATCCGACCTTGCGGTACACATCCTCGTGAGGCGTTAGCGACAGTATCTGGTGGTGCTGGAACAACACCTACCCTGGTTTTTCGCATGCGTGAGGGGGAAATGATTTTCCAGACTGTCTCCCGTTTCATTGGAGAAGACGGCCAGATTGATGGTCAGATCTGTGGTGATGGTTTGGAATGTCCACTCCAGGCTTCCACTGGCCTCAAGGTCGCCCATGTCGATGTCACTCAAGTCGAAAGTGCCACCGCCGGGAGGCACCACCTGTCCCTTCAGAAGCTTTAGCGTATGTAGGCCAGCATCGGGGGCTTGCAGGTCAACGGCAACTTACTTTACGCACAAAATAATTCACGCAATCCAGAACGTACAGTTGCCCATTTTGTTCATCCGTGACCGGAATGCAGTTTCCCTCATGATGGCCTTCATATTTGTGTGGTTGATAAGGCTCCTGACGAGTGAATCCATACGAAGCTCGCATGATCTCGGACGGGCCTTCTGCTCGGTTCATATATCGCATGATACCTCCAGCAGATATCGCAGTAGCTCTTGGACAGGATGTCAGATCAATCCAAATCTCTTCAAATGGACTTACTCAGTGAAAGGAAATCGGAGATCGCATTCTTTTTCTTTCAACGCTTCCCGCAAGTAGTATTGAACCCATTCGGAAGAAGCAAACCCTCCAACGAGGAGGACTTTCTGTGAGATGGTGGTCAGATACTTCCGTCTAGCGCTGCATCAAGTACAACAACGAACTTTGCATTCGTAGCCTGCGCTGATAGCTTTGTGTCTCTGTGATTCGATCAACCGAACTATATGCTCTAGCCGTGGTTCAAACAATTTTCTGATCGTACTCCTAGGTTCGGTGAAGTGTTAGCTGGAGATGTAAACAAGTGGTAGAATTACCCTACCCGTCTGCGACAATGGCACTGGAAGGCATCTCGTCGGTTGCTCGTGCTCCCGGCACCACAAGAAAGACCTTCTCGTCAAGCTCGGAAAACTCTCGTTTGGTTCTGCTCTCGAAGTCTGTGGTGGCCGTCTCTGCCACTTTTCTGAATCCTCCAACCTGCTTATCTAGGTCTGCGTACCGGTTGTCTCCCTGAAACTTCTGCAGCAGCCATTGATAGAAGGCTTTATCGACATAGCTTGATCCACACAAGCCCCCTGGAGCACAATATCAGTTGATGGTCACTAGATAGGGCTGGATTATAGTACCATCACCAGCGACTATCTCGTCGATCCGGGGAGGCCATACGCTTTGTAACACATAGGTGACTAAATCCTTCACGTAGCGGTTAGGGCTTCAGTACGCAGAATTTGAAGGGATTTGCCGTACCACCGTCCCCCCTCCACAGTCACATATGATGAACGCATCTCCATCCTGGATTGGGTTAGCATTCAAAATGATGCCACTGGGCCTTCTGAACAGACCTTTAGGAATGGATAGTCCGATCTCTCAGCTGCGCAGAAATAGGTCGCTGCTGCATCTGGCTCTGACACAAGGAACACGTCTTGCTCTTGCCCAAGGTCGGCTTCTCGCGCAGCACGCTCAAGACCTCGCGTCATGATGGTATCAGCATTCCCAGTCCAGATGGCTGGAACAGTCAAGACCAGCTGAACTGAGTCTGTTGGTTGGAGACCATGCTGTGTGGTCAATTCGGTGCGCGTGTGTCGCAGGAGTCGCACCAAGAATTGAAAGATGACTTCCTCACGATCCAAGCCAAGCCTTGTCAAGCTAGTAATGGCTTCTCTCCGACCATCCTGTGTGTATTCCTTTTCGTCGAGGAGCAATTTGAACTTATGTATCCGGACGTAGTTGACATCGGCGGGGAACTTTAGTTTTGCGTGTACAGGGTATCCCCAGTCGATCGTGTTATTCTCCAGGTCGTAGAGCAACTCAGTGGGCACTTCGTAGCACTTCGCTTTGCTGAATTTTGGTGCCTTCGGATAATTCGTGATGTGACCGATATCCTTGGGGTGAATTTCACAGCCAACGCTCGGGTTGTCGCCAGATGCCTGTCTGGACCTATAAAAGGAAACGGAGGAATAGGTCGTACCGAAATCGATACATACTGTGACGGCCATAGCGATCACACCTGCGGCACTTGAGTTAGGTCTGCCTGTTTCCGAGCCCAGACGCTGGCCGATGCTGCAGTTGGAACCGTTAACTCGTCTCCAGCCGAGCTGCGATTCTCGAGGGCGACCTAGCCGATTTAAATAAACCCCCAACCGTGATCATGCGCAGTGGACAAACATGGCATAGCACAAGGCAACTGCGAGGCGGCCACAAGACGACCACAAGGCATCCTGCGACCACACGGTCGTCTGCCTGGAGACTGCAGATGCAACACCCGCCAGCCAATTAAACCCTCAAGTTTGGCGCCATGCCAGCGCACTCTGGCTGGCATTTAAGAAGGCTGTGTTTTGCACAATCGAGGCGGTCTGTCCATCTCTCTGTCAACGCAAATCAGCAAGACAGCCTTCCGGAAGACACTACCAATATGGCCGAGCTGCCTAGATCCGAGCAGCGCCCCCAAAAACCGGTGCGCTGGCCTCGCCGCGCCTTAGCATTTGTCTTAGCATTTGTTAGCGAGAACAGCGAGACTTTTGCTAGTCACAGCCGCACCAGCGGCTTCAGATCGCTGACAGAGCAGCTGAATGCGATAGTTCGACCAGACAAGCCATACGAGGCCAGTCACGTTCGATCCAAGTTCGAGAGCATCTGGAGGAATTCCGGGCATAATGCAGACGGAACGGTCGAGCCACTCTACCAGTTCGGCGTGCACTGGGCGACCCTTCCGGGCCTTGAACAAAAGGAGAATGTTACCTTCCAAGATGTCCGGGATGCCATCGAAGACTTGAGACTGTAAGCCCAGCTTCGGATTGATCGTCGATCATCTACACCTTCGCGATACTGATGACTGGCGCTGTAGACGAGACCAAACGTACAGGAAGACAAGTTCTCGGGAGTCTCGCGACAGGACAGTATACTCCAAGTCTAAGAACAGGGGCAATGCCTTGATTCGACCATGGGTGATCAAATGCTTGTGCCCATTCGACACTGAAGATGGCGGTAAAACTGTCCAGTGCGAAGGATGCAAGACTTGGCAACATATGTTCTGCTACTACGAAGCAAACATAGATCCACATTTCTGCGCCGACTGCGCAGACGCTCACACCCACCCACAGGCTGCTAAAGCCTCCCTGAACCCTGAGACAGATATCATCTCTGGTCTGGGAGACCTGTCGCTTGCCGGTGATGGCGATGGTGATTTGGAAGCGACGGTAGCTACATACCTCTGGGGTTTGACCCATGGTGATATCTTGCTGACGTACGCTATCGTAGAGTCGCGGAGAACTATTGACCAAGGTCCGGCAATTGGAGGAGCATGCGAAACGACAACGAATTAATTATCATGCCCAGCGCAGGCAGATCGTGGCGCTACAAGCCGCTCTCGACCGCGAAAAAACCATGGGCACGTTCACGACCTTTCGTTCAATTGACCTAGCTCACAGTCTCGCGGATGCGCCGACTGACTTTGGGATGAGACGCACCATTGAAAGCGTTAGCTACTTGCTAGGGCAATTAATTACCAATCTGCCTTGGAAGCATGGTCAATCAGACATCGATAAACTTCTCAGGAGTGGCATAGACTCTCCCGACTTGGTCTCAGCTTTGGGCGACTGTCTTGGAATGGATCTTTCAAAAGCTGTTGCCCGTCGGGCAGGACATTCCCGAGCCCAGCTTACCGGTTTGGACTCCCTCGATTTACTCAGATATCTGATCTGGACAATGATTCGGCAGTGGGTGTTCTATTCCGAGATCTTCAAATTCGATCAAGACCAAAGCCCAATTTCCAATGTTGTCAACGCTTGCATTTATGAAAGAGGTTTGTGATCAGATTCCGATAGATGACTTTCGGCTTATGAGTCTCCAGATGGCCCTGTCGCTTTCACAAATCTACAATATGCAGCTTGGTGTATCTTGACCGAAGACGGGTCATCGTGGTTTGAGAACACAATCAAACGGCTTGCGTCGGAGCTGTCAATTCGGTGCATCAAGGCCTTAGCACCGCTCATATCCTCCGAACTAGGCGGGAGCCTCGATGATACAACTGTGCTTTCGAGTCAATGGCAGGTGACTAGAGACTATCTTGAAAAAATGCTTGCTGCCTGCATAAAGCTGAGAGGGAGACTGCCACTGAGGCGTGCCATGTTCCAACTCTACCTCCCTAGCCCCGGGACAAGGTATGATGCATCTTTTATGGAACCCGACCGTCGCATCTTGGACCTGGATGTGTCTCGGCAATCGGTCATCGTCTCGACAGGTCCCGCGTTTCTATACTACCGTGCCGTGGAAAATCGTGGAGACGAACAAGATTCCCCGACAATTTCAAGAGTGAGTGAGTGCATGGTTCATCATGAGAGCTTCGAGGAGGCAAAGGCCATCATCCCAGCGTCGGTCATCCTCTGATACCTGCGGGAGACATGGCGATTTCGAGGCACTGCTAAACACATGGAGAGAAAGCGAAGAGTTGTCCACGTCCCAATTCGGAAGTGTATAATAAACCCTTCCAATGTGCCTGTGCTAAACCATGCCAAGATTGATGTCTAGTCTGTTTCATGACAATCTCCAGGCCAATAGGTCCCAAAAAGGCCGCGGGCCTACTCCACATCATGTCTAGAATCTTAAGAATTACTGTGAAAAGGTCCGATTCGGAAATATTTGTAAAGATCTTGAATGTATTCCCGGACGATCCGGCCATGAACAGTGGCACGCCAGCATGAAGCAAGGAGTAAAAGCGGCCCGGGCAGAATGGTGGCTACTGATGCATTGACTGGATTTCCGGCGAAAGAGTGGTATCCGTCCACTTCGAGCACTGAGTTTGCCAACTACCCTGGGACCGCAGTGCCAAAACTCTACACTCTTCTGCCCAAGAACCGAGCTCTTAACTCTTCTGCCTAAGAACAACCGAAATCAATCAAGTATCAGCTAGAGCTCAGTCCGTGACGATGCCGTCGTCCAGCTCGGGGCGCCACTCCAGGCACGAATGCGTCCGCCGTACAATTGCACCAGACCAATGCCGATGATGATTCCAAAGGCGGTGATCATGGTCTGGGCTGCGAAAGCCCATGTATAACCTATTTGAGGTTAGATGTGAGTTGATCGGGTTACAGGGAGATCAATGGTGAATGATAGGAGACAATGACCTTAGATCAATGATGGGCGGTAAGAGATAATCATCTTAGATCCCAAGGAAGAACGACAACAGGGGCATAGCACATACCAGAAGCTTCGACCCAGTAGTTGATGAACCATGGCTCTGCGAATGCGGATAGCTAGCGACATAGAGTGGTTAGTTTTCATGTCTTCTTTCTCGATCTCGGGTAGAAAGTGCTTGAAGGGGCAACGGAGATGAAGATGAAGGGACGGGCGTGGAGAGTGCTTCAAGGGGGAATGAAGATGAAGGGACCGGCGTAGAGAGTGCTTGAAGGGGCAATGAAGATGAAGGGACCGGAGTGGAAAGTACATACATTGAGAATCACCGAGTAGAAAGTAATGATGTCTATGGCGTAGTCGGGGTAGTTGTCGACAATATACGATGAAATGACTGTGTTTCCCATTTGCAGGCCGGCGGCGAAGATGAAAGACGCCACTTGCCCGGTGATCCAGTGCCAGGATCGGGCAATACTAAGGCCCCAGACTAGCAGACCGACTAAACCACACCCAGTCGATTAGCAAAAAGACAGTAAGACAGTAAGACAGTGACTGAGTATTGGATAAATGCCTGTAGGGGCCGAGTCATGGATATTCAGAATGCCTGTGGGGGACTGGGTCATGGATATTCAGAATGCTTGTGGGGGACTGAGTAATGGATATCCAGAATGCCCGTGCCTGTTGGGTCTGAACAAGGTGAAATGGCAAGAGACCTACCAGCTGAGAAAACCGCGCCAGGATATGCTAGCCACAATCGCATCTCTGGCACCCTGGTGCCGCCGTTCTTGGCCGCCAGCCTCGCCACGAGCCAGTCACTCAGACGGCCGGAGAAGGCAACCTCGGCAATGACCGTGCCCAGCATCAGACCGATAACAAATAGACCTTGGATGTCGACCTTGTAGTCTTCGTAGGCGGCAGGCAGCATGGTCAAGATGGAACTGCACCACCAGTACTGGAAGAAGACGTACATGAGTACGGGCAGCACCACAGTGGGGTAGCGCCACATGTAGCCAAAGTGAATCAGAGTCTCCCAGACATTGGGGTGGTTGACAGCTGGGATCTTGCCGACATACTTTGAGGTTGCGTCGTTAGCATTGAGTCGCGCGTCTAGGGCTGAACAGAATGAAGGAAGATTGGGGGACGGGCAAGTCAAGGGGAAAAAAAGAAGATGGAAAAAAATGGCTTGGGGCCAACCTGGAGCAGGTTCCGAGGGGAAGACAAACCAAGTATCCGAGCTGACGAGTGCGTTTGACATTGAGACCGATACCGATCATGTTGCCGGCTTTCTCTCCATCGCCTGATGTTTGTGCGGCCGACACTGCCGTCGACTCGTCATGGGCGTGTGCCAGGACGTAGGATCGTGGGTACAGCGTCTCTGGCAGGAAGACGACCTCTAATACCAGAAGGACGGCGAAGAGGATGATGACATGGTACTGCACCCAGTACTGATCCACCAATGCAAGGAAACCGCCGACTATTCATTTAAAAAAAAACACAATCAGTCAACGTCCATGTCCAAATAGACTCGGGATCCGAAAGCCTCAAGGGACCACTTACTCAGAACGCCGGTGTATGTTCCCATATCGATGGCCAGCACCCACAGACCAACGCGGAAACCTCTCTGGTGTTCGAAACTCAGATCATTGATAATGCTCAGCCCGACGGTGGCGGCAGGACTGGCGCCAAATCCTTGGAAGAAACGCGTGGCCATATAGCCACCCAGGCTGATGTTATGTAGACTAGAGCAGCCGGTGGCGATGATGGCGATGCAAGTGCCAGTGATCATGATAATGCGGCGACCGTAGATGTCGGCGAACGATGACCAGAAGAGAGGGCCAACAGCGAGTCCCAGGGATGGAATAGCAAGCGTCCAGTTGACCTGGGTGTAAGTCTGAGTTGGGCAGAATTGTCAGTGTCAGTTGTAGCTCATATCTTCTACCAAGAGGGTTTACGGAAAAAATGGGAGAGGGACGGGGGACTTGGACGAACCGCATTGAATTGTTCCTCGAGTAGTCCAAAGACTGGAATGGGTGCAACACAGAGATATCTGGCCATTTAAGGGACAAAGTCAGCGACAAACTTCAGACAACCATATTGAGCTCTCTTAATTTTTCCTCCGCTTGACAGTTGAGCCGGGCAAAAGAATAGGAAAGAATACCCACGTACGTGAAGAGGAAGTAGGAGAACATCACAGTGGCGATACATATGTTTTTCCTCCACGCCGACCAATTCAACGGATCCATCGGGTCGTCCGTAGGTGTTGGATATAAAGGGTTCATGTTGGGATTTAATCGGCGGGAAGATGCCAGTCCGTCCATCACACCGTATCCAACATTGTCAGGCTGCCCACTGCTATTGTCGAGAGCGGTCTTTTCGTGGCTGTGATCTTGCGGTGCCTTCGTTGGCGTTGTGACGGTAGGCATCTCGAATACAGATGCCCCAGATCCCGACAAGGAAATCCTCTGACGATACTGGCTTGGTGGGAGAAAATATGAAGGTGTAGGTCATAATAATAGTGAGGGCCCAGTCGACCCAGAATCGCAGTCTATACATATACATATGAACAATAAACCCACGTTCGGCCCAAACAATCTCGTGGCGTCGTGGCGTTGTGGCGACGTGGGTCTATTGAATGAGCTCCGAGCGCCGTACGGAGTACCAGTATGATTTTTGGTTATCTTATCAAACTTACTATATTTCTTATCATGCGAACTTTTGATTGTATGATGCGAATACAATCGCCCAAGTTGGAACATCATTGATGACTTGGAAGCTCCTAGACGAGGATCACTGATGGGTCTAGGCTTCAGGAAATCATGATCCTTATCTTTTAGGTAGTAAAGTATATTACCTATACTGCGTCTAAATAAGCTAATACTCGGTGCTCGGAGCTCGATAAGAAAGGTGGAGGAGATGTGGCAATTGTCAGCCTTAGTGGGTCTGTCAATATCGTATCCAATATGGGTCAACAACCGGAGCTCGGTGCTCCTTTTCTGGGTACTGATGAGCCTGAGGAACCCCCTCAGGTCGGTAGCAACTGACACCCTATTAACTTATTAAGTAATGGGATGCGAAAACATCGAGACCGGAGTGATCACTCCGCGCATCTTCCAACAGTAGTAGGGGAACAATGTGGAAGATATATAACTGTGGTCCATGGTCTTGGCTCCGAGGCTTCTCTACCATTTCTCCATCTTCTATTCGTGTTCGTACGATTCCTATCAATACACACAGGCGACACGCAACCACAGCCACGATGACGCAGATTCTCTCCCCAGCCGCGACAGATACTTCAGCATCGCATTCGGTGGGTAAAAGTGGTGGACCGAATGCACCTGCGCCTTTGGAATTCCATACCAAGCCCACCGAAACCATCATTCCTGCGGCTCATGGCTATGCTGAAGCTCTGAAAGCCGGCACCATCTTCCGTCTGGTCGATCTTCACGGGCTCCAAATCATCGACATGAGCGCATTTGTTCTCCCCTACGCCTATGGCTCGATAGCATCAGCAGAACATCTTTCTCCATCCTACACATTACACCACACGAGAGGGACACCCATCACAGTGGGCGAGCCCATCTACTCCAACATGGACCGAGAACTCCTCCGCCTGGTTGGCGACACGTGCAAAACGCACGACATGACCTTCATGTCATGCTTCCCCAAGATGTATGAGGACCGCGGCCTGCCAGGCCATAGATCGTGTGCACAGAATATGGTGGAAGCCTTCTCCCGGTTCGGTATGCAAGGCCTTCCCGAAGTGAGGGAGCCCTTCAATGTGTTTCAGAATTCACCCTACTTTTGCAAAAAGGCCTTGAACTGTTCGAGGCCCGGCGATTGGGTCGAGTTTGAGGTGCTGCTGGACTGCGTCGTCGGTTGGAGCTCCTGTCCTTTTGATCAGGAGGGTTGGTCGGGCGGGACTCCCACGGATGTGTTGGTGGTCACTGGTTTATCTAAGGGGGAAAATGGACTGACAAGTGATTATGAAATGAGCGAGGATACCTATAAAAGGATCTACGGAAAAGGAAAACACGAGTGATGGTTCAAAGTCCTGCCAAATCAATGTACAGTGGGTGTCTCCAGTCCTGCAAATCAATATACAGTGAGTCTCTACATGTAAACAAATCTCTATATCAAACTGAGGAATTAGAATATATTTGTCTGATACATCCTACGTGGGATCAATATTAACCAGCTGCGTCCTGGTCAAGGACTATGTCAGTTCATTACTGGTGCAGCAATTCCCCAATATATTCTGCCAAAGCCAAAATCTTCTCTTCGTGAAACCTCCTCCCAACCAGCTGCACCGCGACGTGGGCGCCATCATAGATCTTAGGATCATCTATCATGGTAGACATCTGGTTAGTACTAACAATAATTCTCGAATTATGGTGGGTTTTGGAGCTGACGGGAGGAAACCAGGCATCGGCCATGGACGGGACAGAGAAAAGTGTGACTTACAATCCTCATGGACGATCTTGTCCTTATCCGAGATCGGCTTATACTCATCGTCCACTCGATCAATTTTGGCATCAATGTTCGTGACTGGGATTGTTATGGCGGTGTAGTCGAGTCCGTTGAGAATCATTGTATAGCCGGCATAGACGGATTTTCCCTTCCTGGCTGCTCCATATGGTGCTGCAGGCATGAGGAAAGCATCTACCGGGCGGCCGGTGCCTGTCTGCTCGGTGGTGCTCAGCCAATAATCCAGATACTCTTTCTTGTAAGCCCGAAGCTCTCGATGCAGAGCAGCGACTTCGCTCGCACTGGCTTCGGTTGTCGGCGCTGGCCCGTAGGCCGCATAGACGTGAGGAATCATAGGTTCACCGGAAAGAGCAAAGTCTTTGTGGATATCAGCGCCTCCGTCAAGGTGCCAGTGTCTCTGTACGAGAGTGACACCCTGAGAGTGTGGTGGAGGTTTCCACTCGATAATCTTGTGAGAGGCTTTTTCAAGTACTGCGCGTACAAGATCAAGAGCCCGAAGCACCGGCGGGTGGGGTTTGACGACACCGTCATTGACCAGCATCCCGAAACATAACGGGGAAGAGCTGGAAATTAGAGACCGGACTTCGTCTTCTTGAGATTGCCTCCAGGGGAGTTCAACAACCAGAGGGTCGTGGAGCCAAGGCTCTTGAGACAAGACGGACTTGAAAAGAAGTCGGGCCGACCAGGCGGTGGTCGCAAGAGGTCCTAGAACACTGACCATACTGCTCTGGCCGTCCATCGAATTCGCTGTCCCCTCGTAAGGGATCCTGCCTGCTGATGGACGGAGCCCGTAGAGCCCATTGTATGCGGCTGGAATCCGAATACTACCCCCGATATCTGAGCCAAATCCTGCCGGGGATCCTCTCAGACCGATCAACGCCCCTTCACCCCCAGAACTACCTCCGGCGGTGAGGTTGCGATTCTTGGGATTATAGGTAAACCCAATGATATTGTTGGATGTCTCACCCGACATGAGTGTATGCGGTACGCTTGTTTTGCAGTAAAGTACGGCTCCTGAGGCTCTTAATTCCCGAACCAATTCGCTTTCAAAGGTTCGTTTTCTCCTGTCGTCCTTGTTTCCTTGAAAGGTATCGATCCAGCCAACATAGCCCATAGTTGTGTCGACACCCTTGATATGGAATTGGTCCTTGAGACTGACCGGCAAACCATGCAGTGGGCCTACAGAGGTTTTGAAGGTGGCAAAGTGCTCGTCAAGCAATTTGGCGTCAGCAAGAGCCGCATCGAAGAAGGTCTCATGTAAGCAGTTCGTCTACAGTATTGTTAGTTGCGCCAAACTCTCAAGACATTGATTTGGTCTGCATGTGTCCCATACCAACTGGTGTGCCAACGAAGCTCGGTGACAAAATGCTTCAGTGACCTCAACCGCACTCCATTGTCCGGTTGATGTGTTGGCTACAATGCCAACCGCATCAGTCTCGGTGATCTCAATTTCACGAGGACTTAGAAACTGTTGGATGAATGGTCCTGTAACGTCTGGCTGTTCTTGTACTGAGGGTATTCTCCCAGTGATCTTCCATTTCCCAGGGATCGAGTTCAAGACTGATTCACGCTTTTCCGCGGCCAAGTTTTGCCAAGTAGGATTCTGGTTATCCATACTAGTAGTCAATGCTAGATATCAGGCAGAAGATGGTTGGAAGAGACAACATATAGCCGGGCTGCGGCAACTTGTAGACAAAACAGGTTAATAAACTCAAGGAAGGTCCATATCACCATACAGCTCGGACACGCACCTTTTTCTTGGGGCGAATCACAAAGTCCCCTCCGCGTTCATGATGCCCAAAAAAACTCATCTGTGGATAATCTGGACGTTCCATGCTTTTAGGTGGACAGCATGCTCAAAAAGGCGGCTACCGATATGCAATTTGCAGCTCCAACCATGGAGTTCTCTTGATACAAGAGAGTGGGTAGTAGGTGGGTAAGGCATCAGACTGTAGATCGGCTCTCGGATTAGAATTGATTGGTGAGCGCAGGGCAGTGATAAGGCTGCGAGATGAAATTTAGCTAGTAATGGCACTCTATGCCAGTCCCACCGCCTAACCCTAACCCTTGTTTGCTTAGTCAGTCCCGAGGACCGAACTCCGCTCACGTGATATTCTGGCCGGTGACAGCTTAACGCTGACAACCCAAACACAACTTCTGATTGCCAGTGTGTTGCTTACCTTGAAATCTTGGTCCTCGAATTTCAATTGTAAGTCGCGCCTGCGCCTTCGTTGATCCTCCATTGGCGCAGACGACGACGACAACAACACTGTGCGCTACAATGTGGCTCAAGTTATATTTACAAGGCCCCCTGAAACTGGTCCGCAAGCACCACCTAAGCCTTGTATATTCCAAAGATCTTTGAAGGATTCTTCCTAGTCTGAAAATGGCAGCACCCCCACTGGCAACTGATCTTTTCCGCACTCGCAATGGGAGGATGAAAGCGTGTGAGCCCTGTAGAAGGCGGAAGACGGCATGTGATCACACCTTACCGATATGTACCCAGTGCATACAGCGAAACGCGCCGCAATACTGCGTGTACATGCTTCCTCGAACTTCTGCCTTTCAAAGCAACAACCCGACCCTGGCATCCACGGACATGCCAGACGCGTTTGCCAACAGCGTACAGGCCGGCGTAAGCTCCAATGGTCCATCCGTCACATCCACCACCGCGGGGTCTGCCTTACAGACTGTTGGCCAGTTTTTTGGGTCTACAAGTTTTCTTGCTGCGTTTGACGAAAAACTCTACTCGCCTGTCTTGACCCAACCACGGGAAATGCCCATGTCAATCTCCTCGTCTGATTTTGAGATCGACCCTAGCTTCAGCATCGACCCTGATCTACTCCCGCTCGCTACCAAGATCTTGGCGCAATTCCCTGATGACCGAACGTGTCAAATACTGTTTGAACGATACAATAATCTAAATGACGAAATCATCAGACCCTCCATAGCCCGTGTCATGAAGTCGTTCTGGCTTCACTTCGGCGAAGAGCTGAGGCAGGGAAAAGTAAGCAGCATTCGCAAGATCGCCACGCTGATTTCTTACAACACCAGTCATCCCATGGAAGATGACGAGGATGGTTTAGAGAGATGGATGAAGTCTTCATCATTGCAAACAATACGATGGGAGAGCATTGGAATCATCCTTTCACACCTAAGTTACGGAATCATCAGCTCCGGCGGGGAAGACTTGTTCCTGGTTGAACAGGAAGGATCGGAAAAGGATCGAGAAAGAATTCTGAAGCAAATGCGTGAGTGTGTCGGTAACTGTATCAAATTGTGTCGGGCATACGCTGGGAACACGCTCCTTGCGTACTTGATTTACAAGCACTTGATACTAGAAGGTATTGTGAATGGAGACACAAGTAGGTTGATTCCTTCTGCCAATATTCATATTGAATCCCCTGACTGAGTCGTACGACAATAGGTCCAACAGTATGGATGTTGCATGGAGAACTCATTAGCACTGTAACAACAATGGGCATGCATATTGAGAGTAAAAGGTCCCAAGCCCGGACCGACCTCTCGATCGAAATGAGACGGAGGGTATTCTCGTCTATCTTCATCATGGACAAGATTTTAGCCACATTTACTGGGCGGCCCCCATTGTTGAGTCACCGATTCACCTCCACGCTACTCCCTCTCGACATCAGTGATGAAGCCCTACTTGCTGGTGATGACAGCATTGCCGCGTCTGTAGCGAGTTTGGACGACGGTTGGAGCACGAATGGCATGTTCCATCCTAGTGGAATGCTACGGGCCCGGAGATCATTGGCGACTATTCGTTCGGAGATTCTTGACGAGGCATTAGGACAGTCATCGCTTTATAAGACTAACCGAGATTTGCTGTGAGTGGAGTGGCATCCTCATTTGGTTCTCAGCTTGGCTAATTCGGGTTTTGTGTTTCTAGAGAACTACGACAGCGTTCTAAACAGCTATACTCTACTCTTCCTTCTGTGTTTGTTCATCGACTGGAAGACTACACCATGCCTGAGAAGCCCATGTCGGAAAACTTTGCCCGGTTCAACCTTCGACTGGAGTATTTGTACAGTATGTTTTTACTCGAAAAGCTTATCAGTAAGCATCAGCAGTCCTCCGGTCAGGAGGTCTTCGATATCTGCCGAGAGATTCTCTCGCTCGTTCTTTTATTTGGGAATCAAAAGGAACGTTTCATCGAGGTCAGCACAGGTGTCAGCTGGATGGTACGTCTTCATCTTCCGCATTCCTGTTTCTGGGTGGTATACAACTGACCAAGGCAGATTCTCAACTTTGCCATTCCCGCAAGTGGCACACTTTGCACCGAACTTTTGAGGCAGACTCGATCAACTTCAACTTCTCAGGGGCCAGGGCATTATGCGTGGATTCCTCGTTCCGAAACAATCCACAATCTAAGCATGCTCGTCACCTTTCTCGACTGGATTCCATCATCGGCACCAAACGCTACCGTGTGCCAGAGATTGCGACAAAACATCAGTGACGTTTTAGATCAGCTTGAAGCTTGTCTTCCTGCTGAAAGAGAAAGAGAGATCATGCTGCCCGACCAAAGTATCACGCCTTTAGATATGTACGACTTTGAAGCTTGGGCCGATTTCACCAACCTGGATTACTTGGGTGATCTTAACTCGGTAGACTTATTCAATTGGATTACTTAGAATTGGATCTGGATCCCGGTGGGCGTGGAGCTATCATGGAGAGCTGACCTGGCAAGCCGGTCTTGGTATCTTCTGTCTATTGACCGATGCGGCTTGCACTCATGGACTGGCGTCACTAAATCGGACGGATCACGGATCACGGACTAGGATCTGGAGGGGACGAAAGTGAAGCCTTGTCAGGCTCCGTCGGTTGCGGTTGGTGGGCTCGAGCGAGACGTCGAAGCTGGATCTTTCGCTGGTGCTCCCTGAGAAGGTGTAACCTCTTGTTGATGTCTTTGGTGTGCGGCTTGAACGCCGAAGGGTTGCGCTGCAGGGCCTCCATTGAAGTGGCCACCACCGCTCTGATGGTCTGCAAATCCGCCAGATCCGAGTCGACCCCCTCTGATTGTCCCGACCGGCTCTCAGCGCCGATCACTCGGGCCATGGCCTTGACGACCTGGAGAACGACCGGATGGTTCACAGCGAACCAGACGGCATGGCAGGGTTCTGCTCGATCGGACCCGTATAGTCTGTTCAGCGCCTCGGCCCTCCTGCCTGCTTTCTGTAGCCCTTTCTTGCTGGTCGGTGTTTCTCCACGATCAACATCCCAGTCGATGGCGGGAAGGCGACATGTGCCGTTCACATACGCCTCCCAACATCTAGCCTCGACGGGTGTCATCTCCGATCTTGCTATTTCCGCCACACTTTGACTGGATATCGTCGACCTTGAATAGTCCGTGGCTGCGGCAAGACCACCGCCATCATCGAGGCATTGCTGGATCTGATCGAGTTTCGCAACCAGCGTCGAAGGGGTGTCGTCGGCGGTCGGAACTGCTAAGGTTCGGGAAGGCTCTATTAGGAATTAGCGAGGCTGAAACCTTTATGGACCTGTGTCTTCTTCATACTGCTTGCAAGGACCTGTGTCTTCTTCATACTGCTCGGGAGGGATTGGTCTTGCGAGGTGTCTGCCATCGTTCAACGAACCAGTGGCTCAGGCTGGCTGGCTTGTAGTTGTAGTGCAATCTGTGCTTGTCTAAGAAAGCCGGAGAAGGCTGAAGGTCATTCCACGTGTGGAGGTGAAACAGGTGCGTTAGATCTTGACTTGTTATACTATGGCACACACACACATGCACACACACACATACTGGCATACTCACAGAGAGGGGATTCGGGAGGCAGAACTCTTGCGGTGTGCCTTGTACTTGATAACAGAAGGAAAAAGGCGGGGTGATTTGTGTAGCGTGAAGCAGCCCAACCACATGGGTGCCCATGACAAGCCCATGTCAATATTGACCTATCGACCTGGATAGCTAAATACAATCTACCGGTCCTGGCCTGCCTCCCTTATATTCGACTGGCATTGCGCCCACGACCAACCCTCAACCCTCAACCCCCGGCACGATAGAACCAATTTAAACGACATGATTCCGTTCCGACAAAGAAGCAACCGTCCGCGGCAGAGGGGCCACTGTGGCTTTTGTGAATCCTAGACTCGGATCTGCTGGTCCGAACAAGCATTTTGGAACCATCACTGGCCACTGCATGCAGTGTTAACTTCGAAGCTTCCCCTCAAGGCAACCATGCAGGTCTCGACTTCGCAAAGGATCGTTGCGCGTAGCTGGTGTCGCTACAGACTAGCCACTTCTCCGGCTGCAACCAGAAGGCTTCATGGTGGAGCTGGCCTTTGGCTCGGCCACGCAGATCAAAAGGGTCGAAGAAAGTCCACCAGGTGGCGCGGGATTCAATCCAGCCGGGCCCGTCTCGTTCCGTTCTGCCATCAGGATCCAGATAGCGGGTCGACTGGCGTGGCAAGAACCGGCCCGGGTGGATGATGTTGAGCCAGTACGTGTACAAGACCATTGGTGCAGCCTCGAAGGCAAAGACGTACCATTCGTGCCAGAGGATGGCACGACAGAGACCCAGGCACGAGGTGGGCGAGGCGATGGTGCTGAAGGCTTCGATGGCGCGATACACGCAGCGCAGCAAGATGAGGGTGGACGTGCCGTACAGCATGATGCAAATCGTGCGCACGTTGGGTGCCAGCATGCCGGAGAGCACACAGCGGCGATGCAGCCACGCCACCATGCCCATGAAGAGGCATTCAATCACCGCCTGCAGGACGAGTCCAACAGAGATCAGAACGGCTCCACTCTGGTACAGCGAGATGTCGTCCCTTGCTGCAGCAAGGCGTGCTGCCCCGGCAGCGGTCACTGCCTCCACCACAATCCCCAGGTACAGGAAGAAATATAGCACCCGGCTGGGGTTGAGTGGTGCATGCATGGGCAGATAGTGCATCAGTCGGCCCAGGATGTTGTATTCGGCCGCCGAGTAGATGGGAGGCCCGCCGTATATGCACACCGCCTGTGCAATGAACAGGCCCAGCTGGCCAGGGTGGTAGGTCGAAATGCAGCGGACGATCCATCCTGTCGTGAATACCGCACCGCCCCAGAACATGAAGAACGTGATGCGCCAGTACCGGTACCGACTGGAGGAGGAGGAGGCTTCCTTAGTATGCGGGATATCGAGGAAAAGGGCTGATTGATGCACTTACTAGTTCTGTAAGATGTGAACAACTAGTGAAGCGCCCACAAGTGCTGCGAAGACGATGGGCAGAACATGGCTTGGGCTGTAGGCGTATAGACTCTTCTCGATGGCCATGATCACCAGACCTCACCTTCAAGGCGTCGGTCCAAGGTGGGAAACTTTGGCTGGAGAAGAAGGGAGAAGGGGGATAACGAGCTTCAGAGATGTGTGTATCCCTAGAGCAGAAGAAGGGTTCTGGCGGTGTCTTAAATGGAGCATGAAAGTCGACGTGCCCCAGCCTGCCGCCCACAGCAACATGGCTTTACATAGCATTAGCAATCTGCCGTGCTCGAGCCGTCGACGCATTTTATACCATTTATATACCACAGGCCATTCTGTTGCGATGCAGTAGTGGAGCGTGAGCCTTTAAGCCCCAGTTGACCCCGGAGCGCAGCATCGCACCGGATTTGGTTAGTGTGACCTTAGGATCTGCCGTGGGCTTCCTAGGCACAAGGTGGCAGGGGACAAGAGACAGGGAACAGGGGGCTAAGGCCTCATGAAGGACAGGCCTGAGCCTGAGTCTGCGCCAGACTAGCACATTCTGCTGCCCCTCGTGCTCGCTCACCTTCAGCCTCAGCCTCAGGTTCAGCCTTCTGACCGCCTTGTTACAGCCAACAAGGTAGCCATTAAAGTTAGTACGGAGCGCAGTCCATCTCAAGAGCATAGCCTCACTCACTGTCTCCCCTCCTCGCCCTCTCCTAGGTCGTATTTCGCGCCGGACTACACACCAGATCGCTTCCAGACCCAAGCAGGCCCCAGATATTGTACGCACACCGTACAATGGACCGAAGATTCATGCAAGATGGAAAACAGCGCTATGACTACCGAGAGCGCAACGGTCTCCGCGACCCACCGGTATGTCCACTCTCGCTTTCGCTCTCGCTATTACTATTATTAGTAGAAGCAGGGCTTGTGGAGACGCCCGACCGATATTGTCTCCCAGACAAATATGTTGCTGATGACAAACGTGGTGTGAGCAGGAGTCGCAGGCATCACCTTATTCAGGCAGTAGCAACAGCGCCAATCTTGAGGTTCAAGGATTCCCCTCGTACCCTGTGCAGCCGTACCACACGCAAGTGGCCTCACGCACTTTTGCGGTCAAGCACGCCAAGATGGCAGGCAAGGACCTCATGGTCCTCGACAGGACCGCCGGAGCCAACACGCTCTCGTATACCACCACAGTCAGCTCACACAAGCCGCAACTGATGGTACAGAGAGCCTCTACCTCGCCCGGTGAGGCCGAGACCTTGGTGGGAATGGCCGCATTCTATACCCTGACTTCCAAGATCGACGTGCAAATCGGCGGAGTGGGCGTCACGCTCCAGCGCCATCACCATAACACGCCCACGCCGCATGCCACCTTCACGTACACCTCGGCAAGTCATCCACAAGCTCGGAGATTGAAATGGAGGAGCAAGACCTCATTTGAATATCTCGACTTCGATTGTGTAAGCGAGCAGAGCGGCGTGGTGATAGCACGGTTTTTAAATACCAAGTGGAGCATGTCCAAGCTCGGTCAGTTGGAGATCTTGGGGCAGAACCTCGCCCACGATGAGAAACTCGTGGATGAGCTGGTCGTATTGGTCCTCGCCCTGGTCGGGTTCTCGCAGCTGGAGCAAGCCAGGAATTCCGCTGTTATTTGATGTTTTCGCAGGTTGGATGGTCGCAACAGCTGCCGGATTGAATAGTATGGTTGGTTGGGTTTGGTAGATGACAGCGCGGCGGAGAAAAGGAAACAGGCGGAGGCAAGGTGGAAACAGAGAGACACCAGGTCTCTGTGAACGTATCAGCCGTTGCAGCGGAGCTCACCCAGGGAGTACGGCGTACACTGACAACTATACCTACACGTCCCTACCTACTTAATAACGGAAGCGAAAGGAACGCGAAAAGACACGCGAGACGCGAAGGTCACAGTCTTGAATTGGACTGCCAAGGCGACACAAGGCTGAGGCTAACTGCATATGAATGTCGGCGAGGCTCGCCGAGACGACAAGGAGTTTTACGTGTTCGCCATTGATATACCCCCATAACCCCGTTCCATGATCCATGCCCCTGGAGTAAGCCGACGAGGTCCCGCTGATCGGATATTGGCGCACTGTGGCACTTTCTACGAGCCTCTTCCAGCTCCAAGATCGTCGCGAAACAAGGCCGAATAAGCGTGCACCCTTGGGCAACCTCGCAGAGTGATACAAATGCCGCCGACAAAACGAGCTCGCATATCCCATTCTCCTGACCCGCAGGATATCGACTACGAAAGTGGCAAGCTTCAGTCACAGCCGGGACCTGAAAACCCCGCCATAGAAACGCCAGGCCATGCAATGGATACAGACTCCAACATCTCGATTCCCGACCAGGTGGCCTACTGGTCGAAGATCACTCCCAGCGTCGACGGGATGCTAGGGGGCTACCCGCAGGTTTCCCGCATTGACCTTCAGTTCTCGCGGAACTTCTTACGCAAACTGCAACGCCTTGATAAAAGTGACCGGGCCCGACCGAGCGCAAACGCGCCACACGATCAAGCGGAATATGCATTTCAGCATTGTCTGGAGCCCGGAGCGGGAATTGGCCGCGTCACACTCAATCTACTAGCCGGAATTTGCTCCAAAATCGACATCATCGAGCCTGTCAAGCGATTCACGGACGTGCTCACAGCAGAGGACTCGCCAGTCGTGCGATCTGGGCAACTGCAGCGCGTATATAACGTGCCGCTGCAGACATGGACGGCGGATTCCATCCCCTCATATTCAGCCCCTGGCCTAGATGCTGAGGCCACTCCGGCAGCCACATCAACAACCGGAAGGTACGATCTGATCTACAACCAATGGTGCTTGAATCATCTTTCCATGGCCGATTTGGTCAGTTATCTGACCAAACTGATTCCTTTGCTGCGAGCGAATGGCTGGATCATCGTGAAGGAAAATCTCTCCACAGATGCATTTGCAGCAGACATCTTCGATGAAGAAGACAGCAGCGTCACCCGCAGTGACCAGAACTGGAGGATCGGGTTTGAACAGGCTGGGCTGAAGCTGGTCAAGACCGAATTGCAGACTGGATTTCCGAAAGCGTTGGGATTATTGCCGGTCAGGATGTATGCTTTGAGGCCTCGATAAAGCCCTAGCTAGTGTAGCGAAGGCCGTGGCCACATTGTATACAAGTGTGTTCCCATAGCAGGGGGACCAGGACCAGCCTTGCGGTGCCAGACTGTGGGAAGTAGGGCGGAGTGGGCGGACCACCTGCGCCAGATGCAGAAAAATGCACGTTTTGCCCGTACACTCCCCAGCAGCCTTGAATCACTGCACCCGGCGGCAGATCAAAGGCTCCCACCAAGGACTGTATCGTATTGATTTGACCCCCTACCAACGTTCGTTTACCCACAGTATCGCACCTCTTAGCCGGGCAGCCGCCAGGACAGTGCTCTGCGGCTGCGCTACCATATTCCAGTCTCCCGATCAGAGGTGGCATCCAGCGCCGGCCCTCCTCCAACGCATGAGACAGCCCCGCGACCGACCGCAACCGCAGCCATGGCGCGAGTCTACGCCGATGTCAACGCCAAAATGCCACGGTCATACTGGGATTATGACTCCGTGGCTATCTCATGGGGAGTCTTGGAAAATTACGAGATCGTGAGAAAGATTGGTCGGGCTCCATCGCGGAATCCTACTGCCTGCGCAAATCGCTAACACGGCCATAAACAGGGCGAGGAAAATACTCTGAGGTGTTCGAAGGCATTAACGTTGCCAACTATCAGAAATGCGTCATCAAGGTGCTCAAGCCGGTCAAGAAGAAGAAGATCAAGAGAGAAATCAAGATCCTACAAAACCTTTCTGGCGGACCCAACATCATTGCCCTACTTGACGTCGTGCGCGACAGCCAGAGCAAAACACCCAGCTTGATCTTCGAAAATGTCGACAATACCGATTTCAGGACACTCTATCCCCGCTTCGTCGACTACGACGTGCGATACTACATCAACGAGTTGCTCAAGGCGCTGGACTTCTGCCACAGCAAGGGTATCATGCACCGAGACGTCAAGCCGCACAATGTCATGATTGACCATGCGAAGAGAAAGGTGAGATCGCTGGTCAGTCTTGCGCAAGATCTGGACACTAACAGCGGACAGTTGCGACTTATTGACTGGGGGTTGGCGGAATTCTATCACCAAGGGACTGAGTACAATGTCCGGGTGGCATCGCGATATTTCAAGGGCCCTGAACTGCTCGTGGACTTTCAGGAGTACGACTACTCGCTTGACATGTGGTCTCTTGGTGCCATGTTCGCGTCCATGATCTTTCGCAAGGAGCCTTTCTTCCATGGAAACAGTAACGCTGATCAACTGGTCAAGATAGCCAAGGTACTGGGGACGGACGAGCTTTTTGAGTACCTGGATAAGTACGACATCGAACTGGATGCACAGTACGACGACATTCTAAGCAGGTTTCCCAAGAAGCCGTGGCAAAGCTTTGTGAATGCTGAGAACCAGCGTTTTGTGAGCCCGGAAGCCATCGACTTTCTTGACAAATTGCTCAGATACGACCATCAGGTTTGTGTTTCCGGTCTTCAGCTGGGAACCGCCCTTTACTGATTACTGGCTATAGGATCGTCTCACGGCCCAGGAAGCAATGGCACACCCGTACTTCGCACCAGTGAGGTCCGCTGCGGCACAACAGAGTTCACAGAACCATGTCTCTTGATCCAGAGGCCCACCGACAAGATGTAATTCAACCCCCACAAACTGGTCATCACGAGGGATGATGAGACAGTCTGTCACGGCTTGCAATCATGCCCCGGATGAGTGATGAGCAATGACAAAGAGGCAGTCTAGAAAGCCGTGACACCGCGGATGCAGCTTGATGCCGAAGGACAATGGTCCGAGAAAAGGCCCGAGGCGCTGCGATGCACGAAGTATCGAAGTATTAGGAGGGTGGGAAGCGACGGTGACTGTTTGATGCATGGAACTGGCCAGGACAGAGGTTATTGCGTGGAACCCGGCTCAATTGCCACGTCAGGTGCATTCTCAGTAAAGCGTCAAGGGTGGCTTTCTCGTGCAAGAAACTCCTACGCAATGGTAGTTTGATAACCAGTCCGCAGCTTGAACTCGAGTCATGTAATAGTAGTAGTAGTAGTAGTACTCCGTACTCCGTACTCGTACATTTGCCTGATGTCAGTCTTGGCGTGGCTGCTATATTTTTGGAGCAACCGCTAATTAGTAGGATGAGTTGCGACGCATAATCTAGTGCTGTCGTCCCCCAAAATACGTCAAAGTGACTCATTGCTTGTATTTACAGTCTATATCAGGAGCCAGTGACTTCATTTGAAGAAACGGGCGTTCCTGTAGCCGCGAGGCAGTCTAACAAAATACTTATCAGGCCCTTCCTTCTGCGCCCTCCTCCTGCTTGGAGACGGCTACCTCGTTTCACTATGGCTCTGAATGCCGCATCGCACAATCCCAGTGAGTTCAACGGACTTCTGTGAGAGCGTGGGTCGGGGATTGACACACTCTTCTAGCTGGTGAACAAACAGGCTCGCCGTCAGGACCTCCTCCGCCAGTATCCTCCGATATTGCTTCCATAGCCCAAGATGCCGCCAAAAAAGACTCAATGGGCCAGAATGTGCCCGGAAAGGATTTGCAAGACAATGACAAGGGCCAAACTGTGATGGGCGAGGCAGGCAAGCCAAAGACGGCCAAAGAAAGTATGCAAGCCACTGCTGAAGGACCGCATTGATGCGCGATGGTTTTGAGAACACGTTTTTCGGGTTGCGCTGTCTTGCGGAGCGTGACGCACCCGAGAAACCGTCAGACGAGTACCAGGTCACCGAGGCATCGTGGTGAATGACTGGGAAAGCAGCTGCCACGGGCAATGGCATCGTGTAGCTGGCCGTCAGCAATATAGAGCCCAACTCATCGCACTGACCGCGATCACTATCCCTCTTGAAGAATCTAGACTCTAACTCTATGCCTCCCACAGTTGAAAAAGAGCGTAAAAAGGCCGAAAAACTCGCGAAGTTCCAGGAGAAGCAATCTAAAAAGCAAGCTCCACCGGCCGATGCTGCACCCAAGGCAGCAAAGAAGGAGAAAATCAAGAAAGCCGCCGCGGCCGATGCCTACGAGCCCCAAAAGATCGAATCCGGCCGGTACGAATGGTGGGAAAGCAGAGACTACTTTAAGCCTCAGTTCACCAAGGATGGCAAAATCAAGCCTGCAGGAAAATTCGTCATCCCCATCCCTCCTCCGAACGTGACCGGGTCCCTTCACATGGGTCACGCCCTGACCAACGCACTGCAGGACACAATGATCAGACATGCTAGGATGAAAGGGAAAACCACGGCGTGGATCCCGGGCTGCGATCACGCTGGTATTGCCACGCAAAGCGTGGTGGAACGGATCCTGATGAAGACTGAAGGTAAAACTCGACACGATATAGGCCGTGAAGCTTTGCTAGCAAAGATATGGCAGTGGAAAGACAAGTACCATGCCAATATCACGAGCCAGCTTAAGAGAATGGGGGGTTCGATGGATTGGTCCCGAGAAGCGTTCACGATGGACGAGAACTTGTCCCTCGCGGTCCGGAAAACGTTCATTGATCTATTCGATGAAGGCATCATCTATAGAGCCAACCGCTTGGTGAACTGGTGTTCCGCTCTCAGCACGTCCCTGTCCAATCTCGAAGTCGACAACAAGGAACTCAAAGGTCGGACGAAATTGAAGGTGCCAGGCTACGACAAGCTGATTGAGTTTGGAGTGCTCACCTACTTCAAATACCCAATCAGCAAAGGAGATGACTCGCACAAGTCATCGACTTCTCCGGACCGGTTCAAAGGCTACGACTTCATTGAGATTGCAACGACACGTCCGGAAACCATGCTGGGTGATACGGGTATTGCTGTACACCCCGATGACAAGAGGTACAAACATCTTGTCGGGAAGACCGCCATCCATCCTTTTATTCCAGACCGTAAGATTATCATCTTCGCAGACGAGGAGGTGGAGATGGAGTTCGGTACTGGTGCTGTGAAAATCACCCCAGCGCATGATCCCAGCGATTTTGCCAAGGGGAAGAAGCACAACCTGGAATTCATCAACATTCTGAACGACGACGGCACATTGAATGCCAACGCCGGGCCTTTCGCTGGCCAGAAGCGGTTCGACGTCCGTTACGGTGTGATCAATGCCCTTAAAGAACTTGACCTCTATACAAAGCAGGAGGACAACCCGATGACGATCCCTATGTGTCAACGGAGTAAAGATGTTATTGAGCCAGTGTTAAAGCCTCAGTGGTGGATGAAGATGACCGATCTAGCCAAGGCTGCGGATGACGCGGTGCTGGATGGAAGAATCCTGATCAAACCTGAGACCGAGTCTCGACGATTCCATTTCTGGATGCAGAATATTCAGGATTGGTGTATTTCCCGACAGCTGTGGTGGGGTCATCGCGCACCGGCGTACTTTATTCAACTCGATGGTGAGGCGAGTGATGAAGCTGACGATCGATTCTGGGTGTGCGCCGAGAACGAGGAGGAAGCTCGTGCCAAGGCCGAAAAGAAGTTCCCAGGGAAGCAGTTCACGTTGAAATGGGACGAGGATGTGCTTGATACGTGGTTCTCCTCCGCCCTCTGGCCCTTTTCCACCCTCGGATGGCCGAAAGACACCTCCGACCTGAGGGCACTATATCCTACCTCTATGCTCGAGACGGGCTGGGATATTCTCTTCTTCTGGGTGGCGAGAATGGTCATGCTTGGGCTGAAGTTGACCGGCGATGTACCGTTCACGGAGGTGTACTGCCACTCGCTAGTCCGCGACGCTGAAGGTAGAAAGATGTCGAAGTCGTTGGGCAACGTGGTCGATCCTGTCGACATTATCCAGGGCATCTCGCTCGAGGACCTGCACAAGACGCTTTATGCTGGAAACCTTGACCCTGCTGAGATCGACCGGGCTAAAGCGTATCAGAAGTCGGCATTTCCCAAAGGTATCGAGGAATGCGGTGCGGATGCTCTTCGATTTACGCTTGTGAACTACACTACGGGAGGAGGCGATATCGCTTTTGACATCAGAGAGATCGAGGCTAAGCGAAGGTTCTGCAACAAGATCTATCAAGCAACCAACTTCGCCTTAGGACGGCTTGGTGAAGGATTCGTCCCAGACGCCACGGCGACCGATAACCGACCCAAATCTTTGGCGGAAGCCTGGATTCTGCACAGGCTGAATCTGGTCACAAAACAGGTCAATGAGGCAATCGAAGGCCGTGAGTTTTCAGTGGCTGCCGGTGCGCTCTATCAATACTGGTTCACCCAGCTTTGCGACACGTTCATCGAAAACTCCAAGTACATTCTCACCCCGGAAGCCCCAGAAGAGGTGAGGAAGTCGGCCCAACAGACATTGTATACGGCCCTCGAAGGTGGCCTGCTTCTCCTGCATCCTCTGATGCCTTTCCTCACGGAGCACCTGTGGCAGAAGCTACCCCGGCGTAAGGATGACACCACGGAAAGTATCATGATTGCGAAGTATCCTGAATTCGATGAGAAGCTCGATGCCCCCAAGGAAGCCGAAAAGTACGAGTTCATCATGGCCATCTCGACAGGGGTGCGCAGCTTGTTGGCGCAGTACGGATTCAAAGAACCCGGCGATCTTGTCATTCAAACCTCCTCGGAGTCTGCCTTCAGGACAGCATCTGATGAGCGAACATCCATCAAATCTCTCGGTGGCAAGTATGCTGGCGAAATCGAGGTTCTTCCTCCAAGCGCCGACTCTCTTCCGCCCGCGGGATCTGCGTTGCAGAACATCAACGCTGAGGCTGCGGTGTACTTGAAGATTGCGGGGCGCGTTGACCTTGTGGAAGAATTGAAGAAGCGGGCAAAGGGCGTTGAGGATGCCAAAGCAAAGGCAGAAAAGAGCAGGAAGATTATGAGTGCCGCTGGCTGGGAAAAGGTCAGCGCCGAGACGAAGAGAAGGGAGCAGGACAAACTGCAGGACGCCGAGAGTGAGGTGAAGAGACTAGAAGAGGCCATCAAAGACCTGGAGCGGCTGAAACTGGAAGGCTGAAGATGAAGACAGTCGCCGAAACGTAGAGGGGTTTGCACGTCGACAGCGAACCGGGGTATGTCCGGGGCTTGCTTTCTGAGACTATGTATTAGAATACTCGATATCGCGAAGGAATGGTACCAGGAGATCTCCAGGCCCGTTCGACTTGTGCGGGTATTATGTTACAGCTGCCAGCCCATTCCGTTGCGTTCTGACTTGCGTAGAGAACAGACACGGGAAGTATGCCAGGGCTCGAGGCTCGAGGCTCTCAAGGGTCATGAAGGCAGAGGACATTCGCGACGGCAGTCGGTTGAGTCAGGGCACGTGACATGCCACTCAGTGCAGGTAAGGTTGTCATCACTTTTCCACCCCTCCCAATCCTCCCAATCCTCGCAACTATCGACGCTCTCTCTTTCGGCGTCCAGATTGGTCTTCTGCCTCTGTTGCTCTGTTGGTCCTCTTCTCGGAATGCCTGCCACGAGGCGAGTTTCTTCATGTCTGCTACCAACACCACACGGGCCGTCATCCTAGCCATGATTCTTCCCATGGTAGTTAGTTTTGACGAGGTCTGCACGAACCTCATCTCCTGCTCTAACTCCAGCTCAAGATGCACTATCGCTATTCCTAAGGTTTCCAGTGTTGCCACCACATACCATGGACTGTGTGGTCATCTGCTTCTGTGACGATTCTAGCGAGACAGCTCCGCCTACTATGATGCTCTCTCCAAAAAGTGTTTGATTTGCATCCGGGGCCTTAAGGCGGCGAACGAGTCTCGTCGACATCTCGACAAGTCAGTGACTCCTGACACACCCACTCCGCTACATGCTTTGAGCCTCATCCGTCCAAAATGCCCGTCCGACGGAACAAATTTCCACGAAGTCTTGGGTCAGATACCTAGAATCTAAGAAACCTGTGACCGAGTCTACACTTACAACCACTTCACTGAAGCAGCCCACTGTACACCCCAGATTCAAAATTAACCCACAAGCCCAAAACCTGTGCATCGGCAAAAGGTAGGACCTGTGAGGCGATGATACCCGCCACACCCTTTTCTCGGTCACACCACCAGAACAAGTTGGGCAAGCCGGCCCAATGACCAGTGCCGTTGGACCTCCCGGTGGGCCCGTCCGAGATCATGAAGGTCAAGCCCCAGCCTTGACTTTTGCCGGGATACAGATCCGGGATCTCGTTGGTGAGATCCGGCTTTGCCGGAGGGATTCCCTGTCTGCCGAAGTCCGGAAATTGGGAGATTTGGTTCTGGAACATGGAATCGACGGTGGCCTTTTGCAGGATCTGGGCTCCAGTCTTGGGAGATTTGCCGTCGTTGAGCAAGGTGGCGAGGATCTGGCAGTACTCTTGGGGTTTGGCGAAGCATCCTGCGCCTCCGCTGTTCACGCAGGAGTCGATCTCTTCTTGCGTCGCCACCACCAAGGGGCGATGCAGAAGATGATCTCGCGGACTGAGTTTGCCATCGGGCGCGCGGGAGTTCATGTAGGCCAACCGGTCCTTCATCTGCCCGTTGGGGAACATGGAAATGTTTTTCAGACCCAAGGGTTGGAAGATGTTCTTCTGGAAGTACTGGTTGAGCGACAGGCCCGTCGCCCGCTCGACGCAAAAACCTGCAAAGTCAATGCCCACCTGCAATCAAAGGTGAGTCAGTCGGTGTAAATTGGGACGGTGTCTGATATGAATCTATTATACGTACCCCGTACTGCCACCCCTCCCCAGGCTGGAACACAAGAGGTTGGATGATGTCGCTCAGGTGGCCCGAAAACTCGTCATACCCGATCGGCTTGCTGTGGTCGCGAAGTTCATTGTTGAAAAAGGTGTAGCCGAATCCAGCTGATCACCAGACAGGTCAACAGTCAATCGAGGAAGCAAAGGCAAGCATAGGCGGCTACATACCTGTGTGCGTGAGCAGCATCCTGAGCGTGATTCCTCGCTTCTTGGCCACGAGCTTTCCATCGGATTGAAGCACCTGCAGGTCTTTGAGTTCTGGACACAGAGATTCTGTCTGCGCGGCATCGTCCAGGGACAGCTTTCCTTGCTCCACGAGCTGCATGCAGGCAACACCCGTGATCATCTTGGTGCACGAAGCGATCCAGAAGATGTTGTCGAGGGTCATGGGCTCTTCAGAACCAAAGCCTCGCTTGCCCGCAGCATGGGCAAACAATTCCTTGCCATCCCTCCCTACGGCGACTCCTACGACTCCGGGGAGGCCCTTGTCTCGGTCGGCGCAGGCATCATTGAACGCACTCTGCAGTTTGTTCACAGCTTCGCTGGAGAGACCCATGTTGTGCTGAAGCAGGAAGAAAAATGTTTCTCAATCACAAAGTTCGATATTCGCAATGCAGTTTGGCCGGCTGAGAGCGAGTTCTTTTCCTGGGAACAAAAAGGAGTCACAGTCATCTTCCCGCTCTGTGGGCGGCACCACTGATCGATTGTATTAGTCTGTCCGACAAGCTTTCGTTTCTTTCCGTGTGCCTACCGAGGGCTTGGTATAGGCGGTTCCGACTTGACATACGTCGCGTGGGATCTTTTCCCAATTGTATTCCTGCAACGGCGGGGAAATCCCTCTCTTTCTCCCCCTTTACACAGGCGGATCCGCATCCGGGCACAGATCAGCATCGGCTCCCCGGCCCAGGTCCGATCGTCCTCCAGCATGATAATCACATTTTCCATTGAGATAGCCCCAGCTGTCCCCAGACTCGGTTATTGGGTAGTCTGGAGAGGGAAACATGGGGGCGGGGGAGTTGTCCTTCCCAGCTTGCGGAACCGGATCCGGATCCGCACCGTTAGGCCACTATCAATGGTTTTCCGCATCACCACCTATTTCCATTCTAGGTGAATTTGAGGGGAAAATTGAACAGGGAACAATGAAAGGTACTTAATAGATCAGAACGATGAGAGCCCGGGCCATCAGAACCAACATTCCACCTGCAATTCTATTCCTGACCATCGTCACTTTGGACCAGCACAATCGATCAGTCATCACCCGCCCGGCATGGCCAAAGTTGAACTGACCAATCCGAAACTCAAGACCCAGCTGTCAGAATATGGCCGCCGGAGGCGTACAGACGGCCCATATGCCGACAACCTCGAGGTAGACGCCTTGGTTGTCGGAGGGGGGTTTGCCGGCGTGTTTATGTTCTACTCTCTCCGCAAAGAGGGACTGAAAACTGTCATTTATGAGGCCGGCACTGACCTAGGCGGCACTTGGCGTTGGAATTGCTACCGTTGGTGCAGCTATTCTGTCTTCCTTGACCACTTCTGGCTGACCAAAACAAATAGCGGGGGCTATGGTGGATTCCGAGGTTCCTGAATACCAGTTGAATATCCCGGAAGTCATCAAAGCGTATGTTGCCGGTCCTGCATCCTGCCCGTCCCCCGATATACAAGAAGAAAGAAGCTGACTGGGCGCGATTGTATCAGGCACAACTGGCCCAATAACTACCCGAACTACCACGATCTGCGGGACTACTTTGACACCTGCGACCGAGTCCTCGACATCAAGAGCAATACCGCCTTTGAGAGTGTCGTCGTCGACGGCCACTTCAACACTGACGAAGGGCGTTGGTACGTCAAAACGGCCGACGGCCGGACCGCCAAAGCCAAGTATTTGGTCATCTGTGCCGGCTTCGCGGCGAAGCGGTACGTGCCCGACTGGCCCGGGATCGACAAGTTCAAGGGCGTGATCCACCATTCGTCCTTCTGGCCCGACGAGGAGATCCCGGTCGAGGGCAAGAAATGCGGCATCATTGGAACGGGCGCCACGGGGGTCCAGATCACGCAGGCCTGGGGCCCCAAGGCCGGGCACCTGAAGGTCTTCCAACGCACCCCGAACCTGACGGTGCCCATGCGTCAGCGCGACCTAACCGTCGAGGAGCAGGAGGCGGCTAAGAAGTGGTACCCGGAGCTCCTGGCCCTGCGCGAGCACTGCTTCGGCGGGTTCCTGTACACGTTCTCGGAGCGGAACACGTTCGACGACACGCCCGAGGAGCGCGAAAAGTTCTACGAGAAGCTCTGGCAGGACGGCGGCTTCCGCTACTGGTTGGGCAACTACAAGGACTACCTCACCGACCCAAAGGCCAACCAGGAGGCGTACAACTTCTGGGTGAAGAAACAACGAGCCCGCCTCAACGACCCCAAGAAGCAGGAAATCCTGGTGCCGGAGAAGATGCCACATTACTGGGGCATCAAACGTCCGTGCCTCGAGTATTCGTACCTGGAACAGTTCAACAGGCCCAACGTCGAGGTCGTCGATATCAAGAACAACGCCATCGTCGGATTCGACGAGACCGGCATCAACCTGGAAGACGGCACTCACCACGACTTGGATGTCATCGTCATCGCCACGGGGTTCGACGTGGTCACGGGAGGGATGACTGCGATGGGCCTGCACGCCGTCAACGGCGAGAGCCTGGACGACCAGTGGAAGAAGGCCGCCTACACCTACTTGGGCACCACGGTGGCGGGCTACCCGAACATGTTCCACCTGTACGGGCCTCACGGGCCGACTTTGCTCTCCAACGGGCCCACCACCATCGAGGTCCAGGGTCGATGGATCACCGACGTGATCCGGAATTGCGAGCGCAACGGCGTCAAGTACATCAACCCGACAGAAGAGGCCAGCAAGGCCTGGAAGAAGAGGATTAACGAGCTGAGCGACGCCACCCTATTCCCTACCACCAAGAGCACGTAAGTTGTTGCGCATTTCCCCCCTTCCCTTTGGCAATCTTTCATCAGATCACTGACTAGGTTTCTCAGATACATGGGTGGAAGCAAGCCTGACAAGGCTTTCGAGCAGACGAATTATGCCGGTGGGTTGCACAACTATGGCGAGGAGATTAGAAAGGTCCTGCCTGCGCTCGATGGCTTCAATGTTGTCAAAGCCGCTGCTTGAAGCAGGCCAGTGTGATCAAGCATGATTCATGGAGAACACGAGAGAGAATATGTAAAAGTGTCCAGTGTCATGGGTCATTGGGCAGAGGTGGATCAGGTCCCCCAGCAATTGGCACTCCGTCTATATCTCAGGTAGGCTCAGGAGGCTTAGGAGGCATCAGATTTGATCACAAGGATTGACCACTCCGTAGTAGTCAAAGTATCTCGTCACAAAGGCCTTCCACCCTAAGGCCTCCCTACTATAGGTCTATAGTGGTCAAATAAGCATGGCCTGGCCAACACTAATGCTGAAACAAGCGAAGTCTCTAAGACAGTCCTAATTATCTATATTCCAGATGATAGCGTAAATGTTGGTGGAAAAAGCTTGGACAACCATTTGCTCTCTCTCGAAGATTGGGATGAAGGCGTGGGTGCGGAAAATTAGACAGCCTTAGGGCCCTGGGAAAAAGAGGCTCCTTAGGCTTAGGCCCCAGTTGCCTGTTTTCGGCCGAGGGTGCAGGTTGCAACTCCTGGCGTAGAAGACTTTCTTCGAGCACACGAGCACACGAGTACTCCGTACACGAGCACACGAGCACAGTTACCTGGCCAGGAGCGGCATGGGGTGAGAGCTTACACAGGAACCGAGAGCCGTCGTCGACTTACGAATCCGCCTACGCGTCGGTTGCCACCTGCAGATGTCGTTGACGCACTCCTTCCGCGCTGAAACGCGACGCATGGCCCCTTGGCTGCGACCAGGATTCCGGACGATACGAGTCAGACTGGCAAGCCACCTGTGCTTAAATAGATCCCGTCACGCGAGTTTACGGCCCTCCAAACCACTTCTGCCTCGACCTACCCGCCTCCTTGTCTTTACTTGCCCGTCGCTGTCGCCAATGTCGGTGACCCAAACGCAAACGCAGTCAAGGAGCCATGCCGGCCACTCTCATGGCCATGGACACAGTCACGACTCGGCCTATCTGGTCTCGAAGAACAAGAAAGATCCGGGGGTGCGAATAACAAGGATTGGGCTCTGCGTCAATGTCGCCATGGCCCTTGGGAAGGGTGTCGGGGGATACATTTTCAACTCTCAAGCCCTCATCGCCGACGGATTTCATGCCTTGACTGATCTGGTTTCCGACTTCATGACCCTGGCGACCATCTCCTGGTCGCTGAAGCCAGCGACGGCCAGGTTTCCCAGTGGTTACGGCAAGATTGAGAGCTTGGGAGCTCTGGGAGTAAGTAGTCTGTTGCTATTTGGTGGCATAGGCATGGGTTTCAATAGCTTGGACGCTCTGTACACGCAGCTCTTCCTCGACGCCGCCACAATTACTGCTCACGCGCACGAGCACGGAGAGCATTCACACCGGCTGTTCTCGTTCCTCGGTCACAGCCATAGTCATGGAGCGGCAGTGCCAGACATCAACGCTGCATGGCTTGCTGGAGGCTCAATCGTGGTCAAGGAGTGGTTGTACCAAGCAAGTAAGTTGGCTCTATACCGCTGCGTGTCCACCACTCACACATGACAGCCATGAAAGTTGCCCGAGAACGCAAATCTTCCGTCCTCGCCTCCAATGCCATCCACCACCGTGTCGATTCCCTGACCAGCATCGTCGCCCTTGCTACCATCGGCGGAGCACATCTGTTCACGGATGCTTCATGGTTGGATCCTGTTGGCGGGCTGATTATATCGGCGATGGTTATAAGAGCTGGATGGGGCAATACCAAAGCTTCTCTACTGGAGCTTGCAGACGTCACTGTGGACGACGAAATCAAAGATTCTGTTCGCAGAGCCGCTTCACAAGCTTTGAAGGGAGATCTTGACAAAGGCATACCCGCCGTCGAATTCGGTGATCAAACACAAATTAGAGACATCCAAGGTGTCAAATCCGGGCAAAACTACTTGATGGAGATCGAACTGGCCGTGCCCAAAGACCTACCACTAGAGCGCTTGGGAGTCATCGAACACGCAGTGCGAGAGAGGGCTGGAGCCAAAGTACGCGGTGTCCGTCGTGTTCGCATCAAGTTTATCTCGGCGGACGATACCCAGACGACACTTGCTGGCGACTTTATCGACCCGGATGTCAGTGTCAGGAGTAGCCCAGAGCCCGAAGATGAAGTCAGTCATAATCACGACCACGGCCATGGCCACGACCACGCTCATGGTCAGCCAAATGGCCATGTGCACACGACCATGAAAAGCAAAAAAGATTCTTGACACACTGGGCCTCTTCCTATTTTCATCCGTCGCCGCGTTGTTCCCCGGCCCTCTCAGGGCTCCACTGCCCAAGAACGACCGTGGCGGCGGCATTTCAGGCTGATATCATACGCCAAGACAGGTGGTGTGTGTCCACCGGAGCATTGCCTATCATTGTCTCATCGCGGCCCTCTCTCTGTATATCACCACCACGCTCACCACCTTTCCGACGTATAAACCGCCACACGTCACTGCGCATGGCCTAGCCTTCTCCACTGTATTTCATCACGCGGGAAACATCTGTTGAGAAACCCAGGCTGGACTGTCGGCTTCACATTCTCTACCGACCACCTTCATTGCAGCTCGCTTGCAACAATGGCATCCTCCGGCCCTCTCTATTTGGGGTTTGATTTGTCCACCCAGCAGTTAAAGGGGTTGGTTGTCGACTCCAGCCTGAAAAAGGTGCACGATGCCAAGTTTGACTTCGATGCCGACGCTCGAGGATTTAAGATAAACAAAGGGGTCATGGTCAATGAAGCTGAACGTGAAGTCTTCGCACCTGTGGCCATGTGGCTACAGGCCATCGACGTTCTCCTTACCAGATTGAGAGACGACGGTCTCGACTTCAAACGAGTAAAGGCCATCAGTGGCTCGGGGATGCAGCATGGAAGTGTCTTCTGGAACGCTGATGCCGAGCATTTATTGGCGCAACTCAACCCTAATAAGACATTAGAATCTCAACTCGACGCTGCATTTGCCCACCCCTACAGTCCCAACTGGCAGGATGCAAGCACTCAGAAGGAATGCGACGAGTTCGACTCGATACTCAGCAACGAACACCAGCTGGCGTATGTCACGGGAAGTAAAGCACACCACCGCTTTACAGGTCCGCAAATATTGCGGTTTCAGCGCAAATACCCGGACAAGTACATTAAGACCAAGAGAATAACCCTCGTCTCATCTTGGATTGCGACCGTCTTTTTGGGCAAGTTTGCGCCGTTTGATATCTCAGACGTGTGTGGTATGAACCTTTGGGACATCAAAGCCGGAACGTGGCACGAGAAGCTCCTCGAGCTAGCCGCAGGTCCATCAGGCGTGGAAGCTTTGAAACAGAAGCTCGGCGATGTACCTGAAGACGGGGGTGCCCATCTAGGAACAATCTCAGACTACTTCGTGCGGCGCCATGGATTCAGCGACGACTGCACGATCATCACTTCCACAGGCGACAACCCGTCCACCATTCTTGCCCTGCCACTCCGTCACAACGACGCCATGGTCTCCCTGGGAACTTCTACAACATTCTTAATGTCGACGTCTGAATACAAACCGGATCCATCGACGCATTTCTTCAATTCCCCCACCACACCCGGCCTGTACATGTTCATGCTGTGCTACAAGAACGGCGGTCTGGCGCGAGAGAGGGTGCGGGACGCGATCAACTCCAAGTCCGATGTAATGGACAGAACCTCGTGGGCCGAGTTCGACAAACATTTGCTCTCCACGTCGCCGCTTGCACAGGACGACCCCTCTAAACCGATGCAGCTGGGTCTGTATTTCCCTCGCCCCGAGATCATTCCCGACCTCCCTACAGGGGAGTGGCATTTCGCCTATGATCCGAAATCTGACACCCTCACGCGGGCATCCTCGGTGCCCCAGAGCCCTGAGCAGGACGCGCGAGTCATCGTGGAGTCGCAATTTCTGTCGCTTCGCCTACGCTCGCAGCACCTCGTTTCTTCGCCTGCCAAGGGTCTCCCGCCGCAGCCGCGCAGAGTCTACCTCGTCGGCGGCGGTAGCCGGAACAAGGCAATCGCCACGGTGGCCGGGCAAGTCCTCGGTGGGTCCGAGGGAGTCTTCAAGCTTGACGTGGGTGAAAATGCCTGTGCTCTCGGTGCTGCGTACAAGGCTGTGTGGGCAATGGAACGTGAAGCCGGCGAGACATTTGAGGAGTTGATTGGCAAGCGGTGGCGCGAGGATGAGTTTGTCGAGAGGATCGCCGACGGCTACAACAAGGAGGTTTGGGACAAGTATGGCCAGGCAATAAGAGGGTTTGAGCAAATGGAGCTGACGCTCCTCGGGGAAGAAGAGGCCAAGAGAAAGGGGCAATAAAGACTTGATTAGAAAGTGCGTTCCTGTGCCGAAGAGAATGGAGGGTATACACCCCCTAGGGAAAATAGCACCAAAAATAGAGAGCCAATGTTAAAATATCGGACTAGACTCGACTGGGTACTTGTATCTAACTATGCCAGATAATGGGAATGGGGGGGTGATGCTCCTGATATCAAGATCAAGGGTGTGGACAATCGGATCTCTAGGACTATCATGGGTTTACTGGTAATAAGTATGTTTTTTTCTTCGACTAGCATCCATGTATCCGTACATAGCCATTCATTGTCACCCACTCCATCGGGCTTGGTAGCTTCATACACCATCTAATTGGGGGAAACCTCCATTGGGCTTGGTAGCTTCATAGACATAGACCATTCAATTGTCAATTGGGGAAGACGAGACGTGCTTCGCAGCGTCCTCGCCTCGGTGCCTTTGGGAAGTCACTATCCAGGGATGATCGAGCTGTCACTGATCCTTGCAGACTCGACGCCAAGGCGTCAAGCATACATACGATACATAGTACATCAGGCAGAGTGCCGATGAGGGCTTTTATGCATCGTTGCTTGTCTCGTCTGTCGACATCGACATCTCGTCCATGAAGAATCCCACCAAGCCGGGCCTGATCTCGAACCGTCTCCATCTCGTACATGAAGAATCCCACTGGCCTGATCTCGAACCGCCTCCATCGCCAGATCAACATGCAACTCGATGAGTTCACAGTCCTGATCTCGAACCATCTCCATCTCCAGATCAACATGTAACTCGATCAGTTCAGTCCTCGGCGGAGACCCAAGTCGGCTCTTCCCCCACCCCTTTGGAGTGGTTTATTTTCCCTCTTCAAGCATCACTTGAACAAGCGGCCGACCATGTTACTCGCAAGACCGCGGGCGAGTCCACCGCCGAGGAAGGCAGAACCGGCATAACTCGAGGCCTGGCTAAATTTGTCACAGCGTGAAAAGGCGACGGTGTTGGTAATGGTGAGAACCAAAGCGATCACTAGGGCCGGCAAAAACAAAGATCAGTCTCGACTCTCGAACTTTCAGCGCAGCATATAAAGCATGCGAGGCCGTCCCGGGACGGAAAACACCCGTGACCACTGTAGTGGGAAATATACAAGAAACGTACCGATAGTAACCAGCCAGATCAGATTCTGCAGTCTCACAATGGCGAAAATGGCCAACGCCACCCACAGCGCAGGGACAGTATACATGCTCAGCCAGAAGAAGCGCTTGTCCGTCTTGTTATCGACGCGGCTGCCGTCGGTCGCCGACTCGAAGACCCAGTGGCTGTTGCCGGTGGCGGTGTTGACCTCGTTCCACCACCGCAGGCCGACGAGCCGGCGCCCGGCGATGTTCTTCAGGTAGTAGAAGTCGAGGGACAGCAGGAGCAGCGTCAGGATGAAGACGAGGACGAAGTTGCGGATGAAGAGGACGCCGAAGAGGTACATGAGGAGGCTGCCTGCCACGGTCAAATCCATGTGATGAGTTAGTACAGGAGGCTTTCATCTGAATTGCACGGGATGGGACGGAAAGTATCTTGTAGACCATGCTCGCTAGAAACCAACACCCACGAACGCGTTATAGGTGATGCTTCTGCTTCTGCTTCTGATCCTGGGGCAGGCCTACCTATTCGGAAGCCGAGATACGTCAGGAGAGTGATGGGATGGGCGCTGAGGCGCCAATTGAGCGTGCCCGGCTCGTCTGCCATGGTCGATGCGAATCCTAAGAGCAGCGACGGGTTGGTAGAAGGTTGGTCGACGACACCATGTAAGACCGGGGAGAAGAACACGGAGGACCTGGTGGACAAGAAGTGAGGGTTAATGGTAATGTTAACGCCAATGCCGCTGGGCAACGCGCTGCGCCTCGAGTGGCTGCACTCCAACTCGGCGACCATTTGACAGACTGAACAGACTGGCCTAAGTGGTAGGCGGCTACCGCAGAGCAAGACGCCCATGAGCCGCTATTTCAAACTCCCATTTCAGCTGTATCCATACGCATACTCCGTACGGATACTGTGCAGTATGTAGGTATATACCTAGGCACCTAACAGGTACCACATACAAAGGGTATTAGTTCAAACCGCTCTCTCAACTTGCTCATTATCGAACCGCCACTGAAACTCAGTCATCCCCCTGTCGACAAACACCTCTCTTACAACCCTCGCAGAATTCTCGCTTGTGCGGCCGGCCTTTTTTGGCGTCGTAATGTGGCGGCGCGACTCGAACGCCCGCCCACTTCTGGATTCTGTATGCGACGCGTTCAACATAAGATTTCTCGTCCAAAAGCAGAGTGCCTAGCTCGTTGCAGGCCTTGCAACGCTGATTGAACACCACAGCATTGTACCCGTTTCCCGCATAACCCCTTATCAGTATAGCCACCATCTTGCTGCTCCAGCCCTTTATATCACAGGCGGTATTCGTGCACCTGAACCTGCCCATGACGTGGCTCGCGTGTTTCCTGTCGGCGTTGCGGTTGCTGGCGCTTTTTTGAACCCATGCACACGTCATGGAGTGTGGCACGGCGCTGATAATGTCCTTATGGTGTGCCGGGAACATGAAACATGTCCTGGTCTCTCCTTCGGGTTTGGGGAGGTTGGACTTTTTCTTCGCCATTTTCTATACTGAATACTGCAGCGACCGGTGTCTGGACTGAATCCAGTGAGAATTGACAGGATCACAGATTGAGAAGATCCAGCGCAGCAGCGTGGGTTGGTGCCGGAGCGTATGGTCTCGACAGAGCATGTGGGAGCATAAGAACAGAAGGATACTTTCGTGAGCTTCAGGTCGGGAAGCTGTCACAAGAGAAGATGGCATCCTGCATCTCGAGGCCTAGCTGATCTTATGGTGGATGGCTACCTGGGGATTTCACTGGCCAATTCACTGACAAGGCACGCTTCTCAAGAAGTCGACATGCACTCTGCGCTGCACGTATGACTGGCACTGCCGATTGCCTCCCATCGCGTTTGCTGGACTTGTGCACTATCTGACTTGCCGGGCGACATACAAGCCGGATCCTCCCTGTTCAAGTTCATGCTTTTGCTGCGTGTACTTTAACCATTTCGAGACCTTACCTCCTTGATCTGCCACCGCGGGCTTGCCGCCATGAGAACCGAACAGCATTTCCTTTGAGGACCTTCATATTCAGTGCTGCCATCCATGATGGCCGAACCAACGTGGCGCGGTTTGATTCGCGCTGCGCCATGCAGGGTGGTGTGTCCAAAGATATTAGACTGCATTTAACAGCCAGGGTGTTCTGCTACCTCAGGACCCCCATCAGTAAGGCCGCCGTTTGTCCGGGGTTTCTTCAAAGGCATAGGAGCAAGGCAGACTGGTTTCTAGTTCTTGCCCCCATGACAATTACCAGACTCGAATTGTGGTGTCTGATATATATGGCAGGGTATCGTACACCAGCTCTTCGACAAAGCTACCATAATGATCCCTCGATGTCTTTTCGGAGCCGACTCTCCTTGATCAGATGGCTTTAATGATAGCATGGGGTTCCGTTGTCAGACCTTTTGCTATTAACAAGATGTCAGTCGGACTTTGACTGATTTAAAAGAGGAGGAAGGACGACGAATACGTCAAGATCACGATCTTTGGCGCAGCTGGGATCTCCGTCAGGACGTCATTTGAATATCTTTCACATCATCGATCCTCTTTGTTGTCCAGCATAAGAGCTGAGCCTGTGTTGAGGAAGTCTCTCGACAAAAGTGGAGATAGCTATGGCAAATGTGAACTAAGGCAAGGGCAATATATTGAATATGAACTGGTGGCCCAAGGGGTCGTGGTGGTAGATGCAATGATGGACGGATGACAGTAGATCCGCCCTCCTGCTACCTCTCCCGTGCAGCTGCCGTGTATCCTCCCGTACACCACTGTTGTGTTTCCCCCCTCAGTTATCCTTCTGCTCCCCTGACAGCTCCTGTCGCCTTGCCTGCACCAGTGGAGAGTCCCGATGTAGCGCCGTGCCCTGCAGGTAGATGCAACATGCCATGGTCGGAGTTTGCTGAGGGCTAGTTTCGTCCCGAACCTCCATTCCAGCGGTGCCACGAATCGCAAGCTCTCTCACAATGTGCGGTCGCACCCACAGCATAGCATCAGAAGGGCTGGATGTGGCCTCCCAAGTCTCCGGCGTCGAAGGCATGCTCGAGTGGATGAGATCCCATTCGAGACGCGCTCGGCGCCACGTCTCCACCGCTACTTTGGCCACGACACGGATCGCTTGGAGCAGCGCTGGACGGGTCTCGCTTAGAGTCAACGTCTCGATCCTGTCCATGATCTCCATGCTGAGCCTCGTCGCCGCAATCCGAGTAGCTTTGCGCCCGGCAGCGCTGGCGTAGATGGCTCGCATTGTTATACTTCGCCACATCGCCTCTCGACGCAAGCTCTTCGCCCGTATCATTGATGCTAATGCCCAAAACTCCTTTTCCACGTTGTCCTCGTCGTCCGCCCCATGCGCCGATATAAACACAAAGGGCTCAAAGACGCGCCGCTGTATGATGCTCCAGATCTGGCTTTGTATCACCAAGCTTCGAAGCACCGTGGCCGCCGCTGTAACCCCTGATATGTCAGGGACACCAAGCTTCTGATATACTTGTTGATGATGCGCAAGATTGTTGGGATTGGGTTGGAAGAATTGTGTCGCGATTTCTTCTATCAAGGACCCCAGTTGGTTAAAAGCGCTGACACTAGATGCAACCGTCAGTCAGGTAAGGTCCACAAGCCCTTGGGGATTGCCCAAAAGACGCCAGACTCCTGCTACTCTACAGCAAGATCTTGAACCTTCTGTGGGGGGCGCCGACCGGACTCCAGTGGCGTGTGCTGCAGGTTTGTCGCGGAAAACAAACACCCATATTGTCTTTTGTTGGAAAAGACCAGAGTCAACTCACAAGAACTGGTCGCTTTTGCCTGTGTTTTTGCTCGAAACCAGTTGCCCAAAGCCCTGCAAAAGTTTGTCCATCCTTTCGCTTTCTCGATGCCATTCCGCCTGCTTATCTTTTAGACTGCGCATTGATTCGGCCAACTCGGCGTGATGCTTCCGGGTCATCTCGTGCTGGCTTGCCAATGCGCTATGTGCTTTTTGTGAGTTTGAGAGTTCCGTCTTCAACCCGTCAAGCGCCTCTCGCTCTTTGGCGAGCTCGGTGAGTGCGGTGTTCACTTCATCCTGTAATTGAGCCTCGCGACGGCTATGCTCAGCCTCGACCTCGGCTAGTCGGGTTTCAGATGCCTTTTCGATTCTTTCGACCTCCTTCTCGTGAGTATCACGCAACAGACGCACTTCTTCTTCGTGCTTTGTTTTCAATTCGGATAGTTCTTGTGACGACTTCTCAATCTCCTGCAGGTGCTGCTCTGCGATTTCTTGCGCTGCTTTGGTTCTGGCTTGCAATTCATCCTGATGGAGTCGCAACGCATCAGCGAGCTCGGTAGCTTTATTCGCCAACAACAGCTCTTGTTCTGAGATAATGGCTCGAGCGGAATCCAGGTCTTTCTTCTGCTCAGCATGTTTCGTGATTATGCCTGCAAGATCGAGTTGAACTTTAGATAGACCGGCCTTGTGCTCAGCAAATGCCTTGGCATGTTCGTGCTCTTTCTCGGTCAATTGTTCCTCATAGGCGGCTTTCAACTCTGCCAGTGTACGGTTCTGCAGAGCCTGTTCCTCAGCTGCCTGCTTCTTGAGGCCGTCCACCGCCTCTTCGAGGGCCTGCTTTTCCGTTACAAGCTGTTCAATTAGCGCTTTGTCCCTCCCCGCCTCTTCTTTCAGGCACTCATACTCCTGACGCACATCTGCTAGCTGTTCTTGGACTGATGAGAGCTCGTTACAGGTGGCTTCCAGAAGCGCCACCTTCTCATCGCGCTCGGCGACCACGCCTTTCAGGTTGACATTTTCCCTCGCTTGGTCCCCAATGATCCTTTCATATTCTTCCCTTGTTGCGCTCAGCTCGATACGTAGTCTGGTGACCTCTTCCTCGTGTTGGTTCTCTGCTTGTTTGACCAGGTGATCTTTCTCGGTCAAAAGGCCTTGGGTTTCGCGGTAATAATGCAGGAGGCGATCTATGTCTGGAAGAACACTGGAAACCTTTTCTAGAAGCTTTGTACGCTCGTCCTCAGCTCCTGCAGAACCCGACCTTGGGACTCCTTCGCCAGAAACAAGGGGCATGTTTGGAGGCGTGAAGTTGGAAGGGTACATTCCAGGATGAAAAGGCGGACTGCCCATGAAGGAGAGGGGGTAATATAAGAGGTGTTGAGGGGGAGGACTGCCGGCATGTTGGAGCATAGGCGACTGCGTTGGCGATGTTACTGGGGAGCGTGTCCTGTGCAGTGAATCATGGGGGTCTGTCGCTTCAGTTCTTAGAGAGGGACTCGTCATTATGGGTACGGACACCTCGCCCTCGCCTGATTCGGGTAGTTGCTGAACAAGCGAAGGCTGGAGAAAAGTGACCGTGGATTTGGGATGTGGGGCAAGCAGCGGATTTCCAGAAGAGGCTGCCGATCCGGTGGCATTGTAGACGGAAGACGGGTCTTGAAGAGAGGATTTAGATGTCCGGGGAGATGGGTGGGCAACGTCCTCGCCAACCTTCTCTTCGGTTACTGTGGCTGAAGGTGCAGCGACGGTAGCAGGAAGCGGAGGGGAAGTTGTCAACTGCGGTGGCACGGATGATGCCGGGTGAACAAGGTTTTCGTCGGCTTCTTCAGCAACAGTTGGTTGCATGGACGCCAGTAATCTTAATGCTGGTGTCTCGCTGGACGATGGTGTTTGCGCTGGCCCCTTTGTCTGCGACTCCATGGGCTTCGCCTCAGGTGCCCCGACCGTTGCGGTTTGTGTGACCAGATTTTCGCCCGCCATGGGTTTATTGGGCTGGCTGTGTTCGTCATCCCAGGACTGCACGACTTGTGGTTTCATCTTGACGGCAGATCCGGGCGTCCGTGTCCTCTCCTCCTCATACCTGGATCTGACGTTCCTGACCGAATCGACAGAGCCAGTCGACTGTCTCGAGGAAGTCATAAACTGGTCAGACGGCCTGGAGTCAAATGTTCTCTGTCGGTAGTTGTGAATGGCCGGTGAACTAGGCCGGCTGTTTCTTGGAACAGCAACCTCGTCGAGAGTCCGGGACAACGTCTTGGATAACCTCAATGAAGCGGAGCTGGAGGCTCTACTGCGATTGTTCTCAGAGGCTTCGCCGTGACTCCCACGGCGACTCCTAGGTTTGGCGTTGGTCTGATACGAAGTCGTCGACATGTTTTAGTAATTCGGGTCTAGAAGTCGACAAGACAAGTTGGTCAGGCCGCGTTACAGGATTCGCAGGGTTTATAAGACTTTTCGTACGGCTGGGGGATCAGTGTTAATGGCCGATCACCTTCAGTCAGAATTTCAAGTAGAATGCAATGGATTACTGGTACAGTTGCAAGAGTCAAAGGATAATAGAAACGGCGGAAGAACAGGAGGAACAAGCAAGGTTATGTTTCATATAGGACAGAGGTTTGAATTCAACAGGGGAATAAATGACAGTCATCATGGCTTGAGAAGCCGGTTTGAGGGCAACGTCTGCCCGCTCACCACGGGCTTTGCTGCCCGATCAAGAATAAGCATGATCATCTCCCGCATCTCGCTTGAGAAAAGGCCGCTGCATGAACCATGGCTATCACGCGCCTGTGGTGTGCCGCTGGGCGTGATTGGGTATCAAAGTCTCGTGGCAGGAAGTGATTGGCGTTTTGGTGTTGTGAGAGGTTGAAATCAAAAGCCTGAGAGGCACCCCAGAGGTACAGAGGACAAAGCACCGTGGCGCAGGCAAGTCTGCCGGCCAGTCATGTGACTTTTCATTCTTGACCATCCAGAAGTGGACTAGCTTCCAGTGCTGCCAACGAGGTTGAACTTGACCTCTGGGACGTCAATGCTGGAAGTACCTTGCTGCTGCGCCTGGAAGAACGAACCTCTCTGCAGCCTACACAGCCATGTCGTTTGTGTCAAGAGGGGCGAGAGTCGCAGCTCGTCCCTTGAGGCGGTCGATCCGACTCCAACCACGCAGACATGCAGGACACGAAGCTGGCCACGGCCACGGCCACGGAGACGCTCATCACGGAGAAAGTGCCCTCCATCTGGACTCGGGGCCACGCACTGAATCTTTTGGCGTGAGTCTACGTCGGAATTATTTGCAGGCGGCCTGTACTGACGACGCTACTAGAAAGGATTCTATATCAGCATCGCGGCCGTGCCGTTAGCGATTCTCTGGTACTCATTGGCAAGCTCTCCGGGGGAAACAGCCTGGTCTCGCCTGGTCAAAAAATACGAAGCCGGCAAAGAAGCCGACGCAAGAGCAAACATCATACACATCACGATGATGGAAGAGGCTGCCGCAGATCGACAGCTCTTCTCCGCTAGCCCGCGAGACAATAGCGGTTCACCTTTAAGGATGCCAGAGTACGTGATATCTCCCACTTGACTTCTTTTACTGCGAACCGACACTTACAAACAACGACAGGACACTCAACTTCGGCTCGCCCTGGAATGTGTCCGCCGGTCACGGTACTGCCGACTTGTCGGAACTAGCCAAGTTCTATGAAGAGAGAGATAGAAAGGCGGAAAAAGACAGATTGCAACGGCTAAAGAAAAACAACGGCGCTTCGGTGTATGATTGAGATATTATCTTCACTGCAGACATGGGTGGACCTCTGTACATATGAGTGAAGGTAACAACAATCAAACGCTTGCAGAGCTTACATGGTCATGACGTTCATGTCAGATTATCAACTTTAGACACTGGAGCTCTCTGAGGACTCGATATGCTTCTGGGTTGTCGTTATATTACATTAAAGGCGGCTACTGGCTTCCGCTGCCGGGAGAAATGCTGCGCATACTCACCACAAGTGGGGGTGCAGCTTCAGAGGCTTTGCTTGGGAGCCTGATCTGGCTCGCCAATAAGTGCAAGAAAGGAGCTGTGCACTTCCTCTGTAAGATCACTTGCCTGCAAGCTCCGCTGCCGTCTTTCAAAGGCACGTCGCGAGCATTCTCGTGTGATTGCGCTTCCGCCAAATGCGGCAACCAGTAGCGTCTCTTCTCTACTCATTTTCTCTTCGCCAACGTCCCACAGGCCTTCATGATAGATCTGTCGCCAGGCCAGGAATGTGCCCAAGGACCCTGTCAATGTATCACCCTGACCACCGGACCGTTTCAGTCCCCCTTGGAGATCGCAGATTGTGGTGGCAATGCCCTGGGAAATGTAGTCGACGGCCCCTTTCTGGACGATGCACACGCCGCCCAGGATCTTGGAAAGCTCCTGGCATGCCTTCTCCGGATCGCCTTTGGCTGGATCATACCCCACGGATTTTGCGAGGCGGCCGAACTCGACCACGTTAGGAGTCAGGATGCATTCCTTGTGGCCTTTTATCAGATCCGGGTCCGTTTGAATCAGCCAAAGAGCATCGGCATCCAAGACCATGGGCACAGGAGGGCTGTGTTTCGTTGCGGCCGCAATGACCGCCTTGACTTGCTTCTGGGTGATGATATCCCTGCCCAGGCCAGGCCCGATGACGAGCACATGCAATCGAGGAAGCATGTCCAATATTGGTTTCGCCAGCTCTTCACCAGAGGGGTCCTTGTCTCTCTGCGCTTGAGATACCGAAGCCGTAGATCTTAGAATCGGGGATACCATCAGATTTGGCGAATACGATTTGATGGTCTGGGCAGCGGAGGGTTCGCAGAAGACGTAGGATAGATCGCAGCCCAAGCGTGCAGAGGCCATCGCGGAGAAGTAGGGCGCCCCCGTATAGTCGGCGCTGCCACCGATGACGGCAACTCGTCCCAACTGTCCCTTATGGAATTTCTCTAGCATAGGAGGGACGAGTTTGCGGACTTTGCCTAGCATGGCCCGCGTGGCAGACGACATTTCGATCTCGCTGGGATTCGCTTCGGGACTCATTGAAATTTCGGGTGCTTTTGCGAATATAGGAGGACCTGCGACTTGGCGTGACTGAGGTACTTGAAGGTATTCTAGAGGGTGGCTGCTATTCAACAGCTGGCTGGTTGTGAAGCCATGTTCCCCTCTTGTACCGGCAGGCAGGTATAAAGTCAGTGGTTGAAATGAGTGATGTCACAACAAGAAACTCAGAATCGTCGCGTCACGATAACCGAGAGTTTGCTGACCAGTGAGAGCGACCTCTGGACATCATTACTAGGAACCACCCTCAGAGTACAGTTGTACAATTGTACGCTCGTTGGGCAACTATAAAGCAATAAAAAGCCATTCTATCACCGACACAGTCTTGCGTGAGAGAAGCTGTGCCATCCCAATTACGCGTGATAGGGTACTATTTATACAAGCAGTGGTTCTGAAAGTCGGGACAAACATCCGCCGATCCAAATGGGCCTTCTCCTCGGCTTGTCTCGTCTTTCTGGAGAGTTCCGTGGAAGTCTAGCAAGTCCAAGAAGACACGGACAGATTGCAGGTCGCTGACTGTTGCGGTTGCAGTTAGCTGTCTGCCGAGCATCACTTGCAGGCCTCAGGCATTTGCGACCACTTCAGCATAATGACCTGCGAGGCTCACGATCTGCTCTTCGTAGCTCTTGAACTTGATCCCAAACGTTTCCTCCGTCTTAGTGGCATCGAAGGGCATTGGCAACGATTTCAGAGACCCGCCGAGAGGAAAGACGCCTTTCTTGACTTCTTCGGGAAAGTGTTTCTTCACGATATCAATCGCATCATCCCATTCCACGGGCTTGTCGCCGCGATAATCGACTCCAAAGTTCCGATTGCCTTCAACCCCGGAGTCCAGTGCAGCTATGTGGACAAAGGCAACATCATCAACGTGGCAAACTTTTGCCGGGAGTCCGTCCGGATTGTGCTGACCCATGACGGGGATCATCGGTAAACTGTTTGAACCCGACAGGACGCTTTTTGGCGTGGTTGCAAGTTCGTTCTTGCCCACGACAAAGGTTGGCATGATGTTGACAACGGTGAAGTTGGGTTTTTCCTTGGCAATGAAGTCACGAGTACGATTGTATGCCAGTTTCTTGCTTGCGATATATGCGACAAAGTCGTTGTCATATGGTCCATGGGGATCCGGCTCGACATTGTCGGCTGTGAAGGCTCGTGGTTCTGAAGGCAAGGCTGCTACTACAGAGGAAGTGATGACGACTCGTCGAATAGAAGGCTGTTTGAGAGCGGAACGGAGGATGCTCAGAGTGCCCCGGATGGCTGGCTGGATGATGTGTGCCTCGACGTCATCAGTGGGCTGCTGAATTGGAGATGCAACATGAACGATGAAGTCCACATCAGTGACTGCCTCATCGAACGCACCATCCTTTCCAATGTCAGGGACGATGACGAAGGAGAGTTGAGCGAGGTATGGTTGAGAGGACTTTGCAGCCTTGAGCTCGGCAATCTTCGCTTCTGATCGAACGGAGGCCCGGACATTGTAGCCCTTCGACAAAGCCTCGATCAGAACCCGGTACCCAACGTGACCTGTACCGCCCGTCAACAGAATGAGTTCGCCAGCCATCTCGAAGGTCCGAATAGCACTGTCGATATCGTCAGGAGGTTTGCTGCGCACTAGAGGCCCTCTTCAGTCGGGAGCTCTTTCAAGGATAATTGTCGATCGACAGACAATAGGTGCACACAACGCAGCCATGTTAGATTTATATACAGTAGCATCGACCCCGTGGGAAACTCCCATACCACTGAGAATCATTGCTCGAGTACGGAGTATACTGTAAGCGTTACCAAGCTCAAGGATGTTTAGTGATCAATAACCAGCTCCGTATGGTAATATGGAGTACTTGTCCCTATAGTATGGATACGGAGTACCGCTGGCACCAAGTTGAGCGAAGACTCGGACGAAGACTCGGACAAAAACTCGGACGGAAGAGAGTCTTGGCGTTCCTGAACGTCTAAACATGAACATCTGGCCGTGGCGCGTTACTGCTGACGTATCAAACCACGCTGCTCCTTCCTGGAAACGAGGGCTTGCGGCTGAGTTTCGGGTTTCCTTTCGACGCAAGTATCCCACGATTTCCAGGGCTTGTCTACATCGGCGCTTCTGCGAGGCCGTCCACTGCCATGCTCCCCCAGGCGGAAATCGACCGACTGAACCAATTTCATACCGGCCATTTTCCCGGCCAACCCATTCCAAATCTAGTCGAATCCCACCCACACATCCCTGAGGAGGTGGAAATAGATCAAAACAATCCAAGTGATGGCGGTGACGGACTAGGTTACTATGAGGATGGGGCCAAGAGGACCCTCACAGATGAGCAAATTGAGATGTTCCGACATTCCGAGATCCAGCGCTTGCTGAACGAGAGACGGGTGACCAGAGAGAAGGAAAAGAAAGAAGAGAAGCGAAGATTAAGGAAGGAAAGAGGCACGGAAAGACCTGGCGCCGTTGAGCGCAGGAAGCGCCGTTTCGATGATCAACCAGATTCCGTGCAGACGAACATTGACACTTTGATGTACGACGACGTCCAAGACCATAATGCAGAGTCAGATCGGGCGTCAAAGAATTTCATGTGGCCCAAGATCGGATCGGATTAAACATTGACTGCCTTTTGAGCTCCTCAAGTCCGGCGTTTCTTTGGCCGTCACATCCTGATTGCAAATTTCGGCCAGTCCTGACCGATCGCAACGTTGCTCAACAAGACTTGCGCCGAAGCTGGAGCCCGCGGCTGATCAGTAAGTACGCTTCTATTCCTTCGCATGTCGCCATCTTATAATGAAGAATATCTTGTATCATCCTTAGCCTGAACTGGGTCGGAAGCAGCCTCGGCCTAGCTTGATGATTGCTTCCGTCATTGACTCCCATTGTGTTGAGCTTATCTTCTCTCTGATTGTTCAATCCATCCTGCAAATTTTCTGTGAGCAATTGTTGAGAAGATGCTGACCGTTTCAATCAGAAAAGTTCTTTTGAATCCTTTCCAGGCAGGAGCGCATCTTCCGGTCCCCCACCGGTCCCCCACCGGAGTCCCTCTGGTCCACTGTGTCTGAGAACACCCTTCTTAATGTGACAGCGTTATCCAGTCGAACAGTCTTCCTCGCGCTTGACCTCACAAGTATCCATTAAGGTCGCGTTGGTGGCTTGGTCGAATCCTCTTGGAGATTGGAAAGTCCTTGCGGATCCAGGTCCAGCTCTGCTGGAGACACTTCAGGTGTTGCCATGCTGGCAGGATAGGATTGGTGGAGGCAAGCGGTGTCGGGTGAAGCTGCCTCAGCAGACTGCCCTTCTTTGCTGTCGGCGGAGTGGCTGTTGCTCTCTACTTGCGGCTGCTCATTGGTGTCACTCTTCGACCTGGCTGTGCCAGCTTCTGAACATGCTGGTTTCTGTTAATCCTCGAACAACCCGCGGAGATTGTACACATACCTTTCCACCAGGTTTCCGGATTATCCTTGCTAGCCAGGCTCGCAGCTGCTGTTGAGCCCCCTATCTCTGCCTTGGTTGAATTCGACATATTTCAGCTTTAACACCGTCCTCAAGGTGAGATACGTTTGCCAGCTAGTTGTGAAGAACATGCAGCTGTTGAGATGCATCTGCATTGAGGACAACACGAGAGCTGTGATTTGCTTTATACTAGAGGACAACGACTGCACTATGGGGAGAAGTTCCGCTTTAGACCAGAAAGACCCTGGCCCCGAATGGAGGTAGAGCATTCTCTTTGAATCTCGAAAAAATAACTCGATTTAGCCACGGTTTAGCGGATTCTAGTGGAAGCGGTCCGCAGGCCCCTGCAACCGCCAGGCCCTAGGAGGAGGAAACAAAGGGAGATAAAAGCTGGAAAGGGGGCTAAGGACGTGAGTCTTAGGTGACCAGGGTTCGATGCATCAACGCAGGCCCTATACTCCGTACTGTGGAGGCAGAAGCAAGCGGACATTGTCTTCGCTCTCAGTACACGATTCCAGACGATCAGCCGTGCACGGGCTGAATGAGCTCTTTACGCCGACATGGGGGAGCTGCTGGATTTTGCTTGCTTGGGCTCCATCTTCCGACTGCCTGTCACTGCTAGGTCTACGAGAGCTATTGGCCGATTACTGTCCCAGAGTCAAACTTTGGAAGAGCTAAATCGCAGATGGTCTCGGCTGTCACTGATCCAACTTCGAGGATGCCGGCTCGGCTGCAATCTCACACCTGCATATCGATCTGACGTCCCTCGAGGGGCCGACAAGTGTCCCATTGCATCCCAGCGATGCCACATTCGCTTCACAGAATGATCCTTACAGTTCTAGGAACAAATGTCAATTACTTGCACAAATTTCTTAGTGCCCAGGGCGACTCAGCAGCGACCGCTCGTATAATCCAAAGGGCTGGCGAGTGGCTGACGGGCATTGGACTTTCACAAAGACCAAGTGGCCTCCCTCCACCCTGGAAAATGCCAGTAGGGTGTTCCACACCACAAACAATGAACTAGTCGCCTGTCCTCAACTCGAAAACTACGATAGAAAGCCAGCTGGTCAGACTCAGGGTCACTTCCTGAAACCACAATGTTTCGGTTTCTGCACGGGCTGGATCGGAAGCTCGCGAATCTCATCTTCCAGAATTACCGTCATCATAGCTGTCGGTGCACTTAGCGCCGTCTGTGGCGTGGCCGTCAGAGGTTGGAGAGCGGTCGCAGTATGGTTGCATAAAAGGCCGCGTTGTGGCTGCGGGGCGGGTAATGAAGCACCGGACGGTCCGTTTGACAGATGGCCTTTGTTCTGAGTACTGTCGCATATACGAGAAAGTTTGGCAAAGGAACTAATCATGAGTAGATGAAGAAAGAAGCTACTCAGGACGAGCCGACTCTCACTCAGTAAGACATTTGACCAGCATGTCATGTCAGTACATCCGGCCCTCACCGACTTCTTGCATGAAACCTGCTAGTCAAGAATGAAAATGGGATTCCTTGTCGCTACGAGAGCATGCTTCCGCGAGATCCTGCCACCACACCAGCCCATGAAGAGTTTGGGGTCGGGCCGGTCAATAGAGAGGGGTGCCACCTGTCAGAAAACCTGCTCTGGCAATCGAAAACAATGGCTGACAGGGCTTGCTCGGAGCCGGACAAGCGATATTGCGTTTCCACGACTCTCCCATCGTCCACGACCCGCTCGCAGAGAGACCTCGCCCAAAAAAATGAACATTATAGAATGTTGCTGCTACCTGCATCTTCCCTGACAACCCAACCCCTGCAGACTGCAGGGTGCAGTAGTCTCCTGCCTAGGGTTGGTTGCCTTCTGTTAACCTGGGCCTCGTGCCGCTGGACACCATATCGGCAAGCTTCTTTAGGGGAGATGCTAGCTGGAAATGACTGTGATTATGGCTTCACTTGAGATGACTCAAGTTTGCCCGATTATGAGGATCTCGCAAAGAGGTGAGGCGAGGCGGCCGTCTCACTGGCTGAAGTCCCATTAAGTCGTGCAATATTGTGACGCCTGGCCGAGAGTTCGTGGAGATTTGGGCCACAGCACGTCCCTCCTGCCGAGCGCTGTACGCCATCCCCTTTTGCGTATATCCCGCTCCTCAACCACTCCCTCCACAATCAATCCTTCCACCTTTCGCAGGAAGTCGTTTTGCCACTTTGTCTCCCTACCTTGAGAATTCTGGTCTTGCAGATCCTCGATTGGGTAGGGCTTTCAAGGCTGCTTTCCCTCCCGTTCTTTGTTTGATGCTCGATCTGCCCAGTACCGATACTTAGTTGGAAGGATCAGGCTGCGTCCTAATATCCCTAGCTTATCGCTCCGTCCTTGTGTCTATTTCGCGTCGACTGACTGCAGAAACTCCTTACAGTCTGGAGCGGGCTTAGAACACTCTTCGTGATGTGATGTTGTTGGGAAGAGTAGCTGTCTAGAAGATGATGAAGCTGGGAAAACTCATGAGCAGCATGGTTTGGAAAGAGACGACTTTGGGCTCTAGTTACAATGGATGTCAGGATATTCACAGCCTCTACAGTTGAGTCTGTTGAGAATCACGAGGTTTTCTTATTCTACTTGCTTTTCTCCGACTATTGAAGATCATGCGTGTCTTACCGCCGTCTTTACAGAGAACCGATACCAAACTACCACCCGAGTGTGGTTTCCCAGCTCACGACAAATTCCCCATCTGATGTCTCCGGTCACCCACCCTGGTACGAAACATGAACCACTCAAATCCACAAAGCACACTTGCCCCGTCAAAATGGCATGTCCCAAAGTCCCAAAAAAGAGGAAAAAGGGAGGATTGCACCTAAATAAGGGTGGAGAATTCACAAAAAAAAAAGAATATCTTCCGGATCCAGGAATTGAACCAGGGGCTTCCGTGTTTCAATTAGATGAGAGACGGAGATGTTGACCACTACACCAATCCGGATGGTTAATTTGAGAAGGAAATTGGCGAGTTTGAACCATATACCTTGAATTCTTCGAGTGTCATCTGGCAAGGCAGGCATCACAGCATTCACTACCAAGATCGCGTTGGGCACTTAATCAAATGCCCTCTATGTTACAACCCCCGCCCCTTGGTATAAGTCACCGTTGCTTCAGCCCACTCCGGCTCCTCCACGTCTTCCCCGGTGTCTACTTTCCAATCTTTCGTCCAGTGGCATCATCGATGCAGCTGACCGCAGGCAGAAGACCCACTACGCCACCTAAGCACCATTCACGCACAGCGCCGACGACAGGACAAACATGCACACTCCCTTTAATCCTTACTTGTCGGTGAGCTAGTCGCAGAGAATCGAAAACTCGATCGCCGCTCTCCTCTATCACTCAGTTAGTTGATCTTCCTCTTTTTCGATACATCTTTTACACGAAACCTATCCACGGTTACATCTGCGGAGGAGAGCACTTGTAGAGTTGCTCCCGATCGGTGTTTGAGGCTCCGCACTGGTCACGGAAGTCAAGATCTCATACACAGCTCGGTAGAGCAGGGAAGGTATCCCCACACTGTTACAGAAAGAGGCCGTGCATGCTTGGTCTTGCTGCTGAAGCGTATCGAGGATGTACACTACACATCTTCATGTTGGCGCCGGCCTTGTTCCATGACAATGTAGGGGACGGGTGCATTCCACTGCCCGTTGTCTTCAGCTTCGAGCGCAAATATCAACAGCAGCACACCTCGGCTCAACCCTCAAGGGGATGTTCGTCGAAAAGCATGAGTGAACTGTACAGGAAGGGGTGGGTGCGCTAGGTCACGGCAACGGGGACTTCATCGGGAAACAATTCATTTCGTCAATGTTGGTTGAGCATCCCGACGACAAGGTTGCCCGAATCCGTCGGCCGGCATGATTCTTGGTTTCCTCGACGTCTGCTTCAATGAAGAATGCTTCAGGATGAACAAGCTACAAAAGCCTCTTTGTGATTCTGGGTCGCGGCACGGAGGCCCTCTGGTTCACTGAAACCCTCTTAACTTTATCCTGCAATAGCGCAAAGCAATGGAGCACAAGCTCAGGGCTGTAGCTACGAGAGCCGTTTGCCAGTGTCCCTTTTGTTCGGGCCGTCTCCTATGTAAGCGATGCCCCGGACATCAGAGCAGATGAGCGGAGAGATCAGCCTCTACACAAAAAGGGAGCATTGCAACTACGGGCTAGCATTTGGCGGCAACAAGACCCGTAAACTGAAATACTTCATATCCGTAGGGGTGTGACGCTCTCGCGAGCATAAAAAAAACGCTCTGTCGCTTTGACCTAAAAGATTGTGGCCCAATGAGGAAAGCTATGTTGCCTCCCTGCCGACTTTTTTTTTGACGGCAAGAGTCCAAATCGATGGCATGTATGATCTCTAAGAAATTGACGAATTCACAGGAATTCAACCTAGCCAAATTGAAATTGAAATGGAAAACAATGGTACCTTGCACCGATTCACATCGGCCTGGCCAGGTCCTGATGCTACCATCCATACCTAGTTCTATTCCAGCAAGCCTATAGAGAACGTAACTTGCAAAGAAGAAAGAAATCGGCACAGCACCAAATAAACTGCGAAGGAAAATGCAAAAAAGAACATTTAACAATGAGCTCCGAACGTGGTTCGAACACGTGACCTAGAGATATTTGTAGACGTGACTGCAATCTCTCGCTCTACCACTGAGCTATCGAAGCAGACTTTTGTCGAACTCAATTTCACGCACTTTTTTGGAGTATTTAAATTATGAGTCTTCTTTTCTTGGCAAATCGGTCCACAGTGGGACCTATAGCGGCAACGCCCATAGTCCAATCCGTTACTTAGGTCCCTTTGTCGCCTCAACTAAAGTAACTATTTTTAAGCATTTTATCTGTATCCGTACATACAATCTTTTCTATATCTGAATCTCGGGCCGCGATCTATACCTGCCTACAATGATACACACTACTAACGCGCCTCTTCTTTTGGGAGTTTCGTAGAATTCAACTCTTTTTTCCTTGAACAACTATACCAAGATATTTTCCGTGTCGGCATCTGCAGATTCGGTTTCGGCATTTTGAGTGCGCTCATCTCATCGACCTGCCACAAGGCAAAAATGCCGGGATAGCATCAGTTGCCCATCGGGTTTGCTGAGGACAATGTATCCGGCACTGTCCCCGCTGCCGCAGGTGCTCGCCAACCAAAAGAGATAAGGGACAATTCATTTCTTTTGATTCGCGCTTCTTCACATATCGGTGCTGGGACTGGAGCTAGAGCTGGAGATCTTCTCTTCTTTCTTCCTCGCTCTGTCTTTCTTGGATTCCTTATAGTGGGAACGTTTCCTTGACCGGATGAAGGATAGCGGAGGCATGACGGATCATGGTTGCGCCGACGTAGCGCAGCACCTCGAGCTTGTGGATAGGGTCGAAGGCCGAGACGTTGAACAAGCCCACCGACGGCTCACCCGTCCACACCTCTCCTTCAAGGACTTCGAAGACGGCAGGGACGAACTCCCGCAACGCTGGCGGCTGGCCTGGATTGCAGCTCGGAATGGAGCGCAGATGCAAGCTGGCGCGAGGAGGCGACCGGAGCGGGCCCAGCTTCTGCACCTTTCTCAGCGGTTTGAAGCCGAGCTCGGCGAGCTTGCTCCCCTCCGGTCTCTCGACGTGGCCAGAGATGAATCCTGAAGGTTGGGCGACCATGGCCGACGGATCCCACACCACCTTCCCCAACACCTTGGGAATGCCGTACTTTTCCCGTCCCGAGAAAATGGCCGCCTGGTTGTTGAGGATGAGCTCGAGAGTGTACGGGTATTTGACTCCTCGGTATTCCACCTCCACCGTCGCCACGAACTCGTTGTACGCGCCGATCGGGCTCATGCCGTACTTGTACAGCGCCAGTGTGACGAGTGGTTCTTGCGCCAGTTCCAACTCCTCGGGAACAAGGTCCTTGACGTTGTCATACTTGGTCTGATATTGAACATAGAGGCACTCAATGTCGGAAAACTCGTCCACCCCCGAAGGATAGGGGGGAGAATAAAGTGGAATGGCGCCGTGGTTTTCCTTGGTCCTCAAAGTCCCCGACGGCATGATGGGCCTGCGTTTGCAATCGCCAGCTTCTCGCACAACACAAACTCTAGTCCGACTGGATGTTCTATGGTTGTTTGAGCGTCTCAGAATGTGAATGAATGGAAATAGTTTCGTTGTAGACTTTGACACCACCCTGTTCGACCACCTATCTATATAAGTATGGATACTACTGGGCACGCAAGCACTCCGGCATCGACTTTACTTTAAAGTCCGAGACTTCCGAAAGGCTACATACCTCACTACGAGGCAGCCGAGGGAGGTTTCCTTGCACCCTGGTGTCACTAAGTGGCGTCGTGATGACAATTTCATGCTTCATGCGAGGGCGGAAGACGAGGAAGAGGCGGGGTAGAATACCTGTACAAGTACGTATGCAGAGATAGTAGTTGAGACGGGTGATTTTGCGGTGCCGCTTTTTCTTGAAGTCGGGTTTGGGCGATTTTATCGATCCCGAGAGCCGACGCCGGAGAAAAACCGATACCTGTAGAATGGCCACCGGATGTTGGATTTGAGATCTATGGCGCCGAGTCGTGAATCGAATTACGATCAAAGACGGGCAAGGGACGGCATTCCGACTCTGGTGGTCGGCACTTAACTTTAGAGACTGGGAGGACAAGAAGACTCCACGAGGGCCACACCGCATAAAGGGAAGAGACTCAACCCCGCAACGAGAACGACCAAACCATGGCATGAAGTCTCTCAGGGCCAGGCGTACTGTATAAGGCTGTCATGCCTACCTAGGTTCGCGATGGCGGAATACAGGACTCTCATGATCGCAGGTATTGCTGGTACTGGTAATGTTGGGTGATGACCGAAGAGTGTCTCATCAGACGAGATGATACACGACTCGACTTCCGTGGCCATCGTGTCCCATGATCCCTGGTATCGTTCGAGCAAGACAGGGAGGCTCGTCCTGTTCGAAAACGTATGCCCTGCCGGTGTCTCCTTTCTCCTTTCTCCTTTCTCCCTGCTCCCTGCTCCCTTGTCTGCCATATTAGAGGTGACTAGTAGTACTAGCGGGGTACCCGATTGACACTAGGACAGTGCTTATGTTAGTTAGACAACTTAGTGAGAGAAAATGCGACTCTAGTGGCCCGGCTAATTGCAGATTCATCTCACTTTAGGGGGACTCGCGCGAGCGATTGACGGTGCGGGCCGAGCCGAGTCGGAATGACCTACTTGTACCAGCAGTAGTTCTTGCTGCTATTACTCTCGCTGCTACTCTTACTACTGATACTGCCAGTGCCAGGAAAGGACCAAAGTAGCATCAGCTTGCAATTGCGGAAAGGTGTTGATTGCTACTGAATCCCGAAGGTAAGTTCTCCAATATGCTGCCGGACACAACTTATCCTGTATCCGGACGGAGGACACCCACTAGACATCAGACATCCTCCTACGTCAATCTCTGAAGGAATGCCAGCGAAGCAATAGTCATGGCGTCTCCACCGGTTTGGAGCGTTGGATGAATGGCGGGCGCAAAGTTGGGGCTGTGGTTGATTGGGACCGTGTCCAGCTTGTTCACTGCGGCAAGTGAGTCCCACTTTTGCTGGTCGATGCCGCCGAACAGCCAGAAGTAATATGGCTTGCCGATCGAGGAGGCCAGAAGGCTGAAGTCCTCACTTGCCAGGCTGCTTTTTGGCGCGACGATGAACTCCTGCGCAAAGTAATCTTGGAACACCCGCCGCAGCCGGTCGTCCACCGGTGCAGCATTGGCCGTGACGGGAAGGCTCATGTGATGCTCGATCTGGGGCGGCTTCTCACAGAATCCGGCGCTACATTCCGCCTCGATCGTTCTCCTGACGTGGTCTAGGACGAGAAGTCTGACCTCTTCGCTGAGGGTCCGGATGTTGATGGTGAAGAATGCACGGTCACAAATCACATTCTCGGCCTCGCCGGCGTGAATGGACCCGACGGTGATGACGGCCACTTCGTCGGGAGGCACCACGCGGCTCACTATCGTCTGCAGCCGAACCACAATATGGCTGGCAATCACAACAGGGTCGATACAGCGGTGAGGCATGCTTCCGTGGCCGCCCCGGCCGAAGATGGTGACTCCGAGGCTGTCAGATGAGCTCATGATGGGACCTGCTTTGGACGCCACGATCCCTGCTCGGATAGGAGCTACGTGTTGGCCCAGCACCATGTCGGGAACGGGGCAGTCGTGGCGATTGCCATCGAACAGCCCGTCCTTGACCATTCCAAGCGCACCGTCGCCTGCCTCTTCGGCAGGTTGGAAAAGAAAGACGATGGTGCCAGACCAGTATCTGCGAGCACGGAGGAGTGTCTCTGCGGCGATCAGCAGACACACCACGTGGAAGTCATGTCCACAAGCTATCAACGAGAAAGTTAGCCGTGGCTCTGCCCGAGGAATGATTGACGCTATGCCATCGCCATCACCTACCATGCATGACGGGGGTCTCCTTTCCATCCGCACCGAGCTGCCTTTTGTGACTGGCATATTCAAGATTGGTCCGTTCTGCCACCGGCAGAGCATCCATGTCCGCCCGGAGCAGGATGGTCTTCCCCGGTTCATTTTTCAGAATGGCGATCAATCCATGACCGCCGATGTTGGTCCGGATTTCGAATTCGTCACTGAGATGCTTGAGATGGTCGACAATCAAAGCCGCTGTTTGGGATTCTTGATGCGACAGCTCCGGATTCAAGTGGATCGTTTTGTACAATGACTCGTACACCTGCAAATCCGGTCGGAAGGTCTTGATAATCTCCCTTGACGATGGCGGCTGCTCGGTAGAGGACATGATTCCGCTGAATCCGGGGTTGCGCGTGGCTAAGGCTTGGATGGGTTGTCAACAGTGGCATGTGGAAGCTCTGCTGTTGATACGAAGATCAGACCCGAAACATGGAACATGCCAACACCGGGCGAGGAGTGCTGTCTCCCTCATGGCAAACCACTGGGCTGTGGCTTTCTTCTTCTGGCCATGGTCCGTCTCAGAATTAGTCGACTGTCTGGTGTCCGTGCGCAAGTCAGATCATTCCCGTCTCGCCTAATAGAGTTGCCCACGCATCGTCTATCGATCAGCCAAGGACCAAAGCGGCATGGACAGCCAATGGCCCAGCTGATAAGCGGTCTGTGTGCAAAACCGGTACGGTATACACGTAAGCGTGGTTCGGAGCCAAGGAGACTTATTAATCTTGCAGCCTCCTTCGATCGATAGCTCACTGAGTTACCGTTTCGGCGGATACCAATGTTCTCTCTACTCCACAATTCAACTCCACGGCTTCTGTCACCCAGTCAAACCAAGCTCCTCCACGTCCCTTCGGGAGGGCAACTCCCGCCCATCAGCGAGACCAATTACTGCCTTGAATCACCTTCTCTGGTCTTTGAATCGGGAGTCTGGCGACAGGGAATATCCTCCGGGGGTAACACCTGGCGATGAGAGGGTGTTCTGGGTGTGCGTGTCTTTTCCAATGGACTCCCGGAGGACCACGCAAAGTGAAAGTGGCGTCCAAGCTCCAAAACACAAATAAAGTTTCTATTCTGGGCATTCAGCTGGCATGAAGCTACATCTCCCAACCACCAATATTGAAAAAATACGGCGGTGGGGTTTGGTTTCGACCTCTCCCACGTAAGGTTTTGACAGAAACACTTCATCTGCGATCAGATTGGTCGAACGTGGCCTGGACCGTGTTCTTGCCGTCTCTCCCCAGATCCGTGCCGTATGTCTCTTCTCTTGCCAGTGTGAGATGTGAGATATCTTTCGGTACGGATGGGGTATCTGGAGCATTGACCTCGGGTCAAGGCTTACCAGTCAGTGGTAGGTCGGTGCCGAGACTACTTCCCAGCTCCCACCTCGAGATCATTGGCATGGGTGCCTCTTCTTTGGACCAGCCTGCCTACGTAGGTATATGTTATCAAAGTCCCCCACTAGAAGCCCGGTTGGATTTCTTTCCCACCGCACCGTGGAACCATCGCTCGAGGGACTTGATTTATCTAGGTGAAGGTGATTGTGACAGGAGGTCACAAAATGGCAGAAGCAATCCCTTCTCCAAGAGGGCTGCCCATACTGGGCAACGCCCTCGACATCGATGCCGAATATCCCATGACCAGTCTCAACAACCTGGCAGACAGATATGGTAAGTCTAGGGCCGTGCATGCGTCGGTTTCAAATTGCGCGCGGTGTGCTGGGAGCATTGCCCTTGACATTGACTAACTTTTCAACTTCCCACGCCCAGGCGAGATATTCAAGCTCAGTCTAGGTGGACATGAACGGGTCTTTATCTGCAGCAATGAATTGCTCAACGAGGTCATGGACGAGAGGCGCTTTGAAAAGGCCGTCACCGGAGCTCTTGTGCATATCCGAAGCGCCGTCCACGATGGGCTGTTTACTGCCTTCCCCGGAGAGCATAATTGGGAAGTGGCACATCGTGCGCTGATGCCGGCGTTTGGACCGGTGCCAATCAATGCCATGTTTGACGGTACGAATCCATCAAAACCGCATTTGCCATCCCATCCGGACGCCCACCCAGTCAGCCGCTAACGCGAAAGGTATAGAAATGCACGACATTGCAACCCAGTTGATCCTCAAGTGGGCTCGATACGGACCGGACCACGAGATCAAAGTCAGCGACGACTTCACTCGGCTCACCCTAGACTCGATCGCCCTGTAAGCTTGGTTCCCTTTTCCTTTTCCTTCTCACCTGAGGCCGATCGAGCCGAGATCGAGACGTTTACTAATACAGCGGTTCTCAATGTAGTTGCGCAATGGGTACACGATTCAACTCCTTCTACACCGAGGAAATGCATCCTTTCGTCAAGGCCATGGTTGGCGTCCTTGTCGGAGCAGGGGAGAGGGCGCGGAGACCAGCCTTTGCTCCCGGATACCTCTATCGAGCTGCTGACCAACGCTTCCAAGAGAACGTTGATCTGCTGGCCAAAGTTGCCACCAATCTGGTGCGAGACCGCCGCCAGAATCCTACGGACAAAAAGGACCTGCTGAACGCCATGCTCCACAACAAAGATCCCAAGACCGGCGAGCACTTGACCGAGGAGACAATCACGAACAACATGATCACATTCTTGATCGCAGGTGAGACGCCGACATCGACGGGCCCTTAGCCCCTCGAATTATGATCTGGTGTTGACGAAGATTCCGGTATTTTAGGTCATGAGACGACATCAGGACTATTGTCGTTCCTGTTCTACGAGCTCCTGAAGAATCCGGAAGCCTACCGAAAAGCGCAGGCCGAGGTCGACGAAGTGGTTGGCGAAGGGCCCGTCACTGTCCAACATCTGTCGAAACTGAAGTATATCAATGCCGTTATGCGCGAGACGCTACGTCTCCATCCAACAGCACCGGCTTTTACCGTTCGAGCCAAGCAGGACGAGATTATTGGCGGCAAGTATCGAGTCACCAAGGACATGCCACTGGTGTGTTTCCTGATGGCGGCGCACCGAGATCATGCAGTCTACGGCGAGGATGCTGAGAGATTCGAGCCGGAACGGATGCTCGACGAGCCGTTTGGCCAACTGCCACCCAACGCCTGGAAGGTCAGTCATCGGGATTGGATTTCTTTCGAGACAAGTCAAGGAACTGACAAGATCGTCCGTCACAGCCATTCGGGAACGGCACTAGGGGGTGTATCGGGCGGCAATTTGCATGGCAGGAAGCTTTGCTGGCCGTGGCAATGGTCCTCCAGAACTTCGACCTCAGCCTTGTCGACCCGACGTATAAGCTCCAGATCCAATCCACGTTGACCATCAAGCCGAAAGGCTTCTCTATGCGCGCGAAAGTTCGCCATCCGGATTTCGAAGCTCGCTTGGCCGGGATACCGTCCACCTCCTCCAAAGCAGACTCCCATACACAGCACAGCGGGCCTAAACCTGCCGCCGAATTGGCACAATCGAATCGACCTACCTTGTCTATATTCTATGGGTCAAACGCGGGCACCTGTGAGGCAATGGCGAATTCTCTGGCTTCCTCGGCCGGCGCTCATGGGTTCCAAGCCCAAGTTGACGTTCTTGACAAAGCTACAAACGCTGTGCCGCTGTCTGGGCCCGTCGTCATCATCACCTCGAGCTACGAGGGCGAACCACCAGATAACGCGGCGCACTTTGTCTCGTGGCTGAAGAGTCTCCAGGGTGCGAAACTGGATGGTGTCAAGTACGCTGTATTTGGATGTGGAAATCGTGCGTGAACGCCCCCCAGCAAATTAACACCCCCCCTTTCTGCTTTTATTCTCTGGGACCTGGGTCCCTGGTCCCTAGCTTGCTGACCTTTGTGACGCACAGGCGACTGGCAACAAACCTATCACAAGATCCCTAAGTTTGTGGATACGACTTTGGCTGAGCGAGGTGCGGAGCGTCTCGTCCCGAGAGGAGCAGCCGATGCCAACGATGCAGCACTGTTTGACACCTACGACACTTGGAAAGATGAGCAGCTGTGGCCGGCGATTACGAAAGCCTTCGGAGCCCAGACATCCGCGAGCAGCAAGGTTCCTGAAGCCAGTGGTCTGGACGTGAAGGTGTCCGTGGAGACGAGAGCCAGTCTTCTCCGTCAAGATCTGCAGACTGCAATGGTTCTGGAGACAGCCCTCCTGACCGACCCGGAGGTGCCTCAAAAACGACACATGGAGATCCAACTGCCGTCCGGAATGACATACAGGGCAGGCGACTACCTGGCCGTTCTGCCATTCAACCCACTGCGGAATGTGCGTCGAGCTATGGCGCGATTCAATCTGCCTTGGGATGCGGTGATCACGATCAGCCCGGACTCACACACGACGCTGCCCAAGGGCAAACCCGTTTCTTTGTTCGAAGTGCTATCCGCGCTGGTCGAGCTGTCTCAACCCGCGACGTCCAAGCAGGTCAAGCAAGTCGCCGAGACGGTGGCCGAGCCCGATCTCGCGCCGCGGCTCCAAAAGCTCGCGGGCGACGATTTCAAAAGCGAAGTCGTCGACAGAAACCTGTCTCTGCTCGACCTGCTGGAGGAGTACCCGACAGCGCAGTTCTCCTTAGGCCAGTTCCTCGACGCTCTGCCTGCTATGCGGATTCGACAGTACAGCATCTCGTCGTCGCCATTGAAGGATCCGTCACGGTGCACCATCACATACACTGTGGTGGATGCGCCGTCGCGAGGGTCGAGTGCCGGCCGCCGAGGCCGCTTTTTGGGCGTGTCGAGCAACTACCTGCGCAGCCGCGAGCCGGGCGACTGGATCCACGTCGCGGTGCGGCCAAGCCACGCAGGCTTCCACCTGCCGCTGGACGACAGCACACCCGTGCTGATGGTTTGCGCGGGCACCGGACTTGCGCCGTTCCGCGCGTTCGTGCAGGAACGCGCGCTGAAAATCGAGTCCGGGCGACAGCTGGGGCCAGCTCTGCTGTTCTACGGCTGCGGGTCGCCCAGCCAGGACGACATCTATGCCGAGGAATTCGCAAGGTGGCAGCAGCAAGGCGCTGTCGATGTGCGCCGGGCGTACTCGCGGCATCCGGATCAGAGCTTCGGTTGTCGGCATGTGCAAGACCGCATCTGGCATGACCGAGACGAGGCCAGGAGCCTCTTCGTGCAGGATGCCCGCGTCTACATGTGCGGAGCGGGCGCCGTGGGTGCCGAGATCAACAAGGTCATGGCTCAAATCTATATCGAAGCCAAGGGAGTCTCTCAGGAAGAGGCGGACGACTGGGTCGCCAGGTTGAAGGGTGTGCGGTACTGGGCGGACGTGTTTGCTTGACCTTGACCCTTACTGTAGTGTGGTAGTGGTGTGTACGGGAGGCGCCCGCTGGACATGATGGTAACGGTGAGACAACTGATATCCATCGTTTGAGCAATGATATGCGTAGACTGTTAGGCATATTCCTTGCGTGCCTCCTGCTATTATGTACCTACCTACGAATAGCACTGGGTAATCCGTACAGGTAGATATCTAAGATACATATGGAGGTGGTAGGGCAGGGGGTGAGTAAGGGCGGCATCACCCTATTCCCCGATCGGGTGGGAGCCGGAGTCGGGGCCAGAGCGGCAAGCAGATTTACCAAACCTTGGCAAACCTCAGTACCGAACCTTTTTTGTCTGCCAGACTAAACCCGGCGCAGGCACCGTTTCTGTCCTTTAGCCGCCCCAGCGATTGCGATGGCGCCGTCGCAGCTCAAACAATTGAAGGCATCCTTGCGGGAGCATGGAGTCTTAGGCCCTCAAAAGTCCAAGAAACAGAAAAAAGCCACCTCGAAAGATGGCCAAAAACGCCTCCAGCGGAATGCGGCCCTCGAAGGGATCCGGGAACGGTTCAATCCTTTCGAAGTCAAGGCTCCGGCCCGCAAAGAAAAGTTCGAATTTGCCAGTGGGAAACACTCGAAGCCTGCGGTCGGCAGACCCGGTGTCACACGTGGGCTGGGCGAGGAAAGACGGCGGGAGACCTTGTTGAAAGAGATCCAGAATCGCAACAAAGTCGGCGGACTCCTCGATCGCCGGTTCGGAGAGAGTGATCCAACCATGACTCCAGAAGAGAAGGCAGCGGAGAGGTTTGCTCGCCAGGCCGAGCGGAAGTTGAAGAAGACATCCATGTTCAACCTGGAGGACGACAGCGAGGACGAGATCACCCTCACGCACGGCGGGCAATCGCTTGGCCTCGGAGAGAGAACGAAAGACGACTTTAACGAAGATGATATCGGCTCGCTCAACAGCGGAGATGAAGACTTCGAGGCACAAGATGATAGGCCGCGTAAACGCTTGCGCATTGAGGACGGCGAAGGTCTCGTCGAGGAGGGAGACTCTGAGATACCCGAGAGGAAGAAGACCAAGAATGAGGTCATGAAGGAAGTCATAGCCAAGTCGAAAATGTACAAGGCCGAGCGGCAAGCGGCCAAAGCCGACGACGACGACCTACGCGCCGAGTTAGACAAGGGTATGAGCGAGTTCTACGCCGCACTTCGAGGCCACAAGCCAGCAGGAAATCAACTACCGTCACCGCCAACCACAGAAAGCGAACCGCACATGGACCCTGCGCGAGCTGCAATGCTGGCAGGCAAGAGCAGAGAGGATGCAGAGAAGGAGTACGAGGCCAACCTAAGACAACTGAGATTGGAAGCCCGATCGCAGCCCAGCGTGCGGACCAAAACGGACGAGGAAAAGGCCGCCGAGGAAGCCGCGCGGCTGGAGGAATTGGAAAGGAAGCGAATACGCCGAATGAAGGGCGAAGCTGAAAGTTCCGAAGACGAAGACGAAGACGATGCAGGCGCAGACGCAGACGCAGACGCAGACGCAGAACTTGGCCCAGACGAGGATTTTGGTGAAGACGATGCTGAAACATTTGGACTGACTGTCCCGCCGTCGCGGCCGCCACCACCCCCCCAGAGGAAAGAGCTTGATGTGGAAGACGAAGACGAATTTGTGCTCGATGACGATCTCATTGCGTCCGACTCGGAAGCCGACGGGGCAAGCGAGCAAGATGCCGAAGATTCTAGTTCCGAGGACGAGTCAGAGGATGATGGAGACGATGATTTCATCAACGGACTAGTCCTTCCAGAAGGAACGCAACTAGCCACGGCACCGAAAACGACAGAAAAGCGCTCGATGAACAACAATCTCGCCTACACTTTCCCTTGCCCTCAGAGCCATGATGGATTCCTGGACGTGCTGAAGGACACCAAGTTGGAGGACCTACCGACAATCGTCCAGAGAATTCGTGCTCTGTACCACAAAGGCCTTGCCCAGGGTCACCAGGAAAAGCTAGATGCGTTTGCTGGAGTTTTGACACAGCATGTTGCTTACTTGGCGGACTCTGAGACTGACGTTCCCTTCTCCGTACTCGAAGGTCTGCTGCGCCATTTGCACTCGATGGCGAAGAGCTCGCCCGAAGCTGTGGGCGCTGCTTTTAAGAGTCAACTCGAGACTATCGCAGACGAGCGACCGCTTCAACTTTCTCCTGGAGACTTGGTCATTCTAACCGGCGTCTCCACCATCTTCCCTACTTCGGACCACTTCCACACAGTTGTGACACCTGCGATGCTAACTCTTGGCCGCTACCTCGGGCAGAGCTCTATTCAGTCATTGAGAGATCTTGGTATAGGGGCTTATTGCTCTTCTCTAGCGCTTCAGTATCAGAGACTGTCCCAGAGATACGTTCCAGAGGTGGTTACTTATATCACGAATGCCTTGGCGATCCTTTCGCCCACCTCCCTTCCAGACAAAGACCAGGACGGAAGATCATGGAACTTCCCCATCAGACTACCCGCAAAGCCACTACGCGTGCAGATGACTGCTGCAGAGGTCCCAGAGAAACTGATTTTCAAACAACTCGTGGTGGAGGACACCGGCGCACGAGATAGCAACGTCCACGCTCTGGCCTTGCTCGGCGGCTTTATACGCCTCTCCGTGCAGACCGCATACTTGTGGAGGCAGAAGTCGGCGTTCCCAGAACTGGTTTCGCCGCTCGTTCACGCGGTTGGTCACATTGCTGGCCAGTCGGCCAAGCTTCCCAAGTCGATTGTCAAGCTTGCAGCCGACACCCTGGAAACCCTCCAGAGCCTGCAAGAAGCAGCAATTGATTCGCGGTTGCCCCTGCTCTTACACAACCACCGGCCGCTCGCTATCAAGACGTCCATCCCTGCCTTCATTGACAACTACAACCCGGGCCGACACTACGATCCTGACCAACAACGGGCACAAATCTCGAAACTCAAAGCCGAATACAAGAAGGAACGTAAGGGTGCCATGCGTGAGTTGCGCAAGGACGCCAACTTCATGGCCAGAGAGCAGCTCCGGGAGAAGAAGGAGAAGGACGACGCGTACGATAAGAAGTTCAAAAGGTTGGTGGCGGAGATTCAAGGCGAGGAGGGCAGAGAGAAAAAGGAGTATGAGAAGGAGAAGAGAAAGAGACAAGGGCGGTTTTGAACTGCTGATGTCGACGACTACGCAGTTATATATCGTGTATGCAGCAGATCTGGCGGCCTGTGTCGTACACGCTACAGTTGACCGTATCCAAACTCACTTGCTTAGCGAATTTCGGATTCTTGTAGAGAGTGACAATCTTCTCAACTCGATTTTCAGCCAGCTCCAAAAAATAGTTTTCCTTTTCGTAGCCTGACCCGAGAATCATTGATGCAAAAAGCCAAAAAAAAGGACCTTGATCCTGGCGAGATTTGAACTCGCGACTTTCGCATTGCTCGAAAGGAGTCATACCGCATGCACAGCATACAATATAAGAACGACACGCTAACCGACTGCGTCACAGGATCTTTTGCAGGCCGGGGAAAAGCTATCGCGATGCCACAGAAGTGTGATAAGTTTCGGGACAGTTTCAAGTCAATTTTTACGCGGTTTTGCCCTATAAGCATCGAGTTTTAGTCACGTGACTGCGCCTGGGCGAACTGCCAACCTCGACGCTGCCTCCGGGTTTTTCAACATGGGGTAGTACATATACCTCAGATCCTGATGGCCTTCGTAGGTGATTGCAGTTGTGGTGTAGTCTGTGGTAAGGGCCCTCGCGCACAGGTGTCTCACATCTATTTGTGTAATGGGCAAATTTGATCACTGGTGGCACCTTCATGGCATTGAGGAAGCCCCATCGTCCAGAAGCAAGGCAAGCATTTCCATTAAAGGTATCTGTGGTTAGGATAACTTCGCAACCCTGCGACCTATTGTTTACACTCATATGCAACCATGACCTCCAAACCACCTGCGGCCGCCGCGGCTGATGAAGACGACGACTACATGAACATGACCTTCGAAGAAACCCCAGCGTCACGTCCCAAAGAAACTCTCACACAAAGGAAGAAGCGCCTAGCTCGTGAGGCAGAGATTAAAGGCCGACCCAAGTCCAAGGCAGAGCTGGCAGAGGAAGAACGAAAGAAGAGGGAAGAAGCACTGAACTCCACGACCATCGACACAAGCAGTAAAGGATTCAAGATGATGGCAGCGTTAGGATACAAACCCGGCAGCGCGCTGGGTGTGTCTCGAGACCCCAAGAACGGAGACGACCGTCTGCTCGAGCCCATAGGACTGGAAATGAGAGACACGCGCAGCGGTATAGGCGCGGATGCGGAGAAAAAGCGGAAATTTCGGGAAGAGGTGGAAGCACAACAAGAGGTCGACAAGAAGAGGAAAGTCGACGCTGGAGAGTTCCGAGAGAGGCAGCAGAAAGAACGCGAGGAGAAGAGGATGGAGGGTCAAGCCTGGGGGGCCATGAAGGTCTGCGAGCGATTGGAGGAGGAGGAAGACGCCTCAGGTTCTGCTGGGGACTTGACGGATGCCGCGAGGCGACCCACCAGTAGGCCATTGAAGGGCGTCAATGTGCTCTGGCGCGCTCTGGTCAAGCAGAGGGCAATCAACGAGCGGGATCGGAGGATACGATACGACCTTCATCAATCACTCTCGAGACGGCCGGACTACACCGATCCCGATGAAGAGGACGAGGACAAAATCGCCCTGGGAAGGAAAACAGAGACTGAGGAGGTCGATGTTGACTTGGACGAGGAAGACGAGGAGCTTGATGAGTTCGAAGCCCTAGAGGTCTCCGAGAAGTTGACGAGGCTGGTTCACTATCTACGGGAAAGATGGAACTACTGCTTCTGGTGTAAGTTCAAGTACCCGGACAAGGAGATGGAAGGATGTCCGGGCTTGACAGAGGAAGATCATGATTAGTTTGAGTGGTTGTGCGACGGCAACTAGAACACAAGATCGAAAAAAATGATATGACCTGCACACCTAATTACACCTACATTCTCAGTAATAGTAAAAAGGATGGCATGAATCGACCACTGCAACGGTCACACGCATCTTCGGCCTCGTGACGGCTAGTAGGCTCAGTCTGGTAGTGAGTGGATCGAGAAAACTTCTTGGAACTCCAAGTTCAGCCTTGTGTCCCCCGCATTGCTTGTTGTTTCTTCTAGGTCTGCAGCCTGCCTGCTCGATAATACCAGCTCCCAACCACACGAATACAAAAATGAGGCATGTCGTTCTTCACGTCAGACCGCGCCGTGGTCGTCTTTCTGCTGTTAGGACTGGGCACGGCCTATTATACAATCCCTAGCCTCCTAGACCGAGTCAAGAATGAAGCGCGAGCACCGGAGCCCGAGCCTCCAGCTGCGACGAAACGGCTGCAGAAGGATTCGGAGAACTCGCTGAAGATCGAGACATTGCGGACTCTGGCCGACGGCTACAGCCATGAGCTGCGCACGTCGGCGATCAAGATCGTGGCCAACCGCACGGCCAGGTCTCGATCGAAGCGACTGCTGCTGCGGGACCTGGCGAGCAAGGACTACGGGCGCAGAGACAACGCCATCAACGGCCTGTGGATGCTTCTGTACCATCCGGCACTCACGGAAACGAAAATGTCCAACGAACTGCACGACGGCACCGCCGCGGCGGCCACGGTTCGTGCACTGATCAACATCTTGCCTCTACATCACATGGAGCAGCATGACCATGACCATGACCATGACCAGACTCCCGAAGAGAAGAGCCTGCCGGCGTCCCCGGTGCGACCGGCCCATCGGCCGGCCCATGAAGTCTCGCTCCTCATCATCCTCAACAATACGCTTTCATACGCGGGCCGCCGAATCGCGTCCCAGCTGGCAGGCAACGAAATCATGGACGCCGCGTTGGACGCCGGCTTGGTCACGCGCTGGCTGGCGAAATACCCTTTCCCCTGTGCACTGCCGGAGAATGCGGGCTTCAATTACAAGAAGGCCGATGTCGCCCGCCTGTTCGACCGCATGGCCTGGCTGACAGACGACCCTCTGATGGCAGACATTGTGCTGGAAGTCATGCAATACCCGCGCGGACGGAAGGAAATGCGCGACGTCGGTCTGCAAGGGAGCAGGTACCGCGAGAATATGACCCGAGGAGGGGGAGGCTCCTACAATTCCGGCTGGGACTTGCCAGCCTGGGTGACGGCGGCCGACTCGGACCGCGATGTGCGCATGATCGGCGGCGAGGACACGGCCGGGATGGGAGAGTACGACATCGTGGACTACGGTGGTCGTGCAGGGCCCGCGCACCCGCCGCCGCGTTCCACGGAGCGCAGTCAGGAAGAGGAACACCTCCGGCGTCGGCACCGCGAGGCTATCGTCGTCGCGGAGCGCGGCGCCCCTCTGCGCAGAGAGAACATCCTCCAGCGTGAGAACAGCCAGCCGCTACAGCCCATGAACGGCACCAGTGAGGTCGAGGGCGTCCTGAACGGCCTCTTGGGTCTCTCGGACCATGCGCAGCCGCAGAGTTCGCCTGTCTCGCCGTCCATACGCCACGTCCCCAGTCTCATCTTGGAGCAAGAAGACAGAGACCGCCGCCCAGCTACCGAGCTCGATCGGATCTTGGACGTCCACGAGATCGAGCACATGATCGAGGAGTCGTTGAGCCACACACGCCTCGGTCGGGATCTTGGGACGCTGGAGTCAAATGAGCACCTCACCCTTCAAGCGGTCGAGACTACTGCGTCTACGCAAGACTCCGGCAACGGCACCGACTCCGACTCCGACACCCCCTCGGATCAAGACCAGGGCACTTGAGGGGGAAGAAGAGTATCTACTTGCTTGGGCAAGGGCAAGTATTCGCGTTAATCTACTGTCGGCACTGGCTTGCTCATGGCAAATGTTGTACCTTGCGCTCCCAACATGTTCTGCTCTGAGCGCCCTGGGTTAAGTGCCTTGCAAGCAACCTAGTCTTCGCTCGTCTCAGACAAGCAATGGCTTTAGCTAGGAGTTGGGGTTGGGGTTGGGTTTGGGTTTGGGTCTAATGTCGGATACTGGCGCAAGCACTCTTGTACCTAATCGAGTACGTAGTAATCAAATCAAGCATCGGCATTGGCATCGGCAGCATTCAAACAATTCGTTTCAAAAGCTGAATATTCATTTTACAGCTTTTCAGCCTTCTAGTCATGGCCAGAGACTCAAGTCCGTTTTTCGTCCTAGACCCTTGAACCTGCGCCTCACGCATCAGCCCCCTTGGTTGTCGTGCACCAGGCCTGCAAGGACATTCCACCATTGCCGTCCGCCACAGGACGTGACACCCAGAGCGGACGTGCAGACCTCAACATCCGCATCCGACTCTCCATTCCACTTGACGTCTACTTCAATGGGATGAACCTCGAAGAGTGGGTAGCACCGATACCGGGTCTACCGTGCTTGACGGGCTTGTATGAGATGGAGAATTCGCCCAGGTAGTGGCCGACCATCTCGGGCTTGATTTCGACCTGGTTGAACTCCTTGCCGCTGTAGATTCCAATGACACTGCCGATCATCTCGGGCACGATGATCATGTCTCGCAGATGCGTCTTGACCAGGTCGGGTTTCTCGTTGGGCTTTGCGTTCTGCTTGGCCTTGCGCAGCTTCTTGATCAGTCCCATCGGGCGGCGCTTGAGGCCTCGGTTGAATCGGCGACGAGCCCGCGCATGGAGGACAGTGAGGAGTTCGTTGGACGGGATGTCGAGCAGTCTGTTGGTTGGGGCAGAACAAGTCAATATCAATCAGAAATGCCACCTCTTGGGTCTCCAATCACGATCCTCAAAACAGAACAGAATGGAATACGGCTTGGCCGCGGGTGCAAAACGTACTGGTCGAGATCAATGCCTCGGTAGGAAAACTTGCGGAACGTTCTCTTCTTCTTGAGCTCGGCGGCCTCCTCGGCGTTCTGTGAGTGGGAAATCTATCAGTCTTGTGTGCTTTGTTTGCGAGAGTGCGGACCTGGATCCAGGGCCCCAGAACGTACGTAGTCGGCGTCAGCCATGATTGTGGTAGGCACTGCGCGTTCGCTTCTCGATGTGACGGTCGAAAAGCGAGAGGGAGGATGATGGTGCAGTTGACAGATCCGTCAAGGTCAACGATTTACGGGATTCGAACACTTACTTGCGTTCACCCTCTGAAGTTTCGAAGGCTTGGCTGCGCCGGTCCGAATTCGTTAGGGCAAGTGCGTCACGTGACATGAAATCTTGGCATCGCCCGCTTGACGAGGCTCCCGCATTCAAGTTTCAAGGGCCAGAAACCAAATGGCTGCCGGCCTGCAGGTTACGATGAGGATCCTCATAGTAGAAGAGAACACTCCGAGGGCGTCCTCAGGGTGTCTAGTGTTCGGGATTTAATCTACTGTCCATTTACATCGAAGTATAGTGAACCCCTCTGCGGAAGTAATCTGCTTTGTCACAGGGAATTGGTCTTGTCATTGATACCCGTGTCTTGGTCTGAATCTTGCGCAGGCAGGCTGGTAGCAGACTCCTTGCAGAAACGACTCTCTTGAGAGAGTGGCCTGGATCCCATTTCTCGTCCCGGTTTCCGCAGAAGGCCCGAAGCGGCCAGGTGGAAGAATTCCCCGCGGTTTCAGTAATTTGCTCCAGATCCAACCTTCGCTTAGTCGAAAAGACCGAAGCCCATGTCCTCGTCGGACTCTTCCTTCTCCTCTTCCTTGGCCGGCTCCTCTTCAGCAGCAGCAGCGGCACCACCAGCGGCCGCACCGCCAGCAGCGGGAGCAGCGGCACCACCGGCACCACCAGTGGGAACAGATGCGAGTTTGGTAGAACCCTCAGCGATGAGCTATTATAACTGTCAGTATACTGCCCGAGTGCCCACACTAGAAGTCTTCCTTACTTCGGAGATATCCTTGCCCTTCAACTCTGAGATCAGCTTGGAGAGACGTTCCTCGTCGGCGTCAATCCCGACGGAAGACAGGACACCCTTGATATCGGAGTCAGAGGGGTCGGTGTTGCCGGCAAGGCCGAGGAGGAGGTAGGCGGCGAGGTGCTTCATTTTGAGTTGTTTTTCTACGCAAGCCGTCAGTTGACATTCCCCTCTTGGCTGGCAGGCTACTCACTGCTGTTTCGAGGATTTCGAACAAGAGAGACAATCGATTTAACCGCAAGTTGGGCGGAGACTGGCACGTCAGGTTCTGAGGATGTTCGTGGCTGGAAGACTGGCCAAAAGTTGCAGTGGATGAAGTTGTGCGCATCGAAAATGAAGTGAAAATGTTCAAGGAAAGTGAGCCGAGGACAACCGCCCGCCAAGCCAACTGGCAAATGATTATCCAGTCTGACGAAGGTTTATGTATTCAACAAATTGACAATGGCGCAAAATATTCCGTCAGACAGAGTCGCCTTATTTGCAGTATGACTGGTTCCCAGCCGCGCTGTCAAAGAGTCAGCCGCGACTCTGCGGGGGCCATTATTTGACTGTATCCGTACGTCGATTCTTTGTTCTTCGACTCACTTGTCATTCCCTTTGTTCTCAGGTTGTTGCCTGCCTGCTCCTCAGTTCGTGGAATTTGCCCCATGCGTCTATGATGCTCAGCTTGGCTCTTGTCCATACCGCATGAGCCAAACAGCAAACATGAACGCCGACCTGATAGAGGCCTACATTCCAACTCTCGGCTGAGACCCCTTCACCTTCCTCTCGCTTTCTCACCACCAATATGAGCTTCCTCGGCGACATCGTCAATTCCATCGGCACCGGCGCCGCGCCGCCACCGAAACCTGCGGGACGGCTGCCCGGCGTAAATTCCCAACAGCGTACGGCGGAAGATCTTAAGCCTGGATCACGGCCTGGGGTTACTTCAACACCTTCGCCCCTCAATGGTAGCAAACGCAGGGCTGAAGATGAACCTCCAAAAGCTACCTACAAAATCATCAGACCAAATCCTACACCTGGATTGACTAGTTCTGTCAGCAAGCGCACATCGGCTCCTTTGAATGCACCCAAGCCGGCTGGTGACAAGCACGCTTCTGTGGCCAGGCCCAAGCTCGAGACCAGTGTAAGCGCGTCGAGGACTGCGTCAGCGTCACCCACAACACCAGCAACCGCAGTGTCCAAGGCACCGCCTAAAGGGTCATATGCAGACATCATGGCCAGGGCTAAGCAGGCGCAGGAGATGAAGGCACACAGCCAAATTGGGCTTATTAAACATCAGGCCACCAACCGGGAACGGGTCTCGAAAGTTGCCGAAAGGCGACGTCAGGAAGAAGAAAAAACCAAAGCTGCGAAGGACAAGTCTGGAGCACGCCCTGTCGCCGGCAAACTGGGGAAGTCAAGAAGCGCTAGTCCGGCGAAGAAGTCTGATCAACCGCGAGTGCCGAAAGCCCCACGCCCACCCTTACATGCTCCAGCGTCGTACAAGGGCACGATTGGCACGGCTTCTACCAGGGAGAAACAGCAGAGCCAGCGCAGGCGGAAACAATACGACGAATATCTCGGTACAGACGAAGAAGATGCATCGGATGATGTGGGTTATGGACAAGACGAAGAAGATGATTATGGGTCCGATGCTTCGTCTGTTATGGAGGCCGGGGCGTTTGAAGTGGACGAAGAAGAGCAGAGGGCGCTGAGAGCTGCCAAAGAAGAAGATGCCAAAGAGCTCGCGCTCGAGGCCCAGCTGAAACGAGAGAAGGAAGAGCGGCGACGGAAACTAATGATTCTTGCTAGCAAACGAAAGTGATTTATCATCTATCACCAAAGGGACACGACACATCAACATTGGTGGTCTTGGGAGCGGTATTTTTATTGACAAGTTAGCATTGGTGTTGGGTGAATGCATTACTACGCATAGCGGCAGAGAGAGCACAGGATATTCATCATATACTGCCTTTGCAAAAGGATTACAATCGTGCTGGTTGCGTGATATTTGATTTGTTCGACGCCCTGTTTTTGGTGCGCTTCCCCTATTGTCTCCGGAGATGGCTCTAAGAGGTCGAGACCAGGTGAGAAGTTTTGGCAAACGGAAAGGTCGGCTGGAGGCACAAGATGTCGCTCACGCTCGTCACGACAATATGACTCTCGGGAACGAGCATTGAGTGCTAGCCTTTCCACCTTTCATGGCAATATTTCAGCAAATAAGCAGCAACCCATCTTCTACTCGGAGCCGTACGGTATTGATGCTGGTACTGATGTTGATCGTGAACAGCAGCAAGTCGACGGCCAGAGACCATCCGATCCAGAATGTGACAGCCCTACTACGACAGGTCCTGGTGAACCGCTGACGGCAGCAGATGTGATTGATGGCCAAATGTTGCTCTAGGGTGATTTCGTTGACACCGATGCTCCAAGTAGTAGAGAATTCGCGACTCCTGGGCTGGCTGTCTACCCTCGTCGCCCTCTCACCTTCTCACCCTCCCCAGTCTTCCACTTATTCTTTCCCTCCATGGGCGCGGAAGTCTAACATGATAATCTGACTGAGAGACCATTCTATCTAAGTTCCTGGCAGGCAACACCAGAAGATGGAGGGCCAGCCTCGCCCTGAGACCGAGACTGCGAATGACCTGACACGATGGGCCTATGTCTGCTATCTCTGGATGGAGGTGGACTAAGGGGCCTGTCGACGCTCTATACTCGTCCAAGTAGCCACCGAGATGTGTAAGCCTTTGGACCTCTTGGTGTGTTCTGGCACATAAACGCCCCCATGCTAATCAATCATTCCGGCCCAGCGGAGTTGTTCGACAGAGCCAGGCAGTCGTCCAAGGCACCGAATGACTTGGAGCAGGTGCCGATGGCGCACCCAATGGCGCTTCCCACCACGTTCATGGTGCAGCCGCTCAGCGACGTGGTAAAGCAGTACTGCACGGATGTCTTTTGCCGCGAGAAGGCGTCGAAGGTGAAGATCTGTTCGGCTTGAGCAGCGGTCTGCGCCGTCACAGCGTGTAGAAAGAAAGGTCAGAAATGCTACCAGTGCAAGAGACAGCCCATCTTGGCCAGAACACTGAAATATGGATGGGAAGGGGAGCCCAGTCCGCGCCAGCGAGAGCATGCCGCCGATAACATATGTTCTTGACCTACAGAGTACATAACCATCCATCATTGCCAGGACCGCTCTCCGCCCAACAGTTCTAGACCCGGCCCCTCCATATTGCAGCTGACAGGGGTAAGGATCTTGGTGTTTTCAGATAGGTGGCCCTGTTAGAAGGAGTGACGCCTCCAAAAGCAAAAAGTACCGATCTCGGTCGCCAGCGTATAGAACGAAGCGCATGGTCGTATAAGGCCAGCTCCAGGCGCTGGCTGCTTCTGTTGACAAGGTGCATTTGTGTGCCATGGGATGCCATCTGACAAGATTAGACAGCTGCTGGTTCTCACTCTCACTGCACTGCCCAGGGGCAGGTAAACAACTCCGTACTGTATCTCATTCTGGCAGCGCCACATGTAGGTGCAAGCTGCAGGCTGGAACGACCAGGGGCCAAAAGCGAGGTTCTCGTGGCAAAAGCCGAGATTGACGTGTTCTTGGATCGTCAGGCTCCTTTGGGAAGGTAACTTGACTTGTTTTGCTTCTCTCCCCCAGTCATCTTCCTCAGGAGGCATCAGCCTTGTCTATCACGTGAGTGTCGGTTTTTTTCCATCCTGATCACAAGGAAGGTTCACCTTGATAGGTCCTGAAATCGATGTATAACTTCTGGTGAAAGGCTTCTTATTGAATGTGAAGTTGATAAGGGCTTAACAGACGGCTGTCGCTTCAGATCTTCGGAGCCTAACGCGTGAGGTATATCGATATGGGTTCTTTAAAGCGGCGGCCGGCGGGTGAGCGCCCACGTGAGGGTGAGCAAGCTCACCGTCAATTTATTCCTCCCCATTTCATTTCAGCCTTCTCGCGCCTTTTGCCGCCTCGCCTCGCCTCGATTGCACCGTTGTGAACATGGTCGTCGACAAATCCGACTGCTCCGCTCTCCAACCTTGAAAGACCGCTAGGCAACTCATCCACAAATGTCCTTCTCGTTTGGTTTCAGCGGCGACGATATTGACGATGAAGGCGGAATTCATGACCAAGACACCCTCGTCGGCGATATATCAAAATACAGCATCGCGGACGCCAATCATGAGGAGTCTCATACAATCGAGCCGCGGAGACATTCTCTAACGGAACTGGTAGGCGCATGAACCCCTGCTTGTCAGTCTGCATATCAGTATCACAACGAACGGCAGGGTTTTTGCCAGTCGGGAATGAAAGAAAGAAAGGATCTTCTATATTGCAAAACCCTCCAACCCCGCCCCCCAATTTCCAAAGACATGCACTGCACTGCATTGATTTGTTTATTCGCTGCTTCTCTTCAAAAGCCCTCTCTGACGATCGTGTCTAGCTGGCGTCCCTTCCATCCCAGATCTCATACAATACTCTGACCATCCCGGCGCCAACACCGCCCACTGCACTCGCAGACTCGGAATATGAACATGCGCCCTCGTCCACAAGTATTCATACCCAAAGCGACAGCATCCAGGTCATGCGTCGCTCTTTATTCGACATTCGAGCTCAGCTGATGGCCGAAGCGGATCCCGAAACCCACGACGACGAGGCCGACACGATGCTCGCCGGCCTCGAGAACGGCGACTTGACCTCTGGCATCTACGAGGGCGGGTTCAAGACGTGGGAATGTGCACTCGATCTGGCCTCGCTGGTCGGCACCCAACTTGTAGATCTAGATGCCAACCAGGACTGGCAAGTCATCGAGCTCGGTGCCGGAAGTGCCATCCCCAGCTTAGCGCTTCTACGAGCCTTTCTCACCCGCACCGGTCGACAATCTCGAGACGGAAACTCCACAGCTGGAGACGCGCAACAGCTCGCACACTTCAAGTTCACGCTGTGTGACTACAACGAAGAGGTGCTGAGACTATGCACCGCCCCGAACGTTCTGTTGAATTATCACTATCACAACCTCCCCTCCGAGCACGATGCGTCTCGGTCTGGGTTTCGACCTGACGGTCCAGGACCGGAGGAAGAAGGTGAGCTCGACGTTGAAGACCTAGGCGGCGCCGAGGCCTTCGTCTCCGAGACCTTGCAAGACATGCATGCCCGACGGCTATCCTTTGCTTTCCTCTCCGGAGGCTGGGGCGAGTCTTTCCTGGATCTGATCCCTTCGCCGAAGCCAGAGCGGCCTACGAATCTGTTAATCCTAGCGTCCGAAACAATCTACTCGCCATCGTCTTCGAAAATCTTTGTAGACAACCTCCTCCGCTTGCTTCGGCGACACCGCAGGGGAACGGCCAAGGCATGGGTCGCGGCCAAGAAAGTCTACTTCGGTGTCGGCGGCGGAGTGGATGAGTTCGTGGCAGATATCGAGCACCGTGGCGGCCGGAGCAAGATCTTACTCGAAACAAAAGATACGGGCGTTGGGAGGGTAGTTATGGAAGTCACCATATGAATGTCATGGACGCACAGCGCAAATCCCATGTTGACTGTTGACAGAATGAAAGAACATGTGTACGGAAAAAATCCATTCCCCCATCTCTACAACTTGGCCAGGCGTCCCCTGGGCTCCGCCGCATGTGAAGAAGGTGACCAATGTCCAGACTAGAATACACATGCCACTTTTAAGGTCAGCGAACGAGAAAAAATCGACCCCGTGTCCCCGTGTCCCGGTGTCCCGGGTCTCCCTTTGGCTTGCAGGTCGTCTACTGTTGACGATTGCGCATGCTAGGGGGCACATAACGTCCTCCAGTTGCTCCAGTTGCAGGCTTTCTTGGTGCTTCGTCACCGCTGGCAGTCGCTGGTGAGCCGGCGCCTTCCCTTGACAAGCTGCGACCCTCCTCTCTCACACGCACAGGCACGGGCACAAATCGGGAACCGCTTGCACCGTTAGCGGGTGAAGCCGATGAGTTGCGCGGCGGCAGGTCACGAGTCGGTAGTTCCGCACGAGCTCCGGGACCTTCGCGCAGATGAGGAGGGACATAGCCTCCAGGGCGGCGAGGTTGAGTGTGTGCCGGTTCCTGGACAGCGGTAGCGGGAGCATGAGCATGAGGTTCAGGAGTAGTAGTGCGGCCAGTGGCCCCAGCTGCTTCCTTTGCCGCTTGCCGTTCACGCCAACCACCGGCCTTGCTAGGCAAATTGACGCGGGGAGCAACGCGGCCTTCTGAAGAGTCGGCTCGGGCGTCCAAGGGTGCTGCCTCTCTTGGGTGAGAGACTGGCACGGTTTCAGGGCCTGCCGCTTTGCGGGCGGCGCGTCGAGCAATAGCTTCTTCCTCTCGTTGCATTTGTTTCCGAGCAACTTCCTCACGCTCGAGACGGTCCGCCTCGGCCTTAGCCTTCCTCTCGGCCGCGATTCTCTTCTTCTCTTCCTCGGCCTGGGCTCGCTCTTCTTCTTCGCGTTGCCTGGCCTCCTCCTCCTCGCGGATTCGCTGCTCTTCGGCTTCTTGGGCCTCTCGTTGTCTGATCTTCTCCTCATGGTACGCCTTGATGCGCTTCCTCTTCTCCTCCTCAAATTCGCGCTCGGCTCGCTTGCGAAGTCTCTCGAACTCGGCCGCGCGGCGTTCAGTGATCTGACCCTTGAATGAATCATAGGGCTTGACGAGCCTGCTCAGACGATGCTTGAGAGCCAACCCTTCTTTGTGTTTCTCCTTGGCCTCCCTAAGCTTGTCCTCCTTAATCTGTTCGTGGAGCTTCAAATCTGCCTCGTGTTGCTTCTCATAATCCGCGTCCGCATATTTGAGTTCTTCGCGGCGGAAGGCGCGTTCGATATGGTCAATCCGCTTGGCGGTGATGTTGATCTTGTGATCTTTTTCATGCTTGTCTTTCTCAAGCTGAGTTAGCTTCAGCATTCGAATGGCATTCGAGTCAAGTTCGTCGATGTTGAGATCTTCGAGATCAAGCTTCATGCCGCCCTTGAGCTCTTCGAGTTGTTTCTCGATCTCCTGGCGCCGGATACGGGCCTGTTCATCCTTGACACGTTTCAGCTCCCGCGCGCGAGTCTCTTCGCGAAGACGCTGGGACTCTATCTCTGCCTGCTGCTGGGCACGAATACGACGGCGAGTCTCTTCTTCTCGCTGTTTCTTTGAGAGAGCTTCAGAAAGGGCTTCCTTCTGCTTTTCGATCACCACTCGCCTCTCAAGAGTCGCTTCTAGTTCTTGCTGGGCACCAGCCTCGGCTCGTGCCAGTGCAGACTCTCTGGCGGCGAGACGGGCCTGGTTGTAAGACGGATCAACATACATGCAAGTGATATGGAGGGTCTTGGCCAGGCGAGTAAGCTGCGATCGTGCAATCTCCGCAGGGGTGTTCTGTAGCCGTTGGACTGAACCAGTCTCGCTCTCAGCAGATCCTGCTGCACTGCCAGGGTGAAGAGCCTTTGCAGAGGAGAAGACGTCGGAGTCAAAGGCAAGAATGCCAGAAACGTGGTCAAGACGAATCGACAAGTCACCCTTCTTGCATCCGTTCATGATGAACTTCTCAATCATGGCAGGAGTCACTTCGAAGGGAGCAGGGAACTGAGCAAGCCGATTCACAAAGCTCAGCTCGACAGATTCGTAGACCTGAGAGAGTTGCTGGAAGAGTCGAGTGAGAATGACTTGTTGGAGAGGGAGCACATACTTTTCCATCTCCGGATCGGCTCCAATTCGGGCTAGAATCGGAGCGATCTTTTTGCAGATAGACAGAGGATGGAAGTCAACTTCGAGGATGTCGTAGAGGTCTCTGATTTCCGGCCTCACTCTCTTCAGCAAGCCTTTATTGAGTATATCCTTGAAGAGACCCGCTCTTGTCGGCGCGGATGGCATGCTCAGGAGATTGGTCAGGCGATTGTTCTTGTTTTTCCGTGCTTCATCAACGTCCACCAGAACACCACGTGATCGAGATGTGCTGATGACAGGAATTGCCAGTGCAGAAAGCAAGACAAAGGAGGCCGCCTTGGTCAACGCCTCCTCTGTGACCACAGGGTTGTCCCGTTTAGGTGTCTGCCCAGCCGCAACAGCGGCAGCAGATTGGCGGAGGAGATTGTAGTATTTGTTGTATGCAGCGGCATGGAACAAGAAGTTGTCGCTGACCAGGAAGATTTTGGTCAATTTCTCATAGTAATTTGCCATCATGAGATTCTTCGCAGGTCGCTTCGACAGGGTGAGAAGCATGTGAATGTCCTCAACACTTCGGAAGGCCTCCTGCCACAACTCGAGTTCGTCTGCAACGTTCAACTGTCGGAAGCGGGTCTCGAGATGGCGTTGCAACGTGTCCGGTTCGCTGAGATTGATGGCGTGCATCTGAGAGGAGTATTTGGCAGCATTCTGGACATGGTTTCGCAAAAGTTCGCACAGGCGACGGAATTCAGTCTTCCTGGTGTACTTGAGACAGAAATCGAAAGCCTGATGAGCGGTGCTCTGATACATGACCTCGAGCCGAGCATTGTTCTTTAATATCTCGAGAACTGTGCGATAAGTCTCCCACAAGAACTTGAGCCATGGTGTCACAATTGCTCGATCGGTTCGGTCTTTGGACTGCTCGCCAGAAACTGTGGCGAGGAGGATGGTTTCTGGGGTCTCGGTAGCTTCCAGATCCTCGATGTTGAGGTTTGTCGAAGATGCTACAGATTCAAGGGAGGACTGAACTTGGTCGGCTTTGGCCTGAGCCTCCTGAACCTTTTGTTCGGCGAGTTCGATGAATCGTTTCAGAACCAGCTGCAGCCCATTAGCACGCGTTCATTAAACCTTGACAATCGTCTCCGCATACTTCTATGGTCCCCACGTTCGTGTTCTGCGCAATGTTCTTATATTGGTAGAGCCCATCCTTCGCGGCTTTTCCCTTTCGTAGATCGACGCTCAACTCGACGAAAAGGAGCATAACCGGCTCCAGTGCCGAGATGGCGCTGTTCCGGGAGCGCTTCGAGGTAACATGTTCGTGAAGGACATTGAGGGCGGCTTGCGTTTGGCCCACGGCGATCAGTTCTTGTGCACGCTGAAGAGCTTTGTCAGTCATTGCGCGAAGGCAGAAGCCATAGAAAGGAGAGCTGGCTGGCTTACTCTGAGCACATTCTCAGGCCGAGTGTGAGGCGGCGGGGGCATCTTGTCGGCTGGCTATTTGAGTCAAAGAACAAAGATCAAGTGAATGATCCGTTAAGACTCTAGATGATTGATGTCGATTGCCCGCAGGTGTTGCCACGATCACGGCTTGTGTCGTGCCAGGTGCAGAGTTGGATATTTCACACAGTGGATTTGGGGCTTGGCGGCAGTCATGCCTGGGTCAACGGCCTAAAGGGGTGACGACGGCAGACAGACAAACCACGTGACTGTCTCATCTTTACCTCGCTTCACCTTCCGTCCAGAGCACCCACTTCACTAACTCCGGATAGCCGTATCTCCGCTTCACGTGACATTCACAACTCACGCTATCCCCAACGGTGCTAGCGTCTGTCGCTGAGATTGAACATGGAGGAGCGTTCGTCCCCTGATTCCCTGGAACCACAATTGACCTCGTTCCCCCTGCGACCTATCCATCAACCAGTCACCCGTGAACTCATCCATCGAGGCATTCACCCACCCCAACTTTTGCTTGATCCTATCCACCGCAAAAAAAACCGTGCCACCCAGCAAGCTCGCAGCAGTCACCGTCGGAAGCGCTCTCGTCGAAGCTTGGTTCAAGCCCTCAACTCCACTCCTCTTCCTCGCCTTCAAGAAGACACTTCTGATCTTCAGGGAGCCACATCTGATCTTCAGGAAGACAGTCTGTTGCCTCCGTACTCAAGTGCCGACTACGAGGCGGATCTCCGCCGTTTCAACCTAGCCTACAGCACCCCTTACATTGACTACTACGCCCTGCTCTCCGATAACGACGACAACGACTTCTTGTCCAGCAACAAGCCATCATGCCAGCAGCATACGCCGTCCGAGATGGAGGCGACGCCAAGTCCAAAAAACAAAGCATGGCAGATCTTAAACTTCGGCGGCTCCAAGAACTCAACTCCCGTCTTAAAGAAGATCTGGAAAGGCCTCGTGTAAAGGTTGGCGAAGCGTCCATGAGGTGAGTCTTATCCACCCACAGCAACAGATGCGTAGTGCTCAGAATTTACTAATGCCGTGGGCGCAGCTTGATCAACTACTGCAATTCAACGCGAGACTACATGGTACCTTCAGTTTGGGGACAAGTGGACAGAAAAGAAGATCCTTACAACCCACAGAGCGGGGGCAATGATGGATGTTGCACAGTCATGTAATGGAGAATAGCGGGATCATTGGGCTCAATCACACACGAGGAGTGCTGAGAAAGAAAGGGCAGGACATCAATTCGGAAAGCACTCGGCGCAAAAGGCGTTCTCAGTCCGTGGACAGCTGCGACAGATTTCGAGGTGAAGGGCAGTCAGCACGGAGAATACGGACGATATTGCTCCGCTTGTACCTGGTTGCCTTAAGCCTGGCATAACCGTCCTGTTCAGACTTTTCACAGGACCCCAGATACGTATCTGGGTGAGAACGAATGCAGAACCTTGACTTACATTTCTTCTTCCACATCGCCTCGGTGGTTTCTCATTGACTGCTGAAATGCCGGGTGACGTGGTTGAATATGCCTCAGCTCTACACGGCGTATGAGGCCCAGTCATGAGCATCCAGTACCGCCTTTTCTCTAGTCCCCTTCGCCTTCTGAGCTGAAGTCACCTTTGTTCGAACTTATTCTCCGTGAGGTCAGATGCTCGCAAACATCGAGCGCCTCCGTGACTCTCGACTGCTTGGGGCTTGGGCTTGGGCTTTCTCCTCGCGACAGAGGACAATCTGCAATAGGATGTTGCCGATAAGATTCGACGTCTTGTGGGGTTGTACTCCATCATGGCAATGCCATGACGCCACAGTTCGGTTATGCCGCTCAGTCAGTTCATCAAATTCTCCGAGTGGTGGCTGGAGAATGTATATACTCCGAACTGTATGTATGTACGTAATTACATAATATGCACTACTCCATACAGGTTCATCTTTCTCGACCACCAGTAGCGTTTCATGACGGCAGTTCCTCCTTCCAAGCCTCCTACTGGAGGGCCCGGACGATGTCAGCAGCCTTGAGCGTCAGGTTGATTCGATCCGTTACCTTCGGCCGTAGCGACTCATCCTGCTCCGAAAAGTGCACGCCCAGCACGGTCAGGGTTGAGGCGTTGAGGTATCTGGCCCCTGGAATATGTTCTCCTTGCTGGCCATTACTTGCTTATGCCATCTACGCTAGGCGTTGACAGTGTGCCAGTGGACTTGTGGATGCAAATTTCAGCACAGATATCGCGTCCTGTTACCTAAAGACATTCACTCAAGTTGAGGTACCTGGTCGTAATCATCACCGGCTCGTTTGGGTTTCGAAGATGCGATTGTACCCCGTATTGCATCCTTCATATAGAAGGTGTCTACGAGAATAGGCAACTACATCCAAGCTCCATCTTCAACCCGTATGTCTTGTAGTATCTAACTTCGGTACCTCCCGAGAAGATAAATACCTAGAGGCCAGAGTCCTCAATAAAGCCATTTATACATAACCAGCCTCGGCTGTCTGTATTACATAACTCAACCCCTGGGCCCACTAATAGCCTGAAGCCCTGTAGCGCCTTAGCACTGCTTCCTACTCCTTCATACCTAAATTTCCTAGGCCTTACGCCACTCTCTCTCTTAGAGACATGTACCCACAACTCATGCACCTACTGATTCCTCTGTCTCATGTCAACCGCCCTTCGCCGGCCAGTCACGACGGTACCACCCCTGCGCCACAATCTCCTTTCTTTACGGCAATTAGACGACAACGTAGCTCAGCCTTCTCCTTCCGGACTGCTTCTGTCGAGTCTGCTTCCGCTTTGCTCTCACCAGGCTTGCAGTTCTCTACCATCAAGGCATTGAGGCATGAAGTGGATCCGTTGGTGCCAGCTTTTGTTTTGGCAACAAGCTATAACGGCTCCAGCAAGGCTGTGGAGAACTAACTCTTATTATGTGTTAGGCGGCCCAAAAAGGCTCCGCTTCATACGCTTAGAGGTTGCCAGTAGTATAGACACGAGGCTAGAAGTGGTGGGGATCTGCGGGCCACCGGGTCCCGCGAGGCGAACAAGTCTCAGAATCGGTAACCTCCTTGACCCGTATTCTGAAAATCTGGTGACTGTAACCGGTCTCCGTTTACGGCGTCTGAAAACGACTTGGCCTCTGGGACTGACAGAGCTCGTGCAGGAGCAGAATAGTCTGTCAGCAACTTCGTTCCTGAGCTCAAATTGAAGTCACAGCCCAAGAAAATGTACAGCATTAGGAAGTTCTTTTACACTGCTTCGGTCCTCCTAAAAGAAACCCCGATGGTGCCGAGACAAGAGCTGCTGACATAACGTCTATAAACCTCCTCCATACCAACACCGCCAGGAATAGATATACATTCCTATCCCTGTCAAAGCCACTGGGAGGCGCGTCTAGTACATCTGCCTGTTTCTCATCTCGATGGGGAGGAAGCACATGACAAAAGACGAGAGCCAGATACCGCCGGCGCCGAGCCAGAGGACACCGGCCCTACCCTGGTCAATGTACTTTTGACCAGCAAAGGGGGCGACGATACCGGCGATACGACCCAGGCAGGACAGCAAACCGCTCGCGCTAGCGCGGGAGGTCGTGTCGAACATCTCGGGCGCGGACGCGTACAGCACCGCGTTGAAATACTGGCAATCGTCATTTCATGTCTGGCTTCGATGGTTGGGGAGAAACTTACAGTCTGCATAATGTACTCGAGAGCGTTGAGACCGACATAGCCGGCGGTTGTTTTGACCTGGGTGTACATGGCCATGGACAGCCCCTGTAGCGCGGCCGAGATGACCAGCGACCACTTTCTACCAATCAAGGGCAACTGGACAGAGAAAAGGGCGACGAAGGCGCCAATAATCCCGGGAAGGTAGATATAGATGTACTCGCGGTAGGTGGCGGTGACGGTATTCGCGCCGCTGTCCACGTTGTTCTGTAGTAAAACAATTGGGAGGAAGTAGCCGGCCAGATTGAAAGACCAGTAGTCACCCTGTGATGGTCAGCATGCAACGATACTTGGGATAATTCATGAACTACTTACCATGTAGGCCAGGGCCAAAAGAAAAAAGGTGAAGCACTGGAGCTTGCTAAGGAAGATGCCACGGAGGAAGCCTAGGTTCTTAAACGCGCGGCGGATGACGTCCTTAGAGCCGGAACCAGTGGTATTTTGGGTCTCGTCGATGCCGAGAGCGCTGTTGACCGCATGGAAATCTTCAACAGTCAACGTGGGCTCGGGTGCTCCGTTGAACTTGGCAATCTTGTGCAGGACATCGATGGCCTCCTGCTCGCGGCCTTTGCTCAGGAGGAACTTAGGCGACTCGTGAAACCTGAAGATGCCATACCGGGCGAAGAAGATGACCAGGGTCACGGCACCAATGATGATGCACTGGTATCTCCAGCCCATGTTGCTCGAGAGGCTGCAGCAAGCCTCCCCCTTGCCAACGGCGTTGCAGGCGGGCAGAGCCACGTCGCATCGGTACTTGGCGGTGGTGCCGTAAGCGACAGCGCACGCGAAGACAATGCCGATCGGTTGCCACATACTCAACAGGGACACAAGGAAGCGGCGATTCTGGGGCAGGAACTCGAGCGCGATGGTCGCGTCCATGGGGATGTTTCCTCCAAGACCAATGCTCGCTAGGAAGTATATCCCGCAGACTGCGCCGTAGCTGCTCTTGCTCGCGGCCTGGAGCTGTGAGTAATGGCTCGTGGGTCAGCAAGGGAGGCAACGTACCAGAAGTATGCCGAAGACGCAGGTGATGAGGCACGAGAGGTTGAAGGCCCACTTCCTGCCAATGAGATCGGAAATGATACCAAATCCGATTGCACCAACGCTGCAAAATGTAAGCCTGGGTACCAGCGCCATGGAGCGAGATACTCACCTGAGTCCGGCGTTGGAGCAGGTGGAGAGCAGACCTTGCCTTCCCGAGGGTGTCCCGAACTCCTGGCTGCAAAGTGTGAGTAGTGACATTTACACCAGAGATGACTTCAGACTCACTATACGGCCGAAGCCATCAGAGCGACACCCTGTGCCCAGGCCAAGTCGAGGAAGTATCCGAACCCGCACAAAAGCCAGATGCACTTCTGGTACTTGCCGAAGCCGAACTTGTCGATCTCACTGAATGGACTGGTCAGCACCGGCTCATGCGAAAGAACAGTAGGTGAATAGCATCTCGCAGTCTGCAGACTTACGCGTTGATCAAAGCGGCTTTACGCTCAAACGGGGTGACTTTATGGACAGCGGTGCCTCTGAACACATCCCCAATCGAGAGGTGAGGGGTTTCCTCGGGCAGCTCTACCTTGGTACCATGCTCCCTGTCGGGGTGGTCTGCCTTGGGCTCGAAGGCGACCTTGTCTGAGTCTGAGATGTGGTCGGAAGGTGTCGACATTGTGAAAGGTGGCTGGCCTTTGAAGGGGATGTTCCAATGTCGGTCATGGCAAAGTTGGTTAGGGGAGCTCTCAGCTGGTTATTTATATACGCTGCGTGTCCAGAATCCAAGCCCCTATGTATTTGATAGCAGCCTCGGCTCTGGTGTACCGTGTAGTGGTAACAAGATATTAAGCAGTAACAAGATAAGCAGCGGACCCTCCCCCGGGGAGGCGATCCATCTGTCATGTTGACGTTCGAGAGTCCCCATAAACTTTAAAAGACGGAGCGTAGGTAGGCGCGGTTAAACTGAGATAAGCGTTGTAGACAGCAGCCAATGACCATTCATGCCGCGCTCTGGGCACTTACCTAATTCTAAAGCCGCGCTTGGGTTTAGAGGCTAGTGGCTTCCAGAATGCCCCACTCTCCGCTGGATAGCCACATGTATACGTCAAGTTAGCCCCCTCTCGTAATGCCAATGCCGAATAGCAACATCTCTCCCGCGGGCAGATATCTTTCCCAGAGGATACCTGAGGCAGTAGCCGGCGGCCGCAGTATTGCTCCACAGAGCCAGAACGGTCCAACACATGATCTCTCCTGACATGTCTATCTCGACGGGATCGCCTTTTAGCCAGTCCTTATCGTGACGCAGCGCTTCGTAAGGTGTGAGTGAAAGATTAAGTACAGCCAATGAACGTTCGGTCCGCGCTCTCGGCACTTGCCTTCGTAGTAATACAATATACTAACTCGTTGTAAGATGATTTTGTACGCGGACAGCTTAAAACATTGATAAAACTGACCATACTCCACAAAGTCAGAACCATTCAACATATCATCTCAATTTCTTAATCTCACCACGCAATCCGTTTATTTATCGCTCAACCACCATCATGTCCTCTACCAGTGCCGCTGACGACCGAAGCGTCGCCTCAACACCAAAGGGGTCGGCCGCCGTACTCCAGGTGGAGCGGCGTGACTATGTCGACCTGGTACCGACACAAAGGGAGCGAGTGCACTCAATGGACGGCTTCGACGACGTTTACACAGACATTGTCGACTACATCGTGCGGTGTACCCACCGTATCTGGGATGAGCGAGACATTGGACTGATCTACACTCATTACACCAACAACTGTGTCCTGTACAGCACCATGGCCACGCTGTACGACCGCGAGTCGGTCGTGCGGGATACCATTCAGCGTCTCGTCACCTTCCCCGACCGGGCTGTGATGGCGACCCAGGTGGTGTGGGATGGTGACGACAAGGACGGTTTCTACACGTCGCACCTCGTGACCGGTACCACTCGGCATACGCAGTCTGGCCAGTTTGGCCCCGCCACCGGCAAAACAGTCGTCAATCGGGTCATGGCCGACTGCATGATCTACCAGAACCGCATCTACCGCGAATGGGTCATCGCCGACAACATGGCCACCATCAAGCAGCTTGGGCTCGACCCGACCCCCTTCGCCCGCGACGCCGCCCAGGAGCTGTTCGACAAGGGGCTCACCGCCGTCGACATTGGCGACAACAGGCGGACGTTGGGTCAGGCGCCTCCCGTCGACGAGCCCGACACCTCCCTCGCCCACAACGACCTCGAGGTCGAAACGCTGTCGTGGCTACACCATGTATTCAACCGCCGCATGTTTGGCCGCATCGAGAAGGTCTACGCTCCCAACGCGCAGTACCATGGCCCCAAAATGGTCGAGCTATACGGCCCGGCCGCCGTCATGCATCAGCACCTCAGTCTCCTCGGCTCCATCCCCGATGCCGTGTACATGCCTCAGCATATCTGCTCCACCCCCTGCGAGGAAGGCGGCGTCAAGGTGGCTGTCCGGTGGGTCATGGAGGGTCATCACCTGGGTTATGGTATTCTGTCCGAGCTCGGCAAACCTACGGGTCAGCGACTGCAGATCCTAGGCGTATCGCACTATCACTATAAGAACGGCCGGATTGTCGATGAGTGGAACGTGTACGACGAGCTCTCTTTGCTCATGCAGATAGAGCTCGGCAAGATGGTTGCGGCCGCCGAGAGGAATGGTAGTGCCGTGTAACCTTCGGCGGTGCAGCGCAACACCTGCGGGTGGTACTAAAGTTTCGAGGCTCGTGAGCTCCTGAAAATCCTCGTCGTGGAGCTGCAACGAGGGTCCGATGGCGAGGCTGAAAGAACTCGTTTGAGCCTTGGCATCACATGTTATAGGGACGGTAGTTTCTCGGCTACTAGAGCCACATTTCCTCGAGGTCCACACTCCATAGTAGCATCCCTTTCGCCTCATCCACATTACTAGCTATTTAGCCTCCTTTACGATACGTTTCTACTGCGCATCTAGCCTGCTAGCAACGCGGAGGTGGGAACTTGCCCAACCCCGCAGCGCCCGTCCAGACCGTGCCCCAACCAATATAGGCTTAGCCCTCTCTCAGCACACGCAATACGTACTTAATCATCAATCTTCTATGAACCAGCCCTGATGTCGTCTCATGACCTAAAATACCGGAAAGATAGAGAGCCTTATGCTCGTTGCACTCCTCGCAACCATTCATGGTACTCTCCATCTTAAAATTCATATTATATTTGGCATACACGTTTACTCGTCGCCGTGCTCCGTGATATGTCTAGTAACAAGGAGGCTATCGACCTAATAAACGACAGCACATATGGACTTGCGGCTAGTATATAAACTAAGGATATTGCCCGTAGCAGCGAGATTATTCGATCTCTCGAAGCTGGAACGGTCTTTATCAATCGCTGCGACTATCCTAACCCGGTAAGTCAAGACCTTGTTTCTAACTTCCATTACAAATACCGAATATTGGCTTACAGTGCTACATAGGACCTGGCTTAGACTGGATAGAAGAATTATAGACTTGGTTGTACACTTAGACCGAAAGCTTTTGATGCCTTCTATAAGTTGAAGAGCTGACTTTAGAGGGTGACCTTTTAGACCAGTCAGCAGCCAATCAACCACATGGATAGCAAGGTCAAACCCTTATAGATCCTATCGTTTGACTCCATGACATGAATACTTTGGCAGTCAGAATGACACGTTTATGCTAATCCCGTTAAATTTCGCGTACTGTGTATACCGTTGTAGTGCTTGTGGCAACAGCGCTTTCCCTATCCTTCTAACTAAGGTATTACACTTCTAGCAAGAATTCGCAGAATGTAGCGGCTACTCTATCTTGTCCATCCTGATAAAGTTCCTATTAAAAATACCTTTTTTATATCTAACAGCTAAAATCTCGGATATGGTGGTCTCGTTGAACTTTATTTAAGCTTGAATGGATAGAACTCGCTGCGGCCGATAAAGTCCCTGCATTTACAACGTTTGCTCGAGGCGATGTTGGTTAGACCTTTCGGAACATCTAGGACGATATCTCGGTGTATCTGGTGCAACGTCTAAGGTATGCCTCGTCGGCTTTAGCAGTAGTATTATGATCAGGATTGCAGACGCACAATAACTCCAACCCGTCTATTAATTCTGCTCCTTCCCGTGTCAATTACAGATGGTCGGCCGAAATCTCCCAACCTGCCTAGTTCCTTCCGACCTGCGCGCCTAGTGAACGTGTAATGATTTTATGCCCAAGCACACTCTATGAATACGTATCTAGTCCGAGTCATACGCCTTGCGTATGTATTCTAGTAGTCGTTTGATCCATGGGCTGTTCTCAGAGAAGGAGTGTTCTTGGCCAAGTCAGATTTCAAACGTTAGAAAGCGAGGTTGACCGTGACTTACTACTCTCAGTGAACAGGAGTCCATCGACGGTCTCCAAGTCTGGGTAATGTTGTTCGTTGGCTACATCTCATTTGCTGACCTGGAGCCCGACTTGGTCTTTTCTGAGATGCAGTTTCTCTAGTCCTCGTTGTAGAAATTCTTTGAAAAGAATTCCAGGACGGCAATGTGAAGGGTTCGTGGCATACTGGATGGCAAACCATCTCAAAGCTTGGATATATCTTGGAAGGGAGACCCTGGTCGTTTGACCGGTGAGTGTTTGTTGGCAGCTGGAACTGGAACCATTCTGATGGAGCGATTTGATTCTACACTCATGGCCCCTGCCTGCTGGAGAAACACAGGTCTACGGCGCGCAGTCTTACTGTGTATACAAACACAAGTGCTTGATAGCCGCGGTACAAAAATTCAGTCATCTAGACCACGTCCTGCTGCATATCGTTGCAACATAAGGGACGAGGCTTTGTGGGGAAAAGGACTAGGGGCTATTGGGACACCGCAATAGGCCTAGGGCCAAACCAGAGAGTCTGATCAGTCCAATCACATTAAGGACCGCGGTATGGACTGCCGCGGCGGATTCCACTTCTCGAGTCTCCATCATGAGTGAGCGAAGTCTGGTCTGGGTCTGGCTAGCCCTTGGAGGCCCATGTCCGTCGGCAGCCATGCAATGCAATGCAATGTCAGAGACAAGACTTTTACCGTTGCATTCGAGGATCCGGTAGGTTCTATGTGCCCGTAGAACGAGTATTCTATCTTGTCTCTCGTGAAGCAGCCGTCGACTTTGGATCTGCGTCTTGCCCACCAACTTCGAACAACTACAACTACAATAAAAAGGCATCGTGAAGAGCGCGAGTGTGCTTTTTTCCTTGTGAACACAATCACCATGGGAGAAGCTTCACCACGCATCGAAGCAATGGCCCCGGCCCCAGCCCCGACAATGGACCACCTGCCGCATTTGCTGCAGCGCGACTCCAAAGTCAAGCTCGCCGGCATTGACTGTGACGGAGTGCTGCGAGGCAAGATTATGTCCAAGGAAAAGTTCCTGTCCAGCTTCGAGCAGGGCTTTGGGATGAGTTCAGCGATTTTTGGATGGGACATGCACGACCTGCTGTACACGACCGAGACCACGGTTACATCAGCAGAGTCGGGATACGCCGATCTCATCGCCGTTCCGGACATCAATTCGTATCGAAGGATCCCCTGGGAAGATGATATTCCCTTGTTCTTGCTCCATTTCACCGTCAACGCAGTGCCCTTGCATGTAGATGGTCGGAGTATACTCCGGTCGATCACTTCGAGGTTGCAGACGCTAGGGTACTCTTCGAAAGCTGGTGGTACGGTTGAAACCCTTCCCTTTCCCCTTGCCTCATATATGCAGGGAATTGGTACGCTGATGATGGGGATGAGATACAGTTGAGCTAGAGTTCTTTAATTACCAGACACCGTCCGAGGACGGGTACGGTGCGAGTTTGGGCACGAACAGACAGGACATGGCGGCGTTCTTGTCTAGGAACACTCCCGGCGCCCTTCGGCCGCTAACCCAGGGCATGTTTGGATACAGTCTCACGCGACAGGCCGCGAACAAACGCTATTTCCACGACATCTACGACAGTGCAGAGCGGTTCCAATGCAATATTGAAGCATGGCACACGGAGAGCGGACCGGGAGTTTACGAGGCTGTAAGTCCACTTTCTTCATCTACTAGGCCTGGCTAGACGGAGCTCGAACGCTGACTCGAGACAGGCTCTGGCGGTGGCGGACACGTGTGAGATTGCGGATCGGGTGACGTTATTCAAGTATGAGAGCCCCCCGATTCATCACTCTACTACCCTATTTATCAGTGTCTAACTAACCACGTCTCTAGATATCTCGCCAAATCGGTAGGCATCGAGCATCGCGTAACACCGTGCTTCATGGCAAAGCCCACGTTCGGCCTGCCCGGCAATTCTGGCCACATCCACATCTCATTATACGACCTCGAGGGCCGGAACCTGTTTGCCCGCGACTCGCCCGACCCGGAGGCACAGTGGAGAGACATAGAACACCTATCCGACGACGGCCGATACTTCCTCGCGGGACTTCTTAACGCTCTCCCGGACATTATGCCTATGTTCGCGCCAACGATCAACTCGTATAAGCGTCTCGTCGAGAACTATTGGGCCCCCGTCAACGTGAGTTGGGGTCTAGAGGACCGACTGTCCTCGATACGCCTGATCGCCCCTCCCGTGGCGAAGCCTCAAGCCACGAGATTCGAGGTGCGGATTCCTGGAGCGGATTTGCACCCACACTACGCCCTGAGTGCGATTCTCGGCGCCGGCCTTCGAGGGATCGAAAGTAAGATGTCTATTCCCATCCCGCCGACGGCGCTGCGGAAAGACAAGCCTGAGTTGTTGCCCAACAGCCTTCTCGCGGCCAACGATAGATTCCGTGCTTCTGATAGCATTGCACGGGAGATCTTCGACGGCAAATTCGTCGACCATTTCGCCGCGTCGAGGGAGCATGAAATCCGAGTGTGGAAGGAATCTGTGACGGACTGGTAAGAGTGTTCCCTCTTTGTTGCTTGTTTGATGTGGAGGGTATCGTGGGACGAGGCTCAGACTAACCTTCGTTTTCTTCACACAGGGAATTCCGACGGTATATTGAGACGGTGTAATTGCCAGGGGTTTGTCAGTATGATGATCTTGGCATGGAATTCTCGTCATTCCCTGATACGACACAGTCGACGTGGCAAGGGCCGTCTACGTGGTCGTTTGTTCCTATATCCTCGAAACGAGTGGCTGCCAGTCAGGATACTGCGAAGATACGTTACACATTTGGCCATCATGATTCTCTAGGGGTTTGGAATTCAACCCCTGAGCAATGCATTCGGGGCCATGTGGTTTCTGCATGATGGAATGGTACGGAGTACGTTTATACAAGACCACAATTCACTTTCTTTCCTCCCGGGTTACCACTAGCTCTCGAAACACAATAGGAGCGTTCGACCAGCGGAAGACCGTCACGAGTAAGTAGATATTTGACTCTCCAACCCCGGCAGACTCGGCCGAACAAAAGTCAATCCGTCAACTCAGAAGCAATGCAAGCTTTGATGGGTCTCCAGGAGTTATTGACCACCCGTTCATTGGCCCGGCGGTATAAGGCTGGGCCCCCCTAATCTAGACACAGCGCTCCATCTGGTCCACCAATCAGACAACGCTCCGCGCCTTCCAATGGCCGCAGTGGGTTCTGGCCAGATTCTGATCATCAGTGGCAACAGTGTCTCGACAGTGTCTCGACAGATCCGGGCGCGCCGGTTCCATTATTTACCGCGGTTGTAAGGTACACTCGCACTCTTACAATTGACTACATTTCGTAATTGACATTTCGCTTCGGAGCAGACCCAATCTCATGGGATGCTTCGTATTAGTGATCGTGACTTTCGTTCCCGAACCCGGAGGTGGTATTTCTCGCGGACGCCGAAACTTGTGCCATCAGTACCAGTGCCTTATCTTCCAACTACTCTTGACAGCAATGCTCCAATTCGTCGAATCAAAAGTAGCTGCGCCTGGTAAGTCTAGTCCAGTCCAGTCCCTCTTTCGCGGTGATAGGCCGCCTGCCCGGCTTTGCTAACGACGCGAATACAGCGATAGGGCCATATATAAGTGATCATGTCTGACCCAGCTGATAGAAGGGGAAAGTGCAAGATGCTATGATAGCGCTGACTTGAATGCCCGCGCAACAGTCTCAGGGGGCAGGGGAACATCAACACCGCCGCTCCGGCCGGCGAGCAGGTTGCCGCTTGGATCAAGAATATCGCCGCCATCTTGAAAGCGGCCGGGTCGAGTTTGAACAAAATCAACAAGACCACCGTCTTCATCACAGACATGAGAAACTTTGCAGAAGTCAATGCCGTGTACGCGGAAGCTATCACGCATTGGCGGCGCGGAGCTGCGTCGCGGTCAAGGAATTGCCGAAAAACGTCACCGTCGAGATCGAATGCGTTGCTCTGCAAAAGAAGAAGTAGATAGGAAAGACGCGTTGGAGAAAAGTACAGTGTCCCAGCAATTGGCAATGCCTGCCGACTGCCGTTGTCAATGTGTACTCGTAGCGCAGTCGTACAGAACCCAACCTTGTAATGACAAAATACCTTAATGAGGAGAATGGTGGACTCTCGAGCGATTCAAAGATGCTTGATATGTGTGTTATCAAGAGGTCCTAGAACGTTTAGCTTAACAAACAGGGGTGAGTGAGCCACCAGCCGCGCTCGAACAAGCGCCGTTCTCGAAATTAGTCGGCTCTGACCCAGCGTCTGTGGAGCAGCTCCTCTTTCATTGTTGGACCCTCCCACCGGCTGTCCAGAGGTCTTCATTCTTCTTGAGGCGTCATTTCGACTGCATGACACAAGAATCATCTCGTCTGTTCGACAAAGACCTCAACCCTCCTGTCCAAGAACAGCAGTACAAGTTGACGGCATAAAGTAGTCACTAGATTGAATTCGGCCAGACTACTCACCATGGACTTTTCTCTGCAACACCACAAGTCATTCATTGGGCGAGCGGCATCAGAGCTTCCAACACCGTCTCTGGTCATCAAACGATCCGTCTTGGACACGAACATCACGAGGTTGCACGACGATGTTGCTCGACTGAACATCGCTTTTCGACCCCATGTCAAAACTCTCAAGGTATTTGTCATGCCCAGTGTCTTGTGGTACACTTTGCTCACTTTTCTTTTCAAGAGTATCGAGGTCACGAGAAAGATGCTCCAGAACGGTAAACACCGGAAAATCGTGGCTTCCACGGTTGCAGAGATCCGTGGCGTTCTCCCGTTGGCGGAGGAGGGTCTTTTGGATGAGGTATGCTCACAGCCTCAAGACATCCCCCTCTATCCTCTGCTGACTGAAGACTCCAGTGTCTCTACGGACTCCCGGTCTGTCCAAGTGCTCTTCCGCAGCTGCACAGTCTTTCTCAGCATGTCGGGATCGCCCTGATGATCGACAACGAGCAACATATACATGTCGTCGAAGATTTTCGCCGGCGTTCGCCGTCAGCAAGTATACCATGGAAGGTCTTCATCAAGATTGATGTTGGATCACATAGAGCAGGTGTTCAAACCAAGATCCCTAGACTTCATGACCTGGTTCGCCGGGCAGAAGCATCTGACTCTGTGGAAGTGGTCGGATTCTACTGTCACGCCGGTCACTCCTATGCCTGCCGGACGCAAGAGGACGCAGAAGGAGTCCTTCGTGAGGAAATTTCGGGCTGCCTGGAGGGCGCGAGTCTCATCGGTGGTCAACGCCCGATCGTCATATCAGTTGGCGCAACTCCTACAGCTCATGTGGTTCAGAGTTTGCAGGCAACTTTGCCCTCACATGTATCCCTCGAACTGCATGCTGGTAGGTTCATGCGTCAAATCCATGGATTGAAAGTGTACTGATGACCGCGAAGGAAATTTTCCGACCAATGACTTGCAGCAAGTTTCCACTGGGCTGGTCAAGCTGACGGATCAAGCAGTACGCATATGCGTCGAGGTGTGCAGCGTGTACCCTGAACGTAATGAGGTCCTCGTCAACGCCGGCGTCATAGCCCTCTCTAGGGAGGCTAGCGAATATCCCGGGTTTGGCATGATTGCAGATCATCCTGGCTGGTTCGTGGTTCGCTTATCGCAAGAACACGGCATCCTTGGCCATCCGGGGGATGTGGCCATTAACGACGGCCCAGGCGAGAAGGCAAGTGCCGACAGCTTCTTCGTCGGCCAGAAGCTCTTTGTGTACTGCCAACACACATGCATCACCGCAGCGGCATTCCATGTATATTATATCGTCGGAGACGATGATGTTGTAGAAGATACCTGGGTCCCGTGGAAAGGCTGGTGAAGTTCATTTGGGAAGTTTCATAAGGGTTAATCCAAGGAAAGCTGTTGCCTTCGCGAGAGAATCTCATCTTTCTAAAAGAAACGGAACTCCCGAAGGTGATGTCTTGACTCTCCGTCGTCCGTAATTGTGCTGCTGCAAGGATTTCGGGCTCGAGTCTCCTGATTGAAAAGACTGCTCGAGTCTTCTGCTCGAAAGCGTAAGAGCTGAGTCCTCTCCGTCGAGCGATAGACTTCTCGAAGCACCGATATATCAAAACATTGAGCCAGGATACCGGTTCACCCGTGAACAAAGCAGACCTAGCTCCGTATCTGAAGGCATGTGAAACAAGTGGGATGCAGCAGTGCCCCCTGTAAGGAGGTGTTATCTGCCGGAACCAACCAACCCGAACCCCGGAATCAGCAAGTAGGATCTGCAGTTGGCTGAAGACAAAACGGTCGATCGTGTAGTATGCGGATCTATGCTATGAGGGCCCCTCGGGAAACAGACAGTTCCCGTGGTCTCCGGCAACGTGCGCTGTTGTTCATCAGGGGAAAGTGTGACAGCAACACGGACAAAATAACATGAAGCTGGTGTTGGTAGAGAGACCAACCAGCCTTGCTACTGGGCTTCACCCAAAACCGGCGAAAGGCGCCCGCAATGCCTCTAGAAGACACCCAATCTTTAAGGTGAGCATTTCGGGAGGACTCTCAGATGAACAATCGGGTCGTCCCGTCCAAAAGGTGGCAACGACGGCGGCAAACAAAGGATGAATCCACACCGCGGTCCGTGATGTGGTTGGACGAAGGCAGTGCGGTTGTCTGGCGCCATCGACCATCCGCCGCCAACTCGATGATAGCAGGGCCGGTCATGTAGCGTGGTCATGAACCGCGGACGAGACGCGCATCGCCCAGAGCATGGAATCTCAGCTCGCCGGTAGAAGCGCGGATTTGCGGGTCACAACGATGGCATTGCAGACTGGGCACGTGTCCGCCATGGTAAGGCGGAATCATACGTGGGACAAAGGACTCAGCAGCCTCCCACCGGAATGCTGGCCTTGAGTCGACTCTGTATTCGCACGGTTGGCAAGCATGGCGAGCAAGCTTCGAATCGCGGTCCTCGAGTGTGATACTCCGATCGACACCGTCAGAAACCAATACGGAACATATGGCGATATCTTCGAAGCTTTCTTTCAGCGAGGCGTAGGGGCTCTGAAGGATTCTGGACATGCAGTCGACCTCGAGGTCAGCAAATGGGACGTTGTCGAGGCACAACAGTACCCAGACATGGACACCGTCCACGGAATTTTGATTACGGGCAGCAGTACGTCCCCCCCCTGTGGCCACTCGGCGGCCATTTCATTAATAGCTTGACCTCGAAGAACACTGTTCCTTTGACGATCAACCATGGATTGCGAAATTGGTCGCATACGTGCAAAAGGCCTACCAACTGGGCCAGCCACGGGTTCTGGGAGTGTGTTTTGGCCACCAGATCATTGCGCGTGCGCTGGGGGCTTCGGTTGGGAGAAACGACGCAGGATGGGAGATTTCGACTTGCCAGGTGCAACTCACAACAGAAGGGTCGGCGCTGATGGGAGGCCGAGAGAGCCTGGTAAGCACATCTTCAGTCTTCGGACAGCATCGCATGTTCTAACCGAAATATTCTCGCAGACTTTGCATCAGATGCATCGCGATATCGTCCTCGATATTCCCAAAGGCATTACCGGTCTTGGGTTCAGCGACCGGTGCCTGGTGCAAGGACTGTACCTCCCCAGGCGATTGCTGTCGTTCCAAGCGCATCCTGAATTCAACGAGAAGATTATGTCCGAAATCCTGGCAGTTCGGCGCAACCAAGCCATCTTTACGCAGGAAATGTTCGAGGACGGGCAAGCAAGAGCACCTCTGGCTCACGACGGCAACTTAGTAGCACGGGTATCCTGCAAGTTCCTGCTTGACCCGTAGCACGAGTGGTGGGAGTGCAAGGTTGGACCAAAATGCCCTCTTTCTTGGTTGATATCGCCTCTGTGTCTGCAGCGTGTCCATGCTAGTCAAAAAATCATGACATCCGGTCAAGTATGACATTGAAACATCCTGCTAGAATTCGGGCATCACGAGGGGTCAATATCTGTCGAGGTCTAGTTACAGTTTCACAACGCAGGTCCACCATATATAAAAGTGCACAGCTATCCTTTATTACCTAGTAAAGACGAAGAGTAACGACGCCTTCGCGCGAGAAGATACTTGGTAGTGGTATTCGAGGAAAGCTCTAGAGACACGGTAGGTTAGGTGCTATCGGCACACGTCCACGGGGTCCGACGACGAGAAGTACCCGATTGTCTAATATACACGTTCATAATCTGCGGGAGATAGATTAGCTAGAGTGGAGGAGATAGCGGCACGCTTCCGGTGCAGCGCCGAAGGAGGAGACTACATAATTAGATGTCGACCGACGAGGGCGGGTGCGACGGAGGCCAAAAGCGGCGCCCACAACAGCCGTTTTCGGTGGCCGTTACTCCGTATAGCATCAGCATCCTCGCTGCTACAATTCGTCATCAACCTCAAACTCAATCCCATACATTTTCTGGCCTCCCCAGTTGAACTCCGCTGAGCCATATCAACAATTGGATTCCAAACCCAGCAGCATGACGACTCAAGCATCGTCGACGGTCCACGTCCCGCGCGTGGCGATCAGATTCTGCACGCAATGCAAATGGAACTTGAGGGCCGCTTATGTGAGTGCCACTCGCTGATATCATTGGCGGCTTCAGCCTAAGTTCTGTCTTTTGCCTCCAAATGCCGGTGCTTGGACCTATCCATCCAGGAGTCAAATTGCGGTACTCGAACATATGTCGAAAGACAAAGTCGAAGGGCGTGATCCTTCGTTGTTGCACGCTTCTGAAACCACCATCGAAGCACCTTCCACTCGCCCAATTCTGAGACATTTTCTTTCCCAGATATAGCAGTGTTCTTGTTCAACGATCGAGCTGGCTAGCCAGGCTGACAATATCGCCCCCAGTACGCCCAAGAACTTCTTCAAACCTTCGGCACCGGTATTGGCGAGGTGGCGCTGATCCCCGCGACGGGCGGTATCTTCACCGTCATCATGACCCATGCTGTGTCTCAGTCTGCTGGTCCGTCGGGCATCGAGGCCGAGGCCGGCTCCAAGCCCGTCACGGTCACGGAGACAGTGCTCTGGGACCGCAAAGTGGATGGTGGGTTTCCCGAGACGAAGGAGTTGAAGAACCGAGTCCGAAATATCGTCGATCCGGACAGGGACCTCGGCCACATCGACCGGAGTCTCAAAAAGAAGGATCAGGGGGTGGATGGCGAGCCGCGAACCAAGGCACAACAGCAGCCCGACATTGTGCACCAGCCCACTGGACAGTCTGGCAAGCAAGAAGAAACCAAAGACTGCGAAGACTGCAAATGATACCTCCGCACACTCTGCCACATCACAAGACTGACTCGACGGCTTTTCTCTGTACCACATCCAAACCAAACCAATGATGTTGTACCCGGCAGTGAGTAACAGGTCAACATGCTTGAGAGGTCCCGGACCTTAGTGTCTCAACTACTCTTGTATCTCAGGTTCACGGCTGAAGCAACAGCCTACCATGGCTGGCAGCCATGGCCTCAGATAGTATCGTTCTTTGAAACAGAACCCAGCAACAGCTGTGATGGCCTTCAATGGGGGTTTCAAGGATACTGTACAGGAAGCAAACAAAGACACGAACGCATCGAGGTCAGCCTACATTACCCGATCTGAACACGGCAAGCAGATCAGACGGACTAGTACCAGACGAGACCTGTGTTGATCAACCTTGTGTGCAGTGACAACATGGGTACCAAACCCAAGACCTGGCGGCACGAACCAAAAACACCTCGAACGTGGCCAACCAAACCAAACAAGAGATACAATTTAATTCCAGGACCAACAAAAACTCCTCCCTATAACCCCCGTGAGGGAGTTATAGGGAGGAGAAACCAGGAAGAAACCCAGTTTTTTTTTTTTTCTTTCAATTTTCCTCAACACACCAAATCAGTCGTCACCTCCTCACGGAGACTCGAACTGCATACCAGGCCTCCAGATACCACATGTAGTGAGTAGAGATGGGATTTAATAGGTGGGAATCGAACCCTGGTCGGCCCATTCAGTCAGCTAGCAGTACCCTTTGACCTGATACCAACCCAAGTTAAACCGCCCTCAGAGCCGTACAGACCACTGCACGACCGGGGTTGGGCCCTGAATTGTTGAGAGGAATTCCGCGAATCAAATATATCAAGGGCCATTAATTAAAGATCCTGCCGTGCAGTGCGGTGTTGGAGGCGGCCCTGGCCCGCCAAGAGGGAGAGGGTGGTGTGGTGTTGTGTTGTGATGCTGGAGGGCTCCCAAGTTGCACGGGCATGAGATCTGAGCTCGATGGTGGTTCAAGTGCGGAATTAATTAGCCTGGGTTTCAGCAGAGACGAGCTATACCGGCGGAGAGAGGGCAGCTGGGGGTGTCAGGGAGGGCACATTCGAGCTATTGGTATACGAGCTATTGGTATACGAGCCATTGGTATACGAGCCATTGGTATACAAGACTTGAGTACGGATGCTGGACTTTCGTGTCAATCACCAACTTGACTACCCTCGGAAGGGGTGAATTGTTAGTTTCAGGCTGAGCCATCACTCTGCCATGACATCAACCTGTCTGATACTGTGACAAGAAAGACAGATCCAATTCCAGAGATAGAAGGTATATTTATACTGGAAGGACCTTCCCAGGGCTCCAGAACCATGCTACTTTGTGCGCCCCTCACACGTAAAACAAGACCGCTAACACCAATACCAAATGTACCTACATGACCACACCTATATTGCCCATAGTAGTCCTTCATCCCACGCCGCCGCTCTCAAGTGCGGCATCATCACTGCAGTCGGCCACCGAAGCAAGTCACGCTTACTTCTTGTTCAGTTTCTTCTCCACGTATTTCCTGATTCGCTTGTCGCTCATGAGGAAGCCTGTCACCGCAACTCCGAGGAACAACTGTGAAGCCGCAGCGCCGGCGCCGGAATCCGAGTGGTTCGAAGCGGGTTTCGAGGACGATGGTGCATTGAGAGATGTCGTCTTGGAGCCGAGTTCGGGATACCCTGCCGGAGCGCTCTCAGAGGATGACCGGGAGGCTGCTTTTATATCCGATCCGGCTTCATTGTGAGCGTCGTCTTCGTCTTCGCCTCCAGTTCTCATTCCGACCGGAGGGTGAGCCTTGCGATCTTTCTTTCGCTGCTCCTCTCCTGCAACCCACTCGGCCAGGACCTCCGGCTCAGGAAACATCCTCCGTCGAAAGGCAATCCAGAGCGGAACCAGCAGACGGTGCAGCCGATCCTCCTCCCTTTGGGCATCGGGGCTCACCTTCTTCGTCGCGCCGGTCCAACTGCCCCGTGTCGATCCGGATTTCAAGTCGCTGACCGAGTGACACCATGAGTGGGCGAACTGAGATGCGGCAAATGCGCCCGTGCAGTTCCTGTAGGCGTCTTTGGTGCCTTGCTGCAAGAGCCGGATGACGGCCGGTTGCTCGCGGAATGCTTTGAGGTCATGGAAGAATTGGCTGTGGGATGGTTTCTGGATCAGCAGCGCGTCGAAGAAGCGGGTGTAGCATGCAGGCGATTCGTTCAGGGATTGGATATATCGAAAATGGTCGGGCGGGATGCCTGGGTCATCAACCCATTCTTGTTCAAAGTGAGGGGAAGATGTCGCGGTTGACATCCTCTTGTGGACGAATCGGCGTGCTGTATTCGACTTCCGCGGTGCCTTGGCCCTTGCAGAAGGACACGTTGTATCACGCCCGGCCTCCTTTGTTGCGTGGCAAAGCAAGAATAACCATGTGTGAACGACCAGATAGATGTAGTAGGGAAAAAAGAAAGGTCAAACGTTGATGACCGTCATCTCAACTCTTGAACGGGCCCTAGCACATATGCATTCGCTCCTGGGTCAGTCATTGTATGTATGCATGCTGTAGGTGTGGCGGAGGTTGAGGGCAAGTTCTGAAGTTCGAGAACGGAAGCCAAGGCTTCCAGTCAGCCTTGTTGCGTGGCTTTACATCACCCAGCCACAGTCAACACCCCAGCGGATCTGCCTCCGTGATGGAATACAATTTCAATCCGCAGAAGCAAGCTATGTTTCAATCAGTAAGTGATGCGGAACTGCTTGGGTAGCGATTTTCTTCTCATGAGCCTTTCTCAGCATTACGACTAGCATTACAGTGTGCAGCATCTCCTTCGCACGGAGCATACTATAGGTATAGTTTACGTACGTTATTGACGTTAGCAGACCAAACACGTGATACAGCATGAACGCAAAGATTAAGCAGATCATCAAACTGGCCGACTTCAACATGGCCCCTGATGCATGCTCATCTCGCATCGCTTAGCGAAGTCAGTAGCTCTGACTGATGCGAATGGAGGGGAACAGCTAGGCACGTACTCCGTAGATCTTGGTCAGACAGGTCATGCGGGACGTCAACGCCAGATGTGACAGCTAGGAGAACATGCGGTGAGCGACGGAGGCATCATGTGAGAGCCTTGCTTCTATAATGGGGGGCAGGATCAGCAGCACCTTGGAAGGAGACACAGCGTGGCTGTTGCCGGACTTGAAACAGAACAACATCTTCTCCACCTTCATCCTCCGTCAGCAGCGCTCTCGCAGGACTCGAAGGGGTTGGAACTTGAATATATGGACGCAGTTTGGAGGACTCGAGTCTGTATGGAGTAGTACTTCTTACTACATGTACCTAGTACAGAGTAATAATAATGCGTGCGTAGTAGTACTCCGTAGTTTGGCAATGGCCTTTTGCTTGGCCTTGCGGCGATGCTGGTGAATGAAAACCAGCGCCCGGGAGCTCAAAAGGGCAATCCGCCCGCCGCAACGGGCTACAACGGGCTACAGCATGCCCCTCAACCGCCAGCATGTCTGTGACTGGCACCTAACTGGATGCAAGACTGGTCGCAGCAGCAGTCGCCTGTAGCATCTCGTCCTGCTGCAGCCGAGACTCGTTGCGCACTGGCATTCCACGCTACAGTCAGGCTTGAGCACGTCGTTCTCTGTGATTGTGCAAGCGTGGGGAAATCTGCTGCGAATCTGCTGCTGCATTAGCCCGCGCCATTTGACGGGCATGTCATTGGCTCCCCATAAATGCCTCATAGAAAAGGGCCTGGTTCGGTGGTTCGGTGGTTCGTCTCGTGGGGCGAGACCTCGTCTTTGCTTCCCGTCCGTCGAGCACCGTAATTAATTGTGCACTCCTCTCCAAGTGCCGAACGAATGATAGAATTGGCAAATATCCATTCAGATGATCCAGTGTGGAAGCCAGCCTGCCGTCGGTCTTGCTCCGCATTTCATCAAGACGGCGCTCCTTCGTTCTTGAGACTGCCGACCAACATGGTGTATGTCGCCGCGTATGCCGCAGCCCTGGTTCCCACCCCTTCTCGCGAGTGAGAGCATTCTTGGATGAGTAGCCGGCCTCTTTCCAACGTGTCAGCTGCACCGCACTTCTAGAATGGCCGTTAATAATATTATTGGCAAGAGAAAACAAGCCGCACAGACCGCTGATTCAGTTGACGGTTCCAAGGAGGACAGACACGCGAAACGCGGGCCGCGGTGGGCTGGTGGACTGGTGGACTGGTGGGATGTTGGACGGATGGTGGACTTTCCTAATTACAATCCTCTTGTGGAGAGCTTCTACATACAGAGATGTCACATCAAGCAACCGCGCAGCATACCACTCCTTGGTTCTCCCTTTCGCCCGTGTCGAGGTAGCGCGTGCGCTGGCTGGCTCACGGTGGACGGTGGACGCGAGAAGGTGCAATAATGATGCTTGATGCAGCAAGCTCGCGGGGACAAGTGCGCTGCCATCGCAGTGGCCGGTCATGCTCTCAGGCTTGCATGTCGGAACTACATCGCACAACCGGCGGTCTCCTTCAAGCACTCGCCCGTCTACGTCCATATCACCGTAATAGTAGACATGCAAGTAAGAGTTTGCGAGCCGTACGGCCCGTCACAGATCTCTTGGTATGCCTATCCTGTCAGCTGATGGAAGGTATGTCCAATGCCCACCCCAGTCAGCACAACAACCTTTCGCAGGAAAGGAAGATCAATCCGGTAGCGGTAGAAGTCGGGGTCTGAACGTCAAGGTAGAGGCAATGTTGATCGGATCAGACGCAAGTTGCGCTTATGAGAGCTGGTATATTCAACTTGGCCACGTCAATATAGCCCAAAGACCCGGGCCTACAACAGCAATCTTTATGGCAGTGATCTCCGTACTCCGTGCTACTTCCCTCTACGTACCACTGTTCACGAAACCACTTGTGATCACAAGGCAGGGCCAGGTCTGCAGCAGTCCAGTAGTAGTTGTGCCCCTCGTATCGGACATCAAATGCAGGGAACTCGGGCATGACAGACAGGGATCGGAGACACTGACTAGGCAGGGCCTCCGTCATATTGCGTCAACAAAGTCCACGTTTTCCCTGTCACCATGCCTGCAGAGGGTCTTCCTAACATGTTAAAACAACGGTGCCGTCGTCAAGAGGATTGTTCCGGAAGCACAACAAAATCTTGCCAATTAAAATCTATATCTGGTATCAATGCTATTGTAACGATGGTCGGATGGTGCGTCGCACAAAGCTGATCGGCAACGTTGCCAGGCACCAGATCAGGGAACTGCCAACCCGGTACTCCGTATGAACTGTTGTTCGGTGAGATCAGCATGGCTGTGGACTCTGGAGGAAGGGAACAAATTTAGCACTCGTTTGATTGCTGCGTTCGATCGGAAGATGGCAATCATATGGAATAAAAACAAAAAGTGAGCATGAGTATCCATGTGGGTGCAGTCTCAACTGCTTCGCCCAACTGCAATAAAACCAATGTCGGGAATGAGTGGGTTCAATATCCCAACAGCTCAAGGGTCTTTAACGAATGGTGCAGTTTTTGACTGTAGTGGGCGGTCTCCACGAGGCATTCGAGGCATTCTCGAGAGCCAGGTTTCCAGCTGGACAAAACGTCTGTGATGCTGGATCAACAGGCAAGCGATCAACTAGGCCCAGTCAGCGGTAGTTAGAGAAGACTCGGACTCCTACCGCCCTTTTGAAAAAACCTTCTTCCTGGGCTGCACTTGGAGAAGAAAAGAAAGTGGATGAATCCACAGCCCGACAAATTCTGCGTTGGTTGGAAGCTGCGTAGCATTTAGCACGGCAGTCACCACTACTACGTACTACGGCCGCCACTCTGCCCGCCTGACTGGAAAAGGGCGACTTGCCGTCACTACCGATGGAAAGTCCTCGGGCTTGAGTGAACCCCATTTCGCCCTGGGGGCCTCTAACAGCAAGCTTTCTCCTGGGCAGCCCACCGCCGGCCTCTTTGCCCCCAGCGGAAGCCTAAAAATGCCTCCTAAGCCTACCAGGTACCTAGCAGTGCCCCCTTAGCCATAGGGACCTGTCCGTCAATTCGAGCCCACCCTGCCCGCCATTCCGAATCCTGCCCTGCACAGGCCAGAGGTACATGCTGGCTCGACCGTAATCCCCCCCCAGGTACCTGCGAAGGAGACGAAGGAGACGGAGTCTGCTCTGGTTGCCGCTGCTTGTTGTTTGTTGGCTCTGCTCTATCCCCGAACATACCTAGCCTGCCTCTAGCCTGACCTTGCACCCTTCTGCTTGCTTCACACGCACACATTCTGGCGTAAGCAATTCTGTCACTCCTCGCCTCTCTCACTCGTGGCTGCCCGCATTCTCCCTCACCAACAACCCTAACCAACCAACAAACGCATCACACACCCTCTCTCTCTTCTATTACTACGCACCATCGCCATCCCACTTCCGTCCTTCTCCCTACCTAGGTCTCTTCCTCCGTCGCTCCTTTCAATACCTTACCTTCATCCTCACCTTCATCTTCGCGTAAGCGACACAACCCTACTCACATATATTGGCGCAGCTGACAAGTCTCCCAGCATTTGTGCGCCCGTTTGCTCCGAAGCCCGCGCTTGCAGGCCGCAGCTAAACGTCCTACACCGCAGAACGCCACCCTAAGTGCGCCCTTTTGCGCGATCATCTACTCTCTCGTCCCAATCTCCGTCCTCCCTCAATCCTTACGACTTCTCGGTGGCCCGGCGGACGCATTACTTGACTCCAGACAAACACTATGTCGAGATCGAATTTATAACAACGGCGGTCCCTAGGGCCAAAACCAACCTCGCTTTACCCAGTACATAGACCGAGTGTCTATGTTGGGGTTTCGCTGTGCTTGAAGGTTCATTCTTCAAGTCCTTAGCGATTCGAGGGCTCCTTGAAGATCACCTTCACATACATTTCTGCGCGTACCGGTTCCCGTTTCGATGGCTCATCATCAAAGACACCAGACAGACGCCCGGAGCATGAGTTCAGCCATGCAAAGCTTACTAAAGATGTTCAACTTATCCAACGCTCCCACCGTACCTCTCGACGACGATGAACTCAGTGGCGAAGCGGACGAGCCGCCAGACGATCGAATTTGCCCTCTCAATACGCAGTTCCATCGGGATGGTCTGCACAGCAGATCGATGGCTCCTATAAACCCTCGGCGTGAGTCGTTACTGACTCGGGCCATCCTGGCTGAATCAAAGAACGACGACACCTCCCGCGGCCTCTCTACAACCTCATCACGCAGCACTGGTAGCATGGCCTCGACCGCGGAGCTGACCAGCGACGGCGATGCTACAAGCCCCTCGCGTTCGACAACCCCTAGTCCACCACCTCCGCCAGGTCGGTATTCTCGACTTCTCAACTTAAAGAAAGAGGGTCCACCGGCCCCGAAAGTCGTGATTGCCCCAGTTGTGGAAGATGACAAGCCAGCCGTGGCCGACGTCGGCGAGGCTGCCGTTGAGAAGACGCTTGGCCGTAAACGTTGCATAATGTTTGCCTGTGGCGGGACTGATTCGGAGAAGAGCAAAGATAATGTCTCGTTGCCAACAAAAGCTCCTGCCGGCCTAGAAGCGCCAAAGCGGAAGTGCATGCTAACCTTTGCTTGCCCTACTCGGTCCGATTCCAACGAGAACAAGGTGTCCTCGTCGAAACTTCGCGTTGAGCAAAAGTCCTCGCGTCGTCCTTCGCCTGCACCAGCATCCATACGCAGACCAAATTCAGGGTCTGCAGATCTCTCTGGCCGATCGGTCGAAACAGCCAAGCCATCTTCTCCTCATCGGCTACGACCCAACCCACCTTCGCACAAAACATCGTTTCACGAGTTTGGCAGTTCTCATGACGAGACCGATTCCTGGGTTGACAAACCGGTTATCCACAAAACCAAGCTGACCTTGAATGATTGCATGGAAAAGGAGATCCGCATCCGTGATATTGGACGGCAGGCAGAAGAGGAAGCAGAGGAGGAAGAACGCGAGCAGGAAGAGCTTGAAGCCGAATTGGAAGTCAATGACAACGAAGATGATTTCGCTCCCTCGGACGACGATGCCGCTTCTGATGGGGGTAACGAGTCCGATGACGAAGGCGGATTTGCCAGCTCAGATGATGAAAGTGATGCGGGCTCGGAATATCAATTCTGGGCGCCCTCTACCAACATTGCTCGCGGTAGCATGGAACACATGAACCTCCGCCACTTCAGCTCTCGTCAGCAATCTCCGGCCAGTTCAATCGAGTCCTTGACCCATTCGGGGAGCCCTCCTCTTCACTCCAGGACATGGTTTGTTCGTCGAGGCAGGAGGCAAGTGCCCAGGGTGCCGAGAATGAGACCAGGAACCCCTGAGCTACCAGACAGCACTGACTTCGTCTGCGGAACCCTCGATGAAGATCGACCATTGGAAGCAGCGTACATATCGTGTCGTGAACAGAAGAAACGCGAGAAACACATTCCGATTCCACAGGATATTGACCCGAGCTTCCCCACCACGGACCCAGACGAGGAGGAAGATGAGTGCGATGACCATGAGATTGAGGAGTTGCAGCATAGCTCTAGCGACGCCCGCTGGCCCATGGATCAATTCGCGCGGTTCGAAGATGATACTCGGGGTCGCCGCAAGTCACCAGTCCTGTCACCCCAGCACCACTCCCCCCCGGCTCATGTGGCCTTTGGTGGCAGGCAAGAGCACCGCCGCGGAATTCATCGTTCGCCACCTCCACCAAAGCATGTCATTGCACGATCTCCAGTGTCAGCGCGAAAGCTTTTCGGTCATTCACCATCAAGACTTAGATCGCCACCTCCTCCTGCCCGACTCCGATCACCCCGTGGGTCGCCTACATATGTGAATGTCCCATCCCGCATGGGTACTAGAGGCCTTGCTCAACGTCCACATATGGAACGTACTGCATCTCTTCCTGACACGCCTAACCCCTTCTTCCGAAATTTCAACATTGGAAGTCCTTCCATTTCCAACATCGCCTCTGGAGCGGTCACTCCCGTCGTTGAGGGGCCTCCTCGCTTGGACATGCATGTGCGTGGACCGGTTGACATTGTCATGGGGCTCGAGAAAAAACGCCAAAAGCGTAAAGAGAAATATTGGCGCCAGCATTGGCGCAAGGCTCGAGAACAAGGAGAACGAAGACCCCTTCGCGGCCGTGGGGCCGAAAGAATGAAGGAACTCGGTCTTGTGTGTGCTGAACGGTTGAAGGGATACGGCGTTGGCCAGCAGACCCAACTGGTACTTTCACTCTAGTCTCCCATGTCATCGGGGCATGATGGTGGACTCACTTTTTGCACATATACCGTCGGTCATTTGTGTACGATTTTCTCCTGGACGGGCACATTTGAGTCCCCCCCTTTTTTTGCACATATACGGGAGTGTGGCGCTGTGCGCTCCTGATGACGACTGTCATGAAGATCGGCGCAGGCGAACGGATCATTCGCTTTTACCTTCCGTGCCATTTCGCGCCGGTTCCGGTCTTTTATGCATAGCAATGGCGCATGTTTGGGGAGCATTGGTATTGTAAATACATGACCATCAGCATGGTCCCCTTAGCTCAGTGACTCTCGGGCACGACGCTCGATCGATGAGTCTGAATGAAGAAGTTAGAATCAGCGCCTAGAAATACCTAGTACCTAGTACCTGCCCGCTTGTCTCAGTTGTGGAAAGCGTGCTTTGATGGTGACGACCTACAAGTCCGGGTATCTCCTACGGAAACAGAGTACATTATAGGTACCTTAGGTACGTACTATTCGGAGTAATTAGGTAGTGCAGTGTCCGGATGTCAATGACCTATCACGTGATAATAATAGCATGACTTGGCGGACTTGGCGCCGGCGACGTCGAGAGACTCTCCAGGAATCCTGAAGTTCAAGTTGTGAAAGCGGCCCACTGCTGTGAGATCTGGCCGCCCGGGCTCGTCACTACTATTTACCACTGACGTGAACCAAGCTTCAGTCGCCAGGAACTGGTATCCAACTCAACCTTGTCGCTTCTGGACCGCTACTCTCTACTCTCCCTGAACGATCACTTCCACCGACTGTAACCATGTGGATCATCAATTGGTGTATGCGACCCTTACGTATTTCACTCTCCTGACTCGACCCGGAGACTGACATTCTTGTGCCTAGTCTACGATGTCCTTGCCTCGCTTGGGCTGCTCAACAAGCATGCCAAACTACTCTTCCTCGGCCTGGACAATGCGGGAAAGACGACCTTGTTACATATGCTGAAGGTACGAAGCAGTTCTTGGATTCGTACCCGACCTGCACATGATAACCATGCGGGTGGCCACGATTCTTCACAACTGCGCAAGCCAAGTTCAAGGGATTAACGCTGACAATGCTCCAGAATGACCGAGTAGCGATCCTGCAACCTACCCTACATCCTAGTATGACACCCTTGCATCCTCGGATGGACTCATGATCTCTAAACATCTCCACAGCTTCCGAAGAACTGGCTATCGGCAACAACAGGTTCACAACCTTTGATCTCGGAGGCCATCAACAAGGTACAGACACAATACCCACAATCCTACCACGGCTAAGGAGCATCTTGGACTAACACAATCTTCACGAAAGCCCGCCGCCTCTGGCGCGATTACTTCCCTGAAGTATCCGGTATTGTCTTCCTTGTCGACGCAAAGGACCACGAACGTCTCCCCGAAGCGAAGGCCGAACTCGACGCTCTCCTTGCCATGGAAGACCTGGCTAAAACCCCTTTCTTGATCCTTGGGAACAAGATTGATCATCCAGATGCAGTGTCGGAGGACGAATTGAGACATCAGCTGGGCCTCTACCAGACCACCGGAAAGGGAAAAGTACCACTTGAAGGAATCAGGCCGATCGAGGTTTTCATGTGCAGTGTGGTGATGAGGCAAGGTGAGTCTACAATCCAATCCTGCACACGGGGGCTAGTTGGGCAAGGATAAGCTGACTGGGGTTTATACAGGCTATGGTGAGGGCATCAGGTGGTTGTCACAATACGTGTAAACATTGACTCATGTCCTCCCTATGGCACGCATACGCCATCCAAACAATGACTGCAAAGCTAATGACCGCAAATCCGACCCATGTTTCCAACCCCACTGAAACACCCGCATTATACAAAGTCATTTTGGAAGCACTCAAGATCAAAAGACGCATCAAGGGGTAGAGCAAGGTCGATTAAGAGCACAAGACATTATGAAAGAGAACAAGATCCTGCGATTGCATTATCTCAAACAGATCTTGTCCAAGTTCACACCACTAAGGTCAGATGACTTTGGGTTATGGCGTTTCTTTGGCATTGTATCAAGTGCTTGGACCACGTACAAGCACTCATGCATTGCACTTCCTACCCATCTCTCTTCATTTATGCAACTGCATGATTCCGTTGTCTGTCTCCCGAGCAAGTTCGTGATACTTTGGGCCACAGACCAGCCTTCTGGTCCGTTCGCTTTGAGAGCTCAAGCAACCAGTGCATCACATCAGTGCCCTACACAGTGCAAGGCATCGCGGGCCGGTCTACTTATCTTACAGACTTTGGACGAGCTCTCGCCGGATCTTAGTCGGTGAAGACGGTCTTGACATTCCCAGGCCGATTGCCCACGCAGCCATCCAGCCTTTACTACCGCACTTGACATGAATTCCCAGTCCATCATAGCCCTTGGACACCACCTGCTATGCCAAATCAGCCAGATCTCTTTATCCCTTTTTCTCCTTGTCTTATTTGTCTTCCTCTCATCCGTCTAACACGGACGGTGAGAGAGGAGACAGATTATGACGCCGGGCATCAAATGTTGCAGGTTTCCTGATATCTGCAACTCCTTTTTGCTGGATCCGTCATCATGTGTTGCTTGGTTATTGTCTCGGCCCTGTTCTGTTCTGTTGTGTTTGTTGTCTCTGCCCTGTCCATGTCCTGTTCTGTCCTGTTCTGTTCTATTCTGTTCTATTCTGTTCTATTCTGTTCTATTCTGTTCTTTCTACACTTCATAGTCCTGCAATTCCAGATCTCTCACCACCATCCACCTCATCTCATCTCGTCTCATGTCCTCCAGCTCCCTCGTGACTGTAGGTAGGTCTTGATCCCGAGAGGCGCCGCCACAGTAGGTCTTGGTCCCGAGAGGCGCTGTTCATCCACTGCATCCGATTAGCATAGCAGAGCAGGTCTGATTGCTCTCATATTCATTACCCATAACCACGTGTTCAGTGTATCATATCAGTGAAACCGTGGTTTTCTTTTCATGGACGCCACCCGCAACTTACCCTCACACCTCACACCTATCTCCTTTTCCTCGTTTCCTCGTTTCCTCGTTTCCTCGTTTCTCGGGTTCTCTATAGATATCCTACTATCCCACTTTCCCATGGAGACTGAATCCCTGATCTCCGGCATGTGACATCCACATCCACATCCACATCCACACCATCATCGTCTTCCTTCCTCCCCATCCGCTCCTAGACCATAACATAGTGTCCAAACAATTAAATCTCCAATTTCCTTACTTTACTTGACGGAATGGGTTAAGGGCCGTGTTTCATCTCTCTCACCTCTCACACCGGCCCATCATCTTGAATCGTCGACTCTTTCATGGGAACGCTATCGGGATACTGCTTGCCCTTTGTATTGCTTGCCTTTTATTTGGCATATTTGCAATGGGCCACTCGGGCTGGGCAGGCAGGGCAGCAGACAGGCAGCAGACACCGAATTTGGAGACACGGAGTGGTGGGCAGGGCGTCCTGTAGTTCAACATCATGTAAGTATCGAGGACCGACAAAAAAAGTCATCCGATGGTCTGAGGCGCATGCGGGAATTCCATTCTCTACTATTCTGGACAATTTGAACATGCTCGTAACTCTTGCTCTGCCTGTCTGTCCGGATCGCGTCGTCCATCTGCACGTTTCAATCGCATCAACCATGAAAACCCATCTCATTGCATGTTACAGGAGAATAAGAATGCGCACTGCGCCGGCCAGTCGCATCTCCCCTCTTTCACACACACTTTAACGCAGCAAAAGGGGGCTAGAATTTGAGAGAACTAGTTCATCGCGATCGAAAAAAAGCTTGGCCATCCCACAGCCCTCCGACAAACCCTGCCGTCCGTACCCTCTCAACCTTAAGCAAGCCATAAATAAAACAATCCATTGTTCTCGTCCGGACTCGACTCTTTTTGCTTCGGCTCGGCAGCTGGCGGCTGGCGGCGCTATGTCGTGTTGGTATTGGTGATTTGAGTCGGGCCTATTAGGAGGAGCCTCGTGCTCAGTCCGAACAGGTTGGTTCAACGTATGGATGATGGTCCAGTAATTTGCGAATTCTTCCAAGGGTGCAAAAAGGCAACTGACGGCACAGCTGGGTTATTTGAGTAGAGGCGTTTGATCGTTTGCTTCCGAACCGTGGGGAGAAGACGTTGTTCGATGGCGAGACCGATGCGACGGGGAAGCCAGAAGGTGACCCTATCTTCTTCCAAACCTGCTATCACGACATCGAATCAGCCCGAGTAAGGGACTAGGCTTTGGATTTGCGAGGCGGAGTAGTGGCCCTGCCTGAGCTCCTAGAACCATACACATACTTTTGTTTCTTCTCGGCTGGTTTGAGTATCTGATAAAGAGCTGGTTAGCAAAGGACAAGCCAAATGAGTGGGCACTCCATACCTGGAAGGAGCAAAGTAGGCTTTCGTCAACACTCATCATTGCTCCAGCGTTGTCAAACTCGCCGCAGTAGTTGGGGGCGCTGAACAGCGTCACCAATTGTCGCTTGGAAAAGAACTCGTAGCCATCTTCCACCACTTGATGCGCTCGGCAAATAAGGTCCATGTCGTGTTTTTGCAAGAATCTGGACACAACATCTGGACCAAAGGTGAAGGAGACGCCGCGATCGTTCTCGCTCCAGCCGGTGATGTCCTTGTCCGGATCCGACCAGAGCAAGTCACAGAGCAGTCCGCAGTCGGGAATCTAGTACAGTCAGCCTACTCCTGGCGAGAGTGATCAGGTGTTCATCGAGGCTTTGGGTAACAAATAAAGGTTCTGGGCTTACATCTGTCGGGCGCATGACGCGACGAATCTGTTCCATGGAATTCAGGTCAGGACTCAAGCCTCCATGCATCGTGAAGATCTTTTCGTCAATGATTGCAGCGATTGGCAAGCAGTTGAAGCAGTCTGTGAAGGTCTTCCAGAGCTTGATATTATAACGACGCTTGCATTCGTCGTAGAAGCCGTAGATTCGATTGATCGAGGCACATTCGTGGTTTCCGCGAAGGACGAAGAAATTCTCCGGATATTTGATCTTATACGCCAATAGCAAACAGATGGTCTCCAGGGATTGCTTGCCTCTGTCCACATAATCGCCGAGAAAGAGGTAGTTGGCCTCGGGGGGAAAGCCACCGTATTCGAACAGCCGGAGGAGATCGTAGTATTGGCCATGGATATCGCCGCAGATCTACAACACAGAACATCAATTCAGATGTCCTTGACCTTGACTGGTCCAGATCATGAGAGCCGTACCTTGATTGGAGCCTCCAACTCCAGCAGTATAGGCTGCGAGATGAAGATTTCTCTTGCCTTTGTGCACAAGTAACGGATCTCGGCCTCAAGTAGCTGCACTTGCTTTCCAGGCCTGCTGCCTCTCACTTCTAGAAGACGGTCGATGACAGAGTCTAGATCCACCTCATTCTGGTCGGCCATAGTGGGTTTGCCGCAGGCGGGGCAAGGGGAGGAAGAAGGGCGCCGACCAGATACGGTCGGGGAGGGTGAAAAACGAAAAGTCGATGTGTAAGGGGTCTCGTGAGAATGCTACTAGTCTGGTGGCAGCCCAGACGAGTCAGTTTGAGATGAATATTTTTCTTCGGCAGCGAGGGGAGCTGACGCAAGACAGGGCTCGTTTAAGGGGACGGCGTACCAGATCCGATTTTGGTCCTTAAGCGGCCAGGAAACGGCTCAGCGAGTAAACCCTGGGCAGACTGTAGGGCCAGGCAATAGTTTTGCGCGCGTGACAAAGACTTCGGGCAGGGAAGTAGGTGTTTATCGCGCCCGGGAGTCGATGGAACAGACAGGCTGGAACAACTTGTTTCTCGGCGCAGGACGGGAGGTGGAGCGGCAGGGATGGTGCTATTTCACAAGCACTTCAAAGGCAAACCGCGTCAGTGAGGATCGGGGACAGACTTGTCGATAGCAATGAACACAAGTTGACGCGAGTTCGATCGCAAAGAGGTTCGCAGGCACAGTTGAACTGCGGGATGGGATGGCGGATTTGCTATTTTCAATCCTGGCAGGCGGTGTTGGGCTTGGCACTGACTGGACAAAGAAAGAGGAGAGGAGGCGAGCAACACAAAGAGTTGTAGTGCAGTGCAGTGCAGTGCAGTGCATCTGGTTAAGGGAGGGGCGAACTGCGCCCACCAGGCTACCTTAACCTTGCCTTTCCTATAGCTCACTGGCCTCCCTGTCTTCATCACCATCTTGCTGTTCCATGCCACGCAGCCCCTGCGACTGGTTCGAGTGTGTCGCAGAGGGATTATTAATTAGTATTATTACAGAAGGCATATGTCTCCTCTTGTCATCATCCGCCGCAGCCTCGATGTTTCTTTCAAGATCTCTAACGTGAGATCTAGTCCACAGCTCCTCCTACTGCTGATGTTGTGGCGACCAACGCTGGCCCAGCAGCCATAGGAATGTAGGCTAATTAGCATGAAGACAGCTCCCACTAGCGCCACCGCCTCAGCCCTCACCGTCGAGTTCGCTCTTCCCTCGCCGCCGGTTAGACGAGTCGGATTGATGCCTGGCTCTTTCTGCATGTCCGGGGATGGAGATCTCTCGCCATCGTCGTCGTGGGGAAACCAACCGCCGATATAGTGTACAGTGTACACCCGACAAATCTCGGCCCTAACTGTCACTACTACTCTGCTGAAGTCTTCCCTCATATCCGTACACTACTGTACTCCGTATAGTGCTGTAGAGACGAGATTCCTGGTTTGAAAAATGGTTGCTGGTCGCGTTGAGGTGGAGCCTGATGAGGATCCGAGTTCTCATACTAGTAGCCCATCATCAATCAACACGTCAACGTCAAGAGAGATCGTACTTTACATACGCCAAATTATATATCCATTGTAGAACAGTCTATCTGCCATAGGCTGTGCCTCAAGTCATACATCATGCATCGTGCACCAACTCTCAAGAAATACAAGAGATACCATCCCTCCAAAGTACCGTCAAAGCACCGTCGCTATGCATCAAAGCATTTTGCTTCAAGAGACCACACAACGATAAATGCCACATTGTTCCTCTCTTGGTCAATCACACCTGGTGCCTGGTCTCCCTAAATGAGAACGAATGGGTATAAAATGCATGCTGTCGTAAAATGCCACTGCAATCCAGCAAACAGTGTTGCCCTCTAGTATATAAGATGCAAATCAAAACAAAAAAGCGAAGCAGCAAAATGCGCAGAACAACGGATCAAAATTCAACCCAAGGTGCGCCCGCCGCTGACGATGACTTGAGGTCCGGTTTGGTGCAGAGAAGCGTTTCCAAGAATCTGTCCCTGGGCAACTTCCATGTGGTGATTGTTGTGCCAGTTACTCTGATCCCCAAGAGCACTGAGCCAATTGCTGCCGAACTCTTGTCGCAGCGCTTCAATTCTGGATCGGTAATCATCTTGCTGACCAGGCTGCTCGTCCAAAGGTAACGAGGGCGCTTTTGTGGAGTCGTCGTTCAGCTTGGTGGCCAGAGGTTCTATTGTATCAAAAGTTGGCAGGGGCGGAGAGCGGCCCGCCGGCGGAGATTCTTGATTCACACAATTAGAATCTGGGGGAAGGTTGGCCACAAGATCCTCATTACGAACCCGAACGGCGAAACTTTCATCCTTGGCCAGGTCCACGATTCGTCGTCGAGGTACCTTTTTTCGGCGAGTTGAGTTTGTAGCCACCTCGGTCGGTGACGCCGTACTTGACTTTGCTCCTCCAGCTTGTTGGACTATGACGGGTAGCTCAGCGATTTGAATGGAAGGATGAGAAATGTCTCTTTCGATCTCTGGCGCTCGCTCAACCAGCTGCTTGCGCTCCGAGTAGCCAGGCCCAGAATCGTCAATGACGATATCTTCCATATAACCAGGAGTCTTTCTGAACAAATTAAAGGTTGTTACCCGGTAGTCAGAATGAGCTTTTGTAAAAGGGTTACGCTTGACCCATATACGCTTCAAGTTGGGGATGCAGGTAAGCCTCGCCATTTCCATTGGATCAGACAGCTGATTGTCCTGTACATTCAACTGTTCCAGGGAGAGAAGTCGCTCGACTCCCGCCAAAGATCGAAGTCGGTTTGCCTTCAGGTTGACTGTCGAGACTGCGGGTAGGGGAGATCTCGACAAAGACTGTAGGGATGCAATCATGCAGTTCGACAGATCAAGAGAAACCAGGCGAGTCAAACAAGCAAGACTGTCAGGAATCTCTGCAAAAAGGTTGGAGGAGAGGTTCAGGGAACGCAGCGTTGTCGCTACCGGGGCCAGGCTTCTCGCTGATATGGTGGTCAGCGAGTTATCTGCAAGGGACAAGTACTTCAGCCTCTGCCATTTTGAAGGAGGCAGCACGTTCATGCTAAGGAGGCTCGGAGTGCTGTCGCTACGATTTGGCTGGACAGAATACTCGCTAGAGTTTGAACTGCCTGACCCAGACCTCTTCACTTTGGAGGAATACGTGCGTACATGCCTGTACGAGCTGGCGGGTCGAGCGGGACTCGGCCGCATCGGGGAGACGCTCCCAGAGAACTGCTTGTCCTTGTGTGGGGACTCGATGTAATCCTCATGATCGAGACTCCCTTCGGCAGGAGATCCGGGATCAGAATGTGAATGTGCATAATCAGCTCGTGGCGTCGAAGGCACCGTCCAGGACACCGTTGGAGTGGGAGAGCCCCGACCGCCTCTGGTTGATCGCCTTCGACGCTTTTCGGCGTCATCCAGGACTATGTTGGTCAGCAGTTCGATGGGATCATCGACATTGGCCCGCTTGACGGTCAACAACGTCAACTGCTCGGCCAATCGATCCCATCCATAGAATTGGCGGAAATCTATGTCCACTATGTCCAGCTGTTGAATATTTTTAAAGGCAAACAGCGGGACTGCCGTATCAAAAGGGAACTCCTCATACCCTTTGATCAGTCGTGCTCGATGATCGGTGGTGAGTCGCAAAGAAGGGAGCTTTGTAAATGCGGAATACAGATAGGTCAGGTCCCCTTGTGTCAGCGCCTTTGCCTTTTCGCTTTTGGACGAGCTGGCCCCCAGGCCAATGGAAGACCAGAATGTGCTCATACCAGACATGACACTGCGCATGCTAGAAACAGAATGTATGGAGTCCTTGTCGCTGCGACCTTTGGCTGGTTTATGGGACTGCAGAAACGATACATAGTTGGAGGGAGAAGGGTCACTGCTGAGGTTTTCAAAACGAATATTCATGGGGCCGATCGTTATATCCAGCTCCTCCATCCTAGAGAGCAGGTAGAACAAGTGATGGGGTGTGAGAGTCAGGAGGGCGGCTTTCGAGGTATGGGACCTTAGATTCAGACCAGCGAAGGAGAACGCTGCAGCAAGAGCGCTAGTTGAGTTGTTCGCATTGGACGTGGAGGTACCCGAGGTGACGCCAGAGGTGCTCGTCGAACTTGAATTCAAGGAGGACTGTCGTCTGTGGACAGACATTTGCAGGCTGTTTGCAAGAGCTTTCTCATGTTGGCGAATATATTGCGCGAGAGACTATTTGCGATGGTAATAAATCAGTCGAGGCTCTCACAGGAGGGTATTCGTTTTTGTAGGCGCATGCATAACATTCTCAATGTGATCGAAGGCCTGCAGAGGAGTGATGTATCATGGAAACTCACTCGAACAAAATTATGTCCATCTTCGGTTTGCAGGCGGTCCATCTCCTGTTCTGACCGGCCCAGTACTTCGAGACGTGGCCGGGGTGCCACGGACGAGGTTCAGTGTTAGACTTGAGGAAAGTCTAGCGCAAAGGAGTGGATGGGCTCAAGTTACGCGACCCAAGAACTGTCTGGAGTATCAGTCCGAAGTTCAAGATGCATGTAATGACCTAGAACATACCCAGACAGTGTGAAGAAATCATTGTGACATCGAGAGGGTCCAAGGCTGCCTCCAATGTGAGGCAGGACGTGACCAGGCTGCGAGGGCTGTGTTGAAAAGTGTGTGTACTTATGCTGCCAGGATGCCTTCCTCCTGCGATCCACTGGTGAGACAATAACCCACCCCGGAGATTGAAGGATATGGTGTATATAAGGTGACGATGTGGGAAAAGCTCGCCAGACGGTGTAAGCCCAAGGTGCTGTGTGACAAACCGCAGGCGTTGACCGTAGCGTGACCGTCAGCAGTGAGGTGAGCGTGCAAGGTTGGAGAAAAGGTGGTGTGTATAGCAGCCAGGAGGATGGAGGGGTTGATGTGAAGCAAAGAGCGACGGGGAGCAAGATGCCCCAGCAGCACCGCAGTAGTACCAAAGTATGTAGTATCAGCACCAGGATGGAGCGTGCAGAGATTTTGCTATCAACTTAGATTGGCCCAATCCAGTCTTTTGGGGGGGCAGGATGGGCGTAGGCGCAGGCGCTGGCGCAGCCAAGCGGGAAGTATATCATTAACTAGTACTCCGTAGACACCGACTTGCATCTGATAGTAGCAGCAGCTGTTGATTTTCGCCGCCACTATGTGTACTCCGTACAAAGCACGACTACTAGTGCTGTTGCATGTTACTCGCTCTCCGAAGACCCTGATTATCCACTCGGTTTCCGATCGACCTTTTAATCAGATGCAAACAAAGCTGAGATGGAGACTTTGCGACCTGTTCCCGCCAATATTACAGAGTATTGTATATACTATCTGGCAGTAGAGATCTCCTTATGTTGCTACACGCGTCACCGCACATGAACGGGGCTGTATCATACATACTTCTCTATTCGGTTGTTGCTACGTAGGTACCACTATTGTACCTGCGACAGGGTCTGCGAGGTTCTGAGCTGCTGCTGGCTGCGGAGTCCGCGGCGCTGCTCTGGCTGACTGACACTTTCAGCACCCCGAGACGACGACGGCAACATCGACAACAACCACGTCCTCTGGTCTCGCATGCTATCCGGGGCAAATCCGAAGACATGACACCCTTCTGAACGCGTCACGCACACCATCCTCCCGTGCCCAATCTCGTCCCCTGACCTTACAACGCGATCCTTGTTGCCAACCCTGTCCGCCGATGGCCGACCGGACAGGCTCGGCCCTCTTGGTTCTCGACCGCAGCATAGCAAGTCTATGGCTGAAAGAGGTGCATTCTGAACTCAAATTGGAGTCAATCTCGAACAGTGACAGACCGCAGCGTCATGCCTCGCTAGCCCCTCGTGCCCCTCCATAAGCGAACCAGAGCGGGCCTGCAGCTCATCGAGGTCAGTGCGCTCAACTCCAGCATCAACATGTCGAATCCGAGAGCCTGAATGCAGAGGCGATCCATACCAACGACGCACCTGGGCCCAATAATGACTGAGGCAAGCCAGTCCAGCCATCTCGCATACAGTAGTCATGTCGATTCAACTCAGCGTCCAATTGTGCTCGAAAGAAGGACACAGAGCTGGCATCTGCGAACACTCGGCGCGTAGCGTGATTAATTTGGGGGGGATCATATTATTGTATTATTTGCTCTTTCGCCAGCTGAGCAACATGTTCCTCACACCAACACGGCCCTACGGATTCACGTAACATTGCATTCACCACCAGCTTGGCTGGACAAGGAGACACTCCCCAAGGCAGGATTCAAGCAGGTTGCCCCGTCCACAAAAATAAGTAGCGTTGCTCATTAGCAGGTTGAGATATTTGCGCCTTTCGTCGTCGCAGACGCTGATACTCCCTCCCACTACACCTGGACAAGAAGCTGGCAGAAATGACAGGTCGCAGCGCCCGGCTACATGACAGGATCTGTGTCTGTGCGTGGGCCACGAGTGGCCAGGCTTTTGACCGCTACTCTTCTCTATATAATTGGTGGTAGGATGTGGGATATCAGGACCGGCTGGTTCCCGCGCTACTGCTGATGCGAGGAGCTATCCGTTGTGTCATGCATCAGGCAAAGACCAGCAACGAGTTGGAAGACCGATGCCGCTACCAATATGCAAGTCGTCGTCGACTCAATAAGGGTGTGAACCCCCCGCCCACTGGAATGGTCGGTGCTACTGGTCCAGCGATGTGGCTGAGGAGCAAATCAGCTGCCTCTTCGGCGACCGCATGACCGATTTTCAATGCAGGTCGACCAAACTGCACTCGTCTTCCAGGGTGCATATTCATGCCTTACCTTGGGTTACTACTTCTGTCCTGGTGGTCGGTGTTTCAGCGAGCACACTTGTCTAGGTCTCGCTCATCAATATTGTTCCAGTGGGCCAGAAGGTCACATGCAGGATTACAAGTCAAGTCCCCAGGCCGGTGGCCCGTAGAGGTGAAGATCTCAATTTGCAGACTCTGATATCTTTTTCCTTTGGTGGGAGATCCCGTTGACTCGTGCATAATATTATGTTCCAGCATGACACCGAATAGTAGGACTTGGTTTTCTTGTGCGGCAGACAAGCCCCGTGGTTTGCTGGGAGTGCACATGTTTACTCGTCACCCCACGATTCCTAAGACGCGGACTCGCAGTGAAAAACATGAAAGTGGCCAAACGGAGAGCATGGTTCTCCTGCTGTGTTACGGCATAGCTGCAGCCATTCAAGGAATCGTGCCTATTGGCCACGAAACTACATTCCAGCTGTTGTTTGGTGTTCTTCGTCCTTCTCAATGCACTAGTTCCCTTCACTTTGAGATTCACTGTGTCGAAGCGATACCAGTTGAGACACTTCTGTTACGGTGATAATGTGGGGAAGTGATCTGAAGCGAGCAGACCAATTGCGGTTGAAGCATACCTACCTATCCTCAAGCGTCGCAGGTATGGGTATGGACGCGAGAAGTATTTCACATGCTTGCGAGCTCGCAAAACTGAGGTGTTTTTCGTCTTGGTACCGAGCATCCATTTCTGCAAAGGGCAGTCTGGGTTGAAACCTGTGTTGGGTATATCAGAGGCTTTGTTCCCAGCACACTCGGTCCTACCGTGCCTGGATAGTCTTGCCTTCATCGGTAACACAGCCGAGGAGGCCTATTATGAAATGCCAGCAGAAGCAATGCAATGCATCGTCATGCAACTGCAACTTTACTAACTAGTGTATAACTGGAGTGCATGCTACGTTAGTTGCAGAGCTTTGCTGGAGAGTGAAGCTACATACCAACGGTGGCCGCATGATAGACATGATACTAAGACTCCATACGGTATCAAGTAACGTTAACCCCAGATCGGGTCTTCTTCACTCTTTGAACTAGGATAGTTCACAGCCGGAGTGGTCTAACGGCTAGTACTACGTATGTTGATCTCGAGTCCAGGACAGGATGATCTCGGGATGATAGCATCGTACTCTTCCCATACAGAGATCATTTATCTCTGATGTGGCCCGTAATTTTCCGACAACGCAGCAGAAGTGGGCATGCCCCTCAGCCCCATAGTGCCAATGATCCCGGTGATCCTTCTTTACGGAGTAGAGGTTACCTAAGCAGTGGGGGTCTGTAGTTGTTACAATTTGAGGACTTCTCCGGGAGATTGGAACATTTCCTGCGTGACGTCAACCTGGTCAACCTGGTCAACCTCACTGGTGTCACCAACCTCAGCTCGAAAGCTGATTTCTGACTCAGCGAGCAGAAGACGTGGATACGACCACAACTTGAACCTCAAGCCAGGTGAGCAGTTCTGGGTATCCGTACATATGGATTGTTCAGTGCACAGTGGTTTCTCAAGGTTGAGACATCCACTACCTACTACTGAATGCCCCTACTGACGTGCCATACTCTCTACTCAGTGACAATGCTTTGGTGTTCCGTACTCCGTAAACGTCGTGCGTACCTCTATCAAAAATCCGGGGTATGGTACGTACATGTTAGGTACGGAGCAGTCACAACGGCTGATGGCGGTGTGGCGGCGTGGTGGCGTGGCTGGTGGTGGCTGGGGTCACCTGCGGTGGGTGTGGCGTTGTGCCAAGCGTGTCGACAGCTACCACGGCCGTGGCCCGGAAGCCTCGCCACCGTAATACGTACCTAAGTTCTTGATGACGCCCTTCCTTCAATCTCCATCGACCAATCCTGATTTTGCTTTGACCTAACTCTCTGGACGTGAAGACGCATTCTACGGAGTACTGAGGATAAAAATAAAATGCCTTCTTGATGGTCTTTAAACAATGATCGCAAATGGGACTAAGCAACAGCCAACTTCGTCGGCCGAGACTCGATCGTATGATCCGTCCACTCTACCGGACTATGAGACGGACTTCATCAGTCAGGCTGATCTCGACAGCTTTGCACAAGCACTGAGCGCACCGACAACAGAACCACTCACCGCTCTCAATGATTGGGGTCCAGTACACCAAAAAGTCAAACGAAACCGAGCTCGACGCAAAAGTCCGAGACGAAGCAAGGATGAAACGCGGGAGGGCTTTGTGTATACACTTTTGTACTATCCCTTACTGTTTTTCGTCTGTGGCTGGATTGTGATTTTGTTCTTCATCTACAACCTGACACGCTTCTACATCTACGCCTACGAACATGTGTTTTCTTGGACAGGCCGAAGAGAGACTCTGAGGCGGCGGCTCCAACAAGCAAGAAGCTATGATGAGTGGCAAGCTGCCGCTCACGAACTCGACGTGTACCTGGGGAACGAGGAGTGGAAGCAGTCGGATCCATACTCATACTACAATCACCAGACGGTCAGGAAAGTGACTGCTCAACTTGCCGAGCTTCATGAGAAGGCCCAAACCGAGGAAGTTGGAGGGCGCGATGGCGTAGGTGGTCTCACCGCCTTGGACGAGTTGAAGTCGTTGCTCGAAAGCTGTGTCAAGAACAATTTTGTGGGCATTGAAAACCCTCGCCTGTACAGTGAGACATACATTGGCACCAAACAACTCATACAATCGTTTGTCGATCAAGTCGAGAAGTGCCTTAGGACCGTCCTTAACAGCAGCCGGATGACTGATACTGACAAGGGCGCGTTCTTCCGTCATTTAGAGCTTAACCATGGGCGCACCGCCCTATGTCTTTCGGGAGGAGCGACCTTTGCATACTATCATTTTGGAGTTATCAAGGCACTGCTGGAAGCTGGGCAATTGCCAGAAATCATCACGGGTACTTCGGGAGGAGCAGTGGTTGCCGCATTGGTGGCCACAAGAACAGACGAAGAATTGAAACAACTGCTGATTCCAGCCCTGGCACACCGTATCAGGGCTTGTCACGAAGGCTTTGCCACTTGGATGCGCAGGTGGTGGCGAACCGGCGCTCGGTTCGACTCCATTGACTGGGCTGTACAGTGTAGCTGGTTTTGCCGAGGATCTCTAACATTTCGAGAGGCATACCAAAGAACGGGCCGCATCTTGAACGTCTCCTGTGTGCCCTCAGACCCTCATTCACCTACAATCTTGAACAACCATATCACGAGTCCGGATTGTGTCATCTGGTCCGCTGTCCTCGCTTCTGCGGCCGTTCCTGGGATCCTGAACCCGGTTGTGCTAATGCGAAAAACCAAGGACGGCTCTCTGGTTCCGTACTCGTTCGGCAACAAATGGAAAGACGGCAGCCTACGTACAGATATCCCTTTGAAAGCTCTCAACCTTCACTTCAACGTCAACTTTTCGATCGTCTCACAGGTCAATCCTCACATCAACCTGTTCTTTTTCTCTCCTAGAGGCGCGCCAGGTCGGCCGGTAACGCACCGCAAGGGCCGTGGCTGGCGAGGGGGGTTTCTCGGGTCTACCATCGAGACTTCGGTGAAGCTCGATTTGCAAAAGTACCTCAAGATCCTACGACATCTCGAATTGCTGCCAAGACCCATGGGTCAGGATTGGAGCGAGATCTGGCTCCAACGATTTTCCGGGACCGTCACCATCTGGCCGAAGACTATTCTCAGCGACTTTTGGAACATCCTCACTGACCCGAGTCCACAACGTCTCGATCGCATGATCGATGCTGGCGAACGCAGTTGTTGGCCCAAGATCAGATTCATCTCGAATCGTATGGCAATCGAGCGGGTGATATTGCAAGGTCTAAGGAAAGGGGGGCCGATTGATGATAGCCACCGCGTCCCAGACCCGGTTCACGAACAGCAGGCACAGGAAGCGCTCCTCCGCGCCCGACGCCGACCGAACGACAGCATCTCGTCAGTTGACGAGTATCACGAGAACCCGGCCACGTGCCCACCACGCAGGCAGAATAGCATCCTTCAAGAGCTCACCCGTCAAGCCTCAGTGTTGTGGAATGATCATGGTCAAACGGATGGGGAGGAAGACGTGGTAAGCACAACGACAGATGACGAAGCAGACGAGGACGAGACGGCAGTAGACCGAGATGTGGTCACTAGAAGACTGTAAATAGAATGCATACCTAGTTTAGAATAATTGAGATTGACAGTAACAGAAACAAAAACAGAAACAGTCTCCTGGCAAGGGTCTCGCCGCAGGGCGTATCACGTGACGTGCAAAAGTACATTGCGGAGGGTGGCCATCCAGGCACCGACGATAAGGTTCTGGCGCCGACGCAACCGAGATCTGACGTCGATCTTGCGGCGAGGCTCCTCGATGGTATGGAGGTTTCTACACTTCTTCGTTGCAGTATGGGAGCCCGTCGTCGGGGGCGGGCCCCAAGAAAACTGGGCTGCAGCGGTCGCATAGAGCTCCGGCGCCATCTCCGCATCTCGTGGAGGCCTTAGTCGAGCGATATGATGGTGGTTGAAAAGGATAGATATCTGTTGCTTTGGATGTATTGCTTATAATCGAATCTCCTGCCTTCGTATCCTGGGTTCACGGTCGATACCATTGGCTGTGGCTCGGGAAATGTGGGGGTAGCCCGGTCTTGGCATCCTGCCTGCGCCCTGAAGTTGAAGTGACTGACTTCTCTGCCAGACACGTCCCCGACAATCTTGCGAGGCACTGGACTTCGCTCATCCACGAGCCATCTTGGATTCCTGGCCGCCCATCAGTACTGTTACCCCGTGAATCAGCGTGCGTGAAGCCGACCACATCAGCGCTCAGCAGATCCGCATCTGCCAATCCGCCGATTCGCGTCTACCCATCCACTGTTGTACGCGCTGCCACTTGTTCTGGCCGTCAAAGTCTCACCTCCCTGCTCCGCACCATTGCCGACACCAAATCGCCGCCACCTCCCCGAATCTCCGATGCAGTTGTCGAGATGTGGCCCTAGTTGATCGCAGTGATACCCAGATTGGTCGCGGCCGGAGCATTTATTGAACCAGTCATCACCTCAGTGACCGGCTCCATTGGGATTCTCACCATGCCATCCTACAATGGCAAGCGTTCTCTCGAGGACATTGTAGCCCAAGAGGATTCGGCAGACGAGGACTACGATGATCAGGCTCCTGGACCTTCAAAGTCACGCTCGTCGCGGTCCAGAAAACAGCGTGGAGCTCCTGCGCGCAAGAAGCAGCGACGGGTATACAGAGGCTCCGACATCGAAACGGACGAGGATGACGTGCTGTCTGACGAGGACCAGTCTTTCGATGATGAATCTGATGATGAACCGGAGACGAATGAGAGGGGAAGACCCGTTCGAAAGACCACCAAAAAGACTGTGAAATACGAGGAGGAAGATACGGACGATGATGAGCTCGTCAAGTCTTCTTCAGAAGAACCACGAACTCCGCAGCCCAAAAAGGGCAAGAAACTCATTATCACTCTCAAGACAGGTAACACGCCTGCGAGGTCTACTCGCGGTTTAAGAACTCGAAGCGGCAGCTATGTCGGGACAACTACGACCCAACCAGCACCCGTGCCGGGAGCTACTAGGAGGAGCAGTCGTCTGTCTTATAACGAGGAAGAGCCTGTGGTGGCTTTGACAAACTCGGGAAATCATGTCGAGGTAATTCGGGCTGGCTCACGAGACCCTGAGGGCATACCGCCGAGGGCGATGAAGGGCGGCAAAGGTCTCAAAAACCCATCGAAGAGTACCATCGATGAGGAGGGAGAATCTGCTCCCAGAGAAGAGGAAGCCGAGGAAGAGCTTGAGATCCAGGCATCACAACAAGAACCAATAGACAGCGACCCCCCAAATGCAGATGAAGCCGATGAAGGGACAGAATCTATGCCGAAGGTTGTTTCGGATGTTGTTGCGGCTGGGGCCGAAGCCGAAAGCGATGGCGACTTTGCGGGGGATGATACACCCGCAACCCAGGAGGATGCTCAAATTGAACCAATGGAAGCGGACGAAGAAGATGACGAAGACGTTATCCCTCAGCGCAGACGGTTAACACGGGGTGCCTCAAAGATACAAGCAGACTCACCCGAGTATGAACCAGCCCAATCGTCGAAGCAATTGCGCGGACGCCCCTTGAGAAGTAGCACTAAGGCTGGAGCATCAAGAAGTCGCCGGAGGAAAGCACAGGACGAAAGCAGTGATTTTAACCCTGACCAGGAGCAGGAAAATCAGGACGACATGTCAGACTCTAGCGTATCCAACGCTTCACCTCGCAAGGATGATTATGAAAGCAGTAATAACGGTCGACGGTCGACGCGTCTCCGCAGCAAGGCTGTATCCCGTCAAAGGTCTGAGGCTAGTGACCAGCTAGAGGAGCTTGCTGCAGAGGTTGCAGACTTGAAGCGGGACGGAAAGAAGCAGCGACGTGCCCAAGACGAGATTGTGTTCGAACCCCGTAAGCGGCGCGCCGGGAAGAAACCAAACTATGATCTTCTACGGAACCTTGCTCCAATCGAAGATGAAGAGGAAGCCGCGCCCTCCCCATCCCAGCGACCTCGAAAACCTGGTGGCGGCAGCTGGCAGCGGAGCCTGTTCGATATCTATGGCCCCTTCGGAGGAGGAACAGGTCTGCCGCCAGTGCTTGGGGGTGGATCCCAGGGACCGAGAGCTCAGGGGGGCGTGGACTCCGACAGCAGCGACGACGAAGTCATGAAGCAGCCTAGAGCCGTGGGCGGTGCGGTAGGAATGACTCCCACCGCTGCTGGCGCCTTCAATCTCTTTGCTCAAAATCTTAACCCCGATGCCGCGCAGGCTACTGCTGGAACTCCGGCTAATCTGGGCAAGATGAAGGATAAGCAAACCCTTGCTGATGCGGACCCACTTGGGGTCGACCAAAACGTGAACTTTGACAGCGTCGGTGGCTTGCGAGGGCACATTGACCAGCTCAAAGAAATGGTTGCCTTGCCTCTGCTGTATCCGGAAATCTTCCTGCGCTTCAAAATCACTCCTCCCCGCGGTGTTCTATTCCATGGCCCACCAGGCACCGGGAAGACTCTTCTGGCGAGAGCTTTGGCGACGAGTGTGAGCTCGCAAGGTCGAAAAGTCACGTTCTATATGCGCAAAGGTGCAGATGCTCTGAGCAAATGGGTTGGCGAAGCCGAAAGACAACTGCGTTTGCTTTTCGAAGAAGCTCGCAAGAACCAACCCAGCATAATCTTCTTCGACGAGATCGATGGTCTCGCCCCCGTCCGGTCCAGCAAGCAGGAACAAATCCATGCTTCAATCGTGTCTACTTTACTAGCTCTGATGGACGGCATGGACGGGCGTGGCCAGGTGATCGTCATTGGCGCCACGAATCGGCCGGATTCAATTGACCCGGCCTTAAGGAGACCAGGCCGGTTCGATCGAGAGTTCTACTTCCCGTTACCAGACACCCAAGCACGACGAGCAATAATTGACATCCATACCAGGGGTTGGGACCCGCCTCTGCCTGACGCAACCAAGGATGAGCTGGCGGAGTTGACAAAGGGCTATGGAGGAGCAGACCTACGGGCGTTGTGCACGGAAGCAGCATTGAACGCAGTACAGCGACACTATCCTCAGATCTACAACTCGACCGAGAAGCTCCTGATTGATCCCAAGCAGATCCAAGTCATGCCAAAAGATTTCATGATCTCCATCAAGAAGATGACACCTTCATCAGAGCGATCCACCTCGTCAGGTGCAGCTCCACTGCCGCCTAGTGTCGCGCCTCTGCTGCGGGGGCAGCTCAGTCAGATAGAGCAAATAGTGGCCGAAATCCTACCGCAGAAGAAGAGGCTAACCGCGTTGGAAGAAGCTCAATACGAGGACGTTGCCGACGGTCACAGTTTTGGGAGAGAACGGATGCATCAGGCTTTCGAGTCCGCTAGAGTCTTCCGCCCCCGGTTATTGATACACGGGAAGGTTGGGATGGGTCAGCAATACCTTGCCGCTGCATTACTCAGCCACTTTGAGGGTCTCCATGTGCAGGCATTTGATCTGCCCACCTTGTTGAGCGACACTACCGCTTCGCCCGAATCGACTGTCATCAGACTCTTTGCTGAAATCAAAATGCACAAGCCCAGCGTCATCTACATTCCCAACGTGCATGAGTGGTACAGTACGGTGGGTCAAACAGTGATTTCGACTTTCCTGGGGCTCCTGAGGTCGGTCAAGCCTACAGACCCAGTCCTCTTACTCGGATTTGTTGAAGGCGACCTCGGTGACGTTGAGGAAGAGGTGAAGCGGGAATTATTCGGATTTTCCAAGAAAAACCTGTTTCGGCTGAGAGAACCGGCCCGGGCAGAGCGATCCGAGTTCTTTCGCAGCCTCAGGGACTATGTTAAGACGGCCCCTAACGACTTTCCCGATCCTGAGAAGCGAAAGAAGCGGCAACTCGAGCGACTCGAAGTGGCTCCTCCGGAGCCAGAAAAGCCAGCACCTCCTCCTACGAAAGAGGAGCTCAAGGCACAGAAGAAGCGGGATCGTCAAACACTAAATATGCTGAAGATCAGATTGCAACCCATCATGGATCAGATCCGAACGAAACACAAGAAGTTCCGGACTGGAGTCATCGACGAGAGTCAAATCCGTTATCTATACGACGAGGCCGATCCAGGCACGGTCACTTCCGATCTCCATACAGAATTTTTGGCAAGAGCCTCATTCAGGCCGTTCGAAATCGGCACGGACGCTCATGGCGTCCCCGGACTCGTTGACCAAGCCAACGGCAATTTCTACTACAACCTCGACACGGTGACGATTGAGAAACGTCTAAGCAACGGGTATTACAAACGGCCGAAGGATTTCCTAGCAGACATCAAGCGGTTGGCCAAAGATGCAAAGACGGTGGGCGACGAAGACCGGCTGCTGAAAGCTAACGAGCTCCTGGCTAATGTTGAGGTGGATATTGGAGGTATTGAACTTGCGGAAACTGCTCTCGTCGCAGAATGCGAACACGTGTATGAACGCGAGTTGGCTCGAGAGAAGGAGGCGTTGGACAAGGCACGACACGCGCATCAGCAAGGCCAAGACATGCCTCCGCCTCAAATTGTGTCGAATGTACCGCACGGAAACAACTCGGGCCCTTCGACGACGACCAATTCCACAGGACCGATTCTTTTGGGCGAGCCTGTACAGCGACGAAACGATATTATGCAACGGTTAGCTGCTGCCGAAGCAAGTCCATCCACGTCGCTGCTTACGAACGGCGTCAATCCTAGCCAGAACGAAGCAGAGGCGCATGAGGGGGCACAGGGTTCACATTCTAATCATGATGACCATGAAGCCGACGCCGAGGGAGATACCCCGATGGGCGGCATTGAATCCCATGTAAATTCCCACGAAAAGAGCAACGAAACCCAGAAAACACCAACGACAAGTTCTTTCGGCAATCGTGAATCTGCACAGCCACGGCCTTTCCACTCGTACACTGCCCCGTCTCAGCAGCTACTGAAAGAGTCAGGGATGTCCGCGCCTCGTTCACAAACAGGACCCTTCACGCCCATGCCGGCGGGAAGTCAAGCGGCGGAATTCCAGAACGATGCGAGCACCACTCAGTCGACCAGCCAAAAGAAGGTCTCATCGAACGAGACGGAACATGGACAAGATCCAGACTCAGGCCCGGACCTTTTTGAGTTCCAGGAGCGGCGTTCAGCAGGAGGCAGTCAGATCCCATCCACCCAAGGTACGCGTAACCCCAACTCAGGACTTGTTGGTCTGCAACCCCATTTGTTGTCCGCATTGAAACAACCCGAGCTCATGGATTCATTATCTGTCGCAGGCAATGCTGAACGATTGTCTCAAGACACGGCGGGCGCGGCGTCCCAGCCTATTACTGAGGCCATGCGACTCCTGCCGTCCTCGAAAGGGCACGGAGCCGGTAGACTCTCACAACCACTGCCTCCGGTCCCCGTGTTCTCTGATCCTCCTGGGCCTACGACTGCGCCTAATTCCCAACGTACCAACGGACATGGACATGGACATAGTGACATCCAAGACCTACTTAACCCTTCGGATGAAGATCTGCCTCCAGCCCCAACCTCTCCTCGCCTCAACCTCATCCAAGTGGAGGAGCACGGCTTGGACCAGTTCCACGCTGAGATCACTGATAAGACCAGCGGTCTGTCGGTCGAGCAGCTAGAGCAGGTCAATTCGGTCTTGATGGATACGCTGTGGAGGACGCGTGGGGAGTGGGACCGCCGCAAGGTCCTGGAGCAGATCAGCGTGGCGTTCAACGAAGTCATGGAAGACATGGCGGAGAGTGGGCAGGAGTTTGCACCCGTGAGCTGGGGCCTTTCTCAGTTTCAGGGGTAGTCCCCAGACCCAGGGATGTATACATTTGGTGCAACTTGGACAGAGACAGGAAGTGTAGAGTGTGCCTGCCACCAAGGGGAAACCCCTTTGTTGTCGAAGGGGAAACTCCTCTGTTGTCGGACCAGGAAGTCCTCATTTTCGAGGGTATACCAGAAACAAGAAGAAGAAGAAAAGAACGCATTTGGAGTGTGGAGTTGGACAAGGACGGAAACCCGGGCAAGGTCGAGAGTATTCTGAGAGAAGAGGGCCGGTTCGAACCCATGGACATGTGGACAACTGAAGGACATACTGTAAGGCTGGGAAGGACTTGGACTTGGATCAGGATCAGGACCTGCGCATGGATATCTTATTTGCATGGACATGGACATGGACATGGACATGGCTGTCGATGGTGAACATCTCAGATGGGCTTGATTTGGCTGTCTACTCTGTACCTACCTACTGTACTGAGTACGTACGTACGGCATGACACCAGAAACTGAAACTGAAACTGGAGGCTACCAGAAGCCTTGGTCTTAGTCTTAGCTTTCGTCAGCCGCGCCGCGCCGCGCTGTCCTGTCCTCGATTGCTATCCTGAGGTACATACGGCCAGTGTAGGTACTGGTATTGCATATTGCATATTGCATAAAGTAGAAATTGCACGGATGGATGGATGGCTGACCTGACTGGATGGATGGATGGTTGGTTAGATTGGATGGTTGAACTGGATGGTTGGTTGGATGGTTGAACTGGATGGCGATGGCTGCTTGCTTACCTACATACCTTACGGACTATCTTACGGAGTACATACGGAGTATCCGTACCTGAAGAGTACATGGGACGTGGGGTCGGTATCGGATAGCTTGGGGTCGGGATGTAAATATCTACAAATATTCTTAGCACTCCGTACAGAATCTACCACTTACTAATTATAATTAGTCTTGAGTGTTGACTGTGATTATGATTGTGGTGATGATCGTCTCTTGTTAACTCTGGCGAAGATTAAGTCGGCTTGGAGCATGGAGTATGGAATACATTTGCGGATATATATATATATGATACTCCGTACTCTGTATATACCTGCATGACCCTACCTATACGTACCTATCAGCTAGGCCCTAAGGCCACCTAACCTACCTGGTCAAGTAGCTATGCACTACCGGGGCAGCTATGTCTAGACTCGAAGCGGCATAGGAAGAAAGTACGGACGGATGATACTTGCTTGTTTGGATCTATCTCTGCTCGCCTACTTACAGGTAGACTCCCTGGCAGTACGTACAGTAGCTGTGCTTGGACTAGGTTGCATTGGGAAGGCTGGCTGTGTAGAGTAATGGATGATGGATCCGACTCAAGTTTGGTCATGAGCTCAAGTGTCCCAATCGGTTCTATCGTCTTTTCATTCCCTCCGGGACGTTATGCTAATCTACCATCAACGAATCATCGTTCTGATCTGACTCAACCCCTCTTCTGCTTCTGTGGTCGCCTTCCATTCATGCCCTCCTTCTCTCCCGTAGGCCTGGCAGGCAAAGCGTACAGCCCGCCACCGACAAACACTACGGCAGCACCGATCATGACGCCGAATGGCAAAGTATTCCCAAACAGCGAGATACTTAGTATCAGGCTGGCTAGCTTGCGGACGTTCAGCACGATACTGACGGTCAACGAGGACGATTGTGCCGACAACCGGTTCACCCCGACGATGCAAAGCAGTTGAGTCATGGCATTAAGGAGGAGGAGAAGGACGGGCCGGGGTATCTGTATCGAAACAGGGAAGTAGGCGGTCGTGGCGGACTGGTCGAACGGGATCAGTTTCGCCCATGTTGACGTCGAGCTGGAATTGTCTCGGTCAAACCATGGGGACGAACTGCCACGTCCCTGGCTGCTAGGCACCGATACCGCCGCGATGTTGATCAGCTCCTTCATGAGTGGTTTGGTCTGGCTGGCGAAAAGCGGGAGAGACATGGCGTGGCTGTAGAACAGAGCCTCCGCCGTTATGGCCCCGGACCGGCCGTATGTCGCGTACATGTCATCGGCATATAGCCCCATACATGCCGACAAGAGCAGAGCGGATGCAAGTAGAGCGAATCCTGGGGCTTGAGATGATATCGCCGACGCTGAAGCCGTCCCCGCAGATGACGAAGGGTCAAAGTCTGGCGAATGGTGCTCGACTTCGATGTGCGTCGCAGCCTGAGTTTGAGCTTGTTTCGACCAAGCGTCCGAGAACGCTGCCAGAACCACGCCGACAAACAGAAGTACCACCGCAATGACCTTCTGCACAGGATACCTCTTTCCGCCCCAAACCCTACCCACCGCCATTGTCGTCACTGGTCCTGCCGAACGCAGGATGATATGCAGAGGTATGCTGATCTGGTACTTGAACGCCATATTGTTCAGCATGTTGATGCTGAGGAAATACGCCGTGTAGGCGATCCATTTGCGAAGCGGGATCGAGCGTTCGCGAAGGTAGAGGTTCCGCCAGCCGCGGGAGAAGGAAAAGTGGCGCGGAGCCGAGGCCAGGGCGACGAGGAGGAATTGGAACGCCGTGATCAGGGATCCTGAGGAAGGTGAGGTCTGGATCAGAGATTCTAGCGTATACACGTTGGAACAGCAGCCGCCGAAAATGAGCACGAGTGTAGGTGCCCAGATTTGCAGGGCAGACATGGTCTTCGACGTGATGGTCGGTTCTCTGGCACGTTCAGCCTTCGCTTCGGCTGCAGTCGGGCCCGTTGTTCCATGCCCACGAGCGGCAACCGGCCCATTCCTCTGGCGGTCATCAATGTTCTCTATCTTGCCCCTCCGACGGCTGGCGAAAGACGGTGCCAGTGGGTTTGAGGAACTCATGGCGGAGGGAAGGGGTCGAGGAGAGCACGAGGACTTGGTTACTGCCGAGATGCGATTGCCATGTCGTCGGGGATATCGACGGCTGAGAGGCTCAGACGTTGTAGCTCGGCGTCCCTGAAGCCTTGACTTCCTCTGGGTGGCAGAGGGTGCGAGTGTCAGTGTGAATGTTGTGTGACCAAATGGCGCGGTGGTGAGCCGCCCATTGATTGTGGAAAGCGGGCGTCGAGGGAAAGTTACGCGAGAAAGGTTCCTTACGCTTTCCAGGGACACGCACCACGCATGCATCCAGCCTTCGGATTGAGAAGGGGCCGTAGGGAGACGGTCGAAAGGTGCACATTATCCATGCACAAACATACACGTAGATTTCTCAAGGAGTCCGGGCTTTGGCCAGATATACAATGCAACAGCCACTATGTCACAGATGCCAGACCCTTGCAACCTTCACCAACCCTTTCCATATGATTTACTTCTTCTCCCAGAACAGGTTGATTTCTTCACCTTGTAGCCAAGCAGCCATAGCCTTGTACATATCGTACCATCCCTGGTTGCCGGCATTAGGGAGGTCGTTCAATATGGGGTGGCCCAAGCTGTTCTGCGCCACGGCTAGATACTGGTAGCCCTCGGTATACTTGGCCAGCTCTTCCTTGGGAAAATTAGGGACGGTCTTGCCATCGACAGGAATCATCTTATCCTTTTCGTAAAACAGCTTGACGAACTGGGTCTTCCACTCGCCATCCTCGATCTTGCAGAAAAAGATGAATCGGCAGTCGCACTCGACGTCGACGGGGATGCCCTGGATGGTGAATCGCTGGGTGATGGTCGCCTTCATCTTGCCGATGCCTCGCTGTTTGGCCAGGTTGACATTGGCCAGTGTGCCGTTCTCGCGGTGCATGATGAAGTCGCCATTGGCCCGGCCTTTAATCGAGACTTTGATGAAGTCTTCAATGGACAAACCGCCGGACCACGCTGTTGGAGAAAACAATGAGTCAGTTTGTCAGTTCTTCTGTCTCGGAGTTTGTCTCCGACTCTCGCGACGGTGAGGTGGCACATACTGGTCCAGACATATGCGCCCTCCTTGGTAAACAAGCTGCGGTAGTTCTGCCACTCCGAAGCGTCCCGGTATACAGGCCAGCCCTTGCACAACTCAGTGATGGCGTATCGAGCGAGGAGCTCTTCGGTGGTGCCGTTGATGTGGCTAGTCACGACGGGTTCGCTTTCCTCAGCAGGGACGTTGTACACCATCTTGTCAAGAGATACTGTTGTTTTCTATTCTGATCTGTAAGAGGACGAGATCGGGAGCAGAGCAGGTCTTAGGCTGGACACTGTGATTCTCAGGTATGGTAGAGAGGAGAGGCAGAAAGCAGCCAGGGGACCGCTTCAGCTCGCAGCTTAAATACATCATGGTTTCGGATACTCGTGCGGAGGAACAGTGCACGTATCGAGACAGCTGGATGCCGTAGGTGAGCGCTGCGACGGACGGCAGGCATGCTCGGTAGGTGAGGAGTCATCAGGGCCAGATGGTGGGCTGGCCGACGTCGCAGGGGTACAGAGGAAACCAAGGATGAGCAAGAGTCGTCGGATGGAAGATGGAAGACGCCCAAGTGAAAACTGCCACTGTACGAAACGATCAGATGAGGGGCCGGGGCTGCACTTGTCCCAATCAGGCATTTCGGATGTCGACGACGGCTGTTGTTTTCATCTTCAACCCTTGAACCCATGCTTCAATTGCATCCCCGCAGATCACCCTCCCATCCCCAATGGAGGTCTCAAGAATCCAAAGATCCCTCGCACGGCCAATCCCTCACGCCCAAAGACTTAGCCGCCACCGCCACCACACCGGCGAGTCCCCAGAGCAAGACCCCTTCTCGCTCCGACACCTGCGCCCCCTGCCTTGGAACCAGCAGTACAGTATCTTCTCCATCTTCCAAATACATCCATCTTTTTCTAAGAACTTTTGTCTAGACTTGTAGAACACACTCCTCCAGAGCTGCCGCTCAAAAACGCTGCACCGGGCTGATCATGTAGTTGGGCAATTCTTGTCCGCCCCGTCTCATTAATTTCTCTCTTAAACTCACATCATCTTGGATCCAGTAAATTCGCGCCAGCTCTTGACTTCAGGGGGAATGCCCTCCTTTCGAGGCAGCTTGGCGTTCATGCATTGAGCAAATAGTAAAGCGGTCTGCAAAGCCGGATTAGTCACCGTCATTGACACGGGCGCAACAGGACGACATACCTTGGCCTCCATAAACAAGGGCACACCAAAATCCACAGCATTCCTTCTCATCACATAGTCCTCATCCAGCAACGTCTTGCCTCGGCCCTTGGCAACGTTGAACACTCCTTTGATGTCGTATTTCTCAAACACTTTTCGAAGCTCGTTCTTGTCCGTCGTGGGGAACTCAATCACTTCGATTGAAGCACCAGACTTTTCCAGATGTCTCTTCACATCCTCGCTTGCGGCGTAGAGTTTGTAACCCAACGGTTGAAGATACCCGACAATCTGGGGTAGCTCCGGGAGCTCAGTAGATCCACCCAGGAGTATACCCTCGCCGGGCTCCGGTACTCGGAAGTTCATAGTCGCCTGGAGCGAAGCCCAATACGCCTCAACAATATCTTTACCGAAACATGCAATCTCTCCGGTGCTGCTCATCTCCACGCCCAAGAAAGGGTCGGCCCCGGCTAACCGAGTCCAGGAGAATTGCGGCACTTTGGTGGCAAGGTAGTCGCGCTTTTGAGCCATGAGATCTTGAGGTTGGGGTACATCCTTGCCCACCAATGCCTTGGTAGCCGTGTCGATGAAGTTTGTCCCTAGGACTTTGCTGACAAACGGGAAGGACCGAGAGGCACGAAGGTTGCATTCAATCACCTTCAGAGCGGATTTCTCACCCGGCACATCCGCCTTGATTATTTGCATGTTGAAGGGCCCCGTGATATTCCACGCCTTGGCCACTTTCTGCGCAATCTCCTTGATGCGGGCCATCACGCTCTCCTCCAGATTGACAGGAGGAAGGACCAACGTGGCATCGCCAGAGTGCACACCGGCGGGTTCGACATGCTCCGAAACCGCATGCAAAATCAACTCTCCTTGTGAAGCCACAGCGTCGACGTCGATCTCCTCGGCTCCCTCAATGAACTTGGTGATCACAACTGGGTGGTCAGGCGAAACGGACGAGGCATGTTCAAGCTTGTCCTTCAATTCGTCGTGGGTAGAGATGACCGACATGGCAGCGCCGGACAGGACATACGACGGACGAACCAGTACAGGATAACCGACTGAATCAGCGAACGCTTCGGCCTCGGCAACCGATGTCAGTTCCTTCCACGCCGGCTGATCCACTCCAATTGAATCAAGGATCTGGGAGAACTTGTGACGATCTTCAGCCTTGTCAATGTCTTCGGGATTGGTGCCCAGGACCTTCGCCCCGCCTTCCTCCTGCAAACGGAGAGCGATGTTCTGAGGGAGCTGGCCGCCAACACTAACAACCACGCCGGAAGCGCCTTCGAGCTCGTAGATGTCCATCACACGCTCATATGACAACTCTTCAAAGTAGAGCTTGTCAGCCGTGTCAAAATCCGTGCTGTAAGTCTCAGGGTTGTACTGAGGAAAATTAGCATAGACTCTATAGTCATCAAAAAAACACTTGGAAAGGGCACATCTTGTGCCATTCGGATGGTATTGGCCTAGAACCAAAGCCAACCACTGATCGAATGTTTGAACGACCGCAATAAGTGGCTTCAACCCAGGAGAAGGTGCGTCCAGCATCCATCTCGAGCGAAGGTACGTGTGGGCGGAAAAGCATCAAAGGAAAACCTTTCACTTACATTGATCATCACAGTCTTCTGATTCATGTTTCGGAGGGTCAACGTGGCATTGACTGCACACCAGTCGAATTCGACCGACGAGCCGATTCTGTAGACACCAGATCCGAGGATGATGGTACCGTGGTCTTCAAAGGTGACATCGTGGGAGGAGGCATTGTAGGTTGTATACAGGTAATTGGTGTCAGCGGGGAACTCGGCAGCAAGTGTATCGATCTTCTTAACCCACGGTCGGATGCCAAACTTTTGTCGACGGGCTCGGACCTCATTTTCTGTCGAATTCGTGTACATGGCAATCTGCTTGTCGGAAAACCCTTGCTTTTTGGCTTTCAACAAGAGTTCGTGTTTGATGCCGGATACAGAACCAATTTCTTGAATCTCTGTCATGGTGTCCTTGAGGTTTTGCAATTTGTAGAGGAACCATTTGTCGATCTTGGTCAACTCATGAATCTTCTCCACCGAGTAGTTCTCGTGAATCAAGGCTTGTCCAACAGCCAGCCATCGTCGATCGGTCGGATTGCGAAGAGTATCGTCCAGATCCTCAAACTTGTCGCCCTGGAAACCCACATATCTTGGGTCGACCTGGCGGATCGCCTTCTGGAATGATTCCTCGAAAGTACGTCCTATAGCCATGACTTCTCCCACAGACTTCATAGCACTGCCAATATGACGGTCTACGTGTTGGAACTTCGACAAATCCCATCGAGGGATCTTGACCACGATATAATCCAGACTCGGTTCGAAATTAGCCGTCGTTGTCTTGGTCACAGCATTTGGAAGTTCCGGAAGAGTATGGCCGAGACCGATTTTCGCGGCGGTGTAAGCCAGAGGATAGCCGGTGGCTTTGGATGCCAGAGCAGACGACCGAGACAGCCGGGCATTGACCTCAATGACGCGGTAGTCGAGGCCATCTGGCTGTAGAGCGTATTGTACATTGCATTCACCCACAACTCCAAGATGTCGGACGATCTTAATAGCCGCTGTCCGGAGCATGTGGTATTCTTCATCACTTAATGTCTGGCTAGGTGCCACAACGATACTGTCTCCCGTGTGAATTCCAAGGGGATCGAAGTTTTCCATGTTGCAAACGGTGATGCAGTTGTCTTCAGCGTCACGGACGACTTCGTACTCGACCTCTTTCCAACCCTTCAAGGACTTTTCGACCAAGATCTGAGGAGACAATGAGAGAGACCGGGATGCCAGGTTGTTCAACTCTTCACGATTTGCAGCGAAGCCGGAGCCCAGACCGCCCAAAGCATACGCCGATCGGACGATGATAGGATAACCCACTTGTTCAGCAGCTTCAAGTGCTTCGTCGACAGTGCTCACGGCGATCGAATGTGCAATGGGGATGTTAATCTCATGGAGCGCCTTGGCGAACAGGTCTCTGTCTTCGCTTGTTTCGAGTGTCTTGATGCTGGTGCCCAGGACCTTGACGCCATATCGGTCAAATATGCCCATCCTATTCATCTTTACGCCCAAGTTCAGACCGGTCTGACCACCGAATGTGAGGAGGATGCCGTCAGGCTTCTCTCTTTCTATCACGTACGTGACATATTCGGGGGTGACGGGGAGGTAGTAGACCTCGTCCGCGAGCTTGTGGTCGGTCTGGATCGTCGCAATGTTGGGGTTGATGAGGACAGAGGTCACGCCGGCCTCCTTTAGCGCTTTCAGGGCCTGAGATCCTGTTGCATGCATCAGTCAACGCTCGTAGGAATAGCTCCCTGGCATTTCAAAAGTGGACTTGTGAACTGCAACGCTTGGAGTCAGGTTGAGACGAAATGTGTAACTCACCAGAGTAGTCGAATTCTCCAGCCTGGCCGATGCTCAAGCCACCACTGCCGATGACTAGGACCTTTTTGACATCGACAAGATTCTTTCCAGGCTCAATCACGCCGCTTTCCAGGTAGGCCTCGGGACGAGGAGGAGTTTGCACGGCAGCACTCCGCTTAGAAGATCTGGTGAACTTCCTGACCTGTTGCCATGAGGGGGCTCTATGGCTCAACAGATGTTGCCTAGTGACAGGTGCTGCGATGCGAGTAGAGAAGGTTCGCGGGGAGGGACGTGTCTTCGGAGTGCAGTCTCGCAGCAAGATCCCGCTGGCCTGGCGGAGAGCTCGAGCGGAGGCAGCCATTGAAGCAAGATGCCAGCTGGTGTCGCTGGGGGAACAACAAAAGTCCAACTGAGCTCATGCGCACGAGTAGACTCAGTGAGAGTAGAAGACTTTGAGATCAGAGTCACCGACGAAAAAGACGGGCCAAAAATTGTGACTGATGAGCACGGCAGCCAATGGATAAGCCCCGGCGAATCGCAGATAGTCGATGGAGCTCAGACGTCAAGTCGGCGTCGAGGATGGGTTTTGGCTCAGAGCCTTTTTGTCTTCAAAATCTTGATACTGGGCCCGATCTATGCGCTTCAATGGAGATGGAGCATTTTCTACTACCGGGAGTTGTTGGTAGAGACGAGCAGCATTGAAAAGCAGTCGACGCCGATGGCTCTTGGTACGGAGGGCTACGTAGTAGTACAGAGCATCTCTTTACTTTACTTCAACGTGCCTCGTGCTCTGGAAAAATTTCTGCGGGTGGCCATGCATGAGGAGCATCTCTTTCCTTTTTCCCTCCTTTGCAGCCCTGGACATATTGATGCAATCGGGTGCGAAAATTTTGTCTGGGGAGAGGCCGGCAGAAAAGATGCGGCGGCGCGGAGCTACGGACTGCTTGGGCGATGATTTGCCTGAAGAGCTGCAAGCTGGCCTTAGAGCCCCGCTGCAGGCTTCGAGCTGCTCAACTCCACTCAGTCACCGCCTCGTCTCCCTCCGCACGCGCCCAATAGAGCGGTGGCATTCTCACTGAGTTCGACCCCTGCCCTGGTTCGTCACCCTTCTACGGTGTACACATACGAAGAGCCCAGGCTGGCAATTACTAGTAGGGGCCACCCCGGCGGCCGGGAACAATGTGGCGGGAGGGACGTATCAGCATAGCGCATCTTTCTAGTTTTGCAATCATCGTCCCCTAGGGGGTCGGATTCTTTCTGACCATTCCTCCATGACCCAAGTATCATTTTCTACCAGGATAGGATTGATGTCTAAGCGGCACCTCCAAGACCACACTCAGTCGTTGAGTTTGGTGTAGTTCGCCGGGAACAGTCCTGTCTTTCCTTGGTATTCGCCATGCCACCAGTCTTCGTCGGGAAATGTCTGGGCAAGTTGCGGTTAGCAAGAGACATCGGCACTCTCCACACAGAACAGCCACTTACGACATTGAGGATGATAGCGTTTTCTGGGAATGACAACTCATTATCTTCTCCAGCTTCGTAATCGTAGAGTGCCGTGGCTGTGACCCCCTGCGAGGGTGGAGAGGTAGGGGCAGGGGTAGGTAGACTGGGTTCGGCCGCGGGCACGTGGCCACCGTCGTTGTCATCGTCCAAGATGCTGAGATAGTTGCTGGGTACGAGTCCGCTCTGAAGAGCCATCAGTCCTCCACAATTGGTCTATGAGGTATTCTTCGCAAACAACTTACCAGTCCAGCCTCGTTCGTGACAATCCACCAATCTGGATCAACCCGCTGGATGTTGGTAACGATTTCCCCTAAAAAGCGGATTAGTACTCCTTGTACCCAGAAGCGGGAGTTGTCAGTACCTTCATGAAGCGACACTTCGTTGTCCTCCGCCGCTTCATAGTCGTATTCTGCTCGTGCTCGTTCACCACCATCCGCAGGAGCCGCTGATGGGGCGGCGTCCACCGCCTCCTGCCCCAGACTGCTTGCTGCGGCTGCCTGCGCAGCGGCGCGTCCGGCATCGGGGCCGCTCTCAGGCTCGTCATCTCCCGCCGTTGGACTGGGGAAACCTCGCGCTAGAGATGTAGCGGGCAGTGCCGGTGGCGGTGAAAATTGCTCCTCGTGAGCATCCGTTACATCTGCCGAAGCGCTGACTGGAATAGCCAGGCGGATGGGAGAACCGGATCGCTCTTCCGGAGTTGGCGGTGTAGGACTTCTCGGCTGAGGAGGCGGCGTGGGCAGTGCATGGGCCTTTTCTTCCTCGGGCTCAGGGCGCGAGACCGGGAGACCCGGGATTGGCACGCCACGGTTGGGTTTGTTGCTCGTGTCCGGCTCTGGAGCAGGCGGCGGAGCTCGGTCAAAGGTCGCAGGAGCCCCCATCGGCGGAGCGCCACTGAAACGATCACGTATCGAACTGATACCTCCAACCGGCGAAGTAGGAGCAGCCTCCTCTTCCCCTCCGGATTTGGTGCCCTCGCCGGTCGCCTGTTGGCCAATGCTACTTCGCCCAGTATGTGTGATCTGCACCGGTGCCCAAGACTTACCAGTATAGCCGCTCTTCCACTCACCACCACCACTCTTTTGTGTTGTTATAGGAGACTGTCCGGTATGACCGCTTGGAGACACTGGTTGTTCACCAGATCCACTCAACCCTCTCTCTCTGGCCTTCTTCTCGGCCCACAGTTGTGCGGGTGTTTTGCCTCCTTGGTCGGCAAACGTCCTGCTCGCAGTGCCAATAGGAGCGGCAGGAGTGACGGGCTTTGTTTCAAACCCTCCAGGGAGCGGGGCCTTTGTCCCAGTGAATGACGAGCTGCCGCCAAATTTGTTGGCAATCTTAGGCTTAGGCAAAGAGGTGAGACGCTCCGGGCCGTGAGAAAAGGCAGCGGAGCGTTCTGCTAATGGCCGGGCGGGGAGTTCGCTCTCTTCGGATGGGCCAGTCGATGGGCGTGAGATTGTAGCTGGTCGTGAGAAGCCGGAGTCATCAGGTTTCTGTGCTCTGGCCCGAATGGCTGCAATGTCAACCTTGCCAACAGGTTCGTAGGAACCTTTGACAGGTTCTGGTCTTTCATCTCGCCCTGGCCCCGACTCCCTGGCCTGGCGTCGAATAGCAGCAATGTCAACTTTGCCAACGGGTTGGTAAGCACCCTTGACTATATCAGGCCGATCCGCCGTCTGACTGTTGTCGAAAGCAGATGGGGCTGGCTTCGCCGATGTAAGATCCCTCATACTGACCTTGGTAGGCTGATAGGCCGGCTGTACTTTTTCTAATTGTGTTCGAGTCACTTGAGGAGCGTCCGCACCCCAACCATCCTCGTCCACATCGGCTTTCTTTGGTAGAACATTGCGAGGTTGAGGATTGTATCCGCCTGCGACTCCCGTACTTTGTGTAGGGCTAAACACGGGCTTGGACACGACAGTCGGTTTGGTCGCAGCCGCAACCGGAGGTGGTGCGGCACTGCTTGAGGAATACTTGGAGCCTGACGCATCGGCAACTTTCTGGATAATTGCCTCCGGGGTAAGGTCCTGGTCGGATCTGGCAGTAATTTGTACATGATAGCCGTGAAGCAGTTTAGCCACCGTCGTCATGTGGCTTGTAAAGTATCCCTTTGTTCGCTCCGGAACCCCTTCACCGCACCAGGCAATCAGAGCATTTTTTGGCAGTCCCGTGTTGGAGTCCTTGACTTTGACGAACGCGAATTGGATCCTGCCATCAGAGAACTCATCCACTAAATCCAAAAGCTCTCCTTCTCCTGTGCTCTGCACTTTGAGCACGCTCTCCTTGCTTCCCGAATCTTGTTGGAATGCATTGGCTAGAGGAGCGGACACAGAGTAGACGACCCATTGACCGTAGGTGGGCGACGCTGCGGGAGGACCGGAGGGGGGTGGAGCGGTGACAATTGACTGGTAGCTTTTGGAGATAGAAGGCCCGTTGACCGAAGTATTGAGGGAAGCCATAAAGGGCTCTTTGAAAAGTATAAGAACAGGTCAAGTAGGGTGGTTGCCTGCCTGGTTTGACCAGCAGGAGGTCTATCTGACAATGCCTTCGCCGGAGTGACGGTAATGAGCGTGATCTGTGAGAAAATGGGCACAGAACAGACGATAATTATCTCGCAGATAGCTTTTGGTTCTGGTGACTCTGGTGGTCGTGGAGGATACAGAGGCAGCTTACCTGCCTGAATCGCCGGCCAACTTATGTTGCTATGGAGCATTGGACCAGTAAGCGGGGGGGCGCAGGCCGAATGATGGCGCCAAGATGAGTTCCGCTTTGAGCCTTGGGGTCTGCGAGCAACAAATCCTGTCAGACAAAGGTCATACTAATATGACTTTTAATCTACAAGGCTATTTTATCGGCCAAATGATGTGCCTGACTTCGTTGTCAGACGAAATATACTTTTGTCAAGCACCTCGCTGGCAGCCTGCAGTTGCGCACCCAGTGATCATGAATCTGAATCTCCTACGTTACCCAGCACTTGCAACTGCGCACATTTGATCTGCTGCTGAACACCACGGTCTCTTTCTCATCGTCCCACGCCTTAGCGTATGCTCTTGCCTTTGTGGTGAATCTTTACGCCAACAGAGAGCGGTTCAACGAACTGCACCAGCGGCCCCCGCACCTTCTGAGGTTAATCTGATTCGACGTGGTCTCCAGGATATTCTAAAGCTTCAGTTGGGATTGAAGCATTGCATCGAGACCTAAGTCTCAGCTCCCGATGATACTTTCCTCCTAGCCACCTATCCCTCCTTGCGCGATTTCGCTACGATCCCGAGACCGCTTTCGAAGTCCAAGATCCTACACCCTTGTCAAGTTAACGTCCATTGTCCCTTCCTCCCGTTTACGGTCGGAAACATTGCTCGCAATGTTTTTGGTTCTCTCTCTATCAGATCCAAACTTGGTAGAACACTGGGATATCAGCTTTGAGCGCTGATATTCCGTTGCTCTACGTTGCCTTTCATATTCTGTTCTTTCTTTCACACTTCTTGCATGAATTGTACCTCCATGCTCAATGGATCCCCCCACTGAACAGACATATGGGAGCATGAAAATTCTGGGCAAGAGGACGTGGTCCTCGGAATTTCCAGCACAATCTCAAGACGATCTCGATCATGCAGCCTCGGCAACTGGGCGTCCGCAGACCACTGCGCATCTTGAGGGTTTCGACCCAAAAAGACCAAGGCGCTCAACTATGGCACCAAGCCACATCCGCGTCGCCCAGCCAGAAGCCACTTCTTTGCGCGACAAGTCGAGGCTGGGGGATTTGTCGATTGAAATCTTACAGCACATTTTCACTTTCGTGGACCCCATCTCCTTGGGGCGCTTGATCCGTGTCAACCGCTCCTTCCGCTCGCTCATTGACCCTGCAGTATCATTACCGCAGGCATCCGGCCAGGTTAAGCACTTAACCATTCGGAGCCAGGACTTGATATGGACCATATCACGGAAGACCTTTATCCAAGGATTTCCAAAACCAATGAATGCGATGAATGAAATAGAGATGTGGAGGCTCGCGCTTGGGCGACGCTGCCAATACTGCAATCGGAAGGCCAGGCAAGGAGAACCATCTCTTCCAAGACTGTCGCCCTGGAATGCCGGTCCGGGAATGGAAAACGTTCGCACAATATGGCCGTTTCGCGTTAGGTGTTGTGGTAAGTGTCTAGAGCCGCGATTGATCAAGGTGAGTTCGTTTCATGGGCCTCTGTGCGACTATTGGTTGACTCCTAGTAGGAGACTGATCTGCTTATCTCGGGCTCGTCTGCGCTACTGCCAGGCCTGCCTTTTGCAATCTTCACACCTTCCCTGGATTATGTGCCATCCTTAACTTTGCGACAGATGTCTCCTCCTTCTGGCCTCCAACTCACCAAGTTTTACTTCAAGCCTCAACTAGAAGAACTTCAACGCAGGCGAGATAGTACTCGAGCATTTGGAATCGCCGCCTTAGAAGAATGGTACAAAGGTCTTGAGGACTCAGGCCAACAGCACAATGCCAGTGCGACTCGATTCGACCAGTGGGAGCTCCAGGGACCCTTGTGGAAGACCTTTCCACACGAGCCAAAAAATACCTCCGACAACGCCTTCTTCTCTCCTGGAATAAATACGAACCAAGTAGAAAGGGTGTTGCCACCTCAATTTACCCAGCAAGATGATCTTCCAATCCTCTCACTTGACGACAACTCTCCTGGTTCGCTCAATATGGGTTCCGTTCGATATGGTAAGTAATTGAGATTTTCTTCCGGCAAGCCTCTTTCCTCAGTAGCATGCATTGGGCCCCTCAGGACTAATAATAACCCACGGTAGGTTCGCCAACGGCACATCTGCAGCCGACGAAAGGGGCAACATACACAGTTCCACATGGCACTGGCCAGATATCAGCGAGTGTGGAAAAATCCACTGGGTCGATTTCAGTACAGCCTTTTCCACGGCATAGAGTCGAACGAAGTCTGAAAGAAGTAGAGCAGACTAAATCTGACCGTCGGAAAGAGATAGAGCGTCGCTGTCTGGACCTTGACCCTCCAATCAAGCCCTCAACCCTTGTTTTTATGGAAGCATTCAAGGCGGCAATCTTAATCTCTCAACCCTTCAACGACAGAGCATGGGAAACTCTTAGGCCGCGTCTTCTAGCGCAGCGTTCTGAGGCCGAACAAAAAGAGAGGCTGCATAATGCTTCATTGAGTAACCCCACGATGCCGATCGAAGGACGTCAGCTGCTTGAAGAAGAGCAGCGTGTGGCTCAGGAAAATATCAGCCGCATGTGGCTCGAATTGAAAGTCCCTAGCCGGGACAAGATCCAGAAATATGCTCAAGAGTTTATCCATCAGACGTGGTCGGATGGTCGTGGCGTAACCAAGGCGACTGCCAGTAAATTTGCTGCAGAGGTTCTTTGCCACGTTCGGCAGCGATTTGATGAGGTGATCGCCCAGGAAGACAGAATGCTTGCGCTGAAGGGAACTGCCTTCCCGCAAGATGCCGATTCTCAAGCTTGCAGAAAGTTGAAGCTGGAAGACATGAAATGGGCATTTGAAGAGTATGTCAAACCATATACTGAGAGATTTGGGAAGGATCTTTTTCTTTGCAGAGTTTGCGACACGAACCAAAAATTGTTCTCATTCGAAGCTGTCATCCAGCACTATGCCGCAAAACACACGAGCGCTCTGAGCCATGGCAACGCTGTTGTGTATTGGAAAGCCCCTTGGCCTATCGACCCACCTTTCGACCCATCTCCGAACATTCCGTGGGTTCACGAGGGACTTCACTACAGCGGACAACCCATCTCTACATCACAACCTCCTGTCAAACCCGGATATGTATCCACTGGTGGATATCAGACGCAGGTCGCAGAAATCGCAGCCCTTGCACTCGCGTCCTGGGACAGACTCGATGGGATCTGGGACCTTACAGATCCCGTTCGGCTTTATGTCGTGATACAACATATCAACCTGAGGTGCTTGAAGGAATTCAATGACGAGCTCAGTCTCCCTCTATTTACAGACATGGTTTTGCAACGACCGGAATTGCAATCGATACGAGATCTTTTAGGACTGCGATGCAAAATTTGCTCAGAACTTAGCAGAACCGCACCTGCGCAGTTGAATGGACGGCATGGAAGCTGGTATTCCTTACCAGAGCTGTTGACTCACTTCCTGCGAGATCACCTTCACTCTGATGGAGTCAGAATGGAAACCGGCGCCACGCCATTCTCTTCCTGGGCACCCGCAAACGCAGACTGGACGCGAGATATGTTGTGGCTACCAAGTCCGGCCGCCATTCAGGCCTTATTGCATTCTCCAGGCATTGACCGCGACAAACTACAACTTATTGCAGAAGCATTCCCGACTTATTTCCCCTACCCTCTGCCGTATGTTGGGCCATCGCCACCAATCCGGAGCCACGATGAAGCCCAAAATTCGAGGAGCAAAAACGCACACTATTACGACCGTAAGAAGGGATTTACTGGCCAAAGCAGTGTTCGTGGCAGTGGCGATGGGTCGTACATTGCCACTTCTGAAGGGTCTGGTATTACCGCAGAAGATGAATACGATCCTCATCGCCCAGCACCCACATTTAAGCGACCATATCCTCAAGAGTCTCGATATATGATGCACTCGCCTCCCAGAAACCGTGGCAGGTATGGAGATTTGCCCTCCTACCCTGCAAGGTCCCCAGTATACCCGGAGTACTATTTTCGAGATGCTGATTATAGTCCTGTCTGGGACCTACACAGCCGGGAGGGGCCATTGTCCGGGGCTTCGATGGTCTATTCACACGAGGATGGGTCGTCAAGATTCTCATACTTGGAGCCATTGAACAGGAATAGCGAGACAACTGTGGAAGGCACTTCTGAAGCCATCCCTGGAAGCAAAGCAGCAAGCCGACAGTCTCTACCACTAGCTGTTGACACAGAAACGCCTGCAGTCTCTCGGGGGACTGAGGGTCAGCGCAGCAGGCAACATGAGCTCGTATCAAATGCAGCTGCAGATTTCCTCAACAATTTCGATCCAACATGTGAAGAGAACGCACCGGGATCTGATGTAGACTTGGGTGCCTTGCATGTCCGCCACACTGAGCAGAACCATTCAGACCCAACTCAGCCCAGGCCCACAGCTAGACGGTCCCAGGAAAATCAACCTGCTTCTCGGCCCAGCACCCGACTCGGCGACAATCATCCTCCGGTAATCCGGAGACACACACCTTCTCTGCCGATTCGACAGAGTGCCCGGCCCGACCTGACGAGTGACTACCAGAGGTTCCGTGACCCCAGTTCTACCTTCTTGGAAGAAGATCGATCTGGAACTTCCCGAGTTTTGGTGGCTGAGCATGAATATATGGTAGGTCTACCAGAAGGATCGCATAGAGTGCAAATGCAAGGCACCAGCGCTGCACTGCACGATAGGGTGGTTGCATGTGCAGGTACTCAGTACGAAACCCGATACTATACCGAGGATGATTATTTCAACCGAAGCGGCAGAAGGTACGAGTTGATAGACACCCTTCCAGCAGAAGCATCCATGCGCCCGTTCGAGAGCGGGCCACCCCGATATATAGACAGCCACCTCTCAAATGGGCCAGGCTATGACGACAGTCACAGGCGACACCGACATGGAGGTGACAGCCACGAAGCCTTTCCCTCCGCAGCTCCACAAAGCTACCCGCATACTGGAGAGGAGTTTGGTGCTCAAAGCTATCCAGAAAGACATATCGAGCATTCCAGGTACGAGGATCGATATGCCAGCGGAGATCGTTTTGCACCCAGACAACGGGTTTGGAGGGTGGCAGAGGACAATCGGGAACTAATCTACGAGCCTCTCGACCAACCTACGCGATACACTCCTCGATGAGTCCCGGCCGGGGGAACGAGTGCGAAAGGCCACGAGTCTTCACACACTAAGCGCATTCATGATTAAATTTATGGGTCTGGCAATCTCTGGGAGGTCTTGTGCTATTCGCAATGTTTGTCTGTTCGCGTTACGAGATGATACCCCTTCATGTTCAGTGTAGCAGCACTATGCAAGCGTAGTTCCTGATCTGTGTATCAACATTCTTCAGCTCTAACAACTTTATGAGGCGATCTGTACGCATGATGTCGTCGCCTTGCCCAGGCAGCAGGCCCTGTAGCAGTTTTCTAGTACGCGATAAAGCGGGAAATGATGACAAGGGCAGTGGTTCTCTGCGTTGGCAAGAGACGCGGCGTCGGGATGCTAGCACCGGGGGGTGAGAGTCAGTTCCAGCACAACCGAGCTGCAACATACGTACGCATGCAGTAATATGCGTTCCTGCCCAACGTGAGGCGCGGGAACCCACCACACTGGCCTCTTGCTAAATTTTGCAGTGGCATTGTAGCAAGGGAACGGAGATGGGGTTGCTCCGTAGTTTTCGCACGCCGGGATAGCAGGTGTCGGAACATGGTTAAGAGATGGCAATCAGACGGATCTCTCATCCTGAACCCCCATTGTACGACTCGGCGACTCAGACGGCGACGGGAGTGGTGCAACGAAGATATTTCGGGGGGATTGGCACCCGTGAAGCCCATTACCGGCAGACGTTTATGCACGAAGGAGCAGAAGCAATTTTCTACCGTGGCCGAGCCACGACCCAGCGGCCCAATACCAGAGCACGACTCAATCGTGCGGCAGGTCGATGCTTGCCGACATATAAGAAATGCGTCATGGGCTTTTCATGTGACACGGCAGCTCTCGCTGCTGATTGGAGATGGTGCCACGACAGGGAAATGAAGTAGACCAGAAATATCCGTACACCCAAATCCAACGCGCTTCACAAGATTCCCGCGCAAGGATCAACGAGAACAAGTTTGGTTCATGGCGGAGGTCCGAGAATGCAAAGCGTTCAACTTTCCTTGCCGTTCGGCCGGCGAAGGGCTAGGGCGGACACGTGCAGGAAAAAGCGGTCGCTTCACCGCGATATTAGGCTGGTCAAGCGTTATTGCTAAGGCAGGGCTTGGGGGTTCGTAACTCGTATGTGGGCTGTGATGCTTCACGGAATCGAGGGCCCGGAGCAGGCTGGGCTTTCGAATGCATGGGTCACCGCAATCCGAGTGTAGATGAGGTGTCAGTGACGGACAGCAAGGCACCGCAAGGAGAGTGTGATGGCCGCGAAGGTGGTGGTGATGGTGGTGGTGGCGCTGTCAACATTGTTAGAAGCGTGAGAACCATGATGATGATTTTGGCGTGATATCTAAGGTTCTGCAAGGCGAGGCCAGGTTGTTCCCCCTGCTCTGCTCGAGGGAAGCGTACCAGAGGAGCGGATCAGATGGGGCTGGTGGCTTGCAGCTGAGGAGACGGTGAGGCAGAACCTACTATTAGTACTAGCAGCAGTCGATACAGTCAGAGGTCCTGCAGAAGACAGAGAGAAAAGGTCTGCTGGGGGGAGAATGAAGCCATCAATCGGAGGATGTACGGTCTGAAGGTACAGTCTGCACATACTCTGGGGTCGTGTGGCTAGAGTGGCCGAAAAGGGCGCAGGCAGCAGCAATATTGTTGTGGTGCGTACGCCGTAGTGCGCGCTCGAGCTCGGACGCGGTCTGTGCAAACAACCTCTGAGCCTGAGCCTGCGCCTGCGCCTGAGCCTCCTCTTCCACCCGCCCACTGCGCTCGCCGCCCAACCGTCGCACACCCTCTTCACTTTTCCGCCTTCATCCTCTCGCCGTCCCTCTGTCTGCGCTGGCATCTGCATCTCCATCGCATCTGACAACGCTCCGCTCCCATTAGCCCGCCAAGTACCTGGGTAGTCGCTGCACCATTGACTGGACTCGTCCTTCGAAGGTGTCTCGTCTGCCTTAGTGAGCACTCGCCCATCATTCCAACTACAGAGTGCAGACCCAGCCACCAACAAACAGGCTGCGTCCCTCCACCCAATCGTCGCTCCCTCTAATCGCGAAAGACCACAACGTCTTATTCGCGACAGCTTCCCACCTCCGCCTTATAGTGCGCTTGTACTGGTACGTATGTGGTGCCGTCTGTTGACAAGCCTTAGATCCTTCTGCTAGATCTCCCTAGTCCTGTCCTGCCCAATGGCTAGAGATGCGCAACTGACCACACCTGTACCCAGGTCCGATCCAAGCATACCGTACGGCATACGCATACGGATACAACATCTGCAGCTGTCCGTTCCGGCCCTCGTCAACTAGCATAGCATCGCATCGCGCAGCGCAGCGCAGCCCATCGCAACCAGCTTACCGACCCGTCCTGTTGGCTGCTGTGCCTCCCCGTCTTCCAATTTAGCCACTCCTCGCTGTTGCTCACCCGTCCTCTGCCACCAATTCGTCGTTCCGTCGCCTCACATCCCCGCTGCGTCCATTCGACGCAGCCTCTGCCCCAGCCGGTCGGCAGTCCAGTAACCCACCCTCAAAGCTTGCCGCGAGGGAATCATTTTGGGCACGAACGAAGCAAGAGGAGGCGATCGTCTGACCAAGTGCGTCGCCAGTGACGCAGGCCAGCATTAGGCATTCTGCGTCGGTGCCGCCTCAAGGTGTGACGTGGTCACTGCGAGCCAAACATTTCTCGCCCTGCAATCCGGCCGCTGCGGCTACCCTCGAACTACATCATGTCGACCTCCCCACCCAAAGACCCCGATGTCGAACAAAGTGCACAGTCTGGCGAAGAGCAGGATCATATGGATCGCGAGCAAGAAGGAGCACAAGGCATCGGCGCCGGTGAATTCGAAGTCAAGGAGCAAGACCGATGGCTTCCCATTGCGAATGGTTGGTTTTGTCCCTCTCTTTCTCTTGCTCCATGGTACTACCATCGCACCCTTTCAATGGCATCCTGTCGGCGCCGAGGATTTGATTTGTTCGACCCTTGCGTTACAGCCACGCGTCTTTGCGCGCGCCAGGAACGCTACCCTCTGCTCTGTACGAATCCGAATGTGTGACGCTGCGTCTGCTCTTTAGCCAGCATCATCTCATTCGTCGTCGCTTCTCTCCTCCGACCATGATTTGCATCGCAGCTCTGCCTTGCGCTGACTGGTGCGGTATCTGGACCACTCAGAGGACACTGCCCAAAGCTTCCCCTTCGACGATACAATACCCCCATTATGTCTTCAGGTCATCATTCCAAACATTCTTCGTCGTCGCGCCACCATGGAGCGCGACTGTCATCGTCCTCGTCTTCAGCGATGTCCGATGCTAACATCCGTAATTTTGCGCCAGTTGCCCGGATCATGAAGACGGCCTTGCCCGAAAATGCGAAAATCGCCAAAGAAGCCAAAGAATGTATGCAGGAGTGCGTGAGCGAGTTCATCTCGTTCATTACCAGCGAAGGTATGGTTGGAGGAATTTCTTTGGGGCGTTCCTTTGGCTAACGTTGCACAGCGTCCGAGAAATGTCAACAGGAGAAGCGCAAGACGGTCAACGGAGAAGACATTCTCTTTGCTATGACTTCGCTTGGATTCGAGAACTATGCCGAAGCACTCAAAATCTACTTGTCCAAATACCGCGAAGTAAGTTTTTGTGTCCTCCCTACTCTTTCTCCCCCCTTTTCCTTTGTCAGCTTGACAGGGATCTCATTCTGAACATTTGAACTGATTGGGATGAGACCCAATCCACAAGGGGCGAGAACCAGAACAGACCTCCCAGCAGCGGGTATGGCGGCCCGGTTGGGGGGCCCAGTGTCCACGGCAATCCCACGACAGGCGGCGCCCCGACCTACGCCCAATCCGAGAGTGCCGACTTACTGAACCAAACAGCTCAGGGGATAAACGCGCCGAGCCACGACAACGCCTACGGCTACAGCGACACCGTCCCCTCCGGCCACAATGGCATCTCCAACGACGCCTTTTAATCGCAAAGATATTGTGCGGGAGAGTCAAGGCAGCCACTGGGCAACAAGTCACCAAAGTCCTTTGTCTGCCAATTCCTCGAGCACGACCGCCAAGGTCGTGAAAAGCCGGGCGGAGTGGTGAGTATGGGGGGGATGGGGTGGGCGCGAGCAGGAGTGGGAGTACTGAACTCAGAAACTGTACATGAACTGGGGAGGAGATGTTTGATACCGGCAGACAGTGCAAGAAAAGAGGCCTCAAAGGCTTGTCTCAGGATGGCAAGAGAGTGCTGTGCATCCAGCACGAGGGAAAGATCTGAACACAGAGGTAGTCAATGAGGGAAGCGAGACCTGGAGGCAATGAGAAACAGGTACGGAGTAGTACGGGGTGCGAGAACTGCATAATGTTTGATGAAGTAGTATAAATCAACAGCAGGTCTATTAAGACCAGGATGATCGACCACTATCGAGAACACTGGTTGTCCAGCCTTGCCGTCTCGATGGCCTGCCACGCCCTGTCTTTTGAAGCATGTAGTTCTGTTGGAGGCATGATCACTCACAAGGCGCGGTCACGTGGCCATCCGATTTTGCCGGCGGGAAGCGTAGTTTTCCTTCATCCCCCTTGTCAAAATTGTCCACCACTATCCTCATCGCTTTTGGTTCCCATTTACCTAATATTATATAAGACCCCGGGTGCCGGTGTCCCTCTGAGATCATCTCGCTGTCAGTCCTTTCAGATCAAGCGTCACAAGACCACCTCGCTTCTGGGGTGTATCACCGGGACCTTCCCCCTTCGCTCTCCACGGTTGTCTGTCACTCCTTACAGATACCTCCGAGTCCACGAAGTGTCGCTAAATAGAGAACCACACGCAACACCGCAAAAGAAAGGAAATGGCTCCTAACACTGAAGTTGAGGCTGTCACCGACACCTCTTCAGTAGTGGTTGGCGACCCGGTGCTAGCCAATGGCCCAACTCGCCCGGTCTTCACCCTGGATGATGTATTGCCACACCGCGAAAAGTCCAAACCCCCTCCCTCGACGGTGGCAGCGTTTTCGAATGCTACCATGTTCAAAAGCGAAGGATGCTTAAACAAGCCAAAGTCCCAGAGCTTCGAGCATCGTCTGTCGTCGGAAAGCAAGTCAAGGAACCCGTCTTCATTGAAGAATGCCATGAAATACTTCCGTCCTGAGACGATTAGTCTTTGTGGAGGATTACCTTCCAGGTGAGTCTTCCGAGTGTGGTCCGTTAATATGCCCTCATCTCATGTCTTGAAGCGACTACTTCCCTTTCGAAGAGCTCAGCGCAACGCTTCCCGTACCGCCTCAATTTTCCGAAGCGGAAGCTCTTGCCTCGGGGCGGACCTTTTCCAGTGGCAAGCATGATGTTCGAGAAGGCAAGTCAGTGTTCGACCTGTCTATTGCTCTCAACTATGGTCAATCGATGGGGCCTGGCGCACTACTTCGGTTTATCACCGAGCACACCGAGATTGTCCACAACCCACCCTATTCCGACTGGGAGATCTGCATGACCGCTGGTAGCACGTCTGCACTCGAAATCGCACTCCGAATGTTGACCGAGCGCGGGCATTATGTCCTGACTGAAGAGTACACCTTCAGCTCAGCCATTGAGACTGTAGCTCCAATGGGATGTAAAATGCTCGGGGTCAAAATAGACGCCGATGGGATGCTACCAGATGACTTGGACCATATCCTTTCCACCTGGGATGAATCCGCACGACGGGCACCAAAACCCTTTCTGGTCTACACTGTGCCGACCGGGCAAAACCCCACGGCCAGCACACAGTCACTTGCGCGGAGGAAGCAGATATACGCAGTCGCTGAGAAGCACGACCTGTTTATCCTCGAAGATGAACCATACTACTTCCTACAAATGGAGCCTTTCATCTCGGGCGCAACACACTCGGTGCCGGTGCCGTTTAAACCGGTCCCGGTCGCCGACTTCCTCGCCAACCTTGTTCCGTCATACCTCTCGCTCGACAAGTCGGGCCGTGTCCTTCGACTTGACTCTTTTTCCAAGATTGTTGCGCCCGGGAGCAGGTGTGGCTGGGTGACAGGACAGCCGCAGATAATTGAGCGCTTTATCCGACACAGCGAAGTGAGTGTGCAAACCCCGGCCGGCTTTGCCACGACTGCGCTCTACAATCTGTTGGAGCAGAATTGGGGCCACAAGGGCTTCCTGGAATGGCTCATGTACATCCGCGCCGAATACACCCGAAGACGCGACATCATCGTCAACGCATGCGAGGCTTATCTCCCGACCGAAGTTGCCAGCTGGGTGCCGCCCAAGGCGGGAATGTTCCATTGGATCCACGTCGACATCACACAGCATCCGTTGTACAAATCGAAGTCTCGGGATGGCAACATTGACTATGCAACCCTGCTGGAGATTGAAGACTCCGTCTTCCTCGCGGGCGTGGAACAGAACGTATTGATTGCCAAAGGATCCTGGTTTCGGGCGCAGAGAGGCAGCGACAAAGAGTTGTTCTTCAGAACCACGTTCGCCGCTGCACCGGCGGATAAAATCGTTGAGGCGATTCGCAAGGTGGGCACAGCGATCAGGAAGGAATTTGGCTTGGAAGAAAAGCAGAACGGGCACGCGAGGTGATGGAGTTGCAAGAGTGTCTACCATGCGAGAAACCCAGCATGAGCGTTGAGACCTCCTTTCCGCAGGTCCTGAAACCGTAGTGCCAGGTGGGGTGCGAGTTCGGCCATCTCGAGCGGTCACAACAACGCTTCAATGCAACGGCGGTGGACTTCATGGGACATTCGTTGGTCCAGAGACATCTGGGTCGACAGAGTGCGAGCAAGATTGTCATTGCGTCTTTCGGCTAGAATGGACGGAGACAAGCGCACCTTTACCGGGACACGCCAGAACTTGGAGGGTCTTGAGAACAACCTGGCGGTGTTGGAGTGTCAGGATCGATAGTGTCACTTGTTGGGCGACCCAAACTGGACACGTACCGTGCTCGCGACCTTTGGTATGTTGTACGCACCGCGAACAGGACAGGACAGGAAACTGTTTTGCATGAAAGAGGGAGGCGCAGAGACAGACTGCCTGGATAGTTAGTTTCGCTGGACGGAGGTTGTTGTTGGAGATTAGGGAGGCGGGAGTATGCGTCTAGCCACGCCGCATTACAGAGGGCTGATAGAATGATAGTGCAATACCACAGCGTCGGCGTCGGCGACCAAGAACGACGACATGTTTCCCGCTGGTGTGCTGCTGTACCCTAGGCAGTCCCAGAGTGCCAGAGTGCTAAGATGTCTTCGATCAAAGGGACGATAGGGTGTAGAGTGTAGTGCATAGGGTGCAGGGTGTAGGGCGAAGACTTTACTTTACCTACTGTACCTGGGTATGGAAGGTGTCCCGAAGCCAATAGAGCGAACAAGGAAGGTTAGACGATGGTGCATTAGTATTAGTGGCTGGTTGACCGGTCACGTGCTTGGCCTTGGTCGTCTCGATAAACGAGTCGCAGGGTCTGATCTCTCATCTCTGCCCATTCGGCTAACACTGATACTGACACTGAGGCAGCCTCCGGGCGTTGCTTGGGCGGTACTGATGATAATGGTACGGGCAACGTGAATATTAACCTTATCTCCACCAGCAAAACCCTGAATCTCCACCAACAAAACTCTGAACCCAAAGCCAACATCCTATGTAACCCTATGATTAGGGGCTCTCCACCGCATGACACGACGGATTGACACAGACAAGAAGGACAACAGAACGCAGCATAAGAATGCATAGATCCGCTGCACGGACAATGGGCCCTACACTTGTGTGCCAGAACAAACCATGGTGTGTACGAAGACAGCTCTGCACCTACGCCACAATGGGCATGGCTGTACGTTGATAGAGAGGATGACGCCCCCTTCCGGCCTGAGTCTTGGCGGGCCTTCGCGGAGCCCCGAGATTGCTGGGAGTCTGGAGTCGCTGTGGCTACTCGTACAAGGTCTGTGTATCTACTATCCGTACACTGGACAGATATCCGTACAGATGCACCGCTGAGGCACGAGCCCAAGCTCAAAAAGAATAATGCATCGAGGTCATCGAAGCCTGCCAGCAGCAGAATTGACCAACAATCATGCTGCGTCCTATCAGCTGGCTCCCTGGCCAAGCCTCGAAAAGCCTCGCCAAGTCCGACCGGCCTCAAGCGGAATCCGCCTCTGGTCTTGGCCGGCGTCGCCCTCCAACCACTCGTCGGCGAGGATCGGCTGCCGTCTACACATTCAGGCGGCGAGAGCCTTGGGGTTAAGGAGGGCCTTATCGGACCCTTCCAGGGCGTCGATCCAGAATCGTCAGTCCCAAGGAACGACTCGAAGGTCAGGCCATTCACAGTCCAGCCTTTCCTCCCAATCTGTATACGTATATATCACAGGTACTCTTCCACTTCCCTTGTCACTGTCCATGTGGTCATCCTCCCCTTCCTCTGCATTGTAGACACGTCTCGTCCCTGGCACTGCCTACACGCAACAATGGGTTACAACGAATGGGTTCACAAAATCAACATGGCGGTCGCCCGCTCTGTGGTGGGCAGGCGGTTCCGCCTCGACGGCTCTGGCCATCCCAAAGAACGCAAGGGGTCTTACTTCTTCACCGAGATCCGTGCTGGGTTGGCCACTTTTTTCGCCATGGCTTACATCATATCCGTCAATGCCACCATCGTCTCTCAATCCGGCGGGACTTGTGTCTGCCCTCCTGACAGTCCGGATCTATGCGACAGCGATCCTGACTACATGATCTGTGTTGCCGAGATCCAACGAGATCTTGTCACCGCGACAGCCGCCATTTCAGCCCTCACCACATTCTGCATGGGCTTTTTCGCGAACATGCCCATTGCCTTGGCTCCGGGTATGGGCTTGAACGCTTACTTCGCCTACACCGTGGTCGGATATCATGGCTCCGGTCTCGTGCCGTACGAAGTCGCTGTCACCGCTGTTTTCGTCGAAGGATTCGTCTTCGTCGGGCTCACCATCCTCGGATTGCGACAATGGCTAGCCCGAGCCATCCCTGCATCCATCAAACTCGCCACCGGTGTGGGGATCGGGCTGTACCTGACCCTGATTGGGCTGACCTACAGCGCTGGGATCGGGGCCATCACAGGCGCATCAGATACACCCCTTGAGTTGGCAGGGTGCCATCCGGCCAATCGCGACCCAGACTCTGGCCTGTGTCCATCTTGGGACAAGATGCGGAATCCAACCATGTGGATTGGCATCTTCTGCGGTGGTTTCTTTACTGTCATGCTGATGCTGTTCCGGGTCAAGGGCGCCATCATCTTCGGCATTCTGCTGGTCAGCATCATCTCCTGGCCGCGGCCCACTCCAGTCACCTACTTCCCTCACACCGATCTGGGAGATAGCATGTTCGACTTCTTCAAGAAAGTGGTCACGTTTCACCCGATCGAGAAGATCCTGACCGTCCAAAAATGGGACGTTTCCGGGTACGGCGGTCAATTCGGCCTGGCGTTCATTACTTTCTTGTATGTTGACATCTTAGACTGCACTGGGACCTTGTACAGTATGGCTCGCTTCTGTGGTGCCATCGACGAGAGGACGCAAGACTTCGAGGGTTCGGCGGTCGCATATCTGGTCGACGCTTTTGGCATTTCCATCGGCGCACTATTCGGCACTCCCCCGGTGACGGCGTACATTGAATCTGGTGCGGGTATCTCGGAAGGCGGTGCCACAGGCCTGACCGCCATGACGACGGGCCTCTGCTTCTTCATTGCCATTTTTTTCGCCCCGATCTTCGCTTCCATCCCACCCTACGCGACAGGGTGCGTGCTGATCATTGTGGGATCTCTCATGTAAGTGTGCATTTTGCTCATTTTCTCCAGTGCTTTGGCAATTGTAGATATCTATACTCCAGGGATGGTGTGAGAAGCTAACCTTGGTTGTTTTTCCTCCAGGGCGAAATCCGCAGCAGACATCAATTGGCGGTATATCGGAGACGCGATTCCGGCATTCCTGACCATCGCCATCATGCCGTTCACGTACAGTATCGCGTACGGCCTGATCGCCGGCATCATCAGCTACATGGTGATCAACACGATCGCGTGGCTGGTCGAACTCGCCAGCGGCCGCCGCATCAGGCCCGCCGACAAGGATTACAAGGAGCCCTGGACGTACAAGCTCGAGGGCGGCATCTTGCCCCCTTGGGTCGTCCGCGCGTCCAAGGGCAAGAAGGATTTCTGGCGGCCCTACGATGACCTGGAGCACAATGATGCCATTGTCACCGGCGCCGCCCCGGGTACGCCGTTCGGCCCCGTCAGCACCACGCTGGAAGGACGTGAACATCCCAATCCCGCCGGGGCCAGCCCGACGTCGGATTTTGATCTGAAACAAGCCGAAGCCGGCCACTCCAGTGCCGGCAGTGGGAGCGGCAGCACAAGTGAAGGCGGCGAAAAAGCCAAGGTTTAGATGAGATGGGCGGCGAAGAGGCCAAGGTCATCAGATGAGAGATGTGTGTGTGTCAGACCGGCTTTGGCAGGGGCCACGCTCGTCCTCGTCATGGCCGGTTCTTTGTTGGCAGGGGCGTATGTAAATAATCGCGACCCGGTGATTGATTTGGGATTGGGATGGGATGGAATGGATGATGGATAAGGATAGGATATCAATCGTATGTTGTGTGTTGTGTCTTGGCCAGTTACATCGGATCCGTCCATGTCGAGTGTTGGTATCAAGTGTCGAATATCAATCATATATGTTGTGTGCTGTATGTTGTTCGTTGTATGTTATGTCCATATCGAGTGTTAGTATCAAGTGTCGAGTTTCAAAGTAGATGAGATCCCAGAAACGTGTGCTTGTCGACGATACAGGTATACATAAGTTCTACATCCTAGTAACTACCTAACTACCTAACTACCTGGCTGGCTGGCATGAACTACGTAGTATCAACGCCAACTAACCAATACTGGTTGTGCCTGTTCTTTCAGTGCCTGCCTAAGGCTTAGCTTGCGAGATTCATGACCATGATATTGATAGTGGGATTAGGTAGGCTTGGCTACATATATAGGTTGTGTCAGTCTTATAGTGATAGTAAGTATTTCCACTCCATCCCATCCCTCATCCCTTCTGCCTCATGCACCATGCGTCATGCCTCATCCCGGCCTGGTCCTCACGTCTCCCAACTTGCTCTCCCTGCGTCTGCCTACTTGTCTCCCTACTTGGCCTCCTAGATTGCTCTCTCTTCTACTCGTCACTCGCCAACCTAGTAGATATATCCGTGCACTCTGAGCACTAAGTTTGGTCAAATTGAGTGCACAGATACCTAAAGTTCAAGTTCTCGCGGTTGCTCTCCCTGCCTGTCCTCCATTTGTCTCCTTACCTGGCCTCCCAGACTGGCTCTCTTTGATCTCTCTCCTTGCTCTTCTACTCATCACTCGTCACTCGTCAACCTAGTAGATATACCGAAAGTTCAAGTTCTCCCGGTCCGTCAGGTCACCGAACGCCGTGGCGTCAAGGTCTCGGCCCTCGAGTCCACCTTCCTCTTGAGCCTGGATCTTATCGCGGCGACGGTTCTCCGCACTCATCAGGATCCAGAATGTGATTATGACGACAACCTCGAGAAGATGGCTATAGTATGAGTATTAGTATACCTACTGTTGATATAACGACTAGACACACACAGACACACACAGACACACACAGAGAGAGAGAGAGAGAGAGAGATATACATAGACACACACACATAGACACACACACACACACACACACAGAGAGAGAGGGGGGAGGGAGAGGGAGAGAGAGAGAGAGAGAAAATACCAGTAGGGAAATAGCAGTGATGATGATGTAACAAACATGACAGACATGACAGACATGACAAACACCAAGAGGGGATAAAGGTGTCCCCTAATACGATGCATCTTACTCACCTAACAATCATACTCCAAATCCCCAACTCGTACCCTGGGGCCTGGTTGGTCTTGTAGAAAAACGGACCTGCGATGTTGCCTGTGCAGTAACCGAGAAACAGCACCGCGTTGGTCACCACCTTCTTGGTGTGCCCTGCCGTATTGGCGGTCTGGAGTGACAGGATCATCACGAACGCCGCGTTGTACGGCCCGGTCAGCAAGTAGCAGAAGTACCGACCAACGTGGTGGGATTCATGGACGAACCGCAGTCCAAACGCTCCTGCAATGTTGGGGCATAGGAAAATCAGAATGAAGAGGCACCGTCTGTTTTCGAACCGGTCGTTCAGGTAGACACACGTCAAGATCGAGATAATGATGAAGCAGCCATATGGGATTTGCATCAGCGTCGTCACAAGCGTGGAGAAGCCGAAGCCTGGTGGATAGACATGTTGGTTAGTCCATTAGGGTTGGGTGGATAGACATGTTGGTTAGTCCATCAAAGGGGTTGGGCGGATAGATCAAAGAGCGAGAGGGGGAGACAGACGACAGGGGGAGAGAGATAGACAAAGAACGTACCTTTAATGATGAGTGTTCCAAAATTCGAAATACCGCCGTTCGGGATGTTGCCGACCACCCCGAGCAAAAAGAAGAGATAAAGCTTAATGTCGCTGAAGGCTTCGACCACTTGATACCGCTGCCAAGGAGAGTCAGCCAGCGGCGTCTCCAATTTGTACCCCTTACCCCTGCGTAGGACAGGGGGAGAAGGACAGGGGAAGAAATCAAAAGGGAAACTCATGTGGAAGTGGATTCAACGTGGTAGAGAGCCTTGCCTTCAAATGCTTGTTCTCAACACCCGTCTGGTTGCTCTTTAGTCGCTCCACGGCAATCCGCTTCTCGCGCTGATTCAGGAACTTGGCTGTCACGGGAGAATCGGGCATGAAGATTCCAATGACGATTCCCCAGATGCAACACAGGGCGCCGATGATGAGGAACTCATATCTCCATGATGCCAGGGCGCCTCTAATGTGGCCGATGCCATAGCCGAGAAGTCCACCGAGAGCAATCCCGGCACCGTTGGCCGTGTACCATAGACCGATCCTCAGGGGCTGTTCTTTGCGAGTATACCACTATTGCGAAACGCTTTAGATTCACAATCTCAATCCCTCTCCTGAGACTAACTAGGAGCAGGAGCTCACCATCTGCGTGATCAACAAGAACGAGGGATCTGAGCAGCTTTCGGCCATTCCAGCCAGGACTCTAAGTACACCTAGAGTCGCGAAACTGTTGCAGGCGGCTTGGAGCATCAAGAAAATGCCCCAGAGGAAGATACTGCTCAAGTGTCAGCGTCATCAGATCTAGTACAGCCAGAGGAGTGGGCGAGAACCCTACTTGAAGCCGACGTATTTGCCCAACGGCAATCTTTGCATGAGAAAGTTTGTGGGAAATGCCCAGGCCAAGAAGCCAAAATAGAACAGACCTGGTGCGTGTCAGTACGGCTGCTTCCAGTGAAGGCGGCTGTGATAAACATACTACTCAGCCAGCTGTACTGTGTGCCATGAAGCTTCAGGTCGTCTCGGATTCCGAAGATCGCGGCATACGAGAGCGTTGTCTTATCGATGTAGAAGAAGGCATAGTTGACAGCGATCAGGGGCAAAATGAGAAGGTCGATCTTCCGGATGAGCTTCTTCTCTTCTTCAGGCTCGATTGGCTCGTGGAGGTCGTCGACGTTGGCAAAGAGCCGCAAGGCAATGTCACCATCTTGGGACTTGGACTTCGCCGAAAACTTGAATTTGTGCGGCGTGGGTGGAAGATTCAGACGATTGATTTCCTCGTGGGCTGAAACCCCTTTGTCATCAATCTCGTCGTTCATCCTCGCAGCGACTACTCTCTAAGAGAGTATAAGACCAGTGGCTATACGCCGCTGAGGGATTGCTTGTTTGACGTCTTCCTGCGGTAATCAAGGAGCAGTAGATACTGTTACAAGGAGTGATGAAGTGCAAATAGGCGCAAGAAGATAAGGGTTCAAACTCTATAGCAGCCACGAGGAAGACTGACTTTTTGAATTCCGCTGTGGAAAAGGGCTTCTGGTGGTTGCATGGGGGTTGGACATTGAGTCAAGCCGAGGAGCATGCCGCTCAAGCCCTCGTGCCGCTGTGTCGTCGGTCTTTGCATCGCTTATTGAGATGTAGTACTTGGCGTGCTCGTGTTTCTACGAAATCAGCAATAAAGCACCATCCAAAACCCTTGGATAAGGATCTGCGGCCAAGCCTTTTTGACCATAGAACTCTGCGGGGGAAGGTGATGCGGACTGGTTCTCTAGACGTCGTCTGTCTTTGCCGGTATCACCACCCTTGTCGTTCGGCCAGTGCTTCACCGAGACGGTCACAGTTTACCGGGGGAGCGGGGGTCAGATATCTCATCCTGTCTGGATGAGCCTGATGACTGACTATTAAATTGACTCACATAGCTGAAACCAGAGCATAATGTCCTTGCGTCAGTAGAGACCAACAATAAACTACTCCTCTAGAGACCCACGAGACCCTAGCCAGTCGAAGGAGTTTTACTGTGCCTTGCCTGCCAAAGGTGACGATGCTTCGGCAATTGAAGGGGACACTGAACCAATGCGCCCCACGCGGAGAAGCAATAGTACGGGGTACAGTGAGAATGTCTGGGGGTAACATTTCCACCGGTTGTTCGTATTGGGGTTAGAGAACCTTAGATGTATACCGGCGGCATACCTGAAGATGGTTGCGAATGGCCGACCGGACCGACACGGCTAGAGAGTCCGGTATTGCGCAAGTCTGAATGAACACGAGGAGACACTCACTGTCGGCAATTGAGATGAGCCTGCTGTCTTGCTTTAGAACCCATCCTCGTTTCGAGCCCGCAGGGTGGTGGGTGAAATGCGGGGTGGTCGGGAGGTAGTTCGAGGCTTCATTAACCTGGTCCCTGTAGGTGCCTGGGTCAACATCCTTGAGAAGATAGAGTCTACCAACAGCTAGCACACTCTTTGAGCCTTGACGGATCTTTCAAAGTCTGGTGAGCGGGTGACTTCGGAGGTCGATACTCGATCGCTGAGACCAAGGACATCAGGCGTAAGAAGTAAGGGAGGACCTCTTACAGTCTCTCTCACGAAGAACGCTGGACTGTGGCCTCTGTAATTGTTCGGGCAGACAAGATGTCTTTGGGACCAGATCAACAATCAGACTGCGCTGCGCACCTTGAAGAAATGAACAAGGCTGCCTACCACGAGTCGAATACTCGGCAGTACAAAGCTCCTACTGCGCAGTTTATGGTGCTTTGTGCTCTTTGGCCGCAGCTGGCTGTACACATCTTCCTGTATAGCTTCCTCGAATCTTTCCTGCCCATCTTTGATATAACCTTTGCCCTTCGCAGTCTCAGCCCTAGGATGAGCCGAGCAAGTTCGTTAGCTGGCTAGACCCAGACGCATCTACCCCTCGAACCGTCATGAACACCCCCGGAACCCCGCATGCCATTATAAAACAGGATGGGTATTGAAAGGGCAGCAGAAAAAATGCTAGAATGCAAACAAAGCGCTCAGCCGCTTAGGGAGATAGTCGACTCCTCGACTCCGCAAAGAACAACGCCTATTGCCGCAAAACGCCCGACTTGGCCCATGTCTACGCTCAGCTCCCCAAGGCGACCTTGATGTTCAGGTTCGGATTTGAGATTGAATCCAAGAACCCCGCAACCGTCGACTGAGAGATACTGGTGTCGAAGTTGGTGTCGTCCGGCAGCCACAAGATATGAGCTGTACTGGCGCTTCCGTCAAAGATGACCGCGGCTTTCTTGGTCTCATTGCTCGGGCGTTGGAACCAGTTTGAATCACCGATGGAGTGAGCACCATGCCAGGTTGACTTGCATTTCAGATTGCCGGAATCCAGAACCTCGAAAATGTCAAACTCCCCACAGCCAGACTGCCAGCATGAGCAACTGCCATACTGTTCTGTCCGGGGTATCTGTGCATTGAGGATCCAGGCTGCCGGCATATCTTCATTCCATCCAGTCGCCCCAGAAAGTGGCATGCTGAATTCGAGGAGGAAAAGCTTCGAGGCGCCGTCGAAGCCGTCTGCTATGTATTAGCGAGAGTGTTCAGATGATGCAAAGAAAGCCGTCACTCACGGTAGGCCACGGTGCCATCCCTGACTGTGCCACATGCACCGTCCGAGCATGACTTGTCGGTCATGATCAAAAACTCACTATTGTCACCGATCAGAGTGTCTGCTAATGGAACTGGCGATGCAGAGCCTGCGCTATTGTCGGCAGAGGCGTATGATAGGGACATGCCCCAGACACTGGACTGGTCAGCACGCTGCGTCACCGTTGGACGTTACCACGAAACTTACGTGTCAAACACTCCAGAGCCTTGTCCTCCATGGTAGTTGAGGAAGACGAGACCATCTGCCACACCCTGCTCAGCGTTGTAGTAGGCCTGTCTGCCCCACTCTCCAGCGCCAGCATTCATACTCGCTACCGGAGCAGCGGCACTAGACGCGGCAGCCGAAGAGCTCGCATCTGAAGAGCTGGCAATCGAATAGCTGGCAATAGAAGAGCTCGCTTCTGACGAACTAGCAGCCGGGGCAGCAGCAGCAGATGCAGATGTCGCGGCGACTCCTGACCATTTATTGACCCAGGACACTGTCTTCCCATTGATGACTGCCGTAACCCATTCCTCAGCAACTGAGCTGGCAACCGGAGAAGCAGCTGTGGGCGAAGAAGTCGCGGCGACGCCTGACCATTTATTAACCCAGGAGACTGTCTGTCCATTGATGACTGCCGTAACCCAATCTCCGACTCCACGCTTGTCTTCGACATGGTCTTCGACATGCTCGTCCTTCACAGCTCTGGTTTCACGGTCATCACGATGATGCAGATGATTGTGGGCGTGGCGGCGCTGATGTGGGGATGGATGTATCGACCGCTTAGTCTCACTTGATCCAAGCGTATAGAATGCAAACTGCTTGAGGCGGATGGGACCGCGAAAGTGCCAGGAAACCTGTCACAATACCATGTAAGCCGATCGGGCAAAAGCCAACTTGACTTTGATGCCGACTCACCTCTTCGTCCATAGGAGCCATACCTCCTTGATAAGCCTGGGCTGCAAAGTTGCACTGTCCTGCTGACCCCATCTCGATTACATTCTGATACTGGCCAGCAGTCCCAAAATTCGAGTACGAGATGGCATCGACTTGAGAGCAATACCAGTTGCCCTTCTCTTCGTAACAGTTAGAGTCTGCGGCGACCACCGTACTGGCGGCCAGCGCCAGCAGTGCGCCAGCGCCTGCGCTGCGGGTGAACATCATCTTCCGACCAGCCGAAGTGGTGATTTGATATTATAAAGAGGTTAAGGTCAGTTTCTTTGCTGGTGTTGTGGCTTTGCAAGAATCTGTGGTATATTAGCTGTCGACGGTTATGTGGGATACGAAGGGTCGAACGATGGCTCCTGTCAGATGGCGTATGGTTTTCTATTGTTGGGTTGTTTGAACGAGCGAACGGGCAGAGAGAGGCGCTTCCACCGAGTTTATGCAAGGCAGTGACGCTCAATCGGCCTGTGTTCCGTTTGCAGGGAGTGAGAAATGGCTGGCAGATTGCGTGGCACGCGCACAGACAGACTTGAGAACGAGCGAATACGAGCATGACAAAAGTGAATGCAAGAAACGAAGTGGAAATAAATGGCTGGGGGTGAGGGTGAAGCAGCCTTCTTTGACCCGAAGTGACGGACAAAGAATGGCTTGACGAGGCTCGAAGGGAGAACCAGTGACCGCGTCCGTGATAAAGAACTTTGGCACCAACACTGGCCCGAGCTGCGCCTGATCCAAGCGGGTGGTGTGCAGCCTCACAGGCCACGAGGCTTTGTCCGAATCACATGTGATTGGCTCCGAGGCGAAGTGAATACGGAGTACGGAGTATACAGTGACATACTTACCTAAAGGTGATGCTGTACTAGCATAATAAGGTACTGGACCAGTCAGCTCACCAACAAGTTGGGACTGGGTCTGGAGTGCTGTCAGAGGAGCCTTAGGCACCGAGATGTCGTTCCAGTCGTAAATACTTGAGGCACGTGCCCAGCTGCCCGGACCTCCCTACGCACCGCCCCTAGTTTCCCACGTTGGCCGCCGTTCCAGGCGCAGCGGTGTTTGCGGCCTTAGGCACCTTAGGCGTTGAGCTTGGATGCTCCCAGCCTTGTCTATACCCACGCCCAACCACCGTCGTCATACTGAGGTAAATGATGCTGTACCTTACCTTAGGTAGGTACCTTACCTCCCATGAAAAGTAAAAGTCAGTGACGTGAGATCAAGTTGAAGTTGAAATTATCTCAAAGATAGGTAGGTAGGTAGGTACCTCAAATGGAGGTGGGTAGGTACCTTATGGACGGAGTATCCGTACAGCAAGCATGCTTTCCTTGTCTGCTGTATATACTAACATATACACTTATAGTACTTCGTATGCTTGTGACGAGACCCTCTAATCTAATGGAATCCCCCACCTCACTTACCATCCGCCTCCGCCTCCCTCGTTAATTAGGTAGTCGGATGTCTCGACCGTTCCGTCACATACACATACTGCAGTAGTGCTCTGTGCTCCGTACTGTGTATACTTCCTCTCTGGATTTCTAGGCTAGTGCGTCTGGACAATCCTCATGGAAGGAAGAGCTCGTTACGCGAGATTCGGTCGACCGTGACCGTGACCGCGACCGCAGACTACTATTGTGCGGGTGCGGATAGTAGGTACGTAGATACAGTGATACACATACAGAGACACACAGATTACGTGCGTGGCTTGATAGTGATACATACACACAGACACACAGCTTGCGTGCGTGGCTTGGATACACACATAGGTACACACACAGATTACGTGCGTGGCTTGGATACAGGGTCCAGAACCTAGAACCCAGGCAAGGCACAGACGTCGGACGAGGCTCCCGGCCCCCTTTTTTTAACTGCAGTGGGTCGCGACCACCTTCTTTAGCTGGAGGTTTCTCATGCGCATGTCCTCCGTACACTGTACTCCGTATACGGATTGGTGATGGATACTCTGTCGGATTGGTGATGGGCGTACTTCGATGCCCTAGGCCTTCTAAGCCTTAAGCCTTCCTTAGGAGCCTCCTTAGGAGCCTCCACTCTACAGTTACAGTTACAGTACTAGAGTTACAGAGTTGCCAGGTCAGTGGCTGGTCTTGCCGGCTCAGTATCTCGGCAGTGCGTCAACACCTACAACCTACAACCTATATACGGACAGTCTTGTCTACCCACATACACATACATACATATAGACATAGCTCTTACTTAGGCAGTGCACATACTCTATAATAGATCATAGGTCTATACCTACAGTCCGCCATGTGGCTACATCTACATCTACTTGTACGAGCTTCTGTAGGACTGAACTAGTCCGCGGTACATAGGTACGGTAGGTCAGCACGCTGCGGTATACTCCGTACTGTGTGGTTAGGGTGCCTGACTCGGCCCTTAGGGCCTCTGTCGTCCCCTTGTGTGTATCACTGGTACGAATGTACTCTGTAGGTTAGTAGCTTGGAGTTCCCGGAGAGTGCTTCTGGGATACATTGTGACGCTCCGTCTTTGGGTATACTACCTAGGTAGGTAGGGAAGGTATGTGCTAGGTACGTAACAAGGCGGCGACGTTGGATAAGGCCGATTACGTCAACAGAGTCCTTCGCTCCCAACATGGCTCCGTCATGTCGTCGACTTGAGGATCTCACCACCTCTATGTCAAGAAAGAAAATCCGAAGGAAAAGAATACACTGACAGCTGTCATTGCCGCCAGTGCCACCGGCGGTCGCCAGGTGGCTGGCCAATGGCCATGCAGGCGAGGCACGCGCCTCGGAAGGGGTATCTAAACTAACATCTAAACAAAACGTACAGGCGGCCGCCCGCTCTCCCCGGGGACAAGAGCTCAGGCCTTGTCGCGGCTCTTAACCTTGGTCCAGCCACTCTTGCCCTTGCCCCGGGCACCTTCCTCATCTCCACCCGTGCCAGCCATTTTGGTGGTCGTCGTGGTGGTCATGATGCTTCTAGCATCATCGTACTCCTTCCCGTCCAATGCCCGGGTCTTGATGAACACCGCCTCGTCCATCTTCTCTCCGCCGTCATCCCACTCCTGTTCATCCAGAAGTTCCCACTCCGCATTGTTCATCTCCGTCAGTAGATATTTCTTCAGGGGGTCGACGATCGTAGTGTATTTGTCCAGACGCCAGGCAGGAATCTGGTTGTCAGAGGCTCGGCCGAGGTGGGTGTGAGCGGATGTATGGGATTGTGAACCAAGACGGCCAGTGATGATGGTGGCATCTCGGGTAGGCGACGACGTGCTCTGAGAGCGGCGTTGACGGGTTTGGATATCTCGCTGGGTGAGGACACGGAACGTGGCCGCGGACTGTGGAGGACCGAGGATCATCTGGTACAGGTTGCGACCGATGGCACAGACATCTTCCCACCTCTCGGTGCCTGTAAGAAAGCCCTGGGAGCGGGAAAGCCAAGCAATGTTCCAAGCGAGAAGTGAGATGCCTTCCAAGAAGAAGCTGAATGCAAGTGGTTCTTTTTTGGCAAATTGTGCAACGATTTCGTCGTGATTGTCCGAGCCGATGAAGAGCGGGCGCGGGCGCGGGAATGAGCTGAGGTCCATTCGAGACGCAGTCGGACTGCCGGGTGCCGAGAGGCTAGAGCCACTACCGGGGAATGCGGTGCGCTGGCCGTGGTAAGAAGTGGGCGGTGTATTGATCGTGGGTAGTGGATAGTCTGGATGAGGAAGAGTGATTTCGGCCGGGAGTCGGATACCAAGATAGAAGGCACAAAGCATGATGAGTCGGGTGGCGTTTCCAATGGCCGCAGTCAATTCAGTACATCGCATGTCTGATGTGCACGTTAGCAAAGCTCAAGCTGAGGTTGCGATGCATGGACTCACTGTTGATTTCTCTCAAATCCGGCAGCAGAAGACCTGCAATGGTGTATCGATCCTTAATCGTACCGTCTTTGGCCTTCTTCTTGGTGTGTTGCAATTTCAACAGATCGGCAGCCTTTCGACACAGGACTGCTTTAGATTCGACAACCTTGTTGTGAACGGCGTCGTGCTGGGCTTTCTGTTTGTAGAAGGCTTCTCGGAGTTCTTCGTACTTCTTGATATCGCCTCTGGCTAGGGCCTCTTCAGCAGCAGCAATATTGGCTCGTTTCCGAGCTATATTTTCTCTCATGGCTTGCGCTCTTGCTTTCTTCTCCTCAAGTTCCTTTTGCTTTTCTGCCAGGACGCGCTCCACTTCTGCAGTCTGTTCCCGGATCTGCTGTGTGTCGTTGCGGATACACTGGGCTTGCCATGCTCTTCTCATTGCCGCGGTCTCCTCGTCGAGTGGTTTGGAGGGATCTGGCTCAGGGCCAACAATGGCTTCCACCTTGCGACCAAGGTCCTCCTTCTCGAGTAAGACCTTGGCGAGTTCTGTACGGACATTGTAGAGGAGCGCACGAGCGCAGGCAGGACAATGAACCCCTCTGTCTTGAGTGAGGCGGCTGTGACAGACGACACATTCCATTTTGGAGGTTTTATCGACAACGACGTAGGAAGGTTGGTCAGGATTCAAGGGATCGTTGATCTCATGTTCAGTGATCTCGTGGTCTTCAACCTCCGCATCCAGTGACGCCTGCGGGTTTGGCGAGGATCTGCTGGGCAGGAATCTGAAACCATGATGTTAGAATGAAATCAAGATCCGGAGAGATTGTGCATCAAAGCACAGTCATGAGGACGGCATTGACATTGCTTTGGTCTCAGTGAGGAGGATGACAGGCATGCAAATAGGCACAAATGTACTTACCGATCTCTCAGATCTCTTAGCGACTGGATGCTGGGCGAACAACTTGGACTGTGAGTGGGACGGTCCATGACGTCTGCCTGTGAGTGGGCTGGACGGTGGCTAAGCTTTCGATCACGTGAGAGCGTGTAGCGCTAGTATGACGCTAAGATAGAAAGAAGGATAGCGTGCTCGACACGTAGGACGAGCCGAAGATTTGCCGAAGGGGACGGTATCCAACGTTCACGTCCGTACCAAGTTGTGGTTGAGGGAGTCAAAGAGCGACAATGGAAACAGCAGGTCACCTTGTTGAATCTCCGATCACCACACACGAGGGTCAGGCATCGGAGCACGAGCACGCAAGTGTCGATTCAGCGACTGCCATAGAATCTTCACCAGTGCCTATCAGGCCTGGACACCACCATTCTCCCAGCAGCACGAGAAAACGCACCAACGAAGAGATCTATGAGTCTACGAAGTCCCTCAGCACGACGCCTACCGCTTCCAGGTTCCGGAAATCAGTCCCTGCTGCTTCACAGCCAGGTGATCAACTGAAACGGTCTACGAGCTCTCCGGAAAGCCATGGGCCGCTTCCTCAACAGGACGTGAGACTGGCCCAACTCACTACGACGGGCCGTGCAGGCCCAGAAAGATCTGGAGCGGACAAATTTCTCTTGTCCATCTCACCCTCTTCAAGCCACACTTTGGTCCATGAGATCGAAAACTACCAACAGCAACTAGAACTTGAATTTCAAGAATTTGAACGATCACTCAATGAGAGGGACCCAGCTGAAGACCTGGAAGTTATGGACTGGGATGGTCTGGAAGCCCGCTACGACGAAGAGATCCAGCCAAAGATTGCCGCTGAGCAAGAGATCATGAATGAGTTCAGTGCTCGCTTTGAGGTAAACTCTCCTGTGCAGTGCTGCTGTACGTCCATCGTCCATCGTCCATTGCTGACCCCATCCCATGATAGCAATTTATGCTCTACATGCATGTCTCAGCTGATCACGAGGCTGAACGGGCCATCAAGAGGTACCAAACCCACTGGCCGGTGCTTCATTAGCTGACTGTGTAGGTTGCGAACTAGAACCGCCATCGCTCAGATTTCCGAGGCCTCATTGGCCCAGAAGAAAGCTCATCGTGGGTTCAGTCTGCCTGTTTGTAGACGCTTTGTTAACATGGTTACTTAGATGCAAAGGTGCTCGAGGCATTCCAGAGTGCAATGAGTCTCCTCAACGCTTGATGCAGTGGATCAAAACGGGCTGGGGCTAGCATGAATTTTACTACTGCCTCGCTACGTTGGTCATGCAGGTGACAGCGGCCATGGCGCAACAAAACGGCACTCCTTTAGGTTAAGCAGCTGGCAAAGAGGCTCTGACAAGCTTTTTAAGAGACGATGAAAGGCCGTTGACCCTACACACAGACACTATTCGGTTTTTCACAATGGGAAAAAGCCGTCCGCCTCTGGAGAAGGACTCTTGGCTGGAGGATGAGGGAGACACTGCTTTTCCTGATTTCTTATCAATGCCCGTGACCCCAGAGCCGAAGCCCGCCTGGTCTGAATCGGCGGATCCGTTGAGGTTGAGCTTCGATGGATCCTGCTAGCTAAACGAGCAGTCTCGGGTACTTAGGGCCGCGGTGAGTTTCTTCGTGCATCACCTTATCGCCCCCGGATGCCGGGCAGCCTTCTCCAGAGCTGCAAGCTGACCGCTGAATAGAGGGCATGGGCTTGTCAGATTCAGGTCTAATATAGAAGGATACTGCTTTGCCATTCGCTAAAGCTCGTCAGAAGAAAGAAGTGGTGGTATTCAAGGCTAGGCAGTGTACTAGCTAACCATCTCCCTCGCAAGAAGCGCTCTGGATGACCAGAAGATCTCTAGAGCATTGGCCAAGATCTAGCAAGTCGCGGATCTGAAGTTTCACGATCGCCACCTTATCCGGCCACTGTACTATAGGTACCAAACGTTACTGCGGGTTCTGGATGCACTCTTGTCATAACTCCTGGGCCCCTTGTATCTTGCCCTACTCCTCTAGAACACCAGATCTTATCCCAGATATTATCCAATAACACAAGGATTACCGCTGTCTTTATACATGGCAATTAGCCCCGTGAAGGCAAGCATCGATGTTCTGTAGTAAGTGACAGCCTTCTCAACATCAGATATAGGTACCTGAGATGGCACTAATCAAGAAGGCTTAGGCTCCCGATTACCTAATGCGATATGACGTAGACCGCACACCTACAGAGTCCATACCTCTAGACGGAGTCAATAATAATAATACTGCCAGTCGATCAGTCGTCTTGTAGTTTGGGGCTCTATTCAATATCTTTAGGCTATCTATGTCTGCAGATTACAGGCGTATGAGGCACTTTTGTGACCGTGATGCCTGATGACTCGAGCTCATCCACCGATCGGGATCTGCTCTCGCGCCTCAATGCGCTGAGAAAGTCGACCGTTACTCTCGACCAGACGAAGTGGGAGTTTGCTACACATTGGATATGAAATCGAGCTGACCATCCTAGCTATCAGGCACCCCTGCCGCGTCGTATTCCCGCATCACTCGACGCCGCTCCAGCCCGCGCTCTCCACTCCGACCTACTGGCACGATGGAAATCCCTAGGAGGCACTCCCTCTGCGAGCGAAGGCCACGAATCTGAGACACTCCCAACCAAGGCCGAGGAAGAAAAGACGCTCGACGAGTTGCTGGAAGATTTAGGGCCGTCGGAGACTTGGGAGGTCGGAAAAAGTGAAGAAGATCAGGTCGCGGAGCTATTGCGGTCGGCACAGTCGGTGCTTGCCGATACGTCGCAGGAGCAGGAATTGAGAGGAGACACCGCAGACGGACATGCGGCAGACCATACTCCTGAAGCCAGGCTCCCTACCATTGATGTATCGGTCTTCCAACCGGAGCATGAGGTGGCATCGGATGGGGATGACGCTCCAAGAGAAATCGGCTGGAAGTCGAAAGACACACTTGACCAGGAAGCCGACGAACTACTGCAGAGAATCCTCGATGAAGTGAAGCTTGAGCCCCCGGAGGTTCTCGATGAAGATAAGGATCAGTCAGGGTCTGGCGATGACGTTCTCCCGTCAGGTCCCGATCTGTCGAGGTCTACCGCGGAGCCATCATCTTCTGCTCTGGATCTCCCTGCTACACCAACTAAATTGCCGGAAACTGTTGACCCCGAGAGCAAGTTGAACGTAGACGACGACTTGGCCACTCGCTTCGCCGGACTTGCCCTGCCCTCTGTCCCAACTACTATACAATCTTCCAAGTCCACAAAGACGAGCACAAAGACGGGTGTAGGTTATGCTGATGAAGAAATCGAGACTTGGTGCATCATATGCAACGACGACGCCACGCTACGGTGTATTGGGTGTGACGGAGATCTCTACTGCACGAACTGCTGGATGGAAGGGCACAGAGGCGAGGATGCTGGACTTGAGGAGCGAGGCCACAAAGCAGTGCAGTTTGTGAAGGGGGGCGGGAAAAGGAAACCCCCCAAGAGAAGGGTCATGATGGGGGCTGGGGCCTGAAAATCGGGGCTACACATGTAGTCTGCTCTATGCAAGAGTATACTTTTGGCCGGGTCCAGGACAGGGCACACTATACACTTTCCCCGCCGACATTACTTTTCTCCAGTCCCACAGTCTCTCGCTCGATTGCAGTTGCAGCAGGGCCAGGGCCCTTTGGAGAGATTGGCGGAACGAGGAAATAGACCACCCCATGCAACATACTGGCGGCTGTTGGGCCAACCCAATGGAGCCAATGCCATGCCGGGAAATGGCTTCCGACAAAGACTCCAAAACATCTGGCAGGATTCAAGCTTGCACCGCCATAGCCTGGCCGGCTGAATGAAAAGCAGAGGGCACAAGCGCCAGCGGCGAGACCGACCAGGATTGGGGCCAGGGCAGGACCAAAGATCTCACGCTGTCGCGGGTCCAAGCCCACACCGAAGGCCAGCACCAAAAGCAAGAGACTGGCCATGAACTCAATAGTAAACGCTGACGAAATCGGCACCATGTTCTCGGACAGAAAACAACCGCCGACCTTGAAGTCTCTGGTGCCTGCACTCGCGCGCAGCATCAATCCCGCCAGTGAGGCCCCCGAGGTTTGAGCGGCCAAATACAAAACCAAGCGCGGGAAACTGGTGAGTCGTGCAAAGAAGGTGCCGATGGTGATGAGCGGATTGAGGTGCGCGCCAGAGATGGCTCCGAAGCAGTAGATCAGCAGAGCGATCAGGATAGCATTGATGCACGCGGCTACCAGGGGGCCGAGGAAGGCGGTGGTGCTGAACACTCCAGAAGTCGGCGATGGAGCGGGCGGGGCGGTGGGTGGTGACAGGCTATTCCAGCTGGTGGCATAGACGAGGATCAAAGTGCCTGCAAGACCTCGAGTTAGCCTTTAGGCTCATGAGACCGACGTGGACCTGAGACGAGACCTATGACCTATGACCTATGACCTGAGACCTGTGATCTGAGACCTATGACCAATGGATTTTTGTTTTTGGGGGGACTCGACGCACCTCGAGAGCAGTCGACTCGATCCCAGGTAGGGGATAGGGTGCAGTAGCAAGAATCAGGATATACTGTACTCACCGAAACACTCAATCATGGCAGCCTTGTAGAGATCGATCTCCCAGAAGCCCGAGGGGTCGAACGCTTCGCTGAAGTTCAGATTCGGCGCCGCGTCCGGCAGCTTCAACAGGAGTTGGGCATTCGCCGGGTTGGAGCGGTCGACCACAAACACCTGGTTCCCACCCAGCCGACCGGCGAACGGGGTCACGTCGGACTCGGTGGGGCGCCATTGCTGCATGTCCCTGTGCGAGAGCGAGTGCGAGAGCGACTGCGACTGGCCGATCTGGTGCGGACTCGTGGTCGGTTGCTGAGGCCGAGACACGTTTTCGCTTCTGCTTGAGCCCGCCGGTTGTGCCATACCTAGGTAATATTGGTATTACCTGTAGATGTAGGAGATATGATGGTAGCTCCACTGGCACTGGCAGTACGGAAGAGTGCAGAGCGAGCACAGGGCATAGCAGCGCAGAGCACAGCGCAAGCACACAGCATAGCAGAGCAGAGGAGAAGAGAAGAGAGTACAGAGCACAGTAAAGCGAGTAGAGTAGATGAGAATATGTAGCGGAGAGAAGAGGATTGTGGATGTGGAGTCCTTACAGTCCTTTCTTACTCCGTCGTCGTATATGATAGGTTGGCCGTTTTCCTGAATAAGCACGACACCCACCTAACACCCACTTCATCGCATCGTCTGGATCGCTATGTACTCCGTATGGCCAGCCACGTCGTTCCCCGGCCATTGTCCGGATTGGGATTGGGATTGGGATTCGGGAGACGACGACACGACTACAACCACGACTACGACTACAACCACGACTACGACTACGACTACGACTACGACTAGACGACGACTACGACTACGACTAGACGACGACTACGACTACGACGAAGACTACGACTACGACGAAGACTACGACTATGTAGTATGGAGTAATACTAGTAATGCTAGTAATGCTAATACTAGTCCCTTCACCCTTGGTCGTCTTACACATGGGGAGGGTTCTGGGTGTCACTAAGCCTGTATCTTCAGGTTATGGTACGAGGTATGGAGTAGTTCGTAATTGATTCTATAAGAACTGTGTGATTACCAAGCACCTAAGGTAGTAAACCTATGTATATAGTGTCGGGTCTGTCCCTATAGTACTAGTATCTGACATTTCTGGTCGACGCGGACACACCTACGGACGGAGTACACACACACACACACACATCTATAGAGCACTTCGTCCGCACAACGACGATTATCTGATTATAGTATCTATCGATAGATTGCCATCCTCGGCCTATGGCGAACATAGCAGAGACGCCTTCGATGCTTTTCCCATATGACGATTCATGAGCTTCCCATATGAGACGATTCGATGCTTTTCCCATGAGACAATTCATGTCCTTCTCCCGCAATAGCAAATGGGGCAACAACAACAGGGACATCGGAGCGCTTGATCCAGCACCAGCACGATATTCCCATAATTTGTTCATTCATCATCCTCCCGTTCAATGTGGTCATCGTCGGGATTCAGCAGAGCGCCAATCCGGCTGCTCTTGTCCAAAACACGCCTGGCTTCCTCACTGTTCTGCAGTCCCATGTCTTCCATGACCAACAGCGACGTCAACTCCGGGACCAGTACGGCACTGACGTAGCCGCCCACCCCGGCCGCTCGAAGGGCAGAGTCAGACCGTAGAGCCATGTTGAGGCTTCTTGTGAGTTCGGCCGTGATGGCGCCGACCATGACCCGTGCTCCTTTCGGGCCATAGTAGCCTTGTTTGGCAACGTCAACAATGCCCTGGTTGAGGTAGAGTTTCACGGCTTTGCGGTTCCCTCGGGCAGCTTTGATCTTCTTGTCCAACTGCTCCAGATAAAAGCTTGCTGTCTTTCGATTGATGATTTCCTGTAAGATGGGCAGCTTGCGCGGAATTCGGATCTCTTCGAATTCCTTCCAGTTGATATCTGGATAACCACGGTCCTGCCACTGCTCTTTTGCTTCGACAACTTGATGCTGCGCACAAAAGTCCTGCTGCCTCTTGAAAGGCAGTGTGCGAAGTTTGGCAGGTACGTATAAAGATGCAGAATCTGAAACCTTCTGCTGGCACACCGGACACCGGAGGTCAGAAGGTTCGGCCGCTGCTAAATCTCCGGCTTGATCCAGTAGCTCGCCCTGATGCTCCAAGATAAACATAGAATCCACGGATGACAAAGACGACGTCGAGCCAGATCTCCTGCGATCATGCAGCCTGTCGCTAGGAGGCCTATCTCCGAATATGGATGGAGCTTCAAGCCCGGTGGTGGTGCTGGCCGTGGTCGCAGAAGAGTTGAAATCGGGCAGGTCGGGTAGCTGAAATCCACGTTCCTTTGGTGATTCTTTCCGGGGCATGTCCACAATGTCGAGTCTGGTTTCCAAAGGGGCAGGTTTCCTGGGCATTACCTTGCCAGGCAGTGTAGCCACCGGAATGAAATCGAGCTCTAGCTTGGGCCCACCCCGACGTTTGGTCACCTCCTCGTATGAGACAAACTCGTCTTGAGCTATGGACGGTCCAGCCTCGTTTTCCAGCGACTCGGGTTTCTGGTAGAACTTCCGATTTGCATAACTTCTTTGTAGCCTTCTTTTTTGAGAGCCCGAGGAGTTCCACTCGGAAAACGTATCTGGCACGGCGGGGTCTTGTCGTGCGATCAGGGTATCAAGACTGTTGGGCTCGTCTCTGATCTTCCTCCTCTTGGATCTCGTGGTGGCTGCAGTAGCCGATGTCAACGGACGTTTGGGAGAGAGACGAGAGGACTTCGTTATTTTGCCTTGAGGCTCTTTCGGAGGGCTTGCGGGGGGCTTTGTCGAGGTATTGTATTCCTCATCATCGCTGCTTAAGGGCTGGGCGTAGATGGCCAGCTCGTCGTGCGCCTGCCTTCGAGGTGCCATGGTTTGGCTGATCCTATTAATATCTTTTTCCAAGAAAGCGGGAGCTGTGGTCCAGGGTCCAGTCTTGGTCCCTCCAACCGTGCGCAACAGAGGTTGGCCGCGATAATTGCCTCGGGTCAGATATGTTCTCGAGTAGCTTGCGTTAGGTCTCTGCATATAATCCTCGCCGAGCTTGGGCAATCATAGTGGCTCCGATATCGCATAGGGTTGGATGCCAGCGGTGGAGAGACCAGCAGTCAACTGAGTTCGTCGAGTCAACTGACTGTTCACAGGTTGGAGATGCAGTGTGACGTGACGCGACGCGACAAATAGAGGAGGCATGTTTTAAGCACTAGCACCACTAACAGTTAGTACGCTAAGTAGGTGTGGATTTAGGTACAAACTCGACCAGTTAGCCAAGGAAAAGCTCCAGTGATGAGTGGGAAAAGCCGCCTAAATTGCGACTAGTAGTAGTTCTGCTCAGTGACTAACTCGAGTTGGCACTCCCAGGGAGTTATAACTATCTATCCCTATCTTTGGTATCTCCCCTCGCAAGCCAGATAACGTAGGTATGCACCTTCTCATTCTCTGAAACTACTCTGTACATGCCTCTTGTTACTCTCCTTCGCTCGACATAGAGTACCAGGTGTAAACCAGCGACGCGTAGAAACAAATTATCTAATAGAGTGTCAGAATGTGGTCGATGTGTGCAAGTCTCCCAGATGGCCTGTTGGTGAAAGCCGTATCGATCCGCAATCTGACCATTTTAGAGACAAGGTGAGCGCTCTGTCCGTACATGTGTCTAGGTGAATTTGCAACTGCCCACCTGGAGTCTCGGCTTCAGCCTTGCGATCAGACACTACAGAGCACGGATACACTTAGGTGGTGATCTCCCTTTCCGTGAATCTGCACGGTCGAGTCTGCGGCCCGTCAATTATCCAGCCAATCATCGTGAGCCAGACTGTCTGTGCAGACCGGACCAGCTCGGTCGAACGTATGAGCAGGAGCAATGATTGCCCGACTGAAAGGCTCCATCTAGCCTTCGGGCTCAACCAGCCAATCGCCGCCAGGCCTGGGAAGATAATTGTATACTTTTCGAGACTGGCACAGGCAACAGAGCCTCCGTTCCTGTCACGAGAGAGGTTCGTGCGGGTAGTCTATATAAGAAGGGATTCCACCACAATGTCGTGCCATACAACAAATTCCTGGTTCGAAAGGCATCGAGTTCACCATGGGCATACTAAACCCCGTAGACAACAAATACAACTTCCAGCCAGACAAGGACATTCCAGACCTATCAGGCAAAGTCATTATTGTGACCGGCGGAAACAATGGAATCGGCAAGGCCACTGTTGTGGCACTGGCAAAACACAATGCCGGTCGCATCTACCTCGCGGCGCGTTCAAAGGCCAAGTACGACGACGCAATGGCGTCGGTGCGTGAGGCCGCGCCTGGGGCAAAGGTCGAATTCTTGGAGCTCGACCTCGCCTCGTTTGCCTCCATCAAGCGAGCTGCCGATCAAGTCATTGCTTCCAACGACCGGCTGGACATTTTGATCAACAACGCTGGGGTCATGGCCCTGCCTCCGGCGCAGACCGTGGAAGGCTACGAAATCCAGTTTGGCACGAATCACATGGGCCATGCTTTATTGACGAAGCTTCTCCTTCCCCTGCTTCTCAAGACTGCCGAACTCTCGGACGTGAGAATAGTCAATGTCACCTCCACTGGTTACATGCTTGCGCCCAAAGGCACGTTTCTCCCCGACCAAGTGCGAACTTCAATGAGTGACTTCCACACATACGTTCGCTACGGTCAATCGAAAATGGCAAACGTCCTTCACGGCCGCGAACTAGCCCGACGATATCCTCAAATACTGTCGACATCAGTGCACCCAGGACGAGTGGCGACGCCCCTACTCGACCACATGATGACCAACCACTCCTTCACCACCTACTTTCAAAAGTTCTTCGACGCTCTTGCCGGGAAATTGACCCCGGAGATGGGTGCATGCAACACACTTTGGTGTTCGACATGGAAGAGAGAGGACGTGCAAAACGGCGGCTTCTATACTCCCATTGGAAAATTGGATGCGGGGGAAAAAAGAAGTCAGGAGGTAGAGATGGCCAAGAAACTTTGGGATTGGCAGGAGGAGGAGTTTAGACAGCATGGCTATGCCTAGTCCACTATGCACTGGTCCACCTGCGGTGGGATATCTGTACTATGATTTTGATTTTTCCAGCAGGGTTGGGTTTGTCTCAGTGCTTATAAGGGTTCTCTATGTCTGCTCTCTGCTCTCTGCTCTCTACTCCGTAATGCATATATGGTAAGCTACAGATACATCAGCGGAGTCTACCCTGACCAAATAAAAATCAGAACCCCAGAACCCTAGATAGACCCCTGAGTGACTCTAGATTATTCAATAACTTAATTCAAAGTTTCCAAGTTCGCAATAATACCTGTACGCTCTATATAAGTGCCTGGTCAGTATATAGGTACTACGTATCATTCAATCATCATGTCCTCCGTATAGAAGTACCCCAGGCCCCGCCCGGAATTATATTGGCGGGGAAAGTCCAATCGTTGACGAGCGACGGCTAAGCGAGCCCGAGGCTATGGGCGGAATAGTGGAAACAAGGCGGAATAAAAGTCGGGGTTGGGGTCAGTTCGCGACGGAATTCACAAGCTTTAGGAAATAGGAAATAAAAAAGCCAAATGAGTGGCAGTGAGCTGCACTTTAAGTTGGGGTACGAGGAAGAGGAGGAGGGGGGGAGGGAGGACTTTTAAATGAGGCTGTACTCCGTACATACCTGTACACTGTACACTGTACATACATCCTACTGTTACTTATAAGCAAGCCTCGGACCCAGACCCAGATATCAACAAGTACTACCAGCTTCGGACCCAGACCCAGATATCAACAGGTACTGCCAGCTCGTAGGTTGGTTGGTACAATCCCCCGGCCTCCCTCTCCGAGAGTGATGTGTATACATACATCCATACTGTAGTACTCTCTATCGACTTCAGCTGCATTTCCTGATCCCATTCCCATCTCATCCAGCTTCAACATGGGCAAGATTCTCCCCTCCATCTCGCTTTATAATTGGGCCATTGTCATGCTAATGGCCCTGGGCACCACGTCGGTCTCGTACGCGCTGTCGTCCATCAGTGGTGCTCTGGGCCAGGCGAGTTTCTACGTCTCGATGGATCTGGTGGGCGATGCGACCGCTCCAGGGTATGCGCAGACGTCCAACTACATTGCCGCATGCACGGGCTGCTTGCTCGCGGGCGGATTTGCCGGAGTGCTCTTCAACGCCTGGGCGGCCGACATTCTCGGGAGACGACTGGCGTGTCAGGTTGGCGCGGTGGTGTTGACGCTGGGCGGAGCGCTGCAAGGCGGCGCCACCAACCGAAGCATGCTCCTGGGCGGCCGGTTTGTCGCCGGTCTCGGCATGGGAGCGCTCTGGACCACGATCCCCATGTACCAGGCGGAGATCTCGACGCCGCAATCTCGAGGCTTCATGGTCTCCATGACCGGCGTCATGTTTGCCCTGGGCTACATGCTGTCCGGCTGGATCAATTTCGCCACATACTATGCGGGCCAGAAGGACCCCTCGTCCACGTTTCCATGGCGCTTCCCGCTCGCGTTTCAAGCCGCGCCGGCCTTGGTCATGCTGCTCTTCTCGCCGCTCCTGCCGGAGTCGCCTCGCTGGCTGCTTCAAAAAGACCGGCACGGCGAAGCCCTCGCAATCACCCGCCGGCTGCATCACAGCAAGACCGACATAAATGACTCCTTCGCGAGACGCGAGTACATCCAAATGTCCAAGCAGATGTTACACGACACGCGAGTCCAGCAGCAGATCGGATCCTTCTACATCTTCCGAACCGCGTCGAATCGAAAGCGGTGCTACCTCGCATTCGGCCTCCTGTGGGGTTGTCAGTGGATGGGACTGACCGTGGTGGGCACCTACGGGGTGTTGGTCTACTCGTCGCTCGGCATGACCGGATCTCTCCCGTTGCTGCTCCAAGCCCTCTGGGTCACCATCTCCCTGCCGGGCAACTCCTTCACCGCGCTGTATGTCGACCGAGTCGGAAGACGGACCCTGCTCCTGATCGGGGCCATCGCCATCCTGGTGTGTCTCTGTTTCAACACGGCATTGCAGGCCGAGTACCTGGGCACCAGTAACCGAGCCGGCCAACGGGCATCCATCTTCTTCATCTTCCTCATGATCGTCTTTTGGGCCGGCTGCGTCGATGCCACCCAGTTTGTCTATCTGTCCGAGATCTGGCCCAGTCACCTGCGCGCCCAGGGTCAAACTTTGGGCATGGCCGGTTGGATGTTGTCGGGGATCATCCTTCTTGTCGCCGCTCCCATTGCAATGGACCACATCGGCTGGAAGTTTACCTTGATCAACATCTGCTGCACCTTCGTCTTTGTCTTTTGCCTCTACTTCTTCTACCCTGAGACCCGGGGTAAGTCGATTGAAGACATCAACGCTCTTTTCGGCGACGAGGTCGTGCTGCACTTGGAAGACGCCACGGACGAGGAAGGGGACATGTCCAAAGAGGGCATTGTGCAGGAACTTGAAATGGAAGAAGGAAGCAAGCAGGCCTGAGGGTAGATCGGTACCAACATCCCAATCATCCTGCAAATGACAATGAATGAGAGCGTCAGCTTCAGGTTCAATTCAGGTTCAGCTGCCCTCGCCCCTTAAGATCAGGTCAGGTCAGGTCAGATATGTCAAACTTGGGCACTAACTCAGGCATTCCCAGCCTTGTTCTTTAACCAGAAGGCTGGTATAGGCACACCTATATAGCCTGGACTCCCGCATATCCCTTTGATAGAGAACATGGAACATTTCAACCTTTGACACGTCTCTCACAGGCACGGTACATAGTACATACTAAAGCGAGAGTCAACCAGCACTGCATGCAATCATTTGCACCGTGCCATATACCTACAGTATATACACGTTATGTACTTTTCGCAATGATTCGATACAGTGTACGCTAATTCAGCTGTCGAATTGGAGGAAGAGGAAGGCGAGAGACGGAGCAGAACAGAAGACCAACCTAGGGCAAAGTGACTTCACCCTCCTGTCTCATAGATGTATAGAGACGTCCATACATAGGTACGTATAACGTACGACATTAGGGTATAATGTATAATGTACGACATTTAGGACATATAGATAAAAAGTATCCTGGATCTATCTACAGCCTCGATCTGGTGCTGGTCCCGGTCTCACGAGGCTCTGAGACATGCACATTTCGACCCATCAGCATCTCCAGTTCACCGGTGTTGACCAAGTGCGGACCTAGTTCATCCAGACTCGTGACGCCCAAGAGCCGCATCGTCGTCTCGATTTCGTCAGTCAGCACTTTAAAGGCGTACTTTAAGTTAGCAAGGTTTAGGGTCTAGGGTTTAGGGTCCAGGATCCTAAATTCCCCAAGGAATGGAAGGGAATAGAATAGAAAGAGAATGGAAAGGGTAGGGAAGGGGAGGGAAGGGGAGGGAAGGGGAGGGAAGGGGAGGGAAGAGACGGGAAGAGAATAGAAAGGGTAGGGAAGAGACGAGAAGGGAAGGGCAGTAAAGTTCCTGACCTGTATCTGATGGACTGACTTACTTTCAATTGCCTTATGTACCCCTTGAGTACCGTATGCACTAAGAGCATACATAAAAGGACGGCCCAAGCCTACACCCGCCGCGCCGAGACACAGAGCCTTAAGAATATCGGAGCCGCGACGCACGCCGCCGTCAAGCAGGATGTGACACTTGGTGAGCACTTCGGGACAGAATCGTCGGATCTCCATCAGCGCCACCAATGCCGACGGCGCCGAGTCCAGTTGCCTCCCGCCATGGTTGCTCAGGTACACGGCGTCGATGCCCAGGTCGCAGGCGATTTTGACGTCTTCGGCGGTCAAGATTCCTTTGAGACAGATGGGGCCGGCGTTCTGCCACGCTGCCTTGATCCAGTGCAAGTCTTCCCAGTTCAGGGTGGATGAATGAGGTGCCCGGACCAGCCTTCCCTTGGAAACGGAAGCGGAACCGGCAACGGACATGTCAGTAGTAGTGTGGTGTAACTGTCCAGGTTGGCCACGCTTCAACTTCAGCGCCTCCGCCTCCCGGATTTTGAGTCGCTCGTCGTCCTCTCGGATGCCAACCACGTTCGTGTCCACGGTGACGACGAGTGCCTTGTACCCCAGGTCTCGAGCGCGGCGGATATTCTGGATGGTCTCCTTCTTTGATCTCTTTACGTACAGTTGGAAAAAGAGACAGCCACCACCACCACTACCATCACCACCATAACCACCACCACTACCACCATCACTACCAACACCACTACCCCCTCCTGCTCCGGTGGTGGTGGTGGTGGTGGTTGCCGTCCCGAGACATGCAGCAAGGCCCTCGTGCGAGACGGACGACGAGTTGCTCACACAGTATGGGATGTTGGCTCGAGCCGCCCCTCGAGCAAGACACAGTTCTCCATCCGGATGTCCCAGCCTGGCGAGGGCACACGGCGCCATGAAAAACGGGAGATTACTCTGAAAGCCCAGGATAGTCCGCGCCGTGCTGACCTTCTGTACGTTCCTCATGATCCGCGGCCGAAACCGCACGCGCTTCCAGTCGTCCAGGTTGTGTGACAGTGTAAGGCTATCTTGCGCCGCCGACGAGTAATACACCCATGCGCGCTCCGAGAGGACCTCTTTTGCCGCCGATGCCAGGTCATTCAAGTTCAGACAGGCTTCAATAGGCGTAGATGTAGGCGTGGACATAGGCGTGGGCATAGGCGTAGGCATAGGCATAGTAATAGAACCTGGAGATGTGGGTGTAAATGTCGGTGTCGGTGTAGGTGTACCGCTTACGATGCCCTTTTCCTTTCTGCGCTCATCGGTAGCCACGGCTACGACGGAATCCGAATTGCCCTGCTCGACATCAATTCGCCCAAGGTGTTTGTCTAAAGCACATAGCTATCATTAACCAGGGGACTGGAATGGGTTGAGCAGATATCTACTTCTGCAGGACATCGTAGTCACTGTACCTCGAGACAGCCCCTTTTCAATTGTGTGAGGTGGATGAATGGCGTCATACTCTTGTGTGGCATCCTGCTCAGGCAGTTCAGTCAGTGTTCATGATGCTTGGAAACATACAGACAGCCTTTTGGGATATCTGGCACTTTAAACATAGACAGAGAGCATTCTGAGATATCTGGCACCTCAAACATAGACAGACGGCCTTCTGGGATATCTGAGACCTACATAGGTGTCTCCGGCGGGGAGGGGCGGTAGGGGGGGAGATAAGTTCCTTACCTGGCCTGCATATCGTAATATCGATGTCGCGCCACCTGGATGCTTGTCCAGAAAGTCCGACAGGTCATAGACGACCCCGTGGATGACGACCCAACATGATTCCCGATGGTTGTGGGTTTGCACCTCTTCCCAGCTGAAGGGTTTGCACGAATTCATCTCAAACATAGGGGAGAGGGAGAGGGAGAGAAAGAGGGAGAGGTAGACATAGACGTAGACGTAGAGGTAGACTGTACTGTCTGCTTATATGTACTGTACTTGGTAGGGCTGTATGTGTATGTCCTTGAACATAAACCTCCGTCGTAGCCTCTTCTAGTCGTATGATATATGATATATGATATGATATATATGTTGTATGTTGATCGCCGTCACTATCACCATAGGATGGGATGCCGTGGTCCAGATATCCACATCCACATCAACGTCCGCCAGCAGCTCATCCAACCACTGTCTGACTTGATGGTCACTATAAGTCACAACGATAAGTAAGAAAGGGTGGGTTCAAGTCACAACCCTCTTTCCGCCAATTGATATACTACTATTACTATAGTACCGCCCGTTGACTGGATGACAAGTTTGATGTATTGCCCATGGGGATGCAGTCGGTGGAAAGCGGAAGTGGAAGTGGAAAATAGAGGTGGAAATAGAGGTGGAAATGAAGTGGAGATGGAAGTGGAAGTGGAACTGAGGCGGCTTCGGCTTCGTAGAGGCGGCGGAATATAGTGTACCCAAGGTAGGTATGTACAGACATGGTACTGTACTGTATCACACCCCGGCGGATGTCTTGACTTGCGTGGGCTTAAGGCTTAGGCCAGGAGCATCTCCGGCTCAGGCTTGTACAGTATACATAGTACAGTAACACACCAGGGCCCCGATGTCCCAGAACCTACTACCTATGTACCTTAGATATAGTAAATTCTATTTCTATTCCCATTCCCATTTCCACCCGAAGAAGAAGAAAAACAATATACAGTACAGTCCTGAAAGACGTTCTTCGTCATCCTCGTCGTCCTCCTCATCCCAGCCTTCGTCCTGAAAGCCGACAAGCACGCTTTGTGTCCACGCCATCCTTCCAGTACACTATATATACATTAAGTACTGGTGTGTTCTAAAAACCCCCCTACAGCATCGAAGGGTAGCCTTACCTAACAGACTATATACATTAAGTACTGGTGTTATAAAAGAAAAGAAGAAGAAAAAACCACAGCATCGAAGCATAGCCTCACCTCACCAACCTAACCTAACCCGACCTCACCTTACCTAACCGACCTAACCCAACCTACCGTCATGGCATACAAAGTGCGATACATGTGGCATCCGACGCACCTAGTTTCCGATCTTGAAGCATGCTCCAAATTCTTCCGAGAAGTCTTCAACGTGACGAGCGTGCCAGTGGAGGCCAACCTCCCGCCTCGCGAGGAGTGTCCAACATACCCGCGCGACTATTCGATCCTGACCATGATCCGCGAGGTCATGTTCGACTGCATCGACCCTCTCAAGTACGTAGTGGAAGGACGGCAGACATTTGAATCCGTGGACGCGCCGGGCCACGGCCACCTATCCGGCTTCGGGCTGGCAGTCGACGGCGCCGACGAGCTGTACAAGGCGTGCGTGGCCAACGGGATCCGCAGCACCGACCAGGCGAACCGGCTGGGGAGTCCCAACCGGCCGCCTGTGACGGGGTTCAAGCCCGCCACGCTGTTCTTCACCCTGCCCGAGACCACGGGGCTGCGGTACCAGATCTATGCGCGAGCCGCGACCGGCCCTCCTCACCCGCGCGTCGATCCGGAATGGACGCTGCCGCCCGTGTCGGCGGACGACCCGCTCTCGCTGGAGTTCTGCTCGCATCACACCATCCTCTCGTCGAACCCGGCCAAGGCGCTTAATTTCCTCGTCGGGATCCTGCACGGCCGCGTCATCCACCAGGGGTGCAATGAGCTTCTCGAGACGGATAGCACTTATATCGCCCTTGGCGACGGCGTCTACGAGGTCGCCGTGCCGACGAGGGCGGGCTCGTTCGCCGCCAGGGATTTGAGGTTCAATGCCCCCTTCGCCTTCGACACCTACCATGCTCTCACGTGGAAAGTCGCCGACCTGTCAAAGGTCCGTCGCCACCTCGAGGCCAAGAACATTCCGTTGTTGATGCAGGACGAACATACCCTCGTCACGGATCCAAAGCATACTATTGGAGTGCCGTGGGGGTTCACGGACAGAAAGGTCCCCGGCGACCTGAGACTGTCGCCTTGAAGTGAAGCATACCATCGGAGTGCCGTGGGCTTTCACGAACCGAAAGGTCCCTGGTGATCTGAGGCTGTCGCCATGAAGTGAAGCCCACAGGACCAGAAGGTCCCCGGCGACCAGAGGCTGACGCCATGAAGTGGAGCAGAAGGATAAAGGATGCCGAAAGGACAAAGTCGGATCTTGCAGTCGGAACAAGTACCAGTATACTACCACTACCAGCACCATTATAGTACCACTACAGTATCAAAGGTTAAAATATACTATGTTGGCTATCAAAGGGGTATGGGGGAAGCCCAGACTATATACGTAGAGATGCCTATACCAGCCTTCTGGTCAAAGGGCAAGGGGCAAGGCTGGGAATGCCTATAGGTAGTTAGTGCCTAAGTTTGACATATAGTATAGTAGTTGACTGCTAGTTCTGAACGTTTAGCCCTCATAACATAAATGAGATGACTGAATTGAGAAGGAGGATGCCAATAAATCCAAAGCAGAAGCAGAAGCAGAAGCAAGAGCAGAACTGAATCTGCAATGACAGGTTGAGTATGTATGATAGCATGTACGTAACTATAACATACTACTATCTATTGGTAACCTGCACCAGCACCAGCACCCGCTGCATGGACATACTTACAGTCCATCATGCCGACCAGTTGAAACTATTCCAAAGATCTAGGCTGGCATCATCCAACAGGAATGCCATACCACATGTGGCAGTGCTAGTGGGTTCCGAGACTGGAGGCTTCGACAAGACATCTTGAAACGGATCTTGATAGATACTGGGCAGAGAAAGATCCCACTCAACATGATTGTTACTGTTACCGTTACCGTTGCTTATGCTGCCACCATTCCAGGGCGCGCAGGGGGCTGGACCAGCCGATGATGTTGTAGTTGTAGTTGTAGTTGCAGTGTTTGCCGCTGCCGCTGCCACTACCGCTGATGCTGACTCTGACGCTGACGCCGCCGCTGCACCAGACCACGTACACGTACTCATAAGCCCCCGAGAGTCGATGATATCTCGCGCCACTTGGATAGGTCGTCGCAGCTGCTGTAAAACCCGCCGGGCCAGGAATGACCTCTGAGAGAACGACTCGAGGATCTTCAAGCACTTGGTCAGGAGATTGGTGGCCGGCCGAGTCAGGTCTTCTCCGTTGGTTTGTCTGATGACGATGCAGATCATAGGCACGATGGCGCCGGTGAGGTGGTGCAGATACGCGTGACGTGTGCAGCGATTGGAGCGTTGAGACGGGTACGAGGCCTCGACGGCCGCCACGACTTCGGCGGTGACATCTATGCACAGTCGTGCCGCCTGTTCTCCGTACGTGAGATTGATCATCTCCTCCCGCCGCAGCAGCATTCGCAGGTACAGGATGCGTAAATGGAGGATGAAGCCTTGTTGGAGGATGAACGGGAGCGGCGCCGTTGGCCCATAGTAGCTCTGTTGGGCTGACGACGGCGACGGCGACGACGATGTCGGGTTTGGCGGCGGCCAACGCAGCGACGACGGGATGTCTCGCGCCAATGCAAGGATCTTGTCGTCCATGGCAGCAATAAAGTCCTGGCTGACGGGCTTCTGGGCGCGCGCACCGAACATGGCCTCCCACACCTGCGACGACAGACTGGTCAACTTGATCGTCTCTAGCAGGTAGGGCACCGGGGATAGGGCAGGCATCTCCGGTAAGGAAGCCGGACAGTGTGGGTATAACATCCGGTCGTTGACGCACTTGGGCAGTCCGACGTTGAAGTCCGACGGGCGAAGAAGGTCGGGGATGCCGCGGGTCTGCGCGGCATTGTGGTTAAGGCAGAAGACCGACCAGAACAGTCGCTGCCGGTATGTCCGGTCGTAGAACGAGCAGTCTTCGCCCCACGAAGGCTCGTTGTGCAGGCCCAGCTGGAAGCACACGCGCACCGTCGTGCCCATGGTGTCGTAGGCCGAGCTGAGCAGGCCCACGTACATGAAGTACAGCGTCTTGACCACCAGCGTCTGCACCGTCACCATGTTGGCCTTCTCCAGCCAGCTGGCGTGACTCAGGAGCTTCTCGCCGCGGCAAAATTCCCTCCAGCCGGGCAGCTGTTCGTCCTGGCTGAGGGTCGAGATGGAAGTCGAGGTCGAGGTCGGGTTCGGGGTCGGGGTCGAGGCGTCGGACAGGATGCTGACCACTGCCATGATGAAGCTGAGGAACGCCGCCACTTGCACTGCGCCGTTCTTGCTCAGCTGGTTCGAGTCGTGCGCCATGAAGGCCGAAAACTGCCCCCGCAGATGGGCTTCGTTCATGCACGGATAATGCGGCTGCACGTTGGCGAAGAAGATGTCCAGAGCTTGCTGGATCTTGCTGGCATCTTCGCCTCGCGCCTGCTCGACGGTCTGGTCGATGTCCCGATAGATGTCGGACACCATGGTGCTGGTCTGGCCCAAGATGGAAAGGGAATGGGAATTGGCATTGGAAGCGACACCGAGCCCGCCCCCGACCTTTGTGGGTGTGGTTCCGGGTCTGGTTCCTTGTGTGCGTGTCACCGACAGATCGAGGAGGTCGATCTGCTGGAAGAAGGCGGTCCCGGTCATGAAGTTGGTGTTGCGCTCAAACACGCTTTCCCGCCGAGACGACAGCTCGTTGGTGTCGATGTCGATGGTGCTGAGAGGGGTTTGACTTTGACCACGATGATTTCCCCCGGGGGAGCACGGCGATGGGGATGGGGATGGGAATGCCTCCTGAGCCTTGGGCGACTCGTCTTGAGCCTGCGTCGTCGTTCTTTCTAGCTCATGACGGTGGTGGCCAATATGGTTGGTACTTTCTTCCCGCCTTGCGGTGTTGCCAGGCCTGAGCCTTTCGGGAGTCGCTTTGTCTCTTGCAGCTGCGGCGTTGAGATGCAGGTTCAAGTTGTTGGGCCCCCGTCGTGGTCGTGTTTCTGAGAAGACACATTCAGTGGCCCATTGGCGACAATTCCGGCAGACCTTGGAGGGGTCGCCACTGCATCTTCTCTTTCGGCGCTGGCATTCGTTACATGCCCGGGAAGTATACTTGTCGCGGGCCCTGACTGCGTTCGAGCCCGACACCATGATATCTGGTAGATTCCTCCTTCTTTCTCTTTCTCTGTCTCAAGCTATTCGGAGGATCACTGTAGGGACAAGGCTCCAGATTCCATAATGATCAACTCGACTTGAGTTGGCCACACTGGATGACGTGGTGCAAGCTTGCCAACGCCTGCTGTACTGAATGTTGGGGACCCCGCAGACAACTTGGATGGCCGTGGAGTGGCGGGGGATGGTGGATGTTGGTACAGTACAGTACATACTGTAGGGTCCGATCCCTGTTGCTCGTCCTCGTACAGGTTCCGCAGGGAGCAAAGTGAGAAGTGAGCAGGCATCTCTGAGTGGTGGAGCGGAACTCTTCAGGCTGGACCAGGAATTGTCGGAATTGTCCATTGTCCATTGTGCAGCTACTCTCGCCCGTTCCGCCTCCTGCTCCTCCCCTCATCCGGGCCGTCCAATATCTTTATGCCTTTTGTGCGACAATACCGCTCGCTGGTGGATAGTGTGCAGCATCTACCAGGTACGTCCGTAGGAGGAGGAGGAGTCCAGATGGTGACAATCGCTTGGTACGTCCTTTCACATTTCAGAATCGAATGCGTCCAATAGATGAGCGGAATGGGAAAGATACAGATACAGTAGGCCAAAACAGAGAGAATTTAGCACTGTCGTATCGAGCCTCAACTTCTCGCGATTGCCCGGACTGCCTTCTTGCGTGCATGAACGTCCACACTCACTGTCGACCATCTACTAGGCGCCATCACCCATGTACTCTACTGAAGGGTAAGTCGCTTCTTGGCCTTTGATCAGACTTCTACTTCTCCCGATCCTGCGCGGTTATCGGTATCGTACATTACCTTGCCTCTCTGGAGGGTTTTAGTATGCTAATGCTAATCGGAGAAAAGGCAGACGGCCAGCAGACCGGCAGCAGCTGGACTTGGGCTGCGATCATTCTCAGGTCTCCTGCAGGAGAAAGAGACGGTGATCGGAGCGGCCGTGACGATTGGAAACACGCTCTGCGCGCAGATCACGGCGCGGGCGGGCTTTGACTGGGTGCTCATCGACATGGAACATGCGCCGGTCTCTGCGCGGGAAGCGTCGAGCCTGGTGCAGGCGGTGGTGGCGGCATCGGCTGGACAATGTGTGCCCATCATCCGCGCTCCATCGCACGGGGTCGAATGGATCAAGTGGGCGTTGGACTCGGGGGCCGCCGGGGTCATCATTCCCATGGTGACGAGCGCGCGAGAATGCGAGGACATCATCCAGCGAGCCGTCTATCCGCCGCGAGGCCAGCGCAGCTTCGGGCCCTTCCTGGCACCCTACGCAGACATCGACCCGGCGTCCGACGTGCCCAAGTATCTGAGAGAGCGGGCGAAGGACCTGGCCATCGTTCCCATGATCGAGTCCCTTCAGGGCGTGCAGAACGCCGAGGCCATCTTGAAAGTCCCCGGCGTGACGGCTTGTTTCGTCGGGCCCTACGACCTCCGCCAATCCATGGGACTGCCCGGCGGCGATGGCGAAGAGCCTGCCTACATCGAGGCGTTGCAGACGATTCTCGAGGCTGGCAAGAAACACCACGTCGTCATTGGCACTGTGGCTGGCACCGAAGCCTCCTCCAGACGCAAGGTAGAGATGGGCTTCAGGTTCTTGCTCACCGGCCAGGAGCCGAATTTCCTCGCCGCCGGTGCCAGATCAGCCTTTCAACAATGCCAGCGAGGCGTGAGTTCTGCCAGGACCAGCAATCTGTGATCTACTATCTACCACATGGTATGTATTCGACAGAGGGTTACGTACCGCATGGAAAGACCAAGGACAAGGACTCGCTTAAGAGTCTCTTCAGCTTGACTACTACTAGTACGAGTATTCTAGGTACACAGTACCACAGTGTGGATTGGATCCGATATCTCGAGATTCTTTGGACTGGTACATACATGTATTGCTTAAAGACCTATCTAAGAATACCACCACAGCTTCATAGGATCTCAGCGAGTCCTACACGTACACATACGCCCTACGCTTCTCAAAAGATGGCCACAACGTTAGAGTGACTACCGACTCCGCCTACGTTCCGTCGTTAGCAACAATGTTTCGTCTCACTACTCCGGGGGACAACCGGGCAATAACCCGGCTTGACTTGCCTTTCACGTTCGCCGGGCTACTGGAGAGGAAGAATGTGTACCGTTGATGCTTCTTGCACAAAGCAGCCAGCTCCTCGAGATCCCATAGCTCACCGATCGGACAGCCCCAGAGGGGAAGCAGCCAGTGATGGAGGTGTTCGGGCTCGTCCATCGGCCACGTCTCGAAGGCCGGAGCGTCGCTGGCCACGGCGCTGAAATAGTTGTCGTGCAGGAGCTCCACCGTCTCGTGGGCACGCGAGAGGCCTGCAAATTGCAGATCCAGGTAGGCCTTTGTCCCCAGCTTCTCGCGCTGTCTCTCGTCGAGCTTCCTGTAGGCGTCTGAAAAGCCGGTTCTCACGATGAAAATGTCACCGTAATGGAATTCCACCCCCTGTGCCTTGGCGCAGGCCTTGATCTCGTTGGCCGTGATCTTACGCGGTGTGAATGGATCGTATGACTTTCCGCAGTGGTCGTAGAAGTCGATGAGGACGCCTCGACCAACTAGAGATGACATTTCGAAGGGTCGGGTCAGCTTTTCCTTGCTGCGAGATTTGTCACACACGGGGAGACAGAGAGACAGATATGATGCATACCAATGCCGCGATGAGCCCAAGCACTGGTCCCGATCTTGCCAGACTTGTCTTCGATTTGTTTGACCGTCGTCTACAGAAGAGAAGCTGGGGTTAGCATCAATGTTCGCTTCAAATGGTGTCGTACTGCGGGCTTAGGCTTCGGAGAACAGTGGTAGTACATTGTTATACCAGATAAAGCCATCGTTGTGCTTGATGCCAGCCTACTCGACTCGGTCCAGTCAGTCTTTCCCCATTTTCTCTAGTCGTCCACCATAAGATGACTCGAGCGCAGCGCGTCTGCAAGGAGAAGGAGAAAGAAGCAGACGCAGACGCAGACGCAGTCGTCGGATACAAAGGCAACGCACATGTCGGAATCCATCCCACTGAGAGCCGCTTTGCGTGTTCAACTCGTACAGATCGTCGAATGCATGCGGCCGGACCTTCACAACCGTGTGCTTGAAAGCCTGTCGGCCGAAGAACGGAGGCTCCGGCCACTCGGCAGGGAGACTTTCCGTCGGGAGCCAGTGGTCAGCCCTCTGTCTTGGATCTGGCGGGTAGTGCGTTTGTAGGGACTTGATGTGACATCCAAAAGATGGGATGGGGGTGGTGCAGTTGATCTGTCTTACTTCAAACCCGCCCTCTCGCCCGTCTGAATCAACTTCGCAGCCTCAGTGACCCTTCGTGGTGTGAGGAGATTCAACCGTCCTAACTGTGGTGCAAGGTCATTAGTACATGGTATCTCTGATCTCTGGGGCCGGACGGGATTGCGATGTGATGAGAATGACTCTGAAAGTTGCATAATGAAGGTGAAGGCCCGCGACTTCACCTCATCGTTCGGTCCCCAGAACCAAGCCGCATGCTCGGGCGCACCCGGTATCTTTGGTAGCTCGTTCAACTTTGGGAGACAGTCGGAATCTGGGTCCCACGTCGCCATTGTGTCTGTGTCGAGCCTGAGCTGCGGTCCAAAACGAAAAAGAAGAAAGCTTGGGGGCTGATAATTGAAGTCTATCACAACCAGAAAAATACCATGTACTCTGTACTCTGTTGACAGGGTAGGTCAGAGGTCAGATGCCAGATGATGTACACCACCATTGTCCATTGTGCTGCGCCAATCTTCCACCTCCGCCCGCTTGGACAGGGTCTGCTAGCTCTTTTTCCGCCATGGGACTTGTAGCGGAAGGAAGGTGGAGGAAGAATTCTGGAGGATTTGGGCGGGGAGCCGTTCTGCGTTCTGAGATGTGACTCGGACCGGTGGCTGTGGGACGCAGTGCATTTGTATGGTAGTTCCGCTGCTTGGTGCAAGGCGATTCACCACGGCTGGCTGCGGAATCGGAATCGAAATCGACTCTGGGTAGGTGGAAAGTGCGGTAGGAGTAGGTACCTTACCTACAGTCTCCTCACGTGAACATGAAGTATTCCTATTCCGCCTCGCTTGCTGCACCCAGAACCAAGATCCGCCCCCATCTTCGCTCCCTTAAGTGATCACGATGAAGCCTGATGTCTGATGTCTGATGTCAAGTTCTATAAAGTCTAAACATTCTCATTCTCACGATATTGGATCGTCCTAGACTCACCTAAGCTCCCTTGATATCTAGCCATGGCCCACTTGACTTTTGGACTGCACTGACCTGACGGCAAGCCACTAGAACCCACATCCATGCGATATGTCCGCCCCGAAAACACTCCAGTTCAAGCCTCTTCACCCAACCTTCGCAGCTGAAGTGGAGGGACTGGACTTTTCCAAGCCCATCCCTGACTCGGTCATCGCAGAAGTGCAAGAAGGGATCGACCGATATGGCGTTCTCGTTTTCCGCCAGGCGAACATGGACAACGACACCCATGTTTCGTTCACGCGACGGTTCGGAGAACTGGACTCGATGCCCTTTATCCGTCGTCGAGGCCGCTTCCCAGACCAGCCACACCTTTTCGACGTGTCCAACTTGGACGACTCTGGCGAGATTGTCAAAACCAGCGACCGCGCCATCACGCTGCTGAAGAAGGGCAACGAGCTCTGGCACGCCGACATGCAGTACCACCCGCGAAGAGACAAGTATTCTATGCTCCGGGCGGTGGAACTTCCGCCCAAGGGATCTGGTGGCGAGACTGAATTTGCCGACTCCAGGACAGCCTACGACGACCTCAGCGAAGACTGGAAGGACAGGCTAGAAAACGTGGTGTGCGACTGTTCCCTACTTCACAATCGCCGTTCGGCCGCCCCGGATCTGTATCGAGACGTGGATCCGTACGACTGGTCCATCTCTCACTTCAAGGCTGTCTACCCACACGAGGGAAGCGGGCGCAAGAATCTCTATGTCACCAGCTACACCTACAGATTCCAAGGGTATTCTGTCGAGGAGAGTCAAAGGATGATACGGGAGCTGATTGAGCACGGCTCCCAGCCGAAATATGTCTACCGGCTCACCTGGGAGCAGCCTGGCGATGCCGTCATGTGGGACAATACCGCTGTCTGGCATCGAGCTCTCGACGCGTCGGAGTACATCTTCAAGTACCCACGGGACATGCGCCGCACCAACACCTTCGACAATGGCCCTTATGCTTGGGGAGAGAACGAGGTGGGCAAGGACTGGAAGGTGCAGCTGCCAAAGGATCCTCTCGTACACGAAGGTTAGTCGAAGAGAGTGGCACTGGACAGGGCATGATGGAGGGCCTCGGGCTCTATGCTGGGTCCAGAGGAAATCCGGCCCTCTGGTGACAGGACTCAGACTCGCCCACAACTTGTACACTACGGAAAATCACGCAAGAGAAGGTTACTTCGTACCATGCTTTAGTGTACTGGCAGTCGAAGTTGTGCTTAGACGTGTCGGGCTCTCATTGGTGATTCTAAGCCGCCCAGAACCGGTGTGTCGAGTCCTAGTGAACAGTTACCTACCTACCTAAGATACCTCAGGTACCCTTACGTACTGCAGTAACACCGGTACTTGTGTATAGGTACCCTTCAGCTGAAACCACGTATCCGTACAGGACATAGCATGTCACTTGCAGAACTCGAGACTTTCGTCTTCTCCTCTCCTCGCACTACTCCGTACTCATGTACCTACTAAGTACGACTAGTAACGAGAAGGAAAGAGGAGGACTTATACTGAAGATACCAAGTAACAGTGACAAAGAACCAGGCATTTACTAGTAGCCGATGAAATCATTCTAAAAAGCAAACTTGCTGGAGCCGCCGCCCGGTAGATGATCTCGTTACCTAGTGCTACGTACCTTCCAGCCATGGAGAAGCTCTCTATCTCGCCTAATGTCGACCAGGCTGTCGACACCGCCTCAACTCACCAAGGCCCAGCAAGTCTCTGCGGACGCTGTCGTGATCTCAATATCAAGCGCGTGTTTCAAAAATACGAGAAAGCGGTCAGAAGAGGGAATGACTACGTTGTGGCAGAGCTGGGCAAGGTGGAAGACATGAAGCAATCTTCGTGTCCCCTCTGCCATTTCTTCGCCAGCATGGCTCTAGGTCGCCAGACAGACAAGACGTGTGAGTGCATTCTAGATGAGGAGTCTCACACCTTTCCGGACATTGATCCATCGGGTCACTTTGAACTCCGAGCAATCACAGTGGGACACGCCTATCTGGGTCAGGAGAGAGGTGAGCAGGCCAGACCAGACGTGTCTGGTCTGCAGCCCCAGGTCATGCTCGGTCTTGCGCCTGTGGGAGCGAGCGGCTCTTATCCTGGGCATCACTGCTGGTATAGGATGGGGATGATTGCCCCAGTGCAGCCAGATGGTGACAGCTCAGAGTATCCTCCTCCTCCTTCCACCACAGCCTCACCTTCTACCAGCAAAGGGACGAGGAAGGAGAAGGCCAAGGCGAAAGCTAAGGCCGAGACGAAGCCGTGGAGTTTACAAACAAGACGGATCGTGGCTGACCAAATCCCCTACCATGTCCTTAATGGATGGCTGGACCAGTGTCGGAATCATCATGAAGAAGAATGTCAACCGGTCCGGTTCAAAGATCCACCATGCGTCAAGGTGATCGACTGCAACACACTAGAGATCGTCAAGGCCCCGCAGAGCTGCCAGTATCTGGCCTTGAGCTACGTCTGGGGCAGCACCCAAGAACGCGGTGATGGACCAGTCAAGAAGTTGGACTCGGAGAATGTCCCGGTACTGGTGATGCCCGTCAAGATGGCCTTGGTGGTCACCGACTCGATCGAGGTGACGCGTCGACTAGGCTACCGATACCTTTGGATCGACAAATACTGCATCGACCAGGAAGATGCGCGCGAAAAAGCGTCGCAGATCTCCTGTATGGACCAAATTTACGAGTGCAGCGTCGCCACCATTGTCGCAGCCGGTGGCAAGGACTCTTCTTTCGGCCTGCCTGGGGTGACGACCCGGTCGAGGCTTCCACAGCCCACCGTGCGCGTCCAAGGCCTCACGTTGCGTTCGACACTCCCGAACCCTGTCTACACTGTCCGCCGCTCCGGTTGGATGACGCGCGGATGGACTTACCAGGAAGGCATCTTCTCCGCGAGACGGCTCTTCTTCACCGAGCATCAAGTGGTGTTTGAATGCCGCAGCACCATGTACAGCGAGGTTTTTGATCATCCTGCCCACATCCAAGTTTGGCAATTTCAACACGACGATAGCATTGTCTTTGGTTTGGCAGATGTGGGTGATGGCCCTCCGACGATGCAGCAGATGGTTCTGTGCTTGCAGATCGAGGCATACAGTGGCCGGAACGTGACATATGACTTGGACGCCCTCAATGCATTTCTGTCGGTTTTTACCCGCTTGAGGAGACTCAAAAGGCCAATCTACCACTTTTATGGAGTGCCTATCATTAAGAGACGCCCCGGAGACGATGAAACCGGTTCTGATGACGACGAAGCCGCCTCTGACGACGACGAAGACTACAGCGAGGGTAATGAAGCCAGCTCCTCCTCCGACCAAGCGGAACCAGAGAAAGAGGGCGACCTCAAGCCTGTGAAATCCCTCATGGAGGCGCTATGTTGGTACCACATACCCGGCTCAGTGGGGGAGAAGATGACAATCAGACGGCGACCAACCTTTCCGTCGTGGACGTGGTTGGGTTGGACGGGGAGACTCTCCTACACCAAATTCCTGGGCATGCCCATCGACGAGCTAGAGGATGTCGAGGTCGACGTGGAAGACAAAGACGGCCGGCTCTGGCCGTGGACCACATGGCTCGACGTGATGCAAATCCTGGCTCTGAAGGACCAAGACCGCCTAAGCGGCCGACTGCGTGTGAAAGGATGGCTGGAGCAGGCTGATATAATGTCTCTAGGCTATAAGACCGGGTACTATGTGAAACGCAAGGCGGGCCGCTGGCGCAGATCGCAGCAGTTGTACCTTTCGGTGCCAGGAGACCCAAAAAGAAGAGACGAGGAAGAAGAGGGTGAAGATGACGGCAACGACGACGTGATGGCAAACCTACTGCCCTCCCCCGACACTGCCACTGCCACTGCCACTGCCACTACTATTGCTGCTGATTTCCTCTCCCTTGGTCCTCTGATGCTACTGTTGAAGGACGACGGCGATGGTCAATATAGTCGCTGGGGAGTGACCGGCTACTATAAAAAGAAAAGGTCATCTGCCAGCAGAAACTCCACCAAGGCCAGACCCCGAGACGGCCAAAGCCATGACGTCTCGCATTCTTCCTCTTCTTCTTCTTCTTCGCACCGACAATGGAAAGAACTATGGCTGATATAACAAGGGCGACTTTTCAAGTACTATGTCAGACTAGATATCTTACCACTTACTCTTTAGGTTAGACATATTAGTAGGTATATTTATCTATCTTATCCAAGTAGATACCTAAATTTGCGAGTACTCGTGGGTTTTCGCGGGTAGCAATCCCGGAAAGCTTTTTGCTAGGCTTTACGAGTTTAGCGGACGGGGTAGGAAGAGGGAAGAGGTCGAAATGCGATCCAACCCGGCCCGTTGCGCAGTCTAGTTTCACCGGCACCCCGCTGCCGCTGCGGGGGATAGCATCTATGAACTAACAAGCACAGCCAGGGCAGACTCGAGGCTGATTCCATCCATCGAGGCTGTGCATTTGTACTCCGCATAGAGTACAGATATCGCATGACTGCTGCGTGCTGCGTGCTGCCTGCCGAGAGAGCATGTGATGTGTTCCTTCCCTGAAATCATTAGGTTGTCTTGCTGGCTAGCGTTAGCCGCGTCGTTTGAGGAAGCGCTTTCAGCCTGATTAAACTTTCTTGATCATGCCTTTATGCAATCGTTGCCTCAGTCCTGGCTATAGCTCCAAACTCTGCGTCGGCAGATACATTCGATTGCCATCCCGTCCTACTTATTGACGCAACGACTGTCGAACACCGCCCGACCCGGCTCGCAAGAGCCAGACCGATACAATGCGCCTTTTGAAGTTCGACGGTCAAGGCGAACCAACTCTGACCGAATTTCACGATGCCATTCCTCCGTACGCGATCCTCTCGCATACTTGGGGGCCTGATCAAGATGAGGTTGATTTCGACGACCTCCAACGTGGAAGTTTCAAGAATAAGGCTGGCTACGCGAAGATTCGGTTCTGCGGCGAACAAGCTAGAAAGGATCAGCTGGAATACTTCTGGGTGGACACGTGCTGCATCAATAAAGCTGATTTCAACGAGCTGCATGAGGCTATTACCTCGATGTTCCGCTGGTATCGTGACGCCGTCAAATGCTACGTCTATCTCTCAGATGTATCACGCGATCAAGATGATGACTACTCGAGGCGGACATGGAAACAAGCCTTTCGAGGAAGCAAATGGTTTACAAGGGGATGGACGCTCCAGGAACTTATTGCGCCAGCCTCCGTCGAGTTCTTCTCGAGAGAAGAAGAGCGATTGGGTAACAAGGCAACGCTTGAACAGCAGATACACGAGGTCACTGGTCTACCGATTAGCCTTCTCCGCGGTGAGTCACCTGTAGATCAGTTCACCATCGAGGAGCGGATGCAATGGGTCAGGAACCGTAACACCAAAAAAAGGGAAGACAAGGCATACTGTCTGCTCGGAATTTTCGGAGTCTTTATGCCGTTGATCTATGGTGAAGGAGAAGAGAACGCCTTCCTCCGACTTCAAGAAGAGATCGATAAGCTTCCAAGGAGCAAGTCACTCGAGGGAATGGATTCCTGGATTCGCGAAGAGTGTTACTGTCCAGACAATCTCAAGATTGTACGACTGTCTGGCCAGGAGCTACCGATGGACCAGTGCTACATCAATCTTGCTATTGTACGGCGACACCGTCAAGATGCACCAGCATCTTCCTCCAAAATTGCGTCTAAATCCTCTCCCTTTTCACTACTCTCTCGACTACACATCACGGAACGGGGTGAACAGACACAGGTGCCATTGTCGACACTTTTCGGCCCGTGTACAGGACCGAGCGGTGGTGCAAAACGACCTCGACGCATTTTGATTCGAGGACAGGCAGGAATGGGAAAGACCACTTTGTGTAAGAAGGTTGTCTATGACTTTACCCATAATGCTATGTGGGCTGATTCATTCCGCCGCTTGCTCTGGATCCCGCTACGCAAGTTGAAGGTACAGGTTGAGGGATCCAGTATCCAGGATCTATTCCGTGATGTATTCTTCCTTGCCCACATTGATGGGGCATCCATCGCACGCAGACTGCACGAGAGAGTCGTCGATTCGAAAAACGGCAGAACACTGTTTGTCCTCGATGGTCTGGATGAAGTATCTGAGGACATTCCAGAGGATGGAGGTGTCTTTCAGTTGCTGCTCTATCTTCTAAATCAGCCTAACGTTATCATCACAACTCGACCAGATGCCGTACTCCCAAATCGCCTATATTCTCCAGACCTTGAGTTGGAAACCGTCGGTTTCTACCCTGACCAGGTGACAGCCTACCTCAAAAAAACGTTTTCTGGTTCACAGCAAGCTGAGCAAATCGACACATTTCTCAAAGATCATGAGCTCATCCAGGGTCTCGTTCGCGTCCCTATTCTACTGGACGCGCTCTGCCTCACCTGGGAATATGGTGACAGCTTCAGAAGTGTACCAGATACCATGACCGCCGTGTACGGAGCAATTGAGCACAAGCTGTGGAGGAAGGATATCGTGCGGTTAAATAAAATTGTTGGTGGAAGACTCTTGGGTGGCACTACTCTCCGGCTCGCCCTACCGTCAGAGATCAGGGGAATCGTCCAAAATGAGATGCGCCTGCTTGAAACTCTAGCATTTACTGGACTACATGCCAACGTTATCAACTTTACTCCACACTTTCTGGACACGATGTGCGAACACTTCGAAGAACCGCAGTCGTTTCCCTTGCTCTATCGAGTCTTGCACAATATCTCTTTTCTACGGACGTCGGAATCTGCACCAGAGAATCATGGCCAGAGTTTTCATTTCTTACACTTGACCTTTCAAGAATACTTTGCTGCTCGGTACTTCGTACGCCGCTGGAGAAGTCAAAGCCCGCTTGAATGTCTGCAACCCGACAACAGAAGCGTTGAGGAAATTTCTCCCGCCAGTTTTCTTCAAAAGCATAAACACCAACAAAACTACAACATCATGTGGCGGTTTGTCGTTGGGTTGCTTCAGCCTGGAGAAGACGATACGAGACGATTCTTCAAGACAATTGGGGAGCATTCCCATATCCGCCACCAGCGACTGATTATGCAATGCTTAAGCGAAGTAAGTCATTCGAATAGCAGCAATGATCTCGTTTTGCTTCGGAGGGAGTTAGAAGATAAAACTTCCGAGTGGCTGCGTTTAAGAGATAATTTCAAATTTGCCCGATATCTAGCCTCTGGAATGGAATTTCCCAGGCAGATGCTGGACTCTATATTACGGGAAGGCCCTGATCAGGCGAAGATATCGGTTCTCAATGCGCTACAAAGCTGGCCAAGACTCCAGCCGTACATTATCAACTCTATGGGGTCTTTACTTGACGAAAAAAACAACGGCGTCAGATCCGCGGCCGTAGAAGTACTCCGAGGTCAATCCTCCCTCTCAGACGAGATCCTCAACCAGGTGGTAGCACGACTACAGGACCAAGACCGGGATGTCAGATGCGACGCCTTAGGAGTACTTCAAGGTCAATCCTCCCTCTCTGACGAGATCCTCAACCAGGTGGTAGCACAACTGCAGGACGAATACTGGGCAGTCAGATACACGGCCTTACGTGTGCTTCGAGATCAATCCTCCCTCTCAGACGAGATCCTCAACCAGGTGGTAGCACAACTGCAGGACGAATACTGGGAAGTCAGATACAAGGCCTTACATGTGCTTCAAGTTCACTCCTCCCTCCTCTCAGACGAGATCCTCAACCAGGTGGTAGCACGACTGCAGGACCAAGACCGGGATGTCAGATGCGAGGCCTTACATGTGCTTCGACATCAATCCTCCCTCTCTGACGAGATCCTCAACCAGGTGGTAGCACGACTACAGGACGAAAACCGGGCAGTCAGATGCACGGCCTTATATGTGCTTCAAGTTCACTCCTCCCTCCTCTCAGACGAGATCCTCAACCAGGTAGAAGCGCGACTACAGGACCAAGACTCTAGAGTCAGATCAGCAGCCGCGGCCCTGTTTGAACGCCATCGACCATCTGGAACGAGATTACGCTTAGCAGACCTCAGAGAAGATTCTCCACCTGAGTAGGCCAAGAAACAGGTTTCATCAACATGTACCACGTGGGTTCATCCATGGCAGTGGTTTCTACTGCTCACGCTGCTCGGTAGAAAGTTACGGGACGGAAACATTTCTTTCAAGAGCGACTTGAATGAGCTAGATCGTCTTGGAGATACCTATGATTGACGATACCTATGATTCACGATACCTATGATTCACGATACCTATGATTCACGATACCTATGATTCACGATACCTATGATTCACGATACCTATGATTGAAGATACCTATGATTGAAGATGTACTGTTAGGTGACTATCCCATTGAATTTAGTACTCTTCGGTACCTAATGAAGGACATGAAAACCGATGAAAACCGATGAAAGGCATGGCCGAAGCACGACGATGACGATAGCCTTTTCTGCTCTTAGCGGTCAAATTGGTACAGATGGATTAGATTCTTTTAATAGCAATAGCCGAGTTGCCAAACATCTATCAAGTATCTAACACGGACATGGATTCTCGCTTCATTAGGTAGTATATAATATACCAAACTCATAGCTCGGTCTTGACCTGGAATCTGCTTCTGGCACGAAGCTGTCGTCCGTACCTGAAAAACAGAAATGGAAGCGGCAAGCAAGCAAGCCCAAGAAATGCCAATAGGGAAGAAGCCCATTGATAACCGAGTACTTCATACACTGTAGCTATGGTTAGAGCCGGTCTCTTCTCTCATGCGGGTCGCCAAACGCCTTCACTTACTCTGGACGCCAAACAGGGGAAATGCTGCAGCGAAGGCTAGTCGCACGAGCACGTTGGCTGCGACGGCACTTGCAGCATAGTCGGCATATGCATCGACAAGGAATGTCAAGATCCCAGTGAAGGCCAGGAAGACACTATTAACCCTGACGGTTAGAAAGACAGATTTGTGTGCACGGACAGGACGGGATGCAAAACTCACCCAGTACCAAAAACACCACTTCCGATGATCGGAACGATCCAGTGCACACTTGAATAAGTCGTCCATCCGAACCAGAAGAGGCCGACTGGAACAAGGACGGCGCCAGCCATGGCGGGAGGTAGTCGGAACTCTGGCTCGGGCTTGATCCCTTTCTGCCCAGTCTTTTCTTCGTAGCCTCGCACCAAACGTTCGTAGTTCTTATGCCAGTAGGGATTGGTCATGACGCCGACAATCATGCCAATTCCCAGGCCCAAAAATGCCAAACCACCCTGATAAAGCTCAAAGCCGTGATTGACGCGAAAGACCAGAGGAATCGCGCCAAAGAACAGATAGACAATGCCGAGAAGAATGGCCGAGTAGAGGCAGAGCAGCAGGCACATCGGCTCCAAGATGAGCAGCTGAAAGGGCGTGTAGCAAGCATGAATAATGGTGTGGAGGACGGAGGCGTCATTCCTTTCGGCGGGGGCCCACCATCTGTCATTGCCCGTCTCCTTTCGCTTTCGTTGCGCCTTGTTCTTTAGCAGAATCTTGGGGAAGGTCTCTGGCACAAGAAGGACGACGGCGACGAATAGAGCCCCACTCCAGATGAGGAGGAAGTAGAATGACCATCGCCTGAGAAGGGAATCTGATTAGCACTCTTGAAAAAACAAGATGAAGCTTGAGCAAGGGTAGCCATACCATGAGGTAAACTGATTGATGAATCCTCCCAGAATTGGGCCAGCAGCAGGACCGAGGAAGGGAGTGGCGGTATAGATCATCATGGGGAAAGCAATCTGTTTGGGCTCGAACATATCCACCACCGAGCCGGCGGCAACGGCGAGAAATGCACTACCGGCCAGTCCGTCGAAAAATCGACCTACCAGCATAGTAGCGATGTTATGGGCGACCGCTTCCGGAATGAGCCATATCACAAAGAAGCCCATCGAGGCGAGATAGATGGGTCTCCGGCCGTAGAACTGGGGGCCAATGTTAACAGGACAAAGGTTCAAGGTGGGCGAGCGAGAGAAGAAGGTACCTACCTCACTCAGCGGAGCCAGCATCATGGGTCCCACGGCTAAGCCTACTACGAAGGTTGACAGCCCTAGCGTAGCGACCTCTCGGGAAACATGGAATTCTTCCATGATCTGTCCGTACGTGACAGCATAGAGAGAAGACGTGCAGGTTCTATCTGGTCGGTCAGGACTTCCGAAGGGGTTTCATGGCACTAGCACAAGGATGAGGCCAGAATACTCACACGAGAAAAGAGCAGAAAGACACAATGCACACGATGAGCCACTTCCGGGGAAGGCTGAGGTTCCGGGGCGACAGCTTGTCATCCTTCCCGTCCCAGCGGACCTCATACGCATCTGTCGGAGTCCGCTGCACGGCCAGATAACTGTCTATACCGTCATCTTCGTCTTCTTGGAGGTTGTGGGTGGAGTATCCATCGGTCGCTACTGAGCGGGACCTCCATAGCTCAGCCTTGTGAGCGGTGGTAGTAGGGGTTGTGGGGGGGACGAGGGCACGATCAGGCACCGTCTCAGCCTTCTCGAGATCTGTGCTATCGGAGGCCGACGACAATGAGTCGTTGTCGCTGTCGTTGTTGCTGGATTTCCTGGTCGGACCCGAGGCCTTTTCGATATCGATATCAATGTTGGACATACTGGCACTTGGGGTGTATCCCAATGTAGAGCACAGGGGCGGAGTGCTGGGAAAATGGGTGGTGTTCAACACCGCTTGTGTTTGTGTGGTTGTGGTTGATGGCTTGAGGCCGATATGAGCCACCACAGCCCGCCATCGCCATATTTATCTTTTCCCTTGTCACAAAGCCCGAGCTCGAGCCCCGGCTGTAACGGTGGTCTCAAATTCTAATTGCCGCAGGGAGCGCGCGGGATGGGAGAATGGGATTCTCGAATGGGAGAGTGGGAGAGGTGGTGTGTGTTGCTGTCGTACTGTCGTACATTACTAACAGGCCAGACCCAATTAGAGATGGCCGGTGATGTCATGTTGAGTGTTAGTCAGCGAGATGCGCCTGCTGGGGAAGATGCCACCAATGAGAATGAGAAGATGATGTCAGTGCATCGGCTTTATGAGGAGCCTGCGCTTTTCTCCTTGGGGTTGTTGTACGAAGCGGCCGCTGGTGTCATGCCAGTCCGCAGCTTACTACAGAGTCGATTTATCATTCTGCCGCTACTGCCGCTGCCTTTATTAACAATCCTTGAAGGGCGCATTGTATTGCATTGCATTCCGTCCTACCACCGCCTCTCTCCTTATCGTCGCTTCCGGCGGTGACCAGGGTACAGGCCAAATGGTTCAAGCGTGCCGGGCTCCATCTCGATTGCAGCCCCCAGGACTCGAAAGCTTGCTTGTCATGAGTCTAGCTCCGGACATACCTCCGCAGATAATCCATCACCCATCACCCGTCACTCTGGCTGCTTAGAAAGTGACATAGCTCAACAGTCTCTTCCACCATGGCTGCGCATAGTACGCGTCCAGAGTTGCCAGGTCCTCCTCCGAGAGGTGTCGTCGACCGCTTTTTAGGTCGGCAGTGGCCGGGTCCTGCAACTTGGTCCTAAACCACAATTTCCAAGCGAAGTAGGCAAAGAAAAACAAAGGCATGCAGAGCATGTTCTGGAAAAAGATACTCGCGGATGGTGCATCGCTGATCGGGCTGGCCGACGTGTAGATGGTGCAAGCCAGAGTGAAGAGGGTACAGCCGAAGAGCAGTGCTGGCACGAGTGGAAAGTACGGCACTTTGAACGCGTGCTTCATCTCAAGCGCCGGGTCGCTCTGCGCCTTCAGAGCACGGTGCATGCAGAAATTGGTGATCGGAATGGTCAGCCATGCAAAGAAGGTGGTCGTGGCCGACACGGAGCTGAACCATGCAAAGGCAATGGCGCCGCCGGTGGAACAATTGATGTAGGTCATGACGATGCTGATGGCGGCACAGGTGAGGTTCGAGTAGAGCGGTCGTCCGAGGGAGTCAACCTTGCCGAAGATGGCTGGAAACATGCCCATGCGTGCCATGGCAGTCTGGATTCGGGACGCGATAAACATGGACTCCGATCCGATGCCTGCCAGGCCGATCAGAAGCACCACGTTGACAATGTCGGGAAGGACCTTGATGCCCACTTTGCCCATTGCAATGATGAACGGCGACGCCGCCACGTTGCTGCTGCCGAGCAGACCTGGCTCTGTGTACGGAACCAGGACAGTCTGGGGGGGCTTGTTAGCATCACTGAACACCGAAACATACCAAGTACAGGCCCAGACTTACAATGTAAACACAGGCAGACATGTATATCAAAAAGATGCGAACCAGGAGATTTTTGGATGCCCGAGGCAGGTCCCATCGCGGAAATGCAGATTCTCCCGAAGCAATTGCAATGATTTCCTGCCCGCCCGTGGCCCAGGCCGCCAGCAGAAACACGATAGCCACGCCCTTGAAGCCGTTGGGGAAGGCGGACAGATGTTCGTAATTGTAGCCTCGATCGATGGCACTGCCACCATATCCGCAGCAGATGATCAACATGACGAAGAGGACGATGAAGGTGATGGAGACTTTCAAGGCGCCGGTGACGAACTCGAATTCTGCAAATACGCGGTTTGGGAGGACGTGCTGTTGCAAGCATGGTCAGAATTTCGGTTCGCAGCATGAGGACAGGACGCGGAGATCACTGCAGGCATACCTGACCAAGCACAATCACCAGGTAAATGGTATACCAGGCTGCGGCAGGGACAGAAGTGGTCCAGTAGCTGATCACGACAGGGACGACGGCCCCCTCGGCTGCTACGACGGTGAGAGCGCCAAACCATTCAGCGAAGCCGATGGCGAACCCCAAGGCCGGGTCGACGAACCGGGACGCGTGGTCGATGAAGCTGCCACTCGTTGGGAACAGACATTGTGCCTCCGACAAGATGTTCAACATCATCATCGCCATGGTGCAGATCAGGCCATAGCCGATGATCATACCAGGAGCCGAGCCATAGCGAAGTGCCTGCCTCACGGTGCAATGTCAGTCGTGAGATGGCAACGTAGAGCGCCAGCTGGGGGGCTCGCTGGCAACGACAGAGGGAGGGAGAGAGTGTGTGCGGACCTTGCCTGAGCTGACATATACACCGCTGCCGATATTGGCCCCGAGAGCGATCATCTGAACGTGGCGGGTTTTGAACTTGCGCCTCAGTTGACCCTTGGGGGCGCTGCCTGACGTGCCTGCATACTCATTGCCGTCTTCCAGCGGGATTGCCTTCAACTGGCCAAGCTCGGAGTCGGCGCTCTGCACTGTCGGAGCAGCGGTCTTCTCGATCGGATCTTGCATCGTGCAGGTGGACGAAATGGCCTGACGGTGTCACAACACTGATATTGGCAAAACCGAAATGGTTGATGGGTACAACCCCATCCATATATCGATCCAGGGCCATATCAACCGTCGACTCAATATTCCCAAACCGACGGCGATGTTTTGATAGGATTCCAACTACCAGCAGCCGGTATCAAAGGGTTGGCCTAGCTGAGTGTGCGACACCAGGATCTTCTTGATTACGGTCGATAATGGCGGCGCAAGGCTCCACCCCTTTCGCTCTAATCGATTGGCTGTCGGCGCCGAACCCACAATGCCACAGTCGAGCACAGATATCTAACCGGCCCCTTCTCCGTCCCACGAGTTTTATCGACGGCCTATCAATGGCCGTGAAGACGGAGCTTCCCACTGCGTGAACACAGAGTGAAGCAGACAGAGGGCGATGAAGCCCGCTTCCGCCTGCAATATGCTCCGCCCTGAACCTCCTATGCGGGAGCAATCTCATGCCAGGCACCACCCCGTTCACGGAGTCTATGTCAACGTGTCGGGAATGAGTCTTCTTCCTTCTGACTCGTGCGAATTCCGTTCCTTGACCTATTTGTCTCACCGTACTGCCATGAACCGCGGAGTCGTGTCCAAGCACTCGAGCGGTGCCTGTCGGCGCTGTCATGGCCGAAAGGTCAGATGCGACAGGGTGGAAGGCTTGCCTTGTTCGAAGTGCCACATGGTCGGCGCTCCCTGCGTCCCGTACGAGAAGCATCGTCCTCAAAGGCGTCCAGCCATCAAGCCTCTAGCCCCGTTACCAACCAAAGCAAGGCACAACCAACCCCGGAGTCCTCACAGTGCGCCCGCAGAGGCGCAAAGGGTGCTATGTTCACCACTGCAACCTCCCCTCTCACAATTGGCCAACACCTCTCCCCAACCATCTCCTCAGGGCAAGGTTGTTGAGCACAGCACCGCATCGCCGACATCATTGATCCACATCGACGACTCGACAGTCAAACGACACTTGGTGGAGATGCTGTCTCAAGACGACGTCGACAGCCGCGTGATGCAGAGCGGTGTTCGCATTGCATATGTCGGACAGGAGTATTCGAACATTAATTACCTGATCCGCCACAGGACCAAGAATCCTTCCGTGCACCACTTCCCGGCCGATCAAATCTCCCGTCACTATACCAGCCATGAACTGGAACGGATCCCGAGAGAGGCATTCGTGCTTCCTTCGAGAACCTTGGTGGACGAGTTGCTGGAGCAGTATTTCATCCACGTCAACCCGGGATTCCCAATCCTGGACGAGGAGATATTCATGGCCCAGTATAGAGCCCGGGACCCTCGGAATCCTCCTTCTCTCCTTGTCCTCCAGGCCGTGCTCATGGTAGGCGCTCATGTTGCACGCGACCGGCCGGATCGGGATTCGCTGAAAACCATGTTCTTCCGTCGCGCCAAGATGCTCTTCGATGCTCGCTTCGAATGGAACCGAGACGTTGTCGTGCAAGCCGCGCTGCTTTTAACATGGCACTCTGAGGGCGTGGAAGATGTCGGTGCCAACTCCTATCACTGGATTGGTATCGCAGCACGAACAGCATTGGGGCTGGGGATGCATCGTGACTGCGGGTCCAGCACCCTGGTGGCCCATGACAGGCGAATCTGGAGACGGGTCTTTTGGATCCTGGTCCAGTTCGACGTGATGGTGTCTTTGTCCTATGGACGGCCGCAGGCCATCCATCTCGACGAGTGCGATGTGCCTCCTTTGACCCCAGGAGACTTCGAAGGGGTCGGTCGACTCGCTCAAGTTGATTTCGTTATCCAACATACCGATTTATGCTCTCGGATATCAAGAATCCTGCGCGACCACTTCCCCCTCAAGAGGAGTGAGGAAGTCCATCGCAACTCCTCCACCATCGCCGACGAGATCATCGCGGATTGGTGGAGCTGCTTGCCCTCACATCTGCGGCCTCGGTCCGCCGACTCGACCATCTGGTCCAAGGTGTTGCTCTTGACGTATAACAACTTTCTGATCCTCTTGCACCGTCCGCCCCCGGGCAAGACTGCCAGCGTCAGCGTGTCGAGGTCGAATGATGCCGGTAAGTTGACATCTCCGCAACAGATTGCGAATCATCGATCGTTGACCAAGGACCCGTAGATATCTGCAGCTCTGCGGCCAATACAATTACGGATTTGTTTGACCAGCTGCGGGAGAATAATGAGATCCGCTTTCTTTGGATCTCGTCCGTGAACGTCCTCTTCACCACTTTAATCCAATTGAGCGCGGAAATGCGAACGGCCAACCCTATTCTTGCCGTCGATGCTCTGCGGAGGTTTGATGTCGCGCTGGATTGCCTCGCCATCCTGGCCGGGTACTGGCTCAACGCCGAAATCATCCTTCGCTTGTTCGAGGAGAGCTCAGAGAGACTGCAGCAGGAGCTCAGGATCGGCAAGGCACGCAAAGTCACCCATCCTCCGTCAAGGAGGGAAAGGGAACGCGGTCATGGTCACTATGGTAGCGCTGCTACCCCTGAAGAGCACCAAGAAGAATGCGGTGAATTCTCAGACATCGGTTGGCGGGACTTGTACTCGTACAACCAGGACGCTCTTCAACTGGCAGGAGCCCAGCAGGACGATACCGACTGGGGCCTACAGTATTGGGACAACACTGGACTAATTTTCCCCGATAATTGGGATACCTTTCCCCCTGATGATGCCTACACAAGCTTAAGCCGAGGTCGCTACGATTGACCGGTGCTTTTCCAAGAATGCTCCAACACAATCGACGAACCTATCCAGCTCTTCTTGAGGCGTCTCCAGGATCAGGGCGATAGAGCCCCTCCTCGTGATCCAATATCCCTCTTCCAGCATCTCGAACCAGAAGAGATCCTTCAAATCCCAGTCCTCGTCGACCTCCTCGACACAGCGGATGTCTTGGGCTCCTTGATGTGTGAAATGAACGGCCAACACGGCTCCACGGCCGGTGAAACAGCATTTGGTTCCTTTGGTGATGCGCTTGAGTTTCTCGAGGAACACGTCTCCCATGGCATTGAACTCGACGTTGACCTCCGGGGTGAGAACCTTGGACAGTCCTGCATATCCAGCATGCATGGTCATTGTGTTGTTGTTGAATGTCCCGGAATGCGCCAGGGCATCCTTGTTGCGAGGGTCGTAGACGGACATGATGTCCGCCCGGCCGCCAAACGCGCCAAACGCGAAGCCGCCGCCCAAGTACTTGCCAAAAGTGGTCATGTCGGGCTTTAGGCCTAGAATGCTCTGGAGTCCTCCTGGGGCGAGCCGGGAAGTCATGACTTCGTCGAGAATGAACACTGCTCCGACCTGGACGTGGTCAGTGGGCGTCGCGACAATCAAAACAGCACTGCATTGCGGTTATACCTTCTTGGCCGACTCCTGAACGGCAAGCATGAACTCTTGGGTCGCGGGAATGCAGCCTCCAGCGCCTTGCATCCCTTCGACGAGGACGGCAGCCAGCCCCCGGGTCCCCTCGATGGCATTTCTCGCAGATGTAATGTCGTTGTACTTTCCCAAGACCCAATCGTCCAGGTCGACGTTATTGGGAGCCACCCCCGAGCCGAAGGAAAAGACGGCTCCATGATAGCCACCATTGAAGACGACGACTTTTCGGTGACTGGTAAATCTGCGGGCAGCAGCCAGAGCGTGCATGGTAGCTTCGGTGCCGGAGTTTGTGAACCGGATCGATTCGAGGTTGAAGCGTTGGCGGATCAGGGCGGCATGGCGCTCCTCTTGGACGATAGTTGATCCCAGATTCAAGCCGACGTGGTCAAAGGTAGACACGATTGCTTCTCTGATGACCGGATGCGAATGTCCATAGATGCCGGCGGTCAACTCGCCGACAAAGTCAAGATATCTGGATCTCGGTCAGATGATGGCTTCGGGATCAGTCTTGCGACGCTCACTTGTGGCCATCTTCGTCAAACACATATGGCCCTTTGCCGCATTTCATGCTCAGCGGAAACGGCGAGGTGTGAAGGAGTGACCGCGTGTTTCCTCCCGGCAGGCTCTTGACCGCGACTTCATGCTGTTTCTGGGATTTCGGATTGGCCGCCTCGAACCGGGCTTGCGCTGCAGACAGAGCAGCCTTAAGAGCGCTCTCTGACCCTGTAGTCGCGGCTTTGGCCTTCACGTCGGCCGGTGTTTTGGGTAGAGTATCTGCCAACGCAATGGGTGCCATGATGCCCTGGATGTCAAGACAATCAGTGATAGATGGAAGCGGTTTCAAGCGATCCGCTCATTACAGGTCCTCGTGCAAGTGAAATATCCCAGTAGCTCTTGATCGACGGCGTATTCAACCGTCTAATTCTTTGGCCGCGACCATCCTTGGTACGCGGGGCCGATATCAGCTCCCGTCCGGTCATAAGATAGTCTCCTCAAGCCAACAAACCAAGGAGCCGAGCGATTACGGTCGTCAAGGCGCCGAATCTGCTTTGGCGCCGATCGGCCGCCTGAGAGTGTTCGGTGAGTGGGTCTTTGACTTATCAGCTCGGCGCCGGACGACTATGATCCATCAAGGCATGGGGCCCATGTCTTCCAAGCTGGTCAGCACTCGTGCGACACCGGGCAGAATGACGATAGGCTTGTCTAGCCTTGCCACAAAGGGGGTTGGAGAAGTTGAAAGGTAGGTGGCTCTCACCTCTCACCTCTCACAGCCTCGTGTTGCGCAGAAACCCAGTTGTCGACCTTGAACTGACACCATGCAAGACAGCCTTGTTGTCACGTCGACCATGGATAACGCCGCCAGCTGGCTGCAACAGCAACTTGAAGGCATCCACGAACAGAAAAGCCCCTTCCTTGTCTTGTTGGTTATTACTGTTGCCTTGTTGTCATCGGTGTGGAGATCATTTGGCCCTTTTGCTAGCAAGGTAGGACTGAGGCTGAACACGTCCCTCTTGAGTTTTCTGACGGCTCACGTAGAAGGCCGGTGCGGTCAAGACTCGAACGGACGCCGACGAGAACAAGCACCAGCAGTCTGGCCCTTGGGGTATGGGGGTGATAGAACCGCTCACCGACTTGGACTTGATGAACACCAAGCCCGAACGAATCTACAAGTTTAACGACACGTATCACCTAACCATGGGTATGTGTGATGGCGGATTGACGTTTCCCCTGGTGAGTGTGAGTCACTGACTGGACAGGCTTGAGGAACACTACGATCAACACCATTATCCGCATGGACCAACAATATCTCGAACGCATGGCCGAGCGGGAAAAGATCATCACCAAATATCCCGGAGCGCTGGACTGTCTCCCTTCGGCCCAGGCCATGGTGGACGAACTGTACACCTACTTGGTGACGGAATACTTGCCCGCCCGATTCCCGACCATGTTCCGGATATCGCGGTCGACGCACACGTTGCACAATCTGGTCAAGGACGAGCATCTCCCCCTGGACGCCCCTTCCGACGTGCAAGAAACGCTGCGACTGATTACGCTCAACGTCGACGAGGATTTCTTGATGCTGCTCCCGGCCCCTGACGGAGACGGCTACTCTCTCCAGGCTTTCACGTGGTGCTACCCGGTTGGGTTCGACCCGCAAGACAAGAAAGGCCTGAAGCTCCGCGAGGCGCATGCGCCGGTGCCGTCCTACAAGCAGGTTCTGGAGAATTCGATGGATCGGTACTTTGCGCGCCTGCAGCCCGGGAAAGTGGTGGATCGAGTCAACTGGGCGGTGGCCACCAACTCCGGCCTCTGCGAGAGAGGTGAGTACCATCTGTACTCGGATGATCAGGTGACGACGACGAAGGAGATTGACCTGGACGACACGTGGGTGCGGTGTGAACTGCAGACGCTATTTGCCCTGCCCAAGAGCCAAGGCCGGATCCTGAGCGTGCATCTCTATCTCTACCCGATCCGGGAGATCAAGGAGGTTGGATTGGCCGAGGAAATGTGTCGAGCGATCGACGGCTATGGCTCAGGCAATGCGGCGGGGTTTAGTCGGTACAAGCGCGTGCCTGTGTGGGGGGAGACGGTCAAGGAGTTTCTACGGAGTTGAGTTGACTCAGGGTAGGGTTAGGGTTAGGGTTAGGGTTAGACACTGCGAGTACCAGTGGGCTGACGGGGAGGGGAAGGATCAAAAGCAATCATCAAGACATATTTGGGATGTTTGTGAGATAGATCTCGATATGTATAGAAGGAAGCCTTGGCTCTTGTTAGAAGGAAGCCTTGGCTCTTGTTAGAAGGAAGCCTTGGCTCTTGTTAGAAGGAAGCCTTGACTCTTGTCAGAAGGAATCCTTGACTCTTGTAGTACTAGAAGTCAGACTGACGCTTGACCGGGATATTGGTGTTGTGTTCAGCTAGAAGGGCCATGGCCATGCTGAGGGTAAGGAGGTCTAAGGGTCCTCGAAAGCAGCCTTACTGTAGGCCGTGACGATCTCCTTCTCCTTCTACTTCTACTTCTACTTCGCTGTGCGTCGGTTTCGCACCTGGATGTGTCAAACTCAGGCATTCCCATGGGAGCCTTGCCCTTTAACCACTACAGAGAGGCTGGTTATACTATACTACAAGTATACTACTATATAGCATGCGATCGATCCCCCTGCGACCCTTTGATAGAGAACAACTTGAAGGAAACATTTTACCCTTCAACCTTTGACAGGATGTTGTTCAAGCCCTTGGCCTTGGCCTTGGTATACACTATACATGTAGTATACAGTATTTAGTATTTACGGATTGACGGATTGATGGGTCCGTTGTTTTGTTGTCTCCCAGACTAGTCAATCCCGTATTGGACCAAGGCGAACTGGTTTGGTCAATACTTTTTATATGGAGTACTATGTACGGATATCATCACTCCTGCTCCTCCCCTCCGATGTCATGGTCATGGTCATGGTCATGGTCATGACACTGACACTGATAGGGCATACTTGATCCTATTGGGCGAAGGGAAGTAGTATATATATATACTGTCTGTCGAGGCGTTTCTCTGCAGAGTGCGTTACTCGTCGAGTGCGTTGCTCTACCGGGAGTGTTACTCTGTTGAATGCTTTCCTTGACGCTGTCGAGTGCGTTGCTCTATCGAGTGTCTATATTGCTCTTAGTACGAGTAGCAAGACTAGACCTAATTTGCTCAGTAGGCGGACTTGGGGAGGAATTACGCCCTACGGATTATTTTAACTTAAAGTAATTCAAGGACCGTAGGTCCCACAGTTTCTCGCATACACTCGCTACTGGTATTGAATATTCTAGACTGTCAGTTCCATGATGGACAATTTGTCCTTTAAAGCTGTGCAGGCCGGGGATGGAGGGCCACTTCCATTCACTGTCGTGGTCCAATCATGTTAGTCGACTAATTGAGCCATGATGATAGGACGTTGGTTTCAGGGTATGGTTGACTTTCGACTGTTGACTATTGACTACATATTCTAGTCAGACTAGTACTAGTACTAATAATCCAGCAACTCGTAGCCCTCCTCCGGACGATCAAAGTACCAAGTCAAATCGCCCCCCTCGCACTCCAAGCGACTGAAGCCGTTCCCCATGAAAGCCCAGCGGTTGACTTCCTTGCCGCTAGGCGATGCCGGGTCTGGATCATCCAGCCTAGTCCACTCCCAGTCCTCGAAGCGGATATTGCGAGAATCGACCGCCTTGAACCAATGGATCCGACTACCAGGCCACAGGGCAGTGACCGGGCCAGACTGGCGGCCGTTCTTAAACCAGCTCCGACATTCAGCGGCCCAAGCCATGCGCGGCATGAACGCGTCGGCGTGGCGGACAAAGTCGGTGATGGCGGCCGGCGAGGGCGTGAACGACTTATACCCCTCGACCTGACACTTGTGAATCATGCGCAGCATGTATTTGGTCAGATGCTCGATGATGGGGATCGCGCTGCCGTGGCCGACGGGCGAGTTGGGGCCCAGGAACGTGAAGTAGTTGGGCATGTGGGCGGGCGTCAGGGACAGGTAGGCCGTCGGTCGGTCGGCCCACAGGTCGCGCAGGTCGTGGAAGTCACGGCCGACGATAGGGAAGCGCGGCCGGAATGAGAGGTCGAAGCCCGTCGCGCAGATGATCATGTCGACGGGGGTGTGCTCGCCGCTGGAGAGGCGAAGGCCTGTGGCGTCGACGGAGGCGATCTCGGCTGAAGGGCCGGTCACGACTCGTACGTTGGATTGGGTCAGCGCTTCCAGGTATCCTGTGCCGGGGGTGGGGCGGCGGCAGCCGACGGCGAATTTGGGGATGATGAAGTCGACGAGGGGATTGTGGTTGTGTTCAGCGGTAGGATTGTGTTTGCTGCTGGGGTTAGGGTTAGGGTTAGGGTTGGGATTGGTATCGTTGGGGTTGGTGTCTGTGTTTCTGTCTGTGTCTGTGTTTGTGTCTGTGTCTGTCTTTGTCTTCACCCCGTTCAACTTGGCCGTCGTGTCTGTCTCTGTCTCTGTGTTTGTGTCTGTCCACCCGTTCAACTTGGCAGTCATGTCCCGCGTGGCAAACTCAACCGCCGCCGCCTGCTCCGGGCTGTCACGATGCAGCATGCGAAACCGGCTATTGAGCTCGTGCTCGACGGCCTTGCGGTACTGCAGGTATTCCTGGGGGTCTTGCTCGAAGCGGCGTTTCTGCTCGTCCGAGAACTCAAAGTTGGAGCCGCCCGGCCCGGCGTACTTGGAGCCAAAGCCGGCCGTGACCCAGGTCGGCGAGCGGATGAAGGTGGTCAGATGGCTCACGAGCGGCTGGATCGTAGCCACCAGCTGGATCCCGCTGGAGCCACAGCCGATCACGGCGACGCGCTTGCCACGGAGGGCGGCGGTGTCGTCCAACGTCCACGCCGCACTATGCATCAGCTCGCCCTGGAAGCTGTGCAGGCCCTCGATGGCCGGCCACTTCCAGTTGTTGAGGTAGCCGGACGCATTGATGAGGAAATGAGCGGCGTCATGCACCGTCGCGCCCGTGTCCAGGTCCTGCACCACCACGCGCCACAGGCCGGCCGCGTCTTCCCACCGCGCCTCGACCACCTGGTGTCGGAAGCGGATGAAGCGCCTCAGGTCGTGCTTGGTCGCCGTTTGTTGTAGGTACGCCTCGATCTCGCCCTGTCCCGAGTAGTACGACGTCCAGCCTGGGTTCTCCGCCCACGAGTACTGGTAGTTGTGCGATGGGATGTCGCATCCGCATCCGGGATATCGGTTTTCCAGCCACGTGCCGCCCACGTCGCCGTTCTTCTCGTATATGGCCAGCGAGACGTTCTGCAGGTGCTTGCTCACGTTGCGCGCTACGTTCAGCCCTGAAGCCCCGGCCCCGATCGTGATGATGCGGATCTGTCGTGGTGTGTATAGAGGCTGCTCGGGGACCGTGTAGCCATTGCTGTTGCTGTTGCTGTTGCTGTTGCTGTTGCTGTTGCTGTTGCTGTTGCCGTTGCCGTTGATGTTGGTTGGCGTCGCCCTTGCCCCAGCGTCGCTGCTGATGACCATCGTGAGACTGCAATGGCTGTGCGATGCGTGCGATAGCTGAAGGCTGAAAGGAAATCCAGAGAACCAGTGGCCCCAATCAGTACTGTACTGACCACCGTATGTTGTAATGCCTGGTTGAAGATACTATTACACTGACCAAATCCCTGCAGGAAATAAAATGGGTTAGGCTTCTTGGACTGCACCCGAATTGCACATCAACTATCAACTACATATACAGCCGCATAGCTAAGTAGTCTTAGTCTTGGTCTGCAATCTATAATACGCTTTCTTCTCTTCCCTCTTCCCTCTTCCCTCTTCCGTCCCTCCGCCCTCAGATCTCCGGCGGGGCGGACAGACAAGGCTATCAGTTGGTGGAGACAGGAGACGGGCCTCTGCTGATTGGCCAATCGCGCCGATATGTCCTGATTGGTCCGCGGCGCCGACTCCTCCTCCTCTCCCTCTGTTTATCAACATGTCACATACAGTAGAAACCCTAGACTGCACGCGGGCGCAATTATCAGGACCTCAGGATCATATCATTCTGCCTGAACCTGAACCTGAACCGCCTTGTTGCGCCCGAAGCCGAAGCCGAAGCCGAAGTTCGACGGCGATGCTTTAATCTGAATCTGAATCTGAATGTGACCAAGCTTGACCTTGATCTTGGTCTCCATCTCCATCTCCGTCGGCGCCGGCGCCGCCGTTGGAGGTAGATGGGAGGCGGCGGCCTGCACTGCACGCATTGGCGGTGCAGCCCGACCGGACTGGACCTGGTCTATCTATCTTCTATCAATCATCTATCATCGACCTCTCAAAGTAAGTCCTAGTCCTTGACTAAGCCTTTTTGAATACTACCAAGTAGTATATCATGATCCAGCAAGAGTGAGTGTTTGTGTTTGCGTTTATGTGTGTAATGGTCATGACAACGACTGTTATCGCCTGATCCGACTGCACGGCATTAGTATTCAACGCGCTTCGCTTGACTGGACTTGTGCGCCGATTCAATATTTCGAATTTCGAACCTTGTTGTTACGTCCTGGATACCACTACTGTACGGATACATACCAAGTAGTACCTGCGGTTTTCTATAATGCACGACTCGAACATGAACCTGGACCTGGACCTGCACACCATCAACATCGCCCCGTCCACCTCCTCCGTCTCCGCCGTCCCCAATGAAAAAGACATCTCGGCGCCCGGCACTTACACTCTCGACGCCGCCCCCGGCACCGATATCTACGCATCGCCCCTCCCGCCTGTGCGGTATGTCTTCTCGGCCCCGATCGTCTCGCGCCGTATCCTTAAGGCGGCCTTCCGCTCTGCCAAAGTTGGCGTGCGGGCCCGATGGTCGCTGCAATTCGACCAGGGCGGGCTGGTTTTCATCGTGCCTGACCCGGCCACGAATATAGTCTCGACGTTGAATGCCAATGCCAATGCCAGCACATGCACCAACACCGGCACCGCGCAGACTCAAGATCTAGATCCATATTCGTCCCCGGCTTCCAGCTGGGTCAAGGCTGGAATCGAGGTCAATGATGGCAAGCCGTATGTGAGCGTCGTGACCAAGTCGCGCGACGGCTGGTGCGATTGGAGTCTTGTGCCGATGCCGATATCGGTGTCGAGTACCGCCGGCGGGATGTCGTCGTCGTCGTCTTCTTCTTCTCAAATCACTCTCCGCATGACCCGATCGAAGAACGCATTGATGATCTGGATGATCAATGACAACGACGAGGCCACCCTGATTCGTAAAGTGCCATGGGTCTTCCTCGACCTCGAACTCGACAATCACAATCATCATCACCGCCAGCATGAGTCGACGTCGACACATGAAGCTGAAGCCGAAGCCGAAGTTATGGTAGGCATCTATGCCGCAAGGCCGGATCCTGACAATGAAGCGACGGGGAATCTGGCCGTGTCGTTCCAAGGGTTCAGTGTTGATGTTGATGTTGATGGTTGTCATTTATAATAGTAGCTTAGTCCCCTCTCCCCTCGAGAGGTCCTAGTCAAAGATACTGTAGATACAAGTACAGTATAGGTATCCATGCTCCGGTGACAAAGATACTGTGGGTACAAGTACAATACAAGTATCCATGCTCCGGTGTATTCGCAGAGGTACGGATAGCGATATTGCTACATTCGCATTGGAAGAAGCCAAAAAGGCCGGGCCTTAAGCCTCAGTATTATACTTGTACTGTATATATTAATAGGTTCTATGTAGTTGGCAGTATTATACTTATACTGTATATATAAATGGGCTCTATGTCGTTGGCTACGGCCACTACATACACAGCAGTACACAGACTTCAGAGTATGTAGTAGGATATACTAGGAAATACTCTTAGAGTAGGACGTGGTCGTATCTTTAACTTACACAGGACAGCCTAGAGGAAAGCCGTACCCCAGGCTGAAGGCTGGGGCCTAAGCCTTCTTTCGGCGGTCGGCGTGTCCGATGTCCTCAGGCTGTCCACCCGAGACCTGAAGCTCAGTGGCACTCTCGGTGGCACTCCTGAGCTCGATCAGTCAAGCCTCAGCCTCGAATCTTTTTATAAGTTATCCCACCTGGGTGATACTATCGGCTAAGGCAGCTCAGTTAAACCCGACCCAACCCAACCCAACCCGACTCCGACAGAGATGTTCCCGCATCGGCATCGAGGGCGACGTGGCATTACATTGTACTTCAAATCCCAGAGACAACGCAACCCGTGCTGAAATGCCATCGTACACTCCCGGTGCGACAATGACTCGCTTGGGGTCCGCAAGCAACTCTCGAAACCGCTGTGCAGCGTTCAATGGGCGTGGGTTCTGTTTCTGAGTGGCTGACTCCACGGTGTGGAAGGAGGTGGGAATCTGTTTCTGGTGTCAGAGTGGGTTCGCCCCGGATATTGTGTTCGAGACGAACCTGGGTTCCGGGCTCGTCGCTTTCATACAGTAGTCGGATCATCTTCATCCCTCGAGTCCGACGAGCTGCGGGGGAGAAAGGGTCCTGGGCCGTCACAAACGGCGGGGTTAAGGATTTAGGATTTAGAATTCAGGAAATGCGCTCACAACATCTCGGTTCTAGACCCCGTCCCCGATATGTGAACTGAACGGGCCGGAATGTCCGATATCGGACTACTCGCAAATTCCCTTCAGGTGGCCGGGATGAAAGATGTCGGTCCTGTCCTCGAACACCGTCCTCCGGGCCCAAGGCCTGTGCCGAACGGGGGGAGTCGCGGACACGGGAAAAGGGGTCAACGCATTTGGCTTCCAGGGCGACAAGAGACACGGTTTGCCTCCAGCAACCACTGTTTCCCGAGCTACTGGTATGGTGAATATCCATCCCACTCCCGCAATCGAAACAATCAGGGTTCCAGGGGTTCGCAACAATCATAACTCCTCCACCTTACGCAGCTTGGTAGGGGGCTCTGATGTTGAAGTACCTCGAATTCAGACTCAGAACAGCCATTGTCGCTGTCGCTATCACTGTCGCTGCATTCGGTCGGGTCTCCGAGCGACTGGGGCTCGTCATCCCACACACCACTTGACCTTGGTTGGTTCCAGCTCGCCATCGACACATGACTGCAGCCCCGGCCCCGGCCCCAGTGTTGTGAGATGAGTGAGCTGGACTTTGGCCAAGAAGTGGGCAAAGCGCGTATCTTCCTTGACTGCGAGAAATCTGACCAGGACTGCGTCCGCGTCTTTTGCTCGTCGGAGTGGGTAGGATCGTTTGAGGAGATATAGCTCACCCTCATATTGCGAGAAGAACTTTGACCAGGACTCATCTTGACCGATGATGTGGCACCGAAAAAGAACGTCCTTCCAAGGCCCGGTATTCGGGGCCACAGGTCCGCGAAGCGTGTATCCTCTTGGTATTCGTTGTCGGAGGTCCATCGTTTTTGTGCCCTCGAGGACCAGCTGTTTCTGGTCAGAGGTGCAGGCGATCTGGATCGTGTCACAATTGACCAGCAGCCCTTGGTTCGTGCACTGAGCCCGGTAATGGTCGGCAAAGGGAAGGGCGTAATCTGTCCCCAAGAAAGACGGGGGGGCCCATCTCCAGGGATATGCGGCCATCCGATGAGACGGTAGGAAAAGAAGAGACTCCGGGAGGTTTCCGATTGCAGATAAGAACATCTTCATGCGCTCTTCAGAGACTGGCTGGACTTGTTCTTCCCGTCGGTCCCAGTCAACTCGAATTTGCGCGATAGGGGTTAGATCAAGACCCGTAATTCCTCCCAGACATATCGTCTCATCCTCCTTCCAGCTGGTCGTACGATGACGGGCCCCGTTGACGATTGACGAGAGTAGTCCACTGGGTGTGTTCTCGATACCCTGGAGCTTCCGTCCGGTGCCGGTGCCGCCCCCTGAAAGATCCTTTGAGCGATTCACTATGGTGTCGTACCCCATGCCGCGGATTAGCTCTGCTGCGCCAGAAGCATGAAGTCCGACCGGGTCCGAGTGGAGCGGACGAACGAGAGAGTTCAAACGGACCAGGTGATCCCGAGGGTTCCCCGGGAAGCAGTCCGCCCTGGCAAGGACGGGAAACCATCTCTCAGTAACGTTGCATAGCGAAGTATGTACTGTTTCAGTGTTGATGGCTGTTAGACGATCTAGCTCCCGGATTGGATCGCTCTGAGGAGGCAATGCCGCTGTTCGTCTCACAGCTGCGCTTCGATCCACACTGGCCGGGTCGACCTGTCCCAATGCGCAGAGCAGGTTCAAGGTGCACTTCGTACTGAGCAGCTTGTCTTCTGGGATGCCCTCGAGCACTTCGGAAAGCTCCTCTAAGCTTGACGGTCCAGCACCAGCATCCTCGATTTGATAGGTCGTGAATGCGCCGTCTGCAAACTGAAAAGTGAGTTCCCTGGCCAGCACGGCCTCTTGAAATGTCCAAAGACGAGTGCTCCAATCCGAATGGACGATTTTGAAGAGTAAGCTGTTTGGCTCATCGCTAGAGAAGGAGCTTTCCGCCAACCAGTTGTCAATCACCAGCACCTTGTCGGCGTGCATATATGTCCTCGACATCCGGACGATTGCAAGGGTGCGCAGTTTAGGATCCAACGGAACGCACAGAGTATCCATCCAGAACAGTACATTGCCAGGAACCGGGCCATTGTCAGAGCGATAGAGGTCATTGGCTGCTCGCTGTATGCGGCGTATCTGGCAGGCGTACGAGGCATTCGCCCTTGGATTCCCCATCCCGTGGGACCAGACATGAGAGATGGCCACATAGCGGGCGGGAGTCGTGTCACTGTCACCACCAAGTACAAAAGGCTTGACCTCCAGAAGAGGGGCTGGAGAAGAAGGAGGCTCGGCGGAGATGCTCAACAATGGAATGTCTCCGGCTTCGAGAATCCTACAGACCTCTTCGATCGGCGCATGAACCATGTTGCACGAGTCCAACCCTGGGCAGGCGGGTGCATGGGCGGTGTTGTAGGTGTCGCCATCCAGCTGATTGACGATGCACCCCTTCGTAGAGCAACGAGAATGGTCTTTGTGGCCACGTCGTCGGTTGATCGTACTCAGATAGAGAAGCGTATACGGTCGGTATCGAGATAGCAGGGTCGGCACCTCACCTACACACCATCCGGCCTTCAACAGCAACGGCTTGAACAGTACCTCACGTCCCTGAATCGGGTAGCCCTTTAGAAAAGACTCGTTGCTCGTGAGCCCTGGTTCATGGAGAATGGACCCGAGAACAGTCCTGAGATGGGCCCCAAGTTGGACGATGGACAGCAACACCATGTTCAGCACCGTTGATGAGTTGTATAAATGATCATGATCGCACAGCTGTATCCATGCATCTAAGGCTCGCTCGAGAGTCTGGAGGATGAAAGTGGCGCCCTCCCGCTGCTCTTGATGTCGGCCTTCGATGGTGCATGTTCCGAGCTCCAGCCCGCCAACCCAGAACCAGACGTACTTTCGGAAGTGTCTTCCCGTAATCAGTCTCTCGGCCTGTCCCGCTGCAGATGATACAACAAAGTCCATGGGGTCGAATTCGACGTCGACAACCTCGCAGATGCCATTCAGCACGGCGAAGAACAACCACTCTTGAAGAAAAGCTGCTGCTCCATCGGGACAGAGATTGGTCGATAACGGATGACATGCCAGCTCCAGATTGAGGTCGTAATAAGAAGGGATATCCTGGAATCTAGTCGTCTTCTTGGAGGCATTGTACTTGCACACCAGCGGCACTTGGAGGAAGTGCAACAGGGGGTCCTTTGTGCTGTCGGATTGGCCCATTGCGACGAGTATTCGACCCGTAGAGTGTGGCCCATGCACAGGATCAACGCTGCAGTGGTGTATCAAAGTTGAATTAGCATTCGTGTCCTGTTTTGCGGCATATGTCGGACGACGACGGTCGTGGTGGTGGTCGTGGTGGTGGTCGTGGTGGTCGTGGTGGTCGTGGTGGTCGTGGTCGTGGTGGTCGTGGTCGTGGTCGTGGTGGTCGTGGTCGTGGTGGTCGTGGTGGTGTTGGATTAAGGCTGACCGTGGCACCTTTGCCTCAGCACAGCCACCACGGGTGCTCCAAAACGGCTTAGCTGACAACGCATAGAAAAGCGGTTGCCAACGGACATCTGATCTAGCCGCCTTGTCTGCTCATACGTGGTAGTTGGGTGCAGGTAAATGTAGACTTTCACCTGGAACCACCGATTCTCCTGATATTTATGTTCATACTTGAGGCAATGAAGAGAACCGGAATGAAGATCTTGTCAAACTCAGTCACTAATATTAGGCATTCCCAGCCTTGCCCTTTAACCAAAAGGCTGGTATAGGCATCCCTATGTAGTCTGGGCTCCCCCCATACCCCTTTGATAGCGAACATGGAACCTTTGAACCTTTGACAGATCTAGGGCAAAGCCAACTCACTGCTCATTCTCTACGGCTCAAGCTTGTCGTAGCCCACCTGGCAGCCATCCAGGGCCATGCTGGTCTGGGACTCTATGTCTAACATTATCACATTTGAATACCCTCGGCGGCGCACCTTGCCCGTTGTGTCTTCGAACCTGCCGGTCCCACCAGTCCCACCCGCTCTCTGACGACCGGTGATCTGGACCCGAGTCACATAATCTACCATGTCACCGCGCATGACGTTTATCGCGCCGGCGATTTAATTCAAGACTCGGCCCAGCTACTCGGCGAGTGTTTTCGCCGGCCTCTGTTCGATTCTTCGAGGCTGGCAAAGTCATTCATAAAAGTACCCCCAATTCTGCCTTCTCCTCTCCAGAATACTGATCAATTTTCCTTGCGTTACTTGGTACCTTTCACTAGCCCCTTGACCTCATACTCAATTTTCGGACGATTGAAGATGTGCGGAAACAGCGGTAACAGCGAGAATGTGCTTTTGGTGCTGCTTCATTGGGCACCATCCGAAGAGTATATCAGCAGTTTGTCGCGAATCAGCCCTGGGATACGTGTGATTGTACACCAGACTGCGATGTACGATACGGAAGTGCCCAAGGAAATAACCGACGAAACCTGGGCGTCGGTCACCATCCTGTTGACATGGAAACTCGTTCCAGCCAAGGAGCAAGCACCCAATCTTCGCTACGTCCAACTTATCAGTGCTGGCTGCAATCAGCTGTTCGGACAACCGATCTTTGAGCAAACAGATATAGCTTTCTGCACCGCCAATGGTGTCCACCCGTAGGGATACACCCTTTCTTTGTGAAGTGTTTGTGTTTGCTCATGGACAGTTGACAGACCTCAAATCGCTGAATGGGTCTTTGCCACCTTCCTTGGTTTCCAACACCATCGTAAGCCAGGCACACCCCAGCCGCAGTCTTGGTCATGAACAACTCTCATGTCTAGATCACAGTTCCGGAGCACTACGATAACCAGAAATTGGGCAATTGGGTCGACCCGGAGTCAGACGAGGACACCGAGGATGCAGTCGGTCTGCGGATGTAAGCTTGACCTTCCGCCGCCACCACAACTCCCCGTCTCTGGATTTTGAACCTAATCATGCGCGTCATACCAGAGGGATTCTGGGATACGGCTGCATTGGCCGTCAAGTGGCTCGAGTGGGCAAGGCTCTCGGCATGTCCATTCACGCGTTCACGCTGCATGAGCGTCCCACGCCAGACTCCAGGAAGGACGATTCATTCACCGAACCTGGACTGGGAGATCCCGACGGAGTTTTCCCGTCCAAATGGTACCATGGCATCGAACAGCTCAACGAGTTCCTGGGATCAGATCTTGATCTCTTGGTGATTACCTTGCCCCTGACGTCTAGCACATCCGGTATGCTGTCGAGTGAGCAATTCAACATCCTTAGCAAAAGGAAGGCTTTTATCAGCAATGCAGGAAGAGGCGGTATTATCGATACGAACAGCTTGATCGAAGCTCTGAAACAGGGTAAGATCAGAGGAGCGGCACTCGACGTGACCGACCCGGAGCCGTTACCGGAAGATCATCCACTGTGGAAAGCTCCTAACGTTCTCATCACACCACATTGCAGTGGCAACTCCAACCACTATAACGAGAGAGTCCTCAAGATCTTGGCGTACAACCTGGACCGTCTCACACGAGGTATATCCGTCGTGAATCGGGTTGATCGGGCTTTAGGCTATTAGCCGCCAGCCGCCAGCCCCCAGGTAGTTCTTGTAGAGTTGTCAAGCAATTGTGCTAATTTTCGTCCTTGCTACTGTGTCTTATCTCTTCCCTCGTACCGGGTCTCCAATTGGTGGGGCTCAGGAGGCGGGAGCCTGATGTGGCGGTGGATCCGCCTGGGCCGAGTCAACGGCTATCAGGATCTGGGCCGAGTCAGAAGTTGTGGGGGAGAATTCGCGTCCTGAGATTGGCAGGAAGATAGCCTTCTGAAGATTTCCCCCAACTCACCGAGACGTGGTCCGGAATGCCAGTGGGACGAGCCAGGATAGTACTGTATGTTACCGAGCTTGCTGCCGAGGTGACCAAGTCAGATGGAGAATCTCATAGGCACTTTTCCTCGGATTGTGTGCCTGCGCCAGGTTTACATGTCGCAGGGCTTCGTCTCGAAAGATGACGGCCTCGAATTCGGAAAGATTCATTATTATTCGGCCAGCGTCAGGTACGAAGCCATACCTGTGCTGATTATTATTCGGCCAGCGTCAGGTAAAAATCCATATCTGTGCAGATGCCGAAGAGTGTCGATTTGCCAGAACCAGAAATGCTCAGTTCAATTGCGTTGACCATGCTTGTGGCCATCTCCACCGGTACTCAGCCCGTCGTATCCGCTTCTACTCAGCCCAGCAGCTCGCCGGATTATATAGCTGCCGCAGTCGAGCGTCTCATCGTCACTGACCACCCATCTTCCGGTATTCCATCTCTTCAGAGTATCTCAGATCTGAAACCATGGTGTCAACCCCGCTTCACCCGCTTGATCCTGCCACGGCGGAAGAGCTTGAGTATGCCGTCCATATTGTGAGGGAAAGTCTGCCCGGCGTGGAGCTGCACTTCAAAGTTGCCGGGCTCGAGGAGCCGCCGAAAAAGGAGATGGTGAAGTTCCTTGAGGCTGAACATGCTGGTCGACCGGTCAGCGCTCCGAACAGATGGATATTCATGTCAGTCTTTTCCCGAACCACCCCGGCAATGGCATCGTTTCTCGGCTGACCCGTTAAGGATGTACTATATCAAGAAGAACCCCCGGCTTTTTGAGTGCATTGTGGACATCACGGCCGGCGAGATCATCCATCATGCGGAGTTGCCGCGGACTCAACACGCCCCTGTGGACCGGATCGAGCTTAACGAAGCCGCACAGGTGGCACTGGCCGACCAAGGGGTCAAAAAGGAGCTGGAAAGACTCCAAATCGGCGACAATGTGGTCGTCCTTGACCCTTGGGACTATGGAAAAGACGACGAGTACGAGCAGCGTCGACTGACGCAGATATTCTTCTACAAGCGAAAGTACGTCTGGGGTTGAAACTCGGCTCTGCTCATGTTTTCGGGGGTCACCATAAACATTCCAGTTCCCAACTGACCAATTCCAAAGCCCCAAAAACAATTCCCCCGATTCCAACCACTATGCCTTCCCTCTTGACTTCATGGCTATTGTCGACCTCATCGAGATGAGAGTCATCAAAATCTGCCACTTGCCTCTGGGAGCAGAAGCCATCACCACCAAGCACACCGGGGCTCGAAAGGTGCGTGGACTCTTGATGTTGAAGCCGAGGGCGAGGAAAACGACGACGCTGATTTTTGATTTTTTTTTTCGCGCGCATAGATTGGAAGTCCCGAAGAACCCGAATATGACCACACATTGCAGAGCAAACCTGCCCGGACAAGCCTACGCCCACTCATTGTAACTCAGCCCGAGGGAGCCAGTTTCAAACTGACGGGAAACTTGGTGGAGTGGGAGAAGTGGCGCTTCCGAGTTGGTAAGTTACCTCCAAGCCTCTTGATGCATTCATGGCCTGCAGTGTTGATGTCTGATGTCTGACTCTACTCTCAAGGGTTCAATTGGCGAGAGGGAATGATTCTGCACGATGTCACCTTTGACGGCCGACCGGTCCTCTTCAGGATTTCTCTTTCCGAGATGTTTGTACCGTATGGCGACCCACGGGACCCGCTTCACCGCAAAGGAGCCTTCGATTTGGGCAATGTCGGAGCTGGTGTGACAGCGAATGACCTTTCTCGTATGATCCTCCGCCTCCGCCTCCGCCTCCCACTCCCACTCCCACTCCCACTGCCACTGCCACTGATATGATACAAGAAGTGTTGACATGTCATTACAGTCGGCTGCGATTGTCTGGGATTGATTGCATACCTCTCAGGCCACGTCATCAATGCCCGGGGCGAGGTGGTTGAGAAGAAGAACTGTGTCTGCATGTATGTGACCCTCGCGCCTCTTGCTTCTTTTACCTAGCGACGATTGACCAGTCAACAGACACGAAGTCGACGCGGGAATCCAATGGAAACATACCAACCACCGAACTGGTAAGGCTTCGGTGGTGAGGAAGAGGCAGTTGCAGCTGCAGACAATCATCACCGGTATGCAGCATTCGCCTCTGATAAGATGAAGACCGACGAAGACCTGAAACTGACTGACATGCTGCCCCAGTGGCCAACTATGAGTACATTTTCTACTACATTCTGGACCAGTCGGGAGAGATCGAATTTGAGACCCGTGAGCTCCCTCCCATCTTGATATTAGGACTCACAGCGCGGATGACCATGGATGGCTGACTTTCCCATCAAGGCGCGACTGGAATCTTGTCGACCACCCCGATTGACCCTGAGAACACCGACAAAGTCCCCTTCGCCACTCGAGTCGGCAACGGTGTGTTGGCTCCATACCATCAACACATCTTCAATCTTCGCATCGATCCTGCAATCGACAGCTACACCAACAACACAGTCTCCTTTGTTGACAGTGTTCCTATGCCCCGGGATCGTGTTCTCAACCCTTATGGAACAGGTTACATAACGGAAGAGACCAAGGTCACCCGGTCAAGTTCACAGCAGACAGATCCTTCTAAAGCTCGAATTTTCAAGATCTTCAATCCCAACAAGATCAACCCGGTCTCTTTGTCCCCCGTGGGCTACAAACTGATCCCCATCAATTCACAGGTGAGTAATCCCTTGATGGCAGAGACAGACAACAAGAGACAGACAGCAACTTGAACCGGACTATTGCTGACATTCATGAATATCTTAGGCCCTTCTTGCGGATGGAAACTCCTGGCACTACCGTCGATCGCATTTCGCCGAAGCTCCCATCTGGGTCACAAAGTACAAGGACCGAGAACTTTTCCCGGCCGGCGACTACACCAACCAAGGCGACGGCAGTGACGGGATCCGAAACTGGGTGGCGCGGAACGATAATGTCGAGAACGAGGACATTGTTCTGTGGCACACCTACACTTTTACCCACAATCCACGCCCGGAAGACTTCCCCATCATGCGTATGTGACTGTGACTTGTTTTTCTGTCTTTTTTTCCTTTGGGGAAATTGACATTCCCGTGCCTTGCATTCCGTTCCGTTCCATTCTGACTGTCTTTAGCCGCCGAGTCAGTCCGCGTTGCCCTGAAGCCTTATAGCTTCTTCAACTACAACCCGACCATGGACGTTCCTCCTTCCAACCAGGGATTCAACAAGAGTACTGCGTAAGTTTCGCCTGCTGGATTGGGTCTGGGAATCTGGTTGCAGAATTGAGCTGACTTGTCTGTGTTTCCTGTAGATACGACCCCACATTGCAAGTCGGTGCTGATGGCGTTGGTCGCGATGCTGGACCGAAACACGCCGCGAGCGGTGGCGAGGGAGAGTCATGCTGTCCGAAATTATAAAACAAGCACGCCTGGGAGTCCTGGGTGATCAGGCCAGGCACATGTGAAGTGAGATCTTCTCAGCTTTGTGCACAAGACTCGAGTCCAGATTGGGCTCGAGGTGCAACGCGCCTATGAAGACTCGGGAGACTTCTACTAGTTATGCTAAATGTGTCCAAATGGCCTTTCATCGACGATTCCAATGGGCATATTCGGACTACATTACTATGTATGTATGTAGTATTGGTTTGTTTTTCTTGGTGTTGTGTCGCTGGTATATAGAATAGAATCAATAAAGTTAGGTTGTATTCAGGTTGATCGCGTTCACTTTTTAATCCTGTGAGAGTCAAGTGGCAAACAATGATGGCATGTTGTGGTTCCTGTTCTCCTGTTCCTTGTCTAATCCGCTCAGAAGCTCCAGCCTAGACAACTGATCCAGTTACATGGTGCTGTCAAAGGTCGAAATGTTCCATGTTGTCTATCAAAGGGGTATGGGGGCTAAAAGCCCAGACTATAATATATAGGTGTGCCTATACCTATACCAGCCTTCTGGTTAAAGGGCAAGGCTCAGGCTGGGAATGCTTATGTTAGTGCCCAAGTTTGAAACGTACAATGCTCTAGCTATAACTTGGAAACCGGTCGTGACTTGTCGGCCAAACTGATCAAAGACCCGTCCGACAAGACCCTAGCCACATGCTGAGGTCCGATCTCCTCGACTGAATTGACGCCGACCATGGTCATCGTGGCCAGAAACTCGTCGTAGAGAAGTTGTAACGCCAACCGGACCCCGTCCTCCCCGTTATACTTGGAATGGTAAGTTACAGATCCTACTTGGCAGGAGACTGGAAGGGGGACGGGCACAGGGAATAGGGGCACTCACACCTAGTCCCCAAAGGGCTATCCTGCCAACAAAGCAGAAGTCTGCACCGAGCGCAAGGGCTTTGAAAATGTCAGTGCCACGACGGATGCCTCCATCGAAATGGACAGGCACTCGTCCATTGACCGCTCTCACCACTCCAGGCAGAGCTTCCAACGTGGACGGAATCCCGTCGAGCTGACGACCGCCATGGTTTGATACGATGATCCCATCGGCACCGGCGTCGATCGCTAACAGTGCGTCTTCTGGGTGCATGACTATGTACGTAGTATACAATCAGCGCAATACCACCGTGGGGAGGTCCACAGCCAACTCACTTCCTTTGAGCCAGACTTGCATTCTTGTATGGCTCTTGAACCAGTTCACCTTTTCCCATGTCATGCCTCGATCTAGTAGGTGTACGTAGTACACCACATCAGCACGGAGACTACAGCGCGGTGGAGCACATCGACTGGTCTTGCTTACCGTAGCCCATTCGAGAATCTTGGGACGAAGCACGGAAATCGACATCCGGAGGCAGATTGGGCACGGTCAGGCCTTCGGGGATGCTGAATTGGTTCTTGTATTCGTTCAGTCTTCTTCCCAGGATGGGCAGATCACATGTGATCCATAATGCTTTGGCTCCAGCGGCTGTGACAGTCAGTCATCTGCCGGACCGTCAACAATGGACCGACTGTTTTGCTCATACCCTCGGCTTTCCGAATAGTATAAAGATTGGCATCAGGGTCTTCAACAACACTCAGTTGCATTGCATAAGGTATCCCCGACCCATCTCCCTGCGTGACGACGTCCTCTATGGACGAATTTGCCCAGCTGGATAGACACATGGGAACTCCGACTTTGGCAGCAGCTCTCGAAACCCCCAGCTCCCGATGAGGGTGGGCAACGCCATGCAGACCTGTGGGGGAGAAACCAAGAGGCATGGAGGTCTGGCTCTGGTCAGAAAGATCCAACGTCACGTCTCATCGAAGCAGAGGCAGAGGCAGGGGCAGTTCACCGACCTCGACTCCCCAGCACTTTGATGATGGGTCGACGTGTCGAACGTCTTTCATAACTCGAGGAACCAACCGATATCGATCGAATGAGGCGCAATTCTCCGCCACTCTGTAAGGTCGATCAGCTCTGACGACCTCCAAAAACTTTCGCGCCCAAAGCTCCTTTACGTGATCATGTCCATTGCACCCCCTGCGATGTACTCGCTCGTTGTTCGAGACACTTTCTTGTTGCAGAACTCAATGAGATCAGCTATACAATAGACGTTGGAGTCTAAAGACTCTGGGCGTCCGGCCATCCTGCCGACCGGTTCTTCTGCTGCTGTTGGTATAGGAAGGGAAGGGAATGCTTAGAGAAGTGCACTACACGCAGCACTCGACGCGAAGACGTGAAGAAGTATTTGGAAACCCTGTGTTGTACATACCAGTTCAGCGATGCCGGGCATCATCATCGCTCCGCTCCGCTCGGTCGACAGTCGCCCCCCATTTTGAGCCGAGTCAAAGTTAGTGCCTGTGTGCGATAAGCACTTCTTTGTGTGCTCCGGACGCTAGTACTCCGTAGATATCTTGCCGGTCCCTCCTTTGTATAGGGGTATGGTGGAAGTGTTATAAATTCCAGGAGACATGCCGCGGTTTCGAGTGCTTGACAAAAACAACCCAAGTTGAAGTTTATTCTAGCTCCGCTACGATGGCCGAGACAACAAAAACAGAGTGCGTCATGCCCTCCGGGTCGGAAAAGCAGCAAGATGTCTTTGATAGAGTCCAGACAATCGACCAAGGCGACATGGCACCGGTCGACGGCGAAATCGGTGCACACATGGCGCGAATAGCCGGGACCAAGCATACTCTCCGCCACTTGAAGCCTCGCCATATCCAACTCATGGCTTTCTCTGGAGCCATCGGGACTGGATTGTTTGTCGGGTCCGGATCGGCTCTAGCAAGGGCAGGGCCCCTGGGCCTGCTTCTGGGCTATTCCACCTATGCCATGCTCGTGTGGTCGACCTTCAATGCTGTGGGCGAAATGGTCATCTGGCTGCCAATTGATGGCTCATTTGTCGTGTTCGTACATGCATACCTTGACGACGCCTGGGGATTTGCTCTTGGATGGCTCTATACCATCACTAGTGCGTTATCTGCCGCGGGGGAGGTGGCCGCAGTCGCTGCCATCTTCAACTTTTGGACTCTTTCAGTCAATAACGGTGCGTGGGGGAGACCTACTATGTTAACGGTTAACGTACCAGGTCCAGTCGTACGCGGCTGGGGACCGGGGGAGTGGAGTGCAAGTGCTTACGCTGACATTGTGCTTCAACTAGCCGTCTACGTGGCCATCGTATCGGCATCTTTGGTCGCCCTCAACGTCTTTGGTGTCCGAATCTATGGAGAGGGAGAGTTTTACTTTTCCATTTTCAAGGTTTTCCTCATCATGGGTCTACTCGTCATGACCTGTAGGTGCAAGGCTCAGCCCCGGTCGCGTGAGATGTGTCTGCTCACTGTGCACTTCTTTTAGTCATCCTCATGGTTGGAGGCAATCCTCAACATGATGCGTTTGGTTTCCGTTATTGGAAAGACCCCGGTCCATTCAACCAGTACATCGCCTCTGGAAATTGGGGTAAGCTTACCTCTGTGTGATTCATTGAAGCCTGGATCTCGAACGGGGGTTACATAGTACTGACATGTATGTATCAAGGTCATTTCCTAGGGTTCTGGTCGGTCTTTGTCCAAGCAGCCTTCGCCTTTGGTGGGCCGGACTACATCGCTTTGACCGCAGGCGAGGCTCGAGCCCCCCGGCGTGTGCTGCCGTCGGTCTTCAAAAGAGTCATCTATCGACTGTCCCTTTTCTATATCCTAGGTGTCCTCGCGGTGGGAATCCTGGTCCCGTCCAACGACCCGAGTCTCGGCTCCAGCAAGCCCGGCGCCGGGGCTTCACCCTTCGTGATCGGCATCACGCGCCTCGAAATCCCCGTCCTTCCGCATATTATCAACGCTATGCTCCTCACATCGGCATGGTCCTGCTCGCTCGAGCTCTTCTATGCTGCAACTCGATCTTTGTATGCGTTGGCAGTGGACGGCAAAACTCCCCGATTCTTTCGATTCACCTGGCGAGGCGTCCCGACAGTATGTGTGGTGGCCGTCTGGATTGTCACATGGATCTCTTTCATGTCGGCGTCGAAAAGCTCGCTGACGGTTTTCACTTGGCTGACCAACATTGTGGGATCTGGCAATCTTCTGATATATTGCGTCTTCCACGTCACATACATCCGGTTCAGACGTGCTCAAACGGCTCAGGGAATTCCCGATGAGCAGCGGCCATGGTTCCGTCGACACCAGTACTACTATTCGATCGTGTCACTCATTTGCTATTTGACCATCTACATTACGAACGGCTTCGCTGTCTTTACGGATGGGAACTGGTCAATCGCAGACTTCATCTTTGCTTATTTCTCCCTGGGTCTCTTCCTGGTCACCTATCTAGGCTACAAGTTGTTCAAGAGGCCGGGCATGATTCGCCTTGCCGACGTCCCTCTTCATGCTGGCCGCACCGATACTGATATGGATGATGGCTATGTGGAGGCTGAACCCAGGACGAAAATAGAACGCTTCGCTAGGTGGCTATGGGGCTGAGCTGACAGTCATTCTTTCCGAGATTTCGGAGCACTCTCAACAGACTCCGCCTAACCTGGGACAGAACAGCAGCCGGACGTGAATGTGTACCCTGAGGCATGGAATGGGCGGTTTCCCGATGTAGGGTTGACTTATGAACAGCTTTGTCAAGGAGACGGTAGACGATGAAATGAGAAAACCTTTCTTTAACCATCACTTTCCTTCCTGCTACGAAATGCCTCATGGACTATGTACATAGTAGTTCAGGGGGACAGACCACACGCTGTTTAGCCTCCAAATCTAGCTTACCACCAACCTGATCGCCCCGACAGTCGCCGGGCTGAAGACATGATACCCAGTACTCCGTACGTTACACCATAATGATCTGGCATTTGATCTTATCAAAGACGTACAGATAGCCCAAAGTGGAAGCATCTGTGTAACCGACGTTCAATTCGCCCCGGCCAATCACAGTCTGGGCCGAGTCATATCCATCATCCGGCGTCCAAAGCCCAATCACAAGGCAGACCGTCCAGATATGCGCGATAACGATACCTGGTAATAATTAATGGTAATTAATGATAACGATCATGGTCATAGCTGAACGCAACGGCAAATGTCGGCGACGGAGAAGCGAACCCCAACCCCAACCTCCACCCCAATCCCATCCCGTTCCTGTGGCGCTCGATGTCATTTTCCAGCCTCCAATTACCCCCCCCAAGATCACGACTGATCAAGTCTCAAAGATATGTATCATGAGTCTGCCACAACAAGAAAGACGGTGGTGGACCAAGGCGGAAGATGAGCAGCTCAAACGACTCATCGCGGTCTATGGTTGTCGAAGGGGCCGATCATCGGACAGCAAATGGGCCGAAATCTCCAAACACTTTCCAGGTCGCACAAACAAAGGTATCTAGGCACTGTAACCTGTTTCCAGGAAGGTCGAGTAGCTTATATGCTGGGAAGACTGCAGGAAGCGCTGGTTCCATTCGTTGGATCCTTCCATCCGCAAGGGCGGGTGGACGGAGGAAGAAGACAAAATCATTCTCGATGCCTATGAGCGATTGGGCCCCTCTTGGAAAGCAATCGGTGAGAGTCTTCAACACCCAACGCTGGCGCCTCAACTGACGATCTTCCCAGCTGCACTGCTTGAGGGGAGGAAAGACGACCAAGTCTCGAAGCGCTACATCGACGTCCTCGCCCCCAGTGTGAAGGACAGGTTATCCAGCTGGACCGCAGAAGAGGACAGCTATCTAGTCCGACACGTCAGCATGTATGGTCACCGATGGGCTGCGATTTCCAACGGCCTTCCTGGCAGGCCTCCGTTGACTTGCCGAAACCGGTGGCGTCGGTTACAACGGCTCAACAGAGGCTCACCACCGAGTGAAGACACCTACACAGAAGACTTGTCCAGCGATTCTCCCGCCCGGGCAGACGCAGCCAAGCCCAGACCATCCTTGTCGACCAGTGTCCCTGCTTCCAGCCTTGATTCCCTGGCAGACGGGACGCAGTACGGACCGGGGTCAGAATCGTACCTCTATAGCCTGGAACATGTGCCGCCAGACCTTTTCGAGACCCCTGTGGATTTTTCGTACGACGACGACATGACTTGGCCGGAACGCTCGGACAACTTTTCTGTGGTTACCGACTCTGCACCAAGCTCTGCACATACTGGTGGCTGTTTTGACGGAGCTCTGTCCGGATCTGGTACGACACTCCCAACGCCAATGAATACGTACATGGCTTCCACGTCCGAACCTCTTGCAGACATGCCTTTGCCTTTGCCATTGCCAGACATCGAGGCCAGCTGCAGTCCATCTCAAAACAACTCTCAGCCATCCGACCCTTGGAGTGTCGTCGCGTACGAAGAACTTGGACAGCGACCCTTCCAAGAACTGCGCGAACGTCCAGAATCGTCAAATACTGTATATGTTCACCACCACTATCACCACCATTATTATCACCACTATCATGCTCCCATTCACACCGACACTCATACCGACACTCACACGGACCCTTTTGTAATGTAAGGTCCTTGGTCGGTCAGACTCTTCTCGATACGTTGAACCACTGTAGTTTAGGCACATTTCGCGAGGCATGTCATGTCAAAAAGACGACTTGCTTTGACTTGAAGACTTACAATTGAGGTCGTCCTAAATACCAATAGGAAGATGAGGTAGTCTAGAGCCAGCCGAGCGCCAAAAGAACGGCCCATTTCAGGCGTGGGGGCGAAAGTTCAAGCCATAGACTCAGAGTCCCATATGTTCTGCATTTGACAAGACTTCAGCGTGAGGTCACTGAACGCTAGTGAAGTGTAGGCAAAAGGGGGTGACTCCTTGGCCGATGATTCTAACGGCCGCCGGCAGACGATTGTCTTCGAAGAACTTTCGTGTACCGCACAGAAGATCTGGTCACTCCATGTTTCGGTTCAAATCAAACTCAGTCGAGCCGTGTGGCTTCTTATCTTTGACCCTGTCGTACTGTACAGTATGTGTATGGGTCTTGTCCACAACGCTTTGACTCGGCCCTGTCACGCACCATTCCGTCATTGGAACTCTGTCGAATGCAGGCCTAAGCCCCCGCAAAATACCCAGAATGTGTCCGTACTCGGCCTGATGATCTGGTGGTCAAGAGAGCCACAACGCAGTTAACGGCCCTACATTTATATTGATTGTGGTGCCCCAAACATGGTCGGGGTAAACGCCACTTGAGTTGGCCTGGCCGAATTCTCCTCAAGACGCACGGAGCAAGAAGCAAGGCCGATCTTATTCATCGGAATTGAGAATGAGCATGAGCAGGAGCAGGAGCATGACTCAGGAGCGCCGGGCGTCACTCGACAACCCCTTTGGAAACAAGCAAGAGCTCAGGAAAAAGTTCGGATTCTGGTCCCAACTTGGTCTTGCCTTTATCATCCTCACGTACGTTTGGCCACGATGTTCAACTTCCTTGACAGCGGCAGCAGCAGCAGCAGCAAGGGTAGCTAGCTGACTTTTCTCCTCTCCAGAACATGGACATCCATGGCAGCATCGATGAATATCGCGCTTCCTTCTGGAGGCCCAGTGGCCGTGACCTGGGGATTGCTGGTATCGGGCTTACTGACCATGACCGTCGCCATCAGTCTGGCAGAAATCTGCTCCGTTTACCCAACCAACGGCGCCCAGTACGAGTGGGTGTCAGTCCTGTCCCCACCGCAGCATCGCAATTTTCTTAGCTACACCTGCGGCTGGATCGTCATGGCATCCTGGTGGGCATTGGCGGCATCGGGCCCTTCTCTGTTTGCGAATTTGACGACCGCGTTCATCGAACTCTTCGACGACACCTACGTTTTCAAGAGATGGCACCAGTTTCTACTATATACCTCGGTCGAAGCTTGCGCCATGGTAATCAATGGACTTTTCACGGCAGCCATCCCACTACTCAGTTCAATCACCTGTATGTACATGAAACACTCGACGTCTATACAACTCTTCACAAGCCAGACCGGCATCACTGATTACGGAACAGTCTTCATTTCGATAAGCGGATTCGTTGCACTGTCAATTGCCCTGCTCGTCGTCACTAAGGGGGCCTACCAGTCGGGAAAGTAGGTGAAAATGATGCTCCTCCTACAACATACACACTCACACACACATCTTGCTGAACTTGAATCTCCCAGATTTGTTTTCGCCGGTTTCATCAACCAAACGGGCTGGAGTGATTGTCTGGCGTGGCTGCTGGGTTTGCTCCAAAGTTGTTTCTCGTTGACAGCCTTTGACGCGTGAGTTGCCAACGCCCTGATTTCGTCGGTCTCGAGGTTCTGGTTCTTGTCAGACGACATGCTGACCGGTCGAACCACAGAGTGGCCCACTTGGTGGAAGAGATGCCTCAGCCACGAAGGGATGCCCCCAGGACAATCATCATCGCCGTGGGGTTGGGGACTGTTACGTGAGTTCTTCCGCCCTTGCATACATTAGTACCTGTGCAGTCCAATGCTGAACGCACGGCCGGTTTCAAGCGCCTTCATCTGGGTCATATGCATCCTTTTCTCTATCCAGAATGTCGATGAGGTGATAAGTTCGCCCTTTGGGTAGGTGGGACCATCTCCGCAACACAGATACACCTCACTGATTCATCCCTCCACAGTCCGATCATCACAATCTTCTATCAGGCATCCGGTTCAAAGGGAGGCGCAGTCGGATTTTCCATTGTCATCATCTTCATCATATGGTTCTCGGCTGCTGAAGTCGTCACATCCTCGGCGCGGCTGACTGCAGCATTCGCCCGACACGGTGGACTGCCATTCAGTTCAGTGTACGTGCATAATGTGAAGTTCCACGCGTGGGCCTAAACCACTAAATTTCTTGAGCAGATTCATGCGGAATAACAAAAGGCTCGATCTCCCCCTGAACGCCATGTTGCTCACCAACGCAATGGTTATCGTCTTCGGTCTGATCTACCTGGGAACACCTGCGTACGTATCATGGTCTGGCAACTAGTTGCATGTCACATACGGTCAGCTGCTGACATATCCAATGCCAGAGCCTTCAATGCCATCGTCAGCGCCTGCGTTGTTGGTTTGAACTTGAGTTACGCCATGCCCATTGCACTGCTGGTGTTCCGTGGGAGAAACATCATGGAGAAAGGCCCTTTGAATCTGGGTCGTTGGGGTTACCCAATCAATATCACCGCCCTTCTCTTTCTCGTCGTGACGTGAGTCTTTCCACACTGTGCTTGGTGACGCAAAAGCTGAGCTGACGACTGCTGCACAGGATTGTTCTTTTCCTCTTTCCGTCCGATGCCCACCCAGACGGCAGCTCGATGAACTATGCTATTGCGGCGATAGCAGCTGTCATGGTCTTCGCCACCGGTAAGCTCCTTCGTCTCATCCCTGGCTCGTCGGACTCTTGCGACGATATGAAATTTGAGATTTGGTTCTCGATCAATGCTCTCTAGCTAACATTGCTGACACAGTGTATTGGTTTCTCCATGCTCGGAAGACCTACACTGCACCGGAGATTGTTCTGGTCGCATTAGGTGAGGAATTGATGGAGGAAAATGGAGGCCACGCTGAAGGGTTGGATAAGTCGAAGATTACATCGAGATCGACCGGCTTTGGGACTGGGTCATAAAACGCAATGTCTGTAGTTCACCAGAGTCCGAGCAATTCGTTCCGCTCCATACGCATGTTACTTCCAATGGGTCTTCTTCCTGGCATTTCGGCATCCTGGCTTCATTTCCTGTTCAGTGTCGCCCTCCACGGAATTGACAGATCTGTCTTCAAATGTTTCATTCCTTCGCCTAGCCGTATGGAGATCTTGAACCCAGATAAATCAGTGTTTGGCTATAGAGTTATTGCCAATGCCCAGGTAGCCAGGGCCGAGCATCCTCTATAGGCACTACTATCTAGTAATGAACAGGATACCAGTACCATCGTCATCAAGAGATTGTGGCTTTCCCTTTGAACACATGCTTCTCCAACCCCGCCGCTTCCATGTCGCGAAGCTCAAACAGAGCACCAGCCTCTTCGCCTTTCCATACAGCAGAGCCGTCATCACTCTCGGCAGAGGTGATGAAAAGATGGTTATACTGATCTCCGAACCATGCACCGTGAGTGACGCGAGCTGAATTGACCGGCCATCGCGCTAGCTCTCGGCCCGTACTGTCGTATTTCACCACTGCAGCGCCATCCCAGAGAAAAGTGTAGATACTGCCTTCTGAATCAACGAGAAGACCGTCAGGCTGACCCACGAGCCCCCGTCGATCGATCAAGATTCTTTTGTTACGGATGCTCCCGGAGCCCGGTTCAAAATCGTACGCCCAAATGACCTATAGCAGGCAGCAAGCACATGATTTCGAGGTCAGAAAATGGTCTTGCGCATGATGCACCTTTTGTTTGTGGGTATGGTTCTTACTCCGATGTAGGAATCCGTAAAATACATGGTGGCCTCGTCGGGGGACCACCCAATCCCGTTGCCACAAACAATGCCACCGTCTTCGAAGACGGTCAATGTCCCGTCACGGTCATAGCGATACAAAGAGCCCCTTGGAGAGTGAATTCTGCTGTCGAAGTCGGATATGGGGACGGCCCTGGCCTCTGTTGTTAGCCATCAGTGATGCTTAGAGCAAGCGGCATCGTCACGCCATGGTGTCGCACTGACTCGGTGGCCAGGTCAATACTTCCAAACCAGAGCCTGCCCTGCGAATCCACGGCGCCGTCGTTCAATCGGACAGAATTGGAGTCTGCAAGGACCTGTTTCATGACCTGCCAACCCCCATCTTCCCCAATGCGGACGACCGAGTCGAAGGAGCATGCGACATAACCTCCTTCTTCATGGAAGCAAATGAACGAGATTGGTTGCGGGCAAGTAATAGATCGTAACACCTGAAGATCCGGCAGTTTCAGCACATGTATCGCTGCGCCCAGGACGTCGATAAAGTGTAGAGTGCCATCGGATTGTCGCACAATGGGAGACTCGCCCAGCTTTGTATGCGGGGCGACCAACGTCTTCACGGAGCCGACCATTTTGGCTTGGGATTGGGAGAGAGCACTGCCGAACGGAAACCTGAATGGGTGTTGTCCAGAACAGCCATCAGCTAGATTTCGTAAAGTCCATTCATGTCTTGTTATGTAGCTCTTTTCTCCCTGCCGCTCGTGGAGATGCGTCGCTGTGCTGGGTGGAGCGTTGAGACTCTCCGCTCGCGCCACAACTCTAACTAGCTTATCGTGCATACAGTACGCAAGTCCTGGGGCCGAGTCAGCGATGAAGATCGGGTTTCGAGGACTCACCCACTCCTGTGAGTACAGTAATGGCACCGATACAACCCGAAAGGAATCATCCGGCAGAAGATCATGGTAGCTGGAAATCCCAATGATTTTCGGTGGTACTTGCAATGTTTTCTTCAAGCACCTGTGTGCGCAGTCCCCTGGATCTACTCTTTTCCTTGGTTCCTTGGTTCCTTAGCTTCGATCTCTTAAAATGGTCAATACCTAGTACTAACCACGAGATGTTGGCCTGCCATAGCTAGTGCTGGTCTACCGTAGTTGACCATATCTGTGACGATATACTGATACGGCGTTGGACGCTGCCGCGCACAACACCACACCGATCCTTTGCAAAGCATTCGGCGTTAATCTCAGATGAATGGTGGCTCAGATATAAGCTGCCATTCTAGATTAACCCCGCCGTCGTTCTTAGAGAGCTGCAGGCCTTTTGTCTGGGAATCCGAAGTCCACTCCAAACTCTGGGTAGACAAACCTCTGCACCCCCCCTCGTGCTACCTCTGCCAGAACTGTGAGATCGGCATCTGACAAGGTGATGATGTGCATATTCTCTTCAATGCGAGAAGGCGTGACGGACTTGGCCAAGACTGAGCTGCCTCTCGCAATATGGTAGCTAAGTAGGATCGTTCCGACATTTGTTTGTTTTTCCTCGGCAAGTTTGAGTATACGTGAGTCTTTCATCAAGGGGCTTCCGCTGCTGCCTAACGGGCTATAGGCCGTGATATGAATACCCTTCAATCGGCAAAATTCAATAATCTCTTCCTGGGGAAGAAGTGGGTGATTCTCGATTTGGTTGACGGCAGGGACGACTTCGACATAGGGTAACAGTTCCTTCAGAAATCGTTTGGAATAGTTGCAAACCCCAATAGACTTGACCTTTCCGGTGCTCAAGAGATTTTCCATGTCCTTGTAGGTGTTGATATGCGATCTCTCCGTCATTATGTCCCGCGAGCCATCTGCTAATCGCGGGAATTTTTCGTGATTCCCGTTTGGATTCATCGCGACAGGCCAATGCATCAGATAAAGATCGACATACTCGAGGTCGAGGAGCTTCAGGCTGAGGTCTAAGTTCTGTTCCGCCCGAGTGTGATATGTGCACCAGAGTTTAGTCGTCACAAATAGTTCGCTTCGTGCTATTCCTGCTGCGGCCATGCCATCTTTGATTCCCTCTCCCACCTCTTGCTCGTTGCCATAAACATAGGCACAATCGATATGTCTGTATCCGCACTTGATCGCATGAGACACCGCTGCCCGTACCTGCCCTGCGGGACTCTGCCAAGTGCCTAAGAAGAGATCTGTCAGGAGGATGGTTTGGAGAAGAGGAATGCGGGCCTAAAGCTAGGCATACATACATACCTAAGCCCAAGGCAGGGATTGAAAACCCGGAATTCAGCTTGAAGTTGAGGTTGTTCATGTTGCGAACTCATGTGCCCATCGACTATCTCCGGACAGAGAGACCAAGGGGGAAATGAAGCTCCTATACATAAGATAATCAAGTCGGGCACCCAGCAATTGTCACGAGTGACAGCCAGGGCCGAGTCAAATTATCGTCCGTAACGTGGATCTAAAATTTCCCACACTTGAACTGCCACTTGCCGCTAATTTTTCATGCTTCCATCTCAGAATGTAGAGGCGTCGTCGACAACCATTTTTGGATGGCCAAGTCAGCCGGATAGTAACATCTGCTGGCTGGTCGGAAGATCTACGAAGAGGACGGACCAATCCGTGTGTTGACGGTACATAGTACTGGACAGTACAATAGGACAGTCCAAAGCTGAGTTGTAGAATAGGAGGGGGTCGCCTTGAGAATCAAAGTCCATGGGGTCAAATTCGACGTCGACCAGCTCGCAGATGCCGTTTAGCAGGGCGAAGAACGGCCGTTCCTGAAGCAAAGCTGCTGCTCTATCGGGACAGAGATTGGTCGATAACGGAAGACATGCCAGCTCCAGACTGAGGTCGTAATGAGAAAGGATATCCTGGACATCGCTACGGAGGATCGTATTGGTGTGGTGCACTAGGTTGGTAGACTTGGTGCTTGGATGCACTTGCCTGGTCGTGGTCACACCAAACGCAGGCTGCGCCTAGCTAGCGCCGGATTCTCACAACAGGCAGCATTCCCGTCAAGGCCTCATGAGGCCTGATCAAGGTCATCCTCCCAAGGTAGTAGCACACCTTTCGAAGAAGGCAGTCGGACTCTACTGATACATACTCACAGTGAGTGGCCATGGACACCCAGACCTCGAGGTGACTGGCGTTGCGGATCACGAGATTGCAGCAGACACTGAGCACGAATGCCTTGCCACCGATTTCACCCTTGGCGATGAGGCGAGCTGTATAATTCGAGGTCAATCGCCCCCTGGGCACGGCTGTGCCGAGTCCAATACTCCTAACTATGGCACACACTCAATGTTCTCATTCCGGTTCCTGGGCCGAAAACTGTGTCGATACAGCCAGGCCACAATCGATGTCAAGTTCTCGCAGGCCCTGGACCCGTCCAACCACAAAATCCGTTCGCTAGATCCCAAAGTTGTCGTTATCGCCCCAAAAGAAGTGTACGGTATCGTGAAAGTGGTTGAAGGAAGGTCATATCGAGAAGTCTCCATTCCCGTCATCATTGATGTTCGATACTGAGACCCTCTTGGTGGGCTCTGGGGCTGTCCGGGGCACGAGGCACAGGACCCGGCCGACAATGACCTCCATTATTGCATGTGTCTCACCGATTTTAGCTTCAGCATCGTCTTTGAGGCCCTCCCCTTGGACTTTCACCGGTCTCGAAGCCAAGTGGGGGGCCGATGTCAGCAAGCACCGCAACGAGATCCACGGCGATCTCTATTGGGATGATGAAGGCACAAGCATCCCTTCCGGTCGCCTTTCTCCTGCTGCCTATACTAGGTATAGAGCCTGACACCTCTCTCTATCTTGTCAAGAATACTACTATTGCTAATCATTGATGAGCGTTTTGCGAGCCCCCACTCCGGCACGCAACCATCATTGACCACGAACCCGTCGACCAGAACGTCATTGACTACGGTAGTCTACCACAAGAGGAACGAACATGCAGTATCTGAAGAAGCCTGCTTTAGGAGAGACTACATAACATACTGCTCCATCGAGTTCACAAAAGCGCGGTCCCTTGTTACATCACTCAGGCAGCCAATCTCAACCTCTCCGTGATATAACGCGTCCCAATTCCCAACATAGTACTCGTACGAGTTCAGCGCCAGCGCCACGAAGTTCTACACTGCGTCAGAATCTATCACAAGCTGCTAGAAAGAGGGTGACTCTCGCAAGAAAAACCCTATCTCACCCAGCTCCATAGGTACCTCCTTGCGATTGGTCTGTGGCTGGAAAAGTCCGCGGAATGAATCTAGTATTCTCTGTTGCGGGAAGTACTAGTACTTATGATAAGAGCTAGCCTTGTCAGCCATAATAGGTATCTCACAGCCCAGAAAAATTGACACACTTAAACGGGCTGTATAGGTAGGTAGTATTAGGTACCTAGTACTTAGTATCAAATTATAGACTAGAAGTTCGAACTTGAACTTATAAAGGCTTATTAAACAAGTACCTACTAATACTAGAATAGTACTATTAGAAGGGAAAAATATGATCTAGGTTAAATCCGGTTTTTAATCCGGGTTCAATCCGGGTTCAATCCGGTGTCAACCCGGTGTCAATCCGGGATCGGTGTATAGGTACTACATAGTAGTTGGTATACCTAGGTTTGATCTGGTGTTCTATGAACCCCTTGGCAAGATCGCCTGTTTAAGTACTAGGTACTATATACTTAGTAGTAGTATCATGTAGGTACATAGTTACTAGTATGCAGGCTTATATACTACTAACTACTATATAGTGGAGACATCCTTTATGCCGGCCATAGGGATGGCCGGCGCTATGCTCGTCAAGCTCCTGGCTATATAGTAGTACTTGTAAGTACATACAACCACTCCTTTTCCACCGATACTTGTTCCTTCGCCCGAGTAGTCCTCCGCCGCCCAGCTGTGTTAGTACGTAGGTAGTTATGTAGCGTAGGAAAGTGGTTGCGGGTTCATAGAACATGTAGTACAGGTTTCGACTTGGGAGCTTTCCGCACGCCAAAGTATGCCATAATTCAACCGACTCTCGAAACCACTATGTAGTTCTTCTCTTGCTGCTGAGGCGCAAGACGCTTTGTATGCCCTTTCATGTGCTCCGTATGTATCATCTGATCGGCACCTCAGCACTCCTCCAACACGGCTCACAGAATCTCCTGGTTCATATTCTCGAGGCAGGTCGGAATCAGCTGTTCATGTCCCAGATCTAAGGAAGAGGTTCGTAGGATGAACCGCTCTTATGAGCTTGTCGGTTGGAAAAGAAAAAGTAGAGGAGCATCCCGATAAAGGGGAAGACGAGGACCACGAGGGCCCAGAGAAGCTTATGGCTGACTGGACGATTGGATTGTATGAGCTCGACTAGAAAGCGATGGAATCAGTATCACATTCACGAACTCCGACTAGAATTTGGAAGGAGCATAGTACTAGTAGTACTTACCAATGGCGAGAATATCAAGGATCAGGACAATGAGTCCCACGATGCCTCCCCCAGTACCATAGCCGATAGCATTGTTGTTGATTGTGATAGTCCCATCTCCGAGAGGGGCAGCGGAGGACAGACTAGCCACGTAGAGCCAGAGAATGGTAGTGAGAGTATTCTGCATTTTGTTCGAGGCACGGGCGACACAGATGAAAGTGCTCAGCAGAAGATGAGATTTCTGAAGCAGAAAGAGAGGGGTCAGTGATATAAAGGTGTGTCAAGACGAGACACCTACATACATGTAGGTAGAGTTACCATGTACCTGCTCGGTGCCTGCGCAGCAGGTTATTCCAACTATGACGTCAAAGGGTATACATACTAGGACTAGAATGTACTAGTACTAGCATATACTTGGCGCTTAGGTAACGCCCCCGAAGGGCTTGCTACATAGTAGGTACTATGTTCCTCCGTACAGAGTATAGATCAGATCTAAGGCTAGAAGTGTCCCACCATCTGGTCCGTCCTGATGTCCCACGTCCCACGTCCCACTGCCCTGGCATATAGGACGCCACCGAATTGACACCTTTATCAACTGATCAAATCACTCTACCGTCGACAGAGTACATACTGTATTCTGTATAAGCTCTTCTGTTTTATACCACATTAGTAAGCTTGACTGCTGTCCCACATACAGCTCCAGCTTAACTATTTAGTACTGGTACATTACATATATATACATAGTACTAGTAGGAAGCAGTTGTCCAATTTGACTCGGAAACTAGACGAAACAGTTTCCCTGCCACTGCAAGTGAGTCCCTTCACCAAAATGCCGTTTAACCCTTCCTACAAGTGGGTAGAGAATGAGGGATGTCGCCTTCGCTACTGGCACCAAGGCACGGGGCCTTTACTGATCATGATCCCGGGCGCCGGCGGCCACGGACTCCAATTCAACGCCATTTTCGAGTATCTCGACTCGCATTTCACCATAGTAGCATACGACCGGCGACAGAACTCTGCCAGCCAACTACTACCGGTACCTGTCGGGGACCAAGAGCACGATGATGGTGTTGACAAAACCCTGAACCCGGCACAGCAAGCGCGCGACGTTGTCGCCATCATCAAAGACCTGGGCCAGCAAAAAGCCAACATCTTCAGCAACAGCGGCGGCGGAGTCATCGCGCTGCAGTTGGCCGTCAGCTACCCGGAGCACATCGCGAACATGGTGGTGCACGAAGCACCTACGACGATCTTGCTCGACGACGCCACGTACCATCTCGACCGGGCGTTCATGCTGTTCGACCTGTACCGCCGCCAGGGCGCGCAGGCGGCTTTCCAATCCTTCCGCACCGAGATGAGGGGCTACGAAAACAGTCCGCCACTGTCCCTGCCGCATCCCGACAACCTGGAGAAGTTCTGGAGGTACGAATTCTTGCAGTTCACCATCTACTGTCCGGATCTTACCAGGATCGTGCGCAACGGCGTGTCCATCGGCGTCGCGGCTGGGCTCAAGAGCGCCGACGCCTTTTATGCCCGCACCACCTTCCCACAGGCCGAGATCCTCCAGTGCCCGAGGTTCGAGTTCCCTGGCCACCATGGTGGATATGAATCCGAGCCTGCTCTCTTCGCGCCCGCCTTGATCGACGCATTCGCACAGCTGGAGGAGCGGAAGGCAGGGGGAGTAGCTTGAAATCCTCTCTCAAGAAGTGTCAATGACTACGCAGTATTCATCGATCCAATACAACTTGTCCTATTGCCCATGGCAGCTGCTACTACCTACTACTATATTTACTAATCGACTCGACTCTTTGACCGGGCGCAAAGAACCACATAACATAGTACTTACTGTACTTATTTAGCCATTTGAACGAATGTCTATCTACAGTGGGATACTTCTGTACTTGAAGTATGCAGGGACTGAGGTCGATTGCTGGTATCTCTACCGGAGTTGGGGGGTTCAGGCCTCCCGTAGATCATGTTCCGAAAGTCGTATACATGGTCAGGAGTCTAGTAACGAATGTGTTGGTACGGGTCAGACACTCCTACATACTGTCACTTTTCGAAACTACATAGTACACAGTGTCGGTCTCGAGACTCGGACTTGCGCAATTGAGATAGATGTTTACATGCCTGAGCAGGGTGGGATTGGATGCACTTGTAGTTATGGCCTGTGACAGACAGAGTGAGCCCAGCTTCGACTCTCTGAGGAGGATACTATGTAGCAGACTTAGTAGAGCACGATGTTTCCTAAACTATATTGTGCATTGGGGTCCCAAGCTTTGACGGATGGCATTTTGATCGGTGAAGAACGAAGAAGGAGTGTAGTAGTACACTGTGGCTGTGGTTGTGGTAAAAGAGATAGACAACTCTTTAGTCATCATACTCACCTAGTCTGGTATAGTCCTTCTTTAGAGTCTAGGCACTTAGGAGTCTCCTCGGGTCCCCGTATGGGCGGGATACTTAGGCTAAGGGGCGTTTTGACGCCTGTAAGTACCGCAGTCAAGCACCTCAAGTGCCTAAGCCTTAGGCCCCCTTAGGCCTCAGCCCTTCCACATGCTATGCCTGTGCCCGTGCCCCTACACCAGTATTCTTCTTGATCGCAGATTTTCTCTCAACCTCTGTGCCTCCCACCTCCCACCTCCCACCTCCTGCAATCCAAGCAGGAAGTTCTCTCCTGAGCTCATCCGTTGTGCCTGGGGAATCTGACGCAGCGCATCTTCAACCCCTTCAGTCGATTTCAGCTGTGTGTCACAATGTGAAGAACGAGGGTCTTTGCCGCGCCAAAACATGGCCTCCGACAAACCCATTGCTCCCATTGAGATTGGATCATTTACAGCTCCGACGCCCCAGAAAACCGAGTTCATCGGCAGCGCCAGCGGAGTCTTCTTTGTCAACACGGTCTTTCGAGCCTTCGCACAATCGGCCTCCAGCTCCAAAGTGCTTCAGGGTTCCAATCACAATTCCAATTCCAATTCCAACCCGACGACCGGCGACGTTCAATCCCTTGAGCACGACCCCGGATCGGTGGACAGTCGTCTCGTAGATCCGGAGACCCCCCACTACCAGCAGATTGAAAGTGAGGGCGCCGCGATTAACATTTCCATCGACTCGGAGAGTTCGGCAAGAACGTATGGAGTCAAAGGCCATGGGCTGGGGGTAGCCCCGGACCAACAGGCTGCGAGAGAGCTGCTCGTGCTATACTTGCGCAATTGGCATCCTCTTCTCCCCTTCCTCCACGGACCCACGCTTCTCGAGACGATAGCCGGTCTATATGGAGATGGTGATGGCGATGGCGATGATGGACCCCCGCCGCCACCGGCTGCGGTCACAACGAATCTGAGAAGTCGCCTGTGTCAGGTCATCGTTTGTCAATGTGTCTTCAATATTGCTGCGCTCGACTGGGCTGGACGCTCTCTTCCCGCTGAATCTACCATTGGGTCTGCGACGCAACTGCTCTCTCTGGTCGGTTACATTGCCAGTAACCACGACACACATTCCCTGCAGACTTTGCTGGCGGCGCAGCTGTACCTGGTGTCTACTATGGCCCTTCGCTCGGCTTCGACGGTGGGCGGCACGCTATCTCGCCTCATGTTCCACGCAGGGTTCCACCGTTGCCCGGCCCGCTATTCACAGATTCCTTCCCAAGAAGGTGATCTACGGAAAAGAATCTTCTGGAGCTCCTACGTCTTGGATCGCTATCTGAGTCAAGCGCTAGGCCATCCGTTGGGTCTGCAAGACTCCGACATTGATGTCTGCATCCCTGGGATGCAAGAGCTGCACACGCCGACCCGAAGCCGTGGACCGGGAGCGAGACCTGAAAACCAAGTTGGGACACCAGCACACATCCCGAGTGACCATCCTAGTCAAGCCGCGGGTTCGGAAGACAGTACATTTCCAAACTCACTACAGCAAGCCGAGAGAGGCTTCCGGGTCGGGCATGGCGTGGCTCCGCCAGGAGTCAATGCCGCCAGTCAGCACCCGAATGGGCCGGAAATCTTGGGCCACTATGTCCTTTACTGCCGGTTGACAGGTCAGGCGCTGGAACTGTTTCACAAGTCTCTCCAGAGCCGAGCGATCAACGCCGAAAACGTGATGGAATTGCAGTCAAGTGTGCACGCCTGGTGGAATAATCTTCCTTCCACTTTGCAGGATGAGTATAGCGGAGGCCAGGTCGAGTTGACTTCGGCTTTCACCTTCTTCTTCACTACCATGTACAATCAATTACTGCTGCTGATCAACCGTCCTTTCCTCTCGCTTCCACCGGAGAGCCTGGAGTTCAGATCCAGCCTCCAAACCTGCGTGGCAGCGAGTCGGCAAATCATCACCACCTTGAAACGGCAATCACAATGGAAGATGCTGGTCTCTTGGCCAGGCATGCTTTCTGTGACCTGGATGGCCGGCTTGATTTTATCCTTTGCATGTACGCTGAAACTCTACCCGTTCAGCAAAGCACGGAGGTGAGTTTAGCCCGCACCACTCGACTCGGTCCTCCTGATACCCAAAGAAGCAATGCTGACCTAGACCCTCCCAGGGAGATCGAGGTCTGCATCCAAGAGATGAGGGCAATGAGTAAGAGTTGGAACAATGCCAGACACTGCTCTGAGGCTCTCGGGAGCTTGTTGAAGAATCTCAAACAGCAGTATCAAAAAGGTGTGGGAGGTAAGCTTTCAGATTCGTTGTCGTCCCCTCAATCCCCATTCGCCGTAGACGCGACGCGGAGGTACGTGCCACTTGCAACCGGCGATCCATTGCTTGAGGGCGATGGCCTCAACCAAGACCAAGACAGCGAATCCCTTCCGAAAAGAAGACGGCTCGACCCGCATGATGGGCAGCTTGATACAAGTTCTCATGGCCCCAATGGTAACTCGGGCACGGTATCAAGTCAGGAGCCGCCCGCAGTTGCTCAGTCCGTCGGGGCCACGGCCGATTGGATGGCCCATGAAACGTCGTCAATACTACCCGCGGTCGAAGGCGCCGGTCTGGATTTTGTCACCAACAACAACAATGGGCTGTTTGCCAATCTGGACGACTTCCAATATCTGCGCCTGCCGGTCTCTGGAGATCTCTACTCGAACAATCCGGGAGCGTTCGGGAATATTGGCTGGGAAGCCATGATCAACGGAGCAGGCAACCTGGACGACTGGGGTGCCTGGGTGCAGCAGGACTATAGGCCATGACTCGATCTAGTGGGTCTAGAAACCTGAAACCTGGTCTCTGAGAATTCGCGCTGCACTCCTCTGGTGGGCAGGTTGTCCCCTCACCAAAGGAATGTCTCTTGGAACTCCTTGGAGAGCCCGAACTTGCTGGCGACCGAGCCACGATCGGTGGCCAGTCCATTCGCCGACGTGTCCAGCATCGAAGACCCGCCTGTGGCAGATTGTCGAGGTCGGATTGTCCCCTCGCCCACATTGGTGTGAGAATGAGGAGAGGACGCACTTGTCAGAGACGGGTGGGCGGAGTAGCTTGTCTGCATGGTGTCGTCCTCGTCTCCTGCTGGCAGCGGCTCTTCAAAGCCGAGACCGCTTGTAGTGGTTAGGGCCTGTGGTTCGGGTTCGGCGCGTGCGTAAGAGCTGTCGTCCGGAGCGATGTTGTAGAGCCCATTGGCCGAGCCGGAGCCGGAGCTTGAGCCGGATTGCACGTTTTCCTTCCAAGCCAACACCTCGCCGGCAGTTTGCAGAGGGAAGCGCTCCCAGTGGGCGATGGCGGCTTTCTTTTCCTCGGTGGTGCACAGGGTGGTGATGGCAAGGCTCAACGGCATTCGATCCTGCATTTCCGCCGCGAATGCTGCAGATAGCGTCTCGGTCGGCGAGGCTGAGAGCAGACTCCAGAGAACTCGCTCGGTCTCCTTGAGTCGCGTTTCGAGGGCTTCAGTATAGCCCTTTGCCGGTCCACTAGCATTTCCCTGGATGTCAGATGGTGAATGAAATGGAGGCCCAGCTGCTCTTCTCCTCGAGGGCGAGCAGCGCTGGTCGGGGTCGAGGCACTGACCGTTTCTGTCTTTCCGGCCACACGCAAGGCTGAGAGACACTTCTGCATCGGCCACAGGACGGCCTGGGGGGTGTTTGCAGTCAGAAGCAGTGGATGTGGGAGTGGGAGTGATAGTGGCTGGGGGCGAGCCGACTGTGGCGATATGAGAGCTGCTCACCTGTGACCATCGCACTAGATTGGCGCGTGTCAGCTTGCCATCGATACTGTGTAGACGTCCATGCAGGGTTGAATGGTCTCTTCCCAGGTGAACCACTGACTGACCTTCTGCTTCCTGGCTCGACAGGTGTGGCAGGCCGCACTGACCCGCAAACCTGTTGTACTACTACTGTCGGCGGCCAATCTCGACGGGGTCATGCTTGGTACCATGCGTGGTATCTGGGGGGGAGGTAGGAGGTGGGAGGTGGGAGGTGGGAGGTGGGAGGCGCCGAGTCACGCAAGGTATGGCATGGTCTGTCTGCCTGTCTGTCTGTCTGATTGACCTGTTCCAAAAGATTTTATGAAGGGTATGCTGGTACGAAATGGAACGGAACGGAATGGCCTTAATCATTAAGAAGGATCGAATTCAATCCAAATTGACGTGCAGTGCAGTGCAGTGCACACCCAGGATCGGGGAAATTTTTATGCGCGTACCAGATACCATACCATACCAAGTTGTACAGAACAGGACACACATTCGTCGTGTAAGATGCCCTGGCTCTTTACAATACCGTATATCACGATACCGTATAAAACAATACCGTAGGTACATTCCAGCTGTCAATATCTGTACTGCTCGATGGTGAGGTCGGAGTACCTATACAGTACGGCGTACGGAGGACTGAGTACTGTATACCGTAGACTGCTGTATCTAGGTTTCGGCAGGTAAAGAAGTGAGCGAGTGGCTTTTCTACAGAGCAACAAGGCAAGAGTTACGGAGTATCTGTACTAGGGTTAGGGTTAGGGTTACCATACTACTATGACTAGAGGCCGGCCCCGGCATCTAACTTCCGGAGCATCGCACCACCGCCACCGATAAGGCATGAACCACTGGCATGAACCACAAACAAATCCTCCCCGTAGAGGACTCCGTACAGCATCCATCTTCTTTCAAACACATCCCCATCCCGTCCCGTGGCAGTCATGGCGTCCCTGATCTGGAAGTGGAAGAGGGTGTCGCTGCGGCTCCTGTCGGGTCTCCGGCCGCGCTGGACATGGAGATGGAGATGGAGATGGCTGCTCTGCTGGACCATCGGCGTCTACCTCGTCTCTTGTCTGCTGTTGGCCTCGCGGCCGTTGTTCTCGTCCACCCTCCCGCCATACACGGGACCCTACTCGGTGGGGGCGATCGACGTCGAGATCCCGACGGAGCCTCGTACGATCCATCCTGCCCGGTTCAAGGACAGTGGCCAGGCGGCTTTTCAGGTGCGTTGCCAACGGTTGAGCCAGCCTCGAGCTCATTCTTTATTTCCTTTCCCTTTCCCATTTTCCCTATCTGACGGTCCGTGGCCATGGCCATGATCATTAGCTCGAGACCGTCCTGTTCACCCTCTACTATCCCTCCACCAGAGGGATGGTCTCTCTCTCACCCCACCCGCATCACCTATGGATGCCTCGGCCGCTGGCCATCACCGGCGCCGGATACGCGCGCTTTGCGCATTTCAGCAACCTGTTCAGTAACGCCGTGCTCACCTTCAGCCTGTGGTTCTTGGTCGGCAACACCAAGATCCCCGCTCAGGTCGACGTGCCGCTGCACGACGACTCGGTGGTGCTGCAGTCGCCTGACCCGCTCAATGATCCCGTGCTCTTCGACGACGGCTTTCCCGTCTTGGTATTCTCGCACGGCATGGCCAGCTCGCGCACCCAGTATACCCAGTATTGCGGCGAACTGGCCAGCCGCGGCTTGGTCGTGGCCGCCATCGAGCATCGTGATGGCAGTGGACCGGCCACCGTGATCATGAGTCCGGATCCGGATACCCACAACAAGAACAAGACCAAGGACCGCATTCTGCTGCATTTCTCACATGGCGATTTGAGGTGAGTCCAGAGTTCAGAGTTCAGCCCGGAGCTCATGCACCGTATACCGTACACAGTACACCGTACGCAGTACACAGTACACTGTGTTTTGGCTCGTGGCTCCAAAGGTGATGGTGATGACTGACCACACCGTATGCGCCCACCAGCCACGATGCCGACCTGGATGCCGAAACGTTCAAACAGGCCCAGCTTGATTTCCGCCAGGCCGAAGTCGAAGAGACGGTGCGCGTGCTCAGACACATCAACGAGGGTGCCGGCCACACCATCTTCTCCACGAACCTGCGCCGCGAAGGCCAACATCTGCCAAAATGGAAGGGCCGGCTTGGTTTGAACAATGCCACCATTGGAGGTCATTCTTTTGGTGCCACGTTGGCGGTAAGTTCTATCCTAAGTCAAGTCCTCCACCAACCCCAACCCCGACTCCAGCACCGCTACCCTACCGCTACCATACCGCTACCGCTATCTCTACCGACGGTCGTGCAGTGCCACTGTACGCTATGTGATAGTGCAGTGCGACAGATGCAAAGTTACCGTCGCCTATGCGTGTCGGAGTACGGATACACATGCACAGTGTGGTCATATCCCATATCCGTGTCTGTACAGGCTCTAACGGTGTTTGCCATCCTGCAGCTCCAAACACTGAAGAACGGTCCGTCGGCTTTTCTTCCATTCAAAAGCGCCGTGGTTCTTGATCCGTAAGACTTCCTTTTTCCTTTTGCTTTCCCTCTGCCTTTCCTTTTCCCTTTCTCTTTCCCTTTCCATTTCCGTCCACCACTTGGGAACAGTGGAGTGAAATAGAAGACGGAGGATCCGTACACGTACAGAGTAACCCTCTGTAATAGTGAGCTCACGTTGAGTTTTGAGCAGGTATGCAACAAGATGGATTATTCAGCTAACCACCGTTGTGTACCGATCTATCTAGGGGCAAGTCGAGCGGACCTCTGAACCACGACGTCCAGGTGTCGACCCTGGTCATCCACTCCAACTCGTGGTCGCGCCGCCACTCCATCTTCTTCGGCCGGCCGCACTTTGACGTGGTCAAAGATGTGGTTCAGGGCATTTTGGACCGAGGCAAGGACGCCTGGTTTTTGACTTCGTGTAAGTACCCAGTATTGACGTGCTAACTACTATTCCTGTCTGTCTGTCTGTCTGTACTGTCTGTACATGGACATGCCTGGCCAACAACTTGCAAGGCGCCTGCCGGCCTATGGTCACCAGGTGGCTAAAGGGCCAGTGCTTGTCCTGGTGACTCCTGGGGCTTAGGCTTAGGCTTAGGTTTTTCTTCCCCCTTTCTGTCAAACTTGTCACAAGCATCATCCGTCGCCCTAGCATCCCTGACATCGATATCGCCCAAGCAACCTAGCAACCTAGCATCCATCCCTCCCTTCTCCCTCCCCCCTCCCTCCGGCGAGAGATATTGACCACGGAGCCGAGTTCACTTCACTTGCCTTTACTTCTTTCCTGAAACTCGGTTTGTTTTATTGATCGCCAGGGCTGCTGTTGGTCACAATCCAATCTACCATCATCAATCATCACTCATCACTCATCACTAACCATCACTCATCGTTACTGACGACTGACTGATTTGCCCTTACTCTGTGCGATGGGAACTTCTGCCTGCACTCATCGATGTCCTCAGATGCCTATCCGATGCTCTCTCTTCCCTACAATGTTCTGCCCATGCTCTTCCCTATAATGTTCTGCCCATGCTCTCCTCTACAGTGTTCTGCCTATCAGATGCTCTCCCATCCCTACATGCCTATGCTCTCCCCATGCTAATTAATGTTCTGCCCATACTAATCAATACTCCCTACCCCCCCTGGCCCCACGTGTACCCCTGTGTGTCTATGTCTATGTGTCTGTGTCTATGCACTATGTGTCTATGTGTCTACGTCTATGGCTGTATGTCTGTGTCTATCTCCACGTACTATGTACTAATCTTCTCTCACCACACAGTAGGGACTTCTCATCCCTCAGTCACCGACGCGCCCCTAATTGAGCCCTGGCTCCTCCGCTGGACCACCGGCTCGACCATCGACGCACACGAAGGTGTGCGACAGTACGTGCACATGTCGGAAAAGTTCCTGCGCTACCAAACCACCGGCCACAAGACCGGTCTGTTGTCCCAGTGCGTCACGCATCCCGAATATAATGTCGTCGATGCAAATAACACCCACGTCGACGATCCCGCTTGGAAGAGAACCTTTTCCAAGTACTGGCAGATCCATGTCGCTCCTTGTACCTCCTCACCCCTACGGGTGGATATGGATCTGGATATGGTTACACAAGGCGGACCTCCGTAGACGAGGGGGGTTAATTCTCCCGGGATGAGGGGGGTTACAGTTAATTGACACGAAAAGGAAGATGAAAAGGAAGACAAGTCCCACTAACTCTACCACGAAGTAAACTAAAAGGAAGACAAGTCCCACTACCACTACCACTACCACTACCACTACCACTACCACTACCACTACCACTACCACTACCACTACCACTACCACTACCACTACCACTACCACTACCAGTAATTATTAGATGGACAATAGGTCAATTTTACAGTGCAGTGCAGAGCAGGGCATGGCAGGGCAGGGATGCTCTTGTGCTCTGTTCACAAGATGGCTTTGGTTCATGGCTTTGGTTCATGGCTTCTGGTTCATGGCTTTGGTTCATGGCTTTGGTTCATGGCTTTGGTTCATGGCTTT